TTTTCTTTTTAAAAACATTTTTTAAAAATTTAAAAAATATAAATTAAGCATAATACTTTGAAGAATTAATAAAAAAATTTATTGATTCAGCTTAAATAACAATATATTTGCTTTTGTCTATTAAATTAACACAATAATTTGAATTTTCTTTATTTTTATAGAGAATTAAATAAAAGAATTAATTTATTGAGTGTGAGAAGCTTAAATAGCAGTCTACTTCAATTTGTCTGTCAAATTAGGCAAAACTAATTTTTAAAATTAAGTGCTTTCATAGATAAAATTTTCGCATTCTAAAACAATTTTTTTTTTCCAATTTAAAGGGGTTAAAAGTACCCAAAATTTGCAAAATTTACCTAATATTTGTTCTATGTAAAGAGGAGAGTTAGGGCCCCTCTCATTTTATCGAACCATCTTTGCCGGGCATTTTATATATACTCGACTATAGAATAATTTAAATATGCCTAAAAAGGGAAACAGTGGAAGCGCCATGAAATGTGCTACATGCGGATCTGCAAAGTGTCCAGGCTGTGAGCCAATGAAAGAAGAACCTAAAAAGCCTATGAACAAGAAAAAGGTCGTTGATTCCGAATCTGAGCAAGAAGAGGAAAAGGAAGAAAAAAAGGTAGAAGGTCCTAAACCTAAAAAGGCTAGGAGTGCCTACATCTTCTTTTGCAATGAAAAGAGGCCAGATCTTGATGAAGAATTTAAAGGGAAAGAAGCCATGAAAAAGTTGGGCGCCATGTGGAAAGCATGCTCAGAGGCGGAAAAGCAGCCATATGCAGACTTAGCAGAAAAAGATAAGGAAAGGTATGAAAGACAAACAAAAGAATTCGAAGAGACTGGAGAGTTCCATGATGAAGATGGAAATGTTGTTACTGAAGACAAGCCAAAGAAAAAAAGAAGCATGAGTGCTAAAAAAGAGACCATGGGAGCAAAAAGAAAGGCGGGAGGAAAGAAAAAATGCTAATTAGTTAATCGGGTATTTATTAATTTTTATAAAATTAAGCTGTTTTTAAATTTTTAATTATGCATATTTGAACTATAAATTTGTGACCTAATTCTACTCATAATCGAATAAATACTTGATGAGTTGCGTACTTATCAGCTCTATGTTTAGAAGCTTGCTGACAATGTAGTCATGGTCAATCGATGCTCGGTGATAATCATATGAGTAGGTCAATAATTAAAGAGTAATATAAAATACGTGTGAATAATAATAATCAAGAATTGAAATCAAAAATGTAACTTACTCCCTCTTGAGCGAACAAAAAAAACTTGTTCGCTGACGAAAGGGTTAATTTTTTTTTAAAAAAAATTAATTGTTTGAGTGCAAAAACTGTTCAAATAACTTCTAATTGAATTTTGTCTATTAAATCAGGAAAAACAAATTTTATAAAATTAATATTTTCATTGATAAAATAATTTCTATTAAAAAACAAATTTTATTTCAGTTTTAAGGGGTTAAAGTTCAAATTTTACAAATACTTTGTATCATTTTAAGGGAAGGAGTAAGGAAAGTCATTATTATATATCTGAAGAGCCATAACATTTTATTGGTTAATCATAATAAAGAGGTACAATTATGATTTAAAATAAAGTTCGGTTGCATGAAAAATGAGAATGTTGAGAATGATTAATAGAGGCGAGTTTTATATTTCACCAAAATTTTTAAAACAATAAACCATATCGGTGCATTAGTTATACTTCTATTCGATTATAGCAAAAAATGTTGCAAATTATAATGGAAAGGGGAAAAATTTAGTAATTTATAAATAAAATCTAAAAAACTTGTCTGAAAATCTCAAAACATTTAAGACTTAAATCAATATGGATGGATAAAAATATAATCTCAATGTCAAGAACTCTAATAACCCCAATTTCTCACAAATCCTCTTCAATAACTGTCTTATGCAGGACGTATAGTAAAAATGTGCCCTTCAAGACCAATTCATTTGGAATTTATCTTCCACAATTCGAGAAAATCTCAGGAACTTCCCAGCTGAGTAAAATAAACGAATCAGTTAACGAAAAACCAAGTAAAATATTAAGAACTCCGTCTCCAGTTTCAGGAAATTCTACCAGTAGCTTTGATACTCCAATCAGGCATACTCGAACCTTTACGATGCCAAAACTAACAAACCCGTCATATTCATTAATGAATCCTGCAGGAGATAAAAAGCCGAAAGTTCGAAGAAGCCTAAAAAGAGCCCTCACAACGTTGAGATAGTAAACTTAATTAGTTAAGGTATATAAATACCTTTTTGATAACATCTTTTGATTTAAAAGTCTGGGATTGGCACGCAGACATGTTAATCACTCTAAAAGCTTAAACGATACTTAATTTTAAATCTAATCACCTGCAAAAAAATCTATTAAATGATATAGCTAAATATGCTGAGAATAAAGGAAAACAGCAAGATTCTTACCCCTCCAAATATCCCTTAGTTAGTGTTTAAACTTAAGACTCCGGTTACTGCTGCTTGTATATGCCCGGTCGCTTCTGCCCACTCTGGTGATGTGATCAAATCCTGATCAGTGTCATTTTCTTTCATAAATTCTCGCAAGTCCTCTACAGCGTCTTGCAAACGCTGTCTCGTATTGGGAAGCATTGAAATTGTTTCCTGCAGGACATCTTCTTGTTTCTTTATGGCGTGCTCTCCAGCGCCAGTGTCTCTTAATTTTTCTATTCTATCTCTGTCTCTTTGGACCTCTTTTACGTATGAGTCATACTCTCTGGTGATTCTTTTGACCATCCCTGACTTTATTTTTAGTTGTCTTTTCGCATCAGCTTCCATTTAATTTTTATTATTTCTTTTTTAAAGTAGGGTTACTTATCGCTTTGGCTTTATTTTTTAGCATCCTGGAATAGAAAATTGGCAGTTTGGAATTTTATAATGAGTTTAGACTAGTGCTTCTTTTTGTATAAATTGAAAAAGTTATCTGGGATGCTTGAGTAGATTTTAGGAGATAATTTGCATTTATTATTGTTAGGCTCTTATAAAAGAGCAGAAATTATATAACATATCTTTTGGAATAGAAGTTCAAGTTCAAGAATGTAGCGAAAATAAAGGCCAGGTTTTTTTGCTGACTCTACCCCTCTTAGCGAACAAAACCATTGGAAAGTCCCTATTTTGTGCCCGTGAGCGAACAAAAAATTTTTATGAAAATTTATGATATATAAGTGAAATTACGAACTAATTTTGTTTAATTTAAAAAAAATTGCATTTTAAAACATAAATTTTACAAATTAAATAAATATTTCTTTCCAATTTGTGAATTGGGATTTTTTAAAAAAAAATACTATAAAATTTTATATATAAATAGTCCCCCTCCGTGAACCAACAAAATGTTTTTTGTTTGCTAACGGAGGAGGAGTGAGCATTTGGTTATTTTGTAAGTTTGAATGCTGTAAAATAGAAATCTTATTAGCAAAATTAATTTTTCCTTTTTTCAAGGTAAAATTAATAATTTTGTAATTTATTATGATAAACACTAATTTGGTAGATTTTTAAAGAGAGCTCCAACAAAAGAATCAAAATGGTCAAATAAATAATACTTTAAGTCAACTGGCATGGCTAAATAATCTAGCTATAAGCTACCAAAAATGCAATTATTATTTTTAAGCAAAAAATTGAAACGGATTTGAATTATTTTGAAAACTATTGATACTACCCTAATGCCATGATTTAGCAACTCTTAAATACTTTAACAGTTGTGAGTAGCAAAAGTTTGAATTTAGATTGTTTCATATACTGCTTATTTAATATTAAGTATATTAAATTTCATTTAGAAGCATTTTCTTTAGTTAATATTATTATCTAGATATCCTTCCATATCACTGCACTTCCCTTTTGTCCACAGTTTATGCTGACAACTTCCTTATCTATATAATATTTCATAATCCTTGGCTTATCCTGTATCGTTCTCTTTTTATTTCCCTGCTCTCCGTTTTCATTACCTCCCCATATATAGACAGCCCCTACATCCATAAGTGCCATACAATGTTCACTTCCGCATTCTAGCTGTGAATACTTAACTGGGTTAATTTTTCCATTTTTTGGGTCTGTCACTACAAAATTTGAAAGCTGTTGGACCTTTACAAAGGAAGTGCAATGTGTCAGAAATCCGAGACCAAGTTGACCTCTTGAGTTCAGTCCTGTCGCATACACTTCTTCCTCCCCTGTACGAGTTTCTGCAACATACAACGAAAAATAGTCCCCAGCAGCAATTTTTACGATTTTTTTATCAGAGGATCCATTCACTTCTGTGGGTAAATAAATAACTTGTTTTGCAGTTTTGTTATCACTTTCTAAGAACAGCCCGAATTGCTGTTTATGGTTTCTTCCCCAGCCTAAAACAGAGCCATCTTCTAAAAGAGCAATAGTATGCTGTTTACCACACGCTATGTCAATAACTTTTCCTTCTATATTGTATATCATCATAGGGTTAGGGTATCGAAGAGATAAATACGGAGCATTTGTCGTTCTATTCAAAAAGCTCTGGCCACATTGTCCAAAAGTATCATCTCCCATACTCCAGCAGTGTCCTTCATTATCAAGAGCTACTAAATGGTCATATCCAGTAGAAATCTTTTTAATGTTTTTAAGTCTTGGAATTCGTCTAGCAACAGGGTTTTCTTGTAAGTCAAATCTCCATTCCCAGACTTCACCTTTTTTGTTTAGCGCAAATAAAATGCCTTTTGTCCACTGTAATTGTGTATAATTTCCACCAGAACTCAGCTTTTTTACATCTCGAACGTGATCGTCAATTTCTGGAAGCGAGACACTATTGACGATATGGATAGGCCATATATAGATATCGCCTTTGTCATCTAATCCTACTTCGTGAGTTGTGCCAAAGGAAACTTTGACTAGGTTTGGGGAGGATTTGTCCTGAAAATTTGCTATTTTGCGAGGTGTAAAGTTTGTGAAATTGAGCAGATCTTCTGGATGCCCTGGTCGAGGATCGTAGATGCCGTTGCCCCAGAGATGGAGAATGCTGTGGGGGGCTGCGCAATAAGCAAAGAGACTACCTGCTGTCAGCGCTCCTGCTAAGGCAAAAATACCTCTGTGCATTTATTTAGCATAGAATATCCATATTCAAAGTAAACTGTGAAGTGAAAGAGATATAATTAAGTTTAGTGAGGTTTTGAGCATTAATTAATATTTTACTATCCTTTTCATCTATCTTGAATAATTTGATAAAAATTATTATTTCAATAGTCATAAGAAATAATTGATAAAGAACTCTAAATCTTGATGGGCAATTGAGTTTTCAACTCCTACTTATGAGGACTAAAAACACAGATAATTTCTTAAAAATTTAATGAAAAACAATAAATATTTACATAATTTTAAGCTATATCTTATTTAAGAACTATTAAAAGCTTTATTTCTAGTAGAGGATAAGAGAAGGCAAAGTTTATTTTATGAAAAATAAACTATTTCCCTAAATTTGAAGAATTCTGCATTATCTAAATGAAAAATTCAAATAAACGTTAAAGATGGAAGGATACACAGAAGTCTTTGCTTGGGGCTTAGATAATTATGGCCAATTAGGCCTCGGTGGTAAAGTGAGGGGCAAAACTTATACTATTCCTCGTTTTTGCAGTTACAATGTCGTAATTCGAGACATTTCATGTGGCGAAGACCACAGTGCATTTATTTCTCTCCACGGGCATGTCTACTCAATGGGCAGCAACGCAGACGGAAGGCTCGGAATAGGCGACAAATCAATTAAAATGAGTTCTTCTCCTTGTTTAGTTGAAGGTCTCACTCACATTAAGGCCGCCTCAATTTCATGTGGATGAGGACATACAGTTGCAGTCACTGAACAAGGGACTGCATACTCATGAGGCTTAGGAGAATTCGGAGCTCTCGGCATCAGCACCTTAGAATCCCAATGGTCTCCTACTGAGATGGAAATCTCAGAAATCATTCGAATCAAACAAGTCAGCTGTGGCAGCAGACACACTTCAATAATAGGTGAAAAAGACTTCAGAAGGATTTTACTCACCTGTGGATCTGGAGAAGCAGGTCAACTTGGGACTGGAAAAAGAGAAAAAGAATTAATTCCTGTGACTATTCAAACTGGGGAAGATGTAAAACAAGTAAGCAGCGGGGTTTATCATACAGTTTATGTGACTGTAAATGGAAGGGTCTTTGCGATGGGAGGAAATTCATTTGGACAGCTTGGAATGGGCGATAAAAAAAGCTATAGCAGGCCTGAAAGAGTGAGCTACCTTGATGGGGTTTTTATAGAAAAAGTCAGCTGTGGGCAGCATTCAGCTGCGATTAGTGATAAAGGACATTTATATGTGTGGGGAACTGGCGCTTTTGGAGAGTTTTTAGTTCCACAAAGGTTTAACTCTGGGATTGGACCGATGAAAGATGTGTCAATTGGCGGATGCTTTGGGGTAGCTTTGGATTCCTCATTTAATACTTATATTTGGGGATCGAATTCTAATGGGGAGCTGGGGTTAGGAGATATTGAGCCGAGAGCTGTGCCTACTTTGGTTTATCATTTAAAAGATAAGCAAGTTAGACATATTTCAAGCGGAGGGAGCTTTTTTTTAGGATTGGGCTCAGATATAGACCCTCCAGTCAAAATGGAATCACGAACCAGAAAATCAACTCCGGAAAGGATTCATGATCTACGCTATGTTCAGGCTCAGCGAGAAGCTTCAAGTAGGAAAATTGACACTTCTTTTTCCTATAGTTATAAAAACTCTGAAGAAAATTCATTCTATAAAGCTAAAAAGAGTAAAGAAAATAAATATTCAGCTTATGCTAGACCTGAGTCTAGGAGGAAAGGGACTCCAACAAGAAAGCGAAAAAGCTCTAACTCGCCCCCGTTAATTAGCAAAAGATTTTTTCTCATAACTTTTTTTGATAATAATTTTTTTCAAAAATTCCAGCTATCTCTAGAAGTAGCTAATAGTCAAATATTTTAAAAAATAAATAAAAATATTCTTCATATGAATATAGAAAAACAGCAATCAGTTGGGATATTTATATATTATTTATAAGAAAATATATTTCGCTATAGAGGGGAGTAAAGAAAAAGGCACACCACTGAAAGAGCGGAATGGGTCAGTTGAAAGAGAAAAGCGGCCTGACCTTGAATACCCAGAAATTTATAACCCAGTAAAGCTTGAAAGAGTCAGCAACAATAACCCATTTTTCGCATCAAACGAGGCAAGAAGAAAGCATTCATTATCAGGAGCTGATTTTGAAAAAGAGCCCAGACCTCTATCAAATAGACCTAGAAGTACCACACCATTTAATGAGCAGCCTGAAGGAAACGTGCTTAAGCCTCACGAGTTTGAGCAAGAATCGTCTTTCCAAAGATCAGAAGATCCATCAAGAGATGTAGAAAGAGAATATTTTAGGCCATCAATTCAAGAAACACAAAAAGGGCATAATAATCGGGAAGAATACGGGATGGAAAATAGAGGAAATAATATAAGGCAGAGTGGCTTAGTCCAAGAACTGGAATACCAACTTGAATTGAAGGACAGAGAAATTGAAAAGCTGAATCTTGAGATAAACCACCTTAGCTCTCAGTTTTATGAGTCCAAAGTGGATATCGAAAGAATTTCTAGATCCAAGGCTTCAGATAACTCGAAAATTGAAGATATTCAAAGGGAAAATGAAGACCTGAAATTGCAGCTTAGAAGGTCTCAACAGGACAATGAGCAGCTACAATTAAAAGCTAATTCTATAGACCGAGACTATCATATGGTCGACACTCAGTACATTCTTAAAGTAAAAACGCTAGAAGGACAGCTTGAAGCCATCTCTGTTGAGCTCGAAAAATCTAAAGCCTACTCTCAACAGCTTGAAGCAAAAGTCACAGAACTCAACAGGGCTAGCCTTTATTCTCAGCAGTTAAGTGGCAACTTAATTGACGCACAAGCAGAAATCAAAACTCTTAGAGATGCCCTTGAAGAAGAAAAAACAATTAAAGAGAGCCTAGAAAGAAATATAGAAGACATGTCAATGGAAATGTTTCAGCTTAGAAGCGAAATAGAGCAGACTGCCATAAGGGCAAAAGAAGCTGAATCCCAAATAAAAGGACAAGCCACAGAAAATTCTTATATAAGGAAAAATTATGAAGAAACAAAAATGCAAATGCAAAGTGAAAACATGAATTTGAAGAAAAACTTAGAAGACTTGAGAATTCAGCTTCAAAATGCGATGGAGGAAAATATGGTTGTTAAGAAAAGCAATGATGAGATTAAGCAGCAGCTTAATTATGTCGATGGAGGTAGCAAGTTTTTAAGAGAAGAAAATTTGAGGTTGAAGAGAAGTACTGAAGAACTCCAAATTATGAATAAAAATGAGGCACAAAGGCATGAAGTAGCTGTAAACCGCTTAATGGAAGAAATTGATTTGCTGAAAAGCAAGCTTGAATCAGAAAGCCAGTCCCGCATTCAATTAGAATTCGCTTTAAAATCAGCTAGCCAAGAGAAAACTAGCTTGGATAGTTTATTGAAGCTTTCTCAATCTCAAATGAATGACGAAGTTTTAAGGTATAGGCAAAGCCAAAACAAGCTTGAAACAGACCAGAAGAAGCTATATACTGAACTTGAACAAATGAAAAGAGAAAACATGGAGCTTAGAAGCTCATTTATGAGCAAAGTCCAAGAAAATACCCAGCTGAGCTCTTCAATATCAAATTTCGATTTCAATATCAAAAAGTCATCAGAAGAAATTTGTTTCTTAAGGCAAGAAAGTATTGATTTGAAAAGAATTAAAATTAACATTAATTATAGATTAGGGCTCTCCCTCCTTTTACGTCTCACCCAAGACAAATCTTCTTAAAGAACTTATTTAGCTGCTAGCGAAGCTTTCTGGGTATGCTAGCATTTCCACCAGATATAGCTTTCGGCCTGGTTCTTAATGCTGTCTCGGAATCTTGAATTATTCATGCTTGATTTGAAAAGCAAATTAGAGTTTTTTACTAATGAAAACCAAGAAATAAAGGCAAGAATTCAAAATTTGCTTGTTGAAAATGATGCTTTGCAAATGGAAGCAAATGAAAGCAAGACACAAATTGAAAAGCTCATAGAAGAAAACGAACATCTTCAATCAATTTATATTAATCATAAAGCTCAGACAGGGGAAAATGTAGCAACTTATGAGAAGGAAAATCGGATCTTAAAAGATAATATGAATGATATAATTTATTCACCATAATAAATAGCTATACCCTAGCAGAATCCCGAACAGAAATAATATGGTCCAGGGTGCCTGCCTTGTATAGTCTAAGTCTGATTAGGCATGCTAAAACCATTTTATCATTTTCGTTTTTACTTTTCAAAAAAGCTGACAAGTGCAAAATCTTTTTGAAAATTAAAATGGATGGCCATAAATCATCTAAAATATTTTAAGGGTATATGAAATATGAAATAGAAAAGCTGCAACAGCAAATCAACGAAAAGCTTGAAATAATTGATAATATATCAGCAATTAGCCGAGATTGGGAAGAAAGGTTCAATTCCTCTGTTGCTGAAAGTCAAAATCTCCAGAAAGAATATAATAATTTAGAAGCTAAAAATAGGCATCTTTTTGAAACTTTAGAAAAAGAGCTGCAGCAAAGGGCAAAAGAGTACAAAGAAAGGACCTTGAACTTGCTTAACACTCCCAATAAGAGTACTCCTTATGTGTCTAAATCTCCTATTGTGCAGAGTTCTCCAGCTGTATATCACAGTACTGAATTCTCAAAGCTACCAGGGCCTTCAGAAAATCAAGAGAGGTTAGGAAATTGTGCTGAAAAGCTATTAGAAGCTCTGAATGAGTCTCCTCTTACTCTCTATTAATACCCAACACTTTTTTCTTATTAATAAACTTTTTTTATTGTCTATAACCCTAAATAAAAATTTTATAATCCGTTGGTAAAATTTTCTTATGGACATTATACGCGCCATTTTTCATATGAAATTTCAAATTATGAATTTGCCGCACTAAAATCTGCGTTTTGAAACGCATATTGGTTTTCACATACCAAATTCAAAATGGCATGATATGCATGATAAGAAATTATTGCAATACATAATAAAATATTTTTGCTATTTTTCGTTGTATAAAAAGGAGAGGTAGAGATTCCCGAGACACATCACCAAACCGTGGAGGAGCTGACCTCTTCAACGAAAGACAAAAAATTTCTGCCTTAAAAGACCTCAGCCTAACTCCACAGCGTCAAGATCTAAACTCACGAATTTCTGCGCTCATGCAAAGCAGAGCCAAACTAAGAGAAAACGGTTTTAATATTTAATGTTTACAATAAATTACATAAAACTTCTTATTTCTTGATGCAGTTTACTTAACGCTCGTTCCTGATACAGTTCTGCTATATTATCTGGCTTAATAGCTTTCATTCTTCTCGGCCTTTGAAGCACAAGTTTGCCCCGAGATCCCCCAATTAAATGCTCATAAGGAGGAGGAGATCCTGAATACCTCGAGGAATATGTCTGTTTTCTCGATATATCTTTTGAATATCTTCTCCTACTTTGGTCTCTTGGTTCTGGAATTAAATAGTCAGGCCTTGATAGTCTTGGTGCTGGTGTGTATCGATGTATGCTTGAAGAATCATAAGCCATTGCTTCATTTAAAATCTGCAGATCCAGCTCACTGCCATTAATTGAGCTAAAAGAACTATTTGCGTGTGAGAGAGGCTTGTCCTGAGTTATTATTACCATGCTGCCAAAGTTATCAGCTAGCTCTGTATAGCTTATACACCTTAATAGATATCTATAGCCCAGCAGGATATCGACCAGAAAAAATATGGTAAGGGCACCTGCCTTATACAGTATAAGTCTGATTAGGCACCTTAAAACCATAAACGGAGACTTGTCATTTTCGTTTTTACTTTTCAAAAAAGCTGGCAAGTACAATTAATTTTGGAGATTAAAATGGATGGCTAATAATGATCTAAAATATTTCAGGGGCTATACAATATAAAGTGTATTTAGGCTGCAAGTGCTTATGCTGCTCGAGTTTTTTTAAGTTACGAAAAATTTTTGTGAAGGTTTGTGAAAGATAAGGGACATCTATTGGCTCTAGATATAAAGTACCTCCTTTAAGCAGGGCTAAGAGATGAGCTTGGCAAAGCTGAAGCAGGTGGCAGACGCCTCGATTGTAAGCAGTTTCCATGCTTCTTGTAGCGAATCCACTGTAGATAGACATTTATTATCAATATTAAAATGTTGTTAGAGTACCTCGAAATTTATAACATCACTGAGGGATATTTCATTTATTTTCCTATCCTCAGAACTGTGAAAGACTTGATACAATTATAGCACAAAAGGTAATAAATCAAGAAATTTTTAAATTATACCAAAAATAAGAATAAAGGATATTTTGAATATCATTATCACGCAAATGCTTGCTTAGAAATGCTAGATCTTAATAAAAGACACTCATTATTATGCCTTGAACAACTTTTTAAAGAATAAGCTGTTATTAAATTTTAATTTCTCTATATCTAGTAGAATAATAAGTATGGTAACAACTTATTTTCATATTCCAAGCATTTACAATATCACTCATGTCCGAGCCATGGCACTGGCTTCCTACAAGTCAGATTTAGTAACACACTTGAATCTCAAAAAAGACCAAGAAATCCAGCTAGTAGAAGTTTCTGACGATTGGTCATGAGCAGTGGATTTTACTGGGAAATCAGGGTGGGTGCCATCAACTCAGCTCAGAATTTCAGAAACTCCAGCAACCCAAAGTGATATTTCTCGTCTTCGCCTGACTATAACCCTCAGAATAGGTGACAAACTAAAGAAAATTGATTATCTAGGACATCCAGAGCAGACCTTTTTCACATCTCAAGAATTTGCAGCTTTTGAAAACGTTGATTGAAGCTCAACTCTTTCTATTGTACTAAAAGATGACGACAACACTATTTCCGTTTATGAAGAGCCGCTTGCTAGCATGAAGGACCAAGCTAATGAAGGGGTTTATTTCAAAACTTTAAAATCAGGGCTCAAAGGAAACTTCGCGTCATGTCTGATGCTGATAAGAGTGTCTAATAGTCTTGAAGCTTTACAAAGCATGAATAGCGACTATGACATGCCTGGGGTCGCTGAGTCATATGTAGACCCAGAATTGATGCCAGGAGAAGTCATTGCAACCTCAGCAAAAACTCAAGGAGCTTGTGGAAATATAATTTTAGATGGAATGCTATACTTGACAAATGCTCGACTGATTTTTATTTCTTCATCAATATATTCTAATGTTCTAAGCTGCCCTCTGCTCTGTATAGAAAACACTGAAACAGTGCAGGGAACTTTTAAAGTAATGACCAAAGATCTGAGAGCTATTGAGTACTCTATATCTTCCCAAGAACAAGCAAAAATATTTAGCGAAAAATTCGGCCAGCAAATTGGGATGTTTTTTTGTATATCACATTATTTAGCTTTAACGAACCCACAGCCATATGGTTGAGGTGTCTATGACCCAGAAAGAGTAAATAATATTTAGGAATTTATGAGACTTGGAGTACTTGAATCGAATTTATTTAGAATCTGTGAGCTAAATACTGATTACGAATTATGTGATACTTATCCATCAATTTTGATACAGCCTGTAACAGTCCCTGATACTCAGCTAGAAAAAATCAGCAAATTCCGAAGCAAAAATCGAATCCCAACTCTCTGCTGGTATGGAAAAGGAGCTGGGCTTTATAGAAGCAGCCAACCTTTGGTTGGGTTTTTTTCAAGTCGCTGCAGAGATGATGAAGACTACATGCTAAAAAGCCGAATAAAATACATTATAGATGCCAGGCCCAAGATCAATGCACGAGCCAACAAAGTGTCAGGTAAAGGATATGAGCACCAGTCTCATTATCCGCACTGCAAAATTATATTTGCAAATATTCACAACATCCATAAAGTTAGAGAGAGTTTTGAGTCTTTAGTTGAGTTATTTGGAAGAGATGATGATTTCTTTTTGATGGTTCAAAATTCAAGGTGATTGCATTATATCAAAGCAATTTTGTCAGCTGCCAAAATTGCTGCTGATTTATTGTATTATGAAAAAGCTTCAGTTTTAGTTCACTGCTCTGATGGGTGGGATAGGACGCCAGAAATCACGAGCTTGGCTCAGCTGCTTTTGGATCCGTTTTATAGGTCTTTTCATGGCTTTCAAGTGCTGCTAGCTAAAGAATGATTGGCTTTTGGCCATAGGTTTAGAGAAAGGATACAGGGAACAGAAAAATCGCCTGTTTTTATACAATTTTTAGACTCAATTCATCAAGTTTTGAGCCAGTTTCCTAATGAATTCCAATTTAATAGCAAATATTTGCTGTTTTTAGCTTCAGCTCTTTACTCAGGGAAATATGGAACTTTTATGTCGGATTGTGAAAAAACTTCTCAGGACTTTCAAGGAAGGACTTTGTCAGCTTTTAGTGAAGATTCTGCTGAATTTTTGAATTCCAATTATTCGCCATCACAGATAGAAATTTTGCCACTTAAAGTGGGACTAAGATATATGAAGCTATGGGAGTATCATTTTCAGTGGCAAATAATATAAATGAAATAGATTGATTAGCCCACATTTCTTAATTTAATTCTATAATATTCTCATTTAACTATCAGTATAACCACTGCTTTATTTTTATTAAATTAATAATCTTGCTACAGGCTGATTTATAAATGTAATCATTTCAAATAAATTTAAATAAATTCAAACCAACATTTTCAATTGCTTATAGAAAAAATAAAAAATAAATTTTAAAAGCAGATCTAAAAGATTAATCTTTACTAACTGTTTTAACAACATTTATTTCAAAATGGGAGCTTGCTGCGGAACGTCCAAGAAGCCAAAATCTGATAGCACTCAGATGAAAAAGACGAATGTTGAAGATAACGCAACAGAAGAGAAGAAAGAAGTTCAAAAAGAAAAGGAAAATATAATAGAAAGTCCACCAAAAGAAGAACAATTTATTGTCAATTATGAAGAAAAGTTAGAATTTGTTCAACTGAAAAGCAGAGATATTATAAGCGCTCTTGCAGCTGAAGGAATGGAAGGGCTATTAAGTAAACCTCAGCTGAAGCGTGCATTTATGACTCTTGAACTAACAGATGAAGCCTTAAGTTAAGTTTACGCTGGGTATTTATAATTCACACTTCCAAAGGCGCTGCTACACGTAAGCAGCCTCAAATACCAGCTACAGAGTGTCAGAGGCTTCAACCCCAAGCATAAACTTGGACCGAAAGTCCCGGCTCCTTGGTAGAGGGCTCTATTAGATCCTCCCCTACTGTTTTGTAGCAACCTCCATTTTCAACTCAAGCCTTCACCCATGTCGCGCTAACCTGATACTTATGGCCAGATTACCCTTGTTTTCGGTCCTTTTCAACCAGAGAGACTCCCTTTAGAATCTGTCTAGGCATCATTACAAAGAAAGAATTCAATAGCTTAGCCATTCGGGACAGGCTACGAAGTAGCTAAGCAAGTAAGTTGCTCTGCTTCTATCGAGCATTCAGCCTGGCTGGCATTGCCGATAAAAACAGATTTAAAATGCATCCGCTCGGATCAGGCCACTAATCAGCAGAAATAGTGCTGAGCCTCTGCCTCAAGGCTAATCATATCCTTGGGTAGCTCGTTTCACCAAAGCCAATATCCGAATATATATTAGGGCATCCGCCACGGGGAGGGCGGTCGCTCATTACCAAACATTTTATATCTCCACAGATGAAACCTTAACTTCCCCAGACGCATCATTTTATAAAATTCTCTCAAAGGTAAAAAATGAAAAGAAACTATATGAAGTGAGAAAACTTTCTTTATTAGGGATATTAATAGGAAAAGGCGCAACAAAAGGAAAAGTTAGCTCGCTGTTTAAATTATACGATCCAGAAAACTCAGAAAGCTTAGATGCTGCAAAAGTTGAGCTGATGTTCAATGAAATCGCTGATTTGTGTGCGAATATTCTTCCGATAATTGCAATTGGAGAAGGAGATGAATATTGCACAAAAGAAGAAATTGAGGGGTATATTGAATTATTGAATAAAGGGAAAGAAAAAGCTCTTCAAAAAGTAAAAGCAGTGCTAATGGATGGAGATAGCATTAGCGAATCTGATTTTGTCACTAAAGTGTCGGACTCTGAACTACCTCTGAAAAGCTTATTATCTAGCTCTGGAGCAAGAGCATTTATATGGCAGTTTTCTAAATCTAACTAGTCTATTTCTCAAATTATATTTTAATTAGACTCAAATAGCACTAATCTTTGCCCAGCTAAATAAATATAGTATCACTTATATCGAATTATGAATAGCTCTCATACATTTAATCATACTTAAATATTATAAAGAAAGATATATAAAATAGATAAATATCAATTGCAGATTCTTTAAATTTCAAGTATATCTAAGTCATACAACGTTTAAATTATTTCAAAATTAGTTTTTACCCTTCGTTTTCGATTGAATGTATTTTTCGTACTTTTCATTTTTTTTATCAATTGCAGCTTGCTTTTGTGCTAACATACCAAGCTGCTGATTAAGTGAAGCAGGTGTAAGCAGCTCCTCATGAGGTCCCTGCAGTACTCTTCTTTTCGCATCCAACGCATCACACTCTGCCTGCAGCTTTCTCACAATCCCTTCTTCTTTATCTATTGCGTTTTCAATATTTTTCTTTTCTCTATAATTTGTCTTCAAACTTTCCACATTCGTGTTTAAATTTTCTTGTAACTGCATTAACATTACTTAACTTAACTTAATTATCTGGTGTTTAAGGTGTCTAGTGCCGCAGCCCAAAAAGGACCTATGGCAAAACTAGTGACGTAGGCGAGCCATCTTGGAACAGGTCAGCCCTGGCCAAGCCTTCTATCAACTCCTGCTTCACCAGTCTTGCTGCACGTCTCACCCGGCGCGATGCCGTCGCCCTTGTCTCGACTCAGCTCCTGCGCGTGTTCCGCCTAAGGGTCATCTTCCCGTGGAGATGTGCTGAGAGGTAAAACCCCGAAATCTTGAGAGGACTGAGGAGCAGTTCCTCTGGTTATCCCCAGAGTTAAACCGCTATTGCTGTCCAGAAGTTCTCGAGTGAAAACCTAACCCTATAAATAAAATTCCATGAGGGAGAGAAAATTAGCAGAGCTAATTTCTCTCGAACCGAATGCCATTTTATTTATGCATTAACATTACAGCTTTTACTTCATTATCTTTCGCTGAAGAGTTGCTGCTTGTAAGTTCCTCTATTTCTTTTCTGAGCTCATCGTTGATATTTTCAAGTGATAGATAATGCGTGTATATCAAATTTATAGATTCGTTTGCCTTTGAAAGGGCTTCGTAGAGTTCTTCGATTTCGCCTGCTATAGCCTGAGCCTTCTTTTGGCTTGGCCATTCTGATCTCGGGAGATGCCAATCGGAGAGTTGGGTTTACCGACAATTGCTTGTAAAGCCAACTCACCTTCATATCAAGTCCGCTACTATCAAGTACGCTCCTTATTGGATATTTGTCGTCAGGGAGTTTGCCTTTACTAACAAATGTTGGTAACCCAACTCCAGAGATCAGGATAGCCAAAACGAGACTCGAGCTATAATGAATTTTTGGGATTTCCTAATTGATCACACTGAATTGTTGATAAAGTGCTTTCATTTCTCATAGAGTCTAGCCTCATGCTTCTGTTTTCGAGGGAAATTTTATCGTAAGGAGATCTTAGAGTCTGCTGAATTACTTCAAGCTGCTCTTTGGTTTCAGAGAAACCCCGCTTGTGACGGATTGATTTTCCTCTTATTCCATATGAGGTAGTGTTTAAGCCGTAGTCAATAGATCGGTTCAAAAGTTCCCGCTGGGCGCTGTCTGGGGAGGTTGATTGCTGCCTTTCGAAAAATGAGGTGGCTGTATAAAGCGGCAAACTTGTTCGCCTATTTAAAATTTACTTTGTCTGCCTGAATATATCATCATCTCTTTTCATATGCTAATTTTCAAGATTTTATTGACTTAAAATAACGCAAAAATATAAAAACATTTTTGATCCAACCACGCTATATTTGGAGTGATTAAATAATCAAACAATTAAAAAGCGCAAAGAATATAAAAATTTCAGATAAATGAATATTTGCTTATCATTTTTAAATTCTGAAGCCTATTTTGTAGGTTAGTTTAGTATTAAAGTCAGGTGTTAGCCGTGCTGGTGACGCAGTCACCAAAATGACCTCTCGTACGGGAGGTTCTACTGCTTATCGACTCCAGCACAGAGGGTCTATCTCCAATAATGGGCCCCACTTCGGTACCTTCTGCCTCCTTCTTGCCTCGCAGCTCTTGAGTGAGCGGCTTATAGATTTCTGCGCCCTGCTACGAGCAATTGGAGTAGCTTGATTCCAAGGATCCTTGGAGTCTGTTGGGCGTCGAAGCGCCTTCTTTCGACAGCTGCGGCTTGGTCCAAACCCCCAGTTTCTCGTAGAGGGATGTCCATAGTCCTCGGATCCAAAAGGACTTTGTGGGCCATCCAGGAAAGCAGCCAAAACCTACCCGGATGCATGTCTCTTGAGCCTGCACTTGATTTTCGACTTGGACTCCATCACAGTTCGCCGTAGCGATAAGGTCCGGACTGTTACGCCAAGAGGGCAGGTTGACATGCATTGCTTTTTATGTATTTTTTAAGTTATATATTAGGTTATGCCTATTTTACAGGCATTGCAATTTATAAATATAATTAACCAAATTTTAGGTGATAAAATAGAATTATATCAATTTTCTTTATCAATAAGTTGTCTAAAATACTAAATTGATAAGTATGGATAACGAACAAATCCAAATACAAATTTCTACTCTTTCACAAGAATTTGAGCAATTGAGAAATTCAATCCGCCATTCCTTTCAGTTAAATATTGAAATTGATGACATACGAAGAAAGAGAAAAATCCCAACTGAAACAAACTTTTCAATCTTAAACTTGCTTATTTTAGAATTAAAGCCAGAAATATCGCGTGAGCTGTACAGCCTTTGCATTGAATCATCTGACGATATAAAAGCCTTGAAAACTCAAATTCATGACCAAGAAACTGAAATTAATTTATCAAAAGAAGAAATTGATCGCCTGCTTAGTCGATCAGCCAAGATCGAAGAGGATCTTAGGTTTGCAACTAACAGGTGTGCTGAGCTAAAATCTGAATTTACGATTTTAGACAGAACACAGTCAGAAATCATCAAAGACATGGCTACATCTCAGCAGCTTGGAGAGTTGAAATCGTCTTTAAATAAATACGCAACAATGGCTAAATATCGTGAATTAAAACAAAAAGTCAGTGAGTGTGCACAAATTACAGATGTTGATAGTTTAAAAAGAGAACAAGAAAGAGTCAAAACAAAATTTAAAAAATATAGATTTTTCATTATATTGCCTAGTAAAAATTTAAGATTTTATCAGCTAGGCAATCCAAAGGAAAAATCTATATATTAACAAAGAAAAAACTGAAAAACTATAGCTCTTTCCCTTGAATAGCCCGATAACGGGATGAAGCCAGTTCGTTATCGGGCTATTCAAGGGAAAGTGCTATAATTTTAGAGTCAAAAAATGATATTATTAGTAGCATGAATGACCTTTACTGCACTAAAGATTCATTGGAAACAATAAGCGCAGAAGTGAATAGATTTCTATCAAAAAGCGATGACAGAATTAAAGGTCTTGCGGAATCATCAGCACACATGGAAGCAAAGATTAGGGAACTTCATAGATCTTTTAAAGATCAAATTGGCTCGAAACCTTGAAAAGACGAATTGCAAGCTATTATAAAAGATCTTGAAGGAAAAGCATCAATAGAAGAGCTGAAATATATGCAGGATGAAGTTGGGCCAATTATAGCAGGATTTAAAGATACGATTGAAAAATATAATAAAAGACTCAATGAAACTGAAAATATTTTAGAAAGATTCGATGAAATCCTCCTTGAAAAATCATCTAAAGATGATATAAGAGAACTTAAATCTATCATTGAGCTAGCTGCAAGTAAAACAGATTTCCATAGCTTATTAGAAAAGCACAAAGAGGAATCAGCTGAAACTCGAATCATGCTTCAGCAAATAGCTAAAAAAACTGATGAATCCAAAGAACAAATCAATCATCTTGCCTACAAATTTGAAATATTAAAACGAGATAACCATGATGTTAGCCAGATATCTTACACCCTTCAAGCAATTCAAGAACAAATTGACAAGAAAGCAGAAAAATCTGAAATTGAAGCAATATTAGAAGAAATGGGGAGAAAAAACGACTTGATTAATCTTGAAATTTTCTCAGACAGGCTTAAAAGGCAGCTAGAAATGAGCTCTGTGCTTATGCATTCTATGTGTAGGACACTATTAAAGAGTGGAGAGCCACCCACTGTGATCAGAAAGCAGAGGTTTGATTTATATCGGTACATCACTTCTCTTGTTAATTGGATAAGCGGAGAAGGAGGGAGTCCTAGAAACTCAATTTCCCTCACATCAAAATTTGCAGAAACCCAAGTCCGGGTTGATATGAACCAAACTACTTTTGACATGTACAGTCCTCCTCCCACAGTCCGTATATCAAAAATCAGGAGAACTTCAGCTGCAACAGTGAGTCCAAGCAAATATCACTCTTTAGACCTTCCACCTCTTAAACAGACCTAATTTGTATTGGATTTTCTCTAAAATACCCATAATTTTCATGTCTATGTCTTATAAATCGTGCCTAACTTATTTATGCTATCATTTCTCAAATTATTAATATGGATCCTGAAAAGGAATTCAAGAAGGGCCAAAAGGCTATGTCGACAGGAGTTTTTAAATGAAAGTCCGATCTCCCTCAAGCAGCAATCCACTTTGAAAACGCAGCAAAGGCTTATGAAACCATGAGAAATTACTTCGGAGCAGTTCAAGCATATGAAAAACTTGCTCAAGCGAACGAGAAAATGAATGAGTAAGCTCTAATTAGCATGTGGGCAGCTGGAAGAGTATATGAAAGTCTCTCAATTTTGCAGCTGAGAAATGACCATGTCAAAGAAGCTGTAGAAAACACCGAAAAAGCAGCTGAGCTATTCAGAATCAATGGAAACAGTGAGAAATCTCTCAGGATGTACATCTTTATGGGAACAGAAGCTCTTAATAAAGGACTAATTGAGTTGGCTTGTAGGATGTTTGCCCTGGCTCTAAATCTAGTTAATGACGATCAATTGCAAATGTTCGCCCGAGATGTGATCACACCCTATGTTGGGCTTCTTATAGAAAACAGGAAATATGCGGATGCTATGATTGTGTATGAGAAAGAGCTTAAATTTGCCCAGAACTTGAACAGGGATCATTATATGAATAAAGCTGCATTTTGTATAGTGGCTTTAACACTTCTAAACAACCCTAGTTTATGTGAAGGGAAATTCAGAGAAATGTGCTCAGCGGTGCAGCCGTTTATTATGTCAATGGAATACCAGGCTATCACAGAGCTCTTGGATGCTTATGAGGCAGGAAATCAAGAAGACTATGATAAGGCAGCGAGAAAAGCTGTTTGGAATAATGTTGAAGTACAGGTATGGTTTATTTAGCTCACAAGAGGGATTAGAAACATTAAAGTACCAGTTGGAGGACAAGTCGTTGTGGATGAAGAAAAGGATCTTGATTTCACTTAATTATCTGATAACCAATTAATTAAAATAGTTATTAACCCGAACAAAAAATTTGTTTGTTCTCGGAGTAATTTTTTTTAAATAATTTATATATAAAATTTTATAGTAAATTTTTTTTTCAAAATTTCCAAATTTATAAAAATAGATAAATTTATGTTTTAAAATGCAAGCTGTTAAAAAATTAAACAGAATTAGCCAAAGATTTGATTAAAATGTTATCATTTATAAATCAAATTTTTGTTCAGAGATCAGGTTTTTACACCGAAAAATAGAGATTTCCAATGGTTTTGTTCACCCACGGAGGGGAGTAAGGTAATTATTTACTACTATTTCATATCTGAAAAATATGAGTCCAAATTTATAAATTAAATTTACTAGAAAGCCAAAGATATCAACGATAAAAATAGTTCAGTTTATAGCGTGAGTTGCTTCCATTTTAAGTAAATAATTTCAATTTATTTTTTATCTTATTAAATTTTGCATGACATAGATTGCTTACAGATTTCTAGCTGATTTCTGGAGATCTCTAACCAATATACGAATTCCAGAAATTATAGGGAGAGCTTATGCTTCTACTATATGAATAGGTATAATTATATAGAAGCCATTTATTATTAAACTGGACAAGGGCTTTTTCTTATTTTTAAGAATATTAATTGTCTTAATTTTATAAACATATTTTATTATGTTTCTAAATTAAATTTGTTTCTAACTACCGATTTCAGTCCTTATGGCCTAATAAGTCTATTGATGCACTAAACTATCTTAAGCACTGTGCTCATATTTATATTTCACCAGGAAATTCAAAATCCCTGTTGTCTTAAGGCCCAATTTAAAATGCATAACTTAAATAAATACAATTCAAGCTATGAATTCACCCCAGCCAATATAAGCGTTCCACTTTCTTGTTTTTATTCAAATATTAGCCGATTATATTATTTTTTATTGAAAATGTTATTATGGGGTTTATTGGAAGTCCTATGGCATGATATTGCACTTGCGTCTGATTTCAAACTTAAAAACTGAATCTTCACCAAAAGCCTCTCTTTAGATTTCACAAATCCAGCGATGGAAAAGCTTTTTCAAGAAGAGCTCAGAAATCCGATAATTTCCTCAGACAAAAACCTTACTCTGTGAGCACTGTTTTCTGTAATTTTTTGTGGATTTTTGTATTCTTTATCTGGAATAATAAGTGCTGCTTCATTTTTATCACTCTTGCCCTTATTTATGTGGAACAGCTCAAATATTCATCTCAGACGCTTTATTGCAGAATTCTTTTCTATTCAGTTTCAAATTGCATTCAAAGAGTCATGTTCTATAGCTGAGATAATGGGAGGCTTTATCCCTTGTTATATGTTAACTGCTATGTGTTTTAAAAAATGAAAGTACTCTCTTTTATATGGTATTTTAGAAGGCGCAATGGTGATTTACTTTACTAATACTAAGGTGTGTTATGTAATTTTTGCAATTATTGCTTGAACAGGAATGGTTACTACCGTTGAAATTAATTTAAGAGGCTTATGAAATAAATATTCAAGCAGCAAAAATCAATTCACGGAATTAAATTATGTATTTAATACTGCACATAGTGCATTGTTTCTTGTAGACAGAGACGGAAATATTATGTCTCACAATCAGCGTGCTTTGTGACTTGCTCAAACAATGGGCAAAACAGAGGATTCACTTTTGAATACCAAATTTTATGATGCTTTCGACGATGACCATCGACCGTGGGCAAAGGGAATCGTACAAAGCATTTTTAAAGGAGAAAAAAGAACTGAAGAGTATCTGATAACCAACCAAATCTCAGACTTCAAGCCAGAGGATATCGAAAATTTAGGTTTTATTGTGAAGGCCGATCTTGTTGGCTGGAACAATGAAGCTACCATGAGGATTTCTTTTATTGACATTTCTGCAGCTGTTGCAAACAGAATCTTCATTTCTAATAGTTATAAATACATTCAGCTTTATCTTGACAAGTTTTTCAATGAAACATTGGAAACCTATGAATCTGGCCACTTCGTCTGGGAAAACTTAATTGTAAAAATCAGCAAGCTACAAAATGAGCTTAGAAGTAGCTTGCTTTATCAGTCACTTCTTCTAAGCCGGATTGATATCAAAAATGAAATTTTAAATATTTTTGTAGAGCTGCATAATGTTATTGAGATACTATTTAATTTGGCTGAAAAGAAGCGCATTACAGTATCATTAAAAGGATCAGCAGATCTTCCAGAGAGTTTATATGGAGACAAAACATTTCACAACTATATTTTGAATTCGCTTTTGGCGTTTTTAATTGATAAATGTGAGCTTGGTTCTGAACTGAATATTTCTTCTCAGATTAGTAATATGAAAGACTATGAGTTTTTAATTCAATATAACTTTGATTTTGTCTCTAAAGCAATAACTCAAGAAATGCTTGATGAAATTTTCCAAGTTAAAATGCAAGGATCAAAGCGAAAGTTCTTTAATGATTTCGTAAAAATCTATAAAAAATATGGGTGCGGACTTTTTATGTTTGATTCAATGATTTGCTCAATGAGAGGCTACACAGATTGTAGAATGAATTCCATCACAAAAGAAGGCAAAATAAGTATATTTCTTCCATTTACCATAACAGAAAAAGAAGCTGTCTGCAATGTTCTTGATTTAACTCAAAAGTCTATTTCTCACTCCAAGTATTTCTATGAATGATTCCCAGCCAGCAGCAATAAATGTAAGTACAATAAATTTGAATCAGAGAGCGATAGCTCCTCTTCAGAGTCAAGTGAGCAGATCCCAGACAAGGATTCGAGCACTGAAGAGATTCTTAAAAGTAGCAAACGTGTAAAAAAAATGAGACAGTCTAAAACATTTTCCAGTCATATAGAGCAGCTTCCAGAATTTGAAAGGTTAGCCATAAACCATCAAAAACAGCAAAAGTCTTCAGTCTTTAGCAATCCTGGAACTGACATCAACTTTTTTGGGTATATGAATAGCCCAGCTTAAAGTTGGAAAAATATAGAAATAAATACAATAAACTATTTTTCAAAGCTTTTACTTATCAATTTTGGTAGTTAAATTACAAATAATGAATTATTTATTCATACTAATAATCACTACATCGGAAATAGTTTCCTTGTTAGAAATTTATCTACTCATTTGCCTTTCATCTAATTTGATAAGACTTGGATTGTGTTGAAAAACTTGAGATCCGATTTGCGTCATTGACCTCCTCATTCTTCTCTTCTTTTTCTCGTTTATTGGTATCCTTCTGCTTTTATGATTTCTATTAAATTGAGGAATATTAATGGTGGTATAAATGTCTAGAACATTGCCTAAATCATTATTATACAATTTAGCTGACTCAAATTCGTCCATGCTTTCTTGATTGAGAAAATTCAAAGGCAAGCCATTATTTTTTACAGTTCTTTTCAAAATTTGCTCATAAATATCTGGGTACTTTTCGGCAAATTTCATTAAGTCGTTCCTATGGAGAGAATAAGTGTAGCACATGCTTTTGGCGATGACGGAAAAGCTGGGCTTATCCTCTGTTAGTAATTCAATGTCACCAATAAATGATCCTTTTCTAAGTGTCTTAAACATTGCTTTGTTATCTGAAGAAATTAGTACAACTGATCCTTCTATAACAAAATACATTTCCTCACAGTCTTCATCTTTGTAAATAATATAGTCTTTTGGAAGAAACAGCTTTGGCTTGAGATATATAGCGATTTTTTCAAAAATTTTATGGGAATCTGAGAATTGGAAGCAGGGAACTTTTTCAAGCATCAGCTTTGTGCATTCGAAAATGATAGATTTAGACAAATTTTGTGGAATATGGAGAAAGAGTTGATTATAATCAATTGGACCATAAACCAGCCTTAGAGAGGTTGAAAATGAGTGATATTCTTCAAGATCCTTAATTAATTTTTTTATTTTTTCTGATCCTTGGCTCATGCAAAATGGTGAATTAAGTTTTTCTATATAGTATATAGTTAACTACACTGACTGGCACGGGGTGCTTTTGGCTCGAAACTGAGCCAAAAGCACCCCGTGCCAGTCAGTGTAGTTCACTATATCAATTCAGATTTTGAAGTTGCCGCTGCAGTTGCCATAAGTCCAAAAACGATTGCATTCATTATATCTCCTATCTCCTTGCATATTAACGACAAGCAAATTGTATATATTTTTTTGCAAATTTTATTATATGCTTATAATAAAATTTTTCTGAAACTTAAAAAATGAGGAGAGATTAAGAAAATTCAAAACATTGCTCACACTCTTTCAGAATCATTCGCTTCATGCATAAAGCCATATCCAGTACAAGTAATAATGTTAAGTATGTAAAATAACCCTCAGCTGTACTCATTTCCTACTCCTGTATCTTCCAAATTATTCAGATTTATTCATGAGTAATGAACTTCATGAAGACTGTAATATCACATTAAGCAGCTCATCCAATGTATAGAAATTAAAACAGTGACAGAAGCCTCTAGCACATTTAACTCAGTCGAAATATCTTTCATGTGTCTCCCTAATCTATCAAACAAAGAAAATAGCCTGAAAACTGCTATTATTCTGACTGATCTTAGGAATGATATAAAATAATAAGGACTGTTAACACCTAAAGAAGCAAGAATTGCATCAAATGGCAAAAGTGAAATTATATCAAGACAAAAGCACCAATAAGAATCTTTATTTGCCCACTCATCATTTTCATGGTTTCATTTATCCCTAAATATAAATGAGTATTTCAAGTTAACTAAAAAAAACGCAAGTGAAAAAATTAAGCATAAAATTTCCATAGATAGGAGAAAACCGTTATATGGCATTTCAAATCCAATTTCTAAAGGCAGTTCTATTGAAGTATAAGTGAGAAAAATCATATGGATAATAGCAATGTTCCTTCAGATGTGACTAGATTTTTTGGACAGAATTATTTGAATTTTTGATTCCATGAGCTTTTCAGTTCGATTGTAGTATTTTATTGAAGCATTCGGGTCTTTTTGGAATTTTTGGTAAACTCTTTCAAACTCAGCAATTGCATAGTCTACACTTTCAGCTGAAAAAATTTGTGCTAGCCGGTTTTGAGCCATAACAAGCATTTCTTGGTGTCATTCAGGGAATGCATCCCTCAATAACTCGATATGTTCAGCTTTCAGTAGTCCAATTTGGCACACACTAGTTGCGATTGCATTAAAAGGTCTTGCTCTTATTGAATCAATAAAAACTGAAATTTCCCCAAAATGATTCCCTTTTGTAAGATTCATTACAATTCTTTTTCCACAAAAATTAACGAGATCCACTTCTCCATCTAAAATGATAAACAAGTCATGGCTTTTCTCTCCTGCATGGATTATAGGATCTCCGACCAAATAAATTTCTATTTCAAGTAGCCTGAAAATCGGCTTTATGTCAAATGACAGTAGATTTTTGATAGTTTGCATTTCATCGAAATATATTTGGCCGAGAATTTATATATAGTGTGGCATTTGGTCGAAATTTTTAACGGTTTTTTTCGATCAAATGTCTCACTGTCAACAAATTTCAACCAATTTTTGGCCAAAAGAACTTCGGTGAAATGCACACTATCAAAAGTGCACGATCATTGGACCACCCTGAAAATCGACTTTGCAAGCTCTTCATCAACTACTCCATTCTTTTTAAAAATCTGAGACTGCTCAATTGTATCAGAATATCTGCTCATTTTTATTTCTACCATTAAGCCAGCAGGCAGTTCCTTTAATATTTCATTATCATTTATCCCTTTGTTGCATTTATCCAGATAATTAAAGTATTCGTCAACTTCACCAGAAAAATTATCATCAAGGAATTTCTTGGCGATAAAATCCTTCACAAAGATATAGCTTTTGAGGAATTTAAATTGTAGATTAGAAGCCATTTCTGTGACTAGCGATGTGATGCTTCCAAATAATATAGAAAAAGCAAATAGCCCTATAAGGAAAATAAAGCAGTTATAAGCTTTTTCGGATGGAGAGTTGCTTACAACCCATCCATATCCTGCATGAGAAACTACTATTGAAGACCAATGAAATGCATGGATATAAACAGTCTGATGCGTTAAAGGCCCAGAGGAGCTGGTTCTGAATTCGTTGGGTTGAGGAGAGGGAACTCTTGAAAGCCAAGAATGCATAGTATAATTTATGCGCCATAATAGATCGCTATATCCCAGCAGAATATCGATCAGAAAAAAATTGTCCAGGATACTTCTTATCAATCTAAGCCGAATTAGGTATCTTAGATCCATCAATGGAAATTTATCATTTTCGTTTTTACACATTTCAAAAAAATTAACAAGTACAAATTAATTTTGAAAAATTAAAATGGACAGTCAATAATAATCTAAAAAAAATTCATGTGCTATACCTTCTCGCTTTGCGCACTCAATAAAGAAAGCCCCACTAAAGTGGTTAACCATTACATATATTACAATGACTTCTAATACTCTTAATAATGTAAAAATAGATGGGAATTGCTTTTTCATAATGTCATAAAATTCTGCTATATAATAGCACCCAGTAATTCTAATAACTGAAAAAATAGCCACAAGCTCTCTTGGTTCATATAAATCAGCAAGCCAAAAAATTAATGCAAATGGTATAGCCATTAAAAAGTTATGGAAGCATTTATATAAACACCTTCGTGGTTTTGAACCTTTAAGTTTTAATTTTATAATTGAGTGAGGAGCAAAGCTAAGGATCTGATACAAGTTTCAATAATAGAGGCTGTAAGCCAAATACAAAACAATTGACAGCACTTCAAAAAGCAAAAAGGCTGCATTAAAATCATATTCAAATGCTATTTGAAGAGGAGCTTAAGCTTAGCTTAATTACAGGTCTGGCTGCTGCTTACTGTTAATGCAGTAGCAAATTGATCTCCTAGAAGATTCACCTCTTTGCGATGTTGCCATGGAAAGCTTTTTTTAAGTTGGGATGATGAATTTGTAGCCTTTGAAATAGTGTTCTATGTCTCCTCATGCTCCTTGCCTTGACGGCTGTGAAGGCTATGGATATGTAGCTTGGATTGAAAGAAGACTGCCAACACAAAAATCCTAAAAAATGGATTTAAGCAAAAAGGAAAAATTCAAGGCCTGAGGTACTCACAGTTTCACGCTAAAAAAGTGCCCAAATAGCCTAGTCGTGCCTATAGATAATGCTAAGCTTCATCTTTCCATTCTGAACCACCTTTTCCCTCCAATCTGGAAAGCAGACTAGGACTAGGCTCCGAACATACCAGAATTGCTTACCTATCTATCCAGTTCTGGGTTTGCAAAGCTTTGCCTGATATAAATAAATATGAACTTGAGGATGCATTGCCGGGAGGCAATACTTGGGCTGAGACGCCATATTTATTTGCTATTTGAAGAGGGACAAATATGAAATTGTAAAGGTTAAGGACAAAATAAAGATAATGCCTCATATTAGAGTTGTGGAATTTTACAAGAATTGGATTGATTTTGAAATAGCTTACAGCAATTTCATTTGCAGGAGAATTTTCATCTTTAGTTTCCACTCTGTCAGAAGGCTCATCCTTGCTGAAGTAGTCATCCGAACCTTCAGTCATCAACGTTCTGACAGTCAGAATTGGGAGTCCTTGGATTTCAATTCCTGCCTTTTGCAATGTGGTTATGTTCATCATTTGTCTTTCAGTTGCAATTTTACGAATTTTTACTGAAAACTCAGGATAAGCGCTCATAATGAAATTGAAGTCGTTGATAGAAAGGATAGCAATTGTCACATCAGTTTTGGCTCTCACTGTTGCAACTCTAACTGAGGGAAAGTCATGAAGTAGAGCCATTTCGCCAAATACAGAGCCACTCTTAATAGAATTCAAAACAATCCCTGCTGAAGACACGACTTCTACTTCTCCATCAAGTATAAAATACATCTCGAGCCCTAATTCGCCTTCTGAAACAATTGTTTCACCTTCGCAAACCATCGAGAGCCTATATTTTCTCACTATAGACAGCATAGCTCCTTTTTCCTCCTCTGGGAAAAACCCAGACTTGGTGAGGTCTGAAAATAAAAAGAATTTGATATCAGTTCTCACTTCCCCATTCCATAAGTGAACAAAACCATTGGAACAATCCCTATTTTTGGCCAAAACTCTCCCTTCGTGGGCGAGCAAAAATTTTTTTAATCATTATAATGAAATCTCTCACTAATTCTTTTGAATTTAAACAGCTTGCATTTTAAAAACTAGTTTTACAAACTTAATAGCTTTTGCTTTCCAGTTGAAATCTTTTTATATTTCGAAGAAAAAAATTACTATAAAATTATATAGAAAAGGGGAGTCAGGGTTTCTGGGAAATCCTGCATGATTTCTTCATCATCATAGCCCTGTAGTTTGTTTCAAAGAAGATCGTAGTAATTTAAGATACGCCTTTGCAATTCCTGAGAAAGATCACAGTGAGCCATCCATTCCTTTATCACTCTCAATTTTTTTAAATACTCAGTTTGATTTTTATGGTAGCTTGAAGCCAAGCTTGCTGCTTCTCCAATAATAAATGCGGCTAGTATCATAGAAGAGATATTAAAGAAAATATTGAGGGCTTTTTCAGCTACTGTTGGGACAGGGATATCACCATACGCTCCAGAGGTACTTATTGAGTACCCGAAGTATAATAAATTCACATATTGATCATATATTGGGATATCTAAAATGATTGTTCCAGGAGGGTAATAGTGATTAAGAGGGAATGAATTGATGAAATTTTGATGATTAAAACGAGCATCTGGATCAATTCAGTATTGCAGTTTACCTAAATAAAAGGAAATGCAAGCAATAAAATGGCTGAAATAAATAGTGAATACGAAGAGAGCTAAAAGACGTGCATATGATAATGTTGAGTGAGGGTTATAGAAAAAGTATTTATAGAGCCTATAAATTCTCTTAGACTTGAAAAGTCTTAGAATTCTAAAAAAGGCAGGAACATATTGATAGCTGCCAGCTGCTTCACATATAAAATCAATTGGTAGCACAGAAATAACATCTCATAGCAAATAGCGGTTTAAGTAGTTTTTTTGTAGAACTGATGGATCTCATGTATATGTCCCAAGCTGTGTGAAAATTGCAGTTCTCAGATGTATAGGCATATCTATTATGTAAATTATATAAGAAACTATATCAAAACCTAGCCATACTCCATACAGGGGAAATTCAAAAGCAATTGCAAACGGGATATAAAATAGATAAAAGCCAAAAGCTAGAGTTAGCACAAAAGACCAAAGATAAAAAAAACCCGAGAACGGATCTATTATGAGCTCTTGGTTTTTTTGGTCATGCTTTTCATTATATATAAACGTTCTTAGCCACCCAATATCTGCATTCTCAGGTTTTTGTGGGTTGTCTTCTAATTTCATATTATCATTTTCATTACCATCATCATTTTCATCTTCAGGAGAGTCTTCCTCTTTTGGAATTTCTAAAGTAAAGTTAAAATCTTCCATTTTAGTTGTGGCCATTCTTTGCTGGCCAACTTTGACTAAAAAGTCATGGTAATCCGGATAATCTTTCAGGATTCTAACCAAGTCTTCTTTAGCTATCGAAGAGATCATGGCTGCTGTTTGTGCGCGAACAGAAACTGTTCTTCTAATATTAAGCAAAGCTCCTATTTCTCCAAAATAATCGCCTTCATACAAAAGGGTTATAATCATTTCTGCATCAGCTGCAATAATCTCAACAATTCCTACTTTGACAAAGAACATTTCTTCTCCGTAGTCTCCTTGTCTTATGATAAAGTCTCCCTTCATAAAGATACTAGGCTTTAAGTATTTGAGAATTTCAAGAACAAAACTTGGCTCGGCCTTTTCAAAAAGAGAAACCTTTGGTATCATATCTTCATGAAGAGCAGTCGATATCTCACCTCTCAGTGAACTTGGCAGCTCCTTCAAAAATTCGACATCAATGATGTAGGAAAATTGATTTCTTATAGAAGAGTAGTAGGTAATAATTCTCTTGCTTAGTTTTGGTGTCAAATGCCTTAGTCTGCATCACTTCTTTACTCTTTCTATCTTTTCTTGAGTTTCATATTCTTTAAACTTTAATGTAATTAATGCTGAAACAATGCTCCCAGAGACCCACGCACAGATGGAAGCCCCAATAACCATGATAAAGGATGATGCATACTTTTCTGCAAGAGTGGATGGTGTTGTATCATTATAGCCAATCGTTGATAAAGTTGCTGTAGCCCAGAATACAGAGTCTATGTAGATTTCATATTTCCTAGCTCCTCCATCAATTCAAGGCTGTAATCAAGTTCCAGTATCTCCATTATCAATTTCTATTCTTGCTATCAATGCTAGGAGCATCCCAGAGTAGTGAATTGTTCCAAGAAGAAGAATCAAATTTTTAAAAATCCTCATCTTTAATCCTTCAGGAGCCTTTGATATTACTTCTTGGTTTGAAAATCATGTTAAAAATTGAAAGAATCTTAGCAGTTTAAGCGCTCTAAGAGACGCAACAGTATATCCTTCTAAATCGAGACCAATCGCTAATGACAAAAAGGAATAAGGAACTGATGAAAGCAATAGACATGATAAGTGCGCATAGTCGCTTTTCTCATGCAGCATCCAGAGGCGCTTTCAAATTTCAAATCTTTTAAAGATAATCCTTGAGATGTAATCAATGATGAAAATTACCTCAAAAGAAATTTCCAACGCTAGCCATACTCCCCAAGGAAATCCTTGAATCCCTAAAAATAAAGGCACTGTAAAAAGATTGTAAAGGTTTATAGTGAAAATTAGAAGTGCTCATTTAATCTGGAAATCGCTTTGGCTTAATGATGTTAGCTTTATAAAAGTTTGCCTTCCTTTGGTTTTCTTTTCAATTGGAGTTTTGACTGTTGGCTTCTTCTTTGTTGTTCGTCCGAATATTTTTTCGCTAAGCCTTTCTAGTCCTGGACTATAGTAATCACTCGCCCCAGAAGATCGTCTCATCCTGGTAGGACTAATCATATTTTATATTTTTATTAGTTATCTTAAGAAATATCTTTGTTTCCAGAGGTAAAGCTTATGCCGGGCATCTGTGATTGTTCAATATGGTAGTCATCTTTCTATCTTAATTAGATAATACAGGATGAAATTTGGATAATTATCTCTTCTTGAATTAAAATGGACAATATTTCCTTAAATTAACATTATTAAAAGATAATAAAACTACTTGTGCAATTTTTCTATAATGAACTTTAGCTGTAAATCTTCTGATTCTGGCTACCTATATGAAGGAAGCTAATTTTTTGAAAAATTTAAATAGTCATATTAAAAAGGGTAATCAATTCTTGTGATATGAAGTCTATAATATTGTTTGTGAAATTTAGGTTTATATAAAATTGCAATTAATTTAAGAGCCATAAGACTTATTCAAATAAATATTGAAATCAATGGATTTATTAGATTCAAATTTGGTGCGAATAAACTAAAATTCATAAACATATAATAGAAAAGCATTTTAAAAATAAACTAAAAAATATTTTATGACTTTTACTATATTAAGCATTCAAAATATCAATTCATTAAACACGCTTTAAAAATTAAAAATTAATTAATCATTTAATGGGCTGGGCTTGATTGCTGAGGAGCTTGAGATTGCTGACGGATATCCTTTTTCTCAGCTGTCTGCTCTTTTTTCATAGAAGATTGCTCTTGCTCCTTTTCTCCAGATTTCCTAATTTCTCTTTCTCCAAAAGGAATCACTGTGACTCCAGAGTAAAAATGTCCCCAGAAGCCAGGCTCACTAACCTCTTTTAGGTACTCTTTTGTGTATTCATCTTCTCTTCTCTTGACACGGACATACCCTTTATCAGTGTATCTGATTTCTTCACTTGCTCCTGGACTCAGATTAATTGATACAAGACCTTCTTGAGATTGTGATTCATGTTGAGTCTTAGTAAGATTATAAGTTATAAAAAGTCTGATAACCCCGATTTTTCTGCCCTCATAGTGAAGCTCAATCCAGTCGTCAAATGTTTTGCTTGCTGTTATTCTGCTAAGAGGAATTTGGCTGCTGCACATTTCAAAGTCAGGGACAAGCCTACCTTTATGCCAGATGCTTATGTTGAAATTTTCATCTTGGCCAGAAAGATCAAAGCGAATGATATTATCCCAAAAAGGATTTAACCCACCTTTAAAGCACACATCTGTATACTTCACTTGGTTTCCGATTCTCAATAAACAATAAGGATTGAGGCTTTTCTTATTGAAATCATCTTCAATTTTGGCTCTGAGAGGCCTGACGATAAGCATATTTTGATTTTGTTGCATTGCCATTTTTTATTATTAGCCATGATCCATCAATTAAAATTTAAGGATTATGGAAAATTCTAGTAATAGCCAATCATTAAAAATGGAAAGCTAATGAACTATGCTGATTTATGATAAATAAATAGATTTGTGGATAGCAGATATCCTATTTCATATAGTAAAAAGGGTAACAATTAATCACAGATATTTTTATTTTATTGGAAATGAGTATATCTTTTATTGGTATATTAGCAGAATAGGATAAAACACATAGTACAACTTAGTTTAGCGCGATTTAGGCTATCATAAATGATACCTAGCTAACTTTCTATGGAGATCACTATTACCATTTATGAAGTGAAAAATATAATAAATTAAGTTTTAGGCTTCTGACCTTAAGATAAACTACTTTGCCTTCAACTTTATGCTTGATATCTATCACTCTATTAAATACAACATTAATTAAGATGCTTTTTTTGTTTTTTGATTGCTAAGAATAGAATTTGAGATTGCATTTCTTGTGAATAGTCAGTCAATAAAAAAGCACAAAAAATGTTGAACTCATTTAGAGTGGCAATATATATTTATATCAGGATTTTATCCAATCAAAGTATGATTAGGATAAAATTTCTAACAAATAGAACTTATACTTTTGTCAATTTACATATAGACTTATAAACCAAAATAAAAATTGTTCCCTAAAATAAATTTCAATTATTTTCTTATTTTTAAAGTCAAAAGTTTACTATCTTTCACATCCTAAATAATTAACTGCTTTTCTTAGCTATTTAAATTTAAAAAATGAAAATTCATAACCCGATGTCATCGAAACCAAAGATAGGGAATACAGTGATATACACCAGAAACCAAAGAACAAGCTTGACCCCAAATCTTATTGAGAACAAATTGAAAACTCATAGAGAGTTCACTGGAAAAGATCTTACCAATACTCTAGCCAAGATTGCTACAGATCGAAGCAATGAAAAAGTGCCTTCAAGGCCCCTAAGTTCCAAAAAAGTGACTGAGCCTCCTTATAACATCGCCAACATTTTTGCCACAGAAAATAATTATTTAAAGAAGGCCAGATCAAACTCTGCGAGACCTTCTATTGAATCCCCTACAAAGGAACTTAACGATCTTGTGGACGGCGATATCAACGACTATATAATTGGTCGGGCTCTAGGGCAGGGAGCTTATGCTATAGTCAAGCAGGCTGTAGATAAACAAACCAAGATGCAAGTTGCTATTAAATCTTATGACAAGTCAAAACTTACTCAGCCTCATCGGAGAAGGAATTTGCGTAGAGAAATCCAAATCATGCAGAAACTAGACCATCCTCATATTGTAAAGCTTCACAAAGCCATCAAATCGACCCGACACATTCATTTGATCCAAGAATATGTTGGTGGATGCTCATTGCATTCCTATGTGAAATCAAGGCTGGTTAGAAAACTAAATGAAGAAGAAGCTAAAAGGATTTTCAAACAATGCGTTTCTGCAGTCAAATATTTACACGAAATGGATATTAGCCATAGAGACATTAAATTGGAAAATATTTTACTTGACTCGAGCAATAACATTAAGCTGATAGATTTTGGATTTTCGTGCATTATGCAAAAAGACCAGCCTTCGAGGTCTTTTTGTGGAACTCCAAGCTATATGGCTCCAGAAATCGTGAAAAGAAAGGATTTTTTTGGGCCTCCAGCTGACATTTGGGCACTTGGAGTGATGCTTTATGTCATTTTGACAGGGACCTTCCCATTCAGAGGCACAAGTGATAGAGATTTATTCAGAAAAATTGTGCTTGGAATCAGTGAATTTCCTGACTCAATACCTGCAAGAGCAAAGATACTTTTGAAGAAAATGCTATCTTTGAATCCTTCAGCAAGGCCAAATATAAGTGAAATAGCTGAAGATCAATGGCTGAAAGAAGGTAAACAAGAGAATCTAGATACCACATTGAAGTATGTGAGTAAGCTTTGTAGATCTCCGAGTGCTGAAAGGTAAATTCGTTTTCATAATAATATTCTTTTTCTAACACTCTTCAAATTGCTTTGTGTGCTGACTCAATCTTAAAAAATATTGTGAGTTCGTTTGGCTTATTGACTTGTTTTCAAGCTACTCTAGTACACTATTTATCTAAGTCTAGCTAAGCTTAACTGATTCTCAATTATGAAAAGCAAAATCCATAAATTTAATAAAGTAGTTGGAGTTATATCTTATTTATAGAGCAGCACGATGCCTCAACTTTTACATGTTATATTATTAGAATCTGAAATTAATTCTTGAATAGCTTTTTATTTAATGAAAAGTGTGAAAATGTCCATGAATCGGTGATGTTCAATATTTTTGATTAGTTAATAAAATCATTTAATTTAGAATAATTTATCTATTCACATATGCACTACATTAATTATTAAGTCTTTCATGCTCTCATCATTTGAATAAAATAGTTTTGCATTCAGCATAGAAATATTAGTTTAAATATTTTTTTTTCAAACCATAGAATATGACTATAAATAACTATAAATCAATCTTTAATGTAATTCAAAATAAATTAGAATAATCACCATGTTGGCCAAAAGGCAGCAGACAATGAGAGAAGCAAGCAACATCAAGGTTGTTTGCCGTTTCCGACCATTAATTGATATTGAACTCCAGCTTCCAGAAAACAAAGCAGAGCATTACTCCTTTCCAGACGACTCGACAGTTAGTGTGGCACATAGCAATAGCAATCCGGATAATTTTATATATGACAAAGTTTTCCCTCCAAACACAGAGCAGCCTGATATTTTTGAATGTGTAGGAAAACCTATCATTGAGGATATTTTAGCTGGATACAATGGTACTGTTTTCGCATATGGACAAACAGGTTCTGGCAAATCCTACACTATGATGGGTTTGGATATTTATGATGATTTAACAAGAGGAATCATCCCAAGAGCTATTAGCTTGATTTTTGATTACCTGTCAAATGCTAAGGATGAGGCAGAATACACCTTAAAGTGTTCGATGCTTGAAATTTATAAAGAAACTTTAAAGGATTTATTGGGGAATAACACAAATTTGAAAATTAAAGAAGATCCGAGGAGAGGGATTTATGTTCAAGGGCTAACTGAGATGTATGTGGTTTGTGAGGAAGAAATGGTTGAAGTTTTGTCTTTAGGGGAAAGCAATAGAACTGTAGCTTCAACAAAAATGAATCAAGTCAGCTCAAGGAGTCATCAGCTTTTTATGCTTGAGGTCAATCAAAAATTTCCCAATGATACAGAGAAAAGAGGAATTCTGAATCTAGTTGACTTAGCAGGCTGTGAGAAAATCAACCAAACAGGAGTGACTGGGAATAAGCTTGAAGAAGCTAAAAAAATAAACTTGTCTCTCAGCGCTTTGGGGAATGTTATTCATGCTTTAACCAGCAATCAAGAGCATATTCCTTACAGAGATTCAAAATTAACTAGGCTTTTGCAAGAATCCTTAGGTGGTAACTATAAAACAACCCTTATAGTGAATTGTTCACCTCACCCAAGAAATCTAGAAGATACATTAAACACTCTCAAATTTGCTCAGCGTGCGAAGACTATCAAAAATAAAGTTAAGCTAAACATAAAAAGATCTCCTGAAGCCTATATGAAAATGATTGCAAAATTAAAGAAAAAATTAGCTGATGCAAAAGATGAAATAAAAAGACTCAAAAAATCTCTAAAGGAAAGCTCTCCTACCATACCTCAGCAAAATTCTCCATCATTGCCAACAGAAGAAGATCAGAAATCAGAAGACTTCAGGAGTACTGAAGATATTGGAGTCTCATTTGCTATTGATAAACGAAGAATTTCCTTACTTCCCCCGCCGTGAGCGAACAAACAATTGGAGAAATCCTTATTTTTTTTTTCCAAAAAAACCCACCCTCTGTGCGTGAACACAAATTTTTTCAATAGAAACTGTATTTATGAAAAAAATATTTTGATATATAAGTGATAATTTGGATACTGAAATCTCTATTAAATTTCGAACAGCTCTCATTTCAAACATAGAATTTACAAATTAATTTTTGCTTCTCAATTTTTACGAATTGGAATTTTTGAAAAAAAAAAATACTATGAAATTTATATATAAATTTTTAAAAAAAAAAAATTAACCCCCACCATGAGCGAGCAAAGTTTTTTTGTTCGCTCAAGGAGGGGGGAGCTAGTGGATGATTTCGGGCAAAATGATCAAATTATTGAAGAGCTTTATTCTTTAAAGCAGGATAAAGAAAATTTGGAAAGCAAGGTAAGCGAGCTTGAAGATGAGCTGAGCAGAGAACAAAGAAAAAGAATAAAAGCTGAAACATCTTCTTCAGAATCCTTTGAATGCTACAAAAAACTGCTGATTATGAAGCAAACTGACGAAAATGCTTACAAGGCGATTGTAGAAGAAAACAGAAGTCTGAAGAAGCAGATAGAGATGCTAATATCTCACTTAAACCAAGCCAATAATAGGTTCAGCGATAGCTTATCAAAAATAAAAGCAGGAGAAACAGTCTTAACTTAATTACTAATAGATAAGTCCCTACAGGCTGGCAGGCCACTACTCGCCTCCGTATAATGCTCTACCGCGTGCTTGCCAGTCTGGGCACGGCCTTCCACTGTGTTGCTCCTTACGGACTAGGACTTGCACTCGCTACCCGAGAGCCAGAGACTCTGGGTCACCATGCTGCACGCAAGCGGGTTTGCCTATTCCGAAAATTTGAAAAATCGAATTTTCTGGTCGAGCTGCTAACTAAATGGACCCCCAGGTCCAGACACAACGCTTGTATCGCGGTAAGGATTTTCGATTAGCCAATTGGTTACCTCTGACCTTGCTGAACTTCCGCTTTCCAACTCCAGTGAACGATTTCCCCACGAGGAAAAACCCTAGACTGGATGTGAGCATGCTGTCAGCTAAGCCCGACATTTGCTTCACCAAGTCAAGTAAAACCTGGCTTGATATTCATTTCCGAATACTGTCCTTCCTTCCACAAGATCCCCGGCTTTCCAATAAATCTATCTGCTATCGGTTCTAAGAGTGCAGATGGCCCACCCCCATGTATGATCTTCAGGAGAAACAGTTAGTGAGTGAGAGTTCATCGATGCAACTGTTGATGCTGCCTTAACAGGCGAAATTCCTGTGCAAACTGAAGAAACTTCCCTTTTGATGACAAAGATTAATGAAGTGGAAATTGACATGCCATTAAACATTTCTGTGCTGAAAACCCAAGACTTATACTCCCAAGAACTTTGTACAGTCCTCGAAGACAACTCCGATATCAGTTCAGAAATCGTTGCATTCCAGCTTAGAAAGCAAGTTATTCAGTCAGGTCTCATCAATTGCGAGCTTATAAGGAGAATCTATGACCTTCAATGGAAATACAATTTACTAAAAGAAAAATTCAACTTGAAATTGAAGCTCTCAAAATTCCAAGAAAACAAAATTGGAGCCCTTGAGCAGCTTGTAGACCATCTGCATAACTCATTTAACAAAATCATAAATCTTATGAATAAGCTTGAAAATGAGCACTGGGGCAAAGAAAAATTGTCAGATCCAACTCCAAAAGGGAAGTTCATAAGAGGTATAAGGCCAACTATAATAATGGACAAGCCAGATATAAGAAGGTCAAACCGAATGAATACTGCATTGAATTACAAGTTGTTTTCTCCGTCTCCTAGATTTGATGATATAACCCCTAGATTTGCAGGGCTCAAAGCTTCGTTCGGGGATCATGGCGACCAAAATGACCCTTATAAGGTCAGAAGTCTTGAAACAAATTTGGAAGTGCAGACACTGTTTAATCAGCAAATAAAAAATGGGTATGAAATCGCCAAATCTGAAAGTACGACTTTTAAGCTATTACTAGAGACATATCAACATGAAAATTTGGAAGTCTACTTAAAAGAAAAAGATAGGTGAAAAGAATATGTTGATTCTTTAAAAAATTCTTGTGAGAAAGAACTGGCAAGAAAACAATCAGAAATTAATGAGCTGCATGAGGTGCTGGGAAGGTGGATTAATATGTTTTTGGATTTGCAAGAAAAAGCTGGGATACCGAGATCACAAGATGAAACTGATGCTCCAGGCTTGAAGCGATCTCTAACAAAAGAATATTATTCCAAAATAGAAGACTTAATAAAGCAAACCAAAACAGTGGCCAGACCTATTAAAATTTCATTAAACGGATCTCCCTTCCATTTGAGGTTTCGAAAGCCAAGTTCCCTTTCAGTTTTCTCGCAAAGTGGAGATAAAAGTCCTCCTGTAGATGATTAGATATATGAGTTTAATAAATATTTAATTTTTTATCCAAACTTATTTATGTAATAATTGATATTTCGAAGTATTTAATATTGTTTAGGAACAAGACTTGATTATTTATTACTTTTTTACTGAGAACGAATGAAACTTCAATTGAGAAATATCTGTTTCATTTGTTATTCTGAGATCATCAATTCGCGACTTAGGAGATCCAATGTTTCTCAACCAATGTTTAAATTCTTCTATTTTATCAGATGGACCTTCAGCTTCTCCAATGACAGTTCCTCGTGGTGTATTTTCTACCCATCCTGTGAGTCCAAGCTTTTGTGCCTGGGTTTTAGTGTACTTTCTGAAAAAGACACCCTGAACGTGGCCAAATACTTCGTAGCGAATATGCTTTTTTAGAGCTTCCATAATAAATATAAATCTTCTTCAAATTAAAATTACCTTGAATGAAGCAGCAATTATTTTTAAGCATTTCACAAGCAATCTAGGAAACTTTTCTGCTTTAGACTATTAAATTACAAATAATTAGCAATAAAACAGTTATTTTAAAAGTTCACTAATAGCTTATTTATAAAATATAAAGTCATTTAACATATAAATTCAAACTACATATCATGGAGAATAGCCAGAAGCAAGATACTGTAAAGGACCTGAAAAATAACTTATTTAAACTAAAAAACTTTATCTATCGGCTTGAATCTGGCTCAGAAAATCTGAATCTCAAAGAAATTATTTCAACTGATCCTTCAGGGAGAGAAAGTATTGTAGCTATTGAATCTTTGATAAACAGGCTACAAACTCAAGGTCCAGGCTCAAATAAATCACTCGCGATGTATAAACTGGAAATAAAAAATCATGAGCTGGAGCTTGAAAAGCAAATTTCTGAAAATCAGCAACAAATTCAGCTTTTAAGAAGAGATTATGAACGTCGAATCAGTGAGTATGAAATTAAACTTCAACATAGTGGGAGTTCATTATCAATTCCTCCATCTATAGAGCTGCTGCAGTTTCGCCAAAATTCTGAATTAATTTCTAATGACGATAAGGCTGAACTTTTCAGGGCAAGAACCCATGAAGCTGTAAACAAGCACAATCATGATTTGAGCAAAGAAACACCTAGATGACTTGATGAGGACCGACTTTTTAGTTTGAGGTCTCACGATTCAAAATTCAATGACTTGAAAGAAATTTTAAATTTGACTCAAGCAAGGCTCCAATCAGTACTAAAAGAAAAAGAAAGCCTTCAAAACTTGGCTGATCATACCAAATTAAGGCTTTCAAAAGTTGAAGAGGAAAACTCTTTGATCTCAAAAAAATACGAAGAAGCTCAGCAACAAATCTGCGATCTTCAATTAAAAAGTAATAAGACTGAAGATCAATATGCGCAGCTTACTCCCCCCCCTCCCTGAGTGAACAAAAAAATTTTGTTCACTCACGGTTAATTTTTTTTTTTTTTTAAAAAATTTATATATAAATTTTATGAAAAAATTTTTTTTTTCGAAATTTAAAAAATTCCTAATTCGCAAAAAATTGGAAAGCAAATATTAATTTAATTTACAAAATTTAAGTTTTAAAAAGCAATTCGTTTAAAATTAAACAGAATTAGCTCTAGATTTCATTATACTAATTATCGCTTATATATCAAAATTTTTTTTCCATAAAAATTTTTTCTATTAAAAAAATTTTTGTTGACTCACGGAGGGTTGGTTTTTGGGCAAAAAATAGGGATTTTTCTAACGGTTTTGTTCTCTCACGGAGGGGGGAGTTTAGTAGCGAGTTTTCTCAATTCAAAGAACGATCTCAAGCCCAGGAGGCGAAACTTGAAGATCAAATTAAAAAGAAATCATTGCAAATAGAGAAAGTTCTATTGAAAATGCAGCAATTAAATCAAAGATTTTTGCATACTAAACAGGAATTGGATGCTAAACAGCAAGAAATTTCTGTAAAAGTCAAACTTTTTGAAAAAGAAAAAGAATTAACTCATTTATTAGAGAAATGTTTTTATTAAAAAAAAAACATGACTTAAACTATCATTCTAAAACAAGTTTTTCTATAGCCAAGTAAGGAGTAAGAGAACAAACTGCAGATGCTTTATCCAAAAATGATAAGCATATTTTAATTTTAAAAGAAACAGTCGACAATCTTTTGTTGAAATTAAAAGAAACTCAAGAAGAGGCAGACCGTGCTCAAAAGCAGCTCTTTCAAAAACTAACCTCTGAGCACAATAATGAAATAAACTCTTTAAAAAATGAGCATTCTGCAGCTATAAAGAAGTGCCAAACAGAATGCGAAGATCAAATAAATGATTTAAAGAAAAAGCACGCTGAAAAAGAAAAAATTCTTGAGGCTCATTTTCAGCAAAGGCATAGTGAAAATAGAAAATGATATGTTGACAGGATTTTGGAAAAAAATGAGCAACTCAGCAAACAAGAAGGGCTCTTTTATGCTCAGAAATCAGCTTTTCAAAACGAAATTAACGTTCTGTCTGAGCAAAATGATCAAGTAAAGCTAGAAATTGAAGCCCTGAGAAGAGAAATGGAACTGAAAAAGCGAGAAGCAGAATTCGCAGAGAGCAAGGCAGAAGAGATACAAAATAAACTTGACACGTCTACAATTAAAGAAAAAGTCACTCAGGTCCAGTCAAAAACTACATTCAAGGTGCTAAATGAACAAATTGCAATGCTTGAAAGTGAAATGGGTGATCGTATAAGACATGAAATAACAAAAGTTCTGCTAGTTCAGAAAGCAAAGAGAAAACAATTGAAGAAAACTTGCGAAAGAAAGATTAAGGAAAACCAGCATTTTTATGAAAATGAAATCAAAAAAGCAAAAGATATGGTTTCAACGGAAAAACAAGTCCTTATTGACATCATTGGTGAAAAAGAAAAGCAACACTTACTAGCTCCACAAGTTAATAGCGAACTAAAACAGCAGATACTTCCTAAAGTTATTTTTTTTTTTGAGTCCTTCAATTATAATTAAAAATTTCTAAATAAAATATTTGATCTATCCTTTTATTCCCTTAAATTTTTCAAACTTTTAACACAAAAATGAATGTAATATTGTTCTTTGTAAATCGGAGCGAATAAGCGAACTTCAGAATGAAAAACTAGTCCAGAATATATTACAAGATGTTGAAATAAGAAACTCAAGAGTCATTGAAGAGAAAAACCAGATCTTAATCAATAAGAAATTAGCGTTTAAAAAAAAAAAGAAGGATCTTAATGAACTCTTCCAAAAAGAAGTTGAAAACTTAAAGATACTTGCCATGAATGAAACTGAAAGACTTCTCAGAGAGCAGGAAGAGAGCTATAAAGAAGAAATCAAGAGACTAAAAGAACAGTATAAGCAAGAAATAGTTAACAAAGAAGTACACTTCAGCCATGGTGAAACAATATTGAAGGCACTTTATGAAAAGCAAATTAAAGATTTGAAGGCTTTGGTAGAATCATTAAAATTTGATACTTCTGAAGCAAAGCGCTGCAATCTTGAAAATGAAATTACACTAACTCCCCACCATTCTTGATCGAACGGCTCGCAATCTTTCGATCAAGGATGGGGGTTTAAAAAAATTTTTTTTGGGAAAAAAAAAAATTTTATATATAAAATAAAAAAAAATATATATATATATATTTTTTTTTTATTTACTTTTAAATAAGATTAGATTAGATTAGATTAGATTAATTAGTTTTAGCGGGTCACGGAGGTTTATTTCAGCCTCTACCCAGCACTGCCAGCTTCAAGCTTGCGCCCTATGCACCGGCTCTGTAGCTCACTCCATTTTCTGTCGACGTCACCAAAAAATGGTGACGTCGCCATCTGACAGGGAGACTCACCCAGGTACTCCATTGATCAGGGTCTAGTGATCCGGCGCCGTCCTTTCTGGGGAGGGGGAAAAGTAGCCTCCCGGAATCTCCTTCAGGTCCCCAAGCTCTACTACAAGCTTCCTCACTTTCCTTCTAGTCCTGAAGTTTGACTCCTGATTCTGCGGCTCTGGTCTTCTCGTCTTTATGAGAGGTAAAAAAACCTTGTCGTGGTATCCCGACCAAGGTAAAAAACCCACCCTGGACACAATATCCAGGCCCCGTTTACTTCTTAAACCCGTAGTCCATAAGGGTACAGGAGAAGGACGGGTCGGATGGCTCGCCATTTTAATTGTGTGTTTTTAAATAAGAGGGTTAAGAGTATTTAATAATTCTTTTTACAGCAAAAAATTGAATTAATTTCATAAAAATACAGTTTTTAATATTTTGATTATATTAGTTACCACTTTAAACTGTTAAAATTTTAATTTATTCCTAATTGAATTAAAAATTATTTTTTTAAAATTTTAAAGAAATCTCTATTTATTAGATTATTGAGTTTTTTAAGCCTAGGCTAATGACTAAATCACTTCAGATAGTTGACTGTGTAGCTTTATGTCGTCTCAAAGCTTCTGAAAACAACTTCATTATGTATATCTTCCCAAGCTTTTGATAGCCAATATATTTTTATATATATAAAAATTTGCATGATATGAAAATCGTTCGATCAAGGATGGGGGTTAATTTTCCCAATTTTTAGGAATTTTTACAGTCAATCGTTCGATAAAGGATGGGAGGGGAGTAAGAAGCGAAATTAAGAGGCTTCAAGAGAATTTTGAGAGTGAAGTTCAAAAGAGCCTTGAACTCAAAGAGAAAATTAAACTATTAGAAAACGAATTAGAGCAAATATTAGAAAATTATGAAAGTGCTAAGAGCAACGAATTGGATACGAAAGAAGAGCTTGAGCAAGAAGAAAATATTGAAAACGAGATTTCTCTTAAGGAACAAATTCATGAGAAAGATATTATTATTAACGAGCTAGAACAAAAAATTCATCAACTTGAAGTAGAAATATTAAAATTGAAAGAAAGCTTTCAGTCAAAAACCGAAAAACCGCCAACATCATTTACAATAATAAATGAGAAGCTCAGAGAGAGAATACTAGTTGCAGAAGAGACAGCTCAGCTTAAAAAAGAAATCGTCTCTAAAGATGAGGAAATAAAAACACTCGAAAAAAACCTTGAAGAATGCAAGCGAAAGATACGAAATAACGAAAATGACTTAAAATTTTTGTTTGAAAGCAAGAGCCCCTCAAATATTTCAACAAATAAGTCTAAAAAGAGTCTTTCACCAATAAAAGCACATACTCCAAGAGGAATTCGATCTCGAAAAATTATTAAGCGAACCTTATCTCCTGATAAATCGTAAACATGGCAAAATTAAATTAATTTTTGCATAATAGCTTTATTTTTATACGAACAAGCAATTACTAAGCGCTCATTTTTCGTGAATTATTTCACCATTTGTATAAAAACTGCAAAAAATCTCTAATTAATTTGATTCCAAAATTATGATTGGCAGCAAAGAAGAACTGGCTTCTTGGGAAGAAGAAACAAGAGCGTGTCCTGAATCAGACCAAGAAGAGGAAATCAAAGAGTCACTTCCTCCAATAAAATCCAAGCTTAAAACTAAGAGAAAGGTTATTGTGAACGTTTCCTGTACAAAATACGATGTTGTTAAAAGAGTCGCGAAAGAGTTTTTTCAATGAAGGCTCGACTTCAAAGACGATAATCTTAACTGAGACCTTTTCTGAACTGACGGTGCTGTCCAGCCAGAAAAACTCTTACAAATGAAGCCTTACCAAAAAATAAATCACTTTCCTGGGATGTATTCTTTAGCGAGAAAAAACTTTTTAGGGAAGAACCTCAATAAAATGAGAAAACTTTACTCTGAAGACTATTGTTTTTATCCTAAAACTTGGCTTATACCTTCAGAGCTCTCAGACTTAAGAAACCAAAGCCTAATCTCCAAAAATAAAGTTTACATTGTCAAGCCAGAAGCATAAATAAAATGGCTTTTGCTTCAAGCGAAATTAGCTCCGCTAATTTTCTCCCACTCAAACATTTTTATTTATGGGGTTGGGTTTTACCTCGAGAACTTCTGCACAGCAATAGCGGTTTAACTTTGGAGATAACCAAAGAACTGCTCCCAGTGCGATCAAGAGCTCAGGTCTTTACCCCCTCAGCACGCCCGAGGAGGTGGACCCCTAGGCGGAACACGCGCAGGAGCTGAGTCGGAATAAAGCCATGGCGGCAGCGAAGCCCGTCGAAGCCGGAACGCCGTACTTACCCCGTGCCCTGATATTAAAGTGAGTCGATCCAGCGGTCCATGGACCCGACACGTGGATAAATATGGTGGCAGCTCTGGATTTGGCTACCCCGTAGTGGATGTAAAGCGTTATAGCTAATTAAGATTACATTGTCAAGCCAGAAGCAAGTTGCCAAGGAAGAGGAATTTTTCTCACAAAAAATCTGGATGTTTTTGAACAAGATGACCGATATGTTGTACAAGAATATCTGAAGCATCCATTTTTAATCGAAGGCTTGAAATTTGACTTGAGACTTTATGTCTTGGTTGCAGGCTGCGATCCTCTTAGAATATATTTGCATAAAGAAGGGCTTGCAAGATTTGCCACAGAATCATATGTAAAACCTTCAGGTCAGAATTTAGCTAAACAGTGTATGCATTTAACTAATTATGCAATTAACAAGAATAGTGAAAATTTTGTGTTCAATGAAGACCCTGCAAATGATGACATTGGACATAAGCGAAGTTTGACAGCAACTATGAAGTTGCTTGAAGAGATGGGGCATAATACAGCAAAACTGTGGGAAGATATTAAAGAAATTATTATAAAAACTCTTTGCTCTGTCCAGCCATTCCTATCCCACACTTATCGAGCTTGCCAACCCGACGATCCTTTTAATGGTATGTGCTTTGAAATACTAGGATTTGATATATTCCTATGCAAATAAATTCAAAATAATCTCTAAAGAAGAAAAATAAATCTCAAATTCATCTAAAATAAGGTAATTTTAGATAAGAAACTGAAGCCATGACTTCTAGAAGTCAACCATTCTCCTTCGTTTACTACAGATTCTCCATTGGACTGGAAAATAAAATTTCAAGTCATAAGCGAAGCAATGACACTTTTAAATATCAACACAGACAATAAAAAAATATATCTCTCGAAACAAAGGCAAGACATCTTAAAAAGAGCGCTAGGAAAAAAGAACGCCGATTTTAAAGACCAGAAAAAAGAAGAAATACTCAGAGCACAATCAAAACGAGATAGGTGAGAAAAATCGCACTTAGGAAGCTTCCAACAAATTTACCCCGATCATAAAGAAAAAGATTACGAAAAGTTTATTGAATCTGCAAAAAATATTTGAGTAGAGTCAACTGGGAGAAAAACAGCTCTAAAAAAAGAAGAAGATAGACCTCTAACAATGGAAAACAATGGAATTAAAAAAGCAGTAAAAATAACCCCAAAAGTAAAATCCGCAAATAGAAGCTCCTCTGTTGCGTATTCTCCGATTGGCAATAGTGATGATCGAAGAGCTGCTAGTCCTAATGTGTTTGAAAGACTTTCACAAATTCCAAAAAAAGAATATATAATGACAACCCAAGCTGCTCCTGACCCTTGCTTCAGATTAGAACAGTCAACAATTGATTTTAGTCCTAAGCCTCCAACACCTACTATTGACTTAGCTATATATTTAGAAAAAAATCCAATGAAACTAAAAAATAAAAAAAGACACGAGTCTCCTCGAAATGCTAGACTAGATGATATTTTAAAGGAAAAAAGAATTTTTGAAAATATGAAGCGAACACTTGGATTTCAGGAACAACCAATGCAAATTAAATCTGTCATTGCTGCAGATTTACTGGACGAAGACTTTTTATTCTCGTAATTTTTATATAGCGAAGGGAAATTTTTGATGCCCAAAATTGGCAGTTTTTCTCCTTCAATCTACCGAAAAAGACAAATCACCAATAAGAGCCTCTATAATTGAATGTAAATATGCAATAAGCTTACAAACCGTCATTAATTAATATAATGCCATTTATAGCGCAAAAAGACTATGAAAATAATTAGTTAAGAAAATCATAAAGATAGTTATTGTTTTTGATAGGAATACTAATAAACCTTCTTTAATTATTCAAAAATATTATTAATATCTGCCTATAAGTATCGATTAAGTTTTCAATAACTATTAAGCATATTGCTCAAGCCATTTCTGATATCATCTTATCAACGACATTTCTTTGATAGATTTTTGTGAAGCTAAAATAATATAAAGATGTGACAAAAGTCCAAAAAATGGTCCATGAAGATCGGAAGTGCATCAAAAGACCAGGCGAAGGAGAAGGAACTTTTCAAAGATCTTTATATGCAAGCCACAGTTCTGAATCCTGATGTCTTAAGATCTCCAGAAATTGCTTTAAAAGTTCTCAATATGCTTATATCAAATCAATCATTGGACCAAATCCAAAGTGAATTGGTTGACCTCCTAGGCTTTGACTGCATTGAAATTGTCGGGAAAATGCTTGAAAGTAGAGAAGCCATAGTCAAATCTGTAAAAGCATTAGAATCCACAAAGCCTTCTGATAAAGGGAAATTTTCGTCCAATATCATCATCAAAAAAGAAAGCGAAATCCAATTTGAAAAAGAAATGAGAAAAGGGGCAAAAAGAAACAAAAACACTACAAAATCTGACACTGGGATTCTGCTTGATTTAGGATTTGATGAGAATTTCTTGAAGAATGAAGAACAGATTAAAGAAGACGAAGATATGGAACAGTTTACAAGCCAGCTTGAAGGGGGAAGCGGATTTCAAAACAAGGCTCTGCCAAGCACCCTTTATGAAATCCAAGAAAAGTACTATACTGAACAAGTTCTGCCTGCAATTCCAAAAGCTGCAGTGTCAAAAGATCATTTGATCCCTATTGAAGCTTTTGAAGAATGGTGCAGGCCAGCATTTGCAGGGATTTCCCACCTGAATCCGATGCAAACCCAAGTGTTTGAAGCAACTTATTTTACAAATGATAATGTCCTTGTTAGTGCTCCAACTGGAGCAGGCAAAACCAATATAGCCCTGATGGCTGTTATGAGGGTTCTTAAGAACGCTATGGATGAAAACGGGACTATTTCAGAACCATTCAAGATTATTTATGTCGCTCCAATGAAAGCACTTGCTGCAGAAGTGACTGACAAATTTAGCTCTCGACTTAAATATTTAGGAATCTTTGTGAGGGAGCTGACAGGAGATATGCAGTTGACAAGGATTGAAATGGCAAGAACCCATATTATAGTGACAACTCCTGAGAAGTGGGATGTGGTTACTAGGAAATCTGAGTCCATAGCTCCTCTAGTTAAACTGCTAATTTTGGATGAAATCCATCTTCTAGATGATGAAAGAGGCCCAGTTCTTGAAAGTTTGGTTGCAAGAACTCTTCGACAAGTTGAATCATCCCAGTCATCCATCAGAATAGTTGCTTTGTCTGCAACTTTGCCAAACTATTATGATGTCGCTTCATTTTTGAGGGTTCCAGATAATGCATGCTTTTATTTTGATGGAAGCTATAGACCGGTTCCACTTGAGCAGAGATTCATATCTGTGAAAAGTGTTGTAAATAAACAGCAGCAGCAAAATATGATGCTGGAAGCCTGCTATGACAAAGTTTTAGAACAGGTCAGAAATGATCAACAAGTCATGGTTTTCGTGCATTCAAGAAGAGACACAATTAAAACTGCAGAAGGGCTACTTAACCTAGCTGTACTCAATGGAGAAGTTGGGGATTTTGATTGCTGCTATTCTTTGGCATCTAAAAAAGAAGTAGAAAAGAGTAAAAACAGAGATCTCAGAAATCTTTTTGAGCATGGGTTTGGAATTCATAATGCTGGTATGCTGAGAAAAGATAGAAATTTGACTGAAAAATTGTTTAAGGAAAAGAACCTTAAAGTGCTTGTGTGTACAGCTACTCTGGCATGGGGTGTTAACTTGCCAGCACATTGTGTAGTTATTAAAGGAACTGAAATTTATGACACAAATGCTGGAGATTTTAGAGATATTGGAGTTTTAGATGTGCAGCAGATTTTTGGTAGAGCAGGGAGGCCGGATTATGATACTTCTGGTTTAGCAATTATTATCACAACAGTTCAGAAAATGCCAAAATATTTGGAAATGCTTGTTTTTCAACGTCCTATAGAAAGTAAGTTTTTAACCAACCTTAAAGAGGGTGATGTTAAATAAAATGCACAGTACTTTTTACAGCCCCCTCCCAAGACCTATAAAAATGACTGTAATTTAAAAAATGGTTTTTTGGTAAAACAGTATACTTTTTGAATTTTTCCAAACAATTTGTTGAAAATGTAAACAGCGTTTTTACCAGCAAAGCCAAATTATACTTATTAATAAAAAAGCACTCTAATTTGGAATGTATAAAAGTATCAAAAGCTGCGCATTTATATTTTACTCTGAATTAATCCTTTTGCAAGCAATATTAATGCAGTCTGCGATTAATTTTGACTAATTTATGTTTTCTTTGGTATTTTTTTTCTAATTATCCTCTTATAACAGATTGCTGATATTCTTGTGAAAGATCTGCCTAATTCTGTAATAAAATAAATTTGAACTTATTATTGTAATTTCTTAAAGATAAATGAAGCAATTTCTCCATCACTTATTTGTGGTTTTTTTTATAATTTCTAAATATTGATCAGCTTTATTTTTATATATTTATTGTAATTTTCCATAGCAAACTGGTATTTTCTTTTTGAAGGATCTTGCGAAATTTTTCATCGTTTATCTTCCAAATTTAAATGAACAATACATCTGGATCAGCACAAATGGTACCTCAGTACCCCCACCCCTTATATAGGCAATAATGTAAATCTTATGTATTAATTAGAAAGAGAATTTGAGATAATAGTAAAAGCATATTAAAAATGTTCAAAGATCATCTTCTATAAAAATAAGTAAACAATAAAAAATATTTGAACTCCTAAGATTATAGTGACTAATAGGGGATATAAGGGAGGATATTATTATTAACCCTGCCCAGCACAACTTATTAAATCAAATATTCAGGTGATTAAATATATAACCCAAAACCACTATCTATTGATTATGACTATTAAGATTAAAATTTCAATTGAAAACGCTGCTTTTAATATTGGCAAGACAATTATCCAAGCAAATAGGCAGAAGGCAAACTATTAAAGAAGACTTTAGTTAAAGATTGAATAATTAGGAAGAAAGCTTAATAATTATGCTTTATCTCCATATATTTCCTTTAACAGTAAATCCTTTTTATATTTATGTTTAGTATGAATATAGTTAGCTGTTATTATATTCGCATAGCTAATTAGTATAATACTAGCCAGCAATAATTTTATATTTATAAAATATTATACTTCAGTCAGCCATCTCTCTAGATATTATATGGTTATATAGTGGTTCTAGTAAATAGATATCAAATGATAAATAGAATCAAATATGTAAATCCCGATTTTTTCCAAAATATAGAAAGAAAATAATATAATCACCAATTATGCATATGGAATGCTATGCTTATTCTGAATATGCGCAAGCTCTAGTATTTTTGGGATTTCTCATAAGTAAGGAATAATAAGGTTCCTAGTTTTCCAAGCTAATCTAGAGTTACTTAAATCATTAACTCCTTCATCAGCCTTCAAAAGTCTATAATTGCTATGTGCTCTCCTTTTAAATTTTTTTTATAGTTTCTTCTTTGTAAGTAATTCAGGCTATCAGCTTTGGGAGGATAAATTTTTCTCATCTTTCTGTTCTTCTGATAGCATGCTAACATATAAATGATCGTATATTAGAGTTTTTTTATCTAAGAAACCATATACATTATTAAATGGATAAATAATTATATATTCCATCTAAATTCGGCTTTCAATGCGAAAGAGGAAATAAGCCATTCTCTCTTTTTCATTAATTTTCTGTTTTTCTATGATCTCTTTTTATGAATATTCTTACCGAGTAAATTTTATTTGTAATATGAAGCAAAATTTGATATAGCTCATCTTATAATAAAATAGTTAATAGACTTTCTTTTATTGAATTTGGCAGGACTCTTCAAGTTTATTTTCTACATTGGCATATTAAAGGGTGCAATATAAAAAAATTCTTGAATTTAATGGATTGCTTGAAGTTAAATTCAATGATGGTTTTTGCAAGCAAAAATCATAATGATTGTTGTGAGAAAAACAACAAGTTTAAAGTTATTTCTTGAGTTTGATTAGTTTCTATTGACTTTTTATTTTTAGGGAAATGGATCGCCATCTGAGGCGAAAACTGCAACAATCTGCCGGAAACGGAATGTGAGAGCGTGCATGTGCTTCAGTGGATTCTATTCCAGATGATATGTTTGATAGGTATGTTGACGCAGGATATCTTGACGATGTCCTCGATGATGTTATGGATTATTTTATGGATGACTATGAAGATGAAGAAGAGTGGCTTGATGAGAGAGTAAGTGAAGATGAGCTGGTTGAAGAAAGTGATAGAGAAGATTTAGCGGAAGTTGAGGCTCAGGAGAATTTAGCTATCAAAATTGGATGGAGATATAATGGGAGGATCAGAATTGATACAAGACTTGCATAAACTTTAGGAATGAAGGAGTGTCATTAAAAACCAAAAGCCAAAGAAAAGTAAAAAATTCAAAAAAGCAGAAAAGCAAAACATTCAGGAAGAGCCAAAAAAACCAAAAAAAAGCCCAAAAAGAATAAAAGCCATAAAAATTAACTTTGCCCAAAAATCAATAAAAGCCAAAAAGTAGAAAAAGTTAAAAGAGCAAACAAGGAAAAAAGACCAAGCGGGACAAAAAAGGATAAGAAAGTAATTGAGCCAAACAAGGTGAATGCAGGTGGAAATTTAGAGACTCGAGAACTTGAAGATTTTGTTAGGGTAATTTCGAACGTCAAGGTGGAAACACCAATAGTGGTGGGAAAAAAACCTGGAAAAGGAGGAAAAAGCACAAACAGTTCGGTATAAATCGCTTATTTTTGGTGAAAAAAAACCCAATTTTAAGTTCAAAAATTTGATTAAGAGCCCATAAGGGCTTAGCGATGCTGAGCATCACATAAATAATGATGATGATGATGATGATGATGATGATGATTAGTTTTTCTATTGTCCATGGTTGTGGCATAATATCAAAATATATATTTATGGCAATTCCAAATAGCTCTGATGCTACACAAAGCTCAATGTCTCCTCCTCAAAAGCCATTTCTTTTCAGTTTATTTGCGTACTCATAGAAGTTACATCGATTTTCTATTTGAATTAAATTCTCAAGCATTGGGCAATATATAATTTATAGCCTATTATGCTCATTTTATAATTCAAATTATCAAATAGGTTCTATTATAAAATTCATATTGATAATATATTATAATTCCCATCTTCATTGGTCAAAATATAATCAGCTATCATAGTTCTAATAGCCGCGTGGCCTTCTTGAGTATTTGAAAGAATATAAGAAATAGCTCGATATAAGCAATTGACGTCACCTTTAATAGGAACTAATTTAAAATTCTTATTCTTTCAATGATTTCTTTCTCATTCTGTTTTTTGTCTTGGTCATTTGAACTTAAGCTAGGCTGTTCTGGTAGTTTTAAAATCGCTTGGATCATTAAAGGGTTATTCTCATCATAATCTGAAAAGCCTGCTGAAGACTCGGAAACTGCTATTGGCATTTTTTCTGGTTTTCAGAGTCTTTCTCTTCTGATAAATTTAATTCATCAAGAATTGATATATTATTATTAATAAATGCTCATAATTATCTTTTGATTATATTTATTTCAGATCTAAAAGGTATGAGCAGTTACTATTATTTTCTTATACAACTGATTTTAATTCTTCTCCTTCAATGTTTTTTATTTCACCCTTCAATGAAAATTGCTTGTGATTATTATCAGCTTTTTATGTCCCAACTAATCTGCTTTAATTTCATCATTTCATATTTTATAGTGTGCTTTTTTCCTCTTATTTTGAAAGGCAAAAATATATAATTGTGTATCATGTTTTACATTCATTTAGGCAATATTGTTTGCTATTTATTAGTATCTAATATATACTACTTATTATAAAATCCTACTTTCTCTGCTTAAATTTGCTTATTCTTGATAGAATATAATTTTTATATTTCAAAAAGTAACTTTTGTATATTTTCCATATCAAAAACCATTTTTGAAAGTTACAATCATTTTTATAGGTCTTAGGAGGGTTTAAAAAAAGTGCAGTGCATTTTATTTAACCTCACCCTCTTAAAGATGCTCTCAATGCTGAGGTTTCTCTTGGCACCGTTACAAATTTGCAAGAAGCTATGAGGTGGCTTACTTATACCTATTTCTACGTCAGAGTTAAAAAGAGCCCTCTAACCTATGGCTTCAGTTTAGATGAGTCCAAAACCCCTCAACTACTAAGTTTAAACATAGAAAAAAGAATCATAGAAGCTTCCAAAGCCCTCAACATCTTCAAAATGGTTCGGTATGGAGAAAACAACTATACAATGTCTACCACAGCCCTAGGCAGAATTGCCTCAAATTTCTATATTAGAGCTGAGACCATTGAAGTTTTCAACGAAACTCTAAAACCAGCCCTCACAGATGATGAAATATACAGAATGTTTTGTGAATGTTCAGAATTCAAACAAATCAAGCAAAGAGAAGAAGAACTGATTGACCTTAACATCCTAGTAAACGAAGTTAGCGGGAACTGGATTGAGCTTAAAAAAGAAGATGCATGCACCACCTATGGAAAAGTAATTTGTCTGATGTATGCTTACTTAATAGGATATCCCATCGAAGCCTTCTCATTAGTAGCTGATATGGCTTATATTGTACAAAATGGAGTCAGAATCCTTAGAGGGCTCTTTGAAATCTGCATGAAAAGGTATTGGTCTTATATGGCTGAGAGGCTATTGAAAATAAGCAAAATGCTGGATAGAAGAGTGATGGACTGGATGAGTCCTTTGAGGCAGTTTTCAACATTTGGGAATTTAGGAGGCTACACTGCTTCTACAAGTTCGAGCTTCTTCCAAGGAGGATACATCTCTGATGAACTTGTGCAGAAAATTGAAAGTCTTGGCATCACAATAGAGAGAATCAAAGAATATGAATTAAATGAGCTTTCATTGCTGCTAAGGAGGGATGAGTCTGCAAAATCTGCAAAGCAATTTGCTAGTTATCTGCCTATTTTAGATCTAGACCCAACTTTGCAGCCGATTACAGGAAATATTATTAAGGTCCACCTAGAGATTTCTCCAGATTTTACTTGGAGAGAAAGGTGGCATGGACAAAGCCAAGGCTATTGAATTTGGGTTGATGATGGCCATGATATTCTGCACTTTGAGTACTTTGTTCTGCACTTAAAAGCCCTGCTTAAAGATGAGAAGCCAACAGTCACATTTGCAATTCCTATTCACAAGCAGAGAGCTGGAGACCTATTTTATATAAGATGTTTCAACGACCATTGGTATGGTGCTGACACAATTGTGCCTATAGAAATCGATCAATCTCTTCTACCAAGTGAGGAAACCCTTCATACTGAACTTCTAGATTTAAATCCTCTCCCTAAATCTGCCTTGCAAAACGCCACCTTTGAAAGCTTATACAAATTCCAATTTTTCAATCCAATTCAAACGCAGACATTCCACACCCTCTACCATCATGATACAAATGCCTTGGTAGGTGCTCCTACTGGCTCTGGAAAAACAATTATAGCAGAAATTGCAATGTTCAGAGTTTTCAGCCAAACTCCTGACAAAAAAATAATCTATATAGCTCCACTAAAAGCTTTAGCAAAAGAAAGACTGCGAGACTGGAATGTTAGGCTGGTAGGAATTGGGAAAAAAGTTGTAGAACTGACTGGAGATTACACACCTGATATAAATGCATTGAACGCTGCTGACGTATTGGTGACAACTCCTGAAAAATGGGATGGTATTAGTAGAAATTGGCAGCATAGAGAATATGTGCAAAAAGTCGCGCTGGTTGTGATTGATGAAATTCATCTGCTGGGGCAAGATAGAGGGCCTGTGCTGGAGGTCATTGTATCTAGAATGAGGTATATGTCAAGCCAGATTAACAGTAATGTTAGAATTATTGGGCTCAGCACTGCTTTGGCCAATGCTCATGATCTTGGAAACTGGCTTGGTATCGAAAAGCCTGGATTTTTCAATTTCAAGCCTTCAGTCAGGCCAGTCCCACTGCAAGTCCACGTTGATGGATTTCCAGAAAAAGCTTACTGTCCCCGCATGGCAACAATGAATAAGCCAGCTTTTAACGCAATTATGAGTTACAGCCCTAAAAAGCCAACTCTCATCTTCGTGTCTTCTAGAAGGCAAACCCGACTGACCGCTTTTGATTTAATTGCCCACTGTTCAGCACAGCTAGGCTCAAGCACCGGATTCTTACAAATTCCAGGAGAAGAAATGGACATGATAATTCGACGAATTAAAGATTCCAACCTCAGACATGCATTAATGTTTGGCATAGGTATCCATCATGCTGGGCTTGCAGAGTCAGACAGAACTACAGTGGAAGAACTATTTGCTAATGAAAGAATCTTAATTTTAGTGACGACCAGTACTTTGGCTTGGGGAGTGAACTTCCCTGCCCATTTGGTCATTATTAAGGGCACTGAATTTTATGACGCAAAGGAAAAAAGATATGTTGACTTTCCAATTACTGATGTTTTGCAGATGATGGGCAGAGCTGGAAGGCCACAGTTTGATGATAATGGAATTGTTTGTATCTATGCACAGGAAGAAAAGAGAAATTTCCTCAAGACATTTTTGTATCAGCCTTTCCCAGTTGAGTCATCTTTGGCGGATCAACTTCCTGACCATATAAATGCTGAAGTAGCGGCTGGGACACTAACTTCGAGAGCAGCTTGCATTAATTATCTTACTTGGACTTATTACTTTAGGAGGCTTACTAAAAACCCTGCTTATTATAATCTCCATGATACAACGGCAGAAGGAGTTAACGAATTCCTTACAGGTCTTAAGAAATAGAATAATGACATTGGCGGAAAACGGACTCCGAAGTGGACTTCATATGTAGCAAGTAGGCCCATCCTGATGAAACTGAAAGCAGGTCCTCTGTCTCTTTTTAAAGAGACCTTTAAGCTTGGGAATGCTTTACCGAAGAGGGAAGTTTTGTTTCTCCTCCTACGGATTTTTTCCTGTCCCAGCCATATGGGCTAGACAGGTTTTGCCTATAACATGGCCTTTTCTCATTGGGACTATCGGAGCTTCTCACAGACGGTGGTTCTGCAAGGGAGCTGCTCCTCCAGATAGGTGCTCAGGACTGGTCCCAATAAATCTGAAAATGGCGCCTCTGTCACTTTTTGCAGTAGATTGAGGATGCCTGCCGAAGAGGGAAGCTTTCTTTCTCCCCCGATAATTTTCCTGCAATGCCATTACAGAGCCGATCCCTTGAACAGGTGGTTTATGTTGGAAATTCAAAATAGCAGCATTTTGGAGCCTAAGTGGGCGATGGCTAGTAAGCCCATCCTTATGGCCAGCATAGCCTTTTAATTTGATTTAATTAACAGGTCTTATTGATTCTGTCCTAGGAAAATTAGCAGAGTCCAAATGTATTGAATTAGAAGATGGGTTTATCCAGCCTCTACCAATGGGCCATATAGCAAGTTTCTACTACGTTACACATAAAACAGTCAAAATCCTAAGCGACCAGCTGACAGGGACTGCACACTCTTTTGAAGACCTAATAAAAATAATCAGCAGAGTCCCTGAATTTTCTGAGGTTCCTGTTAGACATAATGAAGACAACTTAAACGAAGAGCTCTCCCGTCTTGTGCCGCTCCCAGTTGACCAAAAATCCCTTGATTCCCCATACACTAAAACAAACCTGCTTCTTCAAGCTCACTTTTCAAGAGTCCCACTCCCTATCATTGATTACATGACTGATACAAAACTTGTGATGGATCAATGCATTAGAATTCTGTTCGCCATGGTCGACATAAGTTCACAAGTTGGCTCACTTGAAACTACCCTCAAAATTATGACCCTCACACAAATGGTATCTCAAGGACAGTGGTATTACAACTCTTCTTTGCTGAATTTGCCTGGGATGAACCACAATAGGATTCATGCACTTTATCACTCTATTTATAATATTGAAACTTTAGCACAGCTAGTAGAGATGGACTTTAAAGAAATAAACAAAATTTTGGATGACCTCGGCTTTAATATGAGCAATACTGAAAAAAATCAGCTTTTCACAGCTTTGAAAGGCCTTCCATTAATAGGATTGGAATGGACTGTTGATGAAGGCGTCAAAGAAGAAAGCTTGTGGGAAGAAGACACACACTTTGAGCCAGGATCTATTGTACCAGTTAAAATTACAATTGAAAAAGCCAAAAAGAACATTTCGAAACGTCCTGTTTTCAATAGGACCGGAAGGATGACAGAAATTGGATTTTGGGTGATGGTAGGGTGCAAGAAAAATGACCAAGTTTTAGCGATAAAGAGATTCCAGCTGCCAAATAAGCATTTCACAAGCTTCAATCTAAATATCCAAGTCCCAAATGATCCAAATATGCAGATATACTTAATATGTGATAGCTATGTTGGCTTGGATCAACAGTATGCGCTTAAGTAACAAAAGATGCCGTTTAATTAATTTTTAACTGAAAATCTTTAGTTAATATTTTCTAATGAATCTTGCTATCGTTGATGCATCTCTAGACCAAATATTGATGATTGCTTATAAAGTTGCAGAGGCTGAAAATAAAGCTGTAGGGCTTATATTGGGGAAAGGATTTTATTCTGGAGCTTTTCATAGGCATCATGAATTTCAGAAGAAAGAAGTTTTGAAGAAAATCAAAATCAGGTTTGTAAAAAATTGTGAGGAAATTGAGAAATTTCTGATAAATTTCCATTTGAATGATGAAGAGATATCCAGTTTAGTTATAGATCTCAAAAAATATTCATTAGAAGACCAGTCAAAAATTTTATCACTTGCTAATGATGTAAAAGAATTTTTGGCGGGACCTAAAAATGTCATAGCATGTGCTCCTGGGTTTGGGAGCTTACAGGATATGTGGTTTTGCTATTCAAGATTTATGGAACAAATTTTTATTATGCAGAACACTGAAGTTTGTGAGCTGGTCTATAATTCTGGGGAGGTTTCTTTAATCAGCACAGTATCAGGAATCATTTCTTTTTCATTTAAATCTTCAAGAGAGCTAGATGAATAATAATGTATCCAAAGCCATTGCCAGCAACTTTAAAGACTCTAGCTCCCCAATTCTTGATTAAAAGATATTCATATAGTTAAGCGTGAAACCCACCCTTATCCCATTCTCAATCTAACTACCTATCAGCAGCGATTCGCAGATATTAAATAATATAATCGCTTCTAATCAATTTTAATTTGATTTCTATTATGTTTGCTAATGCATTACATATTCTATCTCTTGTGGCTAGCGCATAAATTATTAAAATTACTTTTCCAAAATTCATTTTTAATCCCCAATTAAGAGAAAGCGATCGGTTTGATTAAGGTTGGGAGTAAGCTCACATATTGAAGACAATATTTATCATCATATTAAGTTAATAGCTTTAAGATAAGTCTAGCAGTTGTAGTCTATTAATATCTGTAGCCTCTTGCTTGTTATAAGTTTCGACAATATCTTTAAACACAAACGATTTCTCTTCACTCCGCCCTTTTAAACCAAAACAATTGTTTTTCAATAGGAAAATTTTATAAGTAAAGATTCTAATTTTTATAAGATTATTTTCGACCTAATTTAAGGGAAAAGTTCAAGTAGAATATTATTTAAACGGTTTTCATACTGAATCGGTTAACTTTTTAAAATAATTATTCATAAAATAAATTAAAATTCAAAAAATATTGTGTCAATTATATTTTTTTTATTTTTTGAAATGAGAAAAATTCTAATAATTTTTTTAAATAAATCAACCCCTTTTAGTTGGAAAAAATTTTTTGTTCCAATTTAAAAAGGGGAGAGTCAGTAGGCCTGATCTCGCAAGAATTTCTCCTATGTTTTTTTGTATTAAAGCACATCTCTATACAATTCAGTGCGAAGCTTTGATTTGGCTTCAAAAATGACACTTGTGCCCCCGATACATTCTCATTTAACCGATTCACAGCTTTCGAAAATCTCTCATTTGTCGTTGTATTTCTCGAAAAATTCTGATAATGCACAACTACAAGAATAGTCACAGGAATGATAAATAAAAGTGCTAAGATTCCTAAAGCTCCAGCAATCAACTTACTGTAAAACAGGTCAAGCGGAATTATTCCATCCTCTGTGTCATCACTTCTAAGTACTTCTTGACATACATAAATGCTGAAAGCAAGTGTAACCCAGACTGTATTAATAAAAATAAAAAAGTGTCCAAGATTTCTTGCAGCTATACAGTTGTTGACCCATGGACAATGATGATCGAATTTTTCTACACATCTGTCGCAGCATTGGCAATGCCTTGATCTAGCTGGACGATAAATTCTACAGTCAGGGCAGACTAAGTGGCTTTCATATTTATCGTACAGTTGAAATAAGTTCGCGTCAACAGCGCCTTCAAGATATCCAGGATTCCTAGAGACTACACACAAAAAAAAGAATAGTGACGTTGCAAGAATGCCGCCATACACATAAGATAGGATATCACCAATATACCTCACGTTGAATAGCAAGGTTGCGACTGATCCGCCCCCATATAAGAAAAGAAAAGTCCCAACAGATATATATGCTGGCCGAGGAGGTCTTAGTGGAGGCTTCAGCCCACACTCAGACATCAAAGTTGGTGGCTTTAGCATCGCAATAAGCGTTGTGTTTTTGCTTTCTTTAGCAATATCAATAGGGATTCTTCCTTTTGCGTCCTAATTTAAAGTTACTCTTATCTTTCTGTCAGCTCCTTTTATCAATAGATTCCTCACAATCCTTGAATTTCCAGCTATAGTGGCCAGATGAAGAGGAGTGTGGCCGTCTTTGTCTCTATGATTTACTGGCGATTTCCAAGCAAGCAGAAGTGACGAAGAAATTTCACATCCCATATAGGCTGCCCAGTGAAGCGGAGTTCCTTCTTTTTCATCTAAAAGGTCAATAGATAAATTCTGCTCTTTGAAGTATGATAAAATTAAAGGTTGATCTGCCTGAGCAGCTACGTGCATAACTCCAAGCCCTTGTCTATTCAAAGCATATATATCAGCTCCAATTTCAATTAGTTTTTTGACGATATTCTATGTAGATCTTACGAGGTGGCCTCTAAATGCGGCAAAATGCAGTGGGGTGAAGCCTTCATCAGGATACGTAAAAATGGTAAACCTAAGAGCACCCGAACTCTTGACGCAATTTTCTTAATTTTATGGACAAGACGAACTGGGTGAGAAACCAGTTGAGATTCAGGTCTGATATGGGCTTATGTATTTCCGAGCAGGTTTTTTTCAGCTCCTGCAATTCGAAAGAGGTAACCTGACACGCACGTAGGAACCAGAAGAGGATATACAATTTTATATAGACGGTAAACATCAGGTTTTAAGGTGACCTTGGCGTGCCAAAAGAAAATGTTTATACTTAACCTTAAAGAGAGTTCTTGTCATACGGCCCCAGTGCCTGATATATGGAAAATCTGAATTGTCCTTATATTTTGATAGCTTGTAGGCTGATTTTCAGAAAACATTTTTATGAGTAATAGTCATTAATTTGGTAAACCAAATTTAATCTGGTTTACCAAATCTGGCCGGAAAATGAAAAATAAAATGGCATTAACTTAAAAATTAAAACTCTAATTCCTCTTGGTGCGGTTTGATTGGAAATGTGATATTTAAGGAAATTATAAGTGAGAAAGAGTGCTTCATTTTGCACTCTTTGGACTTGAGCACAAATTCATACTTTTGAAATATTTTTTAACTTTATTATTTGCCATAAGTTAATGCCATTTTATTTTTATTTATTAACCAATTATTTCGCTTGAAAAATTAATTTCAGATTTGGTAAACCAGATTAAATTTGGTTTACCAAATTAATGACTATTACTCATAAAAAATGTTTTCTGAAAATCAGCCTACAAGCTATCAAAATGTAAGGACAATTCAGATTTCCATATATCAGGCACTGGGGCCGTATGACAAGAACTCTCTTTAAGGTTAAGTATAAACATTTTCTTTTGGCACGCCAAGGTCACCTTAAAACCTGATGTTTACCGTCTATCTAAAATTGCATATCATCGCATTACTAACTCCCCCCCCTCCGTGAGTGAACAAAAAAATTTTGTTCACTCACGGAGGGGGGTTAATTTTTTTGTTTTAAAACAATTTATATATAAATTTTATAAAAAATATTTTTTTTCGAAATTTAAAAAAATCCTAATTCGCAAGTATTGGAAAGCAAAAATTAATTTAATTTATAAATTTTATGTTTTAAAAAAGCAATTCGTTCAAAATTAAACAGAATTAGCTCTATATTTCATTATAGTAATTATCATTTATATATCAAAAGTTTTTTCCATAAAAAATTTTTGTTCACTCACGGAGGGTGGGTTTTTGGGCAAAAAATAGGGATTTTTCTAATGGTTTTGTTCACTCACGGAGGGGGGGGGAGTAAGGGTTGCAGCCTGGGCCATGGATTAAGGCTTTTTCCTATCGCTACTAACTCCCCCTCCGTTAGCGATTGTTCACTTGAGGGAGGTTAATTTTTTTGTTTTAAAAAAAAAAAAATATTATAGTAAAATTTTTTTTCCGATATGTAAAAAAATCCCAATTCGTAAAAATTGGAAAACAAATATTAATTTAATTTGTTAAATTTATGTATTAAAATGAAAGTGGCTTAAAATTAAACAGAATTAGCTAGAGATTTCATTATACTAATTATCACTTATATAACAAAATATTTTTTTTTAATAAAAAAATTTTGTTTCGCTCCCGAGGGAAAAAATAGGGTTTTTCCAATGGCTTTGTTTACTCCAGCAAGTATCCAACACCCATTAGACTCCTGACTTTCTCCCTGAATCAAGCTACTTCTGAATCGCTAGAGAGGGCTGTAGAAGTTCATAGTTCTCCCACTCAACATTGGAGCCGCGAGGCAAGCAGGAGGCATGCTCAGTTCACGGTAGTCCAGATTTTCATGCTATCAGGGTCTAGAAAAGGAGTAAGGTGGTGTCAGAGGCAACTTGCCAGCCAAGTCATCTCAATCGATCAACTATACCGACTGCGGATTTCGCAAAGTGGATGAATCCACAAGAGTCCTTTGTGACTGCATAACCAATATGGCCACACCCATCTACTAATTAAAATTAAGATTAAGAAGCCTTCATCAGTTTTCATGTTGGCTCAATCTGATAGGTGCTGACAAGCCTGACTTCCGTAGACTTCTTTAACCTAATTGAAGCTTACATATTCTACCAAAAACTGAATAACTGCATAATTTCCATTTAGACTAGCTATGTGAAGAGCTGTGTATCCACGAGAGTCATAGATTGTGAAAGGTTCAATTCTACTTCTTTGTAAAATTCGATAAATCTCAATTGGCTCAGCTTTATAAATTGATGCTAAAAATTGCTGAGGTGCAGACATTAATAATCAATTATATCCGATTTATTATTATTTATATAAATTTCAGTGCCTTTATCAAATTATTTTTTGCAAAAGAACTTATGTAAAAAAGTTAACTTATCTCCTCGCTTGTAGAGAGAAGAAATTTTTGTTTTAAAAATTTTCATAAGATTTTTTTCAATTCTAATTTGTAAATTTATGAAATTAATAATGTGATTAAATTATAAAAAAAATATATTTAGAATATGAGCTGTTAAATTTAATAGAGCTAGAGATATTATTATAATAGTTATTATATGCAATCTTTTTATATTAATTAACTGCTCATGAGCATAATTTTCCAAAAATATAGGATTTATCCAAGCATTTTACTATCTTTAAGGAGGAATTAGGGTCTCCATGTAATAACATTGATAGCTCTATCAGCAAATCTCTTAATGATTTCAGCATCATTTTCTAGTAGCTCTCTCAGCCTATCTAAAGAATTCTGAAATTCGAGCTTTGCAAGCGGATGCTCAGCTACGTTTGCTATAAGCTGAATTGCATTAAGTCTTATCTGCAAGCTCTCATCATCCAGCATCAAAGCAATTCTCTCAAGATACTGCCCTTCAATCAGTTCTACTTTGGCTGTTTTTTCTATTGTAAGACATGCTAATGCCAGCAAAGCTGAAGCCCTGACCTCTGAAATGCTATCAAATAGCAACTCAGCAAGAGCCCCCACACATCCTTGCTCTATAACTCTTTTCTTTCCTGGATAAGCAAACCCAATTGCTGCAAGCAATTCACAAGAAAGTCTTCTGAGCTCGCTGCTTACCGATTCACACAATTTTTTGACTCTACTAATAATTGGCGTATTCAAAGCTCTAACTTGGCCTTGCTCTACTCCTAAAAGTTGTTGTATAAGTCTTAAAGTCAGAACCAAAATTCTTTCAGTTTTTTCAGAGATTAGCTTATCTACTAGAATTTCCAAAGTTCCTGCATTAACCACTCCTTCACAGCCTTCTCTTTGTTCGCTCAGATATAGCATGGCTTCATAAGCATTGCTTCTTATTTTTTCTATAGAATCATCAAAAAGAACTGCCAAATCTTTCACGATATCTTCACTTATCAATAGTCTTTTCCCACATGAAACTTTTGCCATTTGGATGAAGATTCAGGAAGCTCTTTCCCTGATTTCGTTGTTTGTTTCTTTTAATTCGACACGAGTTGTGAAGGGCAGGTCACTATCAACTGCTGATGCAATTTCATAAGAATCGGTTAACATTTTTTCAATTATTTATTATTAATCTATGCTAATTAGAGTGAATCTAAACATTTTTACTGTTGCCGTAATTCTATTTTAAATAGGAAATAGGATAGCAGCTAATCACTAGAAATGCTTTTTTATTGTACTAAGATATAAGAGATTCCTCCAGATTTCAATACAGCCAGGCCCATTGGCTAAGATGTCTTCTCTGCATTCCATTCTGACAGGAGCTCCGTTCTGATTGAGTAAAATAAGCTTAGGAATTCCGCTTATCCCAAATCTCTGGAAAACTGCTTCTGCTCTTCTTTGATCAAAGTTCATTGCAACCCAAGGAACATTGCGAACTATATTATTGAATTCATCCACTTTTTTGTCTCTGCTGACAAAGACAATTTCCATAATTTTCCCACTTGAATTTACTGCTCGATAGAAATCTATAAGTCTTGGTAGAAACTGATGGCATGTAGGACACCATGATGCAGATGCAAGTACTAAAACAATTCTATAGTTGTGTAGTGTGCTTGTCCTCACTACGCCTCCTTGCGAAATTAGGTTGACACCAAAAATATCTTCCATCACAATTTATTAATATGAAATTCCTTTCTTTTATTTTATAAATACAAGCTATTTTTAAATCAATATCATTGTGCTCTATTTTTAATTTATTATTTAAATAATGGAAACTTCATTTGGAAGGCAAGTGAAAGCTATCCTAAATATCGATCTTAGCAAGCCTTCAGTCAGTGATTCTTTAAATTCATTATCGTCACTCACAGACTCTTATCCCCTCCAAAAAGACTTAAAATCACTTCTAAAGCGGCGCAGTCTCCACACATACAAATGCTTTATCGAAGACTTTAAGCCCATCATTCAACAAATAAAGAATCTCGAAACAACACACAATAACTTAATTGAAAACCTAGAAACAATAAGCACAGAAGTAAACCGCTGCATCGAAAAAACAGATCATGCAGTCAGGCAAGGCAAAAAATTGCAGCAAGAATTCCAGCACTACGAAAAAAGACAAGGCATATTAGACTGTGTAATGAACAAAGTCACTTTATCAGAACAAGAAAAAGTCATTTTGACCAGCCCTGAAAAAGAGCTTGACGAATCTTTTTTTAATGCTCTAAACAAGCTGCAAACTTTGAGCGAAACTTCGTTGGTATTAGATACCAATGACTCAAGGCTTCTCAAATTTTCATTAGATGATTATATATCAGAAATTCAAGAAGCGGCTTATGAAAAACTGTTTAGGTTTGTCCAGCAGCAATGCAAAATATTACAACAAGAAAAGGTTGAGGTGCTACCTGGCTTTTATTCGGCGATTTCCCATTTGAAAAATAGGCCAGTTTATTATAATCACTGCAGAAAAGAGTTAATTAAGTCAAGGCAATATTATTTTTTAAGGAGATTTCGAAAGACTTTGACGAGTGGTGAAGAAGCGATTGAAAGACATATAAGTGACCCTCCACTGTTTATAGGAGAATGTCTTGCGTGGATTCACAGCACTTTAATTTCAGAAAAACATCTAATTGAAGGATTGCTTGGAAATATTGAAACTCTGACAGCCGAAGGAGAAAATCTGCAAGAGTCAACAATAATTGATAAAATAGCGGACCCTTCAGTGAATGACCTAAAGGATTTTGTAGAAAAAGCAATAAATCAATGCAGCTTACTGGACAGTTTTCATTCTTTAAGGATCATAGCTTTTTATATCAGAAATTTTACAGATACATCAATTTTGTCATTTGCTAGCATGATAATTAAAAGCTTGTATGAGATCAGCACACTTTGTGAAGAAAAGCTTGGACAAAGAGTGCTGCAGTCCTTAACACATATAAAGCTTTTCAGCATAAGCACTGATTTGCAGGTCCCTAGAGCTTTTATGGAAAGATTCACTGAGTTCTGTCAACTTCTTAAGGTTATTGACAGCAATCGCGAATTTCTTCCTTTTTACCAAAATCTATATAGCTCTAGCCTCCTTTTGGATCTGACTATCTCAATGTCTCCTGACATCAATCGGAATTTGGTTTAACAAACATTTGTTGGTAAACCCAATTCTCTAGATGATAAATTTACAATAAGGAATGAATTTGCCGCCTGGGAGCTGCTTCACCAACAAATGTAGGTAGAAACCAACTTCCCAATCGAACGTCAGGAGACATCAAATAGTCTGAGCCAAAAGGAGGCTCGGGCTATACAAAGATTTGATTACAAAGTCAGTTGAGTTTTATAAAGAAGAAGCGAAATCTGCATTTGACACAGCAAGAGCTGCAGTTCTCATGATAAACATTTTGAATTTCATAAAATTTGCATTGAGTGAGTACGATTTTGCAGTTAATGAGCTGCAAGAATTAGACGAAGACATAGGGCTTGATGCGGAAGATTTGATCAAGGCTTCCATTAAATCAATCATTGAGCAATATAATTTATTCCCCTTTTAAATAATATTTTGCTTGCACTTTTTCAATTAAACCAGGTCAAAACAAATTTTATTAAAATTAGTATTTTCACTTATAAAATTTGGGTTGACATGAATTTACAACAATGTTGTAAATTACAGTAAATTTTGCTCCTATAAAAGTGACTGTAAAAAATTTTTTTTTCAAATTTGCATGAAAAAACAACATTGGAAAAAAAAAATTTTTTAAAAACGTACATGAAAAAACAACATCATAAAATTTTTTACTCGTTTTTCCATGAAAAAACAACATCCAACAAAAAGTATGAAATCGTTAATTTATAATATTGAAAAGAGAAATCGCTAAATAAAATTGAGGATAAATACTAGATAACTTATTAATTATTAGTCTATATAATAAAGATCAAATGAGTTAAGAAAATATATTGTATAGAAAATTCCTGGGGATAGCGCGGAATACGCTATCCCCAGGACCCAACCGGGATCGGATCCCACATGGAACGAGGGTTCCATGTGTGGATCCATTTTTCACACGTGAAAGTAAATATCTCACATGTAAAAAATGGATCCACACATGGAACTCCCGTTCCATGTGTGAATCCGATCCCGGTTGGTCCTGGGGATAGCGTATTCCGCGCTATCCCCAGGAATTATCTATACCCCAATCAGAGCTTGATTTTGCTATTTAAAATTTTTATGCTCCAAAAAATTGCATGAAAAAACCCGGAAATTTTTTTTAATTTATGTGATGTGTATGCAATAGAGCATTCAAAATAATGTTTAATAACTGGTATATACTCTTCTAGCAACTATATCTTTTTCTTTTAAAATTAAAAGAGCATTATTCCTTACAAATAATATAAGTAATGTTTAAAATAAAAAATTAATCGCCTTAAAAATTTGCATGAAAAAAACCCAGAACTTAAATTTTAAAAAAAAAAATCGCATGAAAAAACAACATATGGTTTTTTGAAGAGCCAAAAATTGCATGAAAAAAACGCGTAATGGATTTTTATTTTTTAAAAATTGCATGAAAAAACAACAATTAATTTCTAAAGAAATTTAATGAATTTTTTAATAAAAAAATGGAATTGAGGTTTAGCAGCTTTGATAATAATGAATATTTGTTTCTAAACAATTTTAACGCGATTTCTAGCATATCTGTAAATATATTACATAATTTATCTCTCATCTATGGCAAATACATTTTTAAAGCGAGTTACAAGATAAATATGCCTAATTTAGCTATATTATCTTCACTTTAAACATAAATCTAGCATAAATTGCTATAAAAAACGGGTAAATCACAAAGAGATCAATAATTGTTTTGTATCATTGATTTATTTTTTATTTTATTAATTTTTATTTATTTATAAATTAATTTTTCTCAAATTGATCAAAGATAAAAGCTTTATATTTAGAGATTGCGTGATAAATAGCATTGGAACTGCATATGAACTAATATACTTCGATTTCTATCCACGCTAATATGCAATGTATTTGAAAAAAATATAATTGCAACATATACTGTATCCACCTTATAGCTTCCCATAGGGTTAATTTATCACTTCTCAATCGATTTTTATCGATTTCAAATGTTTTAGATTAGCTAAATTTATTTTGCATTTCAGGCAAACTTGAGCTGACTTGTCAAATCATTTTTGACAAGGCAAAAATGGTCGAAATTGTCAATAAATTATCAAAAAACTAAGGGCATTCAAAGGACAATCAATATCAGTTTGACTTATATATTTATTATAAATTTAAATAGATATTTAAAGTTTTAATAAATAGATAAGCATTATAAACGACCTAAACACATTAATTTAACATTATCAGTGATAGATATATGTAATGATATTGAAATATTAAACCACCATTAATTTTTTTTGCGATATACCCGTTTTTATAGCAATTTATGCTAGATTTATGTTTAAAAGTGAAGATAATATAGCTAAATTAGGCATATTTATCTTGTAACTCGCTTTAAAAATGTATTTGCTATAGATGAGAGATAAAGTATGTAATATATTTACAGATATGCTAGAAATCGCGTTAAAATTGTTTAGAAACAAATATTCATTATTATCAAAGCTGCTAAACCTCAATTCCATTTTTTTATTAAAAAATTCATTAAATTTCTTTAGAAATTAATTGTTGTTTTTTCATGCAATTTTTAAAAAATAAAAATCCATTACGCGTTTTTTCATGCAATTTTTGGCTCTTCAAAAAACTATACCAGTTATTAAAAACATTATTTTGAATGCTCTATTGCATCACATCATGCAAATTAAAAAAAAAATTTCCGGGTTTTTTCATGCAATTTTTTGGAGCATAAAAATTTTAAATAGCAAAATCAAGCTCTGATTGGGGTACAATATATTTTCTTAACTCATTTGATCTTTATTATATAGACTAATAATTAATAAGTTATCTAGTATTTATCCTCAATTTTATTTAGCGATTTTCTCTTTTCAATATTATAAATTAACGATTTCATACTTTTTGTTGGATGTTGTTTTTTCATGGAAAAACGAGCAAAAATTTTATGATGTTGTTTTTTCATGTACGTTTTTAAAAAATTTTTTTTTTCCAATGTTGTTTTTTCATGCAAATTTGAAAAAAAAATTTTTTACAGTCACTTTATATAGGAGCAAAATTTACTGTAATTTACAACATTGTTGTAAATTCATGTCAGCCCATAAAATTTCCTATTAAAAAAAATTTAAAAGGGATTTAAAGTACCCCAAAAATGAAAATTTTACTTATGTTTTGTTCCAGTTAAAGGAGGAGTTAGCTGAAAATTTTTTACCTAGAAATTTACAGACTTTTGCAGAAAGTGTGCTGACTGAAGGAAAATTGGCAATGCCTGTTATAGATTCTCTGCAGGATATGAATATAAGAAATAAGGTAAAAAGCATAGTCGCAAGCTCAATTTTGGAAACTTATAGAGGGCTATTAGAAAAGGTTAATGAAAATGACAGACCATCTGCAATTTTAGAACAATTGGTTAATCTTTAATAATTTCAAATACATTATCTAATTCTTATAGCTGTTGGATGCCTAGGCGCGCAGTCCCAAGAATCTAAATTTTCAATTCCACTTAGCTGTTCCCAAGCCTGTTTAATGGCATAAGTCGTTTTTTCTCCTGACTTCGAGTCTTTCAAAGGTTCTCCTTTATCCACTTTCACTATCCACTTTCTCAGTGATTTGTCAGAAATCATATACTTTTCTTCAATTTCGCTAGTTTTCAGGGTTTTGTCCTTGTAATCTTTTACAGCTTGATACTTTTCGTCTGCATGTATAATTCTCAACTCAACTGGTTCTTCATCAATCATGAGCCTAGAGTAAATCCAATTGATGATTGTATCCTTTTTTATATTAAACAGCAGTTCAAGATCGTCTTCGTCCAATTTCTTTGCTAAATAATCACTGATTATATAAGGCTTCACTGAGTCAGGATACGGATCAAGCTGATATGGAGCTTCTTTTGGCTCAGAAAATAAATTGATTCACAGCTGAACCACATCAGGGCCCACTGCAAAGTCTTGTTGGACTTGCTCTTTTGATATCTTTGCTTCTTTAAGGTTGCGGACTATATTGTAGCATATTAGTGGGGTAAAAATGTATCCGTTTTGTGGCTTGCACTGCTCAAGGTAGTAGCAGTTATCAAAGTGCTTAAGCTTTCCTGTATGAGGCATGGCAGGCTCTTTAAAAATATAACATACAAGTTCTAATGGGATTCTAAATACTGCAGCTGTAGAGCGAGGGCCATGTTTTTTGCAAGTTTGGAAGATAAGCTCAGAAATAACCCTCATAAAGCGAGAAGGACCTTGGTATAAATCTGAAGGGCATCTAGGGATATCCTTTATAGGGTCAAGGATGATTCCATTTATCGTCCCTTCACATTTAGAAGGAGGAAATTTGTCGCCAGTTGACTCATTTTGGACTTCAAGAAGAACATTTTTATAAGAAATCAAGTCTTGCAATTGGCTTTCAGATTTCGGGTTGCATCCTAATGGAGAATCATCATCAAATAAATCAGTAATTTTATCCTTTATCTTAGATTGCTTTGTAGGCTTTTTCTCTTCTGAATTTATTTCTGCTTCTTGCTTTAGGATTTTCTTTTCTGGTGGAGGGGCTTCTGTATCTTGTTTTGGTCGCTTTTGGGGAAGGGTGAAAGGCTGCTGGACACTTGTGACATAAAGCTTTGAATCACTGGGGTATTCTTCATAGAAGAGATCCAGAGCCATTTGTGTAGAAATTTTTAACTTGTCTCCTGATCTGTCTATGTAGTAAAAGCTGGGATAGGATTCAAATGTTGGAATTAAAGTGAAAATTGCTTCAATTAGGTCTTCATATTTTGAAGGGACTGGGGAGAGCTTATATAAGTCGTCTTGATAACTTATTTTTAGTGACACTGGGATTTTATTCATTTTAAGCCCCCTTTAATTTGAATAATCATAGAATCTTTAATTAAGAAGGGATCTGTGTGTAGGGATACTGATAGGGTGATCAGTGCGGCCAGTAATTGATCATTTCCAACCAAAATGTTGGGATAGGGTTAGCACCTTGTTGGTACCCCTATACACATAGAAATTAATATGCAAAGGTATAAGATGCCTCAATTAAAATTAATCTGGCTATTATTAAACCTTAATTCATTTTAATAATATACTATTCTAGCTTAATTTTAAATTCTGAAAATTGGAGATAACTATTTTTTAATTTTGAATAACCCCAAGTTTTACCTGTATCTATAAGCTCAAAATACTTTATAATGAAAATACAACTGAAAGTTTAACATTTCTAAAATGGAGCAAGTTCGAACAATGAATCAAGAAATCACTGATAGGCTTCAAAGCACAGTTAGCTCTTTGAGCTCAGTGTGTGACAATACTTTTCTTCAGGAAACTCCTTATAATTCTGATATTGATGAATCAATCAGAGAGGAAATAGAATCTAAATACAGGAAATCGAAAGTTATATCTCTTAATATTGATTTTTCAATATAATTTAAACGCATGAAAGGTCTAGACATATTTTGCTAAAATAAACTTGGATGGTTTAATTCTCATTATGTATTTCCTCGGCAGCAAGGTGCAAGCCAAAGCCGAAAAAGATCATCAACAAGCATGCAAAGACCATTGCAGTCCTTTTATCCTACTCCTATCAAGCAGCGCTTGACATTAGAGAAGTCACTTCCAATAATTCATAAAGGGCTTAAGTCACAAAACGATTCTATGACGATATATCCAAAATCGAAAAGCAGAGTTAGCAATACCAGCTATAAGAAAATGTATAGAATATGTAGAAAAAATTATGCATTAGCATACGAAAATACAAACTCAGAGATTTTAAAAAGAACCAGTTCCAAACAAATTTCGCCAAAAAGAATACCTACACATTTGAGGACGAAAAGCGACGCCGTTAGGTCTAGAACACCAGTCTATGTGATCAGATCAAGGTCACCTGACAGAACTCCTCTTAAGTAAGGGTTATTTAGAAATACCCAGACAAAAGGAAGCATTAAGTCTCTCTCAAGGGAAAATCCTTATAAAGCTCCCATTAAGGCGACTCGAATTCCATTGAAATCTTCTCACTCCCATCTCTCATCTGATTAAATAACGAACAATGTCTGAAGTCCATAATTAGGCAAATTTTTCCATACTTTTTTAATTGATTATTATTTTAAAAAACTACCTATTTAATAATGCACAAAGACTGCTCATTGCATAATAGTCGAGTCAGCATCACTACTCTCATTCAATGGAAGATTTTGTGTATATACCTGTTGTACATTATGGGAAGTAATATTAATTTAAATGGAAAATAAGCGAATTGGAGATATCGACCGCCTACTTCAAAAGCTAAAGGAAGAAAATAACCAATACAGGAATTCAAAAAAATTGCAAGAAGAAATAGAGGAAAATAAGGAAAATCCTGACTATAGGCAAGATGAAGAGGAAGAAGAGGATTATTTGCCTTCAAGATACAAGCGAGAGCCATCGTACCATTCAGAAAGTGAGGAGGAAGAAGGAGAAGAGCAGGATGAGGATCAAGAGGAAAATTCAGGAAGGGAAGATATAAGAGAAGCAGAAAGTGAAGATGAAGAGCTAAGTGAGGAAGAAGAAGAAGACACAAGAGAAAAAATTCGAAAGCGCCTTGAAGAAATCAGAAAAAAGAAAAACCAATTAGGCCCTCCAGTCAGAGTTGAAAAAGCTCAAGAAGCGCCACAAAGGCCACACACCGCTAAGCCTCAAATATATCGCCCTCAAAGTGCAAAATTCCCCAAAACGCCTTCATTTTTCGCGACTCCAATAACAACTAAAAAGAAAAAGAGCGATCCTGTTGCATTATTTAATCAGAGGCAGCGAGAATGGAAGTCAAATGCCTTTTTGCGTTCAAATACCTTAAATACTCGAGAAGGGAGAAAATTAAATTTAAACCCACCTCAAAAAGATTTTGAGGTCGTCAAGGCTTCCCATGACTACAGAAAGAACAATTATGTAGCTCCTCATGAAAAAAGAAGAGATGATATTAGAAATATTACAAAGGTACTTTTTATTTAGATGAAAATGTTGAGTGCTCATGAATGTTAAGCCTCCAGATTTAATAGTAATGATAACGAATTGATGTCAAACTTTAAATCTTCTTCTAAAAATCTGCATCCCAATTAGGACTAACTTGAGCTTTGCGTCTTTTGGGTCCTTTTGGAATTTCTGTGCTTTCTTCTTCTGCTGAAATGAATTCATCCATAGGGACGTTAGCTAAAAATCGATCCATCCCCATTTCATCTGATGGAGGAACAAATGGAGGTATTAATTGTTTGCTTAACAGTTTTTCCCAATTCATAGGACTTAGTCATGGGTTTGCTTTCAATTTTTCTATACTTCCTCCATTTCTTAATGAGGGGTTTCTGCTTAAAAGCTGCTCTATAAGAGGCCTTGCAGATAAATTTTGATCAACCCAAGACGGCCATTCAATTACATGTGCTTGGACCTTTTCATATACTTTACAAGGATCTTCCTCATTTTCTGCAAAAGGAACGCCTCCGCATAAAAATTCGTAAAGCATTATTCCCAAGCTCCAGTAGTCAGCTGCAATACCATACCCTTTCCCAGTAACTATTTCTGGAGCCATATAATGAGGAGTCCCAACAACTGTATAAGTCCTTCCTTGGACAATTTTGGCTGTTCCAAAGTCAATTAACTTTGGATAGCCATCTTCGTCAATCATGACATTTTCAGGTTTCAGATCTCGATAAATAATATCTCTTTCATGGAGATGTTCTAGTATGGCTACAAGACACGCAAAATAAAATCTTGAGTCTCTCTCGCTTACTATTCCCATCTGCCGAAGTACGTCAAATAGATCTTGACCTTTTACATATTCTGTTAGATTAGGTCTTCGGGGTTTATTTCAGCCTCTCTCCACCTTGTCAGCTTCAGGCTCCTCGCCCTAGGCATCGGCTTGCATTTACGCCCTTTTCTGTCGATATCACAAAAAAATGGCGACGTCAGATCTCTTGGAGAGACGCACCTAGGTGTTTCCTTGGCAATTTCTAGAAGTCGGCGTCATCTACCGGAGATGGGACCCCGCATTCTCCTTCAGGTCTCCATTACTATTTTCATACAGAAGTGTGGAGTTGTTTTTCTAAACCTGGTCTTCTTGCATATGAGTCGGGGTAAAAAAAAAACCTGTCGTGCTGTCCCTGCTAGGAAGAACAAAAAAAGGATACAAAGTTCTCTTACTTCCCCCCAAGATCAAGACATTTTTTACTGGGAAAAATAGGGAAAATTTATATTTTTTGGGTAAAAAAAACCACCTTCCAATAGTGACATTTTTGAAAATTTTTCTTATATAAATTTTTATATTGAAATTTTCCATATAATGCGCGAATTCATTAAGGGGGTTGAGCCTCAAGCAACTAAAATGGAATTTTCATTAACCTTCCTCTTGATTAAATATAAAATTTGAAACAATATTCTTAATTAAAATATGGCGTCTTCGTCTGGGCATGGCCGGGAGGCCATGCAGCCTCGACTCATATTTTAATTATATCCGGCAAGGTTTTACCATTCTAGAAGTGAGCAGCAATGCTAGGTAAGCAATCCTGGTTGTGTTCAGAGCCTAGCCCAAGCTTATCTCCTGGGATGGATCTTACCTCGTAGGGTAAAGGAGGCAGGTAGTTGGAAAGGGGAAGCCCAGAAAAGCCGCACGGCCCATCGGGCAACTCCCTAGCGTGAAACCAGGCGTTACGTCCTGGGCTACTTGTTTTCCTTTTTGCCGAGAGCTACCAGAAAATCCATTTTTTGGGTTTTCGGAATGGCAACTACGTCAAGGTACGGACAGTAGCACACTCATGAGTCTTCGAAGTCGGTAACACCCCTCCAAGCCTGCCCTGGTGAAACAAAGCAGGTTGGACCGGCGGCCTGTGGGCCCGACAGGTGGAAGATAAGGTGATAGGTCCGGTTCTTGCTGACCTCCTTGGTGGACGTAAAGCGTAATAATTCTAATGTAATGTAATAAAACAATATTTTTGGATTTTATTTAAATTTATGTTATATAATTTTTTAAAAAAAATTATATAAAATTTTTAAATAGATTTTATTTTAAAAAAAATTTTCAAAAAAACCCTTCCAATAGAGATATTTTTGTAAAATGTCTCTATCTTGGGGGGGAGTTAGACTAAAAAGCCCCCGACGGTATGGGAAAAGGAAATCTTGGATAAGTCACCATTTTATTTGTGTGTACATTCTGTTAAGAAATAAATTCTTTTTGCATCTTTAAAGGTTTTGATGAGCTTTAAGATCATAATATGATCAAGCTGCATCAGCACTTTTCTCTCAAGCACCAAATTTTCTTGGATATTGAATCTGTCGATTTTTTTACGTGAAACAGTTTTAAGTGCATAGTTTGTTTGCTTATCCCTATGCATTACTAAAAACACAATCCCAAACATGCCTTTCCCAAGCGTTCTTATCATATATAAATCATCAAGCTGAACCTTGTTGTCCTGAAGCTGAATTCTCTTTAACAAAAGGTTTCTAATTTTGTCGTCTATAGCACTCAGAAAGTCCTGCTGATGAAGCACCCAACACGAAACGTTCCCTTTAGCCGTAATAGTAGCGGTTCTTGTTTCATTGAAGAGAATTGACCTTTCTCCAAAATAGTCATGCTTTGTGATAGTCCTGATATATACATTATTTTTCATTACATCCACTTTTCCATTTTTCACAATAAAAAAGGAATCTCCAGGGTCATTTTCTCTGAAAATAACTTGGTGGTCTTCGAAGTCTTCAATTTTTAGCTCATTTAGCAGAGAAAATATTTTATCGTTAGGCAGCTCTCTGAAAATGTTTACTTTTTTAAGTACGTATAAAGCGTCATTTTTTACGATGACTTCGTGGAATGGGCCTCCAATTGCTGACTCAAAATCAGCTCGTGTCGCAACTCCAATCACAACGTCCCCGACTGCAAATATTTCTTCATAGTTGGCTTCTTCAGGCTCTTTAACAATTTCTGAATCTCCAAAGCAAACCAGATCACGATATAAGGTTTCTCCTTCTTGGTTTCGGAGTGATCCTTTTAATAAAATTCACAATAATTTCCCTTTTTCGTTTTCTGAGCTATTTACAGTTTGCCCATTCAAAAAAGTGAATATCTTGATATGCTTTATAATATTTTCTATCTGTTCCTTTGTTAAGCGAGCAAAATGAGGACTTTTCTCTAGCGCAATTCTTTGTGAGTTAATATAAATTATCTGCTGTAGCTTGTTTCCAAGGACTTTGGTTAAATTTTCTCTGCCAATGGCTAATTTCCACCTTTAGTTGCAAGTAAGATTTTTTTGTTTGCTTTTAAAGGAGGTTAATTTTTTGTTTTAAACTTTTTTGGATTAATTCAATTAAAATTTTATAAGTGAAACTGTTGCATTATATTTTTTAATAGAATTCTCTTTATGCCATTATTAACTATATATAAACTGATTCTTATAAAAATATTTAGATTAAAACATTTTTACTCGCACTTAAAGAAAATTAGTTTTCCCAAATTTTTAATGTTAATAATCGCTTTAAAAGAAGAAGGACTAAGCACTTGACTGGTGAACTAGCAGTTATGCTTGCAGTCCTTAAACAATTATTCAATAAAGACTGTTCACCGAAGTAATCACCCTTTCCCATTGTTCTTATTTCTACTCCATCTTTGCTACAAGTCACTGTTCCTTCTTTAATTATATAGCACAAATCGCCAGGGTCACCTTCATTCACGATTTTCTGCTGAGGATTGAAATTGTGTATTGACAAAGAGCTAACCAAGGAGTCTTTTTGCTGAGGTGTCAAAATTTTAAAAATTGGGATACTTTCAATAAATTGCAAATTTTCTTGATAATTCAAAGAGTTTATGCCTTCTACAGCAGACCTGAAAGTTTTTCTATCAACTCCTCATAGCGTACTTCTTTCCATAGTTTTTACAGTTGCACTTCTGGGCGTATCATGCAGAAGAGCAAGCTCCCCAAAGCTGTCGCCTTGTCTGAGGACATTTACTCTTTTATTGTTTATTAATACTTCTAATTTTCCTGTACACACAACGAAAAAGTTGTTTCCTGGCTGGGCTTGTTCGAAAATAATTGCATTTGGGCCCAATGTGTAATGTTTCATTTGGTCTATAATGACTTCACGCTGCTCATCTGTTAAACTATTGAAAATGAAGTGACGCCCTAAGGAAGCTCGAATATTTTCACAGTCCCTTAAGTTTTTAGGTTTATCAGCAATTTGTGCAGATGGGGCATCTACTGTGTAGTCTACTTCTGATCTCATGTCTCCGATTGGTCCTTTCTTTTTCACTTTTTTTCGTTCGCCAACCTTTAGATAAAAATTATCAGCTTGCTTTTTTTCTTCTTCTGGAAGGTTGATTGCGGTACTTAATATTTGTCGCTTGGAAATTGAAGTATTGCCTAGAGTTCTATTAATTGTCATGCAGACACCCATTTTACTTTATTTCCAGTTATAAGATTTATTTTTAGGTCTAAATTTCAGAAGTGAGGACAATAATGGCGTGCTATAGGTTCAACTATAATTCAAAAAAGAAAAGCAAAGCCATGATATCGATAGTTATAGCCTTTAATTATAATAAATAGGTTTAATAATTTTTGCAACATATTGCAAAGTTGAAAATAGTTAAATTCAAAATTGGGTTTGTAGATTTTTTGAAATTATGAACATGTCGGGAAAATCTAAATAAGGGATTTTCATGGATGGCGCTATTCTGGCTTTAATTTTCCCTCTGGGAAAATTTTTTGCTTTGACCAAACCATATGATACTGGCGAACAAAAAAATTTTCCAGTAGGAAAATCAAGGCCAAAGCAGCGCCATCTACAGGAAATTGAAATATTTTTTTTATCTCAAATCTATCTTACACAGTTTCTTGCCAATTTTAGATGCTAAAAACCTATAGAAATTTGAAGAGTTGTCCTATGACAATATATAATTTTCTTTTATATAAATGAGTTTGTATTGCATTTAAAATGAGTATTCGATTATATGTGACCTTATTAAAACACTCAGATTCACAAATTGAGTACAAGAAGCTTATTCTTATGGTTGAGACTACTGTTAAAATCTCAATGCTCAAAAGGAAGATTGAGCAAGAATTCACTGAGCTTTTTCCAATTGAAAGGCCATTCATTTGTGGAAAAGTTGATGATCAATACGGTTACAGCTTATCTAACACTTCTTTTGTAGGGGATTTATTGAAGAACGATGATAGAATTGTAGCAGTTCCTGATGAAAATGGGCCTGGTTTTATATCAGCTCATGATACTCATGAGTTATTATCAATGCTCTCTACAATTCAAGAAAACATTGTTGGCAAATTGTCAGAAGCCGCTGTTGTAGCCCACCAGCCTCCAGAAGAATTGATTTTAAGTATCCTCCCACTAGGTTTTACCCAAAACCCTGCAACATTGCATAGTGTATGTACCATTTTGACAAAAGGAATTCATGAAGGAACAGTAAGATTATTAGACGACCGCTCTTATAGCAACCTTCTCAGTATGCTAATTACTGTATTACAATACTGAGTTATGGAGCTTATGGATAGAGATAGCATTGTCCAGCAAGCAGTTATCGATATTTTAGAAATCTGCATGAGAAGCAGACTTTTTACGGGCTCTTTCAGCCCTTACGAGATAAGGGATTTAGGTACAATAAAAGATCATTTTTTCACTGTTATCCGAATCAGACTCATCATAGAAAAAAAAATTTAGTTTGCTCCTGGCATCACGCAATCTACTGAGTAAATTTACAGTCAAATTTGGCGTTAAATTTTTTTTTTTATTTATAATAAAAAGAATTCAAGAACTCAGCAACAAAAGAAACCATTCTTTAATTAAGATAAAAATCTGTTCAGATCGTAAAATAGAGATCCTAGCTTTTAACATGAAAGCGAATTCAGGAAGTCAGTTGATTGCAAATACTGGCTCACAGTATGTGGAAACTAATGAATGGTTCTCTAATAGCAATACGCAAACGCTTATGTAATTGATAAGACAATTACTGTCTACGTTAGAATAAAGAACTGAATTCGTTTCTTCATGAGAGAACTGTTTATCATATAACAGAAAAATCGGTAAAAGTCATATGTCTATGCGCATTCAGATATACTAATTGACCAAGAATAGCCCACTAAGGAGCCATTCTTGGTCTGCCAGAAAAAAAATTGACAAAAAGATCCTAATCTGCCATTACCACTGAGTTTTGTGTTTCCAAATTTTTTGGGCAAGCCAAATGCAATAAAAAACAATTGTTCTTTTGCGATGATGTATTTGGCTTGTCAAAAAAATTTGGAAACGCCAAAACTCAGTGGTAATGGCAGATTAGGATCTTTTCTGCCATTACCACTGAGTTTTGATGTTGCCAAATTTTTTTGACAAGCCAAATGCATCATCGCGCAAAAGAACAATTTTTTTTATTGCATTTGGCTTGCCCAAAAAATTTGGAAACACCAAAACTCAGTGGTAATGGCAGATTAGGATCTTTTATCAAAATTTTTTCTGGCAGACCAAGAATGGCTCCTTAGTGGGCTATTCTTGGTCAATTAGTATACCTATATTTGCTGCATAGGCACGCAACGCAGAGTGTAGCAAATTAGATAATTTTGGTGCACATTTGAACTATATACTTTATCTAATTTCGTATTTTACTGACATATAAATACAAAACTAATATGACCATAATTCACGAACCGATTCTTTCATAGGAATAAGAATTAAATATTTCATTATCTTTACTGTGAAATGGTTCTCATTAAAAAAAAAAATTTTTTACGCAAAAAATATCAGCAACATTTTGATTAATCTACTGTGCTATGTTTATGGAAATTGCTTTATTGTCTTTATAATGTTTCAGAATGCGAGAATTGGACATAATTAGTATTTTTTTCTGTATCATTTTGCACTAAACTAATAGATACAGTAATATTTATGATTAAAACTTATTTAAAAAATTTATAATACCTAAATAATATATATAATAGCACTCATTTAATCTAAATTATCTCTTTTAAATATGTGCTAAATTCATTCACTGCTATATTCAATAACTTATTACGAGCTTTATATAATAAATAGCTCATATTTCGCGCTTCAATTATAAAAATGGCCCAAATATACAGTATAACTTAAAAATAAAAAAATTTAAATGTGCAATTTAATTATAGAAAACCTGATTAATTTTTCTAAATATTATTCAGTTATAAAAATAGTAAATTAATTAATGTTATCAAGAATTTTCTCACTAATTCAAATACTAAATATTAATAAATTCATTAAGAGGGTCTATGTACAGTAAAACACCATATACAGGGGTTTTGTATCAGCTATATTTTTTGCGTAAAAAAATTTTTTTTTTTTAATGAGAACCATTTCACAGTAAAGATAATGAAATATTTAATTCTTATTCCTATGAAAGAATCGGTTCGTGAATTATGGTCATATTAGTTTTGTATTTATATGTCAGTAAAATACGAAATTAGGATAAAGTATATAGTTCAAATGTGCACCAAAATTATCTAATTTGCTACACTCTGCGTTGCGTGCCTATGCAGCAAAATATAGGTATCTGAATGCGCATAGACATATGACTTTTACCGATTTTTCTGTTATATGATAAACAGTTCTCTCATGAAGAAACGAATTCAGTTCTTTATTCTAACGTAGACAGTAATTGTCTTATCAATTACATAAGCGTTTCGTATTGCTATTAGAGAACCATTCATTAGTTTCCACATACTGTGAGCCAGTATTTGCAATCAACTGACTTCCTGAATTCGCTTTCATGTTAAAAGCTAGGATCTCTATTTTTACGATCTGAACAGATTTTTATCTTAATTAAAGAATGGTTTCTTTTGTTGCTGAGTTCTTGAATTCTTTTTATTATAAATAAAAAAACAAATTTAACGCCAAATTTGACTGTAAATTTACTCAGTAGATTGCGTGATGCCAGGTGCCAATTAATTTTTTTTTCTGTGATGAGTCTGATTCGGATAACAGTGAAAAAATGATCTTTTATTGTACCTAAATCCCTTATCTCGTAAGGGCTAAAGGACCCCTTTTTACGTCTAGCTTTAAAACTCAAACGATTATGGCTAAATTAATGAATGCTACTAGGGGTCTGAATACCACAGGAAAAGCGAAATTAACTAGAATTATTGCAGCTTTAAGCAAAGGAGAAGCCTATGAAGCTCCTGCGAGAAGAGAAGAACCAAGATGGGAGCAGCAGAATATTTCAGAACCCGTGCCTGCTCAGGCAAAAAGAGAATCTTTATTAAAAGGCCAATCAAGAGAGAGACATCAAGATCCAGCCCCTAACCCAAACCGCTATGAAGCTAAAATCCAGTCCCAGAACCCTAGCCAACCTCCTCGTTTCGACTCTAGAGACCAAAACAGAGGCTACCAAACACGTCTTCCTGAAACTGAAATGGGAAGAATGATTGCTGACTACATAGAGATGCTTTCTCCTTCTAACACTCTTGAAATGATCTGTTTCGGCTTGCATAACTTAGAGACTGTTATGGATGAGGCTCTTGACATCTCCCTTGAAAATTCTGATCTGTTTTTAAAGCTTTTCGGGCTGATAGAAATCCCAGTCCCTGCTAATTATGAAAATTTGCAATACCAATTACTAAAAGGACTAAGCACCAGAATAACCCGTGCAAGGGCAGAAGATGCAGCTCAACAAAATGGCCTTTCTCGACTCGTCAAAGCTTATAACGAAGTCTCCTCAAAGCTTCAAATCGCTGTCATTGATCTTCTTGAGCAGCTATTAAAGCTTGGAAAAAGGACTCTTGATATACCATCTTTAATTGCAGTTTCCTTGTCACCATAAAATTAAATGGTGACGTTTGACGGAAATTGAAATCCGAGGCGTGGCTCTACCCTAGGGAGCTGATCACTTGGGCAGGCGGTTCAGATCAGAAATCCAAAATGGCGACCTTTCATCCCTCTTTAGTCTCATGGGGCGATGGGGTTGTTACTTGGAGCCAAGACTAGGCCAAAGCTAGTGGGCTTGCCCCCTTATGGCAGTTTAATCGTTTAAGTTGAAATAAGTTGTCACCATACCAAAGAATCAATGAAGTCGGAATGAGAGCACTCGCAACACTTGCTGATCCAGGAGAATCTCAGGTCCCTGATGCAATTTTTGAAAATCATATCAGGTTTTTCATAGGTGCTTGCACTTCAGATAAAGCTTCAAGCGACTACAGAAATGCAGCTGCAGCATGTCTAGCAGGCTTATCATTAAGAGATTACCTTAAACCTCAAATTGAGTACTGCGGAGGGATCAATACTTTAATTTATCTATTAAGAGACAGCAATATTGATGGACAAAGAATGGCTGCCAAAGCACTTGTAAATTTGACCTCCACAAAGAGAGACTTAAGGCTCAAAATAATCGCAGAGCTGTCAGACGAAATAAAGAAAATGTATAGGAATGAGCTTGATAGCGTTGTCGCAGCTTATTTGCAGACTTTAGTTCAAGGCAGATAATTAATAAAATGGATTTAGAAGTCCCTGATGCTTTGTTTAAGATTTTAATTATTGGAGATTCCGGAGTGGGAAAGTCTTGCTTTTTATTGCAATTTACTGAAGGGAACTTTACTAAAGATCACAGCGTCACTATTGGTGTGGAATTCAGCGCTAAAATAATAAGGCTTGGCGATAAAAAAATAAAATTACAAATTTGGGATACTGCAGGACAAGAATCTTTTAGGTCAATAACGCGGAGTTTTTACCGAAATGCAAATGGTGTCGTTCTAATGTATGATTTGACTCATAAAGAAAGTTTTATTAACTTATATGAGTGGTTGAGAGAAATCAAGCAAAACTCTGACCCTGACATAACAATTTACTGTGTAGGTAATATGATTGATTTAGCTGATGAGGAAAGAGAGGTCTCTCCAGAAGAATTGGACAAATTTGTCAATTAAATAAAATTGAGGGGTTTAAAATCTTCCAGATTTGATGCCTCCGTGGGCTTGCAACAAACCTACTTGCCGAGGAATTCAGTCAGCTGAATCCTATCTCAACAGCAGTCTACTTATGGAATCTGGGGCTTGCATTGATATATCTGATTCTCGCGGATTAGGGAGATTTATCTCTCCTCTTCATTTGGGTTCATTGAGGCAAAGGTTAGTCTGATACCTCTTGTCGGCCTCCTTGAGGAGAGATGGAACCAGTAAATAAAACCCCCAGCCCTTCGGAACCTGCAGGGAAAGAACCCTGGCCCAAAAAATCTGATAACTAATATCTAGACTGGGGTCACCACCAACTGACTCCCAAGGTTTGCCCACCCCATAGGGCGACTCTAGACAAAGCTAAGGGCTAGAATTAAAGGGTCTTAACCCTTAGTTTAGACTATAAAGTAACTTTGGTGCCCAAAGAGGTGCGCCCGCGGCAAAGACATATTTTTGTGCTAAATATAAATTTGTCAGAGAAAACAGATTGGATGGAGGAACTGAAGCTTCAGCTAAAACTGCGCAAAATGTTGACGAGGTAAGTGAGCTATTTAGGGTTTTTCTTAAAGTTGCTAGCCATATCCTCAAGAATAAGTGAAACTTTTTGCTCATTTAGGTCTAATCTATATATTATTTTTTTATTTGGGAAACACTTTCCTTATTTTCAAAGTATCTAATTATAGAAAGAAAGTCATTTATTTAATTCGATTATTTTTTAAAAACCAGTACTCTAAAATTTTGCAGTGTTTTAATTATTAAAAATATATCAAAAATTTTGCATAAAAATATTTTAATTAGTTTTTAATTCTCATAGAGAGGGTGAGGTGCTGTATATGAAACAAACTGATGAATTCAAAAAAGATAACGCTGCACCTCTAAAAATCGTCCCCAAAAGTGTTGTGAAATACCAGAAAAAGTCAGGATGCTGCTAGGGCTTAATAATTCTTTATAATAGATTAAAAATGATAAGGACAATGAGATTTTCTCAATTGAAAGTGCAGATTAAAGGCGATAATGACCCTATATCACAGTATAATATTGTTATCCAGCAATACAACGACCCAGTTAACAGAGAAAACGAGAAATATTTAGCGAAGGCTCCAAATAGTGTCCTATATAAATTTTGATATGCTATGCAATGCAAATACCCGATTTTTCTCATTGTATTATATGTCATCCCATATATAAATTTGCTGTCACTGTTTGGGAATATTTTAGCAATAATTTTTCACGAATCTGCCTTATGCATTTTTAATTCAAATCATCGCAAAATCGAAGACCCATTAGCGAAAATGATTTATAACCCTTTATTATGCAACCAGAGTTCATCATCATATCTCTTTTATGAAGTCGAAGAAAATCAGCTGTATTCCTTCAATTTGCATAGAGATGTCCTACACAATTTAAAACTTAGGAAACATAGATATGATAGCAAAATTCGGTTCATGGTTTACAACAATGACTTTTTATCAGGCTACCACAGCATGGTTAAATCTAGATGGATCATTATGATGCATGCTGCGTTAAATCTTATGCTGTTTTCAGTCATATATTATTTTGTGATGATGCATTATTTTTGTTTTGACATCTTCAACCCAAGCCGTATAGTTCAAAACTGTGGTCCTTAAATTATATATGTGATGATTAATTACTTATAAATGCAAAATGACTATTAATTATTTATCATATAAAACAGGAGACTTAGGCTCATATTTTGGGGGCTATTTGCTAAATATGGATTAACTTATATTAATTAAATAAAGCTCTTACCATCCCTATGAATAAAATAAGTGTTGAAAGCCCAAAACAACAGAGCAAAATTCGAATTCCATTTTGCATTTCATCTTGACAAGTTGAACTAATTGTCAAATAAATCCCTATCAGCTGCCAAATAAACTCCAAAACTTGAATAATTAAAATAAAATTTTTGATAAATTTCTGTGTGCGAGTAATTAATTCTGAAACAAGTCCTAGCGAAATTTCCACTAAAAACATCATTCACAAGTAATAAAGTCATGAGGCCGTTTGACATGTGCTAGTGAAGGAAAACAGCAGGAAGCTTGAATAGCTTAATGCTAAAGTTTTAAGGAACATTACCCCTCGTTCTGGTTTCATCCAATTTGACTTTTTTGTCATTTATATTAATTACTATTATTAAGGACTTTATATGGATTCATGATTCCATTAGGATCGAAAATGTTTTTCATGAGTTTCTATATAAAATTTACCATGTTTTCAATCATCACTTTACTTTTTGTGTATTTTAACTTCGAAGCTTTTAACAACCCAATTCCATGCTCTGCACTTACACTTCCTTTTAATTCTTGTATCTGCTCATATATCCAAGGTTCCAAAATCCTATGAGCTTTTTCTTTCTCATTGGTTGACACTACCAAATGTAAGTTTCCATCCCCAACGTGCCCATAGCCTACTGTATATCCTAAACTGCCTACTCTTTCCCTTGTTTTTCTTACCAAATCATACATTTTTGCAATTGATAGACTTAAATCATATTTAAAGACATAACCCTCACTTTTTGTTGCAGTTGCTGTACCTTCTCTAATTCTCCAGAAATTGTTAGCCTGCTCCTGATCTAGGGCTAGAACTGCATCAGTAATCACATTATTCTTTAGCCCATTTTCCAAATAAGCCTGCAACTTTTCAATATCATGGTCTTTATTGCTCCCAGAGGTTTCAATTAAAACATAAAATTCTGAGTCTGCTGTAAATGGGTTTCTTGTACGTGGAGTGTGCTTTAAAAGCAGAGAATAAATGTAGCTGTCCATCATCTCAAAAGCAGAGAGAATTTCACCGATCCCTTGCTTAGCATCTTTTAAGAGCTGCAAGACATTTTCGTAGCTTTTGCAGGAAATCATTGCTACCTGCTGGGATATAGGCTTAGGAGCTAATAGCAGAGCAATTTTTGTGATGACTCCTAAAGTGCCTTCTGAGCCAATGAATAATTGCTTATAGTCATAGCCTGTATTGTCTTTCCGCAACCCCTTTAAATCAGATAAAATTTCACCTGTCGGCAAAACAGCTTCCAGACCAAGCACATTCCCATGCAATGACCCATATCTAATATACCTTACCCCACCAGCACAAGTTGCTACATTTCCTCCAATAAAGCAAGACCCTTTCGATGCTAAATCTAATGGCACAATCCATCCATGCTCCTCACAGAAGCTATTCAAATATTCCAAAATAACCCCCGCTTCAGTCCAAACCACTCCTTGTGAAGAATCGATTTTCAAGATTCGGTTCATGTTTTGCAATGAAAGAATTACTTCATCATATATAGGAACACTTCCGATCACTTGGCCAGTATTTCCTCCTTGTGGAACAATCGCGATTTTTTCTTTATTGCAGTATTCCAAAATAGATTTTACTTCCTCTGTAGTTTTTGGCTTTAGGACAATGCTGGAATTGCCTTTATGAAAACGCAGCCAATCTGTATTATAGGCATCAAGATCTTTGGTTAGGATTGAGTGGCTAGGAAGGATGCTTGAAAAGAAATCAATATCTTTATTGTCTAAGAGTTTATAATGACCTCTTTCAGGGATTTGAAAAGTTGAGATTTTTCGAAGATTTCTTAATAATTTCATTTATTACTCAATTTTAAGGTTATCAACTGGACAAGCTTCGCTCATTGCGAGCCACTTAGTTATGCATTTCTTATGGTAAATGTGAGAGCAGGGCAATTGAAATAGCCGATCATTGTGCTTAAAATCTTCTTGACAAATTACGCATTCCTTTTGACTCATCGAATTTCTGTACAAAATTTCTGAAATTTTGCTCTTAGCTTCTTCTGAAGCTCCTTTGGGAGGGTACAGCTCTCCAAGAATGTCGATAATTTCTTCTCTTGACGTTCCTCGAATTTTTCTTCCTTCAATATTGATTGACTCTGGAGATATATATATAGATTGAGCTTGGGGATTTTGACCATAAAAGTCTCTTCGAGCAATTGTTCGTGATGGGAATGGATGAGGAACTTCCACAATTTGATGATCTTCCACATATTCATTCCCAAGCCACTGCAATATCCTTGCAAATGCTTCCTCAGCAGGAATCCCTGAGCGGTAAAGGTTAATACTAATGTCTCTTATATCAAGCTCGTTTTCAGGGTCTTCGTATTCTTGTGGATTCGGTTCTGGCTTGATGCATGCTTTTGCTCCGAAAGTTTTGCTACTGTATTATCCATTAAAAATTTATTTTTCTCATAGTGGCTTATCAGTGTAAATATCTCACTATCAAAACCTTCAAGCTATCCTATCAAAATATTCCAATCAAATAAGATATAGCCGTTCTGGCTCTATTTGTGGGGGCTGAGGTGCTTGGTTTAAGTGTATTGTGCTAGTAGCATATTCTATTGCTTCCTCATAATTGTTGAATTTATTCGAGATTTCTTGAGCTTTGGCATTGTCAAAACCGAACTCTCTGAGTTGGTCCACAATTCTCTGCTTAGTGTTGGGAAGCGGAGCGGGAAGAGGAGGAGGTATGATTGGACGAAGGTTGTATTGAGGCCTATCGCCTTGAAGATCTCACATGGAAGCGTTGGTAGCAAACTCTGCTGCTTCTCTAATTATTTTGTATCGTTCTGCAGCCATGTTTGCAATGTCTGAAGAGAATCCCATTTCTTTGAGCTGAGAAATAATGTTGTTTTTTATAGAAAGAGCTATTTGATTGGCATTGATGCCTTCAGTCAAATAAGTGACTGCGTCTTCAAAGTCATCTGTTAGCATTAACACATTATCAACCTTACTTTCCTCAAATCCCATGCCAATAAGTGCTAACTTCATTTCTTGTCTTTTTGCTTCCATTAATTATAGAAATAAACATTGCTTTTGTTTATAATTTATGCAGATATTAATATTGATAATTATTTAAACATTAAAAAATATTCAAAATTAAGCCTATTATTCTTAAAAGAGATCATATTTTTAGAAAAGCTTCAGTCAGAGAGTATAAAAATTCAAGAAAAATAAGTTAAACCAATGAAAACCTTTATTTTAGTAAAGTTAATTTTATATCAGTTTTAAATTATAGTTAATTATTAGGGATCTTGATTTTTAAAAGTCAGGGGATAGAAACTTCTGAAAATAAGCAGCTATATAATGCAAATTAGAGCATAATAAATTCAGCTCGCAAATAACTATTATAATAAGCTCGTTGTTTAAATAATCAATACTTCCCCCACTTAAGAATTTTAAGTGTCAAATGCCAAATTAATGGAGAAGCTAATGCCATAAAAATAAAAGCTACCATTGATAAGTTTATGAAGATCTCAAAATAAATACAAACAAATGCTCTTTTTTCTTTTAGCTCTGAATTTGTTCCACATGAAATATAGGATTTTGCATTTGAATTCATTTTTGACTCTGTCACTCAAAAAGAAAAGAAATTATATAAATGAGCCTAGAAAATTAGCAAAAAACATTTTCATGGAAATAAAATTAAATAAGCATATATGACTTAAACAACAAATATAATTAATCTGAAATCAAATTAATATAAACCTAAAATTTATAACTGAAATTTTTTATCATATAACTTATATAAATGGAGTCCAAGCATTATTGGTTTTCAGACAATGCTACTAGATCAATCCTTCCAAAAGACGACGGTAAATATTTATATTGGGTCACAGGGATCAATGATGAACTTCCAATCATAATGTCATCAAATATGCCCTATGAGGAACCTCTCACTTATGCCCAAATTATTCAAGAAGCAGTGATAGCATCTCCGTTTAAAACTTTCTTAAGAGCTAAGCGTAACAGCTCCACCGTAACTTATAATTACCAAGAATTTTATTCTCAATCTCTCCAATTTTCTGTATCACTGATTTGTCTAGGAATTGCACAGAGACAAGCAATTAACATAATTGGATTTAATTCACCAGAATGGATAATTGCTTTTTCTGGTGCCATCCTTGCAAATTGTGTTCCAGTTGGAGTTTACACTACAAGTGGAAGTGAAAATTGCCTTTATATTGCGGAGCATAGCGAAGCTGAGCTTGTGGTTGTAGAAAACGAGTCTCATTTAAAGAAATATCTGCATATATGAGATAAGCTCCCTAAAGTAAAAGGAATTGTGGTTTTTGCCCCAAAGACTGATTTAAAAGAATACAAAGGAGAAAGACCTGTATTTTCATGGGAGGAGTTCATGAACTTAGGCTCAGATGTTGATCCTCAAGAAATAGAAAATCGCATAAATTCAATAAGAGCAACTCAAGCGGTCACTATTGTTTATACTTCAGGCACAACTGGACCTCCTAAAGGAGTTCTTCTTAGCCACGACAATTATATTTTCGCTGCCAAAAGAACTCTAGAAAAGTACAGAACCAGTGGAACTGATGAACAATTTTTCTCATATCTTCCCTACAGTCATGTGGCTGCTCAGTGTTTTGACTTTTTTACAGTTATTCTAGCTAAAGGCTGTGTGAATTTTCCAGATGAATCAGCTCTTCAAACTGGTATTGGCCCAGCTCTAAAAGAATACAGACCCACCTTCTTTTGGGGTGTCCCAAGAATATATGAAAAAATTGAAGAGTCAATCAAGCGTATGATTGCTGCAAGCACACCTAGCCAAAAGAAAATGATTGCCTGGGCAAGAGAAATAGGACTAAAATCAATGCTTTTGTTGTTTGAGAAAAAGCCTCTTCCTCATAATTACCATATTGCAAATTCTTTATTTTTCCAGCCTCTCAAAGAAGCATTAGGTTTTGAGAGATGCAAAACGTTTTTATTTGGGGCAGCTCCACTTGGTAAAGTAACCCTTGAGTTCTTTTTATCAGTTGGAATACCTTTAACAAATCTTTTTGGGATGTCTGAAGCTGCTTCTCCATTGATGATGAATACAATATATGAGTGCTCAGTTTGAAGCGTTGGAAAACCATTAAGAGGATGTGAAGCAAAAATTGTGAATTCCAAAGGGGAGAAACTACCATGTGGGGAAATTGGAGAAATTGTGTATAAAGGAAGAAATAGATTTTTGGGGTACTTGAAAAATGAAAAAAGCACGAGAGAAACGATTGATTCTCAAGGATTTTTGCACTCTGGGGATGAAGGGTTTATGGACAGGGATGGATTTTTTACGATAACTGGAAGAATCAAGGAGCTGATTATTACGGCGGGAGGTGAAAACATTCCTCCAGTTCTGATTGAAGATGAGTTTATAAAATAAAATGGCATTCGGTTCGAGTGAAATTAGCTCCGCTAATTTTCTCTCTCTCAAGCAATTTTACTTAAGGGGCTAGGTTTTCTTCTGAGAACTTCTGTACAGCAATAGCAGTGAGCAAAGTGGTTCGATCCAGAAGTCCATGGGCCCTGCATATGGATAAATATGGTGGCAGCTCTAGATGCGGCTACCCCGTCGTGGACGTAAAACATAATAGATAATATAACGATAACGATTGAAGATGAAATCAAATCACTTTGTAAAATTGCAAATTCAGTACTTTGTGTTGGTGATGCTAAGAAATATCTTGCTTTACTTTTGACTTTAAAGAGAGTTCCAAACTCTGATGGAAGTCTGTCAGAAAATTTAACTCCAGAGGTCATCTCAATTTTGAAATCATTCGGGAGTCCGGCATCTGAAAATAAAACAGCTATGGAGTGTCCATTAGTGCATAAATATATTCAGCATGCAATTGATCATTATAATAAACATGCTGTTTCAAGAGTAAGGTAGGTATGTCATAAATATTTTATAATATTGAGAAGATTAAATAATTTTATTATTTTATAATATAAATCCTAGTTTAATTTTAAATATTTCTGCTATTTTATTAAGAGCTGATTTCAAAAAAACTCATTTGTATCCATTACTTTAAAATTAATAGATGCTCTCAGTGCTTATTATATGGAAGGAAGCCTTACATCAAATCAAAAAATGGGCTTTCCTTCCGCAAGAATTTTCAGTTGCTGGCGGAGATTTGACTCCAACTATGAAATTAAAGAGAAGTGTAGTCCATAAAAAGAATAAAGCTATCATTGATAAGCTTTATGAAGATCCTCATATCTAATTTAAAATAAATTAAATATAACAATATAACACTATCAAAAAAATAAATTTGATCAATTTAAAATATTGAAAAAGCCGTAAATATTGATTTTATTGCATTATACACAATATTAATTACATAATGAGCATTTAATTCTTTTACTTCACTTCATAAATACATCGACTCATTTGAAGAAAATTAGAATACCTCGACTCTATTATATTATTAATCCTATACATAAAAATGGCCGGAGACGAGCGACCCGTCCTTCCGTGGCGGGTGTCCTTATGTATACCGGACATGGTTTTTGGATGCCGAGAGCTACTCAAGGGAAGAGTTAGCCTCGAGGCGAGAGGCCCAGCCCAATTTCCGCTGATTTTGGGACTCAACCCGGGCAGCAGTTTTTCGCATTCTTTTTGCCAGTAGCGCCGAGGCCTAGACTCGGTGTCCGAAAGAGGCAGGGTGAGTTACCTGCCTAGGCTACTTGGTGGCTTAGCCCCGAATCCCGCAAGGGGTTGAGTTCTTTCTTGGAGATGATCCGGGAAAGAGGGGAGGCGAAGCTAGACTTGGGGATCTCAAGGGCACAAGTCTCTCCAGTTAAAAGGGTCCTCTCACGAGGGCGATCTGGCCAACTGGGGGCAAAGACTGGCGTAATTCGGGGCGGAAGGCTGAGTTGGAAATGGTGGTGCTTAGCGACAGTCGGCTGACGACTCAATAGGGCAACCACTACCGAGAAAACCAGGGGTTTCGGCCTGGGCTCAGAGAACCAGTGATGGAAGTCCATCCTTTTCGCTCGTGCCAGCACGGCTCCTCAAGGAGCGCGGAGGAATGCCACGCATGGAAGTAGGGACTATAAATACACATCTTAAACCTAACCTAACCTATTATTAAGCCTCATAATTCGAAATCTAATCTAACTTTCTCATCATAAAAATGCTCTCAAAAATAGCAAGAGGGTATCGATCTTGGTTCAACCTTTCCTCTGTCCATCTCATCTTTAAAAAAGACCACCCAAAGCCAATTCAACATTACACAGATCGTGGTCTTATCATCCATCCATCCCAAAAAACTTTTACCCCACCTCCAACTATTTCTCTTACATTTACTCCTCCTGAGTCTTCTTTCGTCCCTCCTCCTCCACCTTTTCACAAAGTGGTCGTCGAGAAGCCTCCAGTTGTCCCAAGAGTTGCAGTCGCACTTCGAAAGAAAATCCCCTCCAGCATGAAAAAAATCGTCCCACTGCTTCACATCCTCAAACGAATCCACGTTGCAGACGCTGAATACAAGCTCATAGCTCTTTCTTACAAGAAGGCAGCTGATTATCTATTACGACTATTAAATGCAGCCGTCCACAATGCGACTACTCACAAAAATTTGTCTGTCGACAGATTATTCATCAAAACTATTGAAGTAGGCAGGAATACACCAGGGCGTTTTGTAAAATTTCATGCAAAAGGGCTTGCAGCACGTGGCGAAAGTGCAAGAGTGCAAGTGAGGATCACTTTAGAAGAAAAAAGCCCAGAAGATATATATAAAATCATGATGAAAGGAAAATTCCCAGCTATGTTGGCTGCTAAGTTAAGAAATGACTTTTTCCATGGAGGCTGTGATTTATCAGATCTACAAGCTGAAACCAGCACTATGACAGCGAAAGGCAGACAGCAACAGCATTTAATGCTTAAAAGAAAAGTGATACAAATAGATAAGGAGAATAGAAAAAAAGGGATCATTATTGCAAGAGAAGATATAGAAGAAGCTGTATTGGAAGAAGGCGCAAAGCAGTATGCAGAGGATTACTGGAGAGCCAAGAAAGAGCAGACTGAAATGCTCTATACCCATAGGCAAGAGGTGTTTAAGAATAATGAAGGGATTAAGTAACTTATCGTCTTTTAGCACTAACTAAGCCTCTTGCTTGAGGGTAAGCTTCTTCAGGCTTCGGCTGAGGGTTTTCTTTTGGCGCGCTTGATTTTTTGCCACTTGCAGGCCTTTTTGCGCTTTTAAGTCTTTTAGGTTTCGACTCTGACTGCTCACTGTCAGCTCTCATAGCCCCTTCATCAGTGTACATAAAATAGACTGTAGGGTTGGCTTCTATAGGCATCACCATAGGATCTTCGCTGTATTCTTGCAGTATGCTTTGCACAACTGTTTGCACTCTTTGTGACACGGCCCCGTCGTATTCTTTTTCATTTTTCTTGGATTTTTTCTTGATTTTTCCAGCACCCGGGCCACGTAAGTTATTTCCTGCCAAATCTAGCCTTGGCAAGATCCATTCTTCACCTTCTTCGTTCCACTGTGCAAAGCTTTCTATTAAAGACAGTTGGTCTTGAGGGATAAAGCTTGTTAAAACCAGGTTTTTTAAGCAAACTTGCTGCTTAAGCACATTTATTGTATCGATTAAATCTTGGCGCTCCTGTGCAAATTCTGCTTGGATGTCTTTCATCTCATCCTGGGCACTTTGGAATTTGGAGTACAATTTTTTGAGTTTTTTATCCTTATCAGCAATTTCCTCATGCTTAGAATTGAAGTTATTGAGCATTTCTGTATTTTCAGTTTCCCTGTCATTTATATCTTGATTCAGCTGTTGTTCTTGCTGCTCTCTCATTTCGAGCTCCATTCTTGCTTTCTGCAGTTCCTGCTCTTGCCTAACAGCTTGCTCCATGATCTGCGCCCCACTGATAACTTTTTGCTCCATTTGTTTCAGCTTCTTTAACAATTTTGATTGCTTTTCTTGGGCTATCTGCTGTTCTTCAGCTTCTTTTTGGAGTTCCTCTATAAGTTTTTTCTTCTCACTTTCAGCTATATCCTTTTGCGCCTCAATTTCTTTTTTCTTTTCTTCAGTTTGCAACAAAATTTCTTCTTTTTCCCTTACGATTTTGTCCTCAATTGCTTTAATTTTTGCCTTGTCTTCAACACGAATTATTTTTTCGACTTCAACTACCTGAGGGTCTCCTGCTTGCAAAATTTGTCCTCCCATAGACAGCTGTTCTGCTGTTAAGGTTCCGTCGCCTAACTGGGCTCTTAGTCTTGCAATTTCATCTTGAAGCTCTCTAAGCATAGCGTCTTTTGGGTCTTCATTAATTTTTGGCTTATTTTGGATATTTTTGGCTCTATTTGCGTAACGAAGGGTGGATAAGGTTTCATCATAATTTCAGTCAGCAGGGCCAATATTAGCAATCATTACAGTTTTTGTGTTGCCACCTAATGAGTCTTGAAGAAGTTTTGTGAGCTTAGAATCTCTGTATGGGATATGAGTTGAAGCTCCATCTACAAGAGCAGAAATAACGTTTCCTAAAGTTAGTAACTCCCTCCCTCTGTGAGCGAAAAAATATTTTGTTCAATCGTCTGAGGAGCTATTTTTGTAAAAATTATATAATAATATTTTAAAAAAATCCCAATTCAATTAATTAATTTTTAAGTTTGAGTTTTAAAAATCCAAATTAAACAGAATTAGTTAGAAATTTCATTAAAATAATTATTATATTAAAAAAAATTTTTAGCTCATGGAGGTCGGCTTTTATCCAAAAAATAAGGATTTTCCAATGGTTTTGTTCGCTCACAGAGAGGAAGAGTAAGGACTTATTGATATTGGTGGCTTCCTTTAGCCTATCTCCTGTAGATCCAGTTTTGCTTTGTCTTTCACTTCCTGCCAAATCGACTATTGCAATTTCCTGTGGATGGCGCTGTTTTGGCCTTGATTTTCCCACTTGAAATGTTTTTTGGTTCGACCAATACCATATGGTTTGGTCAAACCAAAAAATTTTCCCTGTGGGAAAATCAAGGCCAAAATAGCGCCATCCATAGGAAATTAGAATAAATTTAGTTTTCCGACCTTATAATGGTTAATCCCTGTATTATCTGATTCACTGCTTTCTATTGTGATAGTGAAAATGCTATGAGACCTTGATGAATCTCTATTCATTAAGGTTTCGCCAACATGCCTGTTTCCTTTGCCCAAGTCCATCACAGCTTTCATATCTTCAATTCCTTTGACAACACATGTAGTTAAATCTTTTACATAAAATCCGCTGTCTGGGCTTTCTTTAATGTCAAGCTTATTTTTGGATGATTTTGATAATAAGTCATGGACATCTTCATTATAAATTTCTAAGAAAGATGCACGAATTAAAAACTGAGTTTGAGGATGCTGATCGACACCATAAAAAATTTGTTCGAAGGCACGTGGGATAATACCACGGTTTTCCTGAGGTTCCTCTTTACCTTCCATTGTGAAGGTTTTGCCTGTTCCGGTTTGTCCATAAGCAAAAATTGTGCCGTTATAGCCTTCTAGCACACTTTGCACAATTGGATAGGCAGTATCACAATAGATTTGTTCTTGAGCTGAATCCTGCCCGTATGTATTGTCATATGTGAATTGGCGAGGAGGCTCACTTGTATCTGGCTTAGGATTGGCGACAATTAACTCGCCTCTTTTTGCATCAACTTGGACTATGCATGCTCTGCCATCAACAATCTCTTTTTCGCTCATTGGACGACATCGGACTGCTACTTTTACGCTCTCGACTTTTTTGGAAGCCATTTATATTAGAATTTGAATTGAAAATGGGACATGTAAGGAAAATTATATAAATAATAATTATTCATAGCATCAATTTTATAAATGGAATTACATTATAATATAATGTTTATTTTTTGGGAATTTTTAATAGCAATCACGAAATTTGAATATTTACTTAGATAACTAAGAATTCCAAGTTCAAAAATTATTTTTCTTATGCAGGGAGACTGCAAAAACCGAGCTAAGCACTTATAAATCCAGCTGCGAGGATATCCCATTCGCCGAAGAGCAAGCTAACCGCCAAATAAAGATGATTCATGAATACCTAGAGATGCAATCTTAGCTCAGATAACGAGGAAGATTGCTTGCATAAAAAATATAAGGCATTTATTTGAAGATATAAAAGCGCAGCTAAAACTGAAATGAAAATGTGTATAGTTTGATTGATGATATAAACAAAGCTAAAAGGGCAGATGAAAACGAAATTTGTTGATCCAGCTAAATGGGCAATATATTATAAATCAATTATACTTTCAATTTCAGTCAAATTTGTAAAATTTATATATAAAAGATAGTAATAATCTTATTAGTCTAATTTATACTAACTTCACAAGATTATAGCATCATCGAGCAAATTAATGGCATATCAAAATTTATTGATATTCCATTATATTTTATAATGGAAACTCGAGCTTTAAGCAACACTAGTGCCGCTCCTAAATCCACGTCTGATAAGCATCAGCTTAAATTAATACACTCTTTTATGAAGAAAGTCAATTACATTCATCCACTTCTGGTTCCAACATTAAACGAACTTGGTCTTTCCCCGAATGAGTTACAACCTAAACCAATTGAGGAATTTTCTGATAAAAACTCAACAATGGAGGTTCAAATGCTCCGTTATAGCCATTATGAAGCTCGCCGTCAAGCTAAAATTGAAATCTTATCGAATACCTTATTTTCAAAAGGACTGTTTGCTCACAAATTTGATAGTGCAACTAACTCCCCAGACGATTCAAGAGTAAGCACGAATTCCCCTTCTCCATTAAGAATTAAGCGTAGTCTTAGTGTTATTCATAAAGAGCCAGATGTTACTCCCCGTTACCCAATTAGCCCTTTAACTACTACCCAGCGTCAAGTTTTGCTGCAACAGCAAAAATTAGACAGATTTCTAAGAGTTCAAAATAACCAAAAATACCTTCGAGTAAACAAAGAAAAAGAAATAATAAGCAAAGAAATCAGGCAAGAAATGAAGCTTAAAAAGCTAGAAGAAGATAAAGCATTAAAAGAGGCTGAAAGAAAGCAAAAAATCCAAGAAAATAATATGAAAAGGCAAGAGAAATTGAAAAGAAAATATGTAGTAAGAAAGAAATAGGAAATACAAGAAAATGAAACCAAAGCTTTAATGTTGGAAGAAGTTATTAATGAAGCTAGTGATGAGAGATCAAAATCTTCGCTGACAGCTAGAGCATCATCAAGAAGAATGAATGAGTAATTTTTCTATTGAGGTTTATCAGTCGACGTTGAAGTTGATTTTAGGCTTGAAAAGCTGCAACAAAAAATGGAAAAATCGATCAAGAGAGCAAAAAAATTTCAGCTAGAAAAAGTAAACTCAAAGAATGCTTTTACTTACAAAGTAAAGGAAAACAAAAGCAAACTCGAAATTTATGAAGAGCAAAAAACAATAGAAAAAATAAATACACTTAATCAGTCTTTAGAAGCCTCAAAAGTAAGAAATAAGCAGAAAAAAAGAGAGGACTATCTTAAAGGAATTGCTGAGAAATTAAGTGATGTTAGCCAAAGAAGGAAGAAAAAAGTAATGGAAGAATTGAGGAAAGAAGAAGAAAGGCAAACCTTGAGAAACAGAGAATTTGACGTAAAAGAATTAAATAGAGAAAAAATTCGCGAGCAAACCAAAGAATGATACACACAACAAGCCCAACTTCTGTCAGAATGAAACAGCCTCCGCAGGTCTGATCACTATGAAAACTTCACAAAAAACCAATACAATTTAAACACAACTATGAAAAAAATTTTGAACAAGCAACAGGAAAAAGATAATTTTATTAAAAGAATAAAAGATACTGAAAAAAAGCTGTCTCAAGTAAAGAAAAATATTGATGAAACGTTAAATATAAACAAAGAAATTATTGGTATTGACGTAAATAATGCTATAATTGCATTACACAAGAAAAAATATAAAGAGTTTTCAAAAACTACAGACCAAACTGCAATAATTTAACCCTAATTTTAATTAAATGAATATGGATTTGCAAATGCCAGTTAGTTCTAACTCCCATATAAATATAGACCAAGGCTGTTTGCTTGATGATCCAGACTTAGGAATTGTTACAGAAAATGACCATAACGTTGGGCTTTGTCTCTGCCATAAATGCACTTGTGGTAAGCACAAGTGCCCTAGCAGAAAAATATTTCGTCAAATTCCTATAAAATTGCAATCTTCTTATAATTCAGAATACCAATATATTAAGATTCCCAGTTACAAGGTAAACCGATCATTTGATTCTTGTTATTCGCTATCTAAATATCCATTTAATTCCAATTCAAGCTATAGATTGGAATACAAAGAACATCAAATTAGTCCTATAAAATTTACTAAAAAAAAATATAATCCGAATATTGCAAAACTTGATACAAGATCTACCTATAAAGTTTCCTATAAAAACTATAGTCCTCTTAAAGAACGATCCTTTAGTCCTTATCCTCACAATCTGCATAGTGATGAATTAAAATTCAACGATCTAACGACGTATGGGTCAAGCTATAAAGAAAAAGAATATTTAGCACCGAAAAGATCAAAAAGCAGTTTGAGGCTTGGAGTTTTCATGGATGCAGACTTTTCTGAGCCTTCTACTCATAGAAGAGATTTTCAAGATTTCCAAGACTTTAAAGAAATTTGCAATTCTGCCGCTATGAAGCCAATAGACGAAACTATGTCTCCTGCAGTAAAAGTCCGAGAAAAAAGTGTAAACCAAATTGAATACTTGCCTAAAATTAGGCCGACTAAAGAATTTGCGAGAAGCAATTCATTTCTGAGGAAAAGACATGTAATCTAATTCATTATTCCGTTTAGATTAACTTCTAGCTATTTATAAAATTTTATTTAAACCATATAAATTCAGCATTAATAATAAAAATTAATCAATTGTTTTGGAAAAAAGTCTGACTCTCCCCTCTGTGAATAGGCAGAATTTTTTCGCTCGTTCTCAATGAAGTTAAATTTATTTTTCAGAATATATAAATATAATTTATTTTTATTTTAGAATGCTACCTATTTTAAATTTAATAAAATTAGTTTGAGATCTCTCCATTAGAGCAAAACTATTGGACCTTTATTTTTTGGAAAAACTCTTCATAAGTGTGAAAAAAATTGTTATAATATGAAATATTTTTTTTTTAAAAATAATTTTTGAGCCAAAAGGAGGCTCGGGATATATAAGTGATAATTATGATAAAGGTGAACATAAAAAAATTCATTTTTCAAAGATAAGAAACTCAGTTCCATTAAGACCAATTAAATTAGATATGAAATTGCATTAATTAAATTAATCAATAATTAAATCTAAAATGTCAAAAACTTCTCTTCGCTCTCCTTATTCGTTATCTCCTAGAGATTCAAAAGTCTCTTTCTTTAGACAAACAAATTCAGAAGGGCTTGATTTATTTAATGCCTTTGTCGAACGGAAGAAAGTAACTGAGCATCTAATTTCTATGCAAAATCGCATAAAGCAGCTAGAAAAAGAAGAACAAAAGACCCAGAAAAAAATTGATTTAGCAAAGCAACATATTGATAGTGTGAATGAGCTAAAAAATAGAAAACGCAAAGAAAAAGCTGACAAAAAGCAATATGAGATGATGAAAATGCAGCAATTGGAGACATTGAGGCAAAGGAACAATCAAAAAAGACTAGAAAATAAAGAAATAATCATGAAACATAAAGGGATAGTATTAGAAGAAAGGAAAAGGACGGTTAGAGAGCTTAAGGATTTTCTGACAAAACAAAAGAGAAACTCGCTTGGCCCTATGTGCCAAAATAACTTTAAAGAGTTATCAAGCACATATAATAAGTCAAGCGTAGAAAGCTCGCCAGGCCCATCTCGCATTAAAGAGAAACTTTCTGACGAAAAAACCAGAACAATTCAAAATTGGACTGAAATAAAAGCTTTAAAAGAACGTGAAAAGGAGCTTCTTTCGAGGCTTGAAATGAAAACAAAGCTTCAAGAAAAATACTTGCAAGAATTAAAGTCTGTTGTTTCCAGCAAAACTTAATGTTATTAGCACAAAAATTCATTCTGAACTTCCATTTAATAATCATATATTTATTAGTCAAATGGTTGATGAAGCTTTAATTCATATATTAGTTGTTGAAGACGAGCCATTCCAGCGTCTTGCAATGATTGATATACTCTCTCTGCTTGATTACGAAGTAGAGACAGCTGAAGATGGGCATATGGCTTGAGAACTTTTAAAACAAAAAGGATCCACCTACGACTTGGTCCTTCTTGACTTAGAGCTCCCAGGAATGGACGGTCTCGAGCTTCTGGGAAAGCTAAAGGAAACACCAGACCTCAAAGATATCCCTGTCGTCATGCTTTCAGCACATAGCGAAATGGACAAAGTGTATGCAAGCTTGGATCTTGGTGCCCTGGATTACCTGATCAAGCCTATCAGGCCAGGAGCCGTCAAAACCGTAGTTAATCAATTAAAAATCCGTCCGAAAAACTCACCTACAGTTGAAACTGGGCTTAAAGCATATGAAAGAATTAGGACTCTCGGAAGAGGGGCTTTTGCATCAGTCGATTTAGTAAGAAAAAAAAGCACAGGGGAATTACTAGCCTTAAAGAAAATCGATATGCAATTTTTATCTAATGAAAGAGACCGAAGGAACGCAGAAAATGAAGCGACACTTATGAGAGTTCTAGTAGGCCCTACTATAATTCAGTTTCACGAGCAAATTGTTGAAGAGCAAACTTTGTACATTTGCATGGAGTTCGCCTCAGGAGGATGTCTGAGCGAAAAATTGCAAGAACTGAGAAACAGAGGAGAGAGACTGAGTGATGAACAAATAATCATGTGGTTTGCCCAAATTATTATTGCCTTGATGATTATGCACAGCAAACATGTACTTCATAGAGACTTGAAAACTGAAAATCTATTTTTGCAAGGGAATGTTATTAAGGTAGGAGACTTAGGAATTGCGAAGAGCCTAAGTAACTCTTATGAAATGGCTCAAAGTGTGGCTGGGACTCCTTATAGTATGGCACCAGAAATCCTGAGGCAGGAAAAATATGGACAAAAGACAGATATTTGGTCGCTTGGATGTGTACTATATGAAATGGCTACATTTAAACGACCATTTGAAGGAAAAGATGTCCAGAGCTTGATTGATGTAGTTTTAAACAAAGAGTATCAGCCATTGCCAGATTACGTTGATACTAATATAAAGTTGCTTGTATCTCAAATGCTGAATAAGGATCCAAATAGACGACCTACAGTTTGGGACTTAGCTAATATGCCAATTGTCAAAGAACACATCACAAAATTCGTGGAAGAAACTTCATGTGCTGACACAATTATGCCTCTTTTTGATCATGATCCTCGAAATCGTAAAAAAGCAGGCAATGCTCCAAAACCAAATATAATCCAAGTTAGTGATATAGCGAGCTTTGCTCGCTCAGAAATGAGCCTCCAAGACAAAAAAATTGGCTGGTTTGGTAAAACTTACCAAAGGGTCTTTACAGGAAATGACTTATTAGAATATTTGCAAAGCAAATATAAATACACCTTAGACCAGTCAAGAAATGCAGGGCAAGAAATGCTTGAGCAAGGCTTAATTCATAATATTGATGGACAGTCCCTTTTCTCTCAAACTTTATTCTATCAGTTTAGAGAAGACAGAACTGATGTAGCTCGCAACATGATCTATTTGTGAAGCAAAGATGTGCGTGTTCCTCATGTTGTTGTAAGAGATTTGGTGCAAATTGCTAATCAAATTATAAGTCAGTATAAAGATGATGTGGAAACTATAAGAAGCAGCAATGAATATAGAGAACTAATTAGAGCAGTTGGAGAGCTGCAAAGAGTAGAGACTAGAAATTTAACGAGAAATGAAAAAGTTGAGTTCTTTTTAGCAGTTTATCAAATCATGGCTCTGCACCAAATGATTGAGCTGGGAGATACAAAGGCAGGGTGGTTTAAAGATCCAGCTGACAATTTTTATTATTGTATCAATTTTTTAAACTACACTTTAAAAGAGCTGAAGCATGGAGTGTTAAGAGGAAATAAAAAGCCACCAGGCAGCTATACGAGGTTTTTTTATAACTCAGATCCAAGAAATATGCTGCCAAATCATCAAGATCCAAGAGTGTTGATCGTATGTCAGGATCCACCATATCCAATGCAGCCTATAATTGATTTTCATGAAGGAGTTGATGATATATTGGAAAAAAAGACTGAGGAGTATTGCAATAGAGAAGTTTGTTTAAACTTATCTGTAGAAGAGCTAATTTTACCGAAATTGTTCCAAACTTATCAAGCAGATTTTGGAGGAACTGAGGAAGCAGCTATAAGATGGCTATGAAAATTTTTTAGTGCTTGTAAAATTAGTGATGAAAATGTGATATCTAAGATAAAGAGGCAAAAATTATAAGGATCCCCCCCCTCATTTGTCCAATTTTTTAGTCTTTTTTTCTATCAAAATTTTGACTAAAAGATTGGACAAATGAGGCCCTAAAAAAAGGTTTTTTTCCTATAAAAAAAAACTAGAAAATTGGACAAATGATAAAAGACTAGAAAATTGGACAAATGAGGAGGGGGGATCCTTATGTGCAATACAGGGAATAATAGATGTAATAGAATTATTATATAAATACTTAGACTTAATTGCTTATTTAACAACTTGCTATTAATTGTAAATTACACTCATGCAAAGGACAGGATTTTCACTCACTATTTCGCACAACAAATCCGATAAGTAGCTTTTCAACTATCATATAAAAATTCGATTTTAATTTTCATAAGATTTAAATAAAAATTAACTTAACTCACTTAGCATGGACGATAAATATTATTCAATACAAGAAACATTGCAAGAATTATCTACTGAATATAAAAAACTTGAAAAACTTCGCAAGCTCATTGTTATTGACAATTCTGATCATTATTCTCGGTTTTTAAGTTTTATTAGTGAAGCTACATCTCTCGGGATAATTTTAATTCAGCATCATAAGCTCTTTGAAGCTTCCCAAATTCTTAATAAAGCTCTCAAAATAGACTTTTTTGCCTCAAAAATTCCCAAGCATTCACTATCACAAGAAAAACTTCTGTTTTATTCAACCATGGCATTTTTCTTTTATAAGTAATTTTTCTATAGTTTGGGCACATAAAAACCATCAGGCTTTAAGATTCATATATGAAATTCAATCAGTAATTTTGACAGCAAATAAGCACAACAAAACTTTTGAGGCTGATATCCAATTATGCTGCCACATAGTGACCTTTATTATCATGTGATCTATAAAGCATTTTCAAAAAGCAGCCACTTATATAGAATTAGCCTCAGATATAATCACAGAAGTCATGTGTGGAAATTTAAATACAAAACTTACTGAAGAGAATCAAAAAGAATTGTGTGGAATTATCAGCTTATGCTTAGGCGGAGTAAAGCTAAAACTAGAAAAAAATACAGAATCGACTATCAAATTGTGCAGAGAAATGATGGAATGCATAGAAAGCCTTAAAATTAAAAATATTGCTAAAGGATTTATAGAAAAAATTGAGATCGGAAATATAAATGTGGAATCATGCGAAAGCACATCAACTTTCGAATTTTTTCCAGAATCCCAGGAACACAAGAAAATTAATGACATGCCTTCATTAGATGGAGAAATGCATTTCATTAATCAGCCCTTAAATGATGAACTCTTAATCAGCCAAGATTTTGATAATATCATATTTGAAATTTTATTTTTAAAATTTTTGCCTGAGGATTTCCTTCAAATTGATCCTGAAGAATTCAAAGAAAAGCTGCCTTTAATTGAAAATAAGCCATTTGATAAAGGTCTGAAACCTAACGATATCACCAGAAAAAGTCTTTCTATCAAAAAAGTAAAAGATTTCAGAGCGAAAAATCTTACTCCATCACCTATGAGGCCTTCTTCGCGAGCCAAAATTTTCCAAAAATTATCTGGAGAAGTAGTTTTAAATGCAAGTAAAGTTCAGTCTCCATTCGTAAGAAGATCACCATCACCTAGTTTTGTCCAAAGTCCATATTCAAGCCCTGAAAACCACACGAAAATTGTTAAAAAAGAAAAAGAAAAAATTGACATTTATAAAAAAGAAGCAATAAGCAGGAGAAACCGACATTTTTGAGTTGAGCTAAATCCTTTAAAAGATGAGAAATCTAATGACCGTGGAGTTAGAGTGGAATTAACTCCTGTTCGGTATAGATTTTCAAAGTCCCGGTCAAGCCTACGGTATAGCTCTCCTATTAAATAATTTTTAAACACTAGATTTATTATTAATTAACAACTCATTATTATCGAATTTCAGCCAAATTTACTGATTATTTGTATTATCTGGTTTATTGAAATCTAAAACTGACTCAACTGCTCCTGCTAATTTTGAAGAATTTAATGCAAAGTACGGTACATTGCAAACTTTCCAGCCTTTACTTTCCAGGTAGCGGGTTGGCGCTAGTGAGCTTTGCTTTATTTGCAGCTCAGGAAACACGTAATTTTCATAAGACATAAGTGATATTGCAATCTTCTGTGAAGGTATTGCAAAATCGAAGTAAAATCCATCATAAAAATTTTCTTGATACTCAATTTTTCTTTCTTTTAGTAAATTATTCAAAAACTCATAAGCGCGGGGTTTTTGATGCTGCCTGTATGCTTTTTCAACATCTTCTTTGTAATTCATCAATAATTCTGGAGTATATTTGAGGGGCTGGCTGGGATATTTCCCTTGACCCATAGACAATATACCGAAACGGTATCATCAGTCTATTTCTGGAGGAGTGTTTGCTGCCTTTAAATGGCCAGAAGGAGGTATTGGGCCTTCCCCTCTTACAGGGTTAAGAGAGTCTATTACTGCAAGTCTGGCTCAAGCAGGTTTGGGAGAGTCCCCAGCTATTGGAATTACTATAATTGCCTGAATTCCCTATCGACAGAAGACGTCACCATTTTTGGTGGACCTTAAGGAAGAGTGTTAGGTGGCTTTAGTGCTTAGTGTCGCATGAGCGCGAAACTGAAGCTAGGCCGGCTAGAAGCTGAAATAATCCTTGTTTAACTCCTCCCAATCGTAATCTGCTCTTTGTAATTCGTCTCCATTATACTTGCGTATGGTTCTAAAGTGTGTCGATAAGTATCATATTTTGGCGTCCCATTCAAATTCAATAGAATCTGATAAAGGCTTTTATAATATTTTTCTTCGTGCTTATATGTAATTTCTACTTCTTTGAAAAACTCCTGCCAGAAATCATCTAAATCAAGATCGACCTGAGATAGCAAAGTAGCTATGGCCCAGGACGACTTATAGCTCTTTCTATCTACAACTTGGAGCTCCAACTCGTGGATTTAGTTCAGTTCAAATGTTTTGACAATCCAAACTCCAAGAGTTGGCAAATCCAATTATGGGCTCACTTGTCAACTTGCGAATTGGTTTAGAAAATACAGAGCAAACCAACTCTACTAGAAGACCTCAAAGTGGTAGACAGGACGAGCAATAAGCTGCCTTAGGCTATACATTTATTAGCATACTTTCAGCTTCGTCTCCAGAAAATTTAAATATCAAATCTGCAAGCTTTTCAAAGTTTTCCTTGTCAACCTGTCCTGTGGAATCCCAAATAAATTTAAGGATGCTATAAAAAGCTTCTAATTTATTTTCTTTTCTGCCACGAGTTAAATCAGCTAAAATAAGTCTGCAAGCATCGTCAACTTTGTTTTCGAGGTAATAGCAAGTTTTCATAAGAGATTCCAGAATTTCAACCATCATCTGATTCTTGATATTACTTAGCCTGGTGAAAAAAATCTCATAAATAGGCTTTAAGACATATTCGCAGAGTTTTTTATAGTCGTCGCTGTAAGTCTGTAGTCCTGTTTTCAATAAAGGAAGAATAGACTTATTTTCGATGCTTTTCAAGGCAAGATGATCAGGATTTGTAAGTATCTTTAAGAGGTTTTCTTTATTTTTCGTAGGGGTGAAGGCATTGATATACTTTGACGTAAGATCAAACGCCAAATCCCCTTTGATAAAGCGCACGGCTAGGATGTCCATGATTGATTCAAATAACTCTCTTTTTTCAGCTATTTCAAGCTGAGCATCTTTGTTCTTTACCATTTCCAATACTTATTTATTTAATTACTCAGTGGTCTTCTTCTACAGGGTGAAAGGTCATCATCATCCTAAGATGTGTCAAGCGGCGGCAAACCTTATGCCTCCTAAACCCAAGGGTTAGGAGTTCAGCTATGCGCTGGTATGTTATTGATATTTGAGTTAGGTACACCAGAACAGCCGAACCTCATAATAAAATTGTCAAATGAGGAAAAGTTCTTAGAAAAGCTTATTCCAATTATTGTTACCATTTCTAATGCAGATGTAAAAGTATCTAATATGTTGTCCAAAACTTCTGAAAACGAAGTCTGCAAGTCAACTAGCTTGATTTTATTTACCAATTGAGTTAAATCAGCAATAAAAGAAGTCTGGTTTTTAATAGGATGCAGCAGATGCATAATGATGTTGATTAGAGTTATCTCGTTTATCGGATCGCAGCTTTGAGTCATAAACTCAGATAAAGCACTTTGAAGTTTATTTGCTATCGGAATATCACAGTCTTTATAAATTTTCAAACGATTTTGAAGGAATAACTCGATTTCTTTTGAGTTTTTATAATCTTTGAGGCTTTTTGCGAAACTTGTGTCGAGATAAGTTAAAGCTTTAGCTATGACATCTTTAGTTTCTTCTGAGTAGCATTGTAATAGAGCCAAACAAATTGTACTAGATTGGCTTTCAGTGAGATCTCCAAAGGCGGAAGTGTCGATTGTTTTGAGTTTCTCGACTAGCATGCTTTTACTCATACGGTTTTGCATTGTACTGTAGCATGATTTGTAAAGCTCGTTAATGTTGGCAGAATCATTTTCATCCCCGCTTTCTGTGCTGACAGTTTTTTCTATCTGTTCAGAGGCCTTCCCTTCTTTATGGGACTCTTCTTCAATTCCACTTTCTTTACTAAGATTTTCTTCATTCTGTTTAGAGGTCTCCATTTTTTTTGGCTTCTCTACAGTTATTTCTGGTTGCGAATCAGACTGAATGCTTTTCTTTTCAACTTGTGGGCTTGCTTTGGGTAAAGCAGATTTAGCTTCCTCTTTTCGGATTTGCTTCATATTTAATTCTTTGTCTTCAATAATTTTGATTAGTTTTGCTATATCATCAGTAGAAGCTTTTGTCTCGTATAAAAATTCTGACCACCTAAACATTCTATTAGTCGTAGAGCCTTCATAATCATAACCTTTATCAGATTTTGCTTGGTGTATTGAATTGGCTATGGAGAGTAATTTATGTGAAGAATTGAGTAATATTCTAATTTCTGATTGCAAATTGAGTAATGTCACATCAGAATAATGATCAAATCTCATGGGACCTCTTAAAGAGGCTGAAGATAGAGATTCGCTATGTTGGCTGTATTCTTGGCTATTTCCGAAATTCTTTGAGCTAGGAATTTTTTGAGGGCTTCTTTGAGGGATTCTTTGTCGACGTAAGGGTGCCTCATTGTATCTTGGAGGAAGCTTTCCTTGCGTCGAAAATCTGCCTGTAAGCTTGATGATCTTAGAAAGCATCTTTTTAATAATAAAATTAAAGCTCGAATTGCCTTATTTTAGATAACCACAACAAGATGAAATTATTTTGGCAAGATTGCAGCTGCTTTCAAAAGCAAGTGTTACTCCATATCTTAAAAATACATAAAATTCTAATATTCATAATGAGAATAATAATTTCTATATAAATAGCTTCGACTTAATTTAATGAAATGAGCACATTAGAATACTAATTTAACTTTTGGGGCACTGAATCGATTAAACTTTTGTATAATCCTCCATAAAAATATATAGAGACAATTATAGAGCGTGACATTTTTTCGTTAATTTTATTTTTTCTTCAATCTAGTATTTGAAGAAAGAAAATAGGACAATAGCGAGCCAGTAAAGCGGCTTTCCGACTGCAAAAAATTGTATATTAAAATAGATTCTTTTGTTTCGATTAGGGGGAAGATAGAAAGAATGTGAGTTTTTACTGCTTTTATACTAATTAAACAAATTACAATAAATCTAGTAGTTATATCGGTAGCCTTCGCATGATCCACAAGTGGCTATAATAATTAGTGTTGTCGATGCAAACGGAAAAATTCCAACAATGTTGTCTATGCACCTCAATACTACATTATCAACCACTCATCATAATGTTTATGGCTTGCAGCGATATTTCGAATTAATATTATTTTATTATTTAGTTGCCTTTGTATATAGTAAACTCTATTTTTACTATTTGCTTTACAATTTCCTTATTCTACTTGCTCCCCTTTAAATTGGAGCAAAACTTTTATTTTTGGGTACTTTAATTCCCATTTAAATTGAAACAATTTTTTTAAAACAAATTTTATAGGTGAAAATACTAGTTTTTTGACCTAATTTAACGAAAAAGTGCAAGTAGAGTATTATACAAAATACACTGAAACATCAATTTTTAATTAACTCTTCATAAAATGATAAAATTAAAAAATATTGGTTTCATTTTTTTTTAGTTTTTAAATTATAAATTGAAGCAGGAATTGTGCTCCAATTTAAATGGGGCAGGTTAAATAATAAATGGAAAGCGGGCTAAAAGAAGCTGTTAGCATAGGCCAGCTAATTAATTTCCTTCACGATCCGAACCGTAATAAGCGTAAAGACGGTCTGGTTCAGCTTTCTAACATTCTTCAGTCAGAATCTTCAGAAAATGTCAAATCTCTTTTCTCAAGCAAGCTAAAGCCAGCTTTGATAGAAATTTTTGGCGATTCTAGTGAATCCAATAGAGAAAAAGTTATCGATCTTATAAACCAGCTTCTATCACAAAATAAAATTAACGAAGATGATATTCCTCATATCGTTCAAAAGCTTCATGAAAGATTAGGCCACGATCCATGCCCAGAGACATGTGAAGAAATAAAGGTCAAAGAGTCGGTTACTTTAAAACTTATTGCGACCAACCATTGGAATCTTTTATTGCCTTCGTTTGGGTATATCATTGATATTGTGTGTAAACAAGGAAAAGAGTCATCTCCAGCTATTAAAATTTCAATAGCTGAAATTGTGTCAATTTTATGCGATTCCTTTGGAGACAGGATAGGATTTTCAAGCAAAAGGATTTTTGATAGCATGAGAAACAATTTATATCATCAGCAGTTTAAAGTAAGGCTTCAAACTCTAACAACGCTTGGAAAAATATGTATATGTGAAGGCGCGCTTATATTTGAAGACATAATCGTGGATTTTAAAAAACTACAATTAGATAGGAGAAAAGAGGTGAGAGAAGTACTGTATAAAGTGATAGGAGATATTATGTGTAAATTACAGTATACAGTTTTAAGGAGTTTTGAAGGAAAATTGAGCTATTTATTGCTTGGTGGATTTTCAGAGAGCGAGTTTGCATGAATTAATGAAGTAATTGATAATTTTGGATAAGATAATTATAAAATGGCTACATAAATAAAATATGGCGTCTTCGTCTGGGCATGGCCTCCCGGCCATGCATACTCGACTTATATTTTATTTATATCCGGTAAGGTTTTACTACTTCAGAAATGGACAGCAATGCTAGGTAAGCAATTCTGATTGTGTTCAGAGCCTAGCCCAAGTCTAAATTCAGAGGTGGTTTTTTCCTCGTGGGGAAGATGAGCACGGAGGTTGGAAAGGGGAAGCCCAGCAGAGTCCCCTGGACCAATCGGGCAACTCCCTAGCGTGAAACTGGGCGTTACGTCCCAGCTTTCGAGTTCTACCTTCTACCGACAGTCGACCAGAAAATCCCATTTTTTATGGATTTTCGGAAAGGCAACCCACGTTGTGCGAATCCCTTGTTTGAGGCAACAAGGAGGGTGTCCGCCGAGGCTCACCATGGGCGAAGAGCGTGAAGGGTGCAAATCCCCGGCCCTGCAAGTGCGAACGGCTAATCTTAATCTTAATCTTAATCTTAATAAAATGGCTACGTGTGAGGTTGGCTTTCCTAAGAATTCTTATCTAGCTGCATCAGGTAATCAAGAAAGGTGCACAGTCTCATGGCCTGGCCCTTTGGGTATGTTGGAAGGCTAGGGTTTGTCTGCTTAACAAACTCGAGGAGGATGACCTTTAAGTGAACACCACAGAAGCAGAGTATCGTGCGATGGCAAGGATCCAAGCGAGATGCGCCGCCGTTTTTGTTTTCAAATGTCTATCTATATGGTGCACCTTTTCAAGTACAGGCAGTCCTTCTCTTAGGAATGAGCACTAGACACTAAAAAACCTAATTAAATTTGTAATTTCATAATGTTGGCTATAGGAGAAAAGTTTTAGCCCAAGAATTCACAGAAAACGTCGAAGATTACATAATGTCTGATGCTGGAGAGTTTTTGATTTTAAGAAATCTTCAAGAATTGGTACAATTAGCTTTAGATGATATCCAAGAGTGAACAATGCAAGACCACTATAGAAGTAAAGCAGCTTCTATACTGGATTATACAATAAGAGCAGCACAAAATCATATAACTCCTCATTTAGATTCAATCTTTAAAGTGATTTTCAAAGCTTATGCACAATCAGAAGATAAAGCATTTTCTGCTTTATTTGAAAATTGTATTGAGAAAATCGGAATGTTTTGTGATTTTGACTTGGTTTTAACGCTTTTTAGAAAATTTTGTTTGACTGATATAACTTCACCTACAGAAAAATCAGGAGGACTGATTTTGTTTGCAAAAATGCTGAATTCGCTGCTTTTAACTGAAGACCGAATGAAAAAAATAGTAAGCTTTATAGCTGAAAAAGACTTATCCGATTACCCAGAAATTCCAAAATCTCTTCAATTAGTAATAGAATCACTAATTCTGCAAGCTAAGTCTTTATGCATTTCACATGTTAATAGTCTTTTCCATTCACTTTTATTGCTTGAAAATTCTTCAGCTCAAGAATCAGTTCAAAAAACAATGGGAATATTGGCTGAGTATTGTGGATTATTGTCTGTATCTGATCTTTATGCCACACAACTGCCAACAGCTTTACCTTTACTTACAAGAGACTATAGAAACTGGGACTCCGACTCAAAAGAAAGAAGCTTATTCAAATCTTTAATTGTAAAATCAGGAAGTGCAGTTTCTCAATATTTTGATACCATTGTTGAAGTGATGTCAGTCAACTCTCAGCGCGAAAAAGATTCTGAAGTCAGATTTACAATGCTTGTAATTCTCGAAAACTCGTTGAATTTATCTGAATTAGACAATTACATAAGAAGTTACTGTAGAAAAATATTAGAAAGCATTATTGTTCCTACAGCTGCCTGAAAGGTAGGGATTTCTAATGTAGAAATAAGAGTTTCTAGTATGCTTTGTCTTGAAAAGCTGATTGGGAAAATGCTTATTGAAGACTCTGTACTCGTAGAATTATGAGATAAAGTATTTCCTGTGGTAAAAACTTGTTTAGATGACGATTGGGATAAAGATTTAAGAATTTCTGCTTGCAGAGTCATAATCTCATTTTTTGAATTCTATTCACACATCCTTGATGAAATCTTGGTATCAGGTATTTATCCAGAGCTGCTAAAAAGACTTGATGACTCTCAAGATTATATTAGAATGATAATTTGTGTCCCGCTTGAGAAGCTATTTAAAGTTATTTTAGAAAGAGGAATCAGATTTGGGAATTACAAATTCATGATAGAAACTCTTCTTGTTCATTTAGATGATCCAAGTGAAAACATACAAAAATCAGTCAAAAATGTTTTACAAGTCGCAAGATTATATGATGCAGAAACATTTTTGGAACTTTCTAGAAGTGCACAGCATAAGCATAGACACCCAAGAGCAGTTACAGAACTTATTGAAGAATCACAAAATCAGAGCTAACTCAATTAAGTAACAAAGATTTATTATAAAAGCAACATATATATAGTTAATTTGTAGATTCCAATTATATCAATAAGATTAGCATACAAATTAATTTTCTTTCATTTCTATTGTCAATCTGTAGTGCAGTAACTTGTGCCCTCGTTCAACTTTATCCTGAAATGCAAACCTATTTATCAAGCTCTCCAAATCCAGAGCTATACATTGTTTTTTCTCTCTTTCTTCGTCTAAGCTATTTTTAGCTGTTTCTGCCATTCCTGCTATAACAATTTCTTCATTTTCATCTGAATCAGTATTCCAAATTTTTAACGTGAATTTAGCAGGGATTTTCCCAAGTGTCCGAAATTGAGGATAAAATAAATTTTTCAAAGAATCCATAAAAATATACGTCAAAATTGTACAAGTTTGATCCTCTGTTATATAAAAAGTATGCAACAGTTTTACACAGCCAGCTGTCGGTGGCAATGAACTAGATCTAAGCCTTGATGAGTATTCTGCTGTATTTCCTGTAATGTCATAGTGAGGAATTTTATGTTTAGTATTGAGATGGCTCAATAATGAGTCTAGTTGCCCTTTTCACTTGCAGTTTGTTAACAAACACTGGTAGTTTGGATTGTGTCTGCATTCTTCTTCATGCTCAAGCCTTGCTGAAAGTTTTACTTTTTCATTGCAGCCAGTAAATTGGCATGTATACTCACATTGATAAAGCTGCTGCTCTAGATGATAATTCCTTAATTTTCGTCCAATTACCTCTCTGCACGATGGACATTTTTGGGTTCTTTGGGAACAACGATCACAAATTGAGTGCCCACTGTCGCATTGATATATAGGAATTGTGAAATACTCAAAGCAGATTGGACATTGTAAGCAAGATTCAAGAAGCTGCTTATCTACAATCAGAACATTGCTTTCAACCATATGAAAAGAAATAATAGAATATTAAATAAAAATCATTTGAAAAAAAGGAATTATGAAGTCGTTATTTATTTTCCTCTTATAAATAAATTCTTATTCTTATTTCTTTATTATTTTATCTTTAAACAATTTTTGTGCCTCTTTTGTCCAGGATTTTTATGTGCCCTTAATTTCCGAGAAAAAATAATTCTGTTTGCTCCTCTCTCCATGAGAAACAAAAAATTGGTAAAATTCTTATTTTTTGTGAAAAATCCTCAGTGTGAAAATAAATTTTTACGAAAAAATATTTGATAATTAGTATAATCAAACTCCTGCTAATTCTTTTAAAATTTTAACAGCTAAACATTATTTTTGCTTCTCAATTTTTTTGAAAATGGATTTTTTTTGAATTTCAACTTTTCCTATTGCAAACAAAAATTTTTTTTGTTCGCTCACGGAATGGAGAGGAGTTAGTATTTAATTCCCTTGAAACAATTGATTATTCAAATTTCTGAACTGGCCAATGATTAGTAAATAACATTTCTTATTATATAACTATTCAGTATGTCAGGACCAAGCGCATACAAAAGCCAAAACACAGCTGCCAGTCGAGGAAAAGTAGGAGCAAAAACCGGCAAAGGACCGACTGCAGCTCCAGTGCGTGGCAAAGCTCAAGCTGATCCTAAGCATAACACAAAGGATGCCAAAGAAATGTTTTTAAAGAGAGTTCAAATGTGTAGCGTCACCTTTGACTACTCAGACGATAACAAAGATGTGAAGCCCAAAGCCGATCGTCTCGCTGCTTTGCAAGAACTCAAAGAATTCCTCAACGATTCCAAAAATGTTGCCCAGTATGTCATCCCTCATCTTGACCTGGTCATAGATATGATCAAGAAAAACATTTTTAGGCCTCTCCCTATGGACAAAAAAGGAGGCGAAAAGCTATCTCCAGGAGAAGGAGGAGGAGTTGATGATGAAGACATTGTCATCGACCCAGCTTGGCCACATTTGCAAGGTGTTTATGAGTTCTTTTTTGAATTAATTATCTGTGAAGCCACTGACGTAAAAAGCCTTAAAATCTATGTTACTCCGTCATTCATACAAGATTTCTTGCAACTTTTCGATAGCGAGGAGCCGAGAGAAAGAGATTACCTGAAAAACATTTTGCATAGACTTTACGCAAAATTGGTGCCTAGAAGAAAAATGATCAGAAAAGCGATTAATGATTGTTTCTTGACAATGATTCACGATACACAACGATTCAATGGAGCTAGCGAGCTACTGGATATTTTGGCATCAATCATTAGTGGATTTGCGGTACCTCTAAGAGAAGAGCATGTAATTTTCTTCAAAATTGCGATGATCCCGCTACACAAGGTCCAGACTTCTCATATTTTCCATGAGCAGCTGCTGAGATGCTCAATGCTGTTTTTAAGTAAAGACCATTCATTAGCAATCCCACTCGTAGAAGGGTTATTGAGATATTGGCCATTTGGCAACTCACCTAAAGAAACTCTATTTTTGTCAGAGTTGCAGGATGTTTTAGAAGTCTGTGAGCTTGCAAAGCTGGAGCCACTTATCCCGAAACTGTTTAAGAGACTAGTAAGATGCATATCTGGGCCTCAGCTTCAGGTTGCCGACAGAGCAATGTGTTTTTTCGAGAACGATTATTTCTTAGGAATTCTTAGAACATTCAAACAAGTCACTTTCCCAATGGTCGTGCCGATCATTGTAGAATTAGCTGATACCCATTGGCATAAAATTCTTCAAGAATCACTCAATGCTCTGAAAGTGATTCTCAAAGAAATAGACCCAGTAGCTTTTGATAGAGCTCTACAAACCGGATCAAGAGATATGGCGAGAAACAACTCCCTTAGTATCATGCACAACCTGCCACAAAGAGCGCAGGCAGAAGCCAAATGGGATGCTTTAGCTGCCAAGGCCAAAGTCCTTGATCCAGAATTTAAGCCGCCTGAGTTGCCTTATATCGATTCACATGTTGTGGGGCTGCATAATATGAACGGTCTTCAGCTCACATCACAAAACTTGATCCCGCCTTTGTAAATCTCTAATAAATTTAGAATAGAAATAAAATGAAAAAATTAATTATTTTAGGGTTTTTAGCTGGAATTTATGCAGGAAAAAGCATACAGCCATATAAAAACACAACCAGGATGATAGTTATTGGAGACCTACACGGAGACTTTGATGCATTCATGAGCATTTTAAATTTCACGAATTGGAAATCAGAAGACTTGCTATTGATCACTGGAGATACAATAGATAGAGGAGACGATACAATAAAAATTTTGGATTTTTTAATAGAAAATTCACACAAAAATATAATTCATTTGCTAGGAAACCATGAAGAAATGAACATAAGGGGTGATTGAAGATATGTGAGTAGAGGCGATTTACAGTCTTTCAGGGGAAGCTCTGCAAGAGGGCAAGCATTTAAAAAGGAAGGAAAATATGGGAAATATCTGAGTGATAAGAAGATTATAGAGAGGATAGGTGACATTGTATTTATGCATGGAGGAATAAGCCTTGAAATTGCTGAAGAGTACAAAACAATAGAAAATATCAATTTTCTTTATAGAACAAGTAATTACGATAAAAAGATTTTATACGGAAGCAGTGGACCTTTATGGTATCGAGGGTATGCATTAGAAAAAGAAAGAGTGATTTGTGATGACGTGGTGAAAACATTGAAAATTTTGGAAGCTGAATTTATGGTAATGGGACATACTATCTTTCAACAAATCACAGAAAAATGCAATCAAAAAGCAATTTTTATTGATACTGGAATTTCTAAGGCGTTAAATTCAATTAGATCAGCATTAGAAGTAATCCAAGTTAACAACAAAACAACAAGAATCACAGCTATATATGAAGATAGATCAGAAATCATTTTTGAAAAAATTGATAAAGAAGAAAATAAAATCTTTCGGAGTAATTTTGATATATAATATAAATTAAGTAAATAGGTTACATCATAGAATTTCCTTTGGCTCTTATCCCTTCATACTGGGTCCTGTCATAAGCACTTTCAGACTGTTTTTGCTTTACTTGAGGTTTTATAGCAGGTGGTCCAATCATTAATGCAGCTTCTGGATTTCCATAGTTTACCTTTACAGGTCTAATCCCATATTCATTTTTGAATTTTAAAATAGGGGCTGATGCTGCATTAATAGCACTTTCAATGAAATTTTCTTTTATTTCTGGCTCCTTTTTAATTCTATTTTCAGCTTGTGACATAAAGCTCATCATTTCTTCATATGCATCTTCTTTGTTTTTATTTCTGGAACTCTCAAATAGTTTAGAAAGTGTCTTTGCCTGAGGCATTGAATTGTAAGAACTCTCAACATCACTTTTATTATGTTGGGCTGAATTAATTTCCGTATTGTGTCCTTGTGATACTAAATATTTATTGGCCGGCATCTGGCTCATTGAATTAGCCATAGAAATTTTAGTCACTGATTGAGATCTTTGCCTTGATGGAAATTCTTCACTCCTAGGTGTTGGAATTTGAAAAGGAATTTCTGACTCCCCCTCCATGAGCGAACAAAAACATTTGAAAAATCCCTTATTTTTGCCTAAAAACCCACCATCAGTAAGCGAACAAATAATTTCTTATAAAAAAAAATTTTGATATATAACTGATAATTAGTATAATGAAGTCTCGAGCTAATCCTGTTTAATTTTAAACAAATTGCATTTTAAAACATAATTTTGCAAATTAAATTATATTTGCTCTAAATATTGCGAATTGGGATTTTTTCAAATTTCGAAAAAAAATTTACTACAAAATAATTTATAAGTTTTTTAAAAAAAAAAATAAGCCCTGTGAGTGTCCAATTTTTTTTTTGCTCACGGAGGGGGAGTGAGAAATTTATAGGGGTTTCAAACTCTTCTTCATCATGCTTTGTGCTACGAAAAGAAGCTTGAGGGGCAGCTGCAATCTTGGTTCTCTCTGATAGACTTATAAAACTTTCTTGGATTTTTGAACTGTTGAGGGAATAAGAAACACTTTGAGGTTTTACAGGCGTTAATGGCCGAGGAGTTTCAATGGAAAAATTCTCTTTTATAGAAGAATCTGGGCCTATTGGACGATATGGCTTAGAGTGCTCTGGAGGTTTTTTGAGTGGAATAAAAGGCATATATCCAAAATCTTTAAATTCAGAAAATTCAAAAATACTTGTAGGGTTTAAGTTGTAAACTTTCGGTAGAGTTATTTTTATTGACTCTTGAAAATTAAGTCGAGATTCTATAGGATTTCCTTTTATATTCATAGTTGTGAGCTTTGGATTTATTGATAATATCGCAATATCTTCAAAGTTTGATATCGAGTTATGCTGGATATCTAAAATTTTAAGTTTTTCTAGCTTGCATAAGGTACTTACTGAAGTTAAGCAATTATAGCCTGCATAAAGCTCAATTATTTCTTTAATCCTTGGCAAAGTTCCAATAGTTCTAATTCTATTATTGCTTAAGTTCAATAATTTTAGGCTTGGCAAGCTTTTGGACATACTAAATTCTTGGATTTCATTTGAAGCTAAATTCAAAATTATCAGCGATTCAGGAAACTCCCATTTTGTATGAGTCAATAAATTCCCAGCCAAACTTAGATATAATAGTGAATTCCCATATTTTCTTAATTTTGCTTCTGGGACAATAGAGCTTTTATTTCCAGGAAAACTTAAATCATAAGAATTCCCTGGCTCCCCTCCCTTTGAAATTGGAACAAAAAATCCTGTTTCGGGTTAATTATTGTTTTAAAAATAAAAAAATATAAATTGAATGCAATCTTTTTGAATTTTAATTTATTTTATGAATTTATAATTGAAAATTTAATTAATTCAGTGTAAAAACTGTTTAAATAATATTCTACTTTTACCAATTAATTAGGTCAAAAATAATTTTATAAAATTAGATTTTCACTTATAAGATTTCCTATTTAAAAAAATGTTTCCAATTTGAAGGGGGTTAAATACCCAAAATAAGGAAATTTTTCCTGCATTTTGTTCCAATTTAAAAGGGGTGAGTGAGTTTATTTTCTCATAGTTTTCGATTTCACTGCACAAGAGTTTTATTGAACTAGAGCATCGAGAAAGTGTATTATTAATTCTATCATCTGGAGTTTCCCTAAAGCTTTTAATAGGGGTCCTTAAATCTTTTAACGATAAGCATCCATGATACGGCTTGGGCGGAGCATTTGCTTGATCTAGAATACTTGAAAGTTCATCTATCGTATAAGGTGTTACTTCTATTTGCTGAGGATTTTCTATATCTATTGAAGGATTTCTATAGTAACTTTTATCAGGTTTTCTCTGGGTTTTTTTGCTTTTTAGTGTGACTGATAATGATATCAGCAAATCAATGACTTTGTCTCATGTCAAAATTTTAGAATCAGACGATTTTAGACAGTTTAAGACTTCTTCAAAGCTAAAATATGTTGTTGAGTTATTACCCCTTTTAGAATGAGTAAAAATTTCTTCACTGCTCTTTAGTTGGATAAAACTTTGTATATTAAATTTTTTTTTCAAAATTCCAATTAGCAAATACATGGGAAAAAAATTAATTTAATTTGTACTGTCTAAAATTTAATAGGATGAACTATGCTATCATATATAATTTTTGCTCGTCTTAAAGGGGCGAGTTAGCATCAATATCAGAAGGAGATTGTAGCTCGAACTTGTGAGCTCGATTATTAAGCTCTTCTAATAATTGAATTTTTTGAATTGAATCTATGTCATTTTCGGAGTTTTTGTTTTCTTGTATTCCAAATTTATTAAAGATTCTTCTTAAATCTCTAAATCATTCCATTCTCCCCATAACTCCTTGTGGGTTAAATTTAAGCTCACTATGAGAGTTCATATTATTATAGTTATTTAAATCAGAATTCTATGTAAAATTATTAGCCAAGATTCAAACAGCATAAACCTAAGCCTTGGTCATTGCTTTCTGAGTCAGTTTCAAGTGCGCTATATGACCAAACATTTTTATTCAATTCTGTCCAGCCATTAATTCTTGCAACACTATAAGCTCCAGAATGAAGTTCAATAGACGTGCAAAGGTGGTAATCACTTGTGCAAGAACTTTCTGCTGTAGAAACTGTGCAGTCCACACAGCCCAATCTAATAAATCTTGGCTCAACCTGTCCTAGAGCTCCAGCTGCTTCTGCTTCTATTTCCATATCAGATAATTCTTTTTCATAATATCTAGTTTCGTCTACCAATAAATGTAGCAAACATTTTTCTATTGTTGCTGGTGTCCCACCAATATATAATGGTGACTCATTTGGATTAGTCCATCCTGACGTAGAGTTTGAATTGTCTTGGATTCCATTAACATAGAGCTTAATTTTTGACTGTGTCCTTACAACTGCAATGTGATTCCACCTATGATGCAAAAGTCTGGCGTTAGATTCTACGTATTCTCCTTCAGGAAAATCGGATGATTCAGTAGTCGTGACATAAACTTTTAATGCTCTTGTTTCTCGATTCCAGAAAATCCCTGGTGTTCTTTCGTATATTAAATTTTCAATGTCATCATCTCCTTTTTGTAATATTGGACACCAGGTTTCTTTAGATTTTGATGTATCATCTTTTTCAAAATAGACCCAAAATGTAATTGAAAATATTTTTGCGCTTATAGAGTCGTCACTTGGAACCTCAAAATATTCAGAGCCAGAGAATTTTGCGCTAGATCCTCGGCCACCTGATGAATGTCCTGCAGGTACTGAAGATTTTGCATGATTATTGTACCCTGAATAGTCTAAGCCTTTATTGTCGTCAAAGGTCCAATATCCAGTTAGAGAGCTTAGCTTTGCTGGTGGTTTTATTACAGACTCACCTTCATAGAGACAAATGCCACCATCGACAGAAACATCACAAATATCGCTCCCAAATGTTAAGCCTAAAAGGATAAAAATTAACATTGCCGTTTTATATGCCATTCAGATCTAAATTCATTAGCCATTGCAATTATATTAGACTAAATTTGTAGAAAAATGCTATATTTCACTTATTTGTTCGCAGCTAAAATTCCATCTCAATTCCTATAATTAAAATGGTGTGAAAATTAAAACTCAAACGATTAAAATTTAAAGAACCATCAAAAGATTTCTTTTTATCTCAAGATTTTCTATAATATTAATAATCCATCTATTGAATCCGGATGGCCCACAAACCCAAGCTCTTGATATTTCTGCTATATTAATTTTTGCTTCAAGGGATTCTAACGTCAATTTTTGCCCAATTTTTTCTTCAGAAATATTTATATCCAAAATGAGCTTCGCTTTATATTTCCTTTGTGTGGCTTCAAGCAAGTCTAAGGCAAAACTCTCGTTTTTTGTTCTGAAACTTATATAAAGGTATAAGCAGAATCCTTCAGGTGTAAGGCCGTTCCATATTGTGTATACTAAGTCTAAAAATGGCAGTATCCCAGTTCCCGCAGCAAAGGCTAGACAAAGATTTGGCGGAATTTCTTGAAGTCCAAGACCAGGACCAAAAGGCCCTTTAATATTAACTTTGTACCCAATGTCAAGGGTACATAAATAATTAGATATTTTCCCATTCTCATAATGCTTTATACATAGCCTAGGTTTTCTCTGCTATCTGGGACTACATATTGATTTTTTGAATACTCGCTTGAGTATCCTTAAGTTTGAACTTGCTTATGCCAATCATATAAATTCGCAGCTAGCAAGCTATAGTATCTTTTAACTACTCTGGATCCAATAACTGCTCTATCTCTGAAATGCTTTCCAATCCATTCAAATCCTCTTGGAGATTCTCTAACAGCCCATTTATGTGATTTGAATTCTATGGATTGGGTCGTCGAGGAAAGATTATATCTCTTTGCTATTTTTCAGTTCATATTTCAAGTATCATCAGTTATCCCATCTTTATTCAAAATATAGTCATTTGTTTGGCCAATCTTTCCAACTACCAAAATATTAACTCCCCCCCCTCCGTGAGTGAACAAAACCATTAGAAAAATCCCTATTTTTTGCCCAAAAAACCCACCCTCCGTGAGTGAACAAAAATTTTTTTTAATACAAAAATTTTTTATGGAAAAAAAATTTGATATTAAATGATAATTAGTATAATGAAATCTAGAGCTAATTCTGTTTAATTTAAAATAATTGCTTTTTAAAACATAAATTTTATAATATTTGCTTTCCAATTTTTGCGAATTAGATTTTTTTAAAATTTCGACAAAAAATATTTTTTATAAATTGTTTTAAAAAAAAAAAAAATTACCCCCCTCCGTGAGTGAACAAAATTTTTTTATTCACTAACGGAGGGGGGGGAGTAAGCAAATTTCTTGCTATTTGAGTATGCCCATATGGTAGAACTCCATCTCCAATGCTTGAGCATCCATTTATATATTTCCCCACATCTTCTCCTATTACTTCTCGCAGCATGTAATCTCCGCCAGGATGATTTTGCATAAATCCAGAAACGTCCACCACAAATTCATCAAAAAATACCCATTTTAGGTTTTCTTTAGCTCCTTCCTTCGTGAACGAACAAAAAATTGTCTAGTTTTTTTTAAAAATTTATATATTAAATTTTATAGTTAATTTTTTTTTCGTAATTTAAAAAAAATCCCAATTCGTAAAAACTGGAAATCAAATATTCATTTAATTTGTAAAATTTATGTTTTAAAATGTAATCTGTTAAAATTAAACAGAATTAGCAGGAGATTTCATTATGCTAATTATCACTTATATATCGAATATTTTTTTCTTAAAAATTTATGTTCGCTCACAAAGGGTATATTTTTAGGCAAAAAAAAAGGGATTTTTCCAATGGTTATATTCACTAAGGAGGGGGAGTAAGTATTTTTTCGATGATTTCTATGTGGTTCATTCCATTTTTATCTACGAAGTTTACACTCATTTCTTTATTGTTTGGGTTCAATTGAGAGGCTCTGTTTACCTTTGTTTTTTTAAAATTGCATAAAAGGGGCTTATCACATGACCAAATCTATGCCTTAATTCCAATACGAAGATTAATAAGCACAGAGAGGCATATCCTAAACTTTACATAGCTTATCATTGTCATTTTTAAGCTCCCAGCCGTATTTCAAATTTATTAATGCTTGGATACAAGAAATATAGCCTAAAATAGCATGAATTCTTCTAGAAAGCCTTAAAACTGATAAGTCTTATTTATATCGCATTCAGATTTTTGCTATTAAGCCTATCACAACTTGAGCAAAATTAAAGAAGCATAAAGCAAAGCCGATTCGAGAGTGATATCGGACTTTCTCAGTCATTGTATTATAAGGTAACAAATCTATTTTATAGGTCTGATATACAGACCCTACTGTAAAACACACACAAGCCATACACGCAGTGAAATGGAAAAAAAACCGAAAGCCTTCATCACTTCAAGTAGCGCATGGTCATGATTCCAATTTGTGCAGTGCAAAGCCATATTACAGTCATTTCTATTCCATGATTTTCATAAGGATCTCCGAATAGTGAAGAAGCCTCACCGTGAAAATAGGAATCTGATTGCGAAGTCCCTAGTTTTAGTGTTCCGCTTCCTACAACATTATGTTCTCCAAAGCTACTTAAATCGGTTTGCACTAAATATCCAAAGCAAAACCCAGTAATCATATTCGGTGCTAACTCTAGGTCACATTTGTTGTCCTCAGTGCTCAATTTTCTCGTCATTACAACTTGCATGGTCCCATTATTTCATATTGAACTGACTAATTCAATATCATTTTTGCACCCACTGACGCTTTCATCTTTTTCAGGGGCAGCGAATGATGTGCTTCACGTATCCCAAGCTTGGAATTTTCCATTAACCCTCATAACAATAATCATGTCTGTATTAAGCATTGATTCTCCAAATCCTATGCCGCATCACCCATCAAAATTGCATAAAAAAGTAAAAGTAATTTCAGTAGCTGTCATAATCCATGTCAAAGAAAATTTTGGGTCTAAATCAACTGTGACTAGCTCTGATCCACCTATACTAAAACTTGAGGAGCCCTGTGTGGGGCCCAAAATTCCTGACTCTTTTTTGCTGTGCATAGTAAAATTCTGCAGATTTGATTGATTGAGATAAGCATAAGAAAATCCTGTGATCATATTAGGAATCAACACTTTATCACAAGTAGAGTCTCCTGTGCTGAGGAGTCTTGATATGGTTGCTGTCATTGCTCCATTAGTAAAGCTTGATTTTTCTAATATTACATTATTAACGCATCCTGTAATATTAAGATTTCCATCTTGGTTTGGAGTAGACAGTTTTTGCCTCTCACATAGTCTTCGTTTATCAGGATTATTGGGGCGCCCTACAGAGGTGGCTCTAACCTAGGGAGCTGATCGTGATATTGCCAGAAAATTCAAGAGGGTGGAATTTTGATTGGGCCTTTCACCAGTCGCGCTCAGGTGTATCCGCACCTAGTGTGGGCAAATTTTGTGGAGATGAGGTAGTCTGGCTAGTGAGAATCCCGCTTATGGCTGTATTAATATTAATCTTAATCTTCAATAATCACGCAAATTTATTGAAGAATTGTAAATTAATATTTGCTTTAGTCGCTTAAATATGATTAATTTTGTATATTTGCCATAAACTTTTGCCTTTATATGAATTAAAATATCTCATAAATTAATATTATAAAAATATATGATGACTTGCTCTTAATGGGAGGGCGGCTCACGTGTTGGAACTCTGCCCATAAAAAGGGCAAGGCAGTATTTATATTTTTCAACTTTATTAAATGCTAACTTTATTATTCATATTTTTAATCAAAATTTTCTTATCATTTTTTATCATCATCAAAGTTTCCAATATTCATATATACTAAGCATTGAATTTTTTTTTTTTAATCAAAGAGTTTCCTTGCCATTTTTTATTTTCAAGATGAATTAATATACGTCTCTTATATCAATCTTGCCCAATGCAACTTATTTTTGGCATGAGATTTAACTTTGTTATTAATATTTCAATAAATTAGACTTAAATGGCTTTATTTAAAATAATAATTAACTTGCCAAAAAGTTTGAAGGAAACTTGAAAAAACCCTAAGGATTATGATATCAACTTAATTTAATACTAGCCAGCTAATTATTCATTCAGCAACAAAAATTTACAATTAATTATATAAATAATATCTTTCTTCTATTCATCTAAATATCGAAAAATAGATTTCAGTAGTATATCAGTCGATGCAGGCTTTGCAATATATTCAACCATCCCACATCTATAGCAAAGCTGTACATCTTCATCAGAAGTAAATGCTGTATATCCAATGATTACAGGCAAATTAGAAATTTCATTATCATTATGCATTTGTATAATAGTGCTAGTTGCTTCCCAGCCATCCATTATAGGCATATTGCAATCCATTATTACCACTTTAAATCCTCCAAGTTTATCATACTCAATGATTTTATTGACAGCTTCTTTTCCATCACTTGCTTCCATGTATGAAATGTGTTCTGAATCTAAAACTGTTCCGACAACTGCTCTGTTCAAATCATTGTCATCCACAAGCAGTACTTTTTTCTGGATTTTTAATGATCGTTTTCGTGGGCGAGACAATCTATTTATTATATTGAATTTTCTTTCCGAAGGAACCTTTAGAGAATAGTCATCAAAAATTTCTGGTTTTTCAAGTCCTATATCAATAGAAAAGCTAAATGAAGTATAAACCCCCAGTTCTGAATGGATTCTTATATGGCTTCCACCAAGCTGTTTTACTATCATATTTGATATATATAGCCCTAATCCAAGACCTTCTTTGCCAATATCAGTAACTTTCATATTGATCAGCATCTCTCTTATCCATTTCAATTTGTCATATGAGAACCCAATTCCTGTGTCTCTTATGATGAACTTTAGTTTATTTTCAAATGTCAGAATGGCACATATTTCTATGTATCCTCTTTTCGTAAACCTAAGTTAGTAATTACTTTAGAGCATTCATTGATAAATTCAGCAGTATTTGAAAAATTCGATTTGAATCTGAGTTTATGAAATCTGGAATGCTTTCATCAATTCTTGTTCTTATATCAATTCCTTTCTGTAAAGCTTGCTTCTTAATCAGCTGATGTATTTCATCAATCATTTTTCTTACAGAGCAATTTGTAGAAAGAGACTTAAACGTTCCATTCACAATTCTTGAAAAATCAAGCATATCATTTATAGATGATAAAAGCTGCTTAATCCCCCCTCCGTGAGCGAACAAAAAAATCTTGTTCGCTCATGGAGGGGCTAATTTTTGTTTTTTAAAACAATTTATGTATAAATTTTATAGAAATTTTTTTTTTTCGGAATTTAAAAAAAACTCACTTCTCGAAAATTGGAAGGTAAATATTAATTTAATTTGCAAAATTTATGTTTTAAAACGCAATTTTTTTTAAAATTAAACAGAATTAGCTCGAGATTTTCATGATACTATTTATCACATATATATCAAATTTTTTTTCCATAAAAAAATTTGTTCCTCACGGAGGTGGGTTTTTGGGCAAAAAATAGGGATTTTTCTAATGGTTTTGTTCACTCACAGAGGGGGGGAGTTTAGAAGAAACATAAGCTAAAGCAAGTTTATCTTTATTTATATCATTGATTAAAGCTTGATCTAGTATTGAGATAATAGCATTTATTGGCGTTCGCAATTCATGGGATAAAGAATGAAACACTGCATTCTTAAATCGTCGCTGAGTTAATGCTTGCTGAGAGTGCATTATGTGATCAATATTATGAACAGTAATTATTATGGCTTCATCAGAACCCCAAAGGATTTTTTTCGCCCTCCACTCAAGAAATTTCTCATTAAATAAAACAATGCCAAGAGTGATTTCTTGGTCCATATCAAATTCTGCGCAATTGTCTATATCTTCAATTAAGCGGTGATTTGATGTAGAATTGGTATCTTGCTCATAGTAGCAAAGGGAGTTTATTATATTCAGGAGTGAATCTTTTGAGCAGTTCAGCATAGATTGAATTTTCTCATTTACGAGTTCAATCTGCGAGCTGTTAGAAATTACAATTAGTCCATCAGGAAAGTTTTGCAAGACAACAAAGAACTTCTGCTTGGTTTCTTCTAGCTTATATACATTAAAATGGCTGGTGAGCTAGCCTGCCCTCTTAATACCTGCAGTTGATTGGTTAATTAGGAAAGCAGGGACTTTGCGGAAAGGAGTGCAGCGTTTGGAAATGTGTATCCGGTCAGGTTTTACTTGGTTCGGTGGAGCGCAATGCCGGCTTTAGTTGATTTCATGCTCGCATCCAGATCAAGGCTTTTCTTTGTGGGAAGATGACTCACCGGAGTTGAAAAGGAAAGTCCACCAAGGCCAGATGTTGTCACTTGATGAAACGGGCAAATCTCCAGCACGATACAGGCGTTGACAGATTCCATTTTGGTCGAGAGCTCATTATAAAATTCGATTTTTCGGAAAAATAGAAGCCCGTTGAAGTATGGCATGGTGACCCAGTGCCTCTAGCTCCGGATAGCAAGTTCAAGCCCTCGTCCGTAAGGAGCAACACAGCGGAAGGCTGTATCTAACTGGCAAGGAAGCGGCTAAGCGTTATTCGATAGTGAGTAGAGGCTTGCAGGTCTGAAGGGAACTTCTCTATAAGTAATTTAATTAAGTAAGGTTTCTTCTAGTTTAGATTTGTATTCAAACCTTTCAAGCCTTACCATACGGCTGCGCATTGTTTTTAAATAATTTAATAGTAAAATTCCTCCAATTCCAATGTAAGTGTGGATATCATGCGAATATTCAGCAAGTCCAAAATAAGCCGGAATCACGTACCATTGAATAATATGCTTGATTCCAATGGCAAAGACAATAATACTGGACCTGACATATTGAGTTTGAATGAAAATGATAAATATTGTGGAAAAAATTATCGCTAAGGGGTTGTAATCTTTTTTAATTAAATGCACTATAGTTCATGTTCAAAAATTTGCATACTCTGCGACTACAATAGCCATGATAATTTTTCCTTTGTGTGAAAAGACGAATTTTTGTGCCAGAAAATAAAGAAAAATTGATATGCCAAACATAAGTGTTTCAAAAATTCCCAAAATTCTTGATGAATACATCGAATTCAATGTTCTCGAGCACCAGGAAATAAAGATAATATAGCTAGCTATTTCTTTTAGGCTTCTATAAGCGCTATCAATTTCCTGGATTCACCATTCATCTGATAAAGATTTCATCAAATTATGTTATAATTGAATTAAATTTTTTACATTTTTATATTCAGCACTAACAACAATTAACCCCCCCCCCCCCTCCGTGAGCGAACAAAACCATTAGAAAAAATCGCCATTTTTTGACCAAAAACCCACCCTCCGTGAGTGAACAAAAATTTTTTTAATAGAAAAAATTTTAATGGAAAAAAATTTTGATATATAAGTGATAATTAGTATAATGAAATCTAGAGCTAATTCTGTTTAATTTTAAACAAATTGCGTTTTAAAACATAAATTTTTGCAAATTAAATTAATATTTGCTTCCCAATTTTTGCAAATTAGGATTTTTTTAAATTTCGAAAAAAATATTTTTTATAAAATTTATATATAAATTTTTTTTAAAAAAAAAAATTAACCCCCCTCCGTGAGCGAACAAAATTTTTTTGTTCGCTCACGGAGGGGGGGGGGGAGTAAGACATAAAAGAAAATATTTTAAAAAGAAACTGAGCAGCATAAAAATCCTTATAAAACTGAATCTGATAAGAAAGAAATTACTAAAATTGAGCCAAATCATGAAATATTTAACCTAAAAATAAAAAAAACAAAATAGAAACTTTTTTATCATGTGCTTTAAAAAATATAAGATTGATTCTGTCTTAAAGCATTTCTTTGGCCTTTTTAACTTAGCTTTAAAAATATCAATTAGTATTTATTCGCAAAATATAAAAAAGTGAGATCCAAATTGCAAATTATTGGAATACTACCATTTTGATTACAAATAACAAAAATAATTGAAGATTTCATTCTCTAACCTCTATAAGCTTGTAGAAAATATATAAAAATAATATGATTAAGACCCCAAAATGCTTTGCTGACGAATGCATGAAAAAGCCATATGGAAAATGCGATTGTGAAGAAAAGCCTGTGCTATTTTGTAAATCTCATGCACTTCAGCACATTGAAGACATAGAAAACAATAAGTATCATCGATGTTTAAAACTTTACTTTAAACCAAATCGGAAACCAATGCTTTAATCAAAAGTAAAATAATTGAGATGAAGGAAATTTTATTAAAATCACGAAGCAAGCTTATCAAAGATTCTATAGAAATCATTGGAGTCACTAAAAATACATTAAATAAAGCGCTTGAAAAAATAACTAAACTTGAAGAATCATTTAATAGCCTAATTACAGAAACAGAAAGAGAAGAATTTTATGATTTAGCTTCTGAAAATGATATTAAAAGTTTATTTAAATTAAACCCTTTTGATGCAAAGATAAAACTCAAAAATTGGTGTCTTTCAACACTAAATACTGTTAGTTGAAATAATATAGCAGAAAAAGTAAAAGAGATGATTAACTTATCAGCACCTTACCTTACTCAAGAATTCTCAGGTCAAAATATAGACTCAACGTTCAAGATACCAAAACCAATTTCTGAGAATCAGCCACCCCCATCTCTTTTTCGCTCTCTAGAGCCTGCCAACAGTCAAAGCCTATTTCAATCAAATAGCCAAGACCTATTTAAACCCAACAGTCAAAGTTTTCAACCCAATAGGCAAGGTTTATTTCAATTCCACATCAAAGGTTTATTTCAAGCTGATAGAGAAGAGTCATTTCAATCTAGTCAATCAACACTTCACAATCCTGATAGTGTTTCATATGAAAATATACAAAAGAGAGGCACAAAGCTTATAAAATATTGCCCTTTGTCAAGTCGAGACGATTCAGGCTCAATTATATACATTAGAAGCATTAACGCATCTTCAGAATTTAATCATAAATCAGTAGAAGAGTTACGATTTGAAGATTATCAATTCAATATCCCTTTGGATTCTATATTAAAGATATATAAATCTAATCTCAATTAAATCTAAGTTTTGAAAATAGAATAATAACTATTAATTGGCAAAAGAATATAAGAGCGATGCTATTGTTTGGTATGCACTTGCTCTTGCCGATTTGCTAAAAATCAAGTATTTGCCTTACCTATACTAACGATTTGCTAATTTAAATTCAGCCCAGAATTTTACTTTGAAATTTTATAATAAATATGATAAACTCCCCAAAATGTTATATTAGCCAATGCACAAGCAAGCCATATGGGAAATGTGACTGCTCTGCACAGCCTGTGATATTTTGCAAATCCCATGCACTCCAGCATATCGAAGACATAGAAAACGAAAAGCGGCACAGATGCTTAAAGGTCTACTTTAAGCCAGACTCAGATACCAAAAATTTAATTAACCAAAAATTAATTGAGATGAAAGAATCACTACAAAATTTCAGAACCAAGCTTATTAGAGAATCTAAAGAAATTGTAGAGGTTGTAAATTAAGTTAAAATTATAAGGTCATAGGTGGATAGAACACTAGCCTACTTATCTGGCGTAAATCCATGTAACCAAAGGATTACCTCTCTATGCTAGAGCCACTCTTGCGGATACTCCATTAGTCCTGATAAGCAAATATTAAGTGGGAGGCAAGCCAATCTAGCCCATTGGCAGGGACAGGGAAAATTTGGGGAGAAGAAAACTTCCCTCTTCGGCAGCATCCCCAAACCTGAAGGTCTATTTCAAAAAGTGGGAGAGGCTATTTTCAGTTTCATCAGGGTAGTCCTACTCCTCCATAGGGAGTGTGTCTCGAAGTCCATCTTCTGTTGACTTCACCACTTTATTTCTATACTAATTGCCCGAGGATGGAGCTATCTTGCGCCATCCTCGGGCAATTCCTATAGAGGCTGTAAGGCATTCCTTAGACAAGGCACTTAGCTATGTAAACGATCTCGAAGAAAAATTCAACAAGCTAATTGATGAAACGCGCTCAGAAGAAGTATACGAATCGCCTTCAGAAAACGATTTCGAGAGCATTTTTAAACTGAGCCCTTCAAAAGCAGAATTAAAACTCAAAGATTGGCAACTTTTAATAACAAATATTGATTCAAATTCTATAAAAGAAAATGTGAAAGATGTAATGAATTTGTCAGCCCCTGTGTTTTTTAAGATGTTTTATGATAATAGGAAATCTAGCCGTAAGAGTTCAATAACAGCTGAAATATTTTGGTTCATCCATTGATCGGAACTTTTCATAGTGTGGCACTTACTTGGGAAATTGATAACATGCTATTTTCTTAGGGGAACGTTAGTACGCTAGTCATTTTCTCAGATGATATTACCCTTATGACACTTGCTAAAAGCTGTTCTCTTAAGCCATTCCTCTTAAAGTTCCTATGCACTTTTCCTCATAAGACATCTGTTAATAATAATTGCGATTGCATTAAACTTACTTCTCCTTCATGAACTAACAAAACCATTGGAAAAATCCCTATTTTTTTACCCCTAAAGCCCACCCTCTGTGGGCGAACAAAAATTTTTTATGAAAAAATAATTTTGATATATAATTAATAATTATCCCAATGAAATCTCTAGCTAATTCTGTTTAATTTTAAATAGATTGCTTAAATTTTGCTCCTAAATTTTTACAAATTGGATTTTTTTTTTTAAAATATAAATTTCTATATAATTTTTTTTAAAAAAAATAAACCCCTTCCATGAGTGAACAGAATTTTTTTTCGCTCACAGAAAGGTGGAGTTAGCAGATATTTAAATTTATTTAGAATTGATTAATACAATTAATTCCTTATGCATACAGATATAAAATCTTGCATTACTTAAAATTAAAGGAGAAATGCCTCTCGGATAAATTACTTACTCGCAAATATCTACTATCAAAAAGCTTCAGTTAACTTTCTCTGTGTATCTATCTTCCTACCAAATTTGTTCTGATCAAATGGCATTTAACCGAAATATTCAAACCTGAAAATTCAACCCTGGCGAATCAAAAATGTTCACTACCCACTAAGATTCCAACTAATGAGCAAACTTCTTTGGATCCTTTATGGCATTTCCGTACTAATAAATTGCCTGATAATAACGAGCCAGGCAAGAAAAAGCGTGAGTTTCTTATACCCCTAAATTCAATAGAATTACGATCACATAAAATCTTAAACTCCAAAAAAGGAACTTTACATTTGAATAAATTCAAAAATTCAATCTGACTCCCCCCCCCTCCGTGAGTGAACAAAACCATTGGAAAAATCCCTATTTTTTACCCAAAAGCCCACCCTCCGTGAGTAAAGGCTCCATGTCAAATGATCGTGGATTTTTGACAGTGTACATTTCATAGAAATCCATTTGGTCGAAAATTTTTGATAGTGCGGACATTTGGCTGAAAATTAACGGTTTTTTTCGGTCAAATGTCTCACTATCAAAAATTTTCGGCCAAAAATTTTTCGGTGAAATGGATACTATCAAAAAGGCAAAGTTATTTGACCTGCACCCGTGAGTAAACAAAAATTTTTGTAATCGAAAAAATTTTTATGAAAAAAAATTTGAATATATAAGTGATAATTAGTATAATGAAATCTCAAGCTAATTCTATTTAATTTTAAACAAATTGCGTTTTAAAACATAGATTTTATAAATTAAATTAATATTTGCTTTTCAATTTTTGCAAAGAAGTTTTTTTTTTTAAAATTACGAAAAATTATAAAATTTATATATAAATTGTTTTAAAAAAAAAAATAACCCCGCTCCGTGAGTAAACAAAATTTTTTTTATTCACTCACGGAATGGGGGAGAGTGAGAAAATAACTTCTTAGATTTCATTGAAATAAATATTACAAATATAAATACAGCATCAGAATTCGAGTCTAAATCCATTGAGGAACTACGGCTCGAAGACTATATGTTCAACAAATTAAATCTTTTAGAAAAGATGATGAAATAAAAGTGTTCTTTAATGGTAATATGTGCTGGCATAATTTTGAGAGGGTCGCCACTCAATAGGAGTGGAACCCAATCCGCTGTGGATCTACTCAAGTGTTGAAACTCACATATGGGATTTGGGTTCCACACATGGAAAAGTGTTCCGATGTCTGAAAGTCTCCAAGAACTATACCAACGCATAATATAACTTCTTAATTAGTATAAAATCAGATCTATTTTCCTGATTTGTTTAAAAATGGTCTTTAATTGTTTATTTAATTACTTGATAAATCTTTTAGTTGAGGTTATAAAAAATTAATCTCGAAAAATAAAGGGAATGAAAAATTATTAAGAAAGGTACTTAATTCAAGTAATTTCTCAACCTCAATTTTTTTGGAAATTATTAGCTGAAATGAAAGACAATTTTTAAGCTTAATCCTTCAATTAAATAGGTGCATAAAGACCTATGATTACTCTAAAAATTGAGATATTATTTTCGAAGGCAAAATTATAAGAAGATGCACACACCCAAAAATTGGCAAACAAAAATGAAAGAGATTTATTTAAAAAATAATTCATAAAAGCGCAAAACTAATAGCATCTATTTCTTTTATTCCTTTAATATTTTAATAATTTTTGGGTGCTAGCACTCAAATTTAAGAAGCTGTCAATAGACATTTTCCTTGTTAAATTGCTCACCATTTCTCCTAACTCCCCCCCTCCGTGAGTGAACAAAAAAATTTTGTTCACTCACGGAGGGGGGTTAATTGGTTTTTTTTAAAACAATTTATATATAAATTTTATAAAAAATATTTATTTTCGAAATTTAAAAAAATCCTAATTCACAAAAATTTTAAAGCAAATATTAATTTAATTTATAAAATTTTATGTTTTAAAAAGCAATTCGTTTAAAATTAAACAGAATTAGCTCTAGATTTCATTATACTAATTATCATTTATATATCAAAATTTTTTTCCATAAAAAATTTTTGTTCACTCACGGAGGGTGGGTTTTTGGGCAAAAAATAGCGATTTTTCTAATGGTTTTGTTCACTCACGGAGGGGGGGGGGAGTAAGTTCAACATTGGTTTAATATGGGATAAAAGTGCCAACCTATAATGAGAATTTTTTATCCAATCCAAAGAAATCCAATTAAATTTTGTTTTAACTTTATTGTAATAACTTGTCTCATTAATTAAATTTATAATAGCCAAAAAAAGAATTTAATTAAAAATACTTAAAAGCCAAACAAAAGTTTCTGAAATAATAAAAATCATTTTAAGCTACCTTTTATCGTTTCATCTGATCTCCTCAAAGATAGAATTGCTAATCTAGCGGGCAACCGTTTTTGAAAAAAATTATAGTGCAATTTTTTATTATCGATTTTTGACTGTTAAAATTACTAAAAATTTAAAAAAAATTATCATAATAAAACAAGAAAAGCAATGATTTTCAAAACCATCAAACCGACATAAAGTAGAAGAAAAATGCTCATATAAATAACAATGAGCAGATATTAATTTTAAGGAGCAAAAATTTAACACTAAAAATGCACGCTGTACTTTTTAGGTACCACCCTATCTAGCTCCTTTTTTGTCTAAAAATTTTATCAATTGCCATATTTAATAAAGATTTAGTCACTTATCATAGGAGCTGGTGAAATTAATAAAAATAGAAGATGGTAAAATTCACCTTTTTCATTCTTTATATCTCCTTACTATACAAATTAATAACAAACGCTTTTCGTAACTTTATTATTTTTGATAATATTTATATTTAATTTAAATATTTTAAACTTAAAATAACGAAGGAAAATCTTTAAATACTATTTTAAAAAAAATATTTCACAATAAATTTTTCACTTTTTAAAAAGTCATTAAAAATTAAAAAAATGTAGGCTTACCTTTTATTAGTTACGAAAGTGGTTAGCGTTTTCACTTGCAGACTTAGTAACTGTTGAATTAAATGAAAATTTTCATTTATCTTGGATAATTAAATACGTTAAAATGGCGGCACGTGCCAGCTTGCCCTCTTGCGCAGCAGTCCAGACCTTATGGCTACGACAAACTGGGATGGACTCCGAGCCGATAATCAAGTGCAGGCTCAAGAGGAGTGTATCCGGTTAGGTTTTGGCTGCTTTCCTGTGGTTGGAAATGAAGGTGCTCAACAATGTCCTTTGGATCTAAGGACTCAGGGGCTTTCCTCTGCCGAAAAATTGGAGATTTCGGCTCAAGTTGCAGGGAATAGTCTTTTTCCTGTAGCTTTAAGGAAGGCACTTCGGCAGCTGATAAACTCCAAGGAGTTGATTCATGGGATCAAGTCACTCCAATCGCCCGTAGAAGGGCCGAAAAAATCCATAAGCCATCCATTCATGACTGAATCCTCAAGGCAAGGAGGAGATAGAAGGTACCGAAGTGGCACAGATCCTCTGTATTTGAGTCGAAAAGCGGTAGAACCTCCCGTGCTAGAGGTCTTTGATGACTGCATCACCAATATGGCTAGCGCCTGACTTTTAATATTCCTAATCCTAATCTTGGATAATGAACCAAACTGCAATAACTTTCACCTTCAATGTAAATTCTTATTCAGTGCTCGTTTGACGGCTGGTGTGGGATAGGCTTTAATTCTGGAATGATTAACACAGATATGATCATTTTAATCAGAGAAAATGGGTTAATGCAAGCTTGGGATTCTTACAGCTTTAAACCTCAGACTCCAGCCCAAGATAGCGCCATTTCCGGATGCAAAAACGATATAATTCTGGAAAGTGCTAGTTTTACAGGTGGTATTATGCTTGCAACTATCACCCGTCTTCTAAATACCCAAGATCCTAAATGCGATATTGTACTAGCTCCTAATATGGTCACAAACTTCTGTTTTGCATATAGCCCCGTTCCCGGCTATAGATCGGGCTTAGCCCGATCTTGGCCGGGAAACTCGGGGAGTTGTCTCCGTCACTTTGAAGTGACGAGTCAACTCCCCGAGTTGGCAAATCACCATATAGCAGCTATTTGCCAACTCGGGGAGTTGACTCGTCACCTCAAAGTGACGGAGACAACCCCCCGAGTTTCCCGGCAAAGATCGGGCTAAGTCTGTCTATAGCCGGGAACGGGCTATACCTTGACAAGCCAAACCTCACAAAGTTCACCCAACACAATATGGTAGGATCTGGTGTGCTAAAACTTGGCACAACCCAAGCAAATGCTTACTTCAATAATCCTCCTGATATTATTTCTGTCGAACTTGATCCAAATTTTCTACTATCATGGGTCGTTGAAGATGAAGTTAACCTTGTGTTTACATTTAACGTAATTTCTATATAGTGTTCTTTTGATGGATGGTGTGGCATTGGATTTAATGAAGCCATGACTGACACTGATATGATAATTCTTATCAGAGAAAATTCAGAACTTATGGTATGGGATGCGTATAGTACTACATTTCAGCAGCCACAATTGGACACAGGCATACAGGGATGTCAGAATAACATAATAGTTAAAAGCACAAGCTTTGATAATGGCCAGATTTCTGCAACTTTTTCAAGATTGATGGACACTGGGGATAATGAGTGTGATAAAGTTTTGGTGCCAGATGTGCCTATGAAATTTTGCTTTGCATATCTAGATGAGCCAAACCTGACGAGCTTCACCAAACATAGCAGTGTAGGGTCAGGAATATTGAAAATTGGAACCACTCAGGATAGTTCCTATTTTATGCTAAACCCAGAGCTTGTCACCATGCAGCTTGATCCAAACTTTTCTCTGTCATGGCTAATGAACGAGACTGATATCACTTTTACCTTTAACGTAACCTTTATTTAGTGTACATTTGATGGTTGGTGTGGCATAGGCTTCAACCAAGCAATGATAAATACAGACATGATCATTGTTACGCGTATAAATGGAACTATTCAAGCTTTAGACGCATATAGCATTGACTATGTACCACCTAATGGAGATGCTACAATTCCTGGCTGTGAAAATAACATTGTGCTAGAAAGTTCCAGCTTTGTCGATGGAAAAATGTTGGTTACAGTTACAAGACCACTAAATACAGGCGACACTAAGTGCGATAAAGTATTAAACCCAAATATGGTAACGAGCTTTTGCTATGCATATTTAGATCAGCCTAATTTGCAAGCTTTCAATAGACATAACCATGTAGGATCTGGAATTCTGAAACTAGGCAGCACACAAGGAACAAGCAGCTATACACAAGGAGGAGCAGAAACAGTTAGTGTAGAATTAGACCCAAACTTTTCATTATCATGGGTTATGACTGAGACACAAGTAACCTTCACATTCAATGTAAAATTTATTTAGTGCAAATTTGATGGGTGGTGCGCAATAGGTTTTGGGCATGCTATGGAAGATACTGATATGATAATCGTCATTAGAGAAAACGGAGCTTTCCAAGCTTGGGATTCATACAGCTCAGGCTACACAACTCCAAGCCAAGACTCTTCTTTAAAAGGCTGTAAAAATAACGCGAACATGATTAATGCTGAATTTACAGCAAACAAAACAATGGTCGTCACTGTAACTCGTCTTTTGAATACTGGCGATTCTAAATGTGACGTAGTCTTAAAGCCGAACATGATAACAGAATTTTGCTTTGCATATAATTCAGAAAGCGATTTGACTACATTTCCCATTCACAATGCAGTTGGGATGGGTAAGATCAAGCTTGGCATGACTCAAGCTGACTCATACTTCCATCATGGAGACGATATCGACGGAGCTCTTTATGAAAACCATGGAATTTATATGACAGTTATGTGGCTTTGCGTTGTACAAGTTGGAATTATGGCGATCAGATATTTCAAATGGTCCTTTATGGCATACTTAATTCATGCACTGTCAGGCGCTGTCGTAATATTTTTCACACTTGCGAGCGTTTATATTGTCTATAAAAAAGACAAGTTGGGCTATGATGCTTTGTCAGATAAGCCTCGCTATCACTCAAGAATAGGCTTTTATTTGTGCACCTTAGTGTTATCACAAGCTGTTACAGGTCTATTCACTAAAATATGGATGATGTTTAAGCAAGATTTGTCAGTATTAAGAGTATCCAGAAGAATTCACACTGTCATTGGATGGGCTTGCTTGATCCCAGCTTTAGTTAACTTAAAATATGGCTGGGAGATAAGGCAAAATGATACCAACTTACATACAGTTTATGTATTTTATGGAGTCCTTTGTGTCGTTTTTGCAGTTTTGGAAATTAGGCATAGGTTTGGCCATTTATTTATGCCTTTTATATTTAATTTTAAAAGAAAAAAAATCAATAGAAAATCAACTATCACAGCAGACAAAGAAATGCAAGACACTTTTATTGACAAAAAAGGCTTAAACCACTCAGAAATATTGGATGAAATAAACATAAAGAAATCACAGTGGGTATTTTTAGATGAATATGTGCTTGATATTTCTGGTTTTATGCAAAATCATCCTGGTGGCGCATATATGCTAAAAGATGTGATAGGAGAAGACGTAGGAAAATATATAAATGGGTGCAGCAGCATTGGAGATGGGACTTTTCCATATGAACATTCCCAGATGGCTAAAAATTTAGCTTATAGCTTGGTAGTAGGAAATATCGCAAAAAATTGCAATATAATTAAGCCAATAGAAGGTGACACAATTGATTGGAGCATGACTTGGGAAATTGTTAGAAAGCACAATATATCTCAAAGCACAGTTTGCGTAGAACTGAGATCAAATGCATATGAGGTTAGAGAAAAGCCAAAAGGATTAGAGTGGATGGGAAAGCACTTCCAAGTTGAAGCAAAAATAGGGCTGAATGTAGTTAGAAGATACTATAGCTTGGTGTCAGCTAATCTTTATAGTTGGAAAAAGCAAATAGAAGCTGAAGGAATCAAATGCGAATTTAATGCAGCTCAGTACAATGAGTCAAGCACTATTGGAAGCTTAAAATTGTATATCAAGCATTACCCAGATGGGAAAATGTCAGACTTTATATACAATCTTGATAGCAATAGCACTATAAAGATTAAAGGGCCATTAGGACCTGGCTTAGCTCTTACTCAGCTGTCTTCAGGTCTTTACTTAGGCTTTGCAGCTGGCACTGGGATTCTTCCATTTTTAGATTTAGCTTATTCTATATGGAATGACCATGCTCCAACTGGTTTTTGTCTCTTCTTATATGTTAGTTTCAGATCTAAGTCAGAGGCTTTTGGATTGGATCTGTTAGAAGCGACTCAGAAAAAGTTTAGCACACATTTGGTTGTCCATATAAATATAGATGGCGAAAGAATTGGAGGAAAAATTAATGATGATATGCTTAGAAGCCAGGTTGGAAGCAGAGGTGTTTCAAGAGTGTGGGTATGCGGACCGTCTGGGTTTAATAGATGGATCGGGAAAATGGTTGAAACGCAAGGAATTAGTAGAGAAAAGGTGATGATTCTTTAATAAGCTTAAAGGGTTATATTTTTCTTTATAAAGAATATTAATAACGAATTAGTTATTATATTTGTTTTATAATTAAGATTTGCATATAAATTAAATTAATCAATGATTTAGTAATATAAAAAATCTGTATGAGGAAATCAAATATTGCAGTTTCCTATCTAACCAAATAATTTGTTAAATTTTTATTTTTAGAATTTAAGCTGATATTTTATTAAACGGCTGTATTGAAAAATAGACCTGTTTTATAAATTTATAAAATTGAGATTAGATTAGTTAAAATTATATTATAGCGGGCTGTCGAGGTTTATTTCAGCCCCTCTCCGTTCAACGGATAGCATCGCGTTGGCGCTAAGCGCTATCCTCACACCACCTTTTTTCTTCTGATGTCACCAAAAAATGGTGACGTCGAAGGTCTATCGGGGAGAAACCCCTACTGATCGGCATCGCCTTTCTTGGTCCCAAAATTCAGCAAAAGACTCCCTTAACCTCTGGCAGCGCTCAGAGTATGGGTGAATTGTCCTTTGCCTCCTCCATGGCCTGTCAGAGCCTTATTGTAGGCTCGAGAATTGCTCCCATGGAGCAGTATTGAAACTTTGCGCCTGCAGGGACTCTGCAGGTAAGGAAAAAAGATCTAGGGTTGTCCCCTAGACCAAAAACCCAGCTCGGAGAACTATCGCCATGTGGCTGCCTTTCCTGGGCCCGGATCAACTCACAGGTCACCAGGAGTCCACGTCAGATCACGCATTTTTAATAATTCTATAAAAGAGAGAAGACATTCAAATTATCGAGGCTGGAGACATTTAAAATGTATATAAAGTATTTCCTTTATAATAAGCACAAACGTTTAATTGTTTAAATATCATGACTGAATATTCAAAATGAGACTAATTTTAGAGCTTTAAAAGTGATAATGCAATGTATATTTTACTGAAAAATTCTCAATCTAAATTTTCTATTCCTTTAATTTCTTAATTTATGTATAAAATCACCAATTTATGTTCTCCACATAATTTTATTAATGAAGTCCAGTTAGCCCATGTCCTTTGAGCCAATCTATTGGACCTTTGCGGCTTGCTCCACTAAGATGATAGAAGATTTTGGGTTGCACACAATTTTCAACACATTCCACCCATTCTCTATACCTATAAATGCATGACTTGTCGCCAACCTTAAGCAGTTTCAAGGCTTCTTCGCATCTCTTTACCATGGCTTCTTCTTTTGTACAGCTTGGTTTACAGTAAGCCATCCATTTCTCTTTTGGGTCTATTCCACGCTCTAAGCCTGATTTGCGAGCTGAAAGAAATCTTGGATGGAAACTGGAGTTTGGGTATTCAATTAGGCCTGTAGGATCGTTCATATCGCCATGATAGTCAGTATAAGAATGTCTCCCAAATGAAAAATACTTCCCGTGGTCTTCGTGCATATTTTATATTAGGAATTATGAATTTAGTAAGATAATAGAAGCACTTAAAGAAGCGCAGAGTTTCTATAAGTGAGCTCATTTTCAACTTCCAATGGTAATTATTTTAATATTCTTTAATGATAAAGCTACCTTGAACTAAAAAAGTATTTTCTATTCTAAGAAGATCATATTAAAAAACCTTATTTTTAAATATACAAAATTGATTTATAAAAGCAAGATCAAAACAAATTATTTGCGATCTTATATATTTTAGTTATTTTTTATCAATTATCAATTATCCAAATTGTCTTAATTATTTCAAAAGAGTGTAAAAATTAAAATCTTATTTAATGCTTGTTTTCCCTTATTTTGTATTATTCTTTTTCAGCAACTTTTCAATCTTTGCAGCCAACTTTGTTATATTTTCATCCATTTCTTCCACTTTGGAGCTTCCTTTATCAATAATTTCAATTATTTTGCCTAGATTAGTCTCATCATCTTTGAGCTTTTCATCTGTAACCTTCTTTATTTCATCATTCAGTTTTTTAATTTTTTCAATTGCTGCCCTATCCCCTTCATCTATAATTTTTTTCATCACCGTTACTTTATCTTTAATTTCTCTTGTCGAGCCTCCCCACGTCTCGTCAACTTTGTCTCCTTCTTCTCTGCATCCTTGCAAATATTTTTTTACCGTTTTGTTTCTTTTCCAAATTAGCAGCAATTCGCAATCAATGATCAAATTAGCCAATTCTTTTCCATCAGCAACAATCATTCCATCATTGACTCTCTCATAGGTATCACCCATGATGCTGATTAATAAATTCAGCATAATAATTGAGTTAACCAGCGTTGCACAGCCGAATATGACCCACTCAAAAGAATTAAAACCCTTTGTGTCAAAATCATTTAAATCAATTCGATAAGCCATAGTTAGATAGTCCTTTATGTGAAGGTCTGAGTTGTTTTGAATTGTATAAAAAATGACACCGAATGAAAGAGTGGAGTAGAGCAGCAATACAAGGAATGAGCCGATGTCAAATGAAACTTCTTGGATAAGGTGAATTAAATATCGGGTTTCTTCAAATATGCGGAAATATGAAATATAGAGGCTGCCTTTGAGTAGCGCTCTAAGCGTCCGAGACTTCCCGACGAAGTCTGGGCGGTGGTTTGACCAGCTGATGTTGGTCAAACCAACATCCAAAATGATAAATTCTTCTCCTACAGAAGGTTTGTCAAATTGGATGCTGGCTTGACCAACATCAGCTGGTCAAACCACCGCCCAGACTTCGTCGGGAAGTCTCGGGCGCTTAGAGCGCTACTCAAAGGCAGCCTCTATACCTCTGATGAACGATAAGAAAATAAGCAACGTAAATAGATAATTGTTGTTGCTTTGCCAGCAATCGAACCAGATAAATAGGACATATATAATTAAACATGCAAAACGGAGTAAATCAATCAAATCCCATCCGCTTTCTAAAACAACTGTTCCGCCAGTCAGAACTCTATATATAACGATCCCGACAAGTACGAGATTAATTATAAACAGTGGTACTGCTTCAGCTCCATACCCAGGAAAGTTAATCGCATAAGCTATTAAATAGCCCATGTAAATAGCGTATATAGATGCTTCTATGACTTTTATCCACCAAAGTTGATTTCATTTATAATGGAGCAAATTCTTTACATATTTTGTTCTAAAAATTTCTTCATTGGAGCATTTTCATATACTTCTTAAAAATGCAATGCTTTCTTTTGATCCAGGTGCCATATTCACACAGACCGTTGAAATAAAATATTTCACTGATTTTCCTTCATTTGCACTGACATTTTCTTTGAAGAAATTTTCAGAAAAAGGCTCAATACTTCTTGAAGAAATTGTTATTGGAAATTTAATACTTTTTGGGCAGAATTTTGGCAAAGTATGATCTTTCGTGTTCACCCAAAAATTCTCATAAAGCTCACTTATAATTGGGTAGCCTTTGAAATTTAAAGTTGTGAGAGAATCTTCTATGCATTTTGCGGCATAAATGTTTGTTTTTAAGTTGCTAATGACCCAGTTTATAATTATACTGGCAGCATCTGGATAATCTTTTGACAGGCAAAGAGAAAGAGGACTTACATTTTTTTTCGAAGAGAAAAATGGAGCATCGTCTTGTAATGCTTTTTTTAGATGGGAGGTTAGATTGAAGTAGCTATATACATGCACAATATTCATCATTACCGGAGCTATCAAATATTTATTCATTTCTGGCTTATAAGGCTTAGGCTCTCCGATAATAATGTATTTGAGGTATATTAAAAATTCATAAATATCTCTATTTCCATAGATCCAAAAAGAACTTGATGATAATGGATTTTTGGTTATATATATATTTTCCTGTTCGGCTGTTATCATATATTGCTCATCTGAAGTTAGGGCTAGCGCAGTGCAATCTTTATCGTATTTAATTTCAGTCACTAAAGTAAAATTTCTTAAACTTCATATAGAAACAAATTGGTTTTTTTGAGCCATCATAAAATAGTTGTTATCATTTGTGAAATAAATTGTGTTAACAGTATCATCTACAGTAACGCTCTTTATTAAACTTCGTTTTATGATACTTCAAACTTTGAACGTTTTATCCCACGATCCAGATACCAAGAAGCTGTCGTTTTTAGACACTTCCAAGCATTTTACTTTGCCCGTGTGGCCTTTGAAGCTACAAATTTCATTTCCATCTATGAGGTTTATTTCGTAAATTAGTCCTGTTTCATCGCCTGAAAAAAGAAGTGTTGATGTAGAGTTGACAGCGAGTGACCAGATAGTTGCTTTATGCTTTCTAAAAACAGCTAGAGTTGTGTTTTTCCCTGAATTTCCTATGCTTTTTATGGTAACTCTGCAGATAGTGTCACCTGTAATTAAATACTTTCCATCTTTAGTCGCTAAAATTGCCTTAATTGTTGCTTCGTTTGGTTCTTCTGGAGAGGATTGAGTGTATGAATCAAGATCCCAGTAAATTACTTCATTTGCTGCTGTACAAGTAATTAGATAATTTTCATCATGAGTTAAACACTTCGCATAAACCCCATCCTTATGGGTAAATTCATGAACTTTCTTTTTTGTGTTGAAATCCCATGCAATAGCTAAGTTATCATTTGCATTCGTGAAAAATAAACCTCGCTTTTGTGAGTAAATAATGTTGTAAATATCTTTAGTATGCCCATTTGTTAACCTAATGCTATTTTCGTCAAACTCTGGGACTCTCCAGGTTATAATTCTATGATCTTCTGATATTGAGAAAACGTTTAGCTCATCGCTGCTGATTAGCATAGCTTTTACCCAATTTAGATGCCATTTCCATATTATTGGGTTCGAATTATTTACTAAGTCCCAAACTCTTAATGTGGTATCATTGCTTGCAGTTACACAGCGCCTGTCGTTGTTAATCAGTTCAATGCAAGAGACCCTTTTATCATGACCTTTTAATGTATGAAGGATATTTCAGGTTCCAAATTCGTGAATATACCCAACGCCATCATTATCTCCTGAAGCAACTTTTGTGCATTTTTTATTAAATTTTACATACCAAATAGTATTTTTTGCTCCTTCAATAGTTCCTATTATCTTTCTTTCTTGCAGATCGTAAATCTTGGTTGTTTTATCAGCACTGCCTGTAGCTAAATATCTCCCATCGATTGACAAATCCATAGTTAAAGCGCGGTCACCATGAGTATAAATGTCTTCTGGTTGCCCAGTTTCCATGTTCCAAATCTTGACTGTCGAATCGTCGCTACAGCTATATAGTTGCGTCTCATCTTTTGACAGTATAATTTCACTGATTTTGTTGGTGTGGCCACGAAAATCCCTTACAAACTTAAATTCTTTGTTGCCTAGGGTATATTGGCGAATGACTCCTTCTTTACCTCCTGTCAAAAAGTGCTTTTCGTCCTTAAATAAAGTTAATGCGTAAAGCCCACCTCCAGGAAGCTGGACATCATATATAATTTCATCATTTTTATTTCTGTCACAAGCTGCAACACGACCTTCAACACTGCAAAAAATGAATTTGCTGTCATCATCGTATAGTGCTAAAGAATTTCCTTTGAAGGGAATCTTAGTTTCTTTCGGAGCATATTCTTTGATAGCGTGCGTAAAGGTTGTCATGTCGTTAACAGCATTTAGAGAAGTTTCTGTATTGTATTTGATACTATAGCCTTTCGTAAACATTTATATTGACAGTTACAGATAGATTAAATAGGGTTTCTTTTATTCTTATTAAACAAACAGTTTTTATTGAAATATTCTCATAATAATCAGAATAAATGCTAAATTAAGGAATAGTTCTCATTAATGATTACCTCAAGTAAATATTATATTGATAGGTTGTAAAAATATCAATTTTTTTTATTTGAGGAAAAATATGTGAAATGCTTAGCTGCATTTTAATGTCTGTCTGAATGCCAACTTAATCTTGCTGCCTAAGTATATTTGTGAGATGCTTAGAAGCTATATTGTCTTTGATCAATGCTCCATATCATGGGAGCTGTAAGAGTAGCTATGGGATTTATTGAGAAGAAATATATAAGGGAGACAAAGTATAATTAGAGAGCACAGAAAGGAAGCGTGCATTAGAAAATTGGCAGGATTCTGGAAAGGCATATGAAAGAACAAATTTCTTAGAAAAAAACGCAGATTTGAACAGCGGCTTAGATTCTCCTTAATATTTATTATCAAGGATATATTAATAAATATCATATTGCTAAATATAAAAATGATTATTTTAAAAAGACGCTCAAAGAAAAGTGAGTTTTGTTTAGAAAAAGTAAACTTATTATCAATTCATTAAATAGCCAGATTCTCAATGAAGATAAGCCAGACTTGGTTTTAAGCCTATATAATTATTTCTTATGTCTCAATCAATTAATTTGCTAATTATTTATTCTGAGGTATATCTCATTTATAATAATATGAATTTTTCAGATTTACAAGACATAGTATCTAATTATGAGGATCCTGAGGAAATGTTTTTTCTCTGAGACAAAATTGGTGAAGGCGCATACGGTTCTGTATTTCGTGGTATCCACAAGCTAACAGGAAGCCGAGTGGCGATAAAAATAATCCCAATTGGTGATGACATTGAGTCTTTAAAAACAGAAATCTCGATTATGAAGCAATTAAGCCATCCAAATATCGTTGGATATATTGGATCTTATATAAAAGATGATGAGCTATGGATGATAATTGAATACTGCGTTGCTGGCAGTGTTGCCGATTTAATTAAAGTTCAGCTACTGCCAGACTTACTGTATGGTTCCCATCCTCCGGGTTCCAGAGTCCTCTTCTCTGATTATTGCCGGTGGTATGTGAAGGGCCTGTGCCTATTTGCTCGCCATTTGTCCGTTCTCAGCATAAGCTGATCCTGCACAGTCGCTTTGTTTTGACCCTCTGCAGAATGCCTGTGGTCAGGCGTTGTGACAGGGAAAAACCCTTTATAAGAGGCAAAACCCACCTGCATAGGGATTAATTTAATTAAAGTCAATAAATCGCCGTTAAATGAGCAGCAAATTTCAAGCATCTGTCAGGCAGTTTTAAAAGGATTGAATTATTTGCATGAAAATAATAAAATTCATCGGGATATCAAGGCTGCAAACATTTTAATTGATCATAGAGGAGTCGCTAAACTTTGCGACTTTGGAGTTTCAGCCCATGTTTTGAACAAGAACTCTAAAAATGACACAATAATTGGGACCCCTTTGTGAATGTCTCCTGAAGTGATTTCTAAGACACACTATAATAATAAAACTGATATTTGGTCATTAGGGATTACCGCCATTGAAATGGCTGAAGGGCAGCCACCTTATTCTCATCTTCACCCTATTAGAGTTATGCAAGCAGTTCAAAGAAACCCTGCTCAAGGGCTATTTGAACCTAGCAAATGGTCTCACGAATTTAACGATTTTGTTCATGAATGCTTGCGAGTAAACTTTCAAGAAAGACCTAGCTCAAAAGAGCTACTAAATCATCCTTTTATAAGAAATTCGCTTGGGAATAAAATTTTATAGGCATTTTACCAATATTGCCCGATATGGGCCGAAAGTTGAGAGCACTTCCTCTCAAATTGGTTTGACCAACTTAGGGTTGGCCAAACCAACCAGAGAGTTTAGGGAGTTTCCCTCTCCTGTTTGTTGGGACAACCTAAGTTGGTCAAATCACATTACATTAGAATTATTACGCTTTACGTCCACCAAGGAGGTCAGCAAGAACCGGACCTATCACCTTCTCTTCCACCTATCGGGCCCACAGGCCGCCGGTCCAACCTGCTTTGTTTCACCAGCGCAGGCTTGGAGGGGTGTTACCGACTTCGACGACTCATGAGTGAGTTACTGGCTGTACCTTAACGTAGTTGCCATTCCGAAAACCCAAAAAATGGATTTTCTGGTAGGCTCTCGGCAAAAAGGAAAACAAGTAGCCCAGGACGTAACGCCTGGTTTCACGCTAGGGAGTTGCCCGATGGACCGTGTAGGCTTTGCTGGCTTCCCTTTCCAACTACCTGCCTCCTTTACCTACGAGGTAAAATCCATCCCAGGAGATAAGCTTGGGCTAGGCTCTGAACACAACCAGAATTGCTTACCTAGCATTGCTGCTCACTTCTAGAATGGCAAAACCTTGCCAGATATAATTAAAGTATGAGTCGAGGCTGCATGGCCTCCCGGCCATGCCCAGACGAAGACGCCATATTTTAATTATTAAGTTGGTCAAATCAACTTGAGAGGATGTGCTCTCTACTTTCGACACATATCGGGCAATTTAGGCTAAATGCATATATCTCAGCTTGTATCTAATTCTTTGGCTAACATTGAAAAATATAAAAACTCAAAGCAGAGCGAAATAGAGAGTGATAATGAAGAGATTGAAAATATTAATGAAAGTGTTATTGTCAAGGACTTTAATGACAGCCAATGAGGATCGGTTGCTAGTAAAAATGAGCCTGTAAATAAAGAATTTATTTTCAGTACACAAGTAAGCTCAAGGAATTCTATTGTAGATTAAGACTGCAAAGCAGGAAATTAAGGATTATTTAAGAGAAAAATAATTAAATGTCTATTTCTGTTGTATTATTATTGAAAAATAACTGATATGAATATACGCCCTTCCTATAGATGGCGCGCAACGCGCCATCATCGGGCCATGTCGGGAGAGGGTTCTCCACGAGGAATGATTCCACGTGTGGAACCCTCTTTTTCCACGAGCCAAAAAGAGGGTTCCACACGTGGAACCATTCCTCGTGGAGAACCCTCTCCCGACATGGCCCGATGATGGCGCATTGCGCGCCATCTATAGGAAGGGCCTATATCTTATCCCTTGAATCAAAATTCCAGCAACTGGAAATGTGGGAAGAAGAAAGAGACTCTCGCTCCAGAGCAAATTTCAGGAACAAAATTCATTACCAAACGATGTCCTTCACAAATCTATCTAATACAAAAAGATCAGTAGGACTTTTATCGAGACCAATGACTACGAATAGCTTGATAAAGAGAAAGTCATTGACAAGACTTAATAGCTTAGAGACCTTTAAGAAGCCTGCATTCAGACAGCTTTATACAGGAGTCTTTTCAAATATATCACTTGTTTATAAGAGATCTGAACATAGACAGATATTAAGGATGGATGGAAGATCATGGAAAACGACCGGAAGCAATGTTTATAAAGTTCGAAACCAAAGTGCCAAAAATGAAGTAGATTTTGGTTTATAAATGAATTTCGAATTTTTATTTATAACATAATTAACTTAGCACAGGTCTTTATATATATATTCTCCATTTAAAGTGATTTATATTAGTTGCATCAGATTATATGTAAGTATCTCATTTCGCTACGCTCTAACTCCTCCCTTCGTGAGTCATCAAAACCATTGGGAAAATCCCTATTTTCGCTAAAAAATCACGCTCTGAATCGAGCAAAAACAATGTATAATTTTTTTATGAAAAGATATTTTGATATATAAATAATGTTATTATAACGAATCTCTAGCTAGCTTTGCATTTTAAAACATAATTTTGCAAAATTATTATGAATAGCACTTTTTTAAATTTTAAAAAAACAAATTACTATATATAAAATTTTTTTAAAAAACATTAACCCCTTGAACGAACAAATTTTTTGCTCACTCACGAATGGGAAAAGTTAAATATAATTATAATATTTATAAAATATAAATAATTTTCTTTGCTTCTCACACCTGATTGTTTACACACTGATTTCTTCAAAATTATAGCCTTTGAAATTGTACATCAATTCTTAGACTTTCTAGGTAATTATTTTTGTCCTCCTTTTTTATTTCATATTATTATTTCACCAAATTAAGACTTATCCGCTTTTTATAGACTCTGAGCATATCTTCCATAATAAAATATTCTAAATCCAGTAAAAATTCATCAATTATAAATAAAATGGGAAATGGATGCACTAGTTTAGCAACAAAAAGATACAATCTTTTAATATCAAGAAAGCATAGGAGCACTTCAATTGGCGATGAAAACCAAGAAGCTGCAACTGCGAATGTTGAAGAAAGATATAAAACAGAAGAAGACATGAAAATGATAATGAATGCCTTAGCTAGTCACTTTATTTTAAAAGGCTTAGATGAGGATTCTAGATTTGAAATAGCCCGAACAATGAAGCATTATACAATAGGTCCAAGAGAATATGTTTTTGAAGAGGGGAAGCCTGGCCAGTCGTTTTATATTTTGGCAAGTGGAAGACTTGAGGTTGTCATGAACGGAACGAAAAAAAATCTGATTTCCCCTGGTTTTGGATTTGGAGAATTAGCTCTACTTGATGCCAGGCCTCGAACTGCTTCAATAATTTCAATTGAAAAATGCCATCTCTGAGGAGTTGATCGTGATACGTTTAAAGACGCAGTTCGGAGAGTAAATCTATTAGGTCATGAGGAAAATAAAAAATTTATCGACAATATCTCAATCTTTAAATCATTAACTCAAGCTCAAAAAGACCGCATTTTGGCATCGCTCAATACCCAAAGATGAGGAAACGGACAAAAAATTGTAAGGGAAGGTGACTATGGGACTTTGTTTTATATAATAAAAGAAGGTATTGCAACTTGTAGCAAAAACGATCTCGAAGTAAGACACCTAGGCAAAGGGGACTATTTTGGGGAATTATCAGAGCTTTATGATCATTCAAGATCTGCAACAATAACAGCTGTTGGAGATGTAAAAGTTGTGTCTATAAGCTGCCAAAGTTTGTTTGAAATTTTGGGTGATAGTTTACAACAAATAATATATAAAAATTCTATAAGAATTGCAATTGAAAGCAGCCAAGTTTTGTCAGCATTAAAAAAAAGTCAGATTGAAAAATTGCTTGATTATATGATAACCACCAGGTACCAACCTGGAGCATTAATTATCCCAAAAGGAACTAAAAAAGGGGAATACCTTTATATTGTATTAAGGGGGTCAGCAGTTTCACTATCAGGCAGAAAATATGGAAACTTGACATGCATAGGCGATAGAGATTTATTAGTAACTCCTAATTGTGATTTTATTGACGATGTTATAGCAGAAATTGAAACTGATGTCTCTGAAATTTCAAAAGCAACAATTGAAAAATGCATTGAAGGAGATCTCAAAGAAATTACAGCAGCAAATGATCTTAAAGTGATTTTGGATAATGTTTTTTTATTTACAGGCCTTAGTGTTACAAAGCATCAAGCACTAAAAAATTCATTGAATGTCATGTATTTCAACGATAGAGATTCCATTATTTTGGAAAATCGCCCAGGTGAGTATTTTTATATTGTGAAGTCAGGAAAAGTTGTATGTAGAAAAGGGAATAAAAGAGTTAGAATAATTACGAAATATGATTATTTTGGGGAAAGAGCATTAATTTATGGAACAACTAGATCAGCTTCTATACAGGCTGATGGGCCAGTTATATGCTGAATGATTGGGAAAAGTGCTTTTTTAGATTTGATTAGCGAGGAAATTAGAGCCAGAATTGAACATCGAATTGAATTACAAGAAATTTCTATTTCTTTGGCTGATTTAACAATTATTAAACCCTTGGGGAAGTCTATGTTTGGGAATACTTTTCTTATGGCTAATCGAGCTAGAAATAGATTGTACTCTGTTAAAGCCTTGCTGAAGAATAATTAATATGGTGATGGCGACAAAACATGTCCTTGCCGATGACGCACCACTTTTTGAGCCAAAATGGCTTTTATAGTCTAAGCCAAGGTTCAGGCCCTTTGATTCTAGCCCTAAGCTTGCTGTGTGGCAAAGTATGGGGTGGTGGGTGACCTTGGAGTCAGCTGGTGGCTATTCCAGTCCAGATATTTCTGGGCCTCTGGTTCTTTCCCTGCCAGTTCTGGATTGCCGTGGTTCTTTTTTCCTGGGTGACACCCTTCTTCGAAGTTGCTGACAGGACATATCGGGCTAGCATTTACCTCAATAGCACCCAAGCACAGAGGAGTCTCACTAATCATCGAAACTTAGGGACGTAATACAAGCCCATAGTCCTGGGAGAATACTACTGTTGATGGGGCTTGGTGAATCAATTGCCACCCTTGGCAAGCAAGGGTCCAGTGGTCAAAAGTGTGCAGAGGAATCAAATCTGGAAGACCTTAAGCCATTTATCTTGGTCTTAATCTTGCTGAAAGAAAAAATTGAAAAGCTCGGGATTCAAATGAATTTGCAAATGGAAAGAGAAATTGCATTGCAGATGAACCATCCAATGCTTATGAGCATTGTAGATACAGTTAAAGATGCTTGGAGAGTGTATTTCATATCTGAATATATAAAAGGAAAGGATCTTTTTTGCATTCTTAAAGAAATTCAGCTTGTAAGTGAAATACATGCAAAATATTTAATTGCTTCAGTTGCATTAATTTTTGAGTATCTGCATGAGAGGAATATTATATTCAGGAATTTGAAGCCAGAAAACATGATCATCGATGAAGAAGGGTATCCAGTCTTAATTGATTTTTCAGCTGCAAAAATTATTAATGGAAGAACTTATACTACAATAGGCTCTCCACATTACATGGCCCCAGAAGTAATTTTGGGTTCTGGCTACAGCTTCAATGCTGATTGATGAAGCTTAGGAATTGTCTTATACGAACTTTTATATGGAAAAGTCCCATTTGGAGAAGATGAAATTGATCCACACAGCATCTATGAGAAAATTCTTGAGCATCGAATTTCCTATCCTTCTTCTGTGCTTCAAACAAATTCAGCTAAACCTTTAATACAGCAGCTACTTAACAAAAATCCATCTGCTCGTACTGGAGGTGGGACCAAAGCTTTTAAATGCAATATATGATTTGAAAATTTAAATTGGGGTCGGCTAAGAACAAAAGCCTTGAAAATGCCTTTTGTTCCAAAATTTCTAGATTTAGACAATGAGATTGAAGAAGCACTCAACAGCCCAAAAAATAGGTACGAGGTTTTTGAAGCTGAAGAGATAAGTGACCCGATTAAATCGAAAATATATGATAGAGAACCAAGCCTACATATAGGCTGGGATATAGCGTTTGCAACGCAATTGATTGCTTTGCGAGGGTTTCCCGCAGCAATTTGGAGCTCTGAAAAAGCCATCTAAAGGTGACAAGTCAACTCCAAGTTCACAAAAGCGTGCCATTTTGCAAGGATTTGTCAATTTGGAGTTCACTTGTCACCTTTAGATGGCTTTTTCAGAGCTCCAAGTTGCTACGGGAAACCCTCGCAAAGGCAATCAATTGCGGTGCAAACGCTATAATGATTTTTAATCAATTTGTATAATTAATATAATAAGTGCTAGATAAATATGAGAAAAAATACCTCAAAAAAGTTCCACGCTTCAAAACCATCAGATGGTAGTTATGATTTATTGGAGAGACTCTCTCAAACTAAAGCTGAACTTGCATCTATTTTTGCAACTAATAGCCAAACACCAAAGCCTGTAATTAAAACTAATAAAAGCAAGGAAAGAAAACTAACGAACGCTGCTAGCGAACCTATATTTCCTCCAATCAGTATCCATAGAAATCCTTTAAGTCTATATACAGAACGTGACATGAAACAAAAAGAAAGGAAAAGATGGATTCCTGAGCATAAAACTAAGCTAAGGCAATGGGCAGTCCATAAAAATATCACTTATAGGCGCTTCAATTGGGAAAGGGCAGAAAAATATTTGCTCCACCCCTTTAAACTGGAACAAAAAATTTGTTCCAATTAAAAGCTGTATATTTTTGAATATAATTATATTAAATAAAAATACATGATAACCGTTATCTTATTTTTATATCATGCCTTCCATTTTCCTGAGCCTGGGATGAATATTGGCCGCAATTATGGGCCTAATACTGTCAAGCACTATATATAAAGCGTATACCAGCTAATTCATTGTAATTCGGTTATAATTTTTTCCAAATAAAAATAGGATTATGGATATAAAATGTTTAGCGTTATTTAAATAGCATTCTTTATAAACTCTAAATTTAAATAGAACAAGTTCTAACTCCTCTCTCCGTGAGCGAACAAAACCATTAAAAAAATCCCTATTTTTTCCCAAAAGCCCCACGCGAATGAACAAAAATGTTTTAATATAGCTCATGCCCCTTTATATCGAGCAAAATGTCCTGGCCTCTTGAACGAGCAAAACAGACTTTCTTAAAGAGATGATCTCAATCTCTATATCAGTAAGTGCTAAAAAGTGCCATGCCAAAAAATGGTGACAAGTGAGAAAAAAGCTGACAAGTAAACGCGCCAATTTTTAAAAGGTCTTATAAATTAATAATAATAATAATAATGATAATAATAAATACATAAATAATAAATGATATATATAAAATTTATGACTAAAACTAGATGCCATTCTCAGCTTCTCCATACTGGAAGCCATCTTGTATCAAGAATAAGTCTAAAAATTATTGGAGATTTTTAGAGATGTCTCAACCGAAGCAATAACTAGTGGAGACCTTTGATGGGTTTAACGGGGGGAGTCGCACTTTTGAATTTTTTTCTATAGACTATTTCAAGTCAGCTTTTCTATACTGGACGCCATCTTGATGACATCTTGTATTAAGCATAAATCCAAAAATTATTGGAGACTTTGAGAGATGTATCACCTGAAGCAAGAATTCTTGGAGACCTTTGATGGGTTAAAGGGGGGAATCGCACTTTTGAATTTTGCTCTATAACTATTTCATGTCAGTTTCTCAATACTGGACGCCATCTTGAATCAAGCATAAGTCTAAACATTATTGGAGATTTTGATAGATGTTTCAACTGAAGCAATAACTCTCTTGGAGACCTTTGATGGGTTAAAGGGGGGAGCCGCACTTTTGAATTTTTATCTATAAACTATTCATGTCAGTTTCTACATACTGGACGACATCTTGATGACATATTGTATCAAGTATAAGTCCAAAAAATTATTGGAGATTTTGAGAGATGCCTCAACTGAAGCAAGAACTCTTGCAAACCTTTGATGGGTTAAAGGGGGGAGTCGCACTTTTGAGTTTTTCTTTAGGCATTACTCATATCAGTTTCTCCATACTGGACGACGCCATCTTGAATCAAGAATAAGTCTAAAAATTATTGGAGATTTTTAGAGATGTCTCAACCGAAGCAATAACTAGTGGAGACCTTTAATGGGCTAAAGGGGGGAGTCGCACTTTTGAATTTTTCTCTAGGTAATATTCATGTCAGCTTTTCTATACTGAACGCCATCTTGATGACGCCTTATATCAAGCATAAGTCCAAAAATTATTGGAGATTTTGAAAGATGTCTCAACTGAAGCAAGAACTCTTGGAGCCCTTTGATGGATTTATGGGGGGAGTTGCACTTTTGAATTTTTCTCTATAAACTTTTTCAAGTCAGTTCACAATACTGGTTGCCATCTTGAATCAAGCATAATTCCAAAAATTATTGGAGATTTTGAAGGATATCTCAACTGAAGTAATAACTCTTGGAGACCTTTGATGGGTTAATGGGGGAGTCGCACTTTTGAATTTTTTATCTATAGGCTATTTCAAGTCAGTTCCACAATACTAGATGCCATCTTGATGACATCTTGCATCGAGAATAAGTCCAAAAATTATTAGAGATTTTTAGAGATGTCTCAACTGAAGAAATAATTCTTGGAGACCTTTGATGAGCTAACGGGAGGGAGTCGCACTTTTGAAATTTTTTTAGGCATTACTCATATCAATTTCTCCATACTTGGCGACGCCATCATGATGACATCTTGCATCGAGCATAAGTCCAAAAATTATTGGAGATTTTGAGAGATTTATCAACTGAAGCAAGAACTCTTAGAGACCTTTTATGGGTTTAAAGGGGGGGAGTAGCACTTTTGAGTTTTTTTCGAGGTATGAAAGTCGTAATTATTTATGATTTAATCATTTGTCTCCAAGATGTCTAAAAATGAAATGCTAAATTTGGTGTTTGATTAGGTTTATATCAGAAACCTGATTGATTGGGTGCTCTCAGTCTAAATTGAGTATCTTGAATTTTAAATTAATTTAATAATAAAGCCATTTTTAAAATCGGCGCGTTTACTTGTCAACTTTTTTCACGCTTGCTACAATTTTTTTGGCATGGCACTTTTTAGCACTTACTGATATAGAGATTGAGCTCATCTCTTTGAGACAGTCTGTTTTGCTCGTTCAAGAGGCCAGGACATTTTGCTCGATATAAAAATCTATATAGGTATGAGCTATAGAAAATTTTTTATGGAAAAAAACTTTGATATATAAGTGATAAATAATATAATAAAGTCTCTATCTAATTATGCTTAATTTTAAACAATTTGCGTTTTAAAAACATAAATCTACAAATTAAATAAATATTTGCTTTCCAGTTAACGAAGTGGGATTTTTTTAAATATTTTTTTATATATAAATTTTAAAAAAAAAATTAACCTTCTCCATAAATTTTTTTGTTCGCTCCGGAGCGGTAGAGTAATTAAATTTTAATTTTTTGGCTTTAGCTGGGTATCAAAGCTATACATATCAAAATTATTTGTTTTTACTTATAAAAAAATAATTTTTTAGGTTTTTTTTACACTTAATTGAAATTTTACCAATATTTTGTTCCAATTTAAAGGTTGAGATTTAGAAAATAAATATTCATTGGAATTTTTAACACCTCATTAACAGTGTAACAAATTTTTTTAAATTTGTTGGAGATTCAATAAAATTTTAATTTAAATTTATATCAATTTTACTTATTATCCACCTATTTTCTATTGAACTTATTTCAATAATCTTTGATTAGGATGTTTTTCATGTATCGAAGGTTTCATCTAATAAAAATGAATATTTTTGCGTTAAGATCAAGTTCTGCTGATTTTCCTACCTCGCCTTTAAGAGCAAGCAAAAAAATTGAGTGAGCAAAAACTATCAAATTGTTTTTATAAATATTTTTTCTATATAATTAATAATCATTATATCAAGATCTCTAGCTAATTCAATTAAAATTAAGACAATTTGCATCTTTTAAAACATAAATTTTATAAATTGAACTATATATAGGTTTTCTTTTCAAATATTTGCAAGTTTGGATTTTAAATTTGTAAACATTTTTCTATGTAATTTTTAAAGCCCAACCTTTAAGATAAACCAAAACATCTTGCTCGGCTTTATACGGAGTAAGCGATCTTCATTACCAAATTTAAGCCAACAAAATATAGATTCCAGGATTGCAATTCATTCTAGCTTGCGAGAATCATCAGAAAAATTCAATCCAAAAATTCCAGCTTTTTCCCAAACAACAAGAAGAACTCGACGCTTTCAAAGCGAAGATGGCGAAAAAGAAGCTGTAGGCTCGTTAGAAAAATGAGAAGAAAACGTCCGAGGAATTGAAACAGTCGAAAATTTAATTGAAGCTCAGCAAAGACTAAAACGAAGACTTAGTCATGCAGATGTCGTTGAGCAGCATTTATCATTAAGAAAATCCAAAGAAAGATCGTCATCATCTGTAAATAAAATCACACCGAAAAACTCCTTTGGACAAGTGCAAGAGACAGCTGAAATGAGATTAATAAAAAAACAAGAAGAGTATGAAAATAAAGAAAAATCAAAATTTAATAAAAGTTATGAAGATGAATTGAAGAAAATTTGAATAGAATTAGAAAAAGAGTATGTAAAAGTTAATGATAGGAGAGAATTATTAAGAAAAGAATGCTTAGAAATGAGAGAAGAAATGAAAAATGTGCAAGATGCTTACTCAGAATGAAAAAATGATGTTGCTGAGGCTGAAAGGAAGGCTAAGCTAAATAAAAGAAAAAATCAAGAAGAAATTGCAGCAATTCTTTCTAGAAAGCAAAACAGAAGGGAAGAGCTGAACAGAAAAGAAGCTGAAACTAATTTGATTATTGAACAAATATTGAAGGAAATTAAAAATAGAACAGATGAACTTGAAGAGCTTGATGACAAAGCAGGCCTTTTGAGAAAACAAATAAACTCAGTGCAAGCTGCACAATCTACACACTTTTATGGACTTCTTCTTGAAGGGAAAGATACTCGAAGCGAAGGCCTCAAATGGATCATAAAAGCTCTATGAAAACTCAATGAAATCCCTCAGCCTGAGCATTTCCCAAGATTTTTAGACACTTTAGCTATTAATTCCCTAAATCTCCTTGCTAAAAAAAGCTTAGAAATAGATGAGCAATCAGAAATTTTGTTATCCCAGGCTGAAAGAAAATCAAACACTCCAGCTTTTACTGACTCCCCCTCCTACTTGAGGAATTAAACCATAAGAAACATCGCTATATTTTTTAATAAAATTTTTTTATATAAATATTTTTATGAAAAAAAATTGATATATAAGTGATAATTATTATTATTATTATTATTATTACGAAATCTCTTGTTAAAATTTAAACTTCTTACATTTGAAACGTAAATTTGCAAATTAAACTAATTTTTACTTTCAATTTTTGGGGATTTTTTTAAATTTCAAAAAAAATTTTTGTATAAAATTTATAAAAAAAGCCTTTTTCTTCTACAGAGGACAAGAGTGAGAGAAATAGATGAAACAATATTCAAGAAAGACTTACAAAACTGACACAAAATATCAGAATGAAAAAGCCCGAATATAAAATAGATAAACACACAAAAAGAATGAACTTGTTCTGAGAAATCTACGATGAAGATGAAACCGCCATGAAAAAATCAAAAGAAAGGTTTGAAGGAATCAGTGGAGTTATGATTCTAGAGAATATATTAACAAAACTGAGAAACGAATATCTTGAAATGCAAGAAAATGAAATAAAGAGACTTACTCGGGAGTGCTCGCTAAACAACTATGAAATAAAATACAAGATTAATCTCAGAGACCTTATATCAGTTATAATTGGGATTGAAAGAGTTGATAAATACATGGTTTATGTAAATAAAAATTTGCGAGACTTGACAAACAAAGTCCAAACCACAAAAACTTTTAAATTTTCTGCATGTAATAATTAATTATCATATATAACCGATCATAAAAATGTATAACGATTTAAAAAGTTATTTATAATTCACGAAGGTTTTATTTTTCATCCCAAAATAATTTAACCAATTCTAAACAATATTTAAAATGGCAGTTAGGGGTAGGGTCCTAGTCCTGTTTATCAGGCTAGCCCTAAAATCTAAGCTTTGTGAGTGAAGTCCAAGCTTCTTGAGAGTCTCGGCTTGAAGAGAGGAAGTCTGTGCTGAGGCTGGAACGGACTAGAGAAGTTTGAAATGGCTTGATATCTTTAACGGTTCGACGACTAGGCCGCTCCACCTACCGTTGCTCAGAGCTGCTATCGTAGCTGGATCTCAAGTAGAGAAGACTTATAGGCACTGTAGTTCTAGATAAATTCAAACTTAAACTTAACCAAATCTTAAATTAAAGCAAATTCCAGGTATCAACATTAATAAAACGAAACAAAAATCATGTTGATATTAACTTTAATTACGAATACATAGCTAATTTTATTTAGCGATTCTAAATAATAAATAATTCTGATGCTTAAAATTTCAGAAAATTTAAAAGAAGGAAGTTATTCAAGAAAATTTCACTTAAAGAAAATCCATATTAAATTAGTCTCGAAATAATGGAACACTGGAGACTAAAATATGGCAAGAAATAGGGAGGAGAATGCTTAATTTGTAACTTGATAAGCTATCCAGCAAAATTTCTCAGCATTTAGATATTAAGTAATATATACTATGAATAGCTATGCTTAAAACCCAATCGCAAATTTACTCTTTGGATAAACACAATTTTTGCCCTTAAACTAACTCCCCCCCCCCCTCCGTGAGCGAACAAAACCATTAGAAAAATCACCATTTTTTGACCAAAAACCCACCCTCCGTGAGCGAACAAAAATTTTTTTAATAGAAAAAATTTTAATGGAAAAAAATTTTGATATATAAGTGATAATTAGTATAATGAAATCTAGAGCTAATTCTGTTTAATTTTAAACAAATTGCGTTTTAAAACATAAATTTGCAAATTAAATTTAATATTTGCTTCCCAATTTTTGCAAATTAGGATTTTTTTAAATTTCGAAAAAAAAATTTTTTTGTAAAATTTATATATAAATTTTATTTAAAAAAAAAAAATTAACCCCCTCCGTGAGTGAACAAAATTTTTTTGTTCGCTCACGGAGGGGGGGGGGAGTAACAAAAATATTTTTGCTGAAGGTTAACTTTCAGCTGACTCACAATTAATAAATAATATATTAAAATGCCATGGCAAATGATCCATCATATTTTAATGCAGTTTGGGGCCTGATACCCGTTTGTGCTCTTGAGCAAAAATTAGAGTCTAATTATTTATGCCAGTAATTTCAGGGATTCGGCAATATCCATCCATCCTATTCTGATCGAGTCTATAGAGCACTTTAGATTTTCAATTTTCCTTATTGGACATTCAGGATGTTTAAGGACAGACTGGGCAGATGGCTAATAAAAGTAGCCCAATTTAAATTATAGTAGGGTGGCTCGATCATTCAAATAATTTTGCGAAGTAAATTCAGACCTTGATGAGAATGGCATCAGAGTAGAAAGCAGTGAATTGCCCTGCAAGCAGATGGGATGGCAAGCCATCCTTCCTCCACCTAAGGAAAGCTATTCTATAATCTTAAGCAAGGTTAAATTAACTTTCACAATTAATATTGCGTTAATTAGCCATTTTTCCTATGCCTTAATATTCCTCTCAATCCCCGAAAAATAAATATTATTTTTAGTAAGATTCAATATTTTATCAAAAACTTTTGTTTTTTATAAAGCTTTCCCTATCTTAATGATTTCTTTATATTAAATTTCTTTTCAAAATTCTCATCTATTATTCAAAAATTTTTCAAAAATATAAAAATTAATAAATAAGAAAAATAATTTTTTTAGCCTGTTACGTTTCATATAATTGTTACTTCATGAATTTGGCAATTTTTTAGCTATAAAGTACTTAATCTTATGCTAATATTATCTTAAAAGGGACGAGAACAAGGCCATTTATTCCAGACATTTCAAATCGACATTACTGACATTTGAAATGTGCAAGTGGAACAATATTTGTCCTGCGGGAGATGGTCAGTGTAACTGTGGATTGCTGTTTCAAATAAATAAATTGAAAAATTATTCATCAGAAAATGCATTTGCGAGCCCAGATTTATCATTATTAGCTCAGGCAATGTGCCAGCAAGCTGAAATCATAACTCTTTTATTAAAGCAAACACAAATGGCAAATGAAAAAATTAACGAGGTTTCAGAAGAAATAAGAAACTTAAAAGGGTCTAATAGCAGCTCGGCTGTGATTATCCCAAGCAATGAAGCTACCACTAGTTGGGAATTACTGTCGATGATTTGTGGAGACCATATGGACTTCCAATATAAAATTGAGTTGCTAAGCACAATTCCTTATCCTGTATATAAGGAGCGAGCCTTTTGTCTTGTGTCTAAATTAGTGGATTTGGAAGGAAATGAAATTTCGTTACCAAAACCAGTTCGCTTCAAAATTATGCTATTTACCACAGAAAGGCCAGCTAAGTTATTGATAAATAACACTTCAGGAGATAAAGTAATGAGAGGCACTATAGAAACTGAATCAGATTCTTTAATTACTTTTAATAATATAGTCGTCAAGGAAGTGACATCGCACTTTAGAAACGGATGCTTTTTCTTAGTGGTTGCTCCTTTTGATGCTAATTACATTGAACCGCTTATCATTGAGAACGTTGTCGTAAAAGCTAGAAAAGTCATGAGCGAAGATCACCCAAGAAAAAAGCAAAAGCTCGAAGAAATAAATTTGAAAAATGAGACTAAACTTTAATTGTTGAAATAAATAAATAAATAATTTTAGCTAAAAAATCAGTGCTAACTCTCTATCTAATAATTAAGTATGATTAGATATAAATATTGATTGATAAATACAAATTTAATAAGCAATTATTATTTGCGTGCACCATTCAATTTTTAATTAAAATTAGATTACTATTTTTATGCCTAGGAGATCTGAGAAATATGAAATGAAATCCATTCCATTCCATTTTATCTCAAAAAATTAAAATAACAAACAGTTTCTTTTTAGTTTTATTATTTTGACAACTCGCATCTTCAATTTATCCATAAACCTTGCCGATCTGCAGCGAAGTCGTATTTTTGACAAAAACCTTACCATCTCGATCTTTCACGATTTAGAATGCACCAATAAATCACTTAAATGTTTTTAAATGAAAAAAGCTTCTAAAGCAACTGCAAAGAGGTTCCTGAAAAGTAAAACCATTTAAATAATAAATTTTGACTAGATGCAGATTTACATATCAAGTTGATTAAATTTCAAGCAAATAATCTGAAGCTAAAAAGCTTTGATTTTTGCTTACACACTTTTATGCGATGAATCTGAGCTATTTCATATGTTTTTATATCCAGATATATAGCTTGGACGCCTCTTCAATGCTAGTCAACTCTATTTATAATTTTCTCCTAAAATTTCTTACCCAATACAAAATTGCCATTTCATTTAATCATCTGCTTTTCTCGGCATCTCCCTGGCTTGATTTTAGATTCCAACAATATATTAACAATGAATGAAAGAAAGCATTATGATTGAGATTTAGATAGACTTAATAAATTTTAAGTTAACTTACGCAATTCTGGAAGCCCAGGCAGGAGGGAGAACTGAGCGAGCAGTCTGAATATATTGGGCTCTAGCATCAGCTTGGCTTACGTTCTTTTTAGCATTCCATGCATCCCATTTGGCTTTACCTTTTGGATCAAACATTCCTGGTCTGCTGGTGTTGACGTCGCCGACTGTTGCTTGTTTGAAGAGTCCATAGAGAGCTAAAGCTTGGTCATTTGTTAGTTGTTGTCCGCTTGCTCCAAATTCATTGACGATTTTCACTGCAGCCTCAAATTGAGATTCCATTATTTATTAAGAAAAGTTCACCATTAACTTGTATAAAAATTAAGTCTACTCGGTATTTTATTATCTGAAGAAATGCTACTATGTGCTATTTATAATAAAGACAGTTCAAGTCTAATTAATTTTAATTATTTTAGAGCTAGCTAGCTTAAGGAAGTTAGGCTTCCAAGATATTTAATTATTATCTTGGAATTCTTATTGATAGATTAGAATAAATAAGCTTATTTAGAGCGGAACTCTGATGAATATCTCAGATCTCTTTCCACCTTACTGCCTTTGGGTTTGAAGCCCTGCTTCTTAATTGCATAAGAGTCACGAAAACTGGTGACCTTAATGGTGCTACGGAAGATCCATCAGATCTAGCGTGAGCGAAATCTAATTAAAGGACTCTCTTAAACCCTAACAGCATACAGGGTATCCAATGCCTCCTTATAATAAAATAGCGTCGAATAAATCTCCTTAAAGCTTTTCTCCTTTAGCAATTTTAATAAAAAATTATTCTTATTGAGGAATATTATTGTATTAATATCCTAATTTAATATACTAGCTTAAATTAAAAGTTTGCATTTATGCTGCTTCCTTTTCTTTTAAACATTAACCATCTGCAATTTTCTTATTTTTCTCGATCCCGCCTTTATAAATGGGCAAAAAAGGTTTAAGCGTTGAAGAAAAGCGGCAAAGAATCCTGAATATTTTTTATACACGAGTAACAACTACTTAGAAAGAGGTTTTTAATCTCAAAGAGATCGAAAACATCGGCAGCAAAGCAGGAGTTGTATTGCAGACAATTAAAGATATTGTTCAAAGTTTAATAGACGATAACCTTGTCGAGCAAGATAAAATTGGCGCAGGGAACTTCTTATGAGCTCTCCCATCCAAATCTCAGCAAATGAGAAGAATAAAAATTGATGACCTATCGAATAATATTTCTGAACTAAAAACACAAAGGAAAGCATTGGCTCAAGAGCTTGAAAATAAGAAAGAAGAAAAACCACAAAGCAAAGAGAGAATTGAGCAACTTAAATCTCTAAAAAGATTGAAAGAATTAAAAGAAAAGCTGACAGCTGAGAGAGACTCACTTAAAAAGTGCTCTAAAGCTTCTTATGAGCAAAATTTAGCAGAAATAGAAGAATGCAAGAGGAAAGCTAATATATGGACAGATAATATTTGGGTAGCAAAATCATGACTCATGAAACAAAATCCAGCAATTTCAGAATCTGACTTGAACGCTCATTTTGGACTGCCAAGTGATTTGGATTCAATTGATTAGTAAACTTGTATTAGAATAAATAATTATAAATTTTATTAGATCATAATTGGTGCTTCTTTTCCAGTAATTCTCCAGTTTTTATATGAGTGACGTAAGCTCTTGTGATTACTGGAATAATTTTAATCAAGTAGCATCAATTGTAAACCTATAAGAGTTCTGTAATAATTTAATAAGCTTAGTGTCATGGACGGTTTTCCATATTCCTATTCTAGATTACTTACTGAATAATATCATGCAAAATTAACATCTATATAAATTTTTTTACCAAGAGCACAGCATTCATGATTTCTCTCTTAAGCTGTTTACTCATAGCTAAAAAATGAGCAGTTCAATCTTATTAAAATTTTTAATTATCTTTCTCTTATAATGGAAAGATCAATTAGTTCCTATTCTCACATATCTGGACTTGACGGCGAAGAAATTTCTGAAGATTGATATGAGAAGACTCTTACTCCCCCCTCCGTGAGTGAACAAAACCATTAGAAAAATCGCTATTTTTCGCCCAAAAACCCACCCTCCGTGAGTGAACAAAAAATTTTTTTAATAGAAAAAAAACTTTGATATGTAAGTGATAATTATTATAATGAAATATCGAGCTAATTCTGTTTAATTTTAAACAAATTGCGTTTTAAAAAACATAAATTTTATAAATTAAATTCATATTTGCTTTCCAGTTTTTGCAAATTAGGATTTTTTTAAAATTTCGGAAAAAAAATTTTTTCTATAAAATTTATAGTTAACTACACTGACTGGCACGGGGTGCTTTTGGCTCGAAACTGAGCCAAAAGCACCCCGTGCCAGTCAGTGTAGTTCACTATATATATAAATTTTTTTAAAAAAAAAAATTAACCCCCTCCGTGTGAGTGAACAAAAAAATTTTGTTCACTTACGGAGGGGGGAGTTAGAAGAAAGTCAACTAGAAAGAAAAAAACAAATAATATCCATAATGAAGAGCCAAATCGTAAGAATACCTATTCTTCTGGTTATCCTAGCAGACCTACTACAACTCCTTTTCACGCTCTCATAATGGAATCGAGTTATAATGAAACCCTTAGATCTCCAACCCGTCTAAGTATTGAGCCACAGCTAACTGCACTACACGCTTCGTTTCTTCAACGAATTGAACAGGAAAATTCAAATAACAAGAAAATTTAAGGTCTTTTTTTTAGTCGGAAAGTCTTGATTGTATGACAGTTGTTTAGAAAAATAGTCTAAACTTTTGATCGTGTGGCTTTCTCTGAATTAAAAGTTTTAAAGCAATTTCTATGTTATCAAAAAATTTGATAGAAAATTTCCGAGTAACTCTCACACTATAAAAATATTGTGTCAATTGATGTGCAGCCAAAATTTACTCAGCTGCAAATTCGTTTTTAAGCTCAAAAACAGTGTCAATGAACCAACCATTGGCGAATATTGGTGACAATGAGCTACTGGAAGGATATATAAAAATTAGGGAATGGACTCCCTTTGAAATCATTGAAGGGAAAAATGATGATTATCCTATGCTTGAGCTCAGAAAAGCTATTTTAAGGATAATTTCAGGAATTTCTCAGTTCTGTCTGCACATAGTATCGAATCCGGTATTTGATGCGATTATCTTGTGCTTTATTTTTGCAAATACAGTAGTCTTATCTATTGAGAAATATACACTAAAATGGTGAAATGTATCAGACTGCCCTCTTGAAGCAACAGTCCAGACCTTATGGCCACGGTGAACTGGGATGGACTCTGAGAGAAACAAGTGCAACCTCAGGTAATGCGCATCCTGGCAGATTTTAGGCTGCCTTCCTGTGGTTGGAAATGGAGATACCAGAATTGGCACCCATTTTTGGGGGGATAGACCCTCTGGGCTAGAGTCGAAAGCGTTAGAAACTTTCATATGGGAAATTTGTGGTGACTACTAACCAATATGGCTAACGCCTCACTTTAAATAGCCTAATCTTATCTATTGAGGATCCGAATGCAAGCACTCAGCCTGAACATTTACAAATTCTTGATTATATTCCTAATATCAGTGCTTTTACTTCAACAATGGGAGTTTATATTCTTATTTTTGAATCAATTTGAAAACTGGGCCCTCATGAGAATAGAGAGTTTAATTCAACTCAGTATATATTTTTATATGTATATACAATAGAAGCAGGATTAAAAATTTTAGCTCTTGGGCTCATACTCAATAAAGGAGCTTATTTGCGAGACCCATGAAATGTTCTCGACGCTGTTATTGTCAGTACTGCATGAGCATCATATTATGCTACAACAGGTGTTAAATTAAATGCATTACGTTCATTAAGAATTCTCAGGCCACTCAAAAGCATTTCTTCTCTGCCTGGGCTAAGAGTGCTTATTGTTGCTTTACTGAAATCTATAATACCTTTATCCAATATTATTCTGATATTATTTTTTACACTGCTTATATACGGAATTATTGGAAATCAATTATTTGGAGGACTGTTTAAATACCAATGCATGGATCTTGAGACTGGAAAGTATTTAATGGCACCTGGTGATGACTGAGTCTGTGGAAGCAAAACGTGTCCGCCAGGCTATGAATGCGTTAAAAGTTTGAATAATCCAGTATATGGGAAAATTAACTGAGATAATGCTTTAATAGGCCTTTTGCAATGCTATACTTCTATCAGTGAAGAAGGATGAACACAAATAATGATTATTGGGGAAAAAGCATTTAATCAGCCAATTGCAATCATGTTTTCGATCTCACTAATGTTCATTGGTACTTACTTGCTGCTGAATATCATGGAAGTCGTTTTATATTCAAATTTTTCTAAAGAAATGGATAATTTAAGAGTTCAGCAAAAAAACAAAGAAGTCTGCGAAGAAGAATCAGTAGGGTCATCTATTATAGAAAATTTAGTCCAAGACCATGATTCTTTTGAGCAGGATATCAACGATCGCATGAATCTCGATAAATCTGAATCAGAAATTGATTTAAATAGAGATGATGCATATAAAGACCAGCAAGAAACAAGCCGATCCTTGTTTAAAGATGAGAAAATTTTGTTCAGTCAAAATAAAAAGTTAAAAATGCATGGAATTTACAAGCAAGCAAGATTAAATTTAAAAAATAAAGGCGAAGATTTTTTTGAAGCATTTAATTCTGTTGACAGTAGTATAAAGTTGCAAAATAATGAAGAAATATCTGTTAAAGATCTAGAGGAAAGCCTGCCGTCTCCAAAATGAGATAAATCAAATAATCTAAATTTAAAGCACACTGCTGAAAGCAAAACTTTAAAACAAAATGACTCAGCTGATCATGCTAATGATGAGGCATTTTTAGGAGCTGTAAGCAGCCCTCCAGTATTTCATAGTATGGGAAACTCACCTTCTGCAACAATTGAGACTAAAGGCGGGGTTTTATCAAAAAAACCCTCACTGCTGTCAAGAGTGACTTCTTTGTTCAAAAGTCCTGTAAAAAGAGAGCCAACTTCTAAAAGTACTGGCGACAAATCAATCTCACCTTTTTTGTTGGGAAGAGTAAAGAATTTAAAAATAAGAAAAGATTTACGCCAAAAAATGAGAGATGTTTCAGAATCAACTAACTTTCTCTTTAAAATGAACGGCATTGTTTTGATTGCTTATGGAAGGAGAAGGAGAAGAAATTTAAATAGAGGGTCGATGGCTCCCTGATGCACTATTATAAGTGATTGGTTAATGGAAGGAAGTTATTTTATTATTAGCTTTAAAATTTTATTTAAAAAATTGTTCATTTTAAAATTGCTGCTAATAAATATTCAAATTATAAAAGTCATTTAGTTTATAACTTTATATTGTCTAAAATCATAAATAATATGTTGTGCGACAAAAATATGTACTTAGCGATGACGCACCACTGTGGGCATAAAAATGGCTTTATAGCCTAAACCAAGGCATAAGCCCTTCGATTCTAACCTTATGCATCCTATATAGTGGTATATGGGTTGCTGGATTTGGGCTTCAGCTGTTTGCCATTCCGGTCCAAATATTATTTATCCGATTGCTTTTGGGCTATGTTCCGTGAGCCGTGATGTGGTTTTTCCCTGTGCGTCACGCTTTTCTAAAGGTGGCTGAGAGGAGGTTTTGGACTAAACTTTACCTCCATAGCACTCTCAAGACGCACAGCACTGAGGGGTCTTTGGAATCCATCGAAACTCAAGAGAGACTAGTGCAGGCCTTAGTTTCTGAGGAGGTCACTGCTGTCGGGCATTGGGAAACCGCTGCTATCCCTGGCGACAAGGATCTGGTGGTCGTGAGCTGCGTAGACATCAAATATAGAAGACCATAAGGCTCTTAACTAGCTTAAATTTTGTCTAAATCTAATGAATTAGCTAACCTCTCCTCCATTAGCAACAAAAAAATTTTGTTATTCATCATAGAGTTCTTTTTTTTAAAAAATTTATATATAAATTTAATATTAATTTTTTTTTCGAAAAGTTAATTTAATTTCTAAAATTTATGTTTAAAATTCAACAAGATTCATTATAATAATTATCGCTTACTTATCAAAATATTTTTTACCTAAAAATTAGGGATTTTTCCAATGATTTTGCTCGGGAGTAAGAGATTTCGTTATAATAATTATAACTTATATATAAAATAATATATATAAAAGTTTCTTTGTTGGAGAGGGGTTAATTCCCTAAAGATAATATTTTTTATAATTTTTGATCTTGAGGATGTAAGGTGAAAGTTTCTATCAATGAGCTGCATGAAGTTGCATCAACTTCCGAATACGATGTTCTATCGAGTGAAATCCCATCTAATAGCGAAATCAATACTAGCCCACTGCTTGAATATAAATTTGCATATAGAGGTGGGAAAGATGTCTTATCTAATCTAGAAAAGCTCACACAAGTATGAGACAATAAAGTCTCTGACAAACTTGATAAATATAGCGAGAAGGGTGACAGAAACGAGATTTTTCGATTTTTGTGTGGAAAATATAAAATAAAATATGCATTTTATATGACAACAATCGAAGTCCCACTAATTGTCCAAACTATCAAGGAACAAGATAAGATGACAAAAAATGTGACTGGAGACTGGTCTGGGTATGATGTAAATACTAATGAAGGAATAAAAACTCATGAGTACAAAGAAAAAATGGATAACATGAATTTTCGGCTATGGAATAATGGACCACTTGGAAACTGAGAGAGACTTACATATCCTCTGAAAGTAATTGTCAAACATAGGTGGTTAAACTATATAATGATCCTTTGTGTAATTGCGAATACTATTGCACTTTCTATTAATCACTATGGAATTGATTCATCCACACAGGAGTCTCTAACAACCATAAATACAGTTTTTACCTTTGTTTTTATTTCAGAAATGGGCATCAAAATTATTGCTCTTGGGTTTCTTGGGTATTGTAGAGAAGCTATGAATTTATTTGATGGAGCAATTTCTATTGTTGGATTATGCGAATTTTTATTTTTGTCTGGGACCTCTCTTCAAGCTCTTAGGGCAATCCGAATTTTGCGAATTTTCAGAGTTGTCAGAGTTCTACGGCTTTTTAGATACCTCCAAACAATGACCCACATCTTGAAAAAGCTTCAAAAAAACACGATGAATTTTTTTTATTTGATGATATTCCTTTCCCTCTTTGTCTTGATTTTTACAATATTGGGCTTGCAGCTCTACTCAAGAAAGCTCAATTATACTGAAGCTCATGATCAGTATAACTGAGATACTTTCTATTTTGCATTCCTCTCTACTTTCCAAATAATGACAGAAGAAAACTGGAATAACCAAGTGTATACAACCATGAGATCAAGCTATGGCTATGCTGGAGTTTTATTCCCAGCTTTCTGAATTATGCTTGGGAACTATATCTTGCTAAACATTTTTTTAGCTTTAGTTCTCGATATGTTTTCAACTGAAGAAGATGAAGATAGCGTAGACATGACAGGATCATTGACGAGCGAAAGCAGACGTGGAAGCATTTTTTCAATATCGTCAAGAATCAAAAAAAGAAAAGAGCAGCGGTTAAAAATCTTGGAAGATTTAAGTGATGAGAGCGAAAGCGAAGAAATTTATGAAGAAGCTGAAGGAACCAAAACTTTGGAGGATTTAAAGCGACAAAGCGAAATGAAAAGAGCTAAGGTCATGTTTCAGGGAATTGAGTGTCAAAGAAGTTTTTATATTTTCTCAAAAGAAAATAAGCTGAGGAAACTCTGCTATATCATCACAAGTAGCCCAAAATATGAAAGCGTTGTTTTATTTGTAATTGTTGTGAGCACTCTGAAATTAATTTGGGACACTTATTTGTTGGAGCTATCTTCTGATGATATACAAGTTGTTATTTCTAATTATTTTGATCTAGCATTCACTGTTGTTTTTGGCTTAGAAATGATCATAAAAGCAATATCAATGGGGTTTTTGGCTTCAAAGGGATCATATCTACGAGATAGCTGATGCCAGCTGGACTTTATTATTGTAATCCTTTCAGTTATAGATCAAGCTCTTACAAGTGTAAATATCCCCGCTATTAAAGTGCTGAGGCTTCTCCGAATTCTCAGACCACTAACTCGCTCCCTTTAAGACGAGCAAACCATTGGAAAAATGCCTGTTTTGGGAACAATGATCCTTTAAGTGGCCAATAGCTTTTTTATATAAATATTTTTTTATATATAGTGCCCATTGCTATATTTTTGCATAAAATGATAACTCCTCTTATAGAGTGTCAGGCTATTCTGCTGACTCTTTATAAATGGGGATTAAGAATCATCAGCCACAACTTACAAATGAAGATCATGATTAATGCTTTAATAGAGTCATTAATTTCAGTCGTAAACGTCTCAGCAGCTATTCTACTCCTTTGGCTAATTTTTTCTATTTTAGGCGTATCGTTATTTGGAGGGAAACTATATACATGCTCCAACTCAAATATCGATAACCAAGTCCAGTGTGAAAAGCTAGGATACTCATGAAAAGCTATCGATTTCAATTTTGATGATGTTCCAACTGGAATAGTTGATTCCTTTATATTAACTACACAAGAAGGATGGCCTGATTGAATGTATCAAACATGTGCGGCGTACAAAGAAGGATATGCGCCTATTCCTAATTATTATCCGAGTGCAGCTACTTATTTTATTGTTCATATGTCATTGTCGTCTATTTTTTTTATCAATCTTCTGATTGGTGTCATGTTCGAAAAATTTGCTGAAGCCAAAAAGAATGAAAGTTCGTTAGCTGCACTTATTTTATCTAAAGAGCAAATGGTATGAGTAGAAATACAATCGCTAATTGCTCACCCCCCTTTTTTAAATTTGAACAAAATATCCTGTTCCCATATTTATGCTTTAAAATGAAATTTATACTAAAAAATTTTGAAAATAAAAAAGAATAAACTGAATGCAGTATTTTTGAATTATTTTTTATTTTATGAGGAATTAATTCAAAAATTAATAAAACTGTTTAAATAGAATTCTAATTGCCATTAAATTAAGCAAAAACTTATTTTGCAAAAATTATCATTTTCACCTATAAAATTTTTCTATTGCAAAACATTTTGTTTCATTTTAAAGAAAAGGATAAAGCCTGAAAATGAAATTTTACCTATATATTGCTCTTATTTAAAGGGGTGAGTCAATCAAAGCCTCAGATAGAAAAATCAAGTAAACCTGAAAACAAATTCCAAAAATTTTTTTACGATCTCCAAGAACACTGGATTTTCGGAGCTTTTATAAGCATATGTATAGGTCTGAATTTTATATTAATGTGCCTCTATTATGATCAGGCATCAGCAGAGTACACAAGTGTTTTAGAAAACTTTAATACAGCTTTTACGTATGTTTTCATTGCTGAAGGTGCAATTAAGATTACAGGAATGGGCTATGTATATTTTTACAACAGCTGAAATCGTTTTGATTTTTTTGTAGTCGTTTCTTCAATTATAGACTTAATATTTACCTATATAATCACATCGGGCAATAACTTGATTAATACAGCTCCACAGCTTATCAGAACTATCAGAGTTCTTAGGGTGACGAGGGTAATCCGGCTAGTAAAAAAGTTTAAAACTTTGCAAGAGCTGATTACGTTGGTGTCTTACTCAATACCTTCCATTTTAAATGTCTCAGCTGTTTTACTGTTGATTTTTGTGATTTATGCTGTTCTGGGAGCTTATCTTTATCATTCTATTGATAGCGGGGAGTGCTTTGACGATTACAATAACATGCATAATTTTGATAAAGCTATAGTGAAGCTGTTTAGACACTCAACAGGGGAAAACTGGCCTAACGCACTATGGGACTGTATGAACTCTTCAGTTGGGAAAACAATTTCTTACATATACTGATGCACCTTCATATCAGCCACAACCTTTATTATGCTAAATGTGTTTGTGATGGTCATTTTGCAAGACTATGAAGACTTCGCTAATGACGCTCAAAGCGGGGTCATAATTTTCAATAAAGATGTGAAAAAATTCAAAAAGGCATGAGGACCGTACTCATTGCAAAGCTCAGGGATGAGAATTCATTATAAATTCTTGGTTGAGCTTATGTATGAACTAGGGCCCGAATTAGGGGTAAGTCAAGATACTCCGCATGATAAGGTTATTAAATTGCTATCTATTATGGAATTACATATAGATGCAGATGGATTCATTTATTACAATGACATGCTTTTTTCCATCATGAAACGAAAACATGCAAAAGATTTAGCTAAAAACTTAGACTCAAAATCACAGAAATTAATTAGAAAAGAAGAGCATAGCACCTCCAGAAAACTGCAGCAGCTAAGGGATAAAATATCAACAAATTTCTATTCAGAATCAAAGGTAAGATTTATTTAGAATTTGCAAATAAATAGTAAAGGAAAAACCAATTTGTTTTTTGCTATGATTTATGCAAAAAGTGTATTTAAAAGCTGGAGAAATTGGACCAAAAAGAGAAGGGAAAATATAAGTCCAACAGGATCTATAAGTATTACGCCAAGATTTACAGAAGTCGAGTTCCCGGGGGACAATTCCTTAGCCACTTCTGAAATTGAAAATACCATAGTCTAGTTTAAAAGCTTGTGAATATAATTTTAAGCTAATGCAATTAATACTTATGTAAACAATATAGGGAAGCTGTAGCAAATCATCCTGATGAAGCAAGAGTTGTCAATAAAATCAATATGTCTATTCCCACAGCACAAGCACTGCTTCCTCAAATCTTCATGCTTGAAGTGCACATCAATTCTTGTGATTCTTTCCATATTAACTTTCCCCCAAATATTGTTTATCATTTCTTCATATCCTGCTGAATATTTCATATGCGAGCTCATCTGGATCCTTGCAGACTCTTCGTTAACATAAGGATCATCTCGACAACTAAATAATAAAATGTGTTCAAATCATTCTAAGCCTTGATGCTGACTTAATTCATAAATATAGCTGTCTTTTAAATTAGCTGAATCTTGGAAAGTCATTTGCGAAAAAGAATCGCTTCCTTGATAATTTCTTATGAATCATTTTCCTAGCTCGAGGAGTGGGTTCCTTGACATGCCAATGCCTAAATGAGGAGATGATAAGGTTACAAGGGAATATAAGTTTTCTTTTAGACGTGATAAGTGAGGAAGAGCTGATCTGACTATGAGTCCACCCAAAGAATGGCCAAGGAAAGAAAGTTTTAAGCGGTGGAGAGGAATACGATTAATGGATATGTATTGGATTATTTCAGAAGCCAAATTGTATCCTTGCAAACCAATTAGGGAATCTGATTGGTATTCGTTAGTTTTAGATGATAAAATGTGAATATCTGGGTAAATCTGGTTGATATAGCCTTTTATGAGATGCATGTCAGCTGAGCAACCTTTGTATCCATGAACAAGGACTAATACATGAATGTCATTTATTTTGCAAACTGTCAGGTCTTGAGGATCTACTTTAATAGGTGCTTGGCACTGAAGCAAGCTTGTCTCTACTGTATTATAATTTTCTAGAAAAAATATAGGATGGCAATCATTTTCATGGTATAGATCTTCTGAATGAATTTCCAGTCTTTCTAAATTTTCATAATAAGGAGATCTGCGGATTTCTTCAGCTTTCTGAGCATACTCTCTGCAATTTCGATAGATACTTGGGGACTTATTTTCAATTATTATGTACTCTTGAAAATGCTTATTAACTTGCTGCTCAAAAAATCCTTTTAGGATATCAATTGGGATATTATTAGAAATTTCTATAAGTTGTATTAGCATCGCAAACGATTTTTCGATTTCATAGCCCACAATTTGGATCTCATCCATAATCCTCTGAGAAATTTCTTCAGGGTCATCAGTTTCTATTAGATCATAAAAACTGACTTGCAAATCTTCTCTATTGAAAACTTTTATTTTAATGGAAGATTCGGAAAGTAATATTTCCTATTTTTCTTCCTTTTGTGAAGAAAACGGAGCTTTACAGGATGGATTTTTCGAACTTTTACTATTAAATGAACTTATTGATACAGGATTACTTGATAATTCTGAATCAGAGTATGAATGAAATGATAGTGATACAGAAAATGTTGATACAGATGACAAAATATTGGAGTTTTTTTAAGTCGTTTAGATGGAAAAAATACTAGATGAAATAGAATCTATTCAGGAAACCTTCAAATATAGGAAGACTGAGGTGATCATTGATGATAAGAAGACAATCGATAAGAAAATCCTGAACACCATAAAATTAAAATCCAAATCAACCTTAAATCCTATCAGAAAAATAAAATTTATATCAGAATCAAACCCTATCAGAAAAATAAAAATTTAGATCAGATTCAAATTTCATCAGAAATAGAAAATTCATACCAGACTCAGAAATCGAAAAAATCGCGGATTACGTGGGTTCAGAAAATTTTACTAAAATTTTATCCAAAGATTTTAGGAAAAGATGAAAGCTAAAAATTTTTTAATCGGGACATGGCCCTGAAATAAAGGCCTTTAAGTAATAAAGATTTCTCTCTCTCTATTGAAAGATAATTTTCACCTTTAGAGATGGCGGTGAGAGAAAGTCCAGATGTTCAGGCTCAGTTTCAGTCATGACTTTGGAGAGGCTGCAGGCTCTTATTGGACGAATTCTCTGGGGTGGTGTGTAAGCATGGGCTGGCTTGGCTTCCCTAGACCTAAAGACAAGAGGCTGACAGCGCAAAATCAACAAGTGCTTCTGGAAGGAGTATTCTGCAGCGAGCAAATGGTAGAGTTAGTTCCAGAAAGAGCCATCAAACGTTCAACTTATACCCTAAGCACTACTAAGGTTTAAGATAGTCCTTTGCTGAAAATTTGGGTCCAAGCAAGTTCGGGTGTCTTCTCGTTAGACTTACGATTCCATTATTTTTGGTAGTGCAAAGAAAAAAGGGCGTTATGAGGCTTTAGTGCTAAGTGCTATATGAGGCGTGAAGATGGAGCTCAGCTAGCTCGGGATTAAAATAATACCAGTTTTCCTCTCTAATTACTCTCTCTATTGAAAGTCGGATTTTTAAGTTCTCTTGGTATAAATTTTTGGATATCTTTTGATTTGACCAGATTTGAATTTTGTATTAAAAGGGCCAATACCCTAATAGTATTATAGCTAAGCCTTAAAGGATCTAGAAAACTATAATAAGCTAGATCAGCAATCTTTTTTTCAACTTTATCTAGCTGATCAAAGCATTCATTTTGAATTTTCATAACTCCATTGTGCCCGATGTCATAAGAGAATGGCAAAACGTGAATAATTGCATCAATTGAGCAAAAATAAGTCGGATCGAAGCTTATAGGCAAGTACTGGTGTATAGGATTTCAAAGATTGCTAATTATATAGGTTTTTGCTACAACTTGCTTCATGACCGGATTTGTATCCAGAACTCTGAGTTCATCAGACTCTTCTTTTCTATTCTTTTTTTCTAAATTACTATAGAGAAGTTCTGCTTCAAGAGTCAAGGCTACTTTTGTTTTAGCCGGAACTGAACAGACAAATACACACAGCTCATTCAATAAGAAATTTTCTTCTTGATATCTGATTAGAAAAGAGCGAGTGTTATAGGCATGAATTTCATCATCAATATATGCTGATAGAACGCTTGAAGGATCTTTTTTAAGTCAGTTTCTCGCCGACTTATTTAGGCTTCATAGTTCTGTTGGATTTGCATAAAAAGTCTATTTCAAAATTACTTCCGAATCTAATGTGTAATATAGTCTGAAGCGAAGCTGATATAATCCTTGCTTAAACAATTCAATATTTCTGAATCGTTCAAGATGAACAGCAATTTTCACTTCTCCTTTAAGGGACATTACGGATTATCCGTTTTGAAATAAGTTGAATTAAAGTGTTATCTTATTGAAAGTAAATCAAAAAATATCCAATTCATATGTAATAATAAAATTATGCTTGTTTTCAGAATCATTTTTTCGTGAAATCAGAATTAGTTAAGTCATTTAAGATCTAGTTATTTCCATCAGTATTAAATCTCCATAGTAGTTTTAGGGATATTTTAATAATAAGAATTTTAAACTAGAATAAAAAAATAGAAAGCATAATCAATTTGAAATATGAGGTATTTTTATTTAATCAAACAATGGTTTTATTCTAACTATATTATTTTCTTAAAATTAATGTTACAGAAGCCTTCTAAATCATTTTCTCAGATTAATACTGAGAATCCAGAAAATTTTTCTGAAAACTATCTAAGCAAAACAAGACAGGCCGAACCTTCTCAATCAAATATTCCTAATCAGAGCCTTTTTAGCAAGTCTGCAGAGAGATTTAATTTTTCTATTTCTCCAAAAAATAAATCAACTGCAAGCCAAGTTAAATCTCAGCGCTTGATATCAGACACGTCGCTAAATAATACTTTGCAGACAATTAATTGAGATGAAGACTATCCTAAAGCAAATGCCTTGTCTTCTTTTTTTCAAGACCGCATAGAGAATGGATATTACCATTCAAAACTGAATACAAATGTCCCAGAATTTCAAACAGTAAAATCACTTTTATCGCATAAACCAACCATTGATTTTGATGACTCAGAACTAGCAAGAGGATACATAAGAATACGTGAGTGAACAGAATTTGAAGAGATTGACGAAAAATTTGACAATTTCCCAATGCTTGAATTTCGAAAAGCCGTACTCCGCATAAGATGTGCATTTGTTCAGCTTTGCAATAAAATTGTTACAAATCCTATATTTGATATCTTAATTTTATGCTTTATTTTTATGAATACAGTAGTGTTGGCCCTCGAAGACCCAAACAAATCCGCTCAATCTCCATCCCTTGAAATTCTTGAAGATATTTTTTTTTATGTTTACACAACAGAATTTGCATTAAAAGTTATTGCATTTGGATTTATTTTTTGCAAAAATGCATATCTCAGAGATGCATGAAATGTTTTAGATTTTTTTATTCTCCTTACTGTTTATATTTCAAAATTTTATTCAAATCAAGGCTTAAATTTCAATGCTCTGCGAAGCCTAAGAGTCCTCAGACCATTAAAAAGTATTTCATCTCTAAAAGGTTTGAAAGTGCTTGTGTTAGCACTTTTAGGCTCTATTGTCCCTTTAGCGAACATATTGATAATCCTATTTTTTGTGCTTTTATTATACGCAATAATAGGATATCAACTATTCGGAGGATTATTTAAATACCAATGTATGGATTTAGAAACAGGCAAATATAGTGAAAGCTTTATAGATGGCTATTCAGTCTGCGGGACAATGGCATGCCCATCAGGAAATGTTTGTGTTCAAACTTTAGCAAATCCTGAGTTCGGCTTTACAAATTTTGATAATGTCTTAATTGGGGTCCTACAAAGCTTTACAATAGTAAATCAAGAAGGCTGGGCTGAAATAATGGAATATGGGGAACGAACGCTTAACCAATTTGCTGCAATTCTGTATTCTGTATCTTTGATGTTTTTTGGGAATTTTTTGTTGCTGAATATGATGGAAGTGATTTTATTTTCAAATTTTTCAAAAGAAATGGAAAAGGTTAGGCTGAAGCATAAATTAAAAGACATAAAAGAAGATGAATCGGCAAATTTATCACTGTTAAATTATTTAATATCTCAAAGTGACTCTTTTGAAGATGCTGAAGCTTCAGAGAAATACGAAAAACATATATCTAATAATGAGAACTCCTCACTGCAATATGAAAATCATGAATGTAAGCTTATATCAAAAAATTCAGACAATACTGATGAAAAATTTGTAAAGTTAAACAAGATAGGCCTAAAAATGCATGATATTTTTAAAAAGGCAGAAATTGCTTCAAGAAATAGAAATACAAGCGAAATGTATGAATTAATTGATTCTTCTGAAAACTTATTTGAAAGTAGTCCAATTTTCAATAAGTATGAGATAACTGATAGCCTGGGGTCAATGACTTTAAGCATGAGCAAGTTTAGACAAAAGCAGGATTCCGCTCTTATAATTCAAGAGAATAAAAGTTTTGATTTGGTAGATCAAAGCTCATTATCATTAAATATCGAAGAAGATTTCTTAATAAAGTCACGTACCAAAAACGATACTATTTCTATCCAAGATATCAATATTGATACCAAAGAAAAATTAGCAAAAAAGGCATCATTAATATCAAGGATAACCACTGTATTTAGCTCTAATCTTAAACGCTCTGGCACCAAAAGTTCATCAGATAAGCTTCCACAAGTAGTTACAAGAATAAAAAATTTAAAAATTCAGAAAGATTTAATAGGAAAACTAAAAAAACTTTCTGAGCATACAAAGGTTAAAGCTTTTTTAGAAGAAAATAATGAAATTAGCTCAAGCTCTATAGAAGATGTCCTGCAGGATTTTATTATAGAAAATGAATTTGACAAGATGCCAAAACTTCCAACTTATAAATTTGTATATAGAGGGAGCCAAAGTATTTATACTAACATAGAAAAACTTACACAAAAATGAGAAAATGAGATCGCAAACTTTTTGAATAAATACAAACATAAAGGGGATTTTTCTGATATTTTTAAATATTTGTGCAAAAAGCAATCAAAAAGTAAAGCATTTTATAAAATGACGATTGATGTCCCAAAAATTATAAAATTTCTGAAGCAAAATGATTTAGATAAAAATAATGTTATAGGAGATTGATCAGGGTATGATATTGATATAAACTCTGAGGCTAATGAGTATAGAGAAAAAATTGATAGCATGGCATTTATGATATGGACACCAGGATTTATGGGAAACTGAGAAAAATTTAAATATCCTCTATTGGTATTTATAAAAAGTAAATTTTTCATTTATTTTATGATTATTTGCATTATATTTAATACTACAGTATTGTCGATAAACTATTATGGGATCGATGAAAATCTTGACAACACACTTTCAGAAATCAATTCAATGTTTACAATAATCTTTATTGCAGAAATGGCAATAAAAATTATTGCAATGGGGCTAGTAGGATATTGCCGTGAAAAAATGAATTTGTTTGATGGGGCGATTTCTATCTTGGCATTTATTGAGTTTATTTATATATCTGGCTCAAAATCTGCATTTAGTGCTATATGAGCAATCCGCGTATTTAGAATTTTCAGGGTAACCAGAGTTGTTAAATTATTCAGGTACATGGAAACAATGAACCACATTATGGATAAATTATCCCACAATGTTTCTATGTTTTTTTATATCATCATTTTCCAAGGTCTCTTTTTAATTATTTTTACAATACTTGGTGTTCAGCTATTTGCAGGAAAAATGGAATTTTATGAGGCACATATTGGCTATAACTTTAATGATCTTTATTTTTCATTTCTTTCGATTTTCCAAATCATGACAGGGGCTAATTGGAATTATCAAGAACTTTATTCAATGAGAACTGACTATAGCTATAGTGGCGTTCTTTTTCCAGTGATTTGGCTTATTGTTGGGCATGAAATTTTATTAAGTATTGCTTTAGCTTTAGTTCTTGACATATTTTCTAATGAAGATAATGATTTTAATTCAGAAGCTAATTCAACTAGATTATCTCACAAAACATCTATTTCTTCCCAAAAACAAAAAATTCGACAAAAGATACAGCCTAGCATTAAAAAGAACTTTGAAGAAAATGAAAATGATGAAGCTGGCAAGTCATTAGAAGACTTGAAAAATAGTAGCATAAATAGAAAAAGCATGATTTATTTTGCTGAAATTGAATGTAGCAGAAGTTTTTGAATTTTTTCAAAAGAAAATAAATTGAGAAAGTTTTGTTATCGTTTGTCAAATCATCATGCATTTGAAGTCTGTGCTTTGATCGTGATAGCATTAAGCACTGCAAAGCTAATATGGGATACTTATTTATTTGATGTGGACCCCAACAATATCAAAATAACCATATCAAATAATTTAGACATTGCTTTTACTTGCATTTTTGGACTTGAGATGGCTATAAAATCTATATCTATGGGGTTTGTTATTTCTAAGGGGTCATATTTAAGAAATCATTGATGTCAATTGGATTTTGCCATTGTTATATTATCGATCACAGACTTGGCTTTAACAGATTTTTCCTGGCCAATGATAAAAGTTTTGAGATTGCTAACTCCCCCTCACAAAAAAAATTTTTGTTCGCTCATGGAGGGGGGTTAATTTATTTTTTTTTTTAAAAAACAATTCATATCAGAAAATTGTTTTTTCCGAAATTTAAAAAAAAATCCCACTTCTATAAAAAATTGGAAAGCAAATATTAATTTAATTTGTAAAATGCATGTTTTAAAAACGCAATTTGTTTAAAATTAAACAGAATTAACTCGAGATTTCGTTATACTAATTATCACTTATATATCAAATTTTTTTTCCATAAAAAATTTTTCTATTAAAACAATTTTTTGTTCGCTCACGGAGGGCGGGCTTCGAGAGCAAAAAATAGGGATTTTTCTAATGGTTTTGTTCGCTCACGGAGGGGGGAGTAAGAATCTTGCGTCCTTTAAGAATAATCACACACAATGTCCAAATGAAAATTATGATAAATGCTTTAATTGAGTCCTTAATAGGGGTTCTCAATGTAGCAAGCGCAATTCTAATTCTTTGATTAATTTTTTCGATTTTAGGTGTTTCTCTATTCGCTGGAAAGCTTTATTTTTGTTCGTTTTCTTGAATATTTACTCAAGAAAAATGTGAAGAAATGGGCTACACTTGGGATTTATATTTCTTTAATTTTGACAACGTCTTTGAAGCTATGGTTGCATCATTTATACTGACGTCTGAAGATGATTGATCAGATTACATGTATTTAACTTGTGCAACAACTAAGCCTGGCCATGCACTTTATCCTAACAATAACCCTAACGCAGCTTATTATTTTGTTATTCACATGTGCATGTGTTCAATTTTTTTTATAAACTTACTCATTGGAGTTGTCTTTGAAAAATTTATTGAAGCTAAGCAGCATGAGAGTTCATTAGGATCGCTTCTTTTAACAAAAGAGCAAATGATATGGGTTGAGATCCAATCTTTAATAACACAGTCAAAGCCTGAAATTGATACTATAAATAAACCGCAAAATAAAATCCGACTAATTTTTTATAAATTCCAAAGCAATTGAATTTTTGAAGCATTTATAATTACATGCATCATCCTCAATTTTATATTAATGTGCTTGTATTATGATCAAGCTCCGCAAAAATATCAGGATTTTCTTGAGCTTTTTAACATGAGCTTTACCTTCATTTTTATTTCTGAAGCGGCTATCAAAATAATTGCGCTTGGAAAATCTTACTTTAAAGATAGATGAAATCGCTTTGATTTTTTTGTAGTCATTGTTTCTATTTTGGATTTTTTCCTCTCTGGTATGATTCCTCAAGAAGGTTCAGTATTGGCAACGGTGCCACAATTAGTCAGAGCATTAAGAGTGCTACGAGTCACAAAAATTATTCGCCTTATAAAAAAATTCAAGACTATGCAAGATTTGATTACTCTGCTTTCCTACTCAATTCCATCAATACTTAATGTATCTGCCATTTTACTATTGATTTTTGTGATTTATGCCATCTTAGGTGTGTATTTATTTCACTCAATAGATAATGGAACAAATTTCGATTCTTACAATAATATGAACAATTTCGATAAAGCGTTATCATTATATTACTTATAGAAAAGTTACTATAATCATGAAGTATTGCATCCATCAGTAATACCTCCTTCGTGCACGACCTCAAAAATGCTGCTCTGCCTAAAAAGGCCTTCACTTGCTCCCCAGTAATTGGATAAGTAGCTTGCAAAACAAAAGATATCTACCATGGAAAATTCAAATGGTTTAATTTTTCTGATCAACTGGCCAAAAATAGAAATCCGAAATCCAAAGCTTCAAATTGAGAAAAGGTCCGATTGGTCAGGAAACATACCGGTGGCTCTGCTGGGAGATCCCTTTTCAACTCTCGGCTCCGTTCTTCTTTGGGGCAAAATCTACATCATGAAGGAGCATGCGGTCGCTAACCCTACATTGCTCTTCACCAAAATAGGAAAAATATGTCTGGATACACTTTCCCGAACTCTATCCTCCTTTCCTCGAGGGTCCCTACGCCACCTTGGCATGCTAGCTACATAAGTTAAGAGGGTGGGTCGATTCGTCACTCCATTATAATATATGTATGATTTCGATAAAGCGCTTTTAAAGCTTTTCATCCATGCTACTGGAGAAGGTTGGGCAATGTCAATGGATGATTGTGCAAAATCCTCTGCAGGAAAGGCAGTTTCTTACATATATTGAATATCTTTTATTTCATTGACCACGTTTATTATGCTGAATTTATTTGTTATGGTGATTCTTCAAGATTATGAAGATTTTACAAATGACGCTCAAAGTGGCGTTATTATGTTTAATAAAGATGTAAAAAAATTCAAAAAAGTCTGAGCAACATATACAGAGTCGACTCAGGGAAAGAAAATACACTATAAATTTTTAGTCGATTTTATGTATGCACTTGGGAATGACTTGGGTGTATCTGATCAATATACCTACGGAAAAGTCATTAAGCTACTATTGATAATGCAAATAGATATAGATTTTGAGGGTTACATATATTTTCTTTTAGGTCACTTCCTCTTGCAAAGATTCTTTAGTACAATTTATTCAAATTTTTTTCCTATTAACTCCCCTTCTGTGAGTGAACAAAAATTTCATTCGGGGTTAATTATTTAAAGAATAAATTTTATTTTATAAATTTAAAAAATCCCAATATTGGAAAGTAAAAATTAAATAATTTGTAAAATCTATACTTTAAAAAACGCAATTCAACAGAATTACTAGAGATTTCATTATACTAAATATCACTAATATATCAAATATTTTTTTTTTATACTAATTTTGTTATTTAAAAAATTTTTTGTTCGTTCATGGAAGGGCAGTAAGGCATAAGGGCTTTTAGAGCAAATGCCTGACGAGAAAAAGTTTCTATCAAATGGGCTGCTAGGAAAAATCACTTGCTACGGAGTTTTTTGAGGGTTTTGTATACTATAATGATATGTTATTTGCTGTAATGAAAAGAAAATATTCAAAATTCCTCAAAAGGGATATTGATATTGACTCTCAAAAGTTATTGAGGAAAGAAGAGCTAAAAACGTCGAAGAAGCTACAAAAATTAAAACAAAAAACAAATTCAACAGAAAATAAGGGAAAACTAACTCAGAAGGATCAGAACAATGGCAAACAAAAAAATAATTTGATTATGTCAATGATATACGCAAGAACAGTGTTCAGAAGCTGAGCAAATTGGATTAAAAGGAGAAAAAATAAAAATTACGGGTCAATTAGTGTGACACCACAATTTTCTGAGATTGAATTTCCAGGTGAAAACTCAGTTGCATCTGAAGACCAAATAAATACATAGCCATACACTATCATGTTTAATTCTTAGGTTTATTAAAGCTTTTAAATGAAAATTAGCTATTATAAAATAGTTTATTGAGTTGTCACATCTAAAATATAGGTGATTCCTCGAAAATCACTTAATCATTATTTAATAAGTATATATTTTTAATTCTTATTTTCATAAGAGTTAATTAATATTTACTGTTTAATTTCCAAATTAAATATATTTATTTAATATATGAATTCTGATATATGCAAATATTTTTTATAAATTTACTAAATTTTATTTTATTTCATTCTGAAACTGCTTAAAAGTTAAATTTTTAAGTAATGTAGGCATTTAATCCATATGACTGAGCTTAATCAACTGCTCTAAAGCAATAAGCATAAATTCAAAATATTGCCTATCAATAATTTTTGATAAATATGCAAGAAAAATCGTATTGGCCCAATTATTTATTAAATTCGATTAAATTAGTAATTGACGTTCACCATCTCTCAGAATGGAGAGATTTGCATCCCATATGCCAAAAATCAATCTTAGCAGATGGCCACAGGAGAGTCTTTAACAATCGACTTTGAATTTTCTGGCTTCATGTTTTTAGGGCTAATTCTCTGGACACAACTCCCAGTATCGTGCTAAGCACAAGCCTTTTGCAGTTCTGCAAGAATCTTATCGCTCTACTCACCTGGTCTATCTCTAACTGGGCCCTTTCCAAGAAAACTTGAGGTAAAACTCCATGCCAAGGGTTAGCTATCTGAGACACCAAAAAAACCCACGTGCTCGATATTCATCAGGAACACCGGGCCTTTTTCTCAGTACGGTTTCCCAACTTGGCTGTTTCCTGCATTGTTGAGAAAATTGATCAAAGAGGTCGGTCTTCTTCACCATATTAAAGATGCATTTGGCTCAATTATAATTCTAGACTAGGATATGAGAGCATCTCTGATGATTGAGCAAACGCAAGTGAATGCACTGATGCAAAAAGCAGAAGAAACCACTATAAATCCAACAACATCGAAGAACAAGAGGATTATGAAAATAATGCTTTTACCCTAAACGGCCAAAACAAATCATTTGATCAAAACTACTCTCCAATGATCTTTGAATCGAGTCTAAATGAATCTTTCCGAAGCTCTTTTATTGGAAAAAATAATTTGCATACAACTGCTATGAATCCTAGCTTTCTACTGCAATTAGACATGGATAATAGCAGTAAAAAATACTCACTCCCCCCATCCCTTGATCGAACGACTCGCCATCGTTCGATCAAGGATGGGGGTTAAAAAAAAATATTTTGGGAAAAAAAAATTTTATATATAAAATAAAAATATATATATATATTTTTTTTATTTACTTTTAAATAAGAGGGTTAAGAGTATTTAATAATTATTTTTAAAGCAAAAAATTGAATTAATTTAAATAAAATACCAATTTTTAATATTTTGATTATTTGCTACCCCTTTAAACTGCATAAATTTTAATTTGTTCCTTATTGAATTAAAATTTTTGTTTTTTTAATTTTTAAAGATCTCTATTTTTTAGATTATTGAGTTTTTAAGCCTAGGTTGATGACTAATCACTTCGGATGGTTGATTTCGCAGCTTTCTGTCGTCTCAAAGCTCTGAAAACAACTTCATTAGGTACATCTTCCCAAGCTTTTGATAACTAATATACTTTTATATATATAAAAATTTGCATGATATGAAAATAGTTCGATCAAGGATGGGGGTTAATTTCCCCAATTTTTAGGAATTTTTACAGTCAATCGTTCGATCAAGGATGGGGGGGAGTCAGCTGGAAACACAATCAAAAGTCTTAAGTCTAGCTATACAGACAATCAATCAACACTCAGCTTTGATACCTCAGAGGCACTTAAGGGCTATTTAAAGATCAGAGAGTTTACTCAATTTGAAATAATTGAAGAATTAAATGACAATTACCCTCTTCTCGAATTAAGAAAAGCATTACTAAGGATAAAATGTGGAGTTTCTCAGTTTTGCTATCATATTGTGAGTAACCCAGCTTTTGATGCTATTATTTTATGTTTTATTATTGCAAATGCGATAGTTTTATCAATTGAAGACCCAAATGCTAGTTCTCAGCCTCAAAATCTATCAATCATGGATCAGATTTTTTTATATGTTTACACTGCAGAGTTCGCTTTAAAAGTTTTGGCTTATGGATTTATTTTCAAGAAAACTTCGTATATTAGAGATCCTTGGAACATCCTTGATTTTACTATTCTAGTGACTGCATGAGCTGCAAACTATGCAAATTCTGGGGTGAATTTAAGTGCTCTTAGATCGCTTAGAATTCTAAGACCTTTGAAAAGCATATCTTCGCTCAAGGGTCTGCGTGTGCTTGTTTTAGCACTTTTGGGGTCAATTTTGCCACTATCAAATATTTTCATTATATTGTTTTTTGTTCTATTGATTTTTGGCATAATCGGCAACCAATTATTTAGTGGGATGTTTACCTATCAATGCATGAACCTAGAATCTGGGGCTATGCAGTACCCGCTAAGCAGAATGACTTCATGCGGAAGCATGGACTGTGGCCAAGGCTATGAATGTGTAAATACCTTAAATAATCCTCAATATGGAATGATCAATTTTGATAATGTCATGATGGGATTTTTACAATGCTTTACGTCGATCAGCCAAGAAAGCTGGAGCGATATAATGAGGATTGAAGAAAAGGCTTTTAATCAGCCAATGGCAATTATTTTTTCTATTACATTGATATTCATTGGGACTTTTTTGGTCTTGAACCTTATGGAAGTCATTTTATTTTCAAACTTTTCCAAAGAAATGGAAAAGGCCCGTTTGAAACAAAAATCGAAAGATGTAATTGAGGATGAAGAATCGGCTGATTCTTCGATATTGGAGAATTTAATTCCGGAAAATGACGCAATAAATAAAGAAGGGAATCCATCAAAAATGGATAAATCTGATTCAGACCCAGAAAATAGCTTAATTCAAGGCAACCGTGAGGAAAAAGAAGAAATTCCGCGTTTGGATAGAAATAAAAGATCTGGGGATCAAATTATAATCCTAAATTCAAAAAAACTCAAAATGAGCGGAATTTTTCAGCAAGCAAAGCCTAAAATTATGGATTATGCTTTTTCTGATTTTCTAGATATGAATTCACTTGAAAATAACATCAATAATAAAGATGCAGCAGTTAAAGACCAAAATGACAGCTTGCCTTCTCCAAAAATTGCGTTCGACGCTCATAACTTTACCACTTCGCAGCCTCTCAGCGAGAAAAGAAATTTGAAATACCCAAACAAATTCTCAGCTGACAGTTTTGAAGACGATTTACTAAACCCAGGAAAACCTGCAGAAATGACGCTGAGCATGATGAACTCTCATTCTGTAAGTGATGAGCCTAAAGATTCTATGACACGCAAAGGGAGTTTGCTATCAAGAATGACATCTTTATTCCAAAACACACCCAAAAGAACCCTATCAAAAATTACTTCAACTAAAACATTAACACCTCTGCTAACAAAGGTAAAAAATATAAAAATTCGAAAAGATTTAGTGCAAAAACTTAAAAATGTTCCTGAATCCACAAAACTTAAAGCTCATATTGACGAAAACAACGAAATCTCATCAGATTCTATTTATGATGTTTTGAATGGAGAAGATACCCAAAATGAGCATAGCCTATCAAAAAAATATACATTTGTCTATAGAGGAGGAAAAAGCGTATTGAGTGATTTAGAAAGTCTTACTCAAAAATGAGATAACAATGTTTTAGATGTTTTGGACAGATATAGAAACATAGGCGACAAGCCTGAAGTTTTTAATTTTTTATGCACAAAATTCAGAGCCAAGATAGCATTTTATATGACTTCAATTGAAGTCCCTTTAATAATCAAAAAAGTGAAAGAGAAGGACAAAATAACAAATAATGTTATTGGAGACTGGTCAGGATATGATATAAATTCGAATGATGGAATAAAAGCAAATGAATATAAAGAAAAAATGGACAGCATGAAATACAGGGTATGAAGCCGAGGTGCTTTAGGAACATGACAAAAGTTTTCATATCCATTAAAAGTGATTTCCAAAAGCAAATGCTTTAGTTATGTGATGATTTTATGCGTGGCTACGAATACAATAGTTTTATCAATCAACCATTATGGCATTGATTCATCTACTGAGTCAACTCTCACTACAATGAATTCTGTTTTTACAATTATTTTTGTTGCAGAAATGGGGATAAAAGTTTTAGGCCTTGGGTTTGCTGACTATTGCAGAGAAAAAATGAACATCTTTGATGGTGTTATAACTGTTTTAGGCTTAATTGAGTATCTATTTCTAGCAGACTCAGGAACTTCGTTTAAAGCATTATGGGCAATCAGAATTTTAAGAATTTTCAGAGTTATCAGAGTTGTCAGGCTTTTTAGATATCTTCAGACCATGACCCATATAATCAACAAATTATCAAAAAACCTTGCAAATTTTTTTTATTTAATGATTTTTGTTTTACTTTTTCTTTTGATTTTTACTATCATTGGTCTCCAACTATTTGCAGGAAAACTTGATTTTACAGAGTCTAAGTATAAATACAATTTCAATGATTTTTATTTTTCTTTTATTTCAATTTTTCAGATAATGACTGCTGAGAGCTGAAATTATATACAATATGTATGCATGAGATCAACATATGGGTATTCGGGTGTGCTATTTCCAGCTTGGTGACTAGTATTAGGAAATGAGATTTTATTAAACATATTTTTGGCTTTAGTCCTTGATATGTTCTCAAATGAAGACGAAGATGATGATACTGATTCAATCTCAACAAAAAGTGAGAGGAGAAGCAGCATCTTTTCTATGACAGCCAGGATAAGAAAAAAGAAAGAAAAAAGGCTAAAAATGCTTGAAGATTTAAGTGACAGTGATAGCGATAGTGGTAGTGAAGAAAACGTTTACTTACTCTCCCCCTCTGTGAGTGAACAAAATTTTTTTTTTCGAAATTTAAAAAAATTTCACTTCTATAAAAATTGGAAAGCAAATATTAATTTAATTTATAAAATTTATATTTTAAAACGCAATTCGTTTAAAAATTAAATAGAATAACTCGAGATTTCATTATACTAATTATCGCTTATATAGCAAAAATTTTTTCCATAAAAAGTTTTTTCTATTAAAAAAATTTTTGTTACTCACGGAGGGTGGGTTTTTAGGCAAAAAATGGTGATTTTTTTCCAATGGTTTTGTTCACTCACGGAGGGGGGGAGTTAGATGATTTGCATACAGCGAGTACTAAAAAAGATACTAAAACTTTATATCAAGGAATTGAATGTGAAAGAAGCTTTTTCGTATTTTCAAAAAATAACTTTTTGAGGAAGGCTGCATATAAATTGACCAGTAGTCAAAAGTTCGAAGGCTTTATACTATTTGTAATTATGGGTAGCACACTAAAATTGATTTGGGATACTTATCTGCTTGACTACTCTGAAGATGATACAAGAGTTGTAATTTCTTATTATTTTGATATAGCTTTTACAATACTTTTTGGTATAGAGGGTGTCATAAAAAGCATTTCAATGGGTTTTCTGATATCGAAAGGATCTTATCTTAGAGATTCCTGGTGTCAATTAGATTTTATGATAGTGACACTATCAATTTATTGATCTTGCTTTAACTTAACTTAACTAATTATCTGGTGTTTAAGGTGTCTAGTGCCGCAGCCCAAAATGGACCTATGGCAAAACTAGTGACGTAGGCGAGCCATCTTGGTACAGGTCAGCCCTGGCCAAGCCTTCTATCAACTCCTACTACACCAGCCTTGCTGCACGTCTCACCGGGCGCGATGCCGTCGCCCTTGTCTAGACTCAGCTCCTGCGCGTGTTCCGCCTGAGGGTCATCTTCCCTTGGAGATGTGCTGAGAGGTAAAAGCCCGAAATCTTGAGAGGACTGAGGAGCAGTTCCTCTGGTTATCCCCAGAGTTAAACCGCTATTGCTGTCCAGAAGTTCTCGAGTGAAAACCTAACCCCATAAATAAAATTCCATGAGGGAGAGAAAATTAGCAAAGCTAATTTCTCTCGAACCGAATGCCATTTTATTGATCTTGCTTTAACAAATTTAAATGTCCCTGTGATTAAAGTTCTAAGGCTGCTTAGAATTTTGAGACCCCTGAGAATTATAAGCCACAATATTCAAATGAAAATTATGATTAACGCCTTGATAGAGTCACTTATAGGAGTTTTTAATGTAGCAATTGTCATTTTACTTGTTTGGCTTATTTTTGCTATTCTAGGGGTATCGCTATTTGGTGGAAAATTGTATAAATGCTCTAACGGAAATATTGATAACATAGACGATTGCCAATCTTTAGGATATGATTGGGTGAACTCAAATTTCAATTTTGATAGCGTCCCAGATGCTATGATAGCTTCATTTATATTGACAACCCAAGAAAATTGGCCGGATTACATGTTTCTAACAATAAGTGGCTATAAAGATGGTCATGCTCCTATTCTTATCTTAATCTTAATTATCTATAACGCTTTACGTCCACTAAGGGGTAGCCAACTCGAGAGCTGCCACCATATTTATCCACGTGTCGGGCCCAGGAACCTCTGGATCGATCCCTTTTGATCGCCAGGGCACGAGTAAATAAGGCGTTCCGGCTTCGACGGGCATCGCTGCCGCCACGGCTTTATTCCGACTCAGCTCCTGCTCGTGCTCCGCCTAAGGCTCCACCTCCTTTGGATGTGCTGAGGGGTAAAGATCTGAGAGTCTTGAGCGCATTGAGGAACAGTTCTTCTGGTTATCTCCAAAGTTAAACCGCTGTTGCTGTGCAGAAGTTCTCAAGGTAAAACCCAACCCCATAAATAAAATTGCTTTCGCTTCAAGCGAAGTTAGCTCCGCTAACTTTCTCTCACTCAAGCAATTTTATTTATGGTCATGCTCCTATTCAAGGATATTTCCCAAGTGCTGCTGTATATTTCATAATCCATTTAACCATATCATCAATTTTTTTCATCAACCTTTTAGCTGGTGTCATCTTTGAAAAATTCACTGAAGCTAAAAAAAATGAGAGCTCCTTAGCTTCACTTATCCTTTCTAAAGAGCAGATGGTATGAGTCGAGCTCCAAACCTTGATTTCCCAATCAAAGCCTCAAATAGAAAAATCAAACAAGCCTGAAAATAAATTTCAATTATTTTTTTATACAATGCAAGCGCACTGGACTTTTGAAGCATTTGTAAGCACTTGCATTATATTCAATTTCATTGTGATGTGCCTTTACTATGAGCAAGCCTCTGAAACATGGACAAGTGTACTGGAAAATTTAAATTCTGCGTTCACCTATGTATTTATAGGTGAAGGAATCATAAAAATAACCGGAATGGGAGTGACTTATTTTGGAGATAGATGGAACAGGTTTGATTTTTTTGTTGTAGTTTCGTCTATTATTGATTTAATCATGACTTATTATATTTCTTCAGGGAGTTCAGTTTTGAGCAGGGCTCCACAAGTCATTAGAACGGTAAGGGTTCTGAGGGTGACTCGTATTATTAGACTTGTAAAGAAATTCAAAACGCTTCAGGAGTTGATCACTTTGGTTTCCTATTCAATACCTTCAATTCTAAATGTTTCATCAGTTTTACTGCTGATTTATATTATTTATGCAATACTTGGGGTGTTTCTTTATCACTCTATTGACAATGGGGTTATGTTCGATGATTATAGCAACATGCATAATTTCGATAAGGCCTTAGTTAAGCTCTTTAGACACTCAACAGGTGAAAACTGACCTGATGCCATGTTTGATTGTGCGAATTCGTCAGCTGGGGAAACGGTTTCTTATATATATTGATGCACTTTTATAGCAGCGACTACTTTTGTTATGCTTAACGTTTTTGTGATGGTAATTTTGCAAGACTATCAAGATTTTGCCAATGATGCAAAAAGTGGAGTAATCATTTTCAATAAAGATGTAAAGAAATTCAAAAAAGCTTGGGCAATTTATTCAGTGGCAAGTGAAGGAATAAGGATTCATTACAAATTTATTGTTGAGCTTATGTACTCCTTAGGCGAAGATTTAGGAGTCCCATTGGATACCCCACATGAGAAAGTTATTAAACTGTTGTCAATTATGAATATTCATATAGATTCTGAAGGATACATATATTATAATGATATGCTTTTTGCAGTCCTTAAAAGAAAGCACGCAATTGGCTTAGTTAAACATTTAGACAAAAAATCACAGAAATTGATAAGAAAAGAAGAAAACACTACCATTAAAAAGCTTCAGATAATTAGAGATAAAATAAGTACAGGGTTCAATTCAGAATTTAGAGTAAAATTTATATAGAATAATCAATTGAAGGGCAAAGGCAAAACAAATTTATTCTTTGCAATGATATATGCTAGAAGTGTATTTAGAAGCTGAAAAAATTGAACAAAAAAGAGGAGGGAAAAAGATACGAGTTCTATTAGTATCACGCCTCAGTTTTCAGAAGTTGAATATCCTGGTGAAAATTCGGCTGCTTCTGAATTTCAGACTGGAAATCAAGATATTTCTGAACATACTTTATAAAATAAATTTTCATACTATGATTCGAATAGATTATATTATTTTTTAAATAGATATATAATAATATCAACATGCTATAGCAAGAAATTCTAAAATAAGTAATCTAAAATCTAATGAAAAATATATTTTAGCTTTTTTACAAATTTATTAATTGTTGACGCACATTTAGTTAGCATATATGCTTTTCTATATTTGATAAAATTAATAAATATATTTAAATAAAATTGCCAGATGAAACAGATTATCACCGGTGAGTCTTTGCCAACAGATAACGTTGAAAGCCAATACGAGCATATCAATTTGATTATGGGAACATTATATAGCGATCAAATAGCCAAAATAAAGAGACAAAAAACGCTTTTTTCAAACCATCATCATCGAAAATCAATTCTTGATAATTTTTTCCATAAATCGTTGAAATACACTATACTAAATAAAAAAAAGAACAAATCTCGTTGAGTGATCAGCAATAAATCCAAGTGAAAGATGCTTTATGATAACTTTATTGATTTTTTGATCGGATATTCATTAATTACCTCTTTATTTTATTTACTTCCCCTCCGTGAGCGAACAAGAAATTTTGTTTGCCCACGGAGATGGGTTAATTGTTTTTTTTCTAAAAAATCCCAATTCGCAATAATTGGAAAGCAATATTAATTTAATTTGTAAGTATGCTTTAAAACGCAATTAGTTCGAAATTAATCAGAATTAGCTAGAGGTTTCATTATATTAGTTATCACTTATATATCAAAAATTTGTTTTCATAAAAAATTTTAGTTCGCTCATAGAGGGGTGGGCTATTGGTCGAAAAACAGGGATTTTTTCAATAGTTTTGTTCGCTCACGAAGGGAGGGAGTTAGCATTTGGAAGACCTGAAAATATATATGAAACTCTTGATATAATAATGCAGTGTATATTTGGAGTAGATTTAATATTAAAATTTTTTACTGACTACCAAAATTCTAATGGGGATACAGTGGTTTCACATAGGAAGATTATATTGCGATATATGAAATTTCGATTCTTTAGAGATGTGCTCTGTCTCATACCTTTCCGTTATATCTGGTTTGATTTAGAATATTTAATCAGAAATTTAAGATTTTTCCGAATTGAGCGAGTGCTAAAAATATTTAACAAAATGCTAACTCCCCCCCCCCTCCGTGAGCGAACAAAACCATTAGAAAAATCGCCATTTTTTGACCAAAAACCCACCCTCCGTGAGTGAACAAAAAAATTTTTTAATAGAAAAAATTTTAATGGAAAAAAATTTTGATATATAAGTGATAATTAGTATAATGAAATCTAGAGCTAATTCTGTTTAATTTTAAACAAATTGCGTTTTAAAACATAAATTTTGCAAATTAAATTAATATTTGCTTCCCAATTTTTGCAAATTAGGATTTTTTTAAATTTCGAAAAAAATATTTTTTATAAAATTTATATATAAATTGTTTTTAAAAAAAAAAATTAACCCCCCTCCGTGAGCGAACAAAATTTTTTTGTTCGCTCACGGAGGGGGGGGGGAGTAAAATGATTCGTTCAAAATTATGAAATTTTCAAAAATAGTAAATGACTTAAATAAAGTCCGCTTTCTAATAGGCTGCATTAGAAATCTTTGGAGGTATTTAATTATTATGTGTTTTTCTATATACTCGGTTGGATGCTTGTTCTATTGATATAGCAGCTTCTTTCCAGATAACTTTGCAGACCATTATTTTGATAAAGAAGCAACTTCTTCAAATAGACTGTTTCATACACTTTACTTTATGACAACAACCCTTGCAACTCTAGGATTTGGCGATTATGTACCTGTAAATTTATATGAAAGAGCATTTATGATAGTTGTCATTATTATTGGGATTGCCTTTTATTCATACGCGATGGGACTTTTTATTAGTTCAGTCTCGGAGTTCAATTTTATACTATCTGAGCCAGACTGAAACTCTGACTTGAAGTCTTGACTTAATTCTATTGAAATAAAGCATGGAGAAATCCCAAAAGATATTCGAACAAAAATTATTGACTCCCCCCCATCCTTGATCGAACAGCTCGCCATCGTTCAATCAAGGATGGGGGTTAAAAATTTTTTGGGAAAAAAATTTATATATAAAATAAAATATATATATATATATATATATTTTTATTTACTTTTAAAATAAGAGGGTTAAGAGTATTAAATAATTATTTTTACAGCAAAAAATTGAATTAATTTCATAAGAATACCAATTTTTAATATTTTGATTTATTAGTTACCCTTTTTAAAACTGTATAAATTGTAATTTGTTCCTTATTAAATTAATTTTTATTTTAAATTTTAAAGAATCTCTATTTTATTAGATTATTGAGTTTTTAAGCCTAGGCTGATGACTAAATCACTTCGAATAGTTGATTCCGTTGCTTTCTGTAGTCTAAAAGCTCTGAAAACAAACTTCATTAGGTACATCTTCCCAAGCTTTTGATAACTAATATATTTTTATATATATAAAAATTTGCATGATATGAAAATCGTTTGATCAAGGATGGGGGTTAATTTCCCCAATTTTTAAGAATTTTTACAGTCAATCGTTCGATCAAGGATGGGGGGGAGTGAACATTTTGTCAACTATTGAGAAAACGATCGCTTAAAGGACTTAGCTGGAAAATATTGGACTGCTGAAACTTATGATGAAATAGCGACTATTGAAAATGAATATTTAACGCATTTACCAAAATCTCTGATAAAAAACATTTTTAATTCTTTATTTACAGATATATTTTTTTGGTTTAAAAACTACTTTGGAAATTCAGATTTTAAATATGATTTAATATTCCATTTCCAGCCTAGATTATTTGAACCAGAAGAGAGGATATATGAAAAAGGAGAAAAAGCCAAAGAAGTGCTTTTTATTTTAAATGGAAAGGTTATATGCGAAACTTTAATAAATGGCAAATATAAGACAATATTGCAATTTAATAAAGGAAGAACTGTGGTAGGCGATTTTTCTATATTGATGAATACCCCAGTATCTGTCAATTATGTAAGGATCCCCCCCCTCATTTGTCCCAAAATCTAGTCAAAAATGATTTGTCCCATTTTCTAGTCATTTTTCGATTTTTCGAGTGTCCTAAATTTTAGTATTTTACTGTAAAAAAACTAGAAAATGAGACAATTGAGTCCTGAAAAATTTTTTTTTCTATCAAAATTTTGACTAGAAAATTGGACAATGAGGTCTAAACAAATTTTTTTTCCTATAAAAAAAACTAGAAAAATGGACAAATGATAAAAGACTAGAAAATTGGACAAATGAGGGGGGGGGATCCTTAATAAAAAGCAAAAGTATAGTTCAGGCTTTCGCTGTACCTAAAAAAGCATTTTTATTAATTTTAAATGAAGGATATCCTGTCAAGAAAAAAGAACTGATTATTAAATCTACAAACAGAGAAAATAAAATTCAACTTGCAATAGCTAAGGTTAGACACTAAAATGCCTGGTGAAATCAGCTCTTTTCTATACTACTGTAGCTAGAAAGCTTAATAGCTCCGAGAACCTTGGCAGACCCTTTTCGGAAGAGGAAAACGGCAAGGACTGTGCAGATTAATGAGCAGTAATGAAGTGCTATGGAGCTAAATAGTAGTAAGTGATTATTGTTGATTAGCGCAATAGCTCAGGCAGAGAAAAAGCTTAACCGAAGAAATAGAAGTGATCTTGTAAATAAAAACTCTGAAATTGTAGACGTTGATTTAAGAAGGTCAAGTATGGCAGCAGATTATTTTGAAACAACTCCAATAGTTCGTGCTGAAGACAGTTTTGAAGCTGAAATTAAGAAAAAGTTACAGAAGTGTGAGCATGACTTGAAAAGAAAAATAAGGGCTATCAAGAGAAATATTTCTAAAAAAAGATTGCTTTTGAAGACCATGGAGGTAAGCGATCTAGAAGGTAAAAAAGGATTTAATCTATCTCGAACGCATACATCTGTGCCTAGTGATGAGTTTGCAAAAAAAAAACTTGAAAATGAAGACGATTAGCGATCGGATTTATAAAGAGCTTTAAATTTGTAATATCGTTTTTTATATATTTAATTCATTTTTAAGCTGGCTATATCTGAATTTAATAAAATCTATTAATTTAAATGAAGAGATGATTAGCAACAGCAGAATCTCTGCCTACAGACCAAAATGATAATTTTTCTGAGCATTCAAAGCTCCTTATGGGAAATCTGTATAATACTCAACCTCATAAGCGCCATAAGCTTTATTCCATTGCAACTGGCATGAAACCAAAATTTGATCATATTAAAGGAATAAAAAGAATTATCAATCAGCAGATTTTAAAGGATTCTTTCAAAAAGCCTCGATTTATCATCCATAACAATACCAAATGGAAGGTCATTTTTAACACATTTATTGATTTTTTACTTATTTACTCAATTGGAAGCTGCTTGCATTTTTTAGCATTTACCCCACCAGAAGGTGGCACTTTGGTATGAGATACGATTATGCAATGCATTTTTGGTGCTGATCTGATATTTTCTTTTTTTACTGACTATAAAGATTACTGTGATAACCTTATTATATCGCATCGATCTATAGCAATTAGATATTTAAAATCTTGATTTTTAGTCGATTTAATCTGCCTAATGCCGTGAAGATTCATTAACCCAGACGTTGAATATATCATCAGACTATTAAGATTCTTAAAATTCTCGCGAATCCTTAACTTACAGTACAAGTTTTTGAGTTCTTTATTCAAGATAATAAAATTTTCAAAGCAAGGAAATGACCTAAACTTAATCCGATTCATCTTTGATGTGACATGAAGGCTGTCACAGCTTCTAATCATTATGCTTACTTTTATATATGCAACAGCCTGCTTATTTAGAGGCTGGTACATGAAATGGGATCACAATTTTGATGACGTTTACTTGCAACACTTTTCAGACAGCAAAAAGTTGCTGAGGACGATGTATTATATTTCGACTACTCTTTTAACAATTGGATTTGGAGATCTCTTGCCTGTAAATTTATATGAAAAAGGATTCATGATCGTAGTAATTATTATTGGGATAGCAGCATATTCTATTATTATGGCAACTTTTAATAGCACAGTTTCAGAATTCAATGAAATTCTATCAGAACCAGACCACAGTGCAGAGCTAAATGAATGGCTTGTAAATTTGGAACAAAAACATGGAGATATCCCAGTAGAGCTTAGGGCTCAAATTGTTTGCCATTTTGCTAACTATAAAGAACATAACAGATTGAAAGATATTGCAGGAAAATATTGGAAAGCAGAAACATATGAAGATCTTATTGCTATAGATCACGAGTATCTACAGTGGCTTCCTAGATCGATTATAAATTCAATAATAAACCGATTATATTCCGACGTTTTTTTTTGGTTTAAAGAGTATCTCGGCCAAGGGAATTTTAAATATGATTTGGCATTTCATTTTCAACCTAGAGTCTTCCAGCCCGGAGAGCTTATTTTACAAAGGGGCACAAAAGCTCACGAAGTACTCTTTATTACAAAAGGAAAAGTTAATTGTAAAACCTTTGCTAATGGGGCTCCTAAAGTCTTGCTTCAGTTTTCAAGTGGAAGAACTGTTATTGGAGACTATTCATGCATAACAAAAGCTCCAGTATCAATTGATTATGTCGCCGCTGGAGAAGCTCCTGTGCAAGCTTTAGCTGTGCCGAGGAAAGCATTTATGCTTATGCTAAATGAAGGGTACCCTGAAAAGAAAAACGATCTGCTCACAAAATCATTAAACCGCGAAATGAAAATCGGAGAACTACTAGAAACGATAGGAAATGCTGAATTTGATCAAGAGGAGCTAAAAAAGCAATTCAGACAAAGCACAATAGACATTAATAATGAAAGATCTCCATCTAAATTCAGCAGCTCTTGGCTACAAACAGAGGATACTGAAGAAAATAAGCAAGAAAAATTGATGAAAATAATTTTGAAAAATCAAAAGGAGATTTTCCGAGTAGTGAAATCAATAAAAAGAAAAATAAATAAAAAAATAAACTAAAAAATGCATAATTTAACTATCATTTAGTTACTCATAGAATAAACTTGTGAAATGACACCAAGTCCTTTGGTTCTGCCTTCTCTAAATCCCCTTTAAATTGGAGCCAAAAATTCTTTTCCAATTAGCGGCTATTTTTTATAAAAAATATACTATAAATTTTATTAAAAATAAAAATATATAAATTGAGTATATTTTTATGAAGAAATTCATTTATAAAATCAATCGATTCATAATGCCAACTTTGGACTTTCTCATTTAAGTATGCAAAATCTAATATTTTTAGAAATTATTATTTGCACCATAAAATTTTCATTTTGAAAATTACTCGGAAATGAAATTTATCCATATTATATTTTAATTTAAAAGAGGGAATAAATAAGATTGTCATCCCTGGATGGATGAGCTCTGGGCTAAACATGAATCTAAAATGAACTAGAGCTGTATCACCTGTTCTTAAAAGTTCTTTATTCATGCTCATCACTTTTGCAGCTTGCCTTACAATTCCACAATGCACTATTGGCTGATAGTTAGGCCGGATAGTAGTTGCATGATGCAGAACCACAATTTCTGCGTCAAATTCCCAAGCAGTTTCCATACATAATGCTCTATCAACTGCTACCATGCCTTTTTTCACGATATTTCTCTTTAATTGTTCCTTTTTGTTATTTGATCTTATGTTCAAACAAATTGACTGCCCAGAAATTGCATAATCAACTGCAACCCTTTTAATGTGGATTCCTCTAACAGTAATGCTTTTATATTGGCCAGTTTTATCAGGACCCAACATCAAATTATCGTTAAGTCTTACAGTGCCAGACTTCAGAATCCCAGATAAAACAAGTCCAACTCCAGTTACCATATAGACGCCATCAATTAGAAATTCAACTGGGTCATCATTTTTTCCAAAAATTCCACTTATCATTGTCCTTGATTCCAATCTAAACATAAACTGTCTCAACTTCTCTATTCCTTGTCCAGTAACATTAGAAACAGTAAAGATTGGGCAAACTCTTGCCTCCATCATGTTGCAAAGATCAGTGACATCAGTACTATCATCTATGTGCAAAGGAAGTCTGCTTCCTGCGGCTGGATTTGTGATAACTTTAGTCAGCAAAGCAATATTTTCTTTATAAACATTTTCTGGGGCAATGTCAATTTTCGTGAATACAAAAAACATAGGAATTTTCAAAGCTAATGCAAGGCCAATATGCTCCTTTGTCATTCTTGTAAGTCCCATATTCGCTCCTATCACAATCATAGCATAGTCAGGCATCAACCCTACAAGCCCAAAAATTGTGGTCTTTAAGTATGCTTCGTGTCCACACAAGTCTAAAAACGTAACTACATGACTAGAATTTTCGACAATATAGTTTCAAGTTTTGTTTTTAGAATCTGTCAAGTGCTCAGGTGAAACTTGTGAGCCGTTTGGAGAAAATCCCATAATTTCATGCGAAATACTCGAAGTACGACCATTAGAGAGCTCGTGTTTATAATTAAATACATAGCTTCTAGCAGATCCACGACCATCATCTGTAATACAACGAGTGAGAACGCCGACCAATGTAGATTTCCCTGAATCAACGTTTCCTATGACAGCGACACGAATGTCATTGTCAATATTTTGAACTGACGAGTGTGTGCTTCCGTTTAAGTTTGTGTGTGTATGTGTATTCATATTATTGTCTTGTACTGGTTGGGGATCGTTTTGTGAATCCATTTGCATAAATTCATTGTAAAGGATAGATCGCGTCAGACCTATTTATGAATTAAATAGCGAATCATAATTAAGCATGGTTTTTGAATTCTGATAGGATACGTTTTCAGTGAAAATAGGCAAGGGAAGAGGTAAAAAATGACTATTGGTGGGATAAGGAAAAAATACATAATGGAAATGATTATTTTCGAATCAAAATTTTTTTAGTCAAATACTTGATATTGAGGCAAAGCGAAGGGGGAAAGGATAATCAATAAGTGTTTTTTTAAATAAGCCAGCTTTAGTTCGGAGAATTTTTATAAGTTAAAGAATTGGTTATTTGCATAATGATCAGTCCTGAACCGATTTCCATGAACCATTTATAAGATTTCAAGAAATTATGCCATTTAATTTCTTAATTACTCACTAATTTTATACTCCCTTACTTCATTCAAAAAAGAAAATGGCGACACAGGCAAAGATTGGTATCAAGGCGCACTCCCTATGGAGCAGGTTGGAATCATCCTGATAAAGTTGAAAATAGGGCTCTGTCTCTTTTTGAAGCAGGTCTTCAGGTTTAAAGATGTATTGCCGAAGAGGGAAGCTTTGTTTTCTGTCCCTGTCAGGTGGACTTGACAGGTTTTACCTCTTAAATTCTGGCTTATGGCCATATAATCTTAATCTTGCTTCATTCAAAATATGAATTGCCTTTCTCAGCCCGTCTGCAGCCTCGTGGGCTTTTTCTCTTTCCTGTGTAATCCCATCAGACTCCTCCAACAACTCGTCACACTGCTCTTCTTTATACAATTTCTTAACCAACTCTCTTTGAAGCTCATCTTTTGATCTGTTCACCAAAAATCCCATAATCGTTTTTGGCACTAAATCCCCGATATTTACCCTGACAATGTCAAAATATGATTTTATCAAAATTTTTATCATCTCAATTTGCTCTTTTTCTTCAGGTGTCATTTTTGACGATGGCTGCAGATTTGACGGAGGACCAACGAAATCGAAGCTAATTTTCGGCTTTTCAGGGATTTTTTCTTCCTCTTGGTCAGACTTAGGGGCATCTTGAGCCCTGAATGAGAACCAAGAAGAGGATGTCATAATTGTTTCCTCTTTTTTCTTCTGGATGATGGGCTGCGGAAGGATACTTTTGTCAATTAGAGGTTCTTGGGCAGCTGGCCTTAATTGGCTTTGAGCCGTTACAAGAGCCTTAGAACCACCGATAAATTGAGGATGGTGTGTATTGATATAAGCACCTTCAACGTCAATTAAACGATCTATCATTTTCCTAGTTGGTTTAAGTCTGGATGCTAAGAGCTGGTTTATTACTTCTGAAACAGCATCTTTCAGCTTTTTAAATCTCTCAAGCTCAGGAATCTCAATTTTGCTCATAATGCTCTTCAGTTCTTCATATATCAAATTCATACAATTCAAGCTAGGTTCATGCAATCTTGGGATTTGGCTTTTGATTAAAATTTCGAAAGCAGATTCAGGAACAAACAAAGAGCTTCCAAGTCCTGTTGCATTCATGACCGCAGTTCTTATTTTTTGATCATTCAATTCTTGTAATGGATCAATCTTTGAAATCCCGCTGACAAAAATTTGATGAAAAATATAATTAATTCTGGCTCCACCCATAAGTTCTTCTGTGACATTTCTCACATTTTTCCCTTCAATATTTTCTTGAAAGCTCTTTGCTACTTTTTGTATGACACTTAACAGAACTCCTGTTTTTGCATCTCTGGATGACAAAGCTTCCCCATACTCTTTTAATTTCTCCAAATTAGCTTCCAGCTCATCATGAACTTTTTTCTTTATTGCAGGAATGCTATTATTTATATGAGTTTGCAATATTTTATTAAGTCTCATCGTCAAATATAGAAATTTTCCTATAGATGGCGCTGTTTGCCTTGATTTGCCCACTGGGGCAATTTTTTGGTTCGACCAGTACCATATGGTTTGGTTGAACCAAAAACTTTTCTTCATGGGCAAATCAAGGGCAAACAGCGCCATCTATGGGAAATTTCTATATTTGATCCCCAACCGATCAGCATACCTCCCATAAACTGGGCTTTCTCTAAAGAATTTTTCTTCTTTCAAAAGATGTTTCTTCATTGTCACGTTTCTGTTGATATCTTCCTGACTTCTGCACATGACGCCTACATATCCAAGCCTAAGCGGGAAAACGGCGCCATTCAGCATATCAATAGCGTCAGTCCCTCGGTCCATGATATCTATTTTTGTGAGCACTCCAATAGTTCTTTCTCCGTTTGGATCTACATGATGGGCGAGCTGTAAAGCATCTGAATTGGCTAAATCATTATTAGCAGCTGAAATAGCTAATATTATGGTATCTGGGTTTGAAATATACTCAATAATCATATTACGGATGCTCTGTTCAATATCATTACTTTGCCCTGAAACTGAGATCTTAACTATTCCTGGTAAATCAACCAAAGTGATATCAAGGACATTAGGAGAATAAATAGTCAACTCTATAGGTTTCGTAGAAATCGATTTACCATTGCCTACAAGGTCTGCGGTTCGATTTTTTATTTCTTCACGGATGTCATCAAAGTTGTCAAAAAATGTGTCTGGGATGTGCTTAAAAATTCCATATTCGTGAGTTTCTTGACTTTTTACGAGTTTTAAACGGAGAGGGCATTTTGTTACTATCCCAGAGCCTCGAGGAAGAAAATCTCTACCGACAATACTTTCAAGAACACTGCTTTTGCCTGAAGATTGAGATCCCACGACTACTATTTGTGGTAAACTGATGATGTGGGAAATATTAGCAGATATTAAGACTTCTTGCAGCTTATTGAAAAGTGGGATGAGCTTTTCCATTTATTTAGAATTTTCAAGCAGCAATTCTCTATAATAATTTTTTTCAAATATCTATAGAAGTAAAATTAAATTAAAACTGCTTTATGGCTATAAGATAATTTTCTGTATGATAAATATTGATGCATTTTAGTTCATCTTGATGTTTGAATTTTATTTTTGAATGTTAATAAACTAATTTAATGCTAAAAAGGGCCGTTCCGGGAATTGAACCCGGGACCTCTCGCACCCTAAGCGAGAATCATACCACTAGACCAAACGGCCTTGAACCTAAGCCTGAACAATTTAATTTAAAGAAGTAAATTCTTGCGAATAAATGCCTTATTCAAGATAAGCTTCTTTTTATTAGAATTGCATATCATTTAATGTTGGTTGCTAATTTTAATTACATTTAAATATTTATAAAACATATCTCAATAAAGCAGATTAAGGCTATAATTTTAGCTTCAATAGACTTGCATTATTCTTTTTGCTTTTGATATCAATTTAGCCTTTGCAAAATAAATGGAGCGATTATAAACATATTTATGGTGTTTTGAGTCTCTGACTGATTTGCTAAAAATTAAGATCAGCAAACCCAAACTTATTTTAGCCGAGCAACAGCACACATTCACCATAGAGTGCATATTTCTTTATGATACTAGTTATTGCAGGCTTAACAACGAAATCTGCTTTCAGATCTTCGATGTGTACCTGCATAAATGACCGAGGGTCTACAGCTGAAAAGCTCTTTTGCTTTAAAGCTACCTTACCTCAAACATTTTGCCCAATAAATCCACTTCTAATCTTAAGTCATAATTAGCCTCACGCAAATCTCATAAGATTATTAAATTCTGGTTAAGATCCTGATCCTTTGATAGTTCTAAATCGAGCTAAAAAAGTTGCAAGGTGCATCAATACTCAATAAGCATAATCCTTTCAATTATAAAGCTGCTATTTGCAATTTCTCGAACTATCTAATAAAATGGTTTCAGCCCAATATGGAAGACTTGGATATTGGCAAGAAAGATACTTGCACAAAAAAGAGCAATTCGATTGGTACCAAAAGTGGTCAGGCATAAAAGACATTATAACCCAATATATCAAATTTAATGAAAAAATTTTAAATGTTGGCTGCGGGAATTCGAAACTTGCAGAAGATATGCATAAAGAAGGCTATCAATATATCATGAATATTGACAACTCTCCTATTGTGATTGATGATATGAAGTCCCTATATCAAGATAAAGAAGGCATTGAATTTGACTGCAAAGACGTGATGTCAATGGATTTCGATACAGGCAGTTTTGACGCAGTAATTGATAAAGGGACTTTAGACTCAATTCTCTGTGGTGACCGGTCAAATATCATGGCAAAAAGAATGTTAACACAAATACACAGAGTGCTAAAGCCAGATGGGATTTATGTATCAATAAGTTATGCGCCACCTGAAAACAGGAATAGGTATTTTAAGCAGCCAGAGTTTTCTTGGAACGTCTTTGAGTATCAAATTGCCAAGCCTGTGCTATCTGCAACTGCAGCTATGACAAAAGAAGAAGGAAGCACTTCTCACTATATTTATGTCTGCATCAAGAAAAGGAATAACTTTATTGATGAAGGCCGATAAATCCTTAACTAGCGATAACTTTAATAAAATGGAAAAATCTCTTGTCTCAGTATCTCAATTTCCAAAACCGAAGCATGCAAGAATCAAGCGAAATTCAAGCTCAGATGAAATGAAAATCGATAGTTTGCCTCAGATTATAAAGCCTTCAAAAAGCTTTAAACTCCTTAAAAGGATTAGAAGCGATGATCAAAGTTTTCAGAATCTTTGCTCGATCGAAGAAGACTTTGCACTAGAGCATGAAGGCGATGTCACAAGCTTCTTGCAAGAAAAAATCCCATCAACTCCTAAAAAGAGTTTTTTCCCCAAATTTGATAATAAAGGGAACTTACTCGCTTACAGCGTTATCGGGCCAACAAAACTATTTACAAATCCTAAATCTAACGGCCCCTCTACACCTGAAAAAACAAACGGAAAGGGTTTGAGTAAAACTTCGACAAGATTAAATTTCAATACGAGGGACCACACAAATTATGAAGAAAAATTCAAAGAGAGATTACTTGAAATTGAAAATAACTCGAAGCTTGAATCGACTACAGGAGCTAAAAAGCTATCAAGTATGATAATTTATGATAAAATACGGCAAGGGAGAGAACAAAGGATATTAAACCATTATAATGAAGTTCAAAATGAGTGGAATTTGTTGGAAAAAAAATTGAGTTCGAAAGCAAAGAAAAAGCCTGGAGACCTACTCTTCAACAGAGCTACTGAATATAGAGAAAAACTTGAAGAGCTCGATGAAATTGATAGAAATCTGCCAGATAAAGACGAGACAAATTCTTTTTCGTGATATATGTCATTAAGAGAATCAAATAATCAAAAATTTGAAACTTATATTCCTATGGGACAAAAATTTTTAGGGCTTTATACAAGAATTTCTCAAAAACCAAAATCACCTCTAGAAATAATACGAAAGCCAGGTATGGCCAAAACCTCAAGCAAGACTTTTAGGGATTGAAATTATTTTCAAGAAAAATTTAGCCAGGAAATGACGAGCTCGAAATCAATCCCGCTATCTCAAATTGATAAAGAGAGAGAAAATAGGGCTTTCCCTTGAATAGCCCGATAACGGGATGAAGCCAGCCCGTTATCGGGCTATTCAAGGGAAAGCCCTATAGTTAGTTAGAGGGGTTAACTGGGGTTATTTCAGCCCCTAGCCAGTCGAGCTTTAGCTTCACGCTTCATGTAGCGCTAAGCACTATAGCCGCCTCACGCCCTTTTCGTTCTGAGTCACCAAAAATAGGGGCGTCATCAGTCTAACGGGGAGACTCACCCGAACCTGCTCGGACCAAAAATTGCAGTGCAGGACTCTCTTAACCCCTGTTAGTGCTCAGGGTATGAGGAAGCGTCCAGTACCTCCTTCCGGAACGACCTCTGCAATTTGCAGGCAACATAATGCTCCTCCAGAAGTGCCCGATTGGTGTTGCGCCGTCGGTCCTCTTGTCTGTGGGTCGAGGGGAGGCCCAGCCAGCCCATGCCTAACCCCACCCCGAAACTGCCACCTGCGATCCTGTGGTCCTTCGAGGCCATTGTTTTAAATTTTTGGCCTCAAGTTCTTGGGTTTTTTTTGTCGCAATTGCCATTTTAGCAATTCAAATTGATAAAGAGGAACTGCTAGTTGTGGGACTAGCAAAACTTCCATTAGAGATTGATGCAGTTAAGCGCACAGGGCCCGAGTTTTTAAATCCGAAACTAATTCCAAGACCATTTAAGGATGAAATTTACGCTGAAGAATATGATTTTAGAAATAAAACATATAGAGCTGTATAGGTTGATTGGCGTTTAGTTTACATTACCTCATTATTAAATTAATTGCCGAAATTACAGTCGATTATTATAAAATTAAGTTGAGTTAGAATCTTAAATTAGCAGTGTCCAAAATTTTAATATCTAGCTTTGATATTATAGCATATTATTGGAAGCACTTTAGAGAATGTTTATACTAATGACTGATTCAAACATTAATTTATTGAATTTACTACTAGTTTTGAAAACTTTGACATAAGCATATTTTTTGAGTTGGCTGACTAAGTTTAAATTTTTCTGTTGCTTAAGTTTCTCAAATAATGCAATCTAACTATGAGCTAAGAGAGACTTTTCAAAATATTCATTGGTGCGTGAGCTCATAAAGCAATAGATACTTCCAAATAAAATCTGTAGTTAAGAAGCAATGAATCAATTTTTCTCTTCTTTTTCTTTCCTTATCTCTACGTTCCTTTATTGTTTAGCCTTTATCTATCATAAATAACATAAAATTTTTATTGTAATTAATGGCAGGAGCAATAGACAAAATTGTGTTTTTTAGTCTAGGAAGCACTTTATGCTCGCTGGATATTTCTTCATCAGAAGTACGAAAATTTCATGTACACAAAGAAACTATTACTTCCTTGCTTACACAATCAAGAAAACTTTACACAGGTGGAGCCGATGGACTCATAGTAATATGAAATCTCCCAAATTATACAAAAATAGACACAAGTGCGCCTATCAAAATGCTCACTGCCAGCACAAAAAATCTTTACTTTATTTGTGGGAACAATTTACTTAACTTAACTTAGTGTCTGGTATATTTAAGGTCTCTAGTGCCGCACCCCATAAAAATGGAGTTATAGCGAAAAATTGATGACGTCGCCGGGCCATCTTGGAATCGCGATGGTTAGCCCACCGGCCAAGCCTTCATCTGCACTTCGCCCATCTTCGCCGCACGTCTCACCCGTGGGAACAATTTACAGATAAATATTTTAGATCTTACCACATCTCAGATTCAGCATCAAACCATTCTTAAAGGCCAAGTCTCAGATGTAATTGGGATGCAAATGTTCCCAGATGAATCAAACTTAGCCATTCTTAAGGGAACTTCATTTATTACATATAATTTAACGACTCAAGTGACCAAAACTTTTGAGCACACAGTTCCTCTATCCTGCCTTAAAATTCATCCAGAGCAAAAATACATAGTTGTTGGTGACACGGCTGGACAAATTATTAAATTTTTCCCAAATAACTCAAAGCAAAAATTGCATTGGCACTCTCATAAAGTCACAACTTTAAAATTCACTAGTGATGGAAGCTATTTAATCTCTGGAGCCACAATTAAAATGGCGGAGTTTGGTAAAGAAAGCTCCCTTACTTTTGGCTCAGTGAAGTTGAACTTTTGTTCTTCTGGGATTTTGTCCTATAAAGACGCTATTCATAGGCACTGGGTAGCAAAAGAAGAGTGTTCTTTGAAGCTGGAGGCGAATGAAGTTATAACGGTCATGTAACTGCCGATCCACTGCTCAGAGCGGAGCTCGTATCTCACGTAAAAGGCTTTAGAAAGCAGGAGATCAAGTTATTTAAGGGTTATCTAAATAAATAACTAACTAATCTCTCTGGAGGGGAAGAAGGAGTTTTAGTGCTGTGGCATGAGTCATCTGGAAATCAAACATTCCTTCCAAGATTGGGCAGCACAATTATAGATTTCACTATTAGTGATGATAATTCATTTTATGTAGTGAAATTGTTGGACAATTCTGTCAAAGTGGTATCCAGTACAGATAATAAAATAATTTCACGATACGAAGGTCTGACAGACCCTTCAAAAATCCTTCCTTATAATAGGATATTTACTGGGCTAGTAAGATATGAAGAGTTGTACGTACTAAATGGCTCTCCAGGATATATTCAATTTTTTAATCCAAATAGCAACCAAGTAATCAGGTTTGACTGCGTTAAGCGCAATCCAGTATCCCGAACTCATCGAAACTATCCTTACCCCCTTCAAGTTATCCAAGTCGCATTTCTTCCTTCAATAAATGCAATGGCCACAATAGAAGCCTCGAACAGTCCAAATTTTTCAATAACTTACCTTAAATTTTGGAATGACAATAAGCTCAACACTTTGATCCTCCATCCACACAGCGACACCGCAAATAGAATCATTTCATATCAAGATTCATTTGTGAGTATAGGAAATAGCAGCTTTATTGTGTGAAAATTCGAAGAAAAAGAGTGGAGAAATTTTTGTGAGAAAAAATTATGGGAGCTAGTTCCAACTGATTTGTGTGAAAACAAAGGAAATTTAGTAGTAGTGTTTGAGCACATTATTTCTATATGGAACCAAAACTTTGAAAAAGAGCATGAAATTTATGAGCCTGAAGGAAACTGGTTTATCCAAATAAAATCTGCAAAGGATTTTTTGGTAGCAAGAACACAGGAAAAAATATTCTCTTATAGAAATAACCTTATGGTCTGGAATCTCAGACTAGACTTTGTCCATGGAATTGAAGCAGAAGGAAACCATTTCATCATTGGCTTAAATGCAAGCAAAGTTACTCCTAACTCCCCCCCCCCTCCGTGAGCGAACAAAAAAATTTTGTTCGCTCACGGAGGGGGGTTAATTTTTTTTTTTTAAAAAAAATTTATATATAAATTTTATAAAAAATATTTTTTTCGAAATTTAAAAAAATCCTAATTTGCAAAAATTGGGAAGCAAATATTAATTTAATTTGCAAAATTTATATTTTTTAAACGCAATTTGTTTAAAATTAAACAGAATTAGCTCTAGATTTCATTATACTAATTATCACTTATATATCAAAATTTTTTTCCATTAAAATTTTTTCTATTAAAAAAATTTTTGTTCACTCACGGAGGGTGGGTTTTTGGTCAAAAAATGGCGATTTTTCTAATGGTTTTGTTCGCTCACGGAGGGGGGGGGGGGAGTAAGGATTTAAGAGAAAAACGTACCAATATTTTATTGAAATTTGATGCTCATTCCTCCATTCCTGAAAAAATCTACAAAGTCAGTTATCCCAAAGCATTTTCCCTATACAACAACCAAACTATCATAATTGATAAAAATTTTGAATTCGTAAACCTTGACGTTCAAATGGAAATAGAGTCTGACCAGCTCCCAGAACTAGAAAAGCCTGAGCAAATTGAAAGAAAAGAAACACAAAAGTATGAAGCAGCACCTAGGTATTTGAGCACAAAATCAATTTCTGAGCTGGATGAGGTGAAATCATTCGAGCTTCCAAGTATGGAGAAGCTTTTTGAAGAAATTGTATGCAAAGAGCTAGAGTCATTTTCCCTTGAATAAAAATAAAATCTTTACTCCCCCCCATCCTTGATCGAACGATTGACTGTAAAAATTCTTAAAAATTGGGGAAATTAACCCCAATCCTTGATCGAACGATTTTCATATCATTCAAATTTTTATATATATAAAAATATATTAGTTATCGAAGGCTTGGGAAGATTTACATAATAAAATTGTTTTCAGAAGCTTTGAGACGACAGAAAGCTACGGAATCAACTATCTGAAGTGCTTTAGTCATCAACCTAGGCTTAAAACTCAATAATCTAATAAAAATAGAGATTCTTTAAAATTTTTAAAAAAAAAAAATTAATTCAATAAGGAACATATTAAAATTTATACAGTTTAAAGGGATAACTAATAAATAAAAATCATAAAAATTGGTATTTTATGAAAATTAATTCAATTTTTTGCTGTAAAAATAATTATTAAATACTTTTACCCTCTTATTTAAAAGTAAATAATAAATAATATATATATATTATCTTAAATATATTTTTTTCCCCAAAAAAAATTTTTTTTACCCCTATCCTTGATCGAACGATGGCGAGCCGTTCGATCAAGGATGGAGTGGAGTTAGCAAAATATTTAGCTATATTAATTTAATTATCATCTTCTTCATCATCTTCTTCTTTTGACCATTTTGACCATGAAACAAATGGATGTGTGTCTAAAACAGGCTCTTCAAGCCATTTTCTAGTTAGAAATAGCGTTATAGTCGCAGTGGACGATATTACTGAAATAATCAGCCACACTTTCCAGCACTCTTTTTCTCCATCTTCTGGACAATAAGAATCTAGTGTAACGCCTGCTGTTAATCCTGCCAGCATAAATCCGACTGAAAACGGAAAACTTGATAGAGCAAAATAGATTCCCTCAATTCCATGAGGGGTAATCTCTGAAGCATAATCGGTTAGTCTTGGCAAGAACACGCTTGAACCTATAGATTCCAGAACTATAAACAAGGTCAGAGTAGTGTAGCTTGAATCAATTACGAAAACAAGTGGTGCCACAGATATGATCACCGAACTCATGAGAAATAGTGTATATTTTTCGAAATAGTTTACCAAAAATGACAGTGATGGACACAAAATTGTCATTAAAATCTGGTATAATCCAATAAAATATGCAAATGGCGCATCTTCATCTATGTCTCTTTCCATATAGAGCGGAAGCGTTATGGCGATGTGGTTTTCTAAAGTAAAAACGACCGATTCCAGAAGAATAAGTCCTAGATACCTCCAGAATGATTTATAACTTAATGCCCTTGTTAAATATTCTTTTGTTGACCATTTTTTTTTCTGAGCATCAACCTCTTCATGAGCCCTATATTCAAAATCTAATTCCCTAACTCCCCCTCGAAGAGCCAGCAAAACCATTGAAAAATCCCTATTTTTCGAGCAAACAAACATTTTTTTCAATATAAAAAAAATGTTTATGAAAAAACAAAATTTCGATTCATGTGATTATTATTATAGCGAAAATATAATTTGCGTTTTAAAACAAATTTTACAAATTAAATTCATAGTTGCTATCAATTATTTCGAATCGGAATTTTAAATATGCATTTTAAAAAAACCCTAGTAATCGATCAAACTATTTTTTTCAGTTATGGAGAGGGTGTAAGGAAAAATGTTAGGATTATGATAACCACCAATATGCAAGCTATGACTAAAAATATTAGCCTAAATGTGCTTTCATCCGTATCTCCAATGCTTAAAGCAGGATTAGGATTAGGATTATTAGTCAGGAGCTAGCGATATTGGTGGCGCAGTCACCAGAGACCTCTTGTACAGAAGGTTCTATCGCTTTTAGACTCCAGCCCAAAGGGTCTATCCCTCTTACGACTGCCTTTACAGCACCTTCTGTCTCCTCCTCCCTCTAGGCTTTCTGTCATGAATGGGGCTTATGTATTTCTGAGGCCCTGCTACGGGCGATGGAGTAGCTTGATTCCAAGGATCAACCCCTTGGAGTCTATCGGGTGCGAAGTGCCTTTCTTTGGCAGCTGCAAGAAAAGACTGTTTCCCTTGGCCTGGGCGGAAAACCCCATTTTCTCGGTAGAAGAATGCCAATGGGTCCTCGGATCCAAAGGACATTGTAAGCATCTCAATTTCCAACCACAGGAAACAGCCGAAACCTACCTGGATACACATCTCTTGAGCCTGAACTCGATTCTCAGCTAGGAGTCCGTCCCAGTTTTCCGTAGCCATAAGGTCTGGACTGCTGCGCCAAGAGGGCAGGTTAACACTTGTCGCCGTTTTAATGTTTATCCAATGCTTAAAGCAACCCCTACAAATATGCTCGAAACACACTCTCCAAAAAACATGATGCACAGATAAAATGAAAATGCAAGACTCCTTGATTTTCCTGTTGTGTACTTTTTAACAGCATATTTGAGAATTGGGTTATTCAAAAATAATGGTCCACACATAATGATGAAAACAAAAAATAAGCGAACTGCCACATTGGACACAGTAACGAGGACCATATAGGCAATTAAACAAGTAACAGCAATTGTCAAAATAGACTTCCTTATTCCAAATTTGTCTGGAAGATTGCCCAAGAAAAAGGCTGAAAATAAGCATGCAAAACCGCATGCAAAAGCAAAAGCGCCGTATTCAGGGTCTGATAAATCGAGAATATCTGTACAATAAACTGCAATTACGACAAACATAATTGCGACCCAATCGAACCCTACGAATTTGATGACATAGATGAGCCATAGGTCATAAGGACTCTTAGCGAGTTCGGCAAATTCTTGTTTTTCAATATCCTTCCATGTAATTTCGTTTTCCTCAGACTTGTCTACAAGAGGCTCTTTTTCATAGTCGTTTTCAGATACCATTTATCAAAAAGTGGCATTCTCTGATCACTTTTCAGCAAGAAATTAAAGCTAATATTTTATAGGTAACTATTATTTGGTCAAATCTACTAAGTTTCAGTCAATTAATTATTTATTTTTGCCAAAAATCACGATGAAAATTTTTTTATATAGCCAGAAATGCATTTTTCCTTAAACTGTAAGATAAATAAATGAATTTTAAAGAAATGTTTTTAGGGAGCACTGTTGTGGTCGGCATATGCAGTCTCATCTATTATTTTTCATATGAAAAAGACAAGGAAAAAGTAGACAGAGAAATAGAAAAAGGAGTAGTAGTAAGAATATTAAATGAATTAAGAAAAGAGTTCTTAAGACTTGATTTCGATTTTTTAGCATCTACACAGCTAAATGAAATTGAAAAAGGGTCAAATTTTGATATTACAGATCAATTTAACAGAAATCTCAAAAATTCTCAGAAAAAAGTTTTGAAAAAATTCAATGTTACGAAGGAAACTTGGCGATTTGCTTGTGAAGTGAAATATAAAGATGACAATGAAATTAAGGCACTGTTTCTTACTCCCCCCCCCCCTCTGTGAGTGAACAAAACTATTAGAAAAGTCCCTATTTTTTGCCCAAAAACCCACCTTCCGTGAGTGAACAAAAATTTTTTATGGAAAAAAATTTTGATATATAAATGATAATTAGTATAATGAAATCTAGAGCTAATTCTGTTTAATTTTAAACGAATTGCTTTTTAAAACATAAATTTTATAAATTAAATTAATATTTGCTTTCCAATTTTTGCGAATTAGGATTTTTTTAAATTTCGAAAAAAAAATATGTTTATAAAATTTATATAGAAATTTTTTAAAAAAAAAAAAATTAACCCCCCTCCGTGAGTGAACAAAATTTTTTTGTTCACTCACGGAGGGGGGGAGTTAATATAAAAAATGAAATGGATTGCGCAAAAAGAGGAGATTCTCCAATAAATCCTGCGTTGATACCTTTATTTTTAACACCCGAGCTTACTTTGCAAATATTAGGTGAGCTATCTGATCTAAAAGCTTTAGAAAAATATTCTAGCAGGGAAAATGAATGTGAAAACTCTGATATTTTTGAAGTGGATGAAAACATAAAGCGTAAACTTTTTGCTAATTATGGATTAACAGTATGCAGATATCCTCCTGAAATTCTCCTTACTCCCCCCCCCCCCCCTCCGTGAGCGAACAAAACCATTAGAAAAATCGCCATTTTTTGACCAAAAACCCACCCTCCGTGAGTGAACAAAAATTTTTTTAATAGAAAAAATTTTAATGGAAAAAAATTTTGATATATAAGTGATAATTAGTATAATGAAATCTAGAGCTAATTCTGTTTAATTTTAAACAAATTGCGTTTTAAAACATAAATTTTGCAAATTAAATTAATATTTGCTTCCCAATTTTTGCAAATTAGGATTTTTTTAAAATTTCGAAAAAAATATTTTTTATAAAATTTATATATAAATTTTTTTTTTTTAAAAAAAAAAATTAACCCCCCTCCGTGAGCGAACAAAATTTTTTTGTTCGCTCACGGAGGGGGGGGGGGGAGTTATAGCTTCTATCTATAGGGAAAACAATGATAATTATTTTAATCGACAGTATCGGGAGATTTTAAATAAACAGAATGTAAATCCCAGTCAAAATGAAATAAAAGAGTTTAGGGAAAAGTATTCATGGCTTTTAAAATAAATATTCCAAATGAAATATTCAAATTAATTTAATTGTTGCTAAATAAAAATAGGAATAATAGTTATTAATATTTTACCAATTTCTTATAAAGTCCTAATGCTTTTATTTATTGCCATTTTAATTCCTCAAATATAATTTCAATTATTTCGCTTAAATTATCTGAATTTAATTTTCTCAATAACTTCAATGGAAATCAAGGTCTCATTTAAAAATTGCTATAGAGCCTAACAACAATAAATTAAATTTTTTCAATTCTTTGATCAACAAAAAAATTGAAATTAATACTAATAGCATTTTCATAAGTAAAATATTTTAGAACTTGGCAGCTATTTTTTATAACCAACAATTTTTAGTTCTAAGATGAATTTAGCAAGCTATATATTACTAACTCCCCAGCCATTGGGGAAATTTCTATTTTTTGAGATTAAGCTTCATTTTACTTTCAGGTAGGGGTGGGACTCATGGAACTTAACTTGAAAATGAATATAAAGAACGCCAATTTGATGAAAAAATTATCAATAATTATCAATTATTTTCCTTATTAATAATTTTCCAAGTTCCAGAAAATTGCCTTAAATAGAATCTCAATTCTTCCGCATGCATTAAAACAATTACGAATTATTTAAATAATAAGTATACAAGAGATCCAGCCTATGGCTCTAAAACCAATTTTTCAAACTTTTTATCGTATGGGTTTTTTGATCTCACCAAGTTTTTACATTCTTGATAATCTTTTTGAATATTAACACACCCCATAGAGAAATGGCGTTTCAGAGAGCGGGTCTGTGAATGTAACTTGCTTGCACCAGATATTATAGTATCAAGCTCTTCATCTTCTGTTTTAGGGCACAAATAAAATGGTTGCTACTCTGACCTGTCCTTCTCTCACAGCTTCTGGATTTGTGGGTCTAGAGGGCCGGAGGTTGGGAGGATTTGTGTTCAAGGTAGGCTTTTTTCCCTGGCTAGGACACCAAGGCAGGGTTTTTTATTTCGTCCTATGATAAGTAGACCAGAGCTGCAATGACAACCCCACACTTCTGATAGCGAAGGTATTTATGGAGGGCAGGAGGAGACTTCAGAGCACCTACCATCTCTAACCTCCGGACTGACGGGCTGACCATTAGGAGTTGTCTAAAGGAGTACCTGGTGCGTCACCTCGAAAGCGTCGACTTCACCATTTTTAGTGACGTCGACAAAAATGGCGTAAGTGCTAACCATGCTTAGGGCGCGAGGCTGAAGTGGGGAAGGCGGAGAGTGAGCTGCAATTTATCTCACAGAGACCCTCTATAATTAATCTAATCTAATCTAATCTAATCTAGTCTAATCTGTTTTAGGCAAAATTGGACTTAATATCGTAGAGCGCCTTGTTATAGATCGTATTGAAGTTTCTGGGCTTATATTAGGGGATTGCTCTACGAAGGCGTTTGAGTTCGTTCTCATGGATTTTTTCGGCGATAGGCTAGGAGAGGTTGATTTTGAGGAGCTAGGCTTTTCGTTAAGACTAAGCTGCTTAATATGAATATATGTTTTTGTCCTTATGTGTGTTCGATGACTTTTAGGTTGCTGATGGACTAAATCGTAGTTTCTGTCCCTAATCCTTAAATGCTTCAAACTTTTATGGAAAAATTTAGGATCAAAATCATCTTTTACTGGAGAAGAGATTCACGCAAGATCTCTCGCAAAACCTAGGCTAACATGCTTTGAAGCATTATAAACCGCTTCAGAGAGGGTAATCCTGGAAGTCTTTTTCATATTAGATTAAGATAATGGCTGACGCATTACAACGCTAATAATCAGAATAAATAATTAAATGCAACTTTTAATTAAATTTTGTTAGATTAGAAGAAATGCTTATTTCCGCCCCTTCGCAAGCGAACAAAGCAATTAGAAAGATCCCCAATTTTTTAGGAAAATTAAGAGGTAAAATTTTTTTTAATAAAAGATTTTATTAAAATAATCATTTTTTATATAGTCAATGATGATAATCTAATGAAATCTCTAGCTACCCTATTAAATTACAGAAAACTTAATTGCCAAAACATAAATTTTATAAATCAAATATTTTCAAGTTTGTGAAATATATCATTTCAATTAAGCGAGCAAAATATTTTGCCTGCTTCTAATCAAGGGAGGAATTAATAATTTTTGAATCCAGTAAAACGATATATAATCCACAAATTCAAAAGGTTTTATTCAAATCTCTAGCTCAAAATTATTGAAAATCAATATGACTTAAAATTTTTGCCTCTATTGGAAAAAGCCAAATTTATTTAAATAGAATTCTTGGAATGCCTCATAAATCAATTTAGCTCATAACTTGATAATATTGAGAAAATTCCCAGCATCACAGGAAACTAGTGATTTATCTGCCTTGCTTGCACTCAGCTATCTTTCTGACCTCGAACTGGAAGAAAGCACCCGATTTGTGGGTAGTCCATTAACTAAATTTCCGGGCTCCTCTGGGCCAGGATTGACCATTGCTCAGATTAAGGCGACTCAGACTATGTACTGCGAGCTTGGCATAGGCTGCCAGCCTCGAAAACTCAAAAAACAACTTCTGATCAACTTTCAGCCAAAATGGAAAGTCGAAGCCCAGGACGAAACGCCTGATATTGCACTGGGGAAAGTGTTAGATTATCAATTTTTGGGTTTAAAGTTTTGCTGATCCATCCTCTCCAACTTCTCTTCTCCATGTTCCTCAAGGCAAAATCCAGCATTGATAGTAAGATTTGAGCACAGCCGGAATTCCTTACCTAACATTGCTTTCAATTTTTGAGCAGGTAAAACCTTGCCGAATATAATTAAATATGGGATCGAAGAGACAGGTCCGGGCTAAAACGTCAAGCTCTGTATTTAATTATAATCAATTTAGCTACCAAGTTATATTTTTCTAAAATAAAGAGAAAATTATGAATTTTACCCTCAACGCTTTTACAATGATTGCCATAATGCTCTCTTGTGCTCTTGCAGCTCCACTTATCCAATATAAATTCCAAACAAATTTCAAATGGGGTGATATTAATTCATGATTTATCTTGATACCTTTTTGTCTCCAACTTTTGGGCTCCTTTTTGCAAGAAACTTCAATAAGATGCAAATGAAAAAATCTACTTGTGGCCTCAATTATTATTTATGCAATTGGGAGCCTGGCTATCATTTATCTATCGCTGTTTGGTTTGTCTATTTACTCTCTGGATATTTGCAAAGACATAAATTCTCTTTGCTTTCAGCCAGCGCATATCCAATGTAATTTGACAAATATAACTACTTACTTTCCAATACTTTATCTTATTGCACTAAATGTATTGATTTCTGCAACAGTACTCGGTGATTAGGTTTTAGCAATACAACACTCAATTGCGCTCATATAGTGCTTGACTCCTTATTGATTTTTGAGGGAAATAAAAACTTAAGGAAAATTCTTTTTGACATTTCGAAAAGTTAATTTTAAAATCAGCAAATAGAAGATATAAGCGAATTTTTTTAATTTAATTTTGACTTTTTAGATTTTTTTAGAGTTTTAAATCAATTTTTTCTTTTAAAAGTCATTGTCTTTAAGGATCTATAAAAGCGTGTGCACTATACCAAAAATCAATTCTCCAGAGCTCGTTGCAAGTATTTACATTGAAAATCCAACACACAATGTCGAAGATAATAACTCAATAAATGAAGATGATATTGCTAAAAAGCAAGAGTTATCAGACAGTGAAGTCTCCCTGGAGAAAAAAGTATTTAACAGAGACGGACAGGTCACAACATTTATTGATTCGTTTGAAGAGGCCAAAGAAGCTGGAGAAATTTTTGATGAGGATAAGGAAATTTATATAAAAGATAAACTTGCTATGGAAAAAAGGAAGAAAAAGTCTAATAGAGGTAAAGTCAATGTAATAGATGAGTAATTAAACAAGCTTAAAATATGTCTGGAAGATCTGAAAAATCGCCACTATTTTTATAATCCCAATATCCTCCTTTGTAAAGCCATTCATCGTGATCATAGTAAAATCATCTTGGTTTATACTCAATTCCTCTCTCTTCTCTCTTTTTCCTTACATGTCTTTGCTTTTCTTCCAATCTTCATTTTTCAGATGCTGCGAGCTTAAGATTTCCATTTTCTAAAGCTCTTTGATCTGGTCTATACCTTGAGTCTGTTTTTGGTAGATTAATAAAATAGTCTGGTGGACTATTTAGCTGCATTGCATAATCACTGAAATAATAGCTTTGCTCATATCCTTCAGGAAATTGATTAATTTCGTATCCAAACACCACTTTATCTGATAAAACATTTCTAATAATGACAGCTTCGTTTCATTTCCCTTCAATTTTGTACTTCTCATTACCAAAATTGTCAAAAACGCTCCCTTCAAGCTCATGTGTAACTTTTTCAAACCACCCTTTCTTTTTATACTCAATCGTTGCTCTATCTCCATTATTAAAATTTGATATTTCAATTGAGCCAGAATTATCAATATAGATTTTCCCCATAATAATATTGTAGATATTAGTTTTGGGCTTATGTCAGACTATATGGTCATTTGTTTCTTTTAAAACTAGGTGAAAGATGCCATGCGGGACTGCTTGGATGTAAGTTCCTTTGAAATGAGTTTTTACTTCTGTGTTTCCTCAATAGATATATTTGAGGTGCTCACAATGCATTGCAGAAACTGGAGGATGGTGGCTTACTTGCTCAGAAATTAAACGAAATCCTTTAGTTTCAAGTTCATAGGTTTCACCTAATAGGGGATTGAAAGGTTTCATAGTTCGATTTGTGCCATTTGCATAAACAGAAACTGCAAAGCAGGCTACTAATGCTAAGCGTAGTTGAGGATCATTTTCAATGCAAGCTCTCTCTATGATTTCACTATAAGTTAAATCTTCTGTGAAGCGTTGAATAAAACTTAAAGGTTCATTAAAATAAACTGGGACAGTGATTTTGCTCAATTCTTTTCCAATTGAATCTTTAACCACTTTTCAAATATTGATCTTCTGATTTGGGTTCCTTAAAAAGGGTAACGATTTTCTATGAGGAACAATAGATATCTGCCTATCATTGCTAATTTTTTCTACTTCATCTGAAATATCACTTCTAGCATCTTCAAATTCAATTTCTTCAATTTCTTTACATTCTTCTTCAAATAGAATTTTTCTATCTTATCTTATCTTATAAAATTTATAACGCTTAACATCCACTACGGGGTTCCAACTCCAGAGCTGCCACCATATTTGTACACGTGTCGGGCCTGTGGACCTCTGGATCGATCCCTTTTGATCACCAAGGCACGGACAAATAAGGCGTTCCGGCTTCGACGGGCTTTGCTGTCGCCACGGCTTTATTTGACTCAGCTCCTGGGCGTGTTCCGCCCTGAGGGTCCACCTTCCTTCGGGTGTGCGGGGTAAAAACTCAAGGTCTTGAGCGCACTAAGGAGCAATTCCTCTGGTTATCCCCAAAGCTAAAACGCTATTGCTATGCAGAAAGTTCCCGAGGTAAAAACCCAACCCCATAAATAAAATTGCTTGAGTGAGAGAAAGTTAGCGGTGCTAACTTCGCTTGAGCGAAAGCCATTTTATTTATAGAATTTTCTCTATCAGTTTCTTGATATTCATTTATATCAGTTGCAGAATATCTAAATGAAGATTTTTCTATATTTTCTGAGTCATTAATAAGAGAAATCTTTATTTTTGGAAAAGTCTTTTTACCTTCTTCATCAATAACCCTAAGCGAATCAAGAGCCACCTGCTTAATTTTTGAAGATATCTTTAGAACTTTTTGCAAGCCAGGAATACTACTTCGAACTTTTTCAGGGATTAAATCAACAGCTTCTTGCATTTCTGCATGGAACCCTGATATTTCACCTAATTTTAACTCTTCCCTTTTAAATTGGAACGAAAAACTCTTCTCGAATTAATTTTTTATATAAAAAGCTATACTAACTTTTTCTCAATAAAAGCACTTATTGAATTTTTGACTTTAAAAAAACTAACTTCGTTAAAAAAGAACAAGCTTTAGGCAAATTTAAAATTTAATTTTTTTTAGATTGAAAGGGGTTTATTTACCCAAAAATGGCAATTTTACCAATATTTTGTTTCGATTTATAGGAGTAAGGCCAAAAAGTTTAATAAAGATGAGTCTTCTGGCAGCTCTTGTTGTTCAGTGGCTATAGAAGGTGACCATGAAAGTCTTTTATAAAATTCTTGCTGCAAGCTCTTTAATGCTTGAATTCACTGCTCAGCTTCATGATTACTGTGAGCTTTAAGCTGGAGACATTCAGTATTAGTTTCAATAGAAAATCGTTTCGGATTGGTAGAATGCCGAACAACTTGAGCATTCTGTAGCCGAATTTCACCTTTCATTTTTCCGTCTCTTTTCTTTGAATAGGATATTAGACCATTTTTAAGTAAGAAATACCTTCGTTGCCAGCCGTACACATAGTTTGTTCACTTGAGCAAAAATCCCTCCATTATTATTTCAAACATGAGAAAAGTATATTCTCAACAACCAAAAATTAATCAAATATTTTTGAAGCAAGTTCCGATTAAATTTTTTAATGCAAATTTTTTGAAGATATTGCTACTCTCAAAAATATATAATGTGGCTGGAAGTTGATATGAATATTTATTGATAATTCTATTCTTCTACTCAAGGCTTCTTAAGTATATTATTGAATTAGACTATATTAAAAATCAATTAGCTTTAAAATTGAAGTAATTTAACTAGAACAATAAATTTTATTAATATGCAGTTATTAATTAATTAAACTCCAAATATAAATTCAGAAATTTTAATCCAAAATTTATTCTTAAAAAATTGCAATGGAACATAAAGTTTTCTATATTTAATCTTTATATAATTTTTGTTTGGCGATGACTCTTAAGATTTTATTTTAATACTCATAGAAATATTTTGAAATGAATATTAACTGATCGTTTATAAAATATTTATCCAATTTTTTAAAATTCTATGTTTACTATAATAAAAATAATTTGTATATTTACACTATAGGAGAAACTACATTTTAAATAACATATTACTATAAGTATTAAGACAAGCTTTAACTGACCTGATTAGTTTAAAGAGGTAATAAGGTATTAGGTGGTAGATCAGTTTCTAATTTCAAATGAATTTGAGGCTGATCATGATATACCGAATGAACCCCAGCCAGCAGCATCGATAAGAAGAGCGTGTAAATGATCATATTTCCTGCAAGCATAAAAGTAGTTAGTGCCAGCAGTGCTAGAATTCCCATATTCTTCTGAAAATCTGTGACTTCTAAGCCATGCACTTTTAAGTCCTTCTTCGACAGATAAACCCATACAGCCCCAATTGCGACCAAAGAAATAAGGAAGGAAGGCTGTGACAGTCTGAATAATTATTACATTCCGAGAACGAGTAGTAGCATAGTTAAGATGACGTAATTTGATACGAAATAGACCAAGTTTTCACCAAGTCTGATTGGGATTTGCTTTACCGATGGCTTAGAAAACATGGCCGGGTTAAACATATCAGTCATCCATGGACGAATGTTGGACTTCAGGCTTGTTAAAGTGACCTTATATTGGAGAGCAGTGCCTAAGTTGGAATTTTGGATGTAAGACATCCATTTCTTTATCCTTGAACCGTTTTGATCTTCCATATTATATTCGACTTTCTTAGGAAGGATAAATTTGTTTAGAAAAATTTAATTGGGGTTCCTGGCTAAAAATAATTAAGGATAATAATTAATTGGTTTATGATAGATTTTAATAGGAAATAATGTGTAGAGAAATAGCCAATAGTAATAAAATATATTTTTGTCTAATCTGCCATGATAACTTAATTTGTTCATTCCAAAAGGAAATGAATAATTTTCCTAACAGCTTAAATCGATCAAAGCAAGAATATGCAAAAAAACTGGAAAAAGTTGTTGCTTTTATGACTAAACATAACTTTTCGCACCCATTTATTACACAAGCCTGCAAGTTCTTAAACTTTTTGCCAGAGCAACTTATTAAAAAGTCATTTGATGAGATGTCTGATCCAAAAATTAGCAAAGATATACAGATTCTCAGATATAATCACTATGAAGCAAGAAGGTCAGCAAAAGTAACAATGGTTGCCCAATATATACTCGAAAACAACTTGTTATCATCACCGCACTCAAAGAATAACAGTAGCATTTTCCAGGCTGGAATTTTTATTACTCCAGTCAGGGATTCATCGACTCCATCTCTTTCTCCGAAGAGGAAATATTATATTAGATCTGTAACTCCCGACATCCCACTAACTGTTCCTATTTCTCCAGGAGAATTAAACCAAAAACGTTTAAGGTTCGCAAGAAATCAATCAATTAGATATAAAAAAGTTTTAGACAACAAGAAGAAAATCAAAGTTTCTGAGGAAGAAAAAACCAAGGAGTATATAAAAAGATTTGAACAAAAAGAAAAATCAATAGAGATAGAAAGACAGTTACAATCCAAAGAAAGAAGTCTCAAAATATCTAAATTGGAAGAAAAAAGAAAAGCTATGCTGCTAAAGAAATATCAGCAAACTATGATAAGCGAAAATGAAGCTTTAAAGATGTATCATAGCTTCAGCAACGATTTAAAATCAAAAGAATCATTTAGTACAAGTCCGACAAGAAGACTGAATTTAGACGAAGAGTATTTTGATGATAAATATGATGATGAAGAAACTTTAACTCAGTTACAAAGAATTAATAAAAAATTAGAAGAATCTGCAAGAAAAGCTCAACTTTCCATAATGGAAAAAGCGAGCTCAAGCTATGTAAGAAGTCTTTCTGCAGCAAGAGCAAGAGAAGCCAGAGAGACTTTGAATTCTCGGATGGAAGAAAAGAGAATTGTAAGGATATTGAAGTTGCAAGAGAATACAGAAAAATCTGAGGTAATTTTAACTTAGAGAATACGAAAAGCTAAGCTTGCCGAAGAAACAAAAAGAATTTCAGAACTAAATAAAGGAATTCATATAAAGCGCCAAGAAGAGCAAAGAAAAGAGTTGGAATCAACTTTGAAAAAAGAAGACGTTTTAAATTGCAACGAAGCGAAAAGAGAAAAGGCAAGGGCTGAAATCAAAGAAGCAACTTTGAAAAAAACATTATTACTTGCTGAAAAAAATATCCTGAAGAAAAGAGATCAAGAAGAAAACTTACTAAGGCAAAGCAAAAAAATTGACGATTTCTTCATGAAAGTTTTAAATAAGTATGAAGATGAGAAAAGAAAAACACCATCACCTAGCAATTTGGCTAAGATGAACACAGGAGGAATTATTGTACTTGAAAAATGTAAAAAATCAATATAAATCTCATGCAGATTTTATATCTATAATTTAAGTATAAGTGAAATGGCTAATAATTTCTTGAATAATATTTTGAGCCGTCCTACAAATTGCAGATTTCTTAGAGTTTCAGATAATCTAATAAAAACATTTAAAAATGTGATTATTAAATTTTCTAATGAAAGATGCTTAATATTCCATTAATGTCAAAGCAAGGGGAAATCGTAGAGATGAGATATCAAAAAGTTATCAGAGTTGCAACTGAATCGAGAGTGGGGCAGATAATTTTGAACTTTTGGAACAGTTGGGTTAGCTATTATACTTCTAAAACTTTGAGAATCTCAAAAAACCTTCTGTGGACCTTGACAAGTGTAAGTGCTATTTTACTACTCCCTCTGACGATCGAGACAATATTAGAAACTGATAGACAAATGCAAAATTTGTCTTCTCAACTTGATACTGCAGGTCAGGCTAGTTTCCGCCCTTACTAATATAACATTAGTCTTTTAAAGCAATTTATCTTGATTATCAATTTTCACTTATAAAATATCAATTCCTTAAAATTTGATGAAAATGAGAGTAATATATCATCTTAAATGATTATTTGCCTATTTCCCTTTAATAGGCAACAAATTTCTCCCGTTCTTAAGGAGAATTTTAATATTTTCCATATAACCAAATTTCTCGTCGAAAATTCTATAGCAGACATTTTGCTCTAAAATGCATGAATATTTACTCCTAATATGTGAGCAGTCCAGCTTATAAAATGACTTTTAATAAAGAAATGCTCTCAAAATAATATAATTAATCCTCATTAACTAAAGATCTTCGACGTTTGTGCCATCCTTAGGCTCTTCGTTCATTTCGGACGTCCAAAGAGTTAAATTATCCCTGATAAGTTGCATTATTGTGGTGCTGTCCTTATATTGATCTTCATCTAACTCCCCCCCCCCCCTCCGTGAGCGAACAAAAAAATTTTGTTCGCTCACGGAGGGGGGTTAATTTTTTTTTTTTAAAAAAAATTTATATATAAATTTTATAAAAAATATTTTTTTCGAAATTTAAAAAAATCCTAATTTGCAAAAATTGGGAAGCAAATATTAATTTAATTTGCAAAATTTATGTTTTAAAACGCAATTTGTTTAAAATTAAACAGAATTAGCTCTAGATTTCATTATACTAATTATCACTTATATATCAAAATTTTTTTCCATTAAAATTTTTTCTATTTAAAAAAAATTTTTGTTCACTCACGGAGGGTGGGTTTTTGGTCAAAAAATGGGCGATTTTTCTAATGGTTTTGTTCGCTCACGGAGGGGGGGGGGGAGTAAGTTATCAAGTTCCGCGATGGCTTGATCAAAAGCAGTCCTTGCCATATTGCAAGCCTCAGTCGGGTTTTCCTTAACTTCATAGTGGAAAACTGAATAATTAAGTGCAAGCCCAAGTCTTATAGGATGAGTTGGTGGAAGTTCAGAATTGGCAAGATCCATAGCTTCTTGATAAACTCTGTGGGCATTATCAGCTGCAGTGGTTCCATACTTAGCTTTATTTGCTCCAGCAGTTTGGTATTCAGCCATGTATCTATAATAATCACCCTGCATCTTTAAGAAAAAGACCCTTGCCTCGCTCGAATTTTGTTTTTTGAGGACATCGCTGATAACAGTAAGAATGTCTTGGCAAATTCTATTAAGCTCGTCTTCAATTTTCAGGCGATAGGCGCGGGCTAATTCTACTCTCTTGGCATTTCCTCTGCTTTCTTCTTTTTCTTCAAGGGAAGAAATTGTGCGCCAAGCAGTTCTTCGAACACCTACGATGTTTTTGTAGCCAACACTGAGCAAGTTTCGCTGGTCTACGTTGAGTTCGGTAGCCTGCTTAATCACGTTTTTCATGACGGTGATCATATCATCATACCTTTCAGCTTGTTCAGCAAGTTTGGCTTTATAAGTTAAATCCTCCATTGATTTTATTAAAGACGTGGGTTTAAAATGGAATATATGAGAAAATCGGAAAAATAAGGGGTTAATGATAGATATATTAAAGAAAATGATTTTGAAATAGTAGATTTTCTTTTTTATTGAATAAAATCATGATTATAGTATTGGGAAACAGCATTGATAGCCTTCAATGCCATTTAGTTTGTAATAGAAGTATGCTATTATATACTTCAATGATTTCTGTGGAAAATTATATTTTGCTATTCTTGATGAGCTATTCTGCCAAAAGTAAAACTGTAAAATTCATTTATAAATATTGCAATCCTATAAAGCATAAGCAATGGTAACCGCTATATAGAATTCAACCCATACAAGTGACACAACACGAAAAAAGAACCATAAAGCGACCAACCCACTTTTTACACCTGACATAACCACTCGAAACTCCGCAAGTGTCTCAAGAAAATCGAAATTAAAAAGTGATTCTTCAACCCTTGATAATCTAAATATATTGGAATCAGTCCTGGACTCAGAGCTTGAGCTCAAATTTCAATCCAAACAGAGGACCAACGAACTCTTGAAAACTCAGAACGGCCCAATTTCTGAAGAAATCCAGCTTCAGTTGCATGCAAGAGACATGAAAATCAACGAACTAAACCGAGAAATATTATCTCTCAGAGCTAAGCTAAAACTAAATAAAGAGAATAACATCGTTCAAGAACTCCAAGAAAAATCAAAAGCCTTTGAAGTTGAGCTGCTATCTCAAAGATTCATATTAGAAAAAGAAGAAAAACGATATGAAGATTTAAAGCAACAATACGACAATTCACTTGTAGAGTGAGAGTTAGAAAGAGCAAAGCTTATCCACCAACAAGAAGAAATCAGAGGAGAAGTCCAGGTCCAAAAAATAAGACTTGGAAAAAAACGAGAAGAAAATGATGAGCTAAAAAATGATAACATTCAGCTATCAAAATTAATAGATGAGCTAACTGGGCATAATAAAGAACTTGTGGCGAAAGTAGAGAATATGATCAATGAATTGGATGAAACAGCAAGAAGATATCATGAGCTTAAAGCCAAAGAAGGGTATTATGATCAAGTCGAAAAAATGCTTGAAGAATACATGGCAGGAAAAGCGAAAAAAGATACACAGAAAGCAAAGTTTGAGCAAGCTATAGAGAAGATGAAAAAGTTTAAGGGGGCAGCTGAGCGAATTGAAAATTCCATAAAAGACCTTGAAGACTCAATGAAGAAGAAAATTGTTGCACTTAATAGTGTAAGGCCAGATAGAATTTCGAGCGAACTTCCTCAGATTACTGGGTCTCTCCAAGATTTAATAAGACATGCAGAAGAAATCCGTAATACATTTCATGCCAATATCCCTACTGACTTATTATCTGACTCATCGCCTGCACAACCCAATGCAAGCACCAGAGTTGTCGAGCTCGAACAGGAACTCCTTAAAATCGACTTGCAGTTCAAACAATACAAAGCTGAAGAGAGTACAAAGGACCAGCAAATAGAAAGCCTAAAACAGATAATGGAAAGGCACCATAAAGAGCACCTTGATTGGCAAGCTCACATGAAAAGCAAAATCCTAATCTATAAGCAAAGAATCCAAGATCTCAAAGATAAAGCCGAGATGGCTAACCGAGAAGTCCAGAAAAAAGATTTCGACATCCAAAACGACATTTTCAAACTCGAAAATTTAAACAACAAAATCGAGCTTCTCGCTAAAAAAAACAATGAAGCTGTTATGAGAGAAGAAGATTTGAAGTCTCAAATTTCCTCTATGAAATCAAAAATCGCAAGTTTGATTGAAGACAAGCACTCTAGCGAAAGCAATCTTAAGGTCAGAGAAAGGAAAATTTACAAGTCACTGATGGTTTTGCAGACCATAAAGCAGGAAATGTTCAAAAAAGACACAGAACTCTTAAAGAAAAACAAAGAAATCGCCAGGATGGAAGGGGAAATGGAGAAATTGAAAGGGATGGAGCAAAAATTCCACTCGAGGGCTAAGTTGATTGAAGGCGACCTTTTATCAAAACTCAGCAAAGAACTAGAAGAAAGGGACCAAAAAATTGATATGCTGAAAGAAATGCTGAGAGGAAACCAGCCAGCAAGACGGAAAACTGAGGAGTCTTCAGAGTTATAATACTTTATTCTAATGAATTTTCATATAAATCTATAATGCTGAAAAGACTGTTTAGCCATACAGCAAAAGTGTTCGTCAACAAGAACACCACAGTCATTTGCCAAGGCATAACAGGAGCTCAAGGGACTTTTCACACTACCAAAGCAATCGAATACGGTACAAATGTTGTGGGTGGAGTCACTCCTGGCAAAGGTGGTAAAATCCACTTGGGCGTACCTGTTTTTAATACAGTAAAAGAAGCAAAGCAAGCCGTGAATCCATGGGCGAGCTCAATTTACGTGCCGCCATCCTTCGCAGCTCAAGCAATCTTAGATTGTATAGAAGAGGAAATCCCTCTAATCGTCACCATTACTGAAGGAATCCCACAACATGATATGGTTCGAGTCAAAGATGCACTGAAATCAAGCAAAAGTAAGCTTATAGGGCCTAACTGTCCAGGAGTTATCAAGCCAGGAGAGTGCAAAATTGGGATCATGCCTGGCTATATCCACACCCCAGGCAAAATTGGAATTGTAAGCAGATCTGGAACACTTACCTATGAAGCAGTTGACCAAACTACTAACTCCCCCCCCCTCCGTGAGTGAACAAAACCATTAGAAAAATCCTTATTTTTTACCCAAAAACCCACCCTCCGTGAGCGAACAAAAATTTTTTAATAAAAAAACTGATATATAAGTGATAATTAGTATAATGAAATCTATAGCTAATTCTGTTTAATTTTAAAAATTTGCGTTTTAAAACATAAATTTTTATAAATTAAATTAATATTTGCTTTCTAATTTTTGCGAATTAGGATTTTTTTAAAATTTCGAAAAAAAAATTAACCCCCCTCCGTGAGCGAACAAAATTCTTTTGTTCACTCACGGAGGGGGAGTAAGGAAGGCTTAGGACAGTCCACTGTGATTGGGATAGGAGGAGACCCATTCAAGGGCTCTGACTTCATTGATGTCCTAGAGAAGTTCGTTAATGACCCAGAAACTGAAGGAATTGTACTGATTGGAGAAATCGGAGGGACTGGAGAAGAGGATGCAGCAGAGTGGCTGAAGACTTATAATGTAGCAAAGAAACCTGTTGTTTCGTTTATTGCAGGAATTAGTGCTCCTCCAGGAAAAAGGATGGGACACGCTGGAGCTATTATATCTGGAGGTAAAGGCGGGGCTGATTCGAAAATCAAAGCTTTAGAAGACGCTGGAGTTGTTGTGACAAGATCACCTGCAAAAATTGGAGAAACGATGAAAAGGGTTATGCAAGAGAAAGGGCTAATAGATTAAATAAAAATTCACTGAAACTAGATAAATTAACACAATTAAAGCATAAAATATTTAACTTCATACATATTTAGATTCTAAATGTTATTTATTAATGGATGGTTTAATCGGGCATGTTCCTATGGGAGTTATCGCTCGAAATATAATCGTTGAAATATCCTTTCTTTTCACCGTCCTCCGTAAACCCGCGAATCATCATTTCAAGTCTTTCTTCTTCATCTGCAATCTTATCAGCTTTCATTTGAGAATCTGCTTTGCTGGCTTGAGCGTCTATATTTCCCTCAACAAATGCCATAGCTCCTCCAATTGCTCCTAAAAGCCCAAATATTGATCCCAGCAAGGCACTGATTAATTGCAGCCATGTTTGCTTCAAGCTTCTTTTGGTATAAAGACAGTTTGAATTTTTATTGAAATTCAGCCTTAGATATAAATCATAAGAAACTGCAAGCCTGAATAAAGATTACTCATTTGTTTTGAACTGACTTCCTGGAGTTGGGGATTCATATAGTGCAAGATGATAGCCAGTATTATTATCGCCATTGGAATCTTTGAAGTACTAAATATCAAATACCGATGGAACCGTATCGAAATTATAAATTGATGCAGTAGCCCCTCTAAATACTTTCTCATCTGAAGAGTAAACTGAAGCTTGATAGCTGCTGCTTTTATCAGGAATTGAAGAAAATGAGGTCACGTTGACTGTAAAGCCCGTTGAATAACTTTCACTAGATAAAAATGAATAGAAAATATATGCACCATTTTCAACTTGGCAATCGTGGCATCTTATATACAGAATGCAATCGTTGTTGGTTGTGTTTGCACTGCATGACATATCAATACTTGTTCCATGCATATTTATTATAGCATATGATATCGAATTATCACAGTCTCCATTTTGATCAATGCACATGCCACCATAGTTTTTTACCTCTACATTAACTACCATGTCTGCAGTATACTTTGAAACTGTCTCGTCCATTACGATAAGAGGCACTAGGGCTTTTACTTCCATTTCATTATTTACTACATAATTTATGATTGTATTAACTACAATCATAATGCACAGCACAAAGAAAAGTATTGTGAAATAGCCACCCACCTTAGTTTTTTTAAGGATTACAGGCATGTTTAATTTTTTCTCATGCTTGTCAGTGTACGCATCAATTTTTACTAAGAAGGTCATTCTTTCATAGAAAATAAGTACTATGATCAAAATCAAAGCCCCAACTGACCCAACTGTAGAATACACTATTGCAGCATTAGAAGAGGCTTCTGATTCACCACTGTCTAATAAATCCGGCTGAATTGAGCTATCATATTTATCTGTATCGAACCAAGAAGGGGCTGTGCTGCCGGCTGGGCAGCTCGAGCCATATGGGCATACCAAGCAGTAGCTTGCTCCTGTTTTATTATTAAAAGTCCCTTCTGAGCAAGGGTAGCATTGGCTTGCAGAAGTTGCCCCATAATATTGATAATAGGTGCCACGCTTGCATGATTGGCACGTCCCCCCATATATTGGTTGATAAGTTCCTGGCGGACATAAATAGCACGTTTTTCCGCTTTTATAGGTGCCAGGGCTACATTGCCAGTAGCATTCAGCTGAGGATGAGCAGTCTGATAATAAATCCATTCCAAATTGATTAGTAGATGGAATCGACCTTCTCACTGTCATTCCAGTATCAGCTGCTCCTCCATAAATAATGACAGTGCTTCCAATATACTCAGCTGCAGCAGACCATACATATGTAAACAGGTCAGTTAATTTTGTGAATTGTTTGCTTGTTGCATTGTAATAGAAGACATCTAAAGAAGGTTGCCATATGTCTTCACCACCAAAGATTAGATATCGATCTTTCACTTTAAATGCTTGTGCATTTCCTCTGCTCCACTGAACATTCGTATTATTATTGTATATTGTTATCCACTTATCCTTTGCGAGATCATAATAAAACATGCCATTCAAAGGATATTCGTATTTATCAATCCCAAGCATCACATAAAATTTCCCTTCTCCATCTGATTCATAGTCACATGAAGCTTTATAGAGTGGCTCTGGACCATCATCAATATTTGAGTCAAGTAAGGAATATATATGAGTTCCTAAATCGAATAGCCAGAGCTCATCCTTGACACCATCACGATCAAGACCTCCATAAATGAGTATTCTGGAAAAATCGATACCAACACAGGCTCCTATTCTCGGACTTGGAGCTGCACTACCGCTATTATCCAAGAGCTGTCATGTATTTGTTAGTATATTATATATATACGCATCATTTAGATATCCTTCAGATCCTTCTCCCCCCCATATGATCAGAACGTCTCCTCTTGAAGCCGACCCATGATTTGAACGTGCTGGAGGAATATCACCACCAGGATTCAAATACTTTCATATAAAGGTTGTTATATCGAGCTGCCATAAGTCCATGCTATAATCTCCATTGAATTCTCCTCCAAATAAAAGTAAATACCCTCCAACATAGTTCAATGAATGATCAATTCTTGCTCCTGGACTGATGTAATTTTCATCGTAATTATAGGTCATAGGGTCAGTTTCATACTTAATTGATACAAAGCTATTAACTTGTATTGATCATTGTGTGCCTCCGAAAATATGAATTGCTTCATTTATTGTTGCTATTCCAAAAGTTTCTCTTCCCAAATACTCATCATTATCACCTCTTATTTTAACTTCAGATCAAGGGTAGGTTGGATCCGTTAAATCCACTTTTTCACATATATTTGGATAGTCTGACCAGTCTGAGGATACTCCAAAGAAATAATAAAACGTATCACCAACTACCACACCCTGCGCATATTGCCTGAACGTATAGGGATCATTTTTGTTGGTTATGTCTTCCCATTCCGAAGAGGTTAAATTGTATTTATAAAATTTGACTTGATAATAATCATAATCCTCATTATCCCAAGTTAGTCCATATATCAGATATATAGAATTATTGTAATAAAATATAACAGGAAAATCTTGGCTTTCTGGCTTAGTTTCTCCCTCATAACTACTTAAAGTCCAAGTTCAGGTATTTGTATCCAAACTACTTATAAATTACATAAAAAGATCATTACTGTAGTCACTAGTCTCAACTCCACCAAAAATAGCAAACTTCACATTATTAGAAGCCGCGAGACTAAAACCCGAATCTTTCCAAGATGTATAGCCCATGTTATATTTCGGGCTTGGAAGATCAGTCCCTTCTTGAGCCTTCTTAGTCCATGATAAAAATTTAAGACTAAAGCATCATAAGTCATTTAGTTGCCCTCTATTAGTATTTCCACCCCAAATACAAAATTGAGTCGATGCTTCAATATAAAATGACGCCGCATTATACCTTGGAACTAAATAAATAATACCTGGATCATTTCCATCTGAGGAAAATATCTGCTCCCATTGATCTACATCAAATTTATAAGATCATAAATCCCCGTAAATATTTTCATGGGTATCATATCCTCCAAAGAACACAGTCATATTTTTGTCTGGGATTGCTTGCATAGTGCAGCCTTTTCTTCGAGCAGGAGGAGGATTGGTGGCTGGATACATTGAATAAGTCAAACAGAAAACTTCTTTTAGAAGCAGAAAGAAGGTTATTAATGCCATTTATTATCCCTTTGATAAGCAAAGGTTTAAAGAAAAAGTAACGGCTTAGATCTAATTTACACTTGATTCTTAACTTTCTAAAATTCAACATCAAACAAAGAATATTCATAAGTTTTGAAATTGAAAGTGGAGAATCAGAGGGATATATAAAAAAATAAATTTTCCTCTGCAGATATTTTAATGAATACAAATTAACAAAACTTGCATAGTATAAAAAGCTGAATTGAACGAAAACTAAGAATTGCTTTTAAAACTAGCCACCTTTTATCTTACAATTATTATTTAATATTCTTAATTAGTGGTTGCAGATATAAAAAATAAGGGTTTCTTTGCCATATACATTCACTTACATAAGATTATTTCATCAGGGTTTAATTAAAGTTGAAATTTATTAGCTATAGATACATTCGGCTTGAGCTGTACTGATGAGGAGAAACTAAATAACCTTTCGAGTGGATTGGAGGTAGCAGACCTGTGTTTCTGATTTGTGAAAGCTCAGGATAAGACCTTGAGAGAGTATTTTTTTGTAGCTGTGGTTGAACAGGGTTACTGAGCGTTAAGAAATGCTTATAGGGATAAGTTGTCAGCTGCAAATGCGCATAGCCATCATTTCCAGACATTATTAAAACTTTATCACTTCCTTCATCAATTACAACTGGAAATACTGTTTCCACATTACTTGTGAAGCTTGGGATCTCATGAAGTCTAAAAATATCACTTTCAGGCATCAAGTATCTAGGATTATAATGAGTATCAATGTACATTTCATTTACTTCAAATACAAAAACCCTCTTAGTGTATTTCCCACCCAACAGTGCAATTTTATTTTGCGAAACAGGTAAAGCTCCAAAAAGTGTCAGTGGTTCAGGAAGAGCAAGAGCTACAAGTTCCCACGTATTTTCTTCAATCAAATACCTTTCAATGCTTTTCCCAACCACTTCAATAGGACACCCTCCGATTGCATAAATAAATCTATCTCCTTGTAAAGCGCATGCACAATGAGAATACCTCCCTTGAACCATAGGTGCAATGCTTACCCACTCATATGTATCAAAGCTAAATCTCTCACAAGTGCTTAATCCTGCTCTTCCTCCCAGTACAAATACATATTGTTCCAAGCACACTATTGCTGGTGACTCTCTCGCTTCAAGCATTCCTGGCAATTTATGCAAGGTGTTATCAGAAGGTTTGTATAAATAAGCATCATTTTTTATTGTACCTTTTCTATCAGAAACTCCTCCGAGGATTACACAATTTCCTGTAGGCGTATAAGCCATTCTACTATTTCATAAAAAATATCAGTTCTCTGAAGCATCAAGTTCCCTTAAATTACTAGGCTCAAGCCTATTTCATAGTTCGAGTGTCGAATTATATCGAAAAATATTTCTCGTGAATCATTCGAACCAAAATAAATAAATATTTTGCTCAATAACCGGTTTTTTTGGAGCTTGCTGAATAACTTCATAAGGCTGCGATTCAAGCATCATATCAAGTTCTTGGTGTTTAATCATGTGCCTTATCGAAAGCAAAAATCTAAAAATGGCATCAACTCTGGTTGCTTGGTTTATTTTAGTCCCAAATGTCGATGTGTTGTGAATTCCTTGCAGCTCTCAATTATAATCAAAAATTGGCAAGCCTTGGGGAATATCAGTCCCTGAAGTGTAGCAAAATGTATCTTCATCTATTAGTGTAGCGTTTTTGCAGTCTACCTTTTTGTGGTAAAGCACTACAGGGTCGTCTACTTTTAAAGAGAAAAATTCGTGTAACGGCAGTGGTAGCTTGTATTCACCATATGGAGCTTTTTTAAACGCAATGATAGTAAAGTTTAGTTCTTCATGCGTAAAGAAAAACTCATTTGGGTCAAACCCATGAGGAATGTTGTAAGAATCCAAAAAATGCACACTTGATTTAGTAGCCTGGGTGGCGTTTGGGATTACCATGTTTGTGGTAAAGGCTAAATTTGGCGTAATCAGAAATCCCATCCCTGCAAATCGACGAAAACCACCATAGCCTTTGTCGCTTTGAATTTCAAAAATTGAGTTGGTTTTGTGAAGATTTAGAGGAGGGGCTTTTAAAACTTTAGGACTTTGATGAAGCCTTCAAGCTGATTCATAACCTGCTGTTGGAGCTATTTCAAACTTAGGTTGAGGTTGTGGACTTGGGTTGAAACTGCCATTAAACTTGCTTCTAATTCCGAATTGATCTAAAAGGTCAGCTTCTTCATTAGTGCTAATAGGCTTTGTAGGAGATAAAGATTTGTTTTTTCCTTCGTATATTTTAGGATACGTAGGCACAGCAAGCTGAGTAGTACGGGTGGCCATGCATAAGCATCTCCCCCTTATCAATACCTAACTACCTAGTCTTTATAATACCTTATTTTATATCCCTATTATGTGCAATCCATTTTTAAATGGCTCTAAAATTTAGCTCATAGTTTTGCATTAAATTTAAATTAGATATATCATGCATTATATGTAAATAAGCTATTTAATTATATTAAATCTGTTAAGACGCATTAATTTAGCGTAATGATGTAGATATTGTATATCATATGATACACAGTAATGCTTGAATTGATCTATTTGTGCCTATTAATTTTTAAAACAGAACTCAAATGGATTGATGCATGCAAAAATACGATAAGAAAGCGAAATATAGCGTATTTCTCTATATTCATTAGTTTAAAAAATTTTTTGCCATATTTTTTTGATTATAGCAGGAATGTAAATAAAGTATTAACTATATGTATAGCATGCTATAAGTCGCGCTTTAATAGCATTGAAGCGAAAATACTGCATATCTCTTTTATTTCTTACTGCCAATGCTACCTAGTTTGACATTGAGAGGGGTGCTGGGTTTATGCTTAACCATACGGGGATATGGGTTAAAAATATTTTGAGTTCATTTGGAGTTTTTGTCTCTTCTTAAAAATCCTCTATTTGTGTACATTACAAAATTCAATTATTTTAATAAATTTTATACTTTTAAATTATAACTCCCTCAATTAATATCAATTTTGAAATTGTTCTTTTTGATTTTTTAAAATTTAAAATTTCAATGTTAAATTAATTAAAACTAAATTTCATATTAATTTTTTTAAAAATATTTTTAATATAAAATAAAACACATAAAAGTGTTATTTATTAAATGGGGGAGTTTGAAGTTTCTGTAGTAAATTTAAATCCTTAAACTTAATCCATAAGAAAATTACTAGATAAAATTTTATCAGCATAATTTAATATATAAAATTAATGGAAGCAAGCTCAAATAACAAGACAGAAGACCTTTCCCAAGCTGAGAATATTTTTGAGCAAAACCAGAATGAGTGCCTTATAAACTTCTGTATTAACTTTTACTACTCTCTCTTAGGCACTGCTGTATTTCTGGCTTCTGAGCAAAATCCTGACTCATCTGAAAGTGAAGAAGAAAGTCAAGTATGCCAAATCTGCTATGCAGATTTTTCATGTAAGAAAGGATTAAGCCAGCATATAGGCAAGGTGCACTCGAAGTCTGATAAGACTGCTCTTTGTGCAAAGTGTGGGAAATACTTTAAAAATGAGAATGCACTCAAGTCACATGTTAAACAAGTGCATGATAAGATCACACGAGTGCCTTGCAAGAAATGCGGCAAACTTATATATAATAAATATATGATGAAAGCCCATATGGCAAGAGAGCATCCTGCACAAACAAATATAAGCTAATAAGTTTTGTTAAAATTAAATTCTTTTTAGCTGCCATTTTGCAGAATTAAGTATAAACTTCATTGCATTCTTGAGAGAAAAAATTAGTAAAGCTTGCCATTACTATGCTATGGAGAAAATTCAGAAACCTGAATAAGATCTGTCGTCAATGAATTTTCTACTTTAAGTTTCAATACTAAGTAAAAGTATTTTAACTAGCTAATATATTTACACAAATCTTTACAAAAATTTGAAATGCAAGGTCATATAATTTTTTATTGCCCTTAAAATAAGATTACGACTTATTAGGCCTCTCTATGCTTTATATGCAATAAAACAGAGTATTGCTCATTATAGGCTAAAATAATTTAAAGAATTTACTTATAATAAAATTTATAATGATGATATTCTATAAATTTTACATTTCTTCGAAATTTAAAAAAAATTCTAAGCCTCAAAAACTGGAAAGCAAATATTTATTTAATTTGTAAAATTTATGTTCTAAAACTCAATTTGTTTTAAAATTAAACAGAATTAGCTAAGGATTCATTATAATAATTATCACTTATATATCAAATTTTTTTTCATAAAAATTTTTCTATTAAAAAAATATTTTGTTCGCTCACGGAGTGGGGGAGTAAGAGAGTTAGGGAATAGTTGGTAAAATGGTGGAATTCACAAATTTTATCTATCACATATATGTATATCCTAAGAAAATCACTCTCTAGCCTAGCTCAAAACATTAAGCAAAAAATTCTCCTCAACATTTATAAGCAATTTCAAATTTTGTTAACGCAAATATGCATCATTAATTTTTATCATATCACAACAATTCAATTTGCCTATACATACTAAGATTTTATCACTCTTTAAAATAACTTCAAATTATCACAAGATATTTTAATAGACATTAAATGAACAGCACTAAAGGAAGACAAAGAAACTTAAACACACTCATGCCACCCCAATTAAAGGGACAGGGACTATCAAGAATATCAAGTACATGTACAGATGAAAGTACAAATAGTTTTTTAATGGAAATTGACTATAACCCAGATATTGATGAAAAGATAAGGGATGAGATTGACATGAGGTTCAATCGCTCCCCAACTAATGCGCATTATAAATTTCCTAGAGAGCAGATAAAATTCAATAAACAGCTTCCTGTCATTAGCTATCGATCAGCTAGAGAAAAAACGCTTGAATTTTACCGAAGGAAAGACTCACTTGTCAACAATTCCCATAAGATAGGGAATATAACAGATTTCTTAAATAAAAGTCTTAAGAGTAAATCTCCAACAAGGATGAAAAAGACTAGCCGAAGAGAACGAATTGGGAAAACTCCAAGTCCATTATCAACGGTCCTTTTAAATATTGCACCAATTTCGTCAGCAACACCAAATAATTTATCAGTGAAGCATCAGATCAAACACTCTGGGTTCCCTAAATTATCCAAAGAATTTTATAGAGGATCTAAGTCTCCTAGCCCAACTTCTATTCAGCTATAGCACTTTCCCTTGAATAGCCCGATAACAGGCTGGCTTCATCCCGTTATCGGATTATTCAAGGGAAGAGCTATATTTTCTATTAGCCAAGATCTTAAAAGATTATAGAGTTATTTTAATGTAAATTAATTTTATAAAATGCAAAATCGAACTTTTATCGCTGAAATGAATAAATAAATTGCAATTAAAGAATTAGGCTTGAGTTAAGCTAAATTATCATAATCTAAGAGATTATTATACTGAATATAAGCTGCTATATTTCTTCACACATAGAATTTATTAAGTCTGGAAATATAAAAAGGCATCATCACCAAATAAAATCGATCATATAGAAGTTTTAAAATTATTTATGGCTATAAAAAGTGCAAAAAAAACTATTAAATATAATCTAGATCTTAATATTTTTATCTTAAATTAAGTATCTGAAATAAATCCAATCTCATTGTTCTTTCAACATGCAAATTAATTTATGCTCTTATTTATATATGCTGCTAAGCCAAATCCATTCCATTTACATATTAGAACCTTTAATGACTATTTTTTAATTCTGTATCATAAATTTTTGGTTTCTTTCATCTATTATCATCATTTTTTAATTTCAGATGAGGGATTAATAATTACTATACATAAATTGCATGGAAGGATCATCAACCAGAGACAGTTCCCCACTATCAGTTTTGCCCGACAAAACTCCAGAAAGACCCGAGCTAACTCACAAAATTCAATGTACATGTGATCACGAAGAAAAAAGCTTCCTTGTCAGAAGTTACTATAATTTTCGACATAGAAAGCAGACAGTCTCTTGCAAAAGAGCCAAAGAGTGGCTTCAATATTGTCATCCTCCTAGGAACATGGAAGATGTATACAATAACTTACTTGAAAATCCCCTTGATACTCATGAATTTCGAGCGAGCTGTAAGCAAATTGATTTAGATATTCACAGAACTTATCCTGATGAAATATTCTTTTGAGGGGAAATGGGACATATTAATAGTAAAGCTCCCTAATTTTTCAAATAAAATTAATTTTTTTAAGTTCGACAAAAAGACCTATCCGCTATAATGGGAATATATTTTTTAGACCCCGAAGGTCAAAGTGCATTACGGAGAGTTTTGGTTGCATTCAGCAAATACGATCACAACCTCGGATATGTTCAAGGGATGAATTTTATAGTTGGTGCTTTGCTTTGACATGCAAGTGAATGCGATGCCTTTTGATTATTTGTAGGCTTGATGGAAGACTACGAACTCAGAGACACTTATCTTCCTAAGCTTCCTGGGCTATCAAAGCATTGCCAAATTATTCAATTATTAATATTAGAACTATTACCCCGGCTTCACATGAAATTGGCCGAATACAGAATCACCTGCGAGATGTACGCTGCTGAATGATGCTTTTCTTTATTTGGTAGCGTTGTGCCTGCCAGTGAAATGGTAAATGTACTCGATTTATTTTTTAAAAAAGGCTGGATTTTTTTCTACAGATTTGTTCTAGCAATTCTACAATGCCTTGAACAAAGACTGCTTAAAGCAAAAGACACAATTGATGCTTTAAGCCCCCTAAAAATCTGCCAAAAAAGCCAAAAAGAGTGGAAAAAGTTTGTAAAGCTTTTAGATGACGGCAAAGGCAAACTGAATTGGGCAAAACTTGCCCAGAAAGCCGAAGACTTCGATTTAGACGAAAATTACATCAGATATCTTCATATGAATTTTGATATAGAGACCTCTCAATTTTCGATAAAAAGATTTGCTACTTATAGCTAATTAATAGATTTTCCTATTTAAAAAATTTAAAATAATAACATGGAATGCCCTATATGTTCAGAACTGTTTAACGAAGGAGAAAACTGCCCACGTTTACTACGGTGCGGTCACACTTGTTGTGAGTTGTGCTTAAACCAGGTTATAGAAGAAAACCAAATCACGTGCCCGACATGCCGAAGCATTTCAGTGACAACAGGCACAGCAAGCTTGCCAAAAAATTATACAGTTCTCGAGTTTATAGCTAATACCAAATCAGCTGAATTAGTCACTTCAGCAAGATCAAAGCTCCCAACTCAGTGTCAAGAGCATCCTGAAGAAAATGTTATCAGATATTGCATTGAAGATTCCAAGCCAGTCTGTGCTGAGTGTATTTTATTGCATAAAGGGCATAAGCTTGTAAAATTAGATGACCCTGTTCTAGAAAGAAGATATGAAGTGAAAAGTTTAATTGGAAAAGTCGAAGAAATGCTTGGCGCTGCTCATAAGAAAGAAGAGGAAATTGATAGCAGGAAGGAACAGCTTGTACAGTCAACAGAGAAAGAACTAGCAAGGATTGATGGGTATTTCGCAAGAATTTATGACAAGCTGGAGCAGAAAAAACAATTTTTGAAAGAAAAAATAGAAGAGGAATCACAGATGTGCGAAGTAAGGCTGCAGACAGATTTAAGCGAAATTTCACAGTTTTCCGGAGAGCTGCAACAGTATTTAGGAAATTTGAATTCTCTAAATGCAAAAATTGAATCTATGAGCCCTTTGGAACTGACAAATTCCAACTGGTCTCATACAATAACATCAAGCAAGCGCGAGGTTCATATGCTACTCTCTCAGTCCCAAAAGATTTCTATGATTGATTCGACTTCAGTCTTATCCTCACGAGCACTTTTCAACCCTAAACCACTTGAGCAAGAAATCAATAAATTTGGCATGATTACTGCAGGTGCCGACATAAATAACCCTGCAATCTATTGTTTTGGGACCCAAAATACAGTCCTCAAATTCAATTTGGCAACTCAGCGATGGTCTCAAACTGTTATACTAGAAACCAACGGATATGATTTTAAGAACTTTGCATCAGCTGCAGCTCTTCCTAGTGGAAGCATTTTGATTACTGGAGGCACAAAATCCAATGAAGTTTATGAATTCAAAGAAAACCGCATGATAAAAAGAAATAGCATGCTCCATGTAAGGTCGTCTCACAATGCAGTTTATTTCAACGGCTTTGTTTATTGTATTGGCGGCTATAATGGCTCATCATGGCATGATAAATGTGAAAAAATTTCTATAGAGACATTTGACACTTTGCCTATTGCAAGCTTAAACTACAGGAGATGTGCATTTAGCTCGACAATAGCTGGCAATGATATATACTTGCTTTAGCGAATATAAGCATTTACCAGTTGCGGTTATCCTATTTTTCAAATAGTAATAAAAAGCGGTTAACTGTAAAAATAGCTTTATTTTCTATAAAATAGTTATATATGTATTTGGCGGCTATGATGGAACCAAATATTTAGACAACATTGAGAGATATAGTGTGATTAAAAATAAATGAGAAACTTTACCATGTGTTTTGCATAGGTCGCTGCAAAACACTGGGGCTGCTTATTACTCAGACAACAAAATCATGGTTGCTGGGGGATACAATGAAAAAGGGACACTTAATGTCATTAGAAGTCTTGATTTAGAAACCTTAGAGTGGACAACGTTGCCAAGCATGGCGCACACCCGGTATCTTATGAATAAATTTCATTTCTGCTCTGGCTGCGTATTTGCTATAGGCGGCTCCGCACAAGGTCAAAATATCGAATATTACAACATTGCTGAAGGCAAATGAATCTCGACAAAGCCATACAAAGACTTTACCGACGACACAATGTATAAATGGGCTGCTGTTATAACTCAAGACAGCGAGCCAGCAAGAGGCCCATAGCTATAATTAGAATAGGCTTTTTTAGAGGTAATCCAGATTTCTTTATTAATTAACTGAAAAAATAAAAGTCATGCTTTAATTTATTACAGTCCTCTGTTAAGCTTATTTGCCGTGGCAGATTATGGTTTTATAAACCATTAAAGATGCCAAAGAAGCGTAGGAATAATGGAAGAAGCCTGAAGAACGCTGGTCACGGAACACCTGTCCACTGCACTCACTGTGGTAGAATCGTTCCAAAAGACAAAGCTGTAAAGCGCTACACTGTCAGAAACATGGTTGACGCCTCATCCTTGAGAGACATAAAAGATAACAGAGCCATTGAGAATTTCGTTATTCCTAAGTTCTATCTCAAGCTCGCTTACTGCATTGCTTGTGCAATCCACCACAGAATCGTTAGGGTAAGAAGCCACGAGTTCAGAAAAATACGCAAAGTCCCAAGAGTTTTTGTTAAACGTGAAGAGGATAAGCGCCCTGCTCAAGCACCAAAGCCACAAGCTGCAGCAGCAACAACAGAAGCAGCCCCAGCAGCCACTAACGCTTAACTTAGATAACAAACTTTTACTAATTCGCTTTAAAATTCATTACATCTTGATAGAGGTCTTACTTTTTCAATTGCAATTTTAAGAAAATAAAAGAAAAGTTTTATTAACTATATAAGAGAATATCAAATCACAAATTTTTGATTTAATAAAAGAGTGCCTTTTTTGCACTTACTATGCCGTTGAAATTTGAAATATTAATTTTTCTTAAAAAATCATTAATCTCTACCCATATCGTCATTTCTCTATTACACTGTTGCTAAAATAAATGGGTTGCGGGTCATCAAACGAACCTAAAAAGCAGCCTGAAGGCTTAATAGTGAATAATGAGCAAAAAAAAGCTCTGAATCTTGATGCAAAAGTTGTACTGCTTGGAGACTCAGGTGTTGGGAAAAGCTCAATCGCTATGAGATACGTAAATAACACTTTTTCAGAAGCATTTGAAGTTACAATAGGAGGCGGATATCTTCAGCAAATAGTTAGACTCAAAGACAACTCAAGTCTGAAACTAGATATATGGGATACAGGTGGGCAAGAAAGATTTAGAGCTCTATTGCAGCTTTATTATAGAGATGCAAATGCTGCACTTATCACATATGATGTTACTAATGAGCGCTCTCTAGAAAGCTGTGAATATTGGGTTAATGAACTAAGAAACACTGAAGAAAATTGTATTCTATGCCTTGTAGGGAATAAGCTAGATATTCCTGCTCCAGAAAGAAAAGTTGATTCAAAAAAAGCTGAAGCGTTCGCTATAAAGCATGGGATGATTTGGTTTGAGACCTCAGCAAAAACTGGAGAGAACATCAATAAACTGTTTGAAAAAGTAGCCCAAGAAATAGTAAAAAGAAAAACTGAAGGATAATTAATTATGTTTAGTCAAATAATTACTGACTCCCCCCCCTCTGTGAGTGAACAAAACCATTAGAAAAATTCCTATTTTTTGCCCAAAAACCCACCCTCCGTGAGTGAACAAAAATTTTTTTATGGAAAAAAACTTTGATATATAAATGATAATTAGTATAATGAAATCTAGAGCTAATTCTGTTTAATTTTGAACGAATTGCTTTTTAAAACATAAATTTTATAAATTAAATTAATTTTGCTTTCCAATTTTTTGCGAATTAGGATTTTTTTAAATTTCGAAAAAAACTTTTTTATAAAATTTATATATAAATTTTTTAAAAACAAAAAAATTAATCCCCTCCGTGAGTGAACAAAATGTTTTTATTCACTCACGGAGGGGGGGGAGTGAGTTGTACAATTATCGCCACAATGCTCGGCATAAGTGTCTGCGATTACGTTTCTTAGCTCAACTAGGTCTTTTCTAATTACTATAATCAAATCTTTGCACTGCTCTAGGGGTTCCCCTTGAATTTCTTGGACCTGCTGAGTAACGCCAAGTAAAAATTCCAGATCTACCCTTTGGCCAGTATGCATAATGTTTGCAATTCTTACAAGCTGAGTTAGTTCTAGCATTATTTTAAACAAATCACTTGAAATGTCCCTGATGTTGCCTTTGACATTTTGCTCATTTTCTAAATTCAATTGATCCAATTGATGCTTTAGGTCATTATTTTCTTCGATTAATTTATTATGAATTTCTTCAATTTCTGAAAACTGTTTCTCTATATCGTTCATTTCTTCAATCGAAATAGTTCCTGACTTCAAAGTTTTCATTTTTTTGGATTCTTTGCAATATCCAGCAATAATTTTTATCATATTTCCTTGTCTAGCCTGCAACTTGAAGTTGACATCTTTAAGCTTCTCTATTTCTTCTTTCAATTCTCCCAGCTTGATGTCTCCTTCTTTAACAAGTTTCAACAGCCTTTTCGTTTCTTTTTCTAATTTGTAAATATATTCTTTTTGGTTCATATTTAGCTGCCCCCTCAATTTTTCGCACTCCTCTACTTTTGCGTCCAGTTTTTTTTGAATTTCATAGGAGTTTGCATTTGATAACTTTTCTTTTAATTTTTTTATAAGGATATTCTTTTCGTGCAATCTTAAATTGAGGTCAATAATAAGTGAATCTTTTCTGGCGATTTCAGACGATAGCTCATAAGGCTTATTTTCTACGTAATTTAAAGAGCTATATTCAATTTTTTCTGGGAAATTATTTTTTATGTCAGATATGCTGATGTTGCTGCTCATACTTTCTGATTTTTGATGGCATGGGGGATGGCATTTTGGAGTTACTCCTGCTGATGTAGCTGCAGACGAGTCAGGAGTTTTGAAAGAATTTTTCGTAGATTGGGACGAGACCATTGGGGTATATATTCTTGAGGGAGAGTGAGAGCATATGATTGGAGATTTTGAGGGGCCTGTAAAAGTAAATCTTCGAGGGATCCGCGCTTTTGGGCTACATAAATTCAGAATTGGGTCTGTCATTAAACTCTTATATCAAAGTATTTATGATTATAAACTTATTAATGAATTGGTGATTTTATATAAAATTTTAAATTAAAAGAAATTATAAGTTCAAAAAGAGAATGCAAATTTAATACGAAAAGATTTTTTCAAAAACAGAGGTATACAATATATAAGCCTGCTAAACTTTAAATCGTTAAATAAAAGTTTCAGCAGTTTAAATATTTAACTTATATCAATTTAACCTTTATATTATCATTAAATGTCTAAAAGAGTTCAATCTGAGCTGATGCTAAACATTGAGGAAGGCAATTTTGAAAGAGTTTGCAATATGATCACAAGAGAAAATATCGAAGAACGAAATCAAACTGGCTATACACCTCTAGCCCTAGCTGTAAGAACTGGGCACTATAAAATTGTTGAAGAGCTAGTAAAAAAAGGCGCTGACATCAATGCAACTAATGATGTAATTTTTACACAGTAGGCAGGGCAAAGCATACTTTTTATTGCTTGCTGGCATAACCATGAAGAAATCGTAAAACTTCTTTTAAGTCGAGGCGTGAAAGTGAATCAGCCTGATCAACGTGGATGAACTCCTTTAATTATAAGTGTTTATCACAACTATGCTGGGATCGTTGAACTTTTATTGCAAGCTGGGAGCGACATTGATCACCAAGATTCTGTATTTTTTATTTAGTTTGGAAAAAACGCAATAGATCGAGCCAAAAATGTTGAAATGATATCAATGATTAGGAAATATTCGGAAGAAAGAAAGATTGGCCAAAAAGTGTCATTATCATTACCTGGAACCCCGGGCGGGGTTTCACATTTGGATAATATCATAAGGCCGAAAAGCAGAGACAATTCCATTGATAGAAAATCTGAATCTTCGCAAAAATCATCAAATAGTCCTTATAAGTTTGATAATATGAAAAGCCCACAAGGAAGGGAGCCTACACCGACAAAGCAAAAAGTTGATCAGAGTTTTGATCGAAATATAGGAAGAACTAGCTTTGAAAATGAGAAACTATATGATATGGTAAAAGAAATCGAAGAAAATATAGCTGAGAGGTTTTTTAATGATATGGATATAACGATAAATGACCAGCTTAATCAAGCTATTGATGTCTTACAGAAAGAAATAGAAACATTGGTTAATAGATCAACAAGAGATTTATTCAGAAAACTAAAAGAATATGTTTTCAGAGTCACTGATAATTTGCTAGGGAAAAGCAATTATAAGATATCAAACTCAAGAATTCAAGCAGATTTTTCTGAAATTTTTGAGTTTAGAGAGCAACTAATAAATGTTTCCAGCACTCATCGATCACAATATGCTGAAGAAATTGGAAAGCTTGGCCATAATCAATTAAAATTAGGAGATAGGAGAATAGATGATATAAAAGAAGATTTATATAGACATGTGAATAACTATCTCAGCGAATTAGACAGCAAAATGAAAGAGCTTTCAGGAAATCATATAAGTAAAGAAATAAGTAATAGGATCTTTACTGTCAAAGATACCATCAATTCAGAAATCAACCACTATTTGCTATATTTGACTGATAAAATGAAGAGTATGCTCGACGACCTTGTGGCAGCTAGAATTAAAGAAATTTGTGATGATAATAGAATTTCATTGCCAAGGCAGATGAATAAAAACAATTCAGCAGGAAATCTACCAGGGATTTCTACATGTGACACCTACACAGTAAAGACTATTTTCTTGGCCTATTATTTTTTGGTCTATTTTATTTAGCCTGCTTTTCTAGCTTGTTTTTTAGCCTATTTATTTTGGATATTTCTTTTGCGCTATTTTTTAGCCTATTTTTTGGCATATTCTTTAAATACTAAAATATTTATAAACATAACTTCTGCTGAGACTAAATAGGCTAGAGATCATTTCGAAATAGTCAATATGAAATTATTTCCAAAGCAAATGAATCAAAAATAATTAAGGGAAAATGCAAGACAACAAAATAGGCCAAAAAAAAATATGCCAAAAAATAGGCCAAAAAAATGAGTCAAAAAAAACTTACTTACTTACTTAATTATCTGGTGTTTAAGGTGTCTAGTGCCGCAGCCCAAAAGGGCCTATGGCAAAACTGATGACGTAGGCGAGCCATCTTGGAACGGGTCAACCCCATCCAAGCCTTCTATCAACTCCTGCTTCACCGGCCTTGCTGCACGTCTCACCCGGCGCGATGCCGTCGCCCTTGTCGCTCGACTCAGCTCCTGCGCGTGTTCCGCCTAAGGGTCATCCTCCCGTGGGGATGTGCTGAGAGGTAAAAGCCCGAGATCTTGAGTGGACTGAGGAGTGGTTCCTTGGTTATCCCCAAAGTTAAACCACTATTGCTGTCCAGAAGTTCGCGAGTGAAAACCTAACCCTAATAATAAAAAATTCCATGAGGGAGAGAAAATTAGCAGAGCTAATTTCTCTCGAACCGAATGCCATTTTATTATTGAGTCAAAAAAAAACAGTTCAAAAAATATTGTCATTGTGGAGTTGCGTCGTGTGGAGTCACTCTACCAGGTGGGCGTCCAAGTGCTACCGAGTCTTATAAAAACGAAGCCCATCGATCCGAAAAAAGTGAATCTCAAAGGAAATCTCATGATTTCAGCAATGACTATCTTGAAAATCTGTCACAAGAGTATACAAAATACCAAACCCCTCAATATTCCTCTACTTTTCAAATTGATTTCCCCGAGTCAAGCCAAAGCTTTTCAAAAGAGCCCCCAAAATCAAAACCTCCTGTAAGCCGCCCCAAGGCATCATCTCTATCATCTAAAGGAGATCAAAAGCAAGTTTTGCCCCCAACTAATGTCTCGTCTACGCTGCAAGGCTTTTTGAAGTTTGAAGAAATGTCGAGAAAATAAATTAATTTAATTATGTTTTCAAACTTCTATAAGATACTGATGTAATTATTCTGCTTTGGCTGCTAGCAGTAATCAAGGATCTTGACGACTTGGTTGGACTCTTCCGCAGTTTTGGGTTATAAACCCAGCTTGGGGCCCTTTGTGTAATCAAAGAAACGCAGTTCAACGATCTTCGTTGCTTTATGAGAGGAGTTGGCGTTTGGTTTCTTTCTCTGATTTTGCTGACTGATTTGCTGCGCTGTGTAAGTAGCTTTTCTTTCTTGGAAGATAATGTGTCTTCAAGTGAAAATGGAGATAAAGGCCTTAGTTTTGAGTAAGCTATTTTTGATTGATTTTCTGTAACTGTTGGCTCCAGTAATGTATTGAATCCATTTCTCGTTTTGAGTTTTTGGTAATAATTCTGCATAAATCCAGACATCCTCTCACCAGCAATGCTTTGTGGCTTCTGCATTTTCACTTTATATTGGTTTATCATCTTTGTGCGCTGCTTCTGAGTCATAATTTCGTTCTGCACAGAACCTTTTCCAGACTCTATTTTTTTGATAAAAATATCATCAGCATAAACGAGCCAGGCTTTTTGATAGTTATCTGAAACAAATTCACATCTCATATTAAGCACATCAAAACCGCTGAGTGATACATAGTAAGAGATTCTCTTGCAGATTAAATCATAATAAGCGGATTTATTTTCCAGCAAAATTTGGTTATCTTTTTCCTCTTCAAACAGCAGCTTCGATGGATCAGTATTCTCAGTTTTTGTGTAATTATATCAAACAGATTCTCCAATCCCATGGTTGCATTTTAGTAGCGTTTGGATATATGAGACATGCTTCCAGTACTCGCCTCCAGTTATCCCTCAAATAAGCTCTAAAAATTGATTTTCTGAAAAAATCCTGACAGCCCCAGCTTCATCTTCAGGCTTAAGCTTCTGATAATTATTGTCTCTATTTTTCATATATCTTATCATCACAATATCTTTCTCAAACTGATTGCTATTTGGAGAAGCAATTTTATCCTTTATACTGCTTTTATTTCCATCGCTTTTTCTGCTCCTTGCTATTTGTATAAAATTCTTGGTGATGTCTTGCAAATTCAATTTTTCTTCTTGGTTGACATATCTTATATTTCCATTCTCATACTGCGATATCAAAAATTTTGGCTTGGAGTTTTTGAAAACTACCGTATCTGCTAAATTCATCCTAATAGAGTTTTCAATTGAAACCTCTCCTATTCTTTCAATTAGCCACGTAAAGCCTTTTGGAATTGCATTATCAATATCTCTTATTCTAAAATCATAGCTCTTTTTAACTTCTTTGATTTTCCCATGGTATTTACAGATCATGCATTTGCACGCATTATGCAAATTCACTTGCTCATACTTTTTTGGTGTTTTCTTTCCTTTAAGATTTTCATTGGTAATGAAAAAAGTTAACTGATTGATGGGATTTTCTCCCATTACTATATTAGAGTCACTCTTATTTAATACACTATATATCGTTATTATCGCTCGCTCTAACATTTGAATGCCCGTGCCACATCCTTATTTTGTCTTGAATGCTCCCATCAGAACTTCTCAAGGTTTCCAGTTCTTGTAATGCGCTAATTAAATGATCTCTCTGCTCATCTTGTTTATAAGTATATCCAATAAAATCAAAATCTTTCCTCAGACTTCTTTCTGTCGGCTCTGGGTAAAACGGTTCATCTTCAATGAAATTTTCAAAATTTCTCGTATCGATTTCGCTTATTACTTCAGGTATATAAGGAGCTCTGGCTTTTCTCAAGTTATCTCAATTAATTCCACTAAAAAATGGATGAGTTTTAATTTCATTTATGCCGCTATTTCCTAGTCTGTCGTTTTTGTCTCTCAGAAGCCTTAGAATCAAATCAGCAGCTGCAGGGCTGATATTTGACTCAGGAGGGATCCTCAAAGTTTGCTTCCAATGCATGATTTTTTGGCATGTGGTAGGAGCATCGTCAGAGTAAAAGGGAGGATAGCCCACAAGCATTTCAAATAGAATAACACCTACTGACCATCAGTCGACAGCTTCATTGTAGCCTTGCTGATTGAAGACTTCTGGAGCAATATAGTCTGGAGTTCCTACGGTGGAGAAGGCTAAGTGCCTTTGGCGTTTAAAGTTTGGCTTTTCACAAGAAATGGTCACTAGGGAAGGCTGGGGCAAATCTGGATCTTCTTGAGATCTGATAAGCGAAAAGCTCGATGGTATGACTTCCTATATAAAAGTTACTGCAAATGTGCATAGCCCAAAATCAGAAAGTTTTATGTGCCCAGTAGAATCCAATAGGACATTATCTGGCTTGAGATCTCTATGAATATAATTCAATTGGTGTGCCGAGTCCACTGCTAATATAATTTCTGCAATATAGAACCTTGCCTCGTCCTCCGGTAAAATATCTTTTTTCATGAGTAAAGTCATCAAATCTCCTCCAGGTAAGTACTCCATACACAGATATAAGTAATTTTCGTCTTGGAAAGAGTATTTCAAATTGACAATTCAATCATTATTAGCTCTTGCTAGAATGTCCCTTTCAGCTTTTATATGCTTGACCTGGTTTTTGAACTTCATTTCGCTTTTCTTCATCTTCTTCATTGCAACTATTTCACTTGTTGCTTTCACTCTACAGAGTCTGACTTCGCCATATGCGCCTTTGCCAATAATTGCAATTGGTTCAAAATCATGAACTATTATTTTTTGACGCTTTATTCTCAGGTCTTCAGCTTCTTGATGAAGAATTTCTTGCTTGATTATTTCTTGTTCTGTGTCAGAAAGGCTCATTTCTTCCATTCTCTTCTTTAATAATTCTCATCTGCATAAAAATTACTCGGTTCGCTTTTTAAGTTCTTCAGATTTGAGACGGTTGATTTTTTGTTCAATGTAAGCTTTCGCTGTTTCTGCTCGGAGTCGAGTGGAAGTGGAGATGATGCTGTCTACTTCGGGATTGTCCATTGAATACTCTGCTAGTTAAACTGATTATAAAAATAAAGGATTAAGAATAAAATACATATTCAAAATATATTAATTATCACAGAATTGGTAGCTTCAGAAAAATTTCAAATAAAAGCAAAATCTTTATTTACATATATACTGTTATTCAATGATTTGAATTCAGAGAAACTTTTGTGGTCAGACTCTCTAATTAAAATTGATTGGCAGGGGATAAATTATAACTAAAGTAATTAATCGAATAATAAGCATTCCAAAAGCTATGATAACAGGAATGAGCAAAACAACAGAATCATCTTTTGTTACTCCGAAAAAGCCCCTAAAAGATAAAATATCATTAATCTCCAAATCTCTTTACAAAGTCGATCTTTCCTACAATCCTTTATTAGACCTTGAAAGATCTGTGATCAGAGGAGAGGCTAAAGATATAAAAGATGCCAAACCCAAAAGGAAGCCAAAAATTTCAGCAGACAGATTAACAGAAACCTTAAAACTCGAGCACAAAACACAAGCAGAAGGTATGAGAATACTTAGTCTTCCTAGACTACCATACGGCAATCACAAAACTTATAATGATGAATCAGGATTCGTTACCGATCATTTCATCACTGATGAAGACATCCAAAATGATCTAAATAAGGCCAAAGCTCTTGATGAAATTACAAGAAAATTCAGAATAAAGGAAAAACGACTGAAATATGTGCAAAATATGCAAAGCAGGAAAGCTGCAAGACTTTCGCAAACTGAAGATTTCTTCTCTTTTGAGTCAGATGGAGGCCATCTGATGTGCAATAGGGTAAAAGAGGTTATTGAAACGTATGATGCTGAAAAAGAGAAATACAGCCAGAAGCATCCTTATGTTCATTTGACATTTAAGGACTTGGAAGAGTTGAAAGGGAGAAAGCGAATCAAATTTAGGACTCAGACAGATTGGACGTATCAAAGTATGATGACCGAGAGGTTAGCAGTGAGCAAAAGAGAAGTCAAGCGACCTAAACTATTAGAAAGTCAAAATTTCAAAATGCTTGAAGGAGCTTTATCGTCATCTAGACCCCTAACTTGCTATACAATAAATCTTATATAAGAAATTAAAGTCATTTACATTATATGCTATATTAATACTCTAAGCTCAGCAATTAATTAAGATATAGAAATGGATCAAAACAATAAAATTAATAAGGCATATTAATAATAAAGCTAAATTTCTTAATGCTCCTAAATAGACTGCATTGCTCTTATCCTATTTAAATCTGAATTGCTAATTATTTCTAACCATAAATTTTATATTGATTTCTGTTTCATTAATCAATGTTCCAAAACATCACTCTTTTATGCAAAGACCTATAAATTCTTCTTATGTAATTAAAAGGAATTACCTAGAATGGCCCAGTAAGGGCAGGCTATAGGAGGCAAAAACTCCATATTTGGTTGGACCAGGTAGGGTTGGTCAAAAAAACTACTAGAGAGTTGGAAAATGAGCTGAGCTAGCCCAATCAACTGGAGAGTTTCTGCCTCCAAATACCTACCCTTACCGGTTATTTAAGGGAATTCCCTATAATTCATATTGCTTAATGATTTTTGCTCAGGGATATTTGTCTTGGAGGATTATATCGATTTTATCTTCTTCAAATATATTTATTCCGCAAAACCCATTACGTTTTTCGGAGTAAATTCTCATAAAAACAGAGCAAATATCCGAAAAAAATTCTAGATAGGGTAAATTTTGATCAACTGACCTGCTACCTTCATATTTGCTATAGGGACATATTTCATGTGCTTTTGGTCAATTATAATAAAATGACCGATCGCGTCCTAAATGTCCCAGGCTGGTGCCAAGTTAACAAGTTTATTGATGCAAGAGATAGCATGAATGATTGATGTGTTTCCAAAGTAGCAGAAATAAACTTACTCCCTCCTTGAGCGAGCAACACCATTGAAAAAATCCTCCATACGCAAGCAAAATATTTCATATAAATAATTATTATTTTTATGAAGCCTCTGACTAGTTCTATCAATAATTTTAAATAGACCTAATTTACAATAAATAAAACTCTCATAATGATTTGCCGTTATTCAATTTTATATAGAAAAATAGAATAATCGTTAAAATTTATAAATTAAAGTACATTTTGAAAATAAAATTAAACACTCCTGATTAAGGTCAGAGTTAGAATCTCGCACTGTTACAGTAACTATGGATGGGTGGGGTGCCAAATGGAATACAACTTATCCTTTAAAGTCCTCAAAGCTTGCTCCCTTTCGAAAGATGTCAAAAGGCTACACTGGCCCTAAGCGTCGAGCTTTTAGAGACTGGGATTTCAGTATGGCTGAAATCCAAGTAGCCCAAAACAAAGTAAATGGTCTTCTCTCAGAAAACCTTGAATGTGAGAATGCCTTTGAAACTACTCAGTTCTATAGAGGAGAGCTTTTTATACTGGTCGAAAATTTACTTGTCTTTGACTACAGCTCCCATCGCGAATATCTTTCCTCTGCAGTTCATTTTTTCGCCTCTGTAATCAATTTAATAGTCAAGTGGCTAAATGAGGCTCCTCAATTGTTCCCTTATTACTACCAGGGCTTAGCTCAGCCCGACTTATACCTCACAGACAATAAGGTTGCCTTGGCTTCAGTGTGGTTTGAGCTTTTAGATACTCTCAACAAGCTCTTTGCCTTGGAATCCAGAGTCTCGGCTTTTTACCTGCACTTTGACGAGGTTCCTATCGGATATGAGGCTTGCCCTAAAACTATAGTAAAGAATTCAAACTATTCAGACACTCTTCTGTTCTTAATTAACTATTTTGCAAAATTAGGAGGATTTGAAGCGGTTCTCAATATTCTGAAAAACAAAGATGAGCACTCAAGAGTCCCATTTCCATTTGTCAACTCGATACTATTATACGCGCTGAACCAGTTCATTGATCCAGAATTTTCATCAGACTTTTTTACAGAATTCACAGGACTGATTTTCCAGAGAATAAAAATAATTTCTGACACTGAGCTCAAAGATCTTAAACATGAAGAAATTCTGAACTTACTAGCAAGGATGGGAAAACTGTCAGAAAACCTTCGCATAATAAAATGGTATTCGTTCGAGAGAAAATAGCTTACTCCCCCCCTCCATGAGTGAACAAAAAAATTTTGTTCACTCACGGAGGGGGTTAATTTTTTTTTAAAAAAATTTATATATAAATTTTATAAAGAATATTTTTTTTCGAAATTAAAAAAAAATCCTAATTCGTAAAAATTGGAAAGCAAATATTAATTTAATTTATAACATTTATGTTTTAAAAAGCAATTCGTTTAAAATTAAACAGAATTAGCTCTAGATTTCATTATAATAATTATCTTTTATATATCAAATTTTTTTTCCATAAAAAATTTTTGTATTAAAAAAATTTTTGTTCACTCACGGAGGGTGGGTATTTTGACAAAAAATAGCGATTTTTCTAATGGTTTTGTTCACTCACGGAGGGGGGAGTAGCTAATTTTTCTCATGGAATTTTATTTATGAGGTTTGGATTTTTTTAGAGAAATTCTGCACAGTAAATGGCCGTTTAACTTTATTTGCATAGGCTAAAAGAATTGCTACAAGGGCAATGAAGAGGCGCAAGGTTTTCCATACAGCACACCAGAGGAAGGCAACCTTTCGGTGTAAAACGTGCACAAGCTGATTCAGGAAAGGGCGATGTCAAACGCGCCTAGTGAAATGTGCAGCCAAGCTGGCAAGATCTTGCTTTGGAATATCTTCCCATATGATGGCTATTTAAAAGCAGGATGGCCCATGGGTCACTCGTTGTCAAGCCAAGTCCCTCTTTTTGGTAATGGTACTAAACACCTTAAAACACCTAATTAAATTCATAACTGTCAGAGAACCTTGACACTGAAGCTTTAGAAGTAAATAAGCTGAATTTGTTCCTGGCAATGCTTAAGTGCAGCTATTTGGAAAAAAGGATTAAAGGACTAACAGAAATTAATTATGTATTAGAAAGCTTAGAACCAAGAATCAATATCATCGATAATTCGAAGGTAAAAGTAAGCTCTGACGAAATGCAAAGCTGAATCTTAAAGGAAAATATCATTAACGTCCTGCTAGCTGAAAGACCACACGTAGAGCTAGTTAAAAGAGCAAGCCCTTTGCTTAAGTTTTTAGCGAGGAATAATGTGCTAGAAGAAAAGCATTTAGAGCAGCTATGGTCTTCAACTCAAGGTAAGCATGACTCCTTTATAAGAGCGACATACTCAGCTATTATTGATATAACTCCTTATTTGAGAGAAGAGCACAACGATTTCTTATTCGAACGCTTCTCACAGATAAAGCTTGATGACTATGACGAGCAGCTTGTAAACCTAATCAAAGATTTCACCGCAAAAGCAATTTCAGTGGCTTCCTCATCAGCTATGCTTAAAGATGAAGAAAACACAAAGTGGTACGGAATTGCTATATTAGAAAGCATCATGCTTGATTCTTCTCCACATGGACTTTGAAAATTAGGAACAAAATATCTAGGCGAGGTCTTAAGTATGATTGATTGCAGATCGCTGATAGGCGAATTTGCCACAAAAGCAGTGCATTTGATCCGAAATAATGACTCTGTTCCTCAAGCTATTAAATTGCTTATGAGTCTAATCAACAGCTTAGACCCAAGATCCCAAAAAATAGAGACCAAAAAGCTTGAAGCAAGCCAAGGGATTCAAGATTTAATTTTGAGCAACTTAACAGAGTACATGAATAGAGCAAGAGAAATCGGAAAAGGCATAAAAACTGAGCAAGTAGTTCAAGGAAGATTTTCGCACGAAATTAACATCAAAAGAAGGCTAAGACTATTAGAATTCATGATTCACACAACAGACGCAGAAGTCAGGCTGAGCATTGCTCATTTTACCACTCTATGGAGCTTATTTGTCTCTTCGGATGTTTCTGGCAAAGAAATTGACTTGTTTTTCACATGGCTTAGGCAAGGCTTTAAATATCGCTCGCCTTTGACTTTTGACTTAGCTGATAATTTGTTTAAAAATTTCTTTTTGCCAGAAGAAACGTTTCCAAGTGAAAGTATTACTTTGCAAGGATACGGCTGCTTTAAGTGGCTATTGATCAATCTTAATAGCCACTTAAATGCAATAGAAGCAACGAATACAGGAAGATTAAGAAATAGAAACTCACGTGATGTTTTAGGATTAGATAAATTACTTTCAATTCAACTCAATTGCCAACAAGAAAATATTAGTCAGGAAGCGCTTAAACTTGTAATCTCTCTCTTAACTCGATATGATTCAGAACTTATTTCGGAGGCTGCTGATATCTTAAATGAATTCACGAACTCCTTACTGCAAAAAATGACTTCAAGCTCTGTCTCAGATACTCTGATTAAAAGAGGGTTGACCTTAATAAAATCTCTACTAGGTGATGATGAGGACGATGATTCAGGAAAATCTTATTATATCTATGTGAGAGAGGCTAAAAGCAAAGACTATAAGCAATTGTATATTAATCAAAACAAAAATATAAGACATTTAAGAAAAGAGGTCGCCAAATTATATAACCAACCGCTCGAGAGAACTCTTTTGCATATCAATGAAAAACAGTTCGGAGCATTTGAAGATGATATTGATATTAAAAGCTTAAAACTTTATTGGCTAGTTGCAGATTTTGACTCTGATACAACCTCGGATTTTAGCCCTCATCATGCACTATCGCAAAATCAAGAAATTGCTAAGGCACTCTTCCACTTACTGTCAAGCACCGACAAGTCTTATGCTGAATTAGCTTGGAATTTACTAATTTCTTTACCTGTAAACGAAAAACTTGTAGAAGAGCTGAATAAGCTAGAAAAGCCAATAACAGAATTGATTGATATTAGCTCGATGCATCATTTATTATATTGCTTGAACATTTTATTGAAATTGTCTAAAGATATAGAGTGGGGCAACAAATTCACGTCTGCTGAAGGAACAAAGTTTTTACTACAAATTTTCTTAATGCCAAAAGAGGAATATAGAGGAGGAAAGTTGGTCGTGATGAAAGAAGAATCAATGATCAAATTACTTACTTCCCTCTCTGTGAGCAAACAAAAAAATTTTGTTCACTCACGAAGGGATTAAATTTTTTTTTTTTAGAAAATTTATATATAAATTTTTTAATTTTAAAAAAATCCCAATCCGCGAAAATTAGAATTCAAATATTTATTTAATTGTGAAATTTATCTTTTAAAATGCAAACTGTTTATAATTAAAAGATTAGCTAGAGAAATTTCATTATACTAATTATCACTTATATGTCAATTTGTAGGATTTCCCAATGGTTTTGCTCGCTCACGGAGGGGGAAAGTTAGTAATTTAATCTCATATGACACAGTGTTGGACAATTTGCAAGGTTTTATCGAATCATTATTTGTATCCTTTAATTTAATTAGCTCAGCTGCAACAACTCCAGGGCAACTCGAAGATTCTCCTGCTTTATTTAGGTCTATTGAAAGCTTAATCGATATAATCAGTTTCCAATCAGAGGATTTGCTCCGGAATTACATAATTCACACTCCAGAGCTTTTAAGAAATTTGCTACTAGGATGCCTTATTAAATCTTCAGATCCAAACTTTTCTTCCAGCTCCTGTGCTCTTTTTGAAAGGATTTTCGATAAAACTTCTATTTTTTCAGAAGCATTTCTAGAATTAAATCAGATACTAGATCTCGCCTTGGCAGAAGGTAAAACAAGCAATGAGTACTGGGATCTTTTAGCTAAAGTCATCAACCACAACACATTCGACTCTGAAAAAGAAAAAATGACAGCTCTTACTCAAAAGCTTATAAATGAAGTCAATAATCACCCAGGAGAAAAAAATTGCAATGAAAAAGATACGATTCTTTGTGGTATGATTAAGGTATTAGCAAATACTTGGAAAAAAACTGATATTGTGCCTGATCCTGATGAGCACTTGAAGCTCTTTTTGTCGAAATGCCTTTTCGAAGTTCCTGATAAAATTGATAGAAATGGAATTACTCCTCCTAAATGCAAACACATGGACACGAGAAATCAAACTTTTGACCTGCTATTAGAGCTCTCTCAAATGGATGAAAGCTTTTTAGGAGCAATAACTTCAGATCTAGCTCATTTCCATGAAGAGCCTAATTGGCGTACTGCTCGACGAGCAGATTGGAACAATTCACCTGCTTCGAAAGAAAAGTCACTAACTGGATATGTGGGTCTCAAAAACTTAGGGTGCACCTGTTATATGAACTCTCTCCTCCAGCAGCTGTTCATGATTTCTACCTTTAGAGAAGCTATTTTAAATTCCCCTCCTCCAAAGCCATACGAGGAAAGCTTACTATACCAGCTGCAGCATATTTTTTCAGGATTAAAGCATAGTGATAAACAATATATCAACACTAAAGGATTTGCCAAAGTTTTCAAGGACTTTGAAGGAAACCCAATCAACCCGATGGAGCAAATGGATGTAGATGAATTTTTTGGCAGCTTTATGGACAAGCTTGAAGACCAGCTAAAAGGCACTGAGCAAGCAAAAACAATTAAAGCTCACTTTGGCGGTCTTCAGGCGACAGAGATTATTGGAAAAGATTGCACACACAGAAGTGAAAGAATTGAGCCTTTCTTATCTATTCCTGTAGAAGTGAAAACCAAAAAATCAGTTATAGAAGGACTGGAAAGTTATGTAGCTGGCGAGATGCTTGAAGGAGAGAACGCCTATCAATGTGATCATTGTGATGCTAAAGTGAGAGCTATTAGAAGAGTCTGCGTGAAGCATCTACCTAATTTCCTTGTTGTAGCGCTGAGAAGATTTGAATTTGATTTCGACACAATGAATAGACTAAAGCTTAATGACTACTATGAATTTCCTCATGAACTTGATATGGAGCCATACACGCAAGAAGGTCTTGAAAGGATAGAAAAAGAAAAAGAAAAGCAAGCTGGAAAAGACGTCACTATACCTAATAAAAAATTCCCAGATGAATATTATAAATATTCATTGAGAGGGATAGTCATCCATTCAGGCACAGCTGAAAGCGGGCACTATTACTCATATATTTTTGACGCAAAACAAAATAAATGGTATGAATTCAACGATAACTGGGTAAGAGAAATTGATCCTAAAGACATCCCAAATGACTGCTTTGGAGGCGAGGAAAAATATTCTTGGTCTTCATATACAAGTTTCCAAACTTCAGGAATCCGAGAAAAATATGGAAATGGGTACCTGCTGTTTTACGAGAGGTCAGGGATATATAAATCAAGAGAGCCTGATGATGAAAATATTGAAAGAGTCGACTTAAATGTAAAGGAAGCAGAGGATCTAGAACACTATAAACAAGTTCGTGCACAAAATCAGAAATACTGGAGATCGAGACATATTTTTGGCCATGAATATTCAAGATTTGTGATGGGACTAAGCAAACTTGAAAGCCCACCAGATAAATTTTTAATTCAATTTTTGCTGACCATACTAATCAGAACCAAAGAAAAAAGACATGAACTAGTTGCTATTAGCCAAAGAGTCAGTAAAGTCTTATCAGAAAATCCAGAAATGAGTGAGTGGGTACTAGAGATGCTTAGTGTAGAAAGTGTGGCAAAAGAGCTTCTAATACATTGTCCAGTGCATTTGGTTAGGAGATACTTAGTTGGGCTTGTGAAAACTTGTCTCAAGTGTGTTTCAGAGGAAGTCCGAGTCAACTTTTTCAAGTGGCAAATTAATTATTTGACATATGCCCACAAAAAGCATTCCAAGCATTATGCTCAGTTTTTAGAAATTCTCAAAGAATCTATTTTAAGAGTTCCCAACGCTGCCCAAGATTACGGAGCGATAGATATCCTTGTGGCTCATCTCCTTAGAGACACTTACAAGTGCCCATCTCCTCCGCCTTTTAAGAATTCTGATATTTGCTTAGGCTATGATAAGTATATGCAGACTGAAAATTCCATCAAAGATGATAGCTTCTTTGCAGACTCAAAAGGCTCATCAAATTCCCATCTTTATCATACGCTTTTTATTTTCCGCGCACACCTTTCAGAAGAGAAAAAACTACACTTGAAGCAGCCAAGCACCATCACATTTATCTTAAGAGAAATCGACTCGAAGCTTGCAGCTAGAAGTATTGGAAAGCTCTACGCAGAAATATGCCATGATGACTTGAACACCACTAACGCGTACATGAGAGCACTTAAAGAGTGCTATCAGAATGCTGAATATTACTTTAAAGCTAAATACCTGAGAGTTTTCACCCCATTCTTGATCCATGAAGACTCAATACAAAAGCCTAAAATTGAGAACTTCTTAGCCTACATGTTCAAAACCATGAAATCTTGTAAATATCAAAGCGAAGTCGAGCAAAGTATAAATTACATATACAAAATTACATCAAAATACCCTGTAATTCGCCAATGTATGGTTCAGAACACTGAAGACTTGCAATGACTAGAAAAATGGATTACCCAGTATATGAAAGTCACTTATTCATCATTCAAAAATACCTCAACGCAGACTGATGAGCATATAAGGCCTGCTTATCAAGTGATGCTGGCAAAGTGTAAGAAACTGTCTCAAGGAGAAGCTCCTAATTCTCCTGATGATTGGGATTCTGACGAAGACTTGAACTGCAAATTCAAAATTGGAGAAGAAGTTGATGTTTTAGACCAAGCAGGACAATTGTGGGTCAAAGCTAAGGTAGAAGCCAATATTGGAGAATTAATTTGGCTTAGCCTCAAACAGTGGTCTACTCCTGATCAGTGGGTCTGGAAAGACGTTCAAAGTGAAGATCTTGCGCCAGCAGGTACCAAATCTGCTCAAAAATTCAATATTTCTCTCTAACTTAAAAGGTTAATTTGACAATATTTGCTTTAAAAAAATTTATTCTAAATCTTCAACTGGCTGCATGACTTTGATTTTCCAGAAGTTAATGCTCGAAAATTCATCGACAGAAACTGCTTGAGGCTGTTCATTAATTTCTTCATGTTCAATCTCTTCCTCTTGAATTGCGTTATTTTTTTCAAAGTTATAATCAATATTATCAAACATGCTGTCTTGATTTTTATCTGAATTGGAGTCCATGAAGTGATCAGTCAAATCGAAGCTCATTATTCGGATGCATGCCATTTGATCGGAGCGCTTTGATAGTGCGAAATTTTATAGAGGGAATTTAGATGAATATTTAAAAGCTTGATATTTGCTAGAAAACATATCAAATTTCGCTCAAATTTATCGAGAAGAAATAAAATTTCAACTATATTTATCCTAATAAACAAAAAGTAAGTACTTATTATTCGAGATCTGCCTCCAAGAACCCTAGATTCCATTTCATTTTGTAAGGAAAGGTACCTTTCAGTGAAAGTATTCCAATCTTCGCTAATAAAAGTGCCAGACAAATGTTTGACAAGAGTGTTGCCGATTCTTGTTACATGCCCCATCAAGCCGATTCTGAAATCTCTTTCATTGCTTGCGATACTGAATTTTATAAGAGTTGTAGGTAGATCGCCTTTTATTAACTCCTCACTTTAAAAACGAACAAAAATTTTGATTGCGCTTATAGGGGCTGATTTTATTTAACAAATAGTGTTTTTAAAATTATATATAGTTTTATTAATATTTTAAATGGAGCTATTTGATAATAAAAATTTAATTTAATTTAATTTAGAAATTTTAGTTTATAAATGTAATTGTCTAAAATATAATTGAATTAGCGAGATATATCTCTTTAAATTATTAATTATAATTTTTTTTCGATTAATTTTCTCAAATCTATGCTTTGTAAATGGTTTTACGAGGAGTTAAGAGCTAAATAAATATTACTGCATCTTTAAGTTTAGAGTGGCTCGAAATCAAAATGTTTTTAACTAACCTTTCGTATGCAGAATGAAGAAGGCTGTTCCAGCGGTATTCTGAAAATAGTTCCTTTATAGAAATTACTGTAATTATCGGTATAGAATCGCTTTCTGCTATTTTTTCTTTTAAATTTTCATATGGCAGCCTAATCATTGCTCCTAAAATTTCAATGATCCTCAGCCTGAATTCTCCTAAAGGAATAAATTCCACCTTATTAGCACACTTAAGTGCCATATTTGGCTTCTTTCGTAAGCTTTCTGTAAATTTATTGAAGTTGTTTACCATGTAATCTATCAGCGGAATCGTATCATCTTCTATGCTGTTTTCTTCTTCAGCATCTTTAGCCAGAATGTTATTTATAAGGGCTTGTATTATTAAAGCAGCCCCTCTAGATACATGAAATTCGTCATTAAATAGCCTATCAAATAACAATGTTACGATTTTTTCGTCTCCTGATAGATAATCTGCAATATCAAGCGCACATGAAACTTCTGAAGTTTTTGTAATCAAATTGGCAAGAAGCGTGCTTGCATTTATCGCAGCTTCCGGCGATTTTGTGGACGAAACATTCTCCAAAATTAGTTCAATTACTTCAAAAAGCTCTGATTTAAATGCAGGGTTTTTATGATTTTCACACCCGAGAATCCTTTCTAAGATATCACAAATGCTTTTGCTATATAAATGTTTTGTCAATGCTTTACCGTATTCGTTAACGTCGTAAAGATAAGAAAGTAGCTCATAGCTGTTCCTCATCAGCAAGCTATGCAATGTCCGCGAAAAATAGCCAGCAAGGATGAGGTTGCTCGGTAAGTCTGCATCTAAAAATTTGAATAGATGATTCAAAAATGTTTTATCGGCACAAAAAGTATTCAAAAGTTCATGGCATTCGCTGTTCAGGATTTCGTTTGATACAAATGGATACTTGTAGCATTGATTGTGGTTAGAAGTGTCTTGAGGCTCGAGCGTGATATAATCAATTAATTTATCAAGGTGGCTAGATGAGATTAGATTAATTTAAGGCGAGGTCAGCAGTCATTATTTCTGTGCATATATCTGTTGATAGCTGGTTTCAAGTTTGTGAGCGTTAATCGCTAACTCAAACGCCATTTCCAATCCCCATCCACCAAAACATGGTGATATAGGACTCTGCCTAGTGCTCCAGTTCTTCTGTAGCTGGATGGGATGACAGATGATTGGCTGGTGTTTCTTCTCCCGCGCGCTCCTAACTAGAATCTTAGCATAACCCTTCGTATAGAGAATGCGGTGCGAGACATTTGGTGTGGTCGCGATAAAAAAGCTATTCCTATGCAATGGGGAAGAAATAAAATGATGAGGTTGACGGAAATTGGACTCCGAGTCGTGCTCCCTATGGAGCAGGCCGGGCCATCCTGATCAAGTCAAAAACAGGGCCTCTCTCCTTTTGATGTAGCCCTTCAGGTTTTGGGAAAAGAGAAGTTTGTTTTCTCCCCGAAGGTTTTTCTGTCCCTGACAGATGGACTAGACAGGATTTGCCTATCCAATTATGGTCTTTCCTCATTAGGAGGAACCATCCTAGCACTTTATAGGCAGTGGCTCTGCCTAGGGAGCTGATCTTTGGGCAGGTGGTTCAGGTCGAAAATCATAAATAACGACATTTTGGGAGTGACAGCTATGGGTTTACCCGCTTATGGTCATCATAATCATTTAATTTTAATTTAAGCACTGGGACGCCGAAAAACCTACTCCGACCGATACCTGTTTACAATGTGTTCCTCTTACCATGGACTGAGTGAGCAACCAGGACACAAGTGACCTATTACAATATTCCATTTAATTAAGTATAAGGTAGCTAGGAACCAGAAAATTAATTAATTTTTGATTTCCTTTTTTAACTTCCATTATTGCTTCTTCGTTTGCATCAAGAACTTCTTCAAGCTTAAGGTCTTCTTTTTCCAGTAAATTTTCTATCAACTCTGAGTTTTGCAAAAATTTAAAGCTGTTTAGAAGTGATGCGAAATTCATTATCATCCGCACTATTAAATATGGAAATATAGTAGTTGGAAGAAGTAAATTTTGAAGAGATGCTGGAAAATATCAACACTATCAAATTAATTCAAAAAAGTTTAAGCTAAATTAGATGTGATCATTAGTGGGATCGCCCACTGGCAATTGCCATGCTCGGCTCCATAGGGATAGGTTTAACCCCTTCCTTTTGAATTTCTTACTTGAACCACCTGTCCAAAGATCGCTTCCTAGGAAAGCCCCGAAGGAAAGACAATGCAGTAGGCAAAGCCTGTCTAGCACTTCTGATTGTACAGAAAAACCTTCAGGATAGTTCAGCTTCCTGGTTCGGGAGGCTTTTATATATAGATGGTCTACTTTATCCACTAGGAATCTTTAGCTACCAATCTTGCCTCTCCGCCTCGCCATCAGGGAAGTCCTTATTCCGTCAACGACACATTTTAATTCTACTAATTCGAATGATTTATGAATTATTAGCAAAAACAGAAATTAAATTTCTATTGGAATATGCTTATATTTTCAATTAAAAAAAATTTACCGCTATAAAATTGATTTAGTTAATATGAGTCAAATTAGTCTTTTATGCCAAGGCTTTATTTATGAGCAAATACAAAGAATTATTTATTAAATCTAATTTATAGTTTTAACTGCTTAATACTGATAAATATCTCTTTTTAAAATAAGTAAACCTGCAAATTAAAATTTTGATTATTAAATCATATGTGATGTCACTTTTCTAATTGGGTAAAAATGGTGTGCATTATCAAGACTAAACAAAAATCTCATGCCATTATGCAAACAATTATAGTGAATTATTAAGTTTTAAACGTTAATAAAATTATAAAAATAGTTAGCTTTGAAAAATTATATTTTCGGTGGGTAATTCTAATGCATTAAATGAGCAAAATTATAAAGTAAAAAAATAAATCGATTTCATTATGATAAACATATTCTATGATATACAAGAGTAATATTTAGATTTATCTAATATAAATCTATTGTTGATTTATTTCATAATATGGATTTACTGTCAGAGTTGATAGGAGAAGAATCTATCTATAATTTTTTGAAGCAATTCCCAGAAAAAGATTGATTAGAAGTTATAAAGAAAACGCTTCTTTATGGAATTCAAACATTTGAGGTTATCAATAGCGCTGGGGTTGTGCACTTAATTACTGTTAAAAGCGAAAAAGAGAAGCTGTCAGATGTCGAAAATTTGAATATCCATGAAAGGCATGCTTCAGAACCTAATGCAATTATTGGAGAAAAGTTATTAGAAGATACCCAAATCAAGAAACAAAGCAGCAAGTTGCATATAAATAAGAATACTTCGACACCAAGGTCGCAAAAAGCAATTTCAAAAACTAAAATTACTACCATTCCGATTAGGAAAACTGCTTTTGACACTCTCCTTACATCAAAACATAATGCAAAAATCAAAACTAGCCGAAATAGCTCCGATTTAAAATCTAAAACCGGTATTAAAAATGTTTCAAACGATAAAAAATTCAAGGAAAAATTTAATATAAAAAAATCACATGTTTTATTTGATAGCTCAGACAAATTATATTTTTCGATGAAACACAAAAATAAATCATTAAGTTCGAGTAGCACCACGACGAATGCTCAAATTTCAGAGAGCTTTACTCAATTTTTTCCGAAAGACAATGAAAACTGACTAAGAAAAGAAAATCAGCAAATCCTTGTAAATATTGAACTAAATTTGGATCAGACTTCGAAAAGCGCATTGAATTATACGACCAGTCCAAGCGACGACGAGTAGCTTTATTTTTCACAAAAGTATATTTTAGTAATATAAATATATTTGCTTTATTTATTTAATATTAATTTATGAGTAAGGCCCACACAAACTATCATGTAAGAATAAGTGATTCACTTATTTTGCCACCTGTAAAAAGCAATCGAGGTATACAGCTCACGGAACTCCAAAAAGAAATTGAGTTCTTAAGAGGCAAAAATACAGAGCTGGTCAATGTAGTTAAACATTGGGAGACAAGAGAAACCTTTGTTGAGAGTTCTGACTCACCTACTATAAATTGGAACAAAAATCCTGCTCCAATATAAATAGGGGCTATATTACTATAAAAAATTTTCTAAAATTTTTAAAAAATCTAAATTGACCACAATGGTTTGAATTTTAATTTATTTTTATGGAGAAATAATTAAAAAATTAATCGATTAAGCGTAAAAAAGTTTTAGTAGCATTTTTGTCCACTTTTCCCATTAAATTGGGTCAAAATTAATTTATAAAATTAATATTTTCATTTTTAATTATTGTTTTTAAAAGCGTTTTTAAAAATATATAATTGAGAATTAAATTTGTTTTGTGAAGAATTAAATAAAAAATGAATCAATTCATTGCGAAAACTGTTTAAATAGCATTCTAGTTGGGTTTTATATATTAAACTGATTCAAAACTAATTTTATTAAAATTAGTTGTTTTTTCATCTTTAATTTTTTTTAAAATATATAAAGCAATACTTTGATTTTAATTTTTTTTATAAAATTAAACCAAATAAATTGTGAAAACAGTTTAAATAGCATTCTAATTGGGTTGTCCTGAAAAAAACCCTAGGGTTTTTTTTTCCTGTCCTTTTTTTTCTGATGAAAATGACTGAAAAGTAGAATTCCTGGAATTTTCCAGGAAAAAACCCCAACGGTAATTTTTGAAAAATTTGCAAACCATACAGGAAAAAACCCCCATCCTCAAAAAAGTCCATTATCGAATTAAGGTCATCATAAGTAGATATAAAGCCACAAAAATTCAACTGCAAAGACTAATCACATAATCAATTCTAAACTCTTATTATCAAAGAGAAATGAATAAAGTAAACAAATAGCATCTAAATTAACACTTGATTTCAACAATAGTAATTTTTTGATTCTCAAAAACAGCATGAAAAAACCCTAATAAAAAAATAAATCATTAATACAATTGCATAAGAGAGAGTCCTCAAAAAGAGTGATAATATAGGAAAATAGATATCTACAGCAAGAATACATCAAATACTTGATTATTAGAATCAAAACTCATAATAAATTATAAATTGTTAAATGATATTAAAAAGCAAATAAATAGGAAAAAAAATTCCAGGAAAAAACCCTCATTAGAAATTTTGGCTAAAAATTTCCAGGGAAAAAACCCTAGTGATGTTTAGGTACCAAAAAAATTGCAGGAAAAAAAAACCCCATGGTGGTAAAATCCTGGAAAATTCCAGGAAAAAACCCCTGAGAAAATTATAAAATTCATTTAAAAAATAATAATTTAAAAACTCTTCACTAAAAGGTTAAGTCATCTAGCACAAGCTGAGCTAGTGCAGGATGTGTCACAAGTGGTGCAAGGTGAGCTATATAGTGTATAGAGTGCAAGATGTGCTATAGATTGCTAAAGAGCGAGTTCAGGATTAATCACAGGTGATGCAAGGTAATATATTATCGGGTGCAAAGCTTCAAAACACATTTAGATCTCTATGAAACAATACCTCAAGAGGTAAAGTAGCGATCTGATATTTCAAAATGATAATGATAAATATCAATTTTATTACGATAAAGATTAAATTTTGACAAATAGTTTCTATAGGCTTTGTCAATCAAGCCAAACGTGAATTTTTTATGAAAGCGGCCTTTGACATTTTAAGTTTATCTCTTTAGATCACTAATTTTACTCTTTAGGTATTATTACACCTTGATCATATTAGCTCTTAAACCTAGCTGCAGTTTGATACAAGGTGAGCTAGTACAGGATTTGTCACAGGTGGATACAAGATGTGCTAGTACAGAGTGAGTGTACTGCAGGTTGATAAAAAGTGAGTTAGTACAGGATGCGCTGCAGGCTGATTAAAGATGAACTAAGCAGGATATGTCACAGGTGGATACAATATTAGCTGCTAAAGTTTAAAGGATTAATATTAATCTTTATGAAACAATACCTAAAGAGTAAAAGTAGTTATATTAAAAACGAAAAACTGAAATGAAAAAGGCTATTTTCATTTTAAACTAACGTTTGGCTAGACAAACGGATTCTACTGAAAATATTCGTCAAGCCAAATCTGTACTTCTTATAAAAATGCCATTATTTCCATTTTGGCTTTTCAGAAAGCTACTGTACCTCTTCAGGTATTGTTTCATAGAGATCAAAGTATGTTTTCAAGCCATACAGGATATGCTGCAGGTTGATTTAAGATGAGCTAGTTCAGATATGTTATAGGTGGTATAAGGTGAGCTGGTGCATGATGATGCAAGGTTAGCTAGTGCAAGATCTGCTGGATACAATATGCGAGAAATAGTTGAAATAGTAAAATGGGGATAAATGGTATCATAGTGTAATCATTTATCTCATTTTATTTCATATGTTTTATTGTATTTTAATGTTTATATATAAACGGTGCTAGATTTTTTACCTTTTCGTTAAGAGGATTTTAAATTATTACTTTCCAAACGAACTTTTTATAATTTTCCCACTCCCCCCCTTTAAATTGGAACAAAAAAATTTGTTCCAAATTAAAAGGGGATTAGAAAATTTTAAAAAAATATTTTATAAAAATTAAAAAAAAAAAATTCAAAAATTTATCTAGTTAGATTAATAAATTTGTTTAATAAAATGCTATTTAGTCATTATCTATCACAAAAAGCAAGATATAACTAAATTTTAATTATTAGTTAATGTGCCACTATTGATTGGTATCAAAACTATTTACGCAAAAAAATTATTATTTTTATTGATAAAAAGACATTTTAGAAAAATTTATTAATCAAAGTGCTATTTTGTTTAAATAAAATGTTATTTATACTCTATTCTTAAACTAAAGCAAGAAATAATTTAAATATTGAATTTTTGTAAAGAATTCGCATTGAATTTATATATCAAAATGATTTAGATAAAAAATGCTATTTTTATCTAAAAAAATAAAAATTTTTAAAAAAAATATGGAAATTGTTTTAAAAATTTAGCAATTAAGGATATAAATTTATTTAAATAAGATGCTCTTTATGCCCTCTTCTATAAAGAAGAGCAAGATTTAGCTAAATTCATAATTTTAGTTAAGAAGAAACATTTAACTTATATCAAAACTTTTTACATAAAAAATAATTGGGGGGGTCAGGGGTTTTTTCCTGGAATTTTTCCAGGATTTTACCACCATTGGGGTTTTTTTCCTGCAATTTTTTTGGTACCTAAACATCACTAGGGGTTTTTTCCTGGAAATTTTTAGCCAAAATTTCTAATGAGGGTTTTTTCCTGGAATTTTTTTTTTCCTATTTATTTGCTTTTTAATGTCGTTTAACAATTATAATTTATTATGAGTTTTGATTCTAATAATCAAGTATTTGATGTATTCTTGCTGTAGATATCTATTTTCCTATATTATCACTCTTTTTGAGGACTCTCTCTTATGCAATTGTATTAATGATTTATTTTTTATTAGGGTTTTTTCCTGGAAAAAACCAGGAAAAACACACAGTTGGGTTTTTTTCCTATATGGTTTGCAAATTTTTCAAAAATTACCGTTGGGGGTTTTCCTGGAAAATTCCAGGAATTCTACTTTTCAGTCATTTTCATCAGAAAAAAAAAGGACAGGAAAAAACCCCCTAGGGGTTTTTTCCTGTCATCCCTTCTAATTGTACTTCATTTATTAATTTGGTCAAATCTAATTTTTATTTTTTTTAAAAGTATAAACTGAGCACAATACTTTTTATTTTTATGAAGAATTAAATAAAAAATTAAGAGATTCATTAGCATTCAACCACATTTTTGTCTATTCAATTAGGTCAAAATTAATTTTATACGATTAGTATTTTCATCTTTAAAATTTTTATATTAAAAAAAAATTCTTGCAATTTAAATGGGTGTTAAAGTATAATTCAAATTTTACGAATGTTTTTTTCCAATTTAAAAGGGGGAGTGAGTACAAATTTAAAAATTTAGTCGCAAGTTATCTAAAAGAACTCAGATCGAAAGCAAATCCTTTAAAATATTCAGCTGAAGTTGTTGAACAAAATGAAGAGGTTATCACCCAAACTTATGAAAAAATGTTTAAACTCCTTCAAACCCTTCAAGATAAAATTGATGAATTAGTGACTAAAAAAGAAGATTTATTGACTATTGAGTTCAATGCAAAGCTTCAAGACATAATTGGAAGCCTTGAACGAGAAAAAAAAGAAAAATTCGAGCAAATCGATAAACTGGTTAAAAAGGAAAAAGAATTAGAAACTGACTACGAATTATTAAAAGCTTCTATTTCAATGATTGAATCGAAGAATACTTTTTATGAATCAGAAAATAAAAGACTGCGATCAGAGCTTCGTCAAGCAAAACTCGAAATAAATGGACTTGAAAAACGAATTTTTGATATAAAAAGAAATGAGAAAAAAGGAGACCTATCTTCAGTCCTTATTACTCCAGTTCACTCAACAATTTCAGCTTCCGCTAAACATATTGGAATCGAGACATCGTTGAACTCTCCAATAATTAGCAAAAGAAACTCTTCAATTGAAGACTTTACACCATTACGATATGAAGCCATTATTAATCGATTACAAAAACTACTTAAAATAGAAAAACAAAATTTAAGAGATTATAAAATTTTATATTTCAAGGAAGTCCAATCAAGAAGCGAAATCGAAAATATTTTACTTATTCCAGAATAAAGAACAAGATTATACTCTTTTTCAAATTGTGATTAGTAATTTTAAAAAGCTATTTGCAATAATTTGAAATAAACCATTAATTTAGCTAACTTATAAAAAACTCTCGCATTAGAATGCAAGCTGCATAAGTCAGCTGGAATTACTAAAAAAATATTAACTATATATATATATAAATAACTATATAATTTTTTACATCTGGATTTTTATTATTTTTTCTTTCTCAATAATGGAAGAGCTAGTTGCATTGAAGAAATCAGATCTCAAATAATCAAAAATAATTACAAAGATTTCAATTCTGAATTAGCAGAAAAGCTAACAACTCAAGATCAAGTGCTTAAGCTTGTATATGAGATGTTAAAAACTAAAATTAAGGATTAATATTATCAAATATAAATTCGACAAATTACTTTAGATTTAATATTATTACGAATGGTTGACACCCCACAAATTTTTCTCCGAAAAAACAACTCTGTCAAGAGTTCAAATGAATCAATCGACACTCAAGGATCCAGCTTTATTACTCATAGCCACATTGACAATATTGAAGATAACAATGACCAAAAGAAATGGTATAAAAAAACACTGGGAGAAGATTTTCAGCTAGATCCAAAGAGCCAGAGCACAGAGCTTAATGATTGGCAATTTGAAGTTCCTATGAAAAGCATTTTTCCATCCACTTGCTATTTATCACGATCTTCAAAAATGCATAGAAGGTTTTTGTCCACTCCTCCTGATTTCATCCAACCCAAATTTCTGATTAACTACTCGAAAAGGCGAAAAAATTTAGATCGAAACTCACCCGAAAAAACATCATTATCAATCGAAAGCGACAAAAAATCTTGGTCTTTATCTTCTGAGGAAGTCCTGAGTGCCTTGAATTTAAAGAGGCAAAGCCTAGTTGAAAATGATGAAATTATTGATAGTTTTAAAGCTGATCTCGCATTAAAAGCTCCTATCAAAGATGTTTCAGCTAAAAAGTATAGAAAATTACATACAGAAAAAGAAAACTCCAACCATTCGCTTCCAGCATTAGGAAATAACCCTTGCACAGTTTATTGCGAATTTTGCAAAATGGATGTTCATAGCGTTGTTATTATAAGAAATGATTCAAGATTTGTAACTTCATTTATGGATTTTTTTCAAAACATTTTTGGATGCTGCAGCAGCCTCGTTTGGCTTAATAATATGAGGTATCATAGATGCAGTAATTGTGGAACAATCCTTGGAAGAAGCATTGCGTAATTAAGCTATTTATTAACTGTTTAATATATTATTGGTGTTTTCAATGTTCTTTGCTACTTCTGCAATCTTAGGTGAAAACATTGCTTCAAAGTAGCTCTTCATTTTGGATACTCCATCTACATACTGAATAAGCTTTTGTGTGCATTCTTGATACTCATTCCTTAGCCTAATTACTTCTCCTCTTAGCGCCGCTTTGTGCTTCTTTAATTCCAGCTGCTCATTCTGACATTTATTGATCTCGTTTCTCAGTCTATCAACCTCAATCTGATGCTTCTCAGTTAGTTCCTCAATTTTTATTATGGCATCTGTTGCTGATTTTTTCTCAGTGGAATATTTTTCCTGAAATCCTGACACTTTGGCCATCGTTTTCGCATTGATCTGCTTTTGAATTCTGAGCTCATCGCTTGTTTTTTCCAATTCTTTTTTTAGCTTGTCAATCGTTTTGTCTTGTGAAACAATTTTATTTGCAAGAAAATCCTTGACTGCATTTGCTGTTTTTAGCTGAATTAAAGCAGCTTCTTTACTTCCACCCTATGTGAGAGAACAAAAAAATTTTTATATCATTTGTTTTTCGAAAATACTTTGATATATAAGTGATAATTATCATAATGAAATCTCTAGCTAATTCTAGCTTAAAATAGCTTGCATTTTAAGTCAAAAACTTTACGAATTAAATTAATATTTATGCTTTAAATTTATTTCGGAATGGGACTCTTTGAAAAAATTATTATAAAGTTTATATATAAATTTTTAAAAAATGGAGAGGGAGTTAGTGAAAACTTGAGATTCAGCTTGAAGTTGGATATTGTCAGACTCATTCGGAGGAATTATTGGAGGAATCATTGAAGGTTGGCTTGGCTGTCTTTGCTTAATAGGTTTCCGGCTCATTATATAGACAATCCCTGCTTGAAAATGCCTCGAAGCAATTATTTCTTTAAACAAATAGCAAGTTTCGTATAGCGATGGAATGTCATTGTGGAAATCTAGAAATAAAAATATATTCCTAATAATTAATTTTGGGATTTTTTGGAATTGTCCTTTACTTCTGAAATCTGCTGGTAAAACTTGCAGATCTTTGGATTCTGTCGTTCTTTGTTCCTTTAGTTTAGAATAAAGCTGACTAAGTGACTCTACTACATATTCAATTTTGTTTTCCATCTTGTGTGATAAAGTCTCTAAATTAAATCTATATGCATTGTTATATTTTTATAAGGTTATTATGCTTTAATAGCCTCTCTCATTGCAAATGTATATAAGTGAGCATTATGACTCTGAAATAAATAGAGTATAGTAAAACAAGAAAATTTAATTATAAGTCTGCATTTGAATCAACTCTCCTTGATGAAGGATGATTATAAAATCTGAGTTGAGAAGGTGACTCTTCTTTAACTACAGACTTTTTGATTAGACAAAAAGGATACATAAAATGAAGACCTAAGAGCACCCAGCGTTTTGACGTAATTTTCTTAACCTCATAGCAAAGGCGAATTGGGTGGAAATCATGAGGTTAAGGTCTGATATGAGCTTATGCATATCAGGGTAGATTAACTTAGTTCCTGTGCTTGGAAAGAAGTAAACAGGCAATTCCTTCAGGACCATGAAGATGGACTTCACTCTGATACGAGGGGAGATTTAGTCTATGTTCCTTTATCTGATGAGTGCAGGTGCCTAGCACCCGTTAACTCCTGGTTTTGCCTAGATCAAGCTACTTCTCTAATATGTCCGAGCCAGAGCTACAGAAATCCATAGGCAACTCAATAGACACTGATCCCCTAGCAAACAAAAATGACGCACGCCTCTCTTGTTAGACAGATTTAGAAGAAGAGGAGGAGGAGAAGGATGATAAGGAGGAAAAGGTAGTTACAGAGTACTCTCCCAGGAGAATTATCTCCTTCGAATAATTGAGGTGTATGATTTTGCAAAGCAGATAAATCCTTGTGGGTCCTTGTGACTAAGTAACCAATTCAATACCACCAATCTGTAATTTAAGATTAAGATTTAAGATTAGACGAAAAAGAATTCAGATTGCCAAAACAAAGGATCATGCAATCCGGAGACTTTTTTCTTATTGAAGGGAAGTTAAAATGCCTCCTTTTCGGCCTTTCTGAAGCCGAATAATTGTGAAGATGAGAGTGATTTTGCTTACTTCCCCAGGGGGGATTAATTTTGTTTTTAAATTTATATATAAATTTATAGTAAATTTTTTTTTAGTAATTTAAAAAAATCCAAAATTGGAAAGCAAATATAATTTAATTTGTAAAATTTATGTTTTAAAAATGCAATCTGTTTTAAATTAAACAGAATTAGAAAGAAATTCGTTATTATAATTATCTCTTATTTGTCAAAATTTGTTTTCATAATATTAAAAAATTTTTATTCGGTGAGGTGGGCTTTTGGGGAAAAAATAGGGATTTTTCAAATGGTTTTATTCGCTCACGGAGAGGGGGAGCTAGGAGAATAAAGAAAGGGAAGCTTTTCAAGTTTCTAACTCCCCCCCCCCCCTCCGTGAGCGAACAAAAAAATTTTGTTCGCTCACGGAGGGGGGTTAATTTTTTTTTTTAAAAAAAAATTTATATATAAATTTTATAAAAAATATTTTTTTCGAAATTAAAAAAATCCTAATTTGCAAAAATTGGGAAGCAAATATTAATTTAATTTGCAAAATTTATGTTTTAAAACGCAATTTGTTTAAAATTAAACAGAATTAGCTCTAGATTTCATTATACTATTATCACTTATATATCAAAATTTTTTTCCATTAAAATTTTTTTCTATTAAAAAAATTTTTGTTCACTCACGGAGGGTGGGTTTTTGGTCAAAAAATGGCGATTTTTCTAATGGTTTTGTTCGCTCACGGAGGGGGGGGGGGGAGTAAGTAACAATTACATCTTCTTTTATGGTAAAATTTAGATATCTTTTTGCGAGTTCTACATGCTTCTTTCTTTCTATCTTTGACGAATCTAAATAATTTATGAGATCTTCACCTTTCTCCATTATTTTAATTTTAAATTGATATATAACCTTAAATTATGTATAACGAACTCTATTTTAATTTTCAAGTAAACATAATGACTAAAAAGATAGCTATCATAATGATAATAGTAATGGCTCAAATTTGAACTCTCAGAATTTCCAACTTAGATTAATGTCTAGTAAATTCCAGCAAATAAACAATAATGGCAATCATCTATATCGGCAGTCTTGATTTTATATTTGAAGACCCTTTACCTTAAAATAGCTTAAACATTTATGAGTAAAAAATAATGGGAATATGAAATAATCTAATTTGTTCTGATGGCATCCTCTGCTCACAAAACTGAAGAAGAAAAAAAGGAATTTTTCGATCCTCCTGATGTAATTGACTCAAAGGTTCGTAAACTTGCTAAATGGATCAGAAAGAGTAGACACTTTATCGGATTTACAGGTGCAGGTGTTAGCACCTCGTGCGGAATTCCTGATTTTCGCAGTGGGTATAATACAGTATTGCCAACAGGCCCAGGTGCATGGGAAGAGTTAGCGAAACAGCAAAAAGCAAAAAGAACTCATGTTGTGAACATCACTGAAGCGATCCCAAGCCCAACTCATATGTGCTTTGTAAAACTAATTGAAGAAGGTGTAATGAAATTTTTGGTATCACAAAATGTTGACGGCCTGCATAGAAAAAGCGGAATTCATCCTTCAAAATTAGCTGAGCTTCACGGGAATATTTATGTCGAAAAATGCAAAACCTGCAAAAAAGAGTACTTGAGAGATTACGAAGTTAGAACTAATGGGCATGTTCATAGTCATGAGACTGGAAATAGATGTGATAATAAAGAATGCAATGGAGAGCTTATCGATACAATTATTAATTTTCATGAAAACCTAGACTCAGATGTAATAAATGCTGGATTTACTAATGGAAGAAATGCTGATTTATGCCTTTGTATGGGATCTTCTTTAAGAGTAACTCCTGCCGCAAACATTCCTTTAGAAACCAAAAAAAGAGGTGGAAAATTAGTTATCGTTAACCTCCAGAGAACTCCTCTAGATGATTCCGCTGATATGGTGATCAATGCTTTCTGCGACACAGTTATGGAAAAACTGATGGGAATTTTGAACCTAGAAATACCAAGATTCAAGATTGTGAGGTACTTAAAGGTTTCTAAAACAGCTGATGATGGGAGAAGCCAAATTGCTTGTGAAGGAATTGATAGTGATGAAACTCCATTTAGCTATTTAAAAAGGATTACTGCAAAATATAGCGGAAATAAAGTAAGACTGAGAAGAGAGCCTTTTGTTATTAACGACGAGGATATTTCAGGAGTCGTTGAGTTATCATTGAAATTCCAAGGGCATTATGGAGAACCGAGACTGCAGCTAGCAATAGATGCAGATAAGTTAGTTGAGCACGTACTGAAATTTGAATATGATCCATTTGAAGGAGAATGAACATCTCTTACAGCAGTTAGGTAGGAGTAAAGATTTTAATTTATTTTATATTATTATTTACAACAGAATTTTGATTTTAATTGTCGATTTAATTCATTTGGGATAGCTAACGTAAGAAGTATTAGTGTTTGAAATAAATTTAATTATTTAAGGATCATTTCTAACCAAAATATTTATCTATTCCAATTATGTCGATATGGTCTATTTCTTCCATAGTCAAATCTTCGATTGGTGATCACAGTTTTCTGGTACATCTCATCAAACCAATCAGGGATATTTTGTTTAGTTTCTAGCAATAAGCTGTAGAGGTCTTTAACAATTGGCTTGCTTTTATCATTAATGAACGAGATTGCTAGCCCTTCTTTCCCTACCCTTCCAGTTCTGCCAATCCTATGGACATAATCTTCAATTGCATTTGGAGTATCAAAATTAATGACATTTGTTACGTTTGGAATGTCTAGTCCTCTAGCTGCCACATCAGTTGCTACTAGAATTGGCACTTTTCCTGACTTAAAATCTCTACCCTCGCCATTTCATATATTTAAAAAAAAATATGCAGCGTGCTTTTTTAATAGAAATTATCCCATTTTGAAAAATCATCTGATTAATACTGTTTAGGAGTAAGAACTTTTTCTCTCTGTGGTTGGTCTTTATCTCCATGAATAGAACCGCACCTGTACCCTCTTTCTATCAAATAATCTTCTAAATAGTCTGCAGTCCTCTTCATTTCCACAAAAATAAGCACCAGTCCTTGCAAGCTTTGCAGTTTATCATGAAGAAATACTTTCTTGTCATGCTCTTCCACATTATAAAGTGTCTGTATAATGTTCTCTGTCGTCGACCCAACTTTCCCAATAGACAAAAATATGTACTCCTTCATAAACTGTGAAGCTAAATCCTGCGCTGGTTGAGGAAAAGTTGCAGAGCACATAGTGGTCTCCCTGCTTGGATTTGTGGTGGATTCTAAAATTGTTCTTATTTGTGGTTCAAAACCCATATCAAGCATCCTATCAGCTTCATCAAGCACGACGTACTTAACTATTGAAAGAGTCACTTTCCCTCTATTGATGAAATCGATTAGTCTTCCTGGTGTTGCTACGATAATATCGACTCCCCTTTCTAGCTCTCTTGACTGGCTTCTTGGATCAGCACCTCCATATACAACAGCAACTTTAATTCCTGTTTTATAGCAAAACTTGAGGGCTTCTTCATGTATTTGTATCGATAGCTCACGAGTTGGCGCCAGAATCAGGCCTAATGGATAAGATCCTCTTCCCATGCTCTGCTCTGGTGGTCCATCGTTCAACATTTTCGCAACCATCGGGAATAAATATGAAGCTGTCTTTCCTGATCCAGTCTGTGCGCAGACCATCAAATCTCTCCTTGCGAATAAACAAGGAATTGCATATTTTTGTACTGGTGTTGGGTTTTCGTAGCCCATTTTCCGAACATTTGCAAGCAGCGTGGGATGAACTTGACAATCAGAAAAATTTGACATTGAGTAAGAAGATTCGCTTATTTCCACTGGCATGTCTTCGTAAGATTCAAAGTCAATGCCTTCATGCTTTTCTTGCTGGAAAAGCTGCTCTGCTTGCTTGAGATCTTCGCCGTCGAGAAATCCATTACGTCTGTCTCTTCGACCCCAGTTACTCTCTGCTTTTATAGAGGCGTATTCATTTCTGTTTTGTAACTCCCCCATTAAATTGAAAAAAAAATTGCTTCTCTTAAAGAAGGTTAATTTATAAAATTTATCGATTTCAAGTCACAAATTTGTTTAAATAATATTCAATAATACTCTCTCCTTCAAAAACGAGTCACTTTTAGACAAATTTTTATTTGGTGAGATTAAATGGGTGTCAAAGCTATTTACATAGTTTTTTTTCTGCTTAAGAGGGGGTGGGGTAAATTTACTAAAAATTGTAATTTTATCGATATTTTGTTCCAATTTAAAAGGGGGATAAGAATTTTTCAAATTTCGATGCTACTGGAGGATCTGATGGCGATGCGTTGGCGAGCTGTGCTCGTTTGTGTGGTGGTATATACTTTCCTGTTTTGTTCCCATCCATTTTATGGATATTTGACTAGCTTTATTAGTGTCATATAAGATTAATTGGGAATTATCTTAGGGCCGCTGCTGGAGAGGGCCAAGTGAAACATGCTTAGTTTTAGATGACTTACTTATAAGAAGCAGTCTAGAAATTTTAAGGTTTCTGCGAGAAGTGGATGGGGACATCTCACAAAAAATCGATGGCAATTATTTCAGCTAATGATGGATTAGATTATCCAGTCAAATTTAGGAAAGATAATCTGCTATCAAATATATAATCAGGAATCTTTAAAAACCTTATTAATTAAGACCAAAAAATGAGAATGGAGCAAGTAATTAAATTTTTTAGACAGCTCTAAAAGGTTTCATCTTCATCTCCTTCTTCATCTGACTCAATATAATCTTCAGGCTCAACTGTTATTAATCTATCCTTTCTCTCATACGGCAGCGGAGTGATTTCTCTCATTTTCTTTTCTTCTTCAGAAGTGTCAAGCCTAAAGGTTGTTTTAGGAGCGGCTGCTTTGCTTGCGGACTCAGCGATCCGTTTTGGAGTTACGTGAGCTCCTGAGAGTGTAAATCCGCATGTTTCTTTAGTGAATTTAAAGTTACTTCTTGAATGAAAACACTCGCAGACTCCACTTCCACGTGAATATTTTTTCACTTGTACCAAAATCGCAGATTTTGATAGATAAGAACTATCCAATTTTTTGTCCAAATAATTTGTGTTTACAACTGCATAAATAGATTTACGCAGTTTAATTCTTTTGTCAATTGTTTTCAAAAGCGATGGCTCACCAATCCAATGCCCAGCTTGCTCTAGGTTATCAATGCAAATGATGGAGTCATTTGAAAAGATTTCTGGATCAATTTTGAATTTTTTGTTTATGTTTGGTATAAGATTAATGATGCAAGAACTACTGATAGGGTCGGAGGCCTCTTGTACTGGTAAATCTAGATAATCAATAAATCTTAAACTTGAGATATCTGTAATAAGAACTATTGCTTGAGATTTTTTGGTAATTTCTTTTACTGAGTTTGCCCATAGCAGCTTTGCAATTCCAGTAAATCGTGAATCTTCTTGAAAAATAACTAGCTCAGATAGGCTATTCGATAAGCCTGCATTCAATATGTGAGCTAAAAGCACCATCTAATTTATTCTTATTATTTTTAACACAAAAAAGCAATTAAAACAGAAAAAGCAGCTTTTTAAGCTTTTTTTATTACAAAAGTATCAATATTTTCAAACAAATTCAATTCAGCGTCTGTATATTTATGATTCAGGAAATATCTTTATATATTTATAAGAACTTTTGAGAAATTCAATTTGCATCTTTCTCTTGATTCTATTGCAAAATATAATAAATAATAAATATAATGAAAAGAAATCCTCTCTTAGATTCATTACAGAATATTGAAACAATGCAAGAGCCTTCCCCAGAATATCATGCTTCTTACCTATTTAAAGAGGAAGAAAGCAAAGATGTACCTTCAACACCGCAAAGAAGAGGCCGCCCTCCTAAAATAAGAGATGGAATTGCTCAGCCCAGAGCTCCGAGGCAGCCTAGAGGCACTGGAAAGCGGGGAAAACGCGCCAAAAAGAATCCAGTTCCAGAAGTTTCTTAACAATTTTATTTAGAATTGAGAATAGACATATAATTAATAAATGGAATCTGAAGAGGAATTTCAAAAAAAGGCGAAGCAGTTATTCTATAAAACTTCGGCACAGCAAGTAGGATTGAGAGCAGTCGAAATTGGTGAAAGGAGTAAGAATGGTATTGATGGAAAATTCACCAGACATTTGCTGGACTCTGGAATGTGGAGGAATAATGGGTTGTATACAAGAGTGGAAAATGATAGATATATAGATGGAAGCAAGGATTGGATGGATAAAATAAACTAAATTATTGAACCTTATTTTTGAAATGGCTTTAATTCTAAGCTATTTTATTTGTAATCTTAAGATTCCCCCTTCCCCCTCAACATGATTGTTGCTTGGAATGAGTTTTGGCTTTAAAAGCACTTTTCCACTGCTCATATTTTTCTTGTAAAATTCCAATGCATCGTTAAGACTTCCCAGCTCGAACTCCTTTGAAATGTCAGTCTTCAACACTTGAGGGAGTAAATTTAGCACTCTATTAGCAATATTCCACTTTGAAATGCTCCCTTTTTCCTTCATTATCCTCTGTAACCAGAGCCCTTCAACTCTTTTATTACTAAAAATCAAAGCAGAAGGGTCAATACCTCCAATATTTTGTCTACTCAAGCTTCCATAAACGTAAACAACCGAGTTTTCACACATTGCATTAATTAAAGTCCCTGTCATTTCTCCAGCAACACAGTCAAAAGCTACAGTTGCATTTAGATTTACTGATAATTTTCTTAGTTCCTGCTGGAAGTTTTCATCAGAAGAGTTTAGAATATATGGGGCCCCGATCTCCCTTAACATTTCGACTTGCTCCTGTCTTCTTACGATGTTCACAATTGGGATATTTTCATGCATGCAGTACCTGAGGAGCATTTTTCCAATAGCAGAAGCTGCAGCTGTTTGTATGACGGCTTGATGTCTTTGCTCTTTTATGATATCCATAAAGCAAATCGCTGTGATTGGGTTAGCGAAAAAGCAAGCTCCTTGTTCGGTAGAAATTTCAGCTGTTAATTTGACACAATTTTTAGCTGATGCAACTACATATTCTGCCCAAGTTCCGTTTCCTTTATCGCAATAGCATGCAACTCGTTTTCCAACCAAACTCCAGCCTAGTAACCCTCCACCGCTTTCAACGACTGTTCCTGAGCCTTCAAGTCCTGGGATAAATGGAAGTTGCTTTTTAATCCCATATTGCCCTTTTAAAGAGACAATGTCTGATGGGTTGATTGGAGCTGCTTCCATACGAATAAGAACTTCTCCTTGCTTAGGACGTGGAATCGGGACTTCTTTTAGTGAAAATTGGTTGAGATCTTCAAGAACTATTGCTTTCATAGTAGACATTATATTATATACGTCACCAAATTTGATAAATTGAATGACATCACCAAAAATGAAGAAGGTAGCTAGAATATTATTATTTATAAATTTTTTCTAAGCTCTCATACTCACTATGAATTTGTCTAAGAATTCTGTTTGTAACTTTCATGCTAAGCACTTCAGTTATGAAAGAGTCATCAAAAATTTGTATTGAGCAAAACGAGCCATGCAATGATGTCAGAAGAGACATAATTTCTTCAAATCTTTGGCTAATTATATTAGTTTCAAGCTTTTTTAAAATAACTAAAGAAGCTTTAAACATAATTTTTCAGCCGTACTAAGTAGCAAATTACGTATAAAAAATGGTCCCATAGTTTAAAAAGGATGTCATGTTTCTGGTTTTGGTTAAGCAAACCAGCAAATAAAGTTAAAAACCAAGGGGATGCGAAATGTGCTGATGTCATCATCTCAGTATTGAGAATTTTATGAACATTAGGCAAGAACAACGCTATTAGCCTGTCAAGCACATAAAAAAGATATTTCAATTTCGAAAGGTCAGTTGCATAAAGATTCTCCATTTTAAATTTTCTGATTAGTTCGCTCATGCCCCAAAAGCAGAAACTTTCGTCATTATTGACCAAATATAAAGTGCCTGCAATATAGTTCATTCCTTGACAGTAACCAACGTCAGTTCTATAGAAAGAATAAGCTTGCAATATATTTTTCAGACTTTCAGAGTCTACCATTGGGTTATTCGAATACGATCTCAAAATGTCCATGGAAATAATGTTTTCGACGTCTTTTATTGAAGATTTATTTGCCTTCAATTGCTCTAAAATTTCATTATAGTTAGCTTTCTCTGTTGGCCTTAGTATAGAAGCCCATACTGTTTTTCTTATTTTAAAATTCGGGCTTTTTAATAGGCTGAATTTTTGGAAATACGGAACCATAATGGAATTTCATGACTTGCAGACAAACAATAAAGATAGCACATCTTTTCTACACAAAAACTGAAGACAAAGTCCAAAATGTAAAAAAAAGCCCCATTGGGCTCTTTCTTGGGAGCGTTTTTTTAAAGACTTCGAGATCTCTCTAGGAGAAATTACTATTTGAGATTGGGCTGAATATAGTTCCCTTATTAAATGCAATATTTTATCTGACTCCAGATTTGACTTTTTTGAGTATTCCAATACCACAGCTTTGGGAAGATCGATAGAGCTGCATATGTTTGACATATAAAATATAAATTGGCCTAAAGTCATAAGAGATGAATTTTTTTCTGCTTTTTCCAAAGAAAACTTATCAAATCCATTTAGCAATGATTTATTCCCTGATTGCAAGATCTTCTTTTTAGTTCTATGAAACTGCTCATTTTCCATTATGATTTTTTTATTAACCACTTCATCTATCGTCTGAATCCAATTATTTTGATTTTTAAATATAGAATGGCTAGAAATAATTTCATATAGGAATTTTTTCGATTGTGTGATGGCATAAAAAAGATGGGAATACATCACAATTTTATAAAAGTAAGTATCATTAAAATCTTTTTCTAATGAGTCCATGACTGTGAAAAATAATTCTCCTAACTTTTGTAGACCTATGTCGTCCATCATTGAGCAATGTCTTACTGATTCAAGAACATCAAAAAAGATTTCTTTTCCTTCATCAATTTGAAGCAGCTCTATGCATTTTTGATAGCCACTATTGGAATCAAGCCCTTCTTCATTGTCAGAAAAGGAGCTTTGCTCAGAAAGCATGCTGTCCATTGAAATCTTTCGCTTTTTTGGAATTAATGAAAATAAGGTTGACTTTATTACATATGTTGTATTATGCATAGGGGTATAAGGTATATCTGAGCTAATATATTCTTCTTCATTGCCAAATGGATCTTGCCCTAGCTCTTTCATACTAATTCTTCATGCTTCATAAGTGATCCAGCCTTCTTTTTCAATAGGATTAATTCCTCCTAAATAATTTATCTCAAATTCTTTTGCATCTTGTGCAGGGTTAATTTCTGAAACTAATTTATTTGCCTTCCTCCCCCCTCCGTGAGCAAACAAAACCATTGGAAAGATCCCTTTTTGCCAAAAAGCCCACCCCGTGAGCGAACAAAAAATTGTTGATATATAAGTGCTAATTATTATAATGAAATCTCTCGCTAATTCTGCTTAATTTTAAACAAATTTCATTTTAAAACTAAAATTTCACAAATTAATTAATATTTGCTTTCCATAATTTATACTTGCTGGGGGAATAAAATGGCGAATGGTCGTGTGGGTCGACCCTTTTTATCAACAGACAAGAAGATTTACAGCTGAGGCTGGCTGTTAACTGGGAAAGTCCCTTCAGGGCAGGCTTGCCCGATATATAGGTTCGGAGAATTCTGAGAGTGAAGAAACGGGTCCGAGGTTGGTCAGCCATGGGCGAGTCGTTAAATTATCAGACAGGGCTGGAGGTTTTCCTTAAGGGGTTTTTGCCCTCCAATTATGTCCTAGATGAAGGGAGGTGGACTCCTCGTTGTTAAATTCTAATTAAAATTTTGTTTTTGTTTGTATTTGCTTTCCAATTTTTTGCGAATTGGGATTTTTTTAAAAATTTTACTATAAAATTTATATAAATTTAATTAACTTGTGATAGAACAAAATTTCACGGAGGGGAGAGTTAGAGACATTTTCTAGCAAATTGTGATAAAGCTTTTTCTCCAATTTTACCATTTTTTCTAAGCTCTTTTTCACAAAGACAACCCTTCCTTCTTCACTCTCGTGAAGAGACAAGATCAATAATTTCCTCGAATTTTCATATTCATTCCATAATTTCTTTTCCTCTGCCAGTGAGCCAAAATATTTTTCAGATGCTTTTTCAGCACACAATTTCATTTCAGTTGTGTTTCTTGTTGCTAATTCAATCCTTTCAGTGTCATCTTCTAAATTTTGCATGAATTCAGCTTTTTCAGCTTTTACCATTGCTTTGAAATATTCATTTCTATGTGTATTTAGATTTTCCCTAGCCTTACCAAGCTTTCGCAAAGCTTTCCTCGTTTTCTCTAAGGATTGTGTGAAATTATGTATATAGCTGTCTTTATAACTTTCAAGAGCTTCAGCAATTTGTGATTCCAAATTTCTATATAATTTTTACTCAGCGAACTTAAAATACTCATTGGAAACGTCTTTTGTAATTTTTGCAATATTTGTTATGAAAGCAGACAAGGTATTTGCTTTGTCACTAGTCTCAAAATCATCTGCGTAATCACTTATAAGCAAGCCCATCTCCTCATGAATACGTTTAAATCGTTTGAAAAAGATACTTATTTCTGATAGGCTAGCAGAACTATGTAGAAGATAAGATTTCGGATGCTCAAATATATCTGATTTCATAATTAAAATATAAAATTCTTAATTTATCGAAACTCTTGAGGCACATGACTCGATTGACGACCGATGGCTTAACCTCCTTACAGGAGTGTCTACTCCTACTCTCGGAGTTAAATTATCTTCTTCGAAATCTAAGTAATAATTACTCTGCATTATTTTCTTGAAATCTTCAAATGAAAAGCCTTTTGCTGAATCAAATTTGATTTCTGCAAGCAAGCTAGAAAATTCTTCTTCTGTAAATTCACACCCAAACTTCATCAATGCTTGCTTAAGAGTATCCAGATAGATTACTCCTTTATTTTCTGGATCAAAATCTCTATAAGCATCCCACATTAGTTCTTCATTCATTAAGTACTTTCTATCGAGCGTGGCGATCAGAAAACTTGTATAATTTATTTTCCCTGCTTCTTTTCCATACTTATGAAAAATTGATGTAATTTCTTCATTTCTGATCTCCATTCCGCATTTATTCATCGCTTCTTCTAATTTCGCGTATGTAATATACCCAGTGCCAGCTGCATCTAAGGCAACAAAAGCTGTTTTTAGCTCTCTTATTTTATCTGCTGAAAGATATCTGAGGATAGCTTTCATTCCTTCAATTCATAATTTACTGTGGTTTTGCTGCTTTCTGATTCTTACAAGTACATCTCTTGAAACGGCGTTGCTTTGAGTTGAATCGCATTCCATGTGAAATCACTCGTGCTGTAAAGCTGTAGCTGCGTCAATTCTTAAAATTGGATTTTTTTGAAGCATTCCAGCAACTAAATGTCTTGATTGAGGTGAGACATAAATTCATTCGTCGTTGTTTAAGTTCACTTCTCCTTTCATCACTTTTCTCAAAGTAAAATCTTTGGATTCGCTCGCAAACGGATTTCTCCCAGTTAGGAGCTGATAGAGAATCACACCAAGCGACCAAATGTCGCATTCTCTACCATACTGTCCAGATAAAACTTCAGGAGCTACATAACTCAGAGTGCCTACCATTGTTTTCATTTGCTCTCCTGGCTCCACAAAAAGGCTGACTCCAAAATCCAAAATTTTCAGCTCCGCATCTTCATCTTGTGAAGAAAATAAAAAGTTTTCAGGCTTCAAGTCTCTATGGCAAATATTTAGCGCATGCAAATAATTTACTGCCGAAAGCAACTTCTTCATAATGATTCTTGCTTCTTCTTCACTGATATAGTCTTGTTTTATAATATACTCAAATAAGTCCCCGCCTGTGCACAATTCAGTCACTATATGCAAATACATTTGGTCTTCATAAATTTCATAGACTTTAATTATATTTGGATGGTCAACTTGTCTTAAAATTTCTAGCTCTCTCCTTAGCATTGCTAAATCTTTCCCTAGCTTCTTTTTAGTGATCGATTTTACAGCAAATTTCTTTCCATCTAGAAACCTTCGCGATCCTAATAGCGTGTTTTGCCTTGACAAGCTTTCTTTTTTGATCGTATTTAATTTTACAGCTTCTCTTACAGTGCCAAATTTACCATGACCAATAACTTTTATAAATTCATAATGGTTTCTTATATCTGATTAGAAAATACTGTCAAAAATGATGAAATTCCCATCCATGATGTCAGACTTGAATATAATCGGCGCATTGATAGGCAATCGAAATTGATGTTCGCTTGGACAGCAGACTCCCATTTATATTTAAATTATATTAATCAATTAATATCAAGTCCCAGTGATGTAGCCTTTCTCTTGTTTCGCTGGCTTTTTGGATTGAATGAACTCAGCTAGCTTCTTTTTCTCCTCCAGCAATTTTTCTTTTCGCTTTTCCTCATTCTTTTTATTCAGCTCTTCAATTTTAATGATCGATTCCAATCGTGCTAGCTCTTCTTTCTTTTTGGCATATTCATATTTCTTGAGTTTTTCCATCTCCCTGATCCTTTTTTCTCTCCTGATTTGCCTTTTCCTTTCTTTTTCAGCTTCAATTAATCTCAGCTCATCTTGTTCTTTTCTTTTTTCATAACTCCCCCCCCCCCTCCGTGAGCGAACAAAACAATTTGTTCGCTCACGGAGGGGGGTTAATTTTTTTTTTTTAAAAAAAAATTTTATATATAAATTTTATAAAAAAATATTTTTTCGAAATTTAAAAAAAATCCTAATTTGCAAAAATTGGGAAGCAAAATATTAATTTAATTTGCAAAATTTATGTTTTAAAACGCAATTTGTTTAAAATTAAACAGAATTAGCTCTAGATTTCATTATACTAATTATCACTTATATATCAAAATTTTTTTCCATTAAAATTTTTTCTATTAAAAAAATTTTTGTTCACTCACGGAGGGTGGGTTTTTGGTCAAAAAATGGCGATTTTTCTAATGGTTTTGTTCGCTCACGGAGGGGGGGGGGGGAGTAAGCAACTCTGTCAAGCTCTAGCTTGAATTTCATTTTTCTTTCAGTATCGAGCTCATCTAGCCATGTGAGTCTATGGTGGGCATTTCTTATTTTTTCTCCAACGTTCTTGATTTCTTCATCTTGCCCCGAATACTTTTCAGAAATCAAGTCTTTGAATGATCTAATGTTTTTTGTCGATTTTGCTAGTACACTTGTTCTTCCTAAAGGAGTTATGTCAGCTGGAAATGAAGAAATATAAGTCGAAAAATTCTTATTGCTGACTGTATGAGGGTACGGAGACTCTGACTGGCATTTGTTACGTAAGTCAGCATCTTCTACAAAAATAATGCGTCTTGTGTTTTTGTTGGATTTTGAAGGAGAATAGTTAGGGTTTTCTTGGTCAGAAATTTCTGGAGAAACTTTTTGGGATTTTGACTGGTTAGGTTTAGGGATTGTGAGGAATTCGTTTTCAACAGCAGGAGATTTTGATCCTGATGTGTAGTCTTCTTCACTACTTTCAGATTTTTTCGTTGTTTCGGCGTCTTTTATTTCTGCTTTCCTTCTTAAATATTCATTTTCTTGTTCGAGCTCAATTATTCTTTGATTAAGCTCTAATGCATTTTCACTAAGCCTTACAGCACTTAAAAGACTTTTCAATTGTTTAATCTCTTCTTGAAGATTCAAAATAATCTCATTTGAATTTTGTGTATCGGGCTCATTTCGTTTAGCTCTTGTCATAATTTCTTTAGCTCTGTCAGCAAATATTAGTGTGTTTATCGTTGTGTCTACATGTTCTGCTTGAGGTGAAACAGTTGCGATAAGGATGGTTTTTGTATTTCCACCTAGAGAATCTTGAAGAAGTCTAGTCAATTTAGAATCTCTATACGGCACATGCTCTCTTTTACCATTTGCTAAGGCATGTATAACCATTCCTAGAGTGCTCAAAGACTTATTGATATTTTTCAATTCTTTTACCTGTGGGCTATTCATATCATACTCCCTATCATATCTTTCGCACCCAGCCAAATCACAAAGACTTAATTTACTTTTTTTGAAATTTCCTTTCGAGGAATTTACATAAAACTGGAAAATTGAATGAGACCTGCTGCTTTGATTATTCAGCTTAGTCTGCCTAACTGCCCTATTTTTTACACCTTCTGACAGCAATGAAATGCAATCTTCAATTGATTTTACGGCTCTTTCATTAAGCCCTTCGATAAAGATTTCATTTTTATTTTCTCTTATTCTTAAGGGTTTCGCGCGAGCAGGATCCAATAAAAGATCATAAAGGTGCTCGTTATAGATTTGAAATAAATTCATATTAAAAAAGATGTCTTCCTTTGCGTTATAAAAAAGATTTGTGATAGCTCGTGGAATTATTCCTTGGTTTAGCACGCCCGGAAGTTTTTCTTCATAATTATAGTCTTCCCAGCCTGTGCCGAAGATAGTGTGTGTTTTCCCAGATCCTGTTTGACCGTATGCAAATATAGTAGTATTGTAGCCTTCTAAGGTTTGTAAAATTGAAGGGGATACAAAGGTAAAAACATCTTCCTGTGAAGAATCCGGAGAAAATACTTTTGTGTATTGGCTTGTGATTGTGTGCTCACTATCATCGATATGAATTGTATTCTCCTGAGGTAAAATTTACATTTTCAATCCTAATTATTTGGCGTTGAGGATTATTGCTAGTGAGAAATGGTCTAACCCTTACAGCAACTTTAAGAAACTCCTCTTGATTATCCATATTTCAGCGTTAATATATGAAAAAAAATTTTAGTGCTTTTATTTTTTAATAAAGTATTTAATTTGAAAATATTATCATTCCATAAATGATTTGCAAGATCTGTAAATATCCATATCAAAGGTATAATAAATAATTCTGATTTTCATAGAGATTTTTCATAGGCTATTTTTCTAAAATCTATTTGTTTGATTACTGCTCCGCTTAAGCTTATTACTTTAAAGGTGCTACTTTGAAATACAGCTTGTAATTAAAACTGCAAAAATGAAAGGTGCTGCTCTATTTTTTGTTTTATCCACAGTTTTGTCATTAGACTGAAGTAGCTACGCAGTCAATACTTTTAATAATGAATACAAAGAAGTTACTGGAAAAAAAGAAGTTCTTTATCAATTAATCGATACATTGTACAAATACGACCAGCGAGTAAATGGTTTTAATCATCATCTTTTGCTTTTACTAAACAGCACACATTTTGGATCACTCTCAATGCACTTGGTAACTATATTCAGCAATTTCCAAGAGACAGAAATTGAAATAACTGATCATATTGCTCTAAAAGTATTTCCTGATAATAATTCAAGTGCTGTGATATCAAAAGCTCTATCAAATTATTTAAATAAAACAAGTGTCAAACTTGGAGATATTGAGTGCTTTAGACAAGATTTTCAAGTTCCTTCTTCATATGGTATCGATAATTTAACTGAAACAATTGACTACAGTTTAATTAGCGCGGTCGCTTATTATCAGGGAAATGAATATGCAATTTATGTATCAATTATTCCCGGAAAGGAAAAAGGTTATGTATGGCAAACAATCAATCAATCATCCAAAAAGCTAGGAACAATGCTTTTTCCTATTGTAGTTACAGCGATTATTTCGGCAGCAGTAACTTTCTTAGCCATAACCACTTATATAAATCGTAAAAAAGATCCATTTCAAAAGCAGGTTGATACTGACCCAAGAACACTTGAATTAGAAAAGAATGCAGAAAGCGATGGATAATTAATTTAATAAAATAATGCCTCTCTATAGAGTTAAAACTAAAGCGCAAAATTAACACACAATAATTTGAATTTAATTAGCCAAAGGAATCCATGTATTCGTGACAATATTATATTTCAGAATGTAGTTTTCCTTGTTGATTGAATATAGCATGTGCCCTTTTCTTGTAACGTGGAGCCAGAAGAACAGCCAAGTTGAAGTTAGAGGTATGCTCGCACTATTATAGAACTCATCTGTTGTTGTATTATACACATAAGACATCCTATGTGGCTCATCGCTAGGCCCTTCTCCTCCAAATATCAAGATCTGCGAAGAATCCAAAGCATAGCAGCCATGCTGCCAGAGTCTATCAGGAAGAACTGTAGGCAGTAACTGCCAATTATTAACTTCAATAGAATATCTTTCAATAGTATTGTTGACTGTATTTTGATAGCCTCCAAACACATAAATGAAATTTTTAATATGAACCCCAGAAGCACAAGTTCTTCCATAAGTCATGCTGGCAATACTTCTTCAGCTCTGTGTGGCCAAATTCAAGACTTCGCAGTGGTTTAGGGTTTGGTTGATTTCGTTTTTGCCTGAAAGAACATATACTTCGTTATTTATTAGTAAGCATATATGAGAAGAATGGCCATTGATCATATTTGGGGCTGGCATCGTGTCACCTGTCTCTGGGTTTAAATAGAAGGCAGCAAGTTTTGCCCCAGATTCTTTGCTAGGCTTTCCTCCTGTGATTAAGATATTTCCGTTTGGCAAGAGCACAAAGCCTGACCATCGAGGAATTATATCAGCAGATCTAATAGACATAGTTGCGACCCTTTGATTTTCTAAATCGTAGCAAACGTACTCTTTGCTTCCTCTGCTTAAATAGTATAATTTGTTGCTTTCTACGATTTCCGATGTTTTCATCTCTAAAATGCACAGTGACTCTAACAGATTATTCAGTGCACTCTGGTTTTTGAACTGCAGCAGCACTTCTGGCTTATCACCAATAATCAGTTGAGGATCTATTGTTGCAAGCTCTTTTGATTTTTGGTATAGTGATAAATCATCTGACAAGTTCGAGAGCTCTTGTGCTTGCTTAAGCACGCCTTCAAGAATAACGATTTTTTCAAATAAATTTTGTTTAAGCGTTTCATAGCTCTTACAAATTTTTGTTTTTGTGCTGTTTCTAATAGCTTCAACTTTCGAGTTCAGCTGATTGCAAACTTCATCCAGTTCATTAGTATTTTTCTGCTGCTGCTCTTCTAGCTCGTTAAACTGATGCTTGATCTCTTCTTTCGTTGTTGTGATTTTGCTATAAATCTGGGGCAAGATTTCTTTTGTTTGGAGGATTTCATTAGCAAGCCTAAGTTTCGCATCTTCTCTCGTTAGAATTACGTGCCCATTGTGGAGTGCTGAAAACTGTGCACACTTCATGCAGCATTTTACACAATCAGTCATGCAAAATAAGTCTTCTTCTAAGTGATGCTCCATGCACAGTTCTTGCTTCACTTTGCTTAAGTGTAGGATTTTATGATGGGCAAATCTTGGCTTTGATAAGTGAGAAATAGAGCAGTCTTGGCAAAGAGTGGATTCGCATGTTATGCACTCGCTGGTCGCGTATTTGGGGTTTTCAACACAGAGCTGGCAAAGAATATGAGAAGATGGCTCTTGGGCTGTTTTTCAGCTTTCAATTATATTCTTTAGAACAAGGTTCTTGGGAAGACATTCAGGAGAAAGCGATGTCAGAAAGGTACAGCCTCTGCAGATGGGGCATGAAAACACTTTTGACTAAGGAGAAATTACGTCTTTTTCTCGGAGACTAAGTACTGTGATGAGCTGAGCTGCGCACTCATAGCAGAGATTGTGAGAGCAGCTTAAGATAATCGGATCTTTTAGAATGTCAAGGCAAACAGGGCACATACACTCTTTGTCTATTCTAAGCATTTATTATTATTTGTTAAAATATTGACATGTTGAAAGAAATTTAAAATCTCAATTTCTCGAAAATCAATTTTTTATTTACTCAAAAAATAAATTTCAATATACTTATAAAGAATTTTTAATTATCCACTAACTTGATATACACAGATATTGAGAAAACGATCAATTGCTTAAAAGAATTTGTGCAGCAACGGCGAATTCATTTTTTATCAAATTAGCTCCATCCAAAGAGCAGACGTCACCAAGATTTCTTTTAGTTTCAAAAGGATCTTGAATGTAGATGCTCGTTTTCATTTGTTCAACAGGAGTTTTATATCTTGGCTCTAAAGTTGTGATGTCAACGACCATTAAATTTCACTCGAAAATTGCATAGAATTTAAAGAACTCAAACAATAAATAGCCTAGGCTTTCTTTGTTTTCAGCTGCAAGGGATTGGTAATTTAAGAAGTCGCAATCAAACATGCATTCAAATCCTTTTATTAATTTGGATTCTCCAGATGACTGCAGAATTGGAAGAATTGGGGTTGCTTGCTGCTGTAGGAAATAAATCACTAGAATAATTAGAGCATATGATGAAAGCGTTCCGTTCTTTGGATCTGAAATTGATCTCTTTTTTGCCCAAACTTTAATTGCAATTCCTAATTTTTCAACTCTTTCGTCTATCCTACTATAAGTATATAACAATCGGCTATTTTCAACGGCCAGATCGTTATTCAGTGAAATATCAATATCAAGCTGCGGAATCCTTGGCGTTTTAAAATGCACAATCTTTACTCTTGCAGAATCTATTGCATTTACATCAACTGCATTATTAACGTCAAAAGCCCTGCAAAGCATAGTAATAATCAAATACTCACAAAGCTCTCTTGTCGATTCTTCACCGAAAAGCTCAGCCATTGAGTCAAAGCTCTCTTCGCTCTTTAAAGCATCAAGAACATCTATTGACAAGCTCAAATCTAAGTCGCTTGAAAGTGTCCCAAATCCATTTGCATTGGATCCGTACATTTGAATTTTTGAGTTTGGATAATATTTTTGTATAATTTTTTCAATTACATTGATATTAAGTTCTTGATAATCTTTAAGCTGCTGCGTTAATTTATGCTCCTCATACAAATTTTCTATTTCGCTTGCTATTTCTATCGTTCTTTCAATAGGAATATTTTCTGAAATTGATAAAAGATCAATTGGATTTATGATGTGACTTTTCTTGGCAATTGGGAATTTAGGCTTTCTGTACTTTAGTAAATTTACATGCATGTCATTAAGGTGGTTTTTTAAGTCATACTTATTTGTAAAGCTGCTATCGCAACAGGGACATTCAATGATTTCTTCATCAAGTGATATGGCGAAATAGTTTATTTCTGATGAGCCTTCGCTTAATTGATGACTTTGGGCTTCTTCATCTTTTTGATTCTCGCTTATATTACTTTCAGTTAAATTTTCTTCATTTATTGGAACAGGTAATTCCATCAATGGTGGTCTAATTGCTGACATTATTGCTTCAACGGTAATTTTAGGAGGACTCAGAGTAGATGAAGAACAATTTTGAATAGTCTTGCCTGAACTAGTGTCTTCTCCATCATTTTCATCAGTTTGCTGCAGTGTATGATTGGATACATTTGGAGGGAAGCTCATTTTTAAATTATTTCATATTTAATCTTCTTTAGCATATAATGTTAAGACTAATCTCTAATCTTAGTAAGTTATATCTCATAAAAATCAGCTGATACATAAAAGCTTAAAAAATTATTCAGAACTAATGGTTAACTACTATCCTATTAGAATTTAATTTAATTGGAGTATAAAATGATGAGAGCAGTGACAACAGCAGGATTTGGAGATATAGATGTCCTTCAGGTCTCAGAAATTCCTAGGCCGATTCCTGGAGAAAATGAAGTCTTCTCCCCCATCTGAGAGCGAACAAAACCATTGGAAACCTGCTTTCTTCAAGCGACACAAAGACTTTTAGATGCCAGAGATAACTGTTATAATGAATTCCCTAACCTTATTTAATTCCATTTCTAATTGAAAAAGATTAATATCAAATTGTATATAAAAAAAATGAAAAACTTATGGGCAGGCAAAAAAAAATTTTCCTCGCTCAGAGAGTGGAGTGGAATTAGTAAAAATTCATGCATCGGCCTTGAATCGTGCAGATACTTTACAAAGAAAGGGATTATATCCCCCTCCTCCTGGAGCTTCAAACATAATAGGTCTAGAATGTACAGGAGAAGTAGCAGAATCAGTAGGAAGCTGGGCTTCTGGAAAAAGAGTGATGTCCATTCTTTCTGGCGGTGGCTATGCTGAATATGCTACTATCCCTTCAGATCATTTAATTCCCATTCCTGATAATTTGTCCTATGAAGAGGCTGCAGCAATTCCTGAAGGATGGATCACTGCTTATCAAATTTTATTTTATATTGCTAAAGGAAAACCCCAAGAAAAAGTCCTAATCCATGCTGGAGCCAGTGGCGTTGGAACTGCTCTCATTCAACTCGCAAAATTAAAAGGACTTCTCGTAGCAGTCACTTGTGGAAGTCAAGAAAAAATGGATTTTTGTCGAAATTTAGGTGCTGATCTTGCCATTAACTATAAAACAGAATCATTTAAAGAGAAAATAAGAGATTTTGGAGGAGTTGATATTGTCCTTGATTGCATAGGTGCTAATTATTTTGAAGATAATTTAGATGCGATAAATCTTGATGGAAGGTGGATTATTTACGGGACTATGGGAGGGCACCAAGTAAATCAAGTATCTTTAAGAGGACTGATGGCAAAAAGAGTAAGTCTGATTACGACAACTCTTAGAAGTAGATCGAAGGAATATAAAGCTGACTTGATAAAAGAATTTATAAATGATGGGATTCTGGATGCTTTTCAGAATGGGATTTTAAAGCCTATTCTTTATCGCACTTTTTCAATGGAAGAAGTTGCACTTGCTCACGAACTCATGGAGAAAAATGAAAATTCAGGTAAAATTGTCTTAAAAATCATAAGTTTGTTTAAATAGAATTCTATTGCATTATCCATTTAAATAGAAACAAGCATAGTAAAATTTTAAACTCTAGCGACATTAATTTGGGTATAAAGCTATTATATATAAATTATTATTTTTCCTATAAAAATAAGATTTTGCTGAAATTTAAAGGGTGGGAGTAAGAATTCATGACAAAAAGAATATTATATTTATAGTTCATATGAAAATATTCATAATTAAAATATGGCGACACTCGAATTTTCTGGTCTCCCCCGACCGAAATTCGTCTCTTGCATATTTTAATTATGAGGTTTGGTTCCCCTGACGAAATTATCCCAACTATGTCAAGGAAGCAAGAGCCGGGCGGTTTTTATGTACCGAAGTCCTGACCTTAGAGAAAGGATTTTTCCTGAAGGGTGCTACTTACTAGGGCGGTGGACTGGAGCCTTTAGGATGCCACTCGGACCCAAGTAAGTGTCTGAGCTCAAAGAAGAGTCACCGAACCCAAACTTCAAGAGTGGCGTCTTCACTAGTGAACAAAGTCCTAGGTGACCACATATTTGGTGGGCCCTGAAAAAATTGCACCAAGATTCTCCCCACGCATTATAGATTAATTAAGATTCAATAAAATATTTCTGCTATTTAGTTATACATTTTCTTAGTTTGTGAACAGAATTTTTGAAATTTTCGATAATTTGTGTTTCTATCTCTTTTCCTTGAATTTTTGGATCCAACTGTTGAATTAATGTTACACGAGTGCCAGCATTTATTTCTTCGACAATTGTCATCTGAAATATAGTTTCTCCATTTCCTTCTACTTCAGGCTGCTCTTTATCATCTACTGCTATTGAAACGATCATTCCTCCAGTTGCTCTGGTCGACCATCTGTCCACAAACTTCCTTTCTTTACCTTTAAATATTCTTGTCGTTAGCAGAACAGAATCTTCAAATGTTTTCCCTGTTATCAATGTAATGGCATCTACAGAAGTATCCCAATTTTTTATAAGCTCAGGCTTATGTAAAATTTCCACTATCTTGAAAAGTGGAATATTTGGCTCAAAGATAATTTTGCTTCTCACCATTACAAGATTCTCTTTGAACATACTGGCAGGCCTTTGCTCTACTTTGAGATTAGGCTCAGAAATTATTTGTGTTCATTCACGATTTTCTGATAAAATGGAAAAAGAGTCAAAAACTAAATCAAACTTTTTATTTGGAAATAGAAGTTCCTCTAAGGTTTTTATTGAAAACTGGCTGCGAACTTGATGGAATTCATCGCTTTCTTTATGGCTTTCAAACCTAGAGTAGACTTCTGAGAGCTCTTGCCCATACTCCTCTAAGGATTGCTTTTTATGTTTTTCTTTAACTATACTTGTAGAGGGCTCTGAGTGAGATTTTTCAGATTGTTGGCATTGAAAATTACTGTTTGTGTTTACTTTCTGGCCTGATCTTAGGATCACTTCAGGATGCTCACATACTGGATCAGAGTCTTTATTTTGACAGCAGCCCATATTAAAAAAATAAAATGTCAACCATTAAAAAGCCTCTGATAAGAATTTTATATCATTCACATATTTTATAAGAACTAATCCATCTAAGAGCCAAAGACTAACATTTTTTAATTTATTAACAATTGTTTATAAATTTAAAATTATCTAATTACATAATTTATATTTTCGGTTTATCCAGCTGAATATTTGAGGCACTGACATGACGAATAAGATCAGAACTTCCTTTAGTATCATCAGAATAAAACTTTTGCGTGGCTCTCCTTCCCTTTGATTTAGCTTCCCACATTGCTAAATTCTTCTTCATTTGCTCAAGTACAAGTGTATTTACTACGTCAGATTTCAAATAATTGCACCAAACTTCAAATAATGGTAACTCCCCCCCAATCTTGATCGAACGATTGACTGTAAAAATTCCTAAAAATTGGGGAAATTAACCCCCATCCTTGATCGAACGATTTTCATATCATGACAATTTTTATATATATAAAAATATAATAGTTATCAAAAGCTTGGGAAGATGTACCTAATGAAGTTGTTTTCAGAGACTTTGAGACGATAGAAAGCTTCGGAATCAACTATTCAAAGTAATTTAGTCATCAACATGGGCTTTAAAAAAAAACTCAATAATCTAATAAAATAGAGATTTTTTAAAATTTTTAAAAAACAAATTTTAATTTAATAAGTAACAAATTAAAATTTATACAGTTTAAAGGGGTAACTAATAAATTAAAATATAAAAAATTGGTATTTTATGAAATTAATTTAATTTTTTGCTGTAAAAATAATTATTAAATACTCTTAACCCTCTTATTTAAAAGTAAATAAAAAACAATTTATATATATATTTTATTTTATATATAAATTTTTTTTCCCCAAAAAAAGTTTTTTTAACCCCTATCCTTGATCGAACGATGGCGAGTCGTTCGATCAAGGATGGGGGGGGAGTAAGCAAATATTCTTAATGAATCCGGCTTGACTTTTTGGAATATTTGTTGTTTCTCTATCACAGTACATTGAAACTGGCTGCTGCTTTTGTTTTTCAAAGTCTCCTTGGTTGAAAAATTCTTCACAAACCAATTGTGTTCATTTTTCATGGAGATCTTTTGCTTTAGCACTATGCCCAATATCTGAGCATTTAAGCCCCATAGCCATAATAATCATTTTGTCATCTGACTTCTCTATGTCAATGTCAGATAAATTAACAGCTCTCGTCTTAAATCTTCCAAGAATTTCAAAATGTTTAGACATATCTGTTTCTAATATCATTTCTATGATGAGTTTTCGAGCCTTGAACCAGTCAGCACTTACTAATCCAGCTAAAATATTGCAGTTTTGTTTCTGCATCATAGTGAATGTGGTTGAGCAATGCATGTTTTCTAAAACACTTTGGTCATTGTACTGAAAAGCTAACTCATCTTTATTATTTATTAAATAACGGTTTGTCACAGCTGGATGGCCAACATCATGGCCTAACGCAGCAATTATAGAAGATAGCATATCTAGTGCTGAGAGATAAGCGTGAAGAGTAGTTTGATGATAAAAGAACAGAAGCGAGTGGCATACATCAGCAGCATGGCAGGCATTATGATATGGGTTATTTTTATAGCTCGATTCCATTTCTTTGAAATACAAATCACTTATATTTTCAGCAATGCTAAAGGTTTCATTTAGTTTTCATTTTTTTAAGAGATATTTGGCGATTACAAAAACGCTACTTCCAGTAGCATTATATATAAATCAAATATCAAAGTTTCAGTTTCTACCTAGTGTTGCCAAAACACTTTCAAGCTTAGAAGTTCCATAATTGCTGAAAGGAAATGCTTTTTTATTTTTCGCATTTTCTTCGGTAAGGGTAAACTTTTTGGTTGCTGACCTTTCAAAAACTTCATTTTCATGCTTAATCTCCATGTAATTTTGATTGATAAATGCTTTATCTTCTTCATCAATTGCTTCAGGCTCTTTAAATCGGATTTCTTTATAGTAGTGCCCATGGGCGATTCTTCTTTTGATTTTTTCTACTTCAATGCTTGCATTTTTAAGCCTATTTTTAACATCAGCGAACATAACAACAGAGTACCCATATTTAATATCATTTTTTATCGAGTCGCACGAGCTTACTAGATGCTCAATTTCTGACTTTACCACATCTTGCATATCAACATCAATTTCTGGAATGTCAAAATTTTCTTTCTCACACTCTGATCTGTAAAATAACTGCCTTGATCTGTAATCGTATTTGTGGGCTTCTATCACTTGCAAGCCCAAAAATAAAACCATAATTAAGCATTCAGCTAAAACTGAGTAATGGCTTAATGGAGAGTATCCAAGGGAAAAAGATAAAAATAAAAGTACACTCGTAATAGACAATATGGCTATTAAATAAAAACTGTCATATAAAATGTTTCGCATCATCACAATCCAACATACAACTCCAATAGTATTTGGGATTTGACTAGGCTTATAGCTTTCTGAAATGAGGCCAGTTAAAACTCTTTCATCGCCAATGATTAAATAAATTAAAAACAGAACTCCAACTGCTACTAAAATGAAGCGGCAGTGATAGAGGCAATAAGGACTTCTATGGAAGGAGTATAAAGCAAGATATGAAATAGCCAAAATTGTTGTTAAATAAACAAGGTGAAATGTCAAATGTGAGTCAGAAATTTTGCCCTCAGAATTCAGTAGAATAGAAAAAGCAACTAAAATTGTAATGTACAGTGTCAAATAAATATAAAACACCATCAGCTGGTTTCTGAACTCTAGATAATTAAAATATGGTGTCTCCGCCTAGCATAGCCTCCGGCCATGCAACTTCCGAGCACATATTTTAATTATATCCGGCAAGGTTTTACCAATCTAGAAATGGACAGCAATGCTAGATAAGCAATTCTGGTAATGTACAGAGCTAGCCCTCAGTCCGATTTCAGGGTTGGGTTTTACCTCGAGGGAAAGGAGGGTTTAGGTTTGGAAAGGGCAAGCCCAGCTAAGTCTGTAGGTAATACCCAGACCAATCGGGCAACTGCCTAGCGTGGAACCGGGCGTTACGTCCCGGATCTAGACTTTTCCTTTTTGCCGAGAGGTCGAACAGAAATTCCATTTTTTGGAATTTTTTGATGGCCAACCTCGTTCACCCATGCAGCAGCCGCAGAAGTCCAGTGTCCGCCCACTCAACACTGGGCCCGACAAGGGAAGGAGGAGACGTACGAAGCAAAACCCCATACTTCAGAAGTGCCATGGCATCAGGCGCTGAAGGAGAAGAAAGGCAGTGTCAGAGCCGACCACTTGCCCGGCGAAGCATTGTCCAAATTCAATCAAGGCGAAGCTGAAGACGGCGCAAAGCGGATGAACCTCCCGTATGGGAAGGTCCTTGGTGACTGCGTAACCAATAAGGCAGACGCCACCTGTAATAATGTTAATAATGTTAATGGTTTCTGAACTCTAAGGACATCATTTTGCTGTCTTTTCTGTCACAATAAATACCTTTGATAAATTTTTCTTCCATCAATGGACTCAGAAAATTTAGCATGTTTGGGTTTATCGGAATTGCGGGGTCTTCGTGACTTTCATGGCCTAAAAATCCATAAGTTGCGGGCCTATGATGAAAAATTAAAGACGGGGAGATCTCGCCTCTACTTGAATTAGACATAAGTAATTATATAGGCAGTATTAAATGGATTTATTCAAAATAGAGCTAGTTAAATATAATTAAATGTCTTTTATTATCTACCAAATAGTGATTTTTCTTAATTTTTAAATTATGTTAGCATCTATATTTTGACAAGTTGTGGCAATAAAGAATTTGGTGGTTAGTAAATATTTTCAAAAAAAAATAAGAAATTTGATCTTTTAAATAACACCCATTATGATATGCAGATGAAAATTGCCCCATCAGTGGAGATTATTCGAAAGAGAAATTATTAGATGGACTCATTTTTAAATATTATGGATATTACTATGAATTCAATATTAAAATCAACAAAATCAATCGTTAAATGTATAAGCTAACCTTGCTAATTTCTCATTAGCTCATTAGCTTTGTTTGGATACACTAAAATGGCGTGGTGAATCAGCCCCCCCCCTTAAACTCCTGTGTACCGATCCCGAAAGGTGACAGGGACCTTGAGGGAGGGATGCTGACATTCGATACGAGTATCCGCTAAATTTTTCTTGGTTTGGTGGCGCAATGTTTGGCTGACCGACCGCAACTTTATTCCAATGGCAAGTTTTTGCCTCAGAGAGAGACGGATCCTGAAGTTGGAAAGGGGTTTTCGCGTTCGTCTTGAAAATTAGGACTATTCCTAGCATGAAACCAGAAGTTACGGATTTCCATCTTTGCCTAGAATCATAGGGGTTTCAATAATGTGTGAAGCATTGTTATAATAAGTATAAGGATTGAGAAATAGAAATCCAAAAAGTGAAATGTAAAGTAAAATAAAATAAATAATGAGTTCATTTATGCGAATGAATTCATTGGGGGAAAATATGTTTATAAATAAATTAAGTAGAGAAAGTTAATAAAATTAGATCCCTTCAAATACCAACAATTTCTAATGTATGCTTAATGCTTTCAAAGGATTAAGAATATATTAAAAAATTAGAAAATTAAATTATTTTATTATCATCTAGCCAGATGTCAATCTTTCTTGAGACCCTAAAATATTTTTTATTTTGCATTGCTTTTAATTTTATCTCTAAAAAATTCTCTATTAGTTAACATTAAATTATGTCTCAAATTGAAGTTTCCAATCTGGTTTGCTTTGTCGTAGAAAACGAATTATTAAAAATCCACAAAGACACCCTACTTAAAAAGCCTTATTTCCAAGAAATCCTGACTGGATCAGAGACTTATCCAGAAGTTCGAATATACTTGCCTGACTGAATGTCAAGTGCTGCATTTCATCTCTATCTCTCTTACATAGAGTCTTCAAAGCTTCCAAAAACAGACTCTCAAACCGCTCGGAAGCTGCTGTGGACTGCAGACTTTTTTCAAGATGAAGAGTTACAAAAGTCATTAATCGTTGACTGCATAATCCCACATTTAACCAAAGACAGTGTTTTGCTATTCCTTCAGGATGCATTTACCAAGTTATCGAATTCTAAATCTGAATGCTGGTTTGAACTTTATCACAGCTGCTTATTGTTCATAGCAGAAAACTCTCATTACATCTTCTCTCAGTTTCAAAGTGTTATAGAAGGAATGGATCACAAACTAATTGAGGATGTTATGAGATATTCAATGGGCAGGACTCTGAGGATTTCTAATACAGATAATTCTTTTATCCTTGAAAAAATAAAAGCTCTGCATAATGCAACTGGCTTTGTGAATCTATTAGAAATTGAAGAAAAAAGGATCACTGAAAACTTTGATTGTGAAATCCCTATTTTTGAGTGGGAAATTTCTGATTTTACTTCGGGAAACTTTTATAAGGAATCAAAGACGTTTATGATTGGAGAGTCTGAATGAGTATTGTGTATATGAAGTTTTGAGCATGAAAATAGATGCGAAATTTCCATAAAGTATGTACAGTCTGGAGAAATATTTTCTAAAGATTGTATAGTCACACTTTCGTTACTTATACAAACTGAAGATGAAAAAATTCAGCTGAAGCCTAAGCTAGTTCCTCTGCTATTGGATTCAAAAACTCACTCCACAGGAAGAGCGAGCAAGAATTTTTTCGCTTTGTAGGGGTTAATTTTTTTAAATATATTATAAAATCTTTTTCTGAATTTTAATAATCCTAATTTCCAAATATTTTTAAATGTATTTTTAAGAATTTAGTCTGTGTAAATTTTAATAGAAATAGCTAAAGATCTTGCTATAGCAATTATTAATTATATAAATAAATATTTTATATAAAAATTATATTAGAAATGTAATTTGTTCGCTCTTAAAGAGGCTAATTTTCTGAAATAGGAATTTTCCAAAGGTCTTATTCTCTTTTAGAGAAAGGAGTCAGTCTATTATAAGATCAATATCTCCATTTAGTCCTCAAGAAACATCAATGATGAAGCTAAGATTATTTGGGAAAATTGAGTACCTTTATTCAGTTTTATTACAGCACATTGCAAGAAATCCAGATATATCTTTAGAAGCTGAAGATTTGAGGTTGCTTCCCAGAGACAAGCTAGAAGCAATGCTTTCTTATAAATATCTAAATGTAAATTCAGAAGATCAAGTTTTAAACATTATAGGAAAATGATGCGAGCAGCACCCTTACCATATTTCAGATGAAGATGCTTATCATCTTTTATCATGTGTTAAATGGGAGTTTGTTTCACTGCGATCTCTGTTAAAATCTGTTAACTCCTTTTTATTAGATAAAAACCATTAAAAAAATCCCTATTATAGCCCTCGTCGTTAGCAAGAAAATAATGTTTTAATATAAAATTTTTATACAAAATGAATTTTATTCTAATAATTGATGATTATGATTATTGATGAAATCTTCAGCTAATTCTATTATATTTTAGATATAGGCTTTTCCTTAGACTAGCCCAATAAAGCCGTGATTTATCCACGGATTTTTTATTTTGGCCGGACCAAAAAAAACATCGTGGTCAAACATGGTCTTATAGAGCTGTTACAAGGAAAAACTTATAGCCTATATAGCTCATACCCCTTTATAGATTTCTTTATCGAGCAAAATGTACTGGATTATTGAACGACCAAGAGAGACTCTATTAAAGGAACGGGCTAGATATCTATATCAGGAAGTGCTAAAAAGTGACATGTCAAAAAATGGTGACAAGTCTAAAAAAAAGTTGACAAGTAAACACGCCAATTTTTAAAATGGATTTATTATTAAAATAATTTAAAACTTAAGATATTTTAATTTTAATCAATTATTAATTATGCTAAGCACACATCATATGAGTCGATAAGAACTTCTTATATATTTAAAATCACAAGCCACGCACTTTGCAAATTATAGCTCTAGTCTTCATAAATAATTAGCATAAAATAAAGAAATTCTATCGAGCCGGAAAAATGCACATCGATGTGCAAGTTTTTGATTTTCACTTACAAGCCATATTGAATTTTTGCTAAGTACTTCTCATATGAGTCGATAAGAACTTCTTATATATTTAAAATCACAAGCCACGCACTTTGCAAATTATAGCTCTAGTCTTCATAAATAAATTAGCATAAAATAAAGAATTTTCATCGAGCCGGAAAAAAATGCACATCGTATTTCAAGTTTATGATTTTCACTTATAAACCATATTGAATTTTTGCTAAATACTTCTCATATGAGTCGATAAGAACTTTTTATATATTGATATACACAAGCCACGCACTTTGCAAATTATAGCTTTAGTCTTCATAAATAAATTAGCATAAAATAAAGAAATTCTATCGAGCCGGAAAAATGCACATCGAGTTGCAAGTTTTTGATTTTCACTTATAAGCCATATTGAATTTTTGCTAAATACTTCTCATATGAGTCGATGAGAACAGTTTTGTATATTTAAAATCACAAGTCACGCACTTTGCAAATTATAGCTTTAGTCTTCATAAATAAATTAACATAAAATAAAGAAATTCTATCGAGCCGGAAAAAATGCACATTGAGTTGCAAGTTTTTGATTTTCAATTATAAACCATATTGAATTTTTGCTAACTCCCCCCCCCCCCTCCGTGAGCGAACAAAAAAAATTTTGTTCGCTCACGGAGGGGGGTTAATTTTTTTTTTTAAAAAAAAAATTTATATATAAATTTTATAAACAATATTTTTTTCGAAATTTAAAAAAAATCCTAATTTGCAAAAAAATTGGGAAGCAAATATTAATTTAATTTGCAAAATTTATGTTTTAAAACGCAATTTGTTTAAAATTAAACAGAATTAGCTCTAGATTTCATTATACTAATTATCACTTATATATCAAAATTTTTTTTCCATTAAAATTTTTTCTATTAAAAAAATTTTTGTTCACTCACGGAGGGTGGGTTTTTGGTCAAAAAATGGCGATTTTTCTAATGGTTTTGTTCGCTCACGGAGGGGGGGGGGGGGGAAGTAAGTATTTTTCATATGAGTCGATCAGAACTTTTTATATATTGAGATACACAAGCCACGCACTTTGCAAATTATAACTCTAGTCTTCATATATAAATTAGTATAAAATAAAGAAATTCCATCGAGTCGGAAAAATGCACATCGAGTCGCAAGTTTTTAATTTTCACTTATCACAAGCCACGCACTTATCGAGCCGGAAAAATGCACATTGAGTTGCAAGTTTTTGATTTTCAATTATAAGCCATATTGAATTTTTGCTAAGTACTTCTCATATGAGTCGATAAGAACTTCGTATATATTGAGAATCGCAAGCCACGCACTTTGCAAATTATAACTCTAGTCTTCATAAATAAATTAGCATAAAATAAAGAAATTCTATCGAGCCGGAAAAATGCACATCGAGTTGCAAGTTTTTGATTTTCACTTATAAGCCATATTGAATTTTTTGCTAAACACTTCTCATATGAGTCGATAAGAACTTCGTATATATTTAAAATCACAAGCCACGCACTTTGCAAATTATAGCTCTAGTCTTCATAAATAAATTAGCATAAAAGAAAGAAATTCTATCGAGCCGGAAAAATGCACATTGGGTTGCAAGTTTTTTGATTTTCACTTATAAACCATATTGAATTTTTGCTAAATACTTCTCATATGAGTCGATAAGAGCTTTTTATATATTGAGAATCGCAAGCCACGCACTTTGCAAATTATAGCTCTAGTCTTCATAAATAAATTAGCATAAAAGAAAGAAATTCTATCGAGCCGGAAAAATGCACATTGAGTTGCAAAATTTTGATTTTTACAACTATTATTAAATTTTAATATTAAATTTAAATATATATATAAATCAAAATATTTAAAGCCAATATATAATGTGCAATTATATCTTCTGTCTAATTGGGTATCTTAAGTTTTAAATTATTTTAATAATAAATCCATTTTTAAAATTGGCGCGTTTACTTGCCAACTTTTTTCAGACTTGTCACCATTTTTTGACATGTCACTTTTAGCACTTTCTGATATAGATATCCAACTCGTTCCTTTAATAGAGTTTTTCTTGGTCGTTCAATAATCCAGTACATTTTGCTCGATAAAAAAATCTATAAAAGGGATATAAGCTATATCTTAAAAACGTAAATTTTATAAATTAATCTAAATTTTACTTAAATGTCCACAAATTGGAATTTTAAAAAAACCTCAAAAACTTGTTTTACATAATTTTGAATAAAATCTCCTTGCTTAACATGCAAGGCTTTTTGCTCGCAAATCAAAAGGATGGAATAAGCATTTTCCATCTTTGAAAAAATCAAAAGTTTTCCAGGAAAGATTCAGGAGAGAAATTGAAGCCAAAAGCAAATCAAAAAAATCACGTAAACTTAACTTACTCCCCCCTTTAAATTGGAATAACATCGGTAAAATTTGCATTTTTTGGGTGCTTTAGCCCTTTAAATTGGAATAAAATTCAGGAAATTTTATTGTTTTAAAAATATTAATTTTTATAAATTAGCTATATAAACAGTTTGAACACTGAATCAATTAATTTTTTTATTTAATTCTTCATAAAAATAAATTAAAATTCAGAGTATTGCACTCAGTTTTTATTTTTTAAAAAAAAAATTAAAGATTAAATTATTAATTTTTGTAAAGTTAGTTTTGACCCAATTTAATAGACAAAATTCAAATAGAATGCTATTTAAACAGTTTTCACACTTATAAATTAATTTTTTAAATTATTTTTTAAATATATTTTTAAAGGAAATTAACCCTCTTAAATTGGAAAAGAATTGTTTGTTCCAATTAAAGGGTAGTTAGAAAACAAAGAAGCCCTTCCTAGAAAATCTTATAAGCACCTAGAAAAAGAACAATTTTCTTCGCTAAAAGAGTATATTTTATCTTTATCAGACATTATTCTTGAAAACGATGGTTTATCAAATTCAAATTCTTTGGAAAAAGATTATACCATTCAGCAGCTTACCAGCGAGCTCAAAAGAAAAGAAAGCGAAATCAAAGAGCTCCGTGATAAAATGAGCCCATCTAGACTTTCAAGATCGGCAGTTTTAACAGCCCCTAATTATAATTCTCCAGGACTCGATAAAGATGAAGAAAGTGAATCGAACTTATTTGTCACCCCAAAATCCAAGACTGTTAAAATGCACACCTCAATGGACAGCTCATCTACTATCAGTACGGACAATCTTTTCAAGTCTAGACGGTCAGGCCAAGCCCTTACATCTCTGATTGCAAAGCTCCAATCAAGATCTCCAAGATCTTCTTAATTAATGTTAAAAGTAATGAATTATTTACCCTTACTCCCCCTCCTAAAAATAAAACATTAGAAAAATTCTATTTTTTCGTACAACCCACACTACGTGAGCGAACAAAAAATTTTTTTTATGTAAAAGTTGTTTGATATATAAGTGATAATTATTATACGAAATCTGCAGCTTATTCATTTTAATTTTAAACAATTAATATTTGCTTTGAAATTATTTCGAATTGACGATTTTTTAAAAAATTATCTAGAAGATTTATATATAAAATTTTTAATAACCTCCTCCGCAAGCGAAAAAAGTCTTCTGTTGCTCACAGAGGGGGATAGTTAGCAGCAGCTATTTTTCTTTTGGGTTATCGATTTTCCTGGTCCCGCCAATCTTTGTCCCTTGGGTTGGGCCCCAGTTGTCTTTGAGCCTGCTGATGCAATTCTTCCTTTGATTTCCCCAGCCATTCTTAAAAATGATTGTTCGACATTCGAAGCTGTTTTGGCTGAAGTTTCAATAAAATTTATTCCTAAAGAATCAGCCAGTTCTTTTCCTTCCTCATAAGTGACAACTTTTTTACCTTCCAAGTCCGATTTGTTTCCCACTAATAAGCGGTTGACATTTTCACTGGCGTATCTCGTTATTTCATTTATCCAGTTCTTCACATTATCAAATGATTCTCTGTTGGTTACATCGTACACAATAATGATACCATGAGCACCTCGGTAGTAAGAAGAAGTAATTGTGCGGAATTTCTCTTGGCCTGCAGTGTCCCAGATTTGAAGTTTGATCACTTTGTTCTCTACTTCTATTGTCTTAATTTTCTGTATAGGACTTACAAAATCTACTCCGATTGTTGCGATAAAGCTCTCTGAGTAGCTGTTGTCAGCGAAACGAAGGAGTACACTTGATTTTCCCACTCCAGAGTCTCCTATCAAGAGAAGCTTGAAGAGATAGTCACTTGATAAAAATTACTATTCAGGGTTTGCCATTTATTACAGAAGGTCAAAGTATCAGGCAATGTCAGTAATAAATGAGATTATTTTTCAAATTTTGAGGTTTTCATTATGAAAAATTCAATTTTATAAGAATTCAGCAGTAAATGGAGTTTATTCAATATCCATAATTTTAACAGTTTTAGATACCGTTAATATTTATATTTAAAATGTTAATTTGGGTATTTCTAGCTGGAACAGTTCTAGTATCTGGAACATTTGAAAACATTCAAGAGCTCCCTGACTATCAAAAATTGAGCCAAAATCCATATGGAAGTAAAATTCTTAGCACGATTTCTTTACAGCTCTCATCTGACAAACCACCGGAAGAAGTAATCCTTCTTCTTGAGGAAATTTCAAACAAATTGCTAGATGAACAGCGAAAAGACGATCAGCTTAATGTCACACGAGCTGCTGAATGCAAAGCTGAAATCGAGTTTTTAGATAGACCAATTGAAGTCATGCATAGTGAAATTGAAAGAGCTAACCCCCCCGCAATCAAGCAAAAACATTGAAAAAATCCCTATTTTTCGCCCAAAAACCCCACCCTCTGTGAGCGAACAAAATTTTTTAAGAAATTATTTTGATATACAAGTAATAATTATTATCATGAAATCTCTAGTTAATTTTGTTTAATTTCAAACATCTTGCATTTTATTACAAATTTTGAAAAAAATTATGATAAAATGTATATATAATTTTTTAAAACATTAACCCCTTGAGTGAGTGAATAATATTTTTGATCGCTCATAAAGGCAATAAAGGCAGGGAGTAAGCAGATTGAAGCAGAAAGGGAACCACTTTTCAATTCAACAATAGAAAAAAGGAATGCAAAAGACCAAGAAATCCGGTTTTTTGAAGGTGAAATAATGAGCTTGGATAGAAATTCCAAAATTGATGCAGAGAAGCTGCAAAAGAAATATCAAGAGCACGAAGAAGCTTTAAGCGCAATAGATAGCTCACTAGAGTATATGCAAAAGGTATACACAGATCAAGAGTCTCAATCAGTGAAATCTAATCACCCACATATGGAAATAATTCCACTTGATGTACTGTTAGAGGTTTCGGAAAACCAAGATAGTATTGTAAAACTTATTGATATCATGACTGACATCAGAAAAGACTATCAAGCATCCTTAAAGTCACTCATAGATAGAAAATTGGAAGGAGAAAAGGACTATAAAGAGCTAAAAGACTCTATAAGTTCCGTAATTTCTGATTTAAAAGAAATAAGGGAAAGCTTAGATAAGCATTCCTTAGAGTTGTCTGATGATTTAGAAGAGTCAAGACGCATGCAAAGAGAAGCGAGAGAAGAGTGCGGATCTATGGAAAGGGCCAGAGATGATAAAGTTACTGAATGCGAAGCTTGGTCAAATCAATATATCAACGAAAAAGATAAGAGAAGTGAAGAACTACAGATTATCAGAGAAATACAAAAATTATATAGCGTTTAAAATTTTTAAATTTTAATAAAGCATTTTTTTAGAGCTTGCTCTTGATGAAGGGTGGTTGGAGTATTGATTCATAGGGGGCTGGAAATCAGCTCTTTGGGCTGGAGTGCTTCTTCTGCCTGAAGCAATTTTTTCAGCGGCGTACTGGAATTCGGGATCAATTGGTTTTTCTCCTGATGGCACTTGAGGCAAGTTTTCATTATAGACTTCATTATACCCTTGTGGGTTACCATAAAACGGTTCAGGATTTCTTTTTTGAGAGTCAATATATGGCATAGGATTTTCGTTACCATAATATTGATTATTAGAAGATGCTTGTAATTGTGAATTCCTAGAAATAGCTCTTGGCTCTAATTTATGAGCTGACATTGATCTCTGCTCTACTGATTGAACATATGGATTTGCTTCTGGCTCATAAGCATTTAGGCTTCTTCTTCCTCCTCCACTCATTGGAGGTGCATACTGATTGCTTTCAATCTGGTATTGATTATTTTCCAGATAAGTCTCACTCCTTCTTCCTCCTGTAGGTGGAGGAGTTATCCCATAAAACCTAGCTGCATTTTTATCGTACCCCGAATCTTGGTTAAAATACTGGATTTGATTTTCAGGCATAGGATCTGTACCTTCATCAACTGGGTTGGTATATGTTTGTTGATTGCCTTGAGAAGGCAACTGAGCCTGCTGACGGCCTTGAGAAAGTAACTGCACTTGCTGACGGCCTTGAGATGGTGGCTGATTCTGGAAATAAACATCTTGATTATAATTTGGATAGGCATTGGCTTGAGAACCTGTTTGCGGAGGAGTAATGCCATAAAATCTAGCAGCATCTTTATTATAAGCTGCATCATAAACTGGTTTATTTGAGCCTCTTGATTGAGAATTAAGCTCTGGGTTTCGGATATCATAATTTGGCTTAATAGGGCCTCTTGATTGAGGTAGATTATCAGGGTTCTGCATAAATAAGTTAGCTCTATTTCCTGATTGTGGAGGGGTGATTCCATAAAATTTGGCGAGATCTTTATCATTGAAGGGATCATTGATTTGCTCAGGAGCTTGAAAATTAGCTTGCTCATTCGGAAAATTTGAAGGATATCCACTTTGAGGAGGAGTTACTCCATAAAACTTTGCAGTATCTTTAGAGTAAACTTGCTCATTTGATACTGGCCTGTTATTTTGAAGCGCAGGCTGATAAGATGGCTGATTTTGGTAAGGGGATTGGCTTTGATATGGAATTTGATAGACTCCGCTACTCTGAGGTGGAGTAACTCCGTAAAAATTTGCAGCAATATTTTTAGGCATTTCAATAATTCTTTGATCCGCTTCAAAATTTGCTCCTTGATTCAAATTTTCTCCTCTTATTTCTTCTAATCCCCCTTCATTTATTTGATTTTTCACTTGGACAGGCTCATCTTCGAATGTAGCAAATGGTGCTTTCGCCCTATATCCACTTCCTTTTCTGCTTCCTGCAGGAGGTACTTCCTGCCCTGCGTAGCTCGGTAAATTCAATCCAGACCCTGAGTTTTCATAATTTGCTCTTTTCATAAAACTCGTTTTTGCTTGTGCTCCTTGAATATCATCAGTTCTCAGCGACCTTTGCTGATTTTCTCTTTGCCGCGCTGAATCTGCATACAAATTTAATGCTTGAATGTCCTCTACTTAATTTTTACGTCTGACTCCTGAGCCTTGATAACTGCTGCCATACATAGTGATTTTTTTATTCAAATTAAGAAACTAATCTATTAGTGTTTAGCCTTGAGGGTTTTGAGCTCTTTTCTCACCAATGCGGACTTCTTCTTCTGGTTCACCATCAGTTTGAATCTGTCAAAATCTGTGAGTTCTGCTCTTCTGAGTCTAGATGCAATTTGTTTGCCATGAGTGCTCTCTTGCCACTTGGATAATATGTTGGAATCGTTGAAAATCTTGGCAACGTTTGCAGAGGTTTGGTTTCGCTTAACTGGAAGAACGAATTCTGTCAATGAAAGTCTTGCAAAAGGCATTTGTTGACGAAGGACTCCTGTTGCTGCACCATCCACTAAAGCTCTTTTTCCGTCGATGACGTCCACAATCACACACAATTTGTCCTTTTCAGGTCCAAAGTTTACGTAAGCGACTCTTCCAATTTCGACAAACCTTGAGTGTACCTACGGTAGCCATTTACCATTTAGTCTTGATTAAAAATTATATGACATGTGAGCAAAAGAGAACTTTACAAAGGTTTTGAAGAACTAAAAGTAAAAGCTAAGGCTTATAAAGAGATTAAGAAAATATCTGGATAAATTAGGAAATTATTGATAACAGTCTATAAATAATTAAATATGGCGTCTCAACTTGGGTCTGGCCTCTCGGCCAGACAGTTTCGAGCCCTATTTATTATATCCGGCAAGGTTTTGCCTAGCTAAAGATGGACAGCAACATCAGGTAAGCAATTCTGGCAGTGTACAGAGCCTGATCCCAGTCCGCTCTCGGGTTAGGATTTTTACCTCGAGGGAAGAGGAGGCTTGGATTTGGAAAGGAGAAGCCCAGCAGCGCCTACAGGTAATCCCTAGGCCATTCGGGCAAATCTCTAGCGAGAAACCGGGAGTTTCGCCCCGGGCTACAAGTTTTCCTCTTTTGCCGAAAGTCGGCCAGAAATTCCATTTTTTGGAATTTCCCAGCAGACAACCCTCGTTACAGAGAAAGTAGCTCAATCATGAGCCGTCGAAGCCGGAACATCGCGCAGGAGGCGCGCGTTGGAGATCAAAGCTAGTTGTCCCAGCAACTAGTGGGCCCCGAGCGACGAGAGCGTGGTGGTAGTCCTGGAAGAGCAACCCCGTAGGAGACGTTAAACGTGATGGTTAATAAGTTAAGTTAAGTTAAGATAACAGTCTATAAGAGAAAAAGGTTTATTGCAGCTAATATGTAAGAAATAAATTTAGCAATTAAGCTCTAAGCACGATTCCTTCGTCTAGGGCGGTTTTGTGTGGTGAATTCCTTCTCAATTGGTTTTGTGAAAACCTGAATTATTATTATATTTTAAGTTCCATTTTACTACGATAATTTTGAATTACATTATATTATCCTGAAAGACGTACATTAAATTTTCCATAGACATAGAAGCATTTTGCTCTGTGTATGCTCCCTCCATTATGACATTTTTCCTCTCCTGAAGTGCTAACATTTTTTCTTCAACTGTGTCTCTGCATACAAATTTATAGGCCTTCACTTGCTTTTCCTGGCCAATCCTATGCACTCTTTCGATTGCTTGGTTTTCTACAGCTGGGTTCCACCATGGATCCATTAGCACAACTCTCGATGCATAAGTAAGATTGATTCCTACCCCTCCGGCTTTTAATGAAATAAGCATCACTTGCCTTCCTGCTTTGAACTCTTGCAAGGCATTTTCTCTTTGATTTTTATTCATGCTCCCATCAAGTCGCGAATAAGAAATTCTTGCCTTTTGTAGAGCAATTTCTAATAGATCCAGCATTGAAGTTCATTGAGTGAATACTACAGTTGGCTCACTACTTATCATTAACATTCTAATTAGCATATCAATTTTTGAACTGCTGCATCATTCATTGTCTAAGTTAAGACTGAACTTGCTTTCCCTTGGGACTGTTGTAAGGTCATGCATTGTCAGAGGAGTTTTGCATAGAGGACAGTTTTTGTTTCTTTCGACTTGTTGGGATGCGCACATTCTGCACATTATATGAATGCATTTTGTCATTACAGGATCATCAGCTACATCGAGACAGATTGGGCATATAAAAATTTCACCTTGCTTAATTTTCCCGGCTAAGTCTTGTGCGTATTGATCTGAAGAGTTTTCTGTTAATTTTGTTATAAATTGGTCAATTTTTTCTAATGGTGTTGTATCACCACGACTCATAATCAAATAAGGATGATCACAAAGCTGACGCAGCCTGAGTAGTAAATCAAATATTGATGCTATATAAGCCTTAAATTTGCCCGTGCTTATAAGAGAATGGAGCCTTGCTTTGCTATGCTCAAATAATCTGTTATATAAACTCCGTTCTTCACTGTTCATTTCAATATGAATTGTTTCAATAGATATAGGAGGCAAAGATACCATAAGACTTCCATCTGCGAGCTTGGTTTCTTTGGTTCTTCTCACTCCCCCATCCTTTAAGTAAGCAAGTTTTTTCTATATTAAAGAGGTGTTATTTATTTTTAAAAAACTTATATTAAAACTTATTAAAACTTATTAAACTTTTTTCGGTTTATAATTCCAATATGCACATTTTTTTAGAGAAAAAATCTAATTTAATTTAAAGTCTTATGCTTTAGAATCCATGCTCCATAAGATTTAATAGAATGGCAGAGGTCTATTATAACAATCATTAATTAATAATAAAAATATTTTTTTACAAAAAAACTTTCACAGCAAAATTTTCACTTACTCTTGGTTTAATTGCCTCTATGTGAAATTTTCCAATGGACTTGCTCGTTCTTAAAAGAGGAATTTAGCATTATTGGCTTAAGCAGTCTTCTTAAAATTGCGTAAACATTAGGATCCTGCTTATTGAATGGCTTTGTAATGATACGGTTCCACCACAAATAATCAGATCATGGTTCAACTTCAAGGAACCTTACCTTAACTTGTTGATAGGCAGGCTCTCGCCCTAATTTTTGCGCAATCACGAGGATCTCCGAAGGGAGTTTCAACCGCTTTTAGACCGTGTCTTCCACTAGGGACAACAGTGTCTCCTCCTTGCCTTTCGGATTCAGTGTTGAGTGGGCAGTCTTTGGAGTTGCGGCCTTGCTTGAGGCTGTTGGGTGGAGAAACAAAAGTTTCCACACAAAATCCGAAAAATAGAATTTCTGGTAGACTCTCAGCAAAAAGGGAAAGCACTTAGCCAAGGGCGAAACTCCTGGTTTTTCACTTGGTCTAAGCATTGCCTGCAGACACTGCTGAATGGCCCCTTTCCAACTTCCGTGCTGCCCCCCTAGATAAAATCCATCCTTGAAGGTGGACTTGGGCTAGGCTCTGATAAGTCAAGAATTGTTTACCTAGCATTGCTCTCCATTTCTGATACGCCATATTTAATTATATCAAGGAACCTTACCAGAGAGTACAAATCATCAAGCTTATTTTGTATGGGTGTTCCAGTGAGTGCTCATTTGAATTTTGCTTGCAATTTCATTACAGCTTTTGTAGTTGACGTATCTTTATTTCTTATTATATGGGCCTCATCTAAGATGACTCGAAATCACGGGATTTTGAATAAAGACCCTTGATTTGCATATTCTGAATTTATTATTCCATAAGTGGTCAAAACAATTTCTGCGTTTTTCAATTCTTGAACTGATTTATTCTTGTCTGAATAATATTCAAGGACTTTTAAATCAACACCATGAGAGTTAATTTCTTGATGTCATTGAGTTATCAAAGATAACGGTAAAACTATTAATGTCCCTCCTTCTAGTGTTTTAGGTTTTTTTGGGGCGTGCTCAAATGCCCTTCTATGTGTGTGAATAAGAGCTATAATCATGACTGTTTTTCCAAGTCCCATTTCATCTGCTAAAATTCCTCCTTTACAAAGTGCAGCTGATTCAGGAAATTTAATTGAAATTTGTCCAGTATATGGATTGAAATAAAGGAATCTGCCTTGAGCTGTTTTGTATTCTTCTCACAGATGATGCAGTTCTCTGCTGTTTCTGTTTCCACCTCTAATTGACTCACGTTCATACATTCATGATAAAGCTTGCTTTTGATAGGGATATAATGGGGTTCTAAACGTAAATGGAGGGCTCATTTCTCTCAGTTCAATCTCTCCTAAATTTTCAAGAAATAAATTTTTTTCAATGCTGGCTAAGCTCTTTCCTTCTTCTTGTGATTGTTTTTCATTGGTTTGCTCTTGGTCATCTATTATTGCTGACTGTGTTTTTTCCAAGCGCACAAGCTCAAATAATTTTTGTAGAGCTTCTCTCTGATTGAAATATTCTTCAGGAGAAATATTATGGTTATTTATTTCCTCTGATGTTTGAACAGATGGGTCACTTAATGCATCAGGAAGCAAATTTACTGTGATTGCAATTTTAAATGTATCAAGCAAAGTTATGCTTGTGGGAGCATCTATAATATTTGCTTCTATTGTAATTAGGTTCCCAGATATTAAAGGGAATAAAAAATCAGCTGTATTTTGAGGAAGTTTGCCAAAACTAAATCCATTAGGTTCCATTGCAAATCTTATAGTACGATCTGGAGTTTCTTTGCGTTTACCTTTAGGATGGGGCCTTGGCTTGGGGAATTTAAAGGTTAGAGGATGGCCTATCTCTATATGTGAGACTGTGGAAATGGCATATGCATCGCTTTCAAACATGCCTAATGTTATTATTGGGTTAGAAGCTTGAATTTTTCGCTTTAGAAGAAGCTCTCTTGTGAGATTTTGAGTGTGGATATCTTGGAAATATAAGTCAATAGCATGATCAAGATTGCTGCTAGATTTACTCAAATAGTGCAGAGCCTTGTCTTGATCTTGCTCTCCTGTGATTTCTTTAAAAAGACGCAATTTCTCAGTTTCCATTTAAATATAGCGCCATTAGGACTGTTAGAATGAAAATGAAAATATCTGAACTAAGTCTAATTATTGCCACCACTTTCTATATAAAAAATAAGTTAAAGGATTGATTTGATTCTATTTGCATTTTGAGAACATGATTTAATTAAATAAATCTATTTTTTAGTAAGCTAGTGAATTTAAGACAATATTTAATTATTTACTAATAAAATTTCTTTAGAAAAACTTAGCTTCAAATGCTTTTATCTTTCTGATTAAAATAATTAATTTAACTTTTCTTTTTATTAATTTCTTGCTGTCAGATATACTGGTACAATTCCATCAAAGCTCCTTTTATTTTCATGTCATTTTGATTTCTTTTTATTAAAGCTTGAAACCTCAATTCCAGAGAGTTCTTTCTCCCTTAAATTTTCTTCAATGTTTATTCCTTTAGACCTTAGTATTTTCCCAATAGGATTTAATAAAGAAGCTGAGCTATATCTTTGCCGCCCAACTTTAGTGCATTCGTTCCTCTCTTTAATTGGAGAATTCGAAGATGTCTTAGCTCAATTAGGCTGCGATAGAGTGCTTAGTCTTGATAAACTCATAGTTCTAGCTTTTTGGACTCTTACACCTTCATTCATTTTTGGATCATTAAGCATTTTTAGTTGAGGAATAGGAATTCTTAATTTTCCACTTATTTTATCATTTTCAAAATCAAAAGTTTCAGTTGCAAGAGGTTCAAGCTCAATTTTGTGAGTCTTCCTCCTTTCAGTTTGCCTTTCCGAAGGTAAAATAATACTAGACAATGGGCTGCGGGGTTTGTTTTTAGATAGTAAAGGACTTTCGTTTATTTTCTCCCTTATGAAATGAAACAATACTGAGTTCAGTGTTTTAGTTTTGATATTATGATCAACAGGTTTAGGGCGATTCTTCCTAAAATTCAGATAAGGAGTTACTTCACCAGATGTAAGTATTGGCTTATAATTTCCCAAGCGCGAGTTCATTGATAATTATATTAGGATGCTAATTTTACCATAATTATTAGTTAATTAATGATAAATTATATAATTATAAATACTTGGTATTAAATTTCTAGAATTATTGAATGAGTTTTAAGCATAAAAATAAAGGCTTACTCCACCTCATCTTCAATCACAATTTTGAATTCTTCTTCCTGGTAAGGAGTTTCTTCAAATTCAAACTGAATATCTTCTTCAGTGCTTTCTTTTATATCAGTCTCCTTGAAAGATCCGATTTTTGAATTTTCTCCTCTCATGTCAGCTATTCTTTGCAATATTTCTTTTTCTTTTTCCTTACTCCAACCACCCCAGCGAGCGAATAAAACCCATTGGAAAAATCCCTATTTTGGTAAAAAGCCCACCCTTTGTAAGCGAACAAAATTTTTTTTTATGAAAAAAAATTTGATATATAAGTAATAATTAGTATAATAAAATCTCGAGCTAATTCTGTTTAATTTTAAACGATTTTCGTTTTAAAACATAAATTTCCTAATTAAATTAATCTTTACAGATTAAAATCTTTTTAAATTCCAACAAAAAAAAATTTACACCCTCTGTGAGCGAACAAAACTTTTTTGTTCGCTCATGGAAGAGGGATTTAGCAGCCTCTGTTCTGCTGTCTTGAATTGCATAACTCCCATCCTATTTGAATAAGCAAAATTTTTCTTATTCATGGAGGAGGTTTATTTTTTTTTAATAAATTTCTAATAAATTTTTTTAGAAATAAAAATTCTAAATTCGCAGATAAAAAAGGGTAAAACTTAATCTAGTAATAAAATTTATGTTTTAGAATGCAAGCTGCTTTAAATTTAACAGAATTAGCTAGGGATTTCATTATAATACTTATCATTATATATCAAAAATTGTTTATAAAAGATTTTTATATTATTTAATTTGTTGCTCGGATCACAGAAGTAGTTTTCACCCAAAATATAGGGATTTTCCAATTGCTTTGCTCATGAAGGAGGGCAGTAAGTGCTCCTAGTTTTTTTCTGTTTTTCTTTCCATTCCTCATATCTCTTCAAGTCATCAGACACTTTTAGCCTTTTTTCTTCATCAAAGCTTGGAAATTCATAAATAGTTCGGTTAATATATGCTGAATTAACAGGCTCATCAGGTATGATAATTGTTTGCAATATAGATGACACCGTTTTTGGGATCGAGTAATATTTAAAGGGAGAAGTTGGATGCAAATAATTGTCTTTTCCTTCAAGAGACTTTATTCATGTGTGGCAATCTTCACCTTGTTTCTTATAACTTCAATCAAGATTTCTTTTAAATGGTGTAAGCTGCTCTTCGTTGAGAAGTTCTTTAACTTTATTTCCTTTGATTTCAAATAGCCGAGGCTGAATTATAGTTAGAGGGGGAGGTAAAAATCTGCATTCGGGATCAATATACTCTCCTTCAGCTATCCTAGGAGTTGTAGGTTCTGCTTCTTCTACGTTTAATGAGACTGCTAATTTTTCGATGGCTTTACCTTGGATTCCAATTTCAAAATAATTTCCTTCACTATCTTTAGTCCAAATTTTTCCTTTTTCGCAATGGGCACTATAAACACCTGAAGTCCTATCTTCAGCCAATGTAAATAGCTCATAAAAATATGCATCTTGGCCATCTTTTTCAGCTAAAATTTGTCTGGCTTCGCCTGTAATTAATACGATTTCTCCATCTTGCTGGACTTTCATAATGCTCCCGTCACTTGTTGTCAGCACACAAATTAATTGTGTGCAATATTCGTTGTAGCCTTCCATTTCTTGTTTTTGAGTAAATGTCCTTATTGATGTTTTATTAGGCAGGATCACCTCAGTTATAATACCATTGTGGGATCTCAGCATTAAATCTCCGATTCCTAAACCAGAATCTGAGCTTCCCAATCCTATAACAGTATGCTGCCTTGCTTTGAGTGGGTCTTTATGACTTTTAACTGGAGCATAGCCTGGACTTTCAATATGGACCGTATTTTCATCAGCAGAGGTATGAATTTTTGTACCGTCAGGATGAAAAGCAGCGTATGAATTGTCTGAAAATGTAATTTTCATAACTAGATCCTCTCGGATTATTACCTTTGCTAGTGTTTCTGGATCTGTAAAAGACTGTACCTTTATTGGCTCTAAATTATACGAAACGCCGTCTTTCATTCTTTTAACAAGTCTCATTCCTTTATTGTTCGTGCACACCCAGACTCTATCTTTGCTTCTAGTTGAAAAATCGCCGCTTGGCATTAGTATTTGTATAGCATCATTAACTAGATTTCTCACAACATAACCCATTCCTCCAATAATTCTATTTTCTTCTTCTTTGCAAGGATCTTCCTTCCCTTTGCATTTTTGCTGCAAAATCTCTCCAGTTGGCAAAATCTTTACAATTAGCCCATTATTGAGTGTAATTGATAAAGAGCAGCCATCAATTTCTTTTTCGACCAAAATCTTTTCATCCTCATGAACAGCCCAAAATTCGCCGCATTTGGATTTATCTTTTCTTATCCCAAAAATCCAGTTATCTTTGTACACAACAGCTCTGTGCCTAGGAGTTTCAAATAATTCCCGAGACTCTAATAAATTTCTTGGCCCTATAAAATATTCAGTCATTTTCATTAGACTATTATCAGCAGGATACATAATTTTTATCCTTTCTTTTATAGACCCAACAAGGCTTGCGTCAACATCTAAAAAGGAATTCAAAGTTTTATCAGCAAATGTTTCAAGATATTGGGGGAAATTGGGGCGAACTCTCCATGGAGATTTTCAGAGCCTCCTAATTAATCGGCCTGGAGGAGTTTTGAAAAAGACACAAAGAAGAGTGCAGTCTCTTAAAGAGTTATACTCATAAATAACTTCAGGATCTTGTGGAATTAAGCTGTCTAAAGTTTGTTGGAGCAGAGACAATGAAAAATTTTCTTCATAAACTCTGTCACTGAAATTCCAATCTCGCTCTGGTTGAATAGATTTCATTAATTTTTCAAAGTCCAGCAACAGTAGTGCTCTTTCAAATTCCTTTCTGGGTATAGATGAAAAACTAAGGACTTCATTATAGTTAGCTAGCCGTATGCTTGGAGAAGCAGACTGAGCTTTCAAACTTTCTCCAAATATAGGAAGCTCTATATTTTCTTTAAATAGCTTAATCATTTCTTTTATTTCAATGTTGCTCTGAGCAAAATGCTCCCTTAATGATAGCTTTGCAATTTTATCATTATAATCCACAATCATCATTGAATCTTGTATTCCAATTTTGTGTGCAGTCTTGGGACGATCTTGGATATCTTCGATTTTACTAGCATAAGACAATTGGCTTTCATATTTTTTAGTGTTTATAAAGCTATCAAGCTGCTTTTCTTCATCCATAGTTCCACCTTTTTCTTTCATGATTTGTTTGAGAAAGCATGCGACTAAATAATTTACAGTTTTAGATTGTTCTTTTCCAACGTTGATAATATGATTGAAATAGCTTAAATCCCAAGGTTTTGTTAAATCATCGATTGTGAAAGGCTCAGGGACCATGAACTTGTCAAGAGTATCAGCTAAAGATCCCACATGCTTGATTGGTGACCCAACTGAATGAATATCTGACAACTCAGGTGGAGCATCAAATTGTTCAGCTCTTTCAGAGTACAGTGAATTTACTTTAACTGAAGCTTGCCATTTTTCATATTCCAGCTTAGCAGATGATATTTGTTTTATTTCTCGAATTATCCCATCGCAAAGCTTCACTTTAGGATCATTTGCATTCGCTTCATCTTCTTTGTTTTCTTCAGCTTTCTTAGAAGAAGGTTTCAAATCTTTTCGACTTTTGGTTTGCTGTTCTTCTTTGACCTCTTCTTTTATTTCTTCTTTTACTTCTAAATCCTCTTCGGTTTTAAATTCTATGATTTTCCATATCAAATGTTTACTATCTTGATTTTTGGGGCTTCAGGATAAGTTTTGAAGTTCCATAAATCCTTCAGGATAGTCATCTGGCTGAGTGGGAATTTGGAGTAAACTTTCCATCGCTCCAGCAGCTCTTACTTCTTCTCTTTTTTCTCTGTAAGATTTCATTTTGGCCTCGAGCTTAGACTGAATATAGGATTGGCTAGGCTTAACATAGTAGCACAAATCAATATTTATCCCAACTTTAATTAGCTCTGTAACCTCTTCTTTTGATTGAGGAAAATTTTTAAAATAAACTGTTACATCGAATTTGTCATCAGGTCTTGGGGTTGCTATTGGTGTGACTATCTTGTCTTTATCTTTTTTCGGGGATTCAGTGGCTTTTGGTGGATCTTTTCTCTCTTTTCTGAATGGTAGCTCAATCTCATCTAATTTTGCTCTGCAAGCTTTAGCAAGATTTTCAGGAGTTTTATCAAGACTTTTTTCTTTACTCCTCCCTATAAATTGGACTAAAAACATATGTATTAATTAAAAGGGTTAGTATTTTTAAAAATTATTAAATTAAATTTTATGAAAAAGCAGGAATTATTGAATACAGTATTTTTGGATTTTAATGGAAAATCATAAAATTTATACAAGAAATATTTTTTTCGCCTATAAAACTTTTATATATAAAATTTTTTTTTCCAAATTAAAAGGATTAATTCCTTGAAGATATATAATTTGCCTATATTTTGCTGCTCTAATACAAAAGGGGGAGTTAATGTAATTCAATAAATCTTCTTTTGAGATAACTCTTACTCCCCCCCCCCTTTAAAATTGAAACAAAAAATTTTGTTTCAATTTAAAGGGGGGTTAAGAAAATTTTTTTTATAAAAAAATTTATATATTTAATTTTAATTTCATGAAAAATTAATTCATAAATTTCTCAATCTCAAAGTGTAAACTTGCTGAAATGGTATTCTTCTAACTCTCCCCATAACAATTGGACAAAATAGAGTTTAATTTCTAAATCTTATATGTTTGAAGCATATTAAATAGGGTATTGACGTATTTACATATAAAATAATGATTTTTACCTATAAAATTTTCTATTATAATAAAATTTTGTTTCAATTTAAAGGGGGGGTAATTTCCCAAAAAAGTAGGAATTTTACCTATATTTTGTTTCAATTTAAAGGGGGGGGGAGTCAGATCTTGAATCTTCAAAATCTGATGAAGCTTAGTAAAATAAGGATGTAAATATATAGTGAAAATCCATGTTTTGCATTTAGGCAGAGTTGAATTGTCAATCACTTCTTCTTGCTTTTTCTCCTCCTTTTTCTTGGGCGGCATAATTATTATCAGTTATTCTATTTTCTGAAATAAAGGATTTAATAGCTAATAAAAAACAATGAATTTAGGTGAAATTTCTAAATGTCTGAGATTTGTGCTTGTGGAAACCTCGGCTAAGGCTCAGTTCCCATTTGTTAAGATCCCAATAAAGAAAAGAGGCGACCATGAAATCGTGCTTTCAGCCAATAAAACCTTGAAAGACATATAGAAATTGCCCGAGGATGGCGCTATTTTGCGCCATCCTCAGGCAATTCAAAAAATGCCCCACACGGGAATTGAACCCACGTGTGGGGCCATTTTTGGTACGTGGAAGCCAATATTCTCCACATACCAAAAATGGCCCCACACGTGGGTTCAATTCCCGTGTGGGCCTGTTTTTTGAATTGCCCGAGGATGGCGCAAAATAGCGCCATCCTCGGGCAATTTCTATAAAAGACGAACTTATTAACTCTGCAAATGCTCAGGAAGTAACGTTTCACGGAATGGATGGCTCCAAGCTTTCACTTGGGACCACTGCAATTCAAGCCATCAGAGATCCTCTGTTTCTTAAAATAGATGGAATTCAGAACTACGGAATTTTTAACATGGAAACCCATAAGACCTTTTTAACCCCTTCCCAACGAGGACTTGTTGATTCTTTTAAACTAAGCAACTCTTTATCACAGCATGAAGCTGAAATACTTGGCTGCTTTAATGACTATATACTAAAAGAAATTGAACTTTCTAACTTTCAAATTTTTATTTTTATAAAATTATAAGAAATATTAATTTTTCTTATTATTTTTATTAAAGAAATTTAAATAGAAATTTTAGCTAATAAATAAAGATAAAGGGTATATATGTCAAATATAATTTAAAAGTGCTAAAAATATTATAAAAGCTCTGTAATATTAATTGAGATTATTTTTTTAGAAATGAATTGATTTGAAAAATTATACTCCGTATTAATTGTTAGGGTAAGGAAAAAATTATAAGTTACGACTACTTCCTATCCTTAAGCAAGCTCTCTATTTTACAATTTTTAAATCAGCAACGCATTCAAAAAGAATATATTCAAAGCCAAATTCATTTCTTGAGATCAACTTACAGCTATGAGCTTTCCCAAAAGCATATTTTAGAAGAAAAAGCTCACTGAACTTCAAATAAATTAGTTAGAAGGTTTTCTTATATTCTTCTTTCTCAGTTCACCTTCCTTCGCGAGTGACCAAAAGAATTTTGCCCACTTACGTAGAAGGTTAATTTTTTTTAAGAGCCTTATAGAATAAAATTTTTTTTTAAAACAATTTCAAAATTGGAAAGAAAAAGCTAATTTAATTTTAAAAATCTATGTTTTAGAATTAAATTCACAGAATTTGCTTAAGTTTCATTATAATAATTATCATTTTATATTAAATAATTTTTATATAAAACTTATAAAAATCAAATTTTTGATTTCTCATAGAGGTGGTTTTTTATCCAAAAATCGGATTTCTCCAATAGTTTTGTTCGCTCACAGAGGGGGAGTCAGTATGCAGCAGTCCAATATGGAACTTATTGGCTTTATTCTTGGGATATTATGGAGCCAATTACCTGCTTAATGAGTATGGGCGACTTATGCATTGGATATGCATTTTGAATGGTTACAAGAGGTCATAAATATGGATTAGAGGGCATAAAAAACTTTTTTTATCAAAGAAAGCTTACTTTTCCCTTATTAAAATAAACATTTCGTAACTTTTAAGTAATAGACATTTTTACCTTGATTTTCCCTATTAAGTATTAATTAAATTTCTAAAATAAATTTCATTAAAATAAAATCTAAAATGCAGGAATTCCTGATACTATGAGCTGTATATATCTAACGAGGGAATTCTAAAGTTATGCTAAAAATTAATATTTAATTTTTTTAGTAAATTTTAAAGGTCATTGAAAAATGATAACTAAACCCTTTTAGTATAAAACGGAGACTTTGCTCTTTATTATAAAGGAGGTAGAAAATTATACAAGAAGAAAAGGATCAATCAGCAAGAACTCGAAAAAATTTGCAAGTTTATTGAAGAGCTTGAAAGCAGGCTTGAAAATATTTAACTTACTGCCCAGCCTCCGTGAGCGAACAAAACTATTGGAAAAATCCCTATTTTTTGCCCAAAAACCCACCCTCCGTGAGCGAACAAAAATTTTTAATATATAAGTGATAATTATTATAACGAAATCTCTTTCTAATTCTATTTAATTTTAAACAGCTTGCATTTTAAAACATAAATTTTTTAATTAAATAAATATTTGCTTTCCAATTTTTGCGAATAGGGATTTTTTTAATTTCGGTAAAAAATGTCTTACTATAAAATTTATATATAAATTGTTTTAAAAAACAAAAATTAACTCTGTGAGCGAACACAATTTTTTTGTTCGCTCACGCTCACGCTCACGGAGGCGAGGAGTTAGCTTCTATTTAGCGATATAATTAGTTCTTTTATATAGTGAGCTCTAATTTCAATTTAATTTTTTATTCGTAGTAATCATATATTGTGCCTTGTGCTAATTTGGGCACAAGTGCATGGATCATACTGATGGTCTGTATCGTTTCCTAGTATTGTGAAAATATGAAAATAGCCAAACACTATCGTCCGCATACTTGTGCCCAAAAAGCAAAGCACAATATCTACTCCCCCTCCCTTTAAAGGAACAACAAATTTTGTTCCAATTTCGAGGGTTAAATTTTTTCTCTATTAAGTAAATTTTAAAATATATAAATTGAACACAATATTGCTGAATTTTAATTTATTTTAATATAGAACTAATACAAAAATTAATCGATTAGTGTGAAAACTGTTTAAATAATACTCTAAATGCATATTTAATTAGATTAGGCCAAATTTAATTTTATAAAAATTTAGTATTTTTACCTATAAAAATTTTGTTTCAATTTAAAGGGGGATATAGCACTTTATATCGTAACTACTTATTTTAATGTTAAATGATCCTTCTATTTTGTAATAAAAAAGTAAAGATAACTCAAATAAAATAATGCATATATTATTTAGCAATATATATTAAAATAATATTTTAAGCATAAAAATTGATTTAAAAGTAAAACCCATAATAACATTAATATTATAGCAGCAAAGCATCAATAAGAAATATATGCATAGTTCAATTCTGGAAATATTAAGCTAGCATAAAAAATAAAAATGCATTTGTTTCAAATCCATTTTAAAATAAAATCTTACGTTCAGTAAAAACCATCTGCACGACATTTAAAATTTGCTTTTCTTTAATTTTATTTAAATTTCCGATTGATTATGTCTCCATCTCGCTAAATAAAATACTCTATAAAATTTAATTCATTTAAATTAAGCAAATCTATTTGTTGCATTATATATCCTTTTAACTGATACAAAAATTAATCAAAAAAAATTCTTCCTTCTTTGACTTTCGATTCATTTATTGATTTTTGACTAATTTCACTGCTTCTGAATGCTAATTGAAATAATAGAACCTTGATATTTAATAAAACATGAAACCTGGAAGCCCAACAACCACAATCCCAATTACAATTAATTACGGAGAAAGAACTCTACCTACAGATTTTACGCCGCCTGCCCCCAAGTTTACTTTAAAATTCCCAAATAAATCAATTGAAACAGCTTACAGAGACGCAATTATTTTCGGTCATTCTCAATCCAAAGTACCGTACGAAAATCCCTATGTATCAAAACATAACTTTTTTATGTGCTATTATGGGATCGTAATTTTATACACATTATTTTATATCTTCAACTATGTGACCGATAACGTCACAAAAGAAATTTTCGAATTTCAGATGTGTTTTATGCTGGGAATCACGTTTATTAACTCATTAGTCTTTATCCTAGCATTTTTAGGGAGGTTTCTGAGACGATTACGGTCTGATCTATTACAGTTTACATATATTTCAACAGCAATAGCATTGATTGTTTGTGACACACACATCCAAAACTGAATTTTTGGAGGTGACCCTCAAAATTGTTTTTCGTGTATGTTCGGCCTAATAATGATGCTGGCGATTTCGAAATTTATCCTGCACACCAACTATTTGGAATATGCTATTTGGAGCCTTTTGATCGATATCTTATTTTTAGTGGTCCATTTGCAGATAGACAGGCCGATTGAGCTTACTCTATGTGAAGCTGGATCGTATCTGCTGATGGTGATATTTGAAACGAAGACTTTTTATAGAGAAGAAATCCGAGCTAGGACCAATTTCAACATTGTCAGAGGCTGCACAACGATCCCAGAATCTGATCCGAAAAAGCCAGAGGATGAAAAGCCCAAAAGTGAGATTGAAGAAGTCGCAATAGGAGTAAGAGAGTCCATAGAAGTGATAGAAACAATGCTTGATAAAACCCCTTCAGATTTGCGACCGAAGCTCTCAAAAGTGTTCGATCACTTGAACAAGTTTATGAAACTCCTCGGCTCCAAAAACAACATTTACTCCACAGATATAGAAATCCTCACTAAAGGAATGGATAAAGACGACCAGCTTTTTATTCACTCCCCCACGTTTAAATTGGAATAAATAATCCTGTTCCAATTTAAAAGGGGTTAATTATATTTTTTTAAAAAAAATGATATCTATAATTATTTTAAAGAATTAATTAAAAAATTAATTGTATCAGTGTTTATAGTATTCTACTCGCAGTTTTTCCGTTCAATTAGATTAAAACTCATTTATAAAATTATTATTTTTAGTTATAAAAATTTTCCTGTTTAAAAAAAATTTATTCAAATTTAAAGAGAGTTAAATAACCAAAAAATCGAGCTTCAGCTATATTTTATTCTAATTAAAGGAGGAGTCAGCAGACTTGAAGCAATCACAACATGCTCGAAGTGAGAAGGCCAAATAAATTCAGAACTCTAAAAACTTCAGAAGTCACCATGAAATATGATGTTGATGAACTCATTGGAATCCTCAAGCAAGTCGGAAAACAATGAAACTTTAACACCTTTTTCTTAAAAGAATGCACTGAAGGAAGGCCGCTCGTAATCATTGGTAAATATTGCATTCAAAAGTATAGGCTTGATGAGGCTTTTAATTTAGACGACGATCTGTACATATCGTTCCTTGAGGAATTAGAAATGCATTATAAAGCAAACCCCTATCATAACTCTGCACATGCAGCAGATGTATTGGCATCTTTTTTTTATTTTGTTAGCAAGTCAAGACTTGCTGAATACCTAACAGAGATTGAAATTCTCACATCGGTCATAGCCAATTTAGGGCATGATGTAGCCCACCCTGGCTATACAAACCGCTTTCTTATCAATAAAAAAGATGAACTCGCAATAAGATATAATGATATCTCTGTATTAGAAAGCATGCACTCAGCAATAGTTTTCCAACTCATGCAAGATAGCGACAAAAATATTCTAAAGCATCTTGATACGGAACACTGATGCGTTGCAAGGAAACAGATCATTGACATGATCTTGGCAACTGATATGGGCAGACATTTTGACTTATTAGGTCAATTTAGAGCAAAAACAGTGAATAATCCATTAAAACCTTTAGATACCCCTGAACAAAGAATTGACGTCATGAAGATGAGCATCAAAGCTGCAGATATAGGACACTCAGCAAAGATTTTGGATCTTCACGAGAGGTGGACTCTTCTTGTATGTGAAGAATTCTTCACTCAGGGAGATTTAGAAAAGAAAAGCAATTTGCCAGTATCTATGTACTGTGATAGAGAAGCAACTGATGTTACAAAATCGCAAGCAGGATTCATCAAAAATATTGCTGTTCCGCTTTACAGAGCTTTAAATGATTATTTAGAGTCAGAGGATATTGAAAAATGCTGTATAGGCCAATTAAAATCAAATTTGGAGCATTGGGAAAACAGCTATAAAAGGTATAGATTGGTAAAAAACTTTGAGGATGAAGGACCTATAAATGAATATGATGAATTAATTAAAAGGTATTCAAAACAAAAGCGATGTGGAACTCAAGCTCCGAAAAGGAGGGAAATTGAAGAAAACGCGTGAAGTGACTAGATTTTAAAGGTAATTTAAGGATATAATATGATGTTTTATTAACATAAAACCATATATTGTGTAATTTATTAATATACTCTATAAAAGAGAATAAATATAATTGCAATCAAGATAAATAGAAAAAATAAGTGCAATAAGTAATATCTGCTGTTTTGGGCTTTCCAAAGTGCCTTCTGTAAAGAATAAATATCTCAGTATTGATCTGAAATGTTTATCCCCAAATTGTCATTTAAACATCAATATCTTCTCTGCTTTAATAATTAATTATATTCTTTAATTATGAGCTGGGTTGTTCTTCAGGTCATGTCAGGTCCTCGATCTCTTGTTCAGCTTAGAGGGAAAGTAAAAGTTGGAAAGCAGTTTGTGAAGTTAAGTCCTGAACTCTTGTACAATCGAGTTTATCAAGTCAAGAATGGTGAGCCAGAGCTTGCAAGTGGAGAAGACACTTATGACGGACCTGTAACTGGGGATAACCGAGGATTTATCGACGATAATACAGCGCAAACTTTGACTTCTGAAGAAATCATCGAAATTCGTAATTCTGAAGGAGGCGAAGCTCTCATTAATACCCTTGTTCAGAATAGTAAAACTTTCAACATGAAAACACAATTTTCTCAAGAAAAATACTTACGAAAAAAGAAAAACAAGCATTTAGCGCTCTTTAAAATTCTTAGAGCGACTCCAGGAAATATTGCAGACACACAATACTCTCAAAAGCCTTCCAAATCAATTCGCTCAGACGCTTTGCACAATTTATTGGCATTAGGAAACATTCATTCTGATTGCGCTGTTTTAGTTTATGACGATATTGGTGGGATTTTGCTCGGTTCAGTTTTAGAAAAAACAACTGGAACTGTAAGTGTGGTTAGGCATGCACATTATAGAGACCATAATCTGAAATACTTTGGGATTAAAGTAAATTCTGAAAGAATTTCACATGTATTGCCTGAAAACCCTGCTGGCACTTATGACTCTTTAATAGTGGCAAGCCAAGAGCCTTTAAAAGAAATACTCGAAAAATATTTGCCTTTGCTAAGGCCTTCAGGTACTATTTCTACATACAGTCAAGACTTAATGCAGGTTGCAATAGTTTACGAATGGCTCATTAAAGAAACCTTAGCAGTCAATGTTTGCTTGGAAGAAATATGGACAAGAGAATTTCAGGTGTTGCCAGAGAGGACACATCCAAATATGAATTCTAGGCAGGGTTCAAGTGGAGGCTACATTGTTTCAGGCAATAAAGTTATTAGTGAAATTTCTTAATTTTGTAATAAATGCTAAAATATGATGAAATAGCTGGCCATGGGGATGAGGTTCTCAGGTATATTTTCAATTTTGATTCTATGACTTTTAAACCGCTGAGTATAAATTATGAATTTGATGAAATTAATCGACTTTGTGACTCTATTATTGATAAAATAAATAAAAGAATATCGACACCGAATAGCAACATTATCTTGGCTGGAGCTTCTTCCGAGCACTCAAGTGAAAGTGCTACTATGAAGCTGCTTGGTGTAAGTGCTTTATTGATCTTACTCCCCCCCATCCTTGATCGAACGATTGACTGTAAAAATTCCTAAAAATTGGAGAAATTAACCCCCATCATTGATCGAACGATTTTCATATCATGCAAATTTTTATATATAAAAAGTATATTATTTATCAAAAGCTTGGGAAGATGTACATAATGAAGTTATTTTCAGAGCTTTGAGATGACAGAAAGCTGCGGAATCAACCATCCGAAGTGATTTAATCATCAACCTAGGCTTAAAAACTCAATAATCTAATAAAATAGAGATTCTTTAAAATTTTTAAAAAAAAAATTAATTTAATATGAACAAATTAAAATTTATACAGTTTAAAAGGGTAACTAATAAATCAAAAATTAAAAAATTGGTATTTTATGAAATTAATTCAATTTTTAGCTGTAAAAATAATTATTAAATACTCTTAACCCTCTTATTTAAAAGTAAATAAAAAAAAAATATATATATATATATTTTTTATTTTATATATAAAATTGTTTTCCCAAAAAATTTTTTTTAACCCCCATACTTGATCGAACGATGACGAGTCGTTCGATCAAGGATGGGGGGGGAGTTAGTTTTTTTTATTTTTGTTATTTTAGACGCTTATTATCTGGATGACAAAGTCCTGACTGAAATTGGAATTCTTTTGATTTCAGTATGCCTCTTGATTCATCTTGTTATCTTATTGTTTGATGGGAAGTTCTCCCATACAGATAAAAAAAGAGTTGTAGATGAAAAGCTTATTCTGAAGTCTATCAAAACATGATGTGCGGAAATTATTTCTAGTCAAAATAAATCTCTAATCCCCCTTCCTGAGCGAACAAAACCATTGGGAAATCCCTATTTTTCGCAAGCGAAAAAAAATTTGATAGTTATTATATGAAATCTCTAGCTAATTCTGTTTAATTTTAGACAGCTTGTATCTTAAAACATAAATTTTACAAATTAAACTAATATTGGTTTCCAATTATTTCGAATTGGGATTTTTTTTGAATTTCGAAAAGAAAATTTACTATAAAATTTATATATAAATTTTTTAAAAAAAAGAATTAACTCCCTTCTTGAGCGAACAAAAAAGTTTTGTTTACTCACGTATGGGAAGTAAGAGGAAACGGTTTTTGCCTTGTATTGAGTGAGGACGGAAATAAAATTTTTGTTTTGAGATCGTGCAACGAAAAGCGTGATACAAACTTAGAGGAGTCACTAGATATTTCAGGTTAAGCATACAAAAATTAAATTAGACACTATTTGTATTTAAATACCCTAAATTCTGCATTAATCTTTGATTTTCTTCATCAAATTTTTTCTGTTCTTCTTCTGTTAATTTAGGATAATATAAAGAAAATGATTGGGATTCAAGAAGCCGCAGTTCACTTACGCTTGTGGATTGAAAATCTTCTTGCATTGGGATTAGTAAATTATCAGACATTTTTCGTTCTTCCTCATGGGAAATCATCCAAGAATTTTCACACTGTAAAGTGTTATAAAAAAAAATTCCAATGGAATCCAATGCGTATTGCGGCCTATCAGAATTATGATCTCCATCCACAATAATCAAGCTTTTTTCTCCTGCATACTTATCATGCAATCTTTCAGAATGATGCGGCTTTATTAATTCATCTTGATTAGCTGCTACGAAGAGAGCAGGAATGAAGCACTTGTCTACATGCTTAATTGGCTCTAATTCAAATAAGTTGAAATTAGCCTTTTTTCTGATTGTCTTTTTAACACACCCTTTTGCTAACTTCCCTCATTTAAATTGAAACAAAAATTCATATTCCCTTTTAAAGGGGGTTAATTTCCTTTAAAAAAAATCCATGTTTAAATTTTTCTTAAAAAATATTTTAAAAAAATAAATCAACACAATTATTTAAATTTTAATTATTTTTATGAAGAAAAAAATAAAAATTAAAACTGTTAAAGAGAATTCTCCTTAAACTTTTAATTAAATTTGATTAATACTATTTTTTTTTCAAAATTACTATTTTCATCTTTAATTTTTTTACAATTTTAAAAAAAAATATAAATTGAGCAAATGACTTGAATTTATTTATTTTTATGAAGAATTGAATAGAATGAATTAATCGATTCAGTGTGAAAACTGTTTAAATAACATTCTAATTGCATTTTGTCTTAAAAATTTAGTCAAAACTAGTTTTATAAAAATTAGAATTTCACCGATAAAATTTTCCTATTGAAAACAAATTTTTAAGGTGTTGAATTACAAATTTTACCAATGTTTTTGAAAAATTAAAAGAGCTGGGAGGAGTAAGGAAACCAAAAACCCAGGAACTCTTGTATAATCCTTTGCAATTTCTTTTAACAATACACTCATAGAAGAAAAGGGGCTGTCAATAACCATCGCTGCTATTGATGGGTCTCGATGTCCATGCATCAGTGCTGTCACAGCTCCCATGCTTCGTCCCCAGAGTCCAATATATGAAACTTTTTCTGTACTTCTTAAATAATCAATTACACAAGCTACGTCATCTCTCTCATATCATCCCAACGTAACATACTCCCCGTCACTAAGCCCAGATCCAGACATGTCAAAACAAAATACTGTTATGTTTAAAGGTAAAAGCGTGTGTAAAGTATTTATTCCCTCTAATCTTGAACTGCAATTCCCATGGAGAAATATAACGCATGGTAGCCTTTTTTCTATTCTCTGCTCTGGGATAGGCTCAAAGAGCGAGCAGACAAGTTTCATATTTCTTTGATTATAAAGAATTATATCGTTTCTTTGGTATCTTCGATTCTCTATTGTAAACTCTGCTGGGCCAAGATCGCCTAAATCATAGATTTCCCTTTTGGGTCTTATTATAGACTTTCATAGTCCTTCGTAGCTCTTTTTGAAAAATGTCATATTAAATATTCAAGAAATAATGATGTTTTGCAATATTTAAATGGGAAATAACCTTCCAAATGCAAATTGACTTTGTAATATAATTTACTCCTTGCTAAAAAATAATATTTTTAGAGAAAAAATTAGCCTTAGTTTGCTGGTGAGGAAACTTACTTAATACAACGATTTTTTGTATAAATGTATTTTATAAGTAATTAAATATCAAGCAAATTATTAATGTAAGTATTCAAAAAAAATTATAAATGGGATAAAATTTTTCATTAAAATTTGAGAATATGGTGGATTTTAAAATTTTAAAATAATTAATCCCCTCTCGTTGGCGAGCAAAATATATTGTTCCTTTTCTAAAGGGGATGCTAACTGAATTTATATATTAGAAATTTAATTTGAAAAGTTTAAAACTATTTAATTTATTTAATGTTATTAGCAGAAGTCTAAGTTGCTATGCAAGGTTTTAGTCATTATCATAATTCAAATTTAAATATTAAATATAAAAATTAGAAAACATTAAAAGATTTTAAAATAATTCTTTTCTATATTCAGATAAGAGGGTCGGAACATATTTCTTTTCCCTCACAATGACTGCACTTGTAGAAAGCACAAGTTGAGCTAGTGAGCATGCTCCTCTTAAGGCTTGAATTACTACATGAGCGCTATCAATTATTCCTTCATCAATTAAATTTACTAATTTTCCTGTGTTTGCGTTAAGACCAATCTCCTCATCTTCAGAGTTTCACATCTCATCAATTGCAGCCAGCCCATAATCTGTGTTAATAACAATTTGCTCGCATGGAAGCATTAATGATTCTTGTAATATCCTAACTCCTATATCTTTTTCTGTGTTTGTTCTTATTTTGGATAGCATTCTTGCTGCATATAATAAGGCTGAGCCACCTCCAGGCAAAAAACCTTCGCTTAGAGCAGTTTTCACTGAATTAAGAGAGTCCACAACCCTATCACGCCTTTCTTGGATTTCCATTTGCCCTCCTCCAATGCCGATTTCAATCACAGCCATTTTCCCGTATAGCCTTTGGAGTCTAATTTTATAGACACTTCTTTGGTCATGATCCTGGGTATTTCTCAAGTCGTTTTCAATAGTCTCAATTCTTTCTTTTGGGTCTCCTTTTCCTCCAAATACTAAAGTTTGGTCTCTTTCTATGTTGACCCTTCGAGCTGAGCCTAAGTCATCAGGGCTATAAGTTTTAAAGGTCAACTCACTATGAACTTTACTGCCTACTATAGAGGAAAAATCATACAAAATTTCGATGTTATGCTCATATGGAAAGTTTATGGCACAAATTTGCAGCTCACCTTTTTGATGATTTAGCAAGATAGTTGATAAGGCTTCTTTATCAATATCTTCAGCAGCAATAACAAGACTTCGGCCAGTTTTTTTAGCATACTCCAATATGTTGATAATTTGATCAAGCTTATGAATTTTAAAAGCACAAGTCAAAATTAAAGGGTTTTCCAAGCGAATGCTGCATAAAAATTACTCAGGATGTCCTTGATTTTGCATGAAAAATTCATTTGCTGCGCCTCTCATCATAGTAAACCCATCAGCTAGCTACATATTCCTTACAATTAAAGCATTATCAAAGTCAGCTCCTTCTTCTATCATAATAGTTCCATTTTTCCCAGTAGATAGGACAGCTTGCGTTACTAAGTTTGCATTATATTCATCATGATTGCAAGATACTTTTGCTATCGCCAAAAGCTCACTTTCAGATGTAACAGGGATGCATTTGGATTTTAAATAATTTTCTACCAAATTAGAAGCGTATACAAGGCTTTCCTTCAAAGCTATTGGGTGAACTCCTCTTTTGAGATATTTTAAACCTTTTTCAATTAAATGTGAAGCGATAATTGTTGTTGTAGTTGTGCCGTCTCCTGCATGATTATTTGATTCATGAGCTGGGAATTTGATGAGTCTGCATCCAAGGTCTCTTTGGTTATCTGGAAACTCAATATGCTTTACCACAGTGACCCCATCTTTTGTTATCTTTGGAGGACCAAGTTCGTACTCAATTGCTGCATTTTTTCCCTGAATAATTTTTACCTTTGGTCCTAATGTAATTGAGACTGTTTTATTTACGTCTTCAATTCCTCTTCATAGCATATATCTTGCTTTGTCATCAAACTCGATTTTGACATGCTTAAAAGAGAAAAATCTGCATTTTAAACTGAATAGAGACTTGATCATTTATCCAAGCTTAATAATGCAAAATGGGCAGATAGAGGCAAAAGAGGTTTACCAATTATATGAAAATGATAAAATTATTCATAAATTAATTATGAGTATAATTGAGGGTAAAAAAAATTAAATCCTATTACAGTAATACCAAAAAACTATTAATTTTTTCGACTTTTTAGTAAAAATCACTAATATAATCTTATTTTATAAAAACCTCAAGATATTAAAACAATATTATGGAATCCCACTCTTTGAATATGATAAAGACTGTTATAGCTGAAAATATAAATCAAAAAATATCTCATGTTGAGAAAGAAGTGGTTAGCCAGCAAGAAGTGCTAGAGAAACTAGTCACACAAGTAAACTCATTAGCAGAACTTTTGCAGATACCAATCCCAAAAATTTCTTTACCCGAATTATCAATTAAACCCACGCAAATTTTAATAGCTCATGAGCCAGAGCATAATAAAATAAACTCAAATAATACTGAAGCACTACCTTTAGCAAAGCGCCTACAAGAAGAGCGCAAGCTCGAAGCAATCAGAAAACAAGAAGAAGCAAAAAAGCGACTAGATGCACAAAAGAAAAAACTCGAAGAAGAAAGAGCGAAAATGAAAAAATTAAAAGAAGAGGCAGAACTTAAAAGAATTGAATCTCAAAGAAATAGCTTAAAACCACCTAAAACAATTTTGAAAAATACTAATACCTCCTTCCGTGAGCAAAATTTTTTTTTTTCATTCACGAGGTATTTTTTTTTAACAAAAAATCCCAATTCGAAATAATTTTAAAGCAAATATTAATTTAATTTGTAAAATTATCTTTTAAAATGCAAGCTGTTTAAAATAAGCCGAATTAGTAGAAATTTCGTTATGATAATTTCCTATTATATATCAAAATGTTTTTTTAAAAAATTTTATTTTAAAAGAATTCACTCACATGGAGGGTGGGTTTTCACCCAAAAAATTAGGATTTTCCAATGAGTTTGTTCGCATACGGAGGGGGGCAGTAAGGAAATAATTATAAAAGGCGGAAGAAAGAATCTGTATATAGAAGCAGCCACAATTAATTTGACTGCTGCAACAGATGATGGGGATGAAAAGAGAGAGCTCTCTGCATCTGATATGAATTTTGACCAGTTAAGTGGTTTTGGATACCGTGAACCAGACGAATTTTCACTTTCTGATGAGACAATAGAAGCTCTTGATTCAATGCATGATTTCGACCGAGGAACTGATATTAATAATCATGTTGTAGAATCTAGCTAAGTTTTCAAGTTTTCACCTATATAATCTTTTTCTTTTGTAACAAAAAAAAGTCTATTAGTTACTGTCATGTATAGTAAAAATTATGGGAATTTGTACAAGTAAGGAAACTAAGATGAAAAGACCCGTTAAAGCGCCAATTTTACGGGTAGCCGAAGTTTCAAGCAGTTCTCGCCTAGAGTCAATCAGAGATAAATACGATTTTATCAAGGTTTTAGGCTACGGGCAATTTGGAACGGCTCCATGTCAAATGATCATGCATTTTTGATAGTGCAAAATCTCCTAGGAGAATTTTTTTTCAAATCATTTTTGATAGTGAGACATTTGACCGAAAAACCGTTAAATTTTGGCCAAAGTGCATTATTTAAAATTTTCGACCAAATTTTAATCGATGAAATATACACTATTAAAAGTATACGATCATTGGATCTGCACCCGTTTGGAACAGTAAGGCTTGCAACTAAGAAAAGCGATACGATGTCTCAAAAAAAAAGATTATATGCTATTAAATCGATTTGTAAAGATCACGTCAAGAAAAACCTCGAATCTATGAAAAGGGAGTTGGAAATTTTAAAATTGGCTGATCACCCTAATATTGTAAAACTTTACGAAATTTATGAAGACACAAAATACATTCACCTCGTCATGGAGTACTGCTCTGGAGGTGATTTATGCGATTATCTCATTCAAAAAGAGGTTTTAACTGAAAAAGAAGTTTCAGCATTAATGAAGCAGATTTTTTCTGCAGTAAATCATTTGCATAGCCTGAAGATATGCCACAGAGATATTAAGCCTGAAAACTTTTTATTAGCTAGCAGTACTGGTGAGCCTGAAGTAAAATTGACTGATTTCGGAATGTCTGTCAAATTCGGAGATGATAAAATGAAATCCATGGTTGGTACTCCATACTTTGTAGCTCCAGAAGTCCTTAAAGGTAGGTATGGAAAAGAGTGTGATATATGATCATCAGGAGTTTTAATGTATTTTATGCTATCGGGAAAGCACCCATTTAAAGGAGTGGATTTAAAAGATTTATTTCTTAGAATCGTAAAAGGTAAATTTTCGTTCCCAGAAAAGCCTTGGAGTCACATTTCAAAAGAAGCTAAACATCTGATTCAGCAAACCCTCGTGCCGAATCCAGCCAAAAGGATTTCAATAAACCGAGCCTTAGGCCATCCTTGGTTTAAAACGCTTGATGACCCAGCTGAGCATCCTCCAATCAACCTAGAAATCTTTAGTGCGTTAAAAAAATTCAAGGCTCCAGGCAAACTATGGCAAGAAGCTATGAAAGTCTTTGTAAGGAATATCTCTGAAGAAAAATACGAAGAGCTCGGAGCGATGTTCAAAGAAATAGACCAGTCAAATACTGGATTTGTAACCGCTCAAGATATTGTAGATGCGATGAGAAGAAATGGCTATGAAATTTTGGGTGAAGAAATAGAAGCTTTAATGAGAAACATTGAATATATTGGACATGGGAAATTAAATTATACTCAGTTTCTCATAGCAGCTCTAGCTAGAAAAAGGGTTCTTGACGATGAAGCTATGTGGGCAGTTTTTAATCATTTCGATATATAGCGCTTTCCCGAGGATGGCGCGGAATGGCGCCATCCTCGGGAAGGCCAGGAAGGCATCCACACGGGAACTGGGAGTTCCACGTGTGGATGCCATTTTGACAATTGGAAGTTTGGATCCCACATGTCAAAAATGGCATCCACACGTGGAACTCCCAGTTCCCGTGTGGATGCTTAGTTGACTTTCCCGAGGATGGCGCCATTCCGCGCCATCCTCGGGAAAGCGCTATAACTCATTCTGGAACTATAAGCCTTGATAATCTAAAGTTTGCTTTAGAAAAAGCTGGCTGCTTCATTTCAGAAGCAGATTTTGAAGAAATTGTAAATGAATTTGAGCTGAAAGCAGGAAAAGACATGAACTATGAAGAATTTAAAGAAATTATGACATGTTTTTCTGAAGAAAACTCATTTGTTATATTAACTGATGAGGATGAAGCAAGAGTAACAGAAAGAAGACAAACCAAGAGATTGTCTATGAAACGAATGACTATTCGAAGAGCAACCATGAAGGAAAATCAGCAGCTGATCGAAAATAAAATGGAAACATTTAAAGAAGTTTCTGGAGATACTAAATCCTTCATTACTTCGCTAGCAAATTTTTTTTTCTGAAAATAATTTGATATATATTAAATTATTATGATAAAATCTCCAGGTAGTTATAGATAATTGCACCCTGAAAGAATCATTTGATCTAAATTAGATTTTTCCAAAAAATATTTATAGAGATAATTTTATGTGAAATTTAAACCTCTATTAGCTAGTAAGAGGAGTAAAGTAATTGAGAATTAATAATTTTTTCCTAGATTTTCGGTAGATGCAAGCGTTGAATAATCAACTATTGATTGTCTGTAGGAATATACATTAAAATGGGCGACACGTGCAACTTGTCCTCTTGGCACAGAAGTCCAGACCTTATGGCTACGGTGAACTGGGATGGACTCCGAACCGAGAATCAAGTGCAGGCTCAAGAAGTGTGTATCCGGATAGGTTTTGTTGCTTTCATGATTGGAAATGGAGGTACTCAGTAGCGTCCTTTGAATCCGGGGATCCATGGGTATTGCTCTACCGAGAAATTGGATGCTTCGGCGCAGGCCACATGGGAGTAATCTTTTTCCTATAGCTGTCGAATGAAGATATTTCGGCACCCGGCAGATTCCAAGGAGTTGATCCTTGGAATCAAGCTACTCCAATCGCCCGTAGAGGGCCCAGAAATCCATAAGCATCAAGACTGAAGCCATAAGGACGAGGCAGAAGATTCCAGAAAGGCAGTCGAAAAGCGTTAGAACCTCCGGTGCGGGGGGTCTTTGGTGACTGCGTCACCAATATGGATAACACCTGACTTTAATAACCTAACCTAACCTAACCTTGCCCATAGGAGGCTAGTGGAATTTTGGGGGTGTGGCCAAGCCATTCTACGAATCTTCGGTCTCTTGGGCGCTTTATTGAATTTTTCTTCAATTCCCATAATTCTTCTGCAGATGCAAATAAGTTGCCCCTTCTTTGCTTTGGTTTATTTCCAAATGACTCCCAAGGCTTTATAGGTGATTTATTTCGTTTAGGTAGTTTCGACGGAACTTTGACTCCTTTAAATGGAGGATTTAGCCCCCAATTTTTATTCTTTAATATTTCCATGTTGAATTTATCAATTGGACTCATTCCTTGGATATTTTCAGCCTTATCATATTTTCGTATTTTATTGATTTTTGGAGACTTTGTATGAATAATTTGAGGTGTTTCGCTATCAGAAACTTTAGGCTCTTCTTTAATTTCAGCTGGAAGTGCACTATCAGGAATGTCTTCAAATAAATCTTTATGGGATCTTATAGAAGGTAATTTCATGGTTGAATTCTGCCTATTTGTTGCCATAGAATGCGAACTTTCAGACTTAGCAACTTGCAAATCACTTGAATTGGCAGTATCATTTGCTCTAGCTGTTACCCCAAAATACTCTTTCCTACTCATTGTCTTTAATTTTGCATTTGAATTAGAGATACCATGCTTACTGCGATCCCCATCAAAAATCGTAACGCCAATGCTCAAATTAATTGCTTCAAAAATTGGTGAAGAAATTGATGCTACATTTCTAACTCACTCTTGCTCCTTTTTAGGAGTTGTTTTCAATGGCTTTAAAGTCCCAAAATCTTCAAGAGTCCTTTTTTTCTTTTTTTCTACTTTAATTGGTTCTTCCATTATTGGTTCTGGTACTGAGTATCTCAAAACTGAGGTGCTATATGAGTTAACGTTTCTAAATTTCAGAGGACTAACAACCATAATTTTCCCTGAAAAATTGTATGTAAATAATTTACTTTTTAGTCCTTCTGCCTCTCGCTGATATTCCCTTTCTTTTGCTTTCTCTTCTTCGTTTCGTTTTTTTTGCCTTTCATTTTCCTCTTTTTTTCTCTTAATTTGCCTTGCTTTGATTTCCCTCATTTGATTCTCTGCCTCATCTTCTGGGGTTTCCAAATAATAGTTTGGTATGGGAACAGGCTTGGGCTCTTCAGAAATTGCTGGATTTTGAAATCCTAGTGTAGATTTAGCAGGATTTGTTTTCTTTTGCAGACCTGACCTTGAAGAGCGGAAACTTCTTGTACTTTGGTTGACTGATACAACTGATTGGCCAGATGGCTCTTCAGATTCAGGCTCCTTATACTTTTTCTTTACAGGTATAATATTTCGCATCCAGGGATCGATTTTACAAGTAGTTGGTTCTGCCATTTCTTCTCAATTTTCTAATTCTCCAGTATCATACTTTAACCTTAATTAGCTTAATTTAGCTTGGCTTCTTATTTGACCCTAAATAACAGCTTCACAAAGAAGCATTTTGTCGTAACTCTCTCATACATGCCAGGCCTTGCAGACCGCCATCTCTCATAATATCTGCGAAAGCACCTACTAGGCTTTCCTTCTGTTTAAGCGCCCCTATTCGAAACCCAAATCATATAATAATAAAAGTGGGCAGATGAAAGAGAATTCACGGAGCGAATAGTAAAAGGCATTTTATCATCCTTCAACATCATACCGAATATAAAACAGCTCAACTGCGTTTGCAATAAGTCAAACTGATTGCTGAGCTGCAAATGGAACTGATCTATTTTGAATGTAATGGTCATATAAAATATGTCCTCCTTGCTCATATATAGCTTCAAATACATCGTGTGCAGCTATTTCTGCTATGTCTAAATCTTCATTAATTTCATATGTCTCTTCTTCCATTAAGTAACTTAAAATACAAAATGTCTGTATTTGGAGTCAAAGAATGGTGAAGTGTGCAGTGTGGGACTGAGGAAGAATACGATGTTAGGTCAATGTGCAGAATGGAGTCCGGAAATATCATTGTTGGATCACTACAAGGTATCATTAGGGGGTATAAACCTCATCGTGGCGATTTTTCACCTGATGATTTGCTGTTTGAATCAAGATTAGATAGCATTTTGCAAGTAGAAGCAGGGTTGTTTTCACACTCTCAGCAAGAAACTATTGCAATTTTGCACCCAAGATCGTTAGAAGTATCCGTTATAGCAAACTCAACTCTAAGACAAGTATATGAGCATAAATTGCAAAGAAATGCATTTAACTTTACATATGGAAAATTCGGAAGTTATAACAGAGAAGGACGAGATTTTATATGCATCCAGTCATCAGATGGGGCTTTAGGATTCTATGAACAAGAAAACTATATTTTTGCTGTTCAATTACCTGGATTTCTAACTCCAGGACCTTTGTTGTATTGTCCTTCAAACGATTCGTTTTTGCTTTGCAATGCCAATATGCAATTAGAATGCTACAGATATGCTAGACTTAGAGATGCATATACAAGCTATCAGCAAGGCCAGTCAGCTACATTTGAGGCTGAGTGGAAAATTATACTAGGAGAATATGCACAGGAAATTAGAGCTACTAAAAGGCAAGGCAACGTAGATGTGTATGTGCTAGGAGAGCATACTTTATTTGGAATCAAAATCAATGGAAGCTTAAAAATACAGAAAAAGCTCGATTATGTGCCGAGCTGCATGTGGGCTTTTGAAGAAGATTCAGTATTAATTGGAAGCTTTTCTGGACATTTATTGGTATATAAGAATACAAAACTTTTATGAGCTGCAAAAATGACAACAATACCAGTGGCAATCCGGGTAATTGAATTAGAAATGCCAGGCTTGATTTTGTCGTTAGAGGAGCATGGAAAGCTCGATGTGAGCTACTTAGGGACTTCTCCTATGCCTTATAGTGTTGTTCCTGTCAATAAAACACAAGATTATGCAAGTATGGATAGGGAATATAGAAATGTCATTAACTCTCTTTCAGATTCACCAAATAAACTAGAGCCTTCAATTAAATTGATAATTATTCCACAAGTTCCCAAAACACCTGAAAGAGATATGCATACCTTTGAAGGCTTTGCAAGTGATGATGAAGGAACTATAGTCACAAACGTAAAAATTGGGCTTAAGTATGATGGGGATGTAGCAAAAAATGTTTGTGTCCAAATTGAGGTTCCTTTTAATATAGAATGCCCTGACAATCCTATACACATAGAGGAATTGCGAGGAACTGTGAATATCCCAATAAGGTTTTTAACAAAGCCTCATATACCTTGTTCCCATTTAAATGTTAATTTAAATGCAACTTATTTTGTCAACGAATCACCTAGAGTCTCAACAGTATCCTTTCGACTTCCTCTTCTGCAGGTAATAATTAATATGGTGGCAGAATATGTTCTTGCAGACGAACTACTTTAGCGCCAAAATGGCTCTATAGCCTTAATCAGGTTCAGGCCCTTTGATTCTAACCCCAAGCTTGTTGTATGAAGGCTGTTGGAGTTAGTGACCTTGGGAGTCAGCTTTTGGCCATTCCAGCCCAGGTATTAGTTATCTGGAAGGTTTTTGTGTCACGGGTTTCTTTTTCTGCTTATTCCAGAAGGCCTTGGTTTTTTCCTGGGGTGCTACCTCTCCAAAGATGGCCGGCAGGAGGTATCGGGATAGCCTTTACCTCCATAGCACTCTATGGCGCACTGGAAGGGCGTCTTCCTAACCCGTCGAGACTCTTGGGAATCACAGTGAAAGCGCTCTCCTAGAGGAGATTACTGTTCCAAATAGCGGTAAATTTCCGCCCAGCAAGCAGGCTGGCGTTGGTCAAAAGTATGCAGAGGTATCAAATTTGGAAGACGCTAAGACTCTTAATTTAATTCTGCAGGTAAGCACTCTAATAAAGCCTATAAAAACCGCTGATTTCAAAATCACACTTAAAGCCAGACAAACGTTGAATCAGCTTAAAGAAATTTTTTTCGATGTCGCATTGCTGAGTCCCAATGCCATTACTTTTCAACTGTTTAATGGAGAGCATGTGACTGCAATCATTGGCAAAACTGGAGAGAGATTTAGAATTCAATCGTCTCACTTCCATACCCTTTGGCTGATGGTAGAAGAAATCTGTTTAAGAGTCGGGCATGAAAAATTAGCATTTGAAGAGCCGCTTCCATTCCAAGATTTATTCCAAAATGTTGACTCACACTTTGAGGCGAGAAAACAATTAAAAGACGAAGAAGATAACTTAGGAAAGCTGTGCGAACAATACGCAGCTATCCAAAAAAGACTTTTAGTGAGGTTTAAAGATAAAAACCCAGCGCCGCTAAATAATTTGGATTATTTATTACATGTAACACATTCCCAAGTTATGGCAAGGGCAGAAAACGTAGAAACCTTGCAAGAGCAGCTGTTGATAGCTTCACAAAAATTAAGTGCAAGCATAAACTTGGCTTTGTTACTGTTGAGGATGAGATTTAATTTAGATAATCAAAGTTTTGAGGTATTAAGCAGACATTTAAACCCATTTGTAATGAATGGAGAGCCTGGGTGGCAAGAAGCAACAAACGTAGCTATGACTTGATTATTGAAAAGCGTTCTAGCGAAAAACGAAAAAGAGGCAAATGCACAATTAGGGAATTTAAGCTTCCCGACTTCAACAGAAAAATTGAAAAAGCATATAACTATTGTATGTGATAGGCTAGCTAAGGGAGGCAGACTTATAAGAGAGTAATAATTAATTTTTTAGATCAAAATAAATTCAATTAATTAGGCTATTGCATTCATAAAAGCCTAGATTAAAGAAAGTTAAGGTTATCTAACTCCCCCCCTCCGTGAGTGAACAAAAAAATTTTGTTCACTCACGGAGGGGGGTTAATTTTTTTTTTGTTTAAAAAAAATTATATATAAATTTTATAAAAAATATTTTTTTTTCGAAATTTTAAAATATCCTAATTCGCAAAAATTGGAAAGCAAATATTAATTTAATTTATAAAATTTATGTTTTAAAAAGCAATTTGTTTAAATTAAACAGAATTAGCTCTAGATTTCATATTACTAATTATCATTTATATATCAATTTTTTTTTACATAAAAAATTTTTGTTCACTCACGGAGGGTACGGAGGGTGGGTTTTTGGGAAAAAAATAGCGATTTTTCTAATGGTTTTATTCACTCACGGAGGGGGGAGTAAGCTATTATGTGACGCAAACGATATAAATGTGCTCCAGAACACCATAATCACGCTTTGGAAGAGAACTCTGTGTCTTTCTGGGACAATGCAAAAATTGATGAACTGAGTCGGAACCCATAGTAAATAATCTGCTATCAGAACGTTTTTATAGTCTTTTTTAAGCTTTTCCATTACAGGTTCCTTTTGATCTGATCCTAAATGCGCCCAAGCCATGAAAAATGCAGTTTCAGGAGGAGCGAAAAGCAGAAGGTCGACGCTCATTTTTTTCAGCGTTGAGCGCAAATTCATTTTTGAGCCAAAAGCAGCATCGAGTCCTTTATATCAGTAATGCCCGACACCACCTGCAACTACACACCCATAAATAGCCATGTTAAGCAGTCGTTTAAAATCAACATCGTCATTTCCTTCAACTAATTTCTGGGCAATTAAATCTCCAGCGCTCGTAATGACCATACCCGTTGCCATCCTATGTGGGATTTACTTAGTTTTGATAGGGTGCTTCTCGAGGCCTCCAAGGTATAAATTCCAGAGGCTGCGTATAATCATATATAAATGTCCCTAAACTTTTCAGTGATAAAGGATAATGGTATTAATTAATTTAAACAATTATTATAAGATTTCATTTCAGCAAGGCTTAAACTCTCTGATTTAGAGATTAATATCAGTTCCCAGTCCTAATTCACTTCTTTTTATAATCTTTTTTCTAATTTGATAAAAAGAAGATTCTAACAGAATCAATTGTTAAATTAAAAAATCAAGCTAAAGCTAAGCCGTAAAAATAATCACGCATCAGCGATTAATAGAGCTTTGAATTTATTAATACGTGAATTAATCAATCCACTAAATTCAATGAAGGAAGAATAAATAGGAATTTAAAATATATTTCATTCTTGAATAAAAGTAATTATTCTTATTAAGCCTATATCCTTTAGCGTCTCCTAAAGGTTGCACACCTCCTACTACCACTTTCGCCGCTCTGATTTTTATATATTCTAGAAGGAAGGACCTGGCCGAGTAGAAAAAAAGCATGATGTATTTCATAATCAAAATATTGCTGAAAGAGAAGCAATTAGCAGAACAAATTAGTTTCGACAGAATGCCATATTTTTATTATAAAAGAAATTATTCAGATCTAATTTTATTTAAAATATGAAATATATAAAGTAATAAATACACTCATATATATCGCTTAACCACGAATATATTTGATTAACAAAGCATTATAACAATTGAATATCAATTGCATTTATTCAATTATTATTTAATATTAATGTATAAGCTAATCCAATTTTCTTTACTTTCTTTTTTTGATTGTTTTATTCTCAAATCCAAATAAAAAATTTAGATCTAAAATGTCAATTATGAGTATCCCATTCTACTATTATATCATTATCCTGATACTTCTGGCGCCTTGATTGATCAACATAATCCTATGAATTGCTTTATGAAAATATTCATTCCGAATGTGCACCTGTGGTTACTTCAAATATAAAAACATCAGAATGCAATTACCACTCGTGCACATTCAAATAAACCAACTCAGACTTTTCTATCACAACAAGAGACTAGTTATTTTTGTCCAAGGATTGCATATAGACCTTATAAAAGTCGAGCCAACTGAATCCACTCCTTGAAAAGAAAATGCTTTTAAGAATTTGCTGTTCAGAATATTAATATACAGTTTTTGAGAGTCGAAAAACAGGGCCTTGGTTCTCTGGTTTACTATTCTATGTCAGAATTTATTGCCCTAAATATTCTATTAGTAGCTTGCGGCTTGGTCTTCTGAAAACATATTTTATACCAAATTTAATTTAACAAACCAACACATTATTAGTTTGCTGAATCTGATCGGGATATGAAATTCAGTTTCCATATAAGAAAAAATGTCAACAGATTTTAAAATAAATTTTCTGATACCCTTTTTTAAGTCCCTGAATTAATTTTTAATTTTCTATTAATCTTGGTCCTATATTAGAAAAAGAATTACTGAGCATTCTACTGGAGATTTTAGATGATATCAATAAAGAAGCTCTAAGACTTCAAGAGGCATCTATCTCTCTGTCGGCATGTCACCCCATCGAATTCGTATTTTTTAGTTCATGTCCTATTTTTCCAGTTCAGTTCATTTTTAATGCATAATCCATAAGTCAGCATTCTACTGGAGATTTTAGATGATATCGATACAGAAGCTCTAAGACATCAAGAGGCATCTATCTCTTTGTCGGCATGTCACCCCATTGAATATGTATATTTTTTGTTCATGTTCTATTTCTCCAGTAACTTCCATTTTTTTATGAATCATCTGTAAGTCAGAATTCTACTGGAGATTTTAGATGAAATCGATACAGAAGCTCTAGCACTTCAAGCAGTATTTATCTCTTTGTCAGCATGTCACCCCATTGAATTTGTATATTTTTTGTTCATGTACTATTTCTCCAGTTCAGTCCATTTTTTTTTATGAATCATCCATAAATCATCCAAGTCCAAATTCTACTTGAGATTTTAGACGATATCGATACAGAAGCTCTAACATATCCAGAGGCATCTATCTCTTTGTCGGCATGTCACCCCATTGAATTTGTATATTTTCAGTTCATGTCCTATTTCTCCAGTTCTCTCCATTTTTTTATGAATCATCTATAAGTCAGAATTCTACTGGAGAATTTAGATGAAATCGATACAAAAGCTCTAGCACTTCAAGTAGCATCTATCTCTTTGTCGGCATGTCACCCCTTTCAATCTTGTTAAAATCCATCCTGCCTGCTTAATCAAAAAACCCATCCTTTATGATTAGCAGGTAGCTCATCTGCAAACCCAGCAGGAAAATCCAGACATTAAATTAAGTAGGCAAACTCAGCATGCAAGCACAGCGTGCAAACAGAGAGATAGATGCCTCTTGAAGTCTTAGAGCTTCTGATCAGAAAATTTATTTTAAAATCTGTTGACATTTTTTTTTATATGGAAACTGAATTTCATATCCCGATCAGATTCAGCAAACTAATAATGTGTTGGTTTGTTTAAATTAAATTTGGTATATAAAATATGTTTTCAGAAGACCAAGCCGCAAGCTACTAATAGAATATTTAGGGCAATAAATTCTGACATAGAATAGTAAGCCAGAGAACCAAGGCCCTGTTTTTCGACTCTCTAAAGCTGTATATTAGTTCTGGGTAAATATCTGATTTTACAAGTATCCAGGATTAAATTTGACTATGAATTCATGAGCTTTAAAGAAGACATGGTAATTGCAAACTTCGAGTGCAATCCAGAAACAGCAGAAATTTTGATATCAATAAGAGCAAGCAGTTCTTCAATTATGCTTTATGATGAAAGCTTAATTGAAATTATACCAATCACCTTTAAACTAACTTGGCCAGGGTATGTGTCTTTGAGAAAAGCGCTAACAAAAGGACATTGCGAAATAGAGATAGGTGAAATCAAAGGGAATTTTGAACTTAAGAACTATTATGATATGATTATGATCCCAAAGTCAGGGTCTGCTTCTGAAGAGCCTCTATCACTTTCTCGAGAAATTTTGGTATTAGTGCATACAGTAGAGCTAAACATTAAAGGACTGGAATTTTCATGCTACTCGACTAAACTCACTATGAACACAAAATCAGAAATCACAACTGAGTTAGACATTTTTGATATCGAGCTGAAAATGCCCAATCAGAATTTAGTCAATATTCCTAAAGTCACTTTCAGCTCATGCAAAATCTCTGATGTTTCTGAAATGATTACAAAGATTGATAACCCTTCTATAAATTTAAACCACTCCTTAGCTGAGTTTATTGCAGATTGCATTCCTCCTCAGACTCTCAATCAAATTGAGGTGAAAAAATCTTCAGGATATTGAATCCACAATATAAATATTAACACCCTCGCAATAAACATGCTAGATTCTGAAAATATTCCTCTCATTTTAGGAAAATTTGACAATTTCCACTTCACTTTCAGCCAAAAAGAAATTTATGAATTTAAAACCTATGCAAATAACGTTTTCTTAGATTCTTATGAAGCTTATAGAATGATTTTCTTTTCAAACCCTATTATGAAGTCTGTTAAAAATGAGCTGGAAACAAAAATTGATGGCTTACTCCCCCCCCCTCCGTGAGCGAACAAAACCATTAGAAAAATCGCCATTTTTTGACCAAAAACCCACCCTCCGTGAGTGAACAAAAATTTTTTTTTTAGAAAAAAAATTTAATGGAAAAAAAATTTTGATATATAAGTGATAATTAGTATAATGAAATCTAGAGCTAATTCTGTTTAATTTTAAACAAATTGCGTTTTAAAACATAAATTTTGCAAATTAAATTAATATTTGCTTCCCAATTTTTGCAAATTAGGATTTTTTTAAATTTCGAAAAAAATATTTTTTATAAAATTTATATATAAATTTTTTTTAAAAAAAAAAATTAACCCCCCTCCGTGAGCGAACAAAATTTTTTTTGTTCGCTCACGGAGGGGGGGGGGGGAGTTAGAAATCGAGTTAACCCAGAGTACTTTTGAGCGTATTACACCTGTTTTTCTTGATATTTTATTTACAATATTAAGCAAAGGCAATAAAAAGCCAAAGCAGCAAGCTCAGACTCCTTTGATATTGAAATTCAATTTAACCAATATAAAAGCTGTAGCTAAATTTTATGATAATTTCGGGATAGAAGTTCACAACCGAGTCTTTCTTGCAGAAGCAAGAGGACCTGAGCTATTTTTTACTTTTTATGACTCTGATGTATTTGGCCATGATAATGGGTTCAAGAAATTGCTGACATGCCCGACTGGAATTGTTCATAAATGGTACGATGAAAACGGAGATGCTCAGGTAAAAGTGCATGGTGATAAAGTTATTTTGTTTCTCCCTTCCAGATATCACCTTGGCAAAGGAATATTTAAAGGTATGAATAAAATTACCACATTGACCAAGTGAACTAAGTGTCTTATAATACCTGAAGATATCAGATTAACTAAAAAGGCTTGGGTTTCTGAAAAAGGGAATATTGATTTGCTATTTACAGAATTCCAATTAATAGTAGAAGAAGATGAGCTTAACGTTTCATTGAGAAAAAGAGTCCATGCTATGAGGGAAGCTGACATATATGCCTCGCTGCGCAGCGCTGTTCTTCCTCCATTTATCAGAGTTTGTATGGAAAGACTAACAATGACACTAAACAATACCTTGATATCTGATCATGATTCAATTATCGTCGCCTTGCAAGAATTGGATAAATTTCCCGTCCCTCCGGTATCATTTTTCAAGATATTGATGGCGCATGACATAGTTACAGAAATAAATAATATTACAGTTCAAATCAGAGACTATCCTTTTTATTTAGTTACCTTAGCTCATATAACTGCCAAAATGAGGTCAATTCTTACAAGAAATAAGCTGCCTTTAGATTTCTGGGCTACAATCAAAAATCACTATAAAGCTGAAGCTACTGTTGAAGGAGGAACATGCGCACTCGGGATTTGTATAGTTCCTCTCCTTAAAGACTTGATTAATGTAGTGAATCGAATTTTGGTTACAAGAGATCCAACAACAGCTAGAAAGTTAGAAACCAAAACTGTGAAGCCGAATTTGATTGACAGATACCGTTATTTCCTCATTGGGGATGCAATTGCAGCTGTTAAAAATTGAAAAGTAATGATAAAGAGCAACATGAATCCGTATGACAACAGTGGGTTTGTCCTTGACATAGGCAATGTAGATATTATAAGCAACTACGATTATTTATCGCTAATTGTAGAAAATCTGATGCTTTATTCAGGCTCCTACAGAGAGCTGGTAAGTCTTGCTCATCTTGATGCAAAAATTCATTATAAATTTGTGTGTCAGGATGAAAATCACTGGATTACAGCAACAAACCATCAGGAAATTGACCTTTTAAAAGATTACCGATGCTCAGAATTGCAAATACGAATAAGCGCAGACATTACAAATGTTAACCAGAAATCGTTAGTTTTGTGCTATGACATTTCACAAACTTTTCATGTTGCCAATCTCTTAATGGTCTATTTAAAGCCAAATCCTATTTACTTACAAGGATTCAAAGGAGGACAAAATCCTTTCGCAGATTTGGTTAAAAGGATTCAAATAGAGAGAATCAGAATAATAGGGATGAGAATATTGAAGCTCACTCATGATGGCACTGGATTACAGACAACAATAGACACTGTTAATATGCATGCAGACTTTCAGAAATGCAAAAATGCATTACTTATACCTTGGGAAATGGTAAAGGCAGAAGGAGCTTGCTCTTTTATTAGGCTTGGCAAGTTTGATGGGATTAATTATTTAACCTTATTCCCTCACTCCTCAAACCCTAATCGAACCCATTACCATCATTGGATCAAGTATAGTTGATAGATTTTTCCAAGCTAATTATTTTAAGCGCTAACTATAAGAGAAGGGAGAAATGCTTGGAAAATTAACTAAAATCGCTTTTGAATTGTTTAGAGCAGTATAATTGTCATATCCTATGATTCATTATTATCAAAGAAGTTAGATTTGGGATGAGGTAGTGAAATAGGCTTAATATCGTTTGATCAAGGATGGGCTAATTTTCCAAATTTTAGAAAGCTCATTAGATCAAGGATGGGGGAGTGAGTTAAAGTTAAAAATTTATGCAGTCATAAGTGGTAACCCCACTAGTCGGACTACCTTAACCCCAGGAAAGTTGCCTACGTTGGGTGCATATACACCTGAGTGAAAATGGTGTAAGGCCTAACCAAAATTTTTAGCCTCTTGAATTTTCTGGGGAGACTAATGTAACCTAAGAGCCAGCTCCATAGGCAAAAATCACCCTCTGTCGGGTGCCCTAATAGTCCCGATAGGCAAAGATTATGTGAGAGACCAAACCTGTCTAACTCATTTGGTAGTGACAGGAAAACTTTCTGGGAGAACAAAACTTCCCTCTTCAGTAAGGCCTCCCCAAGCCCGAACGTCGACTTCAAAAGAGACAGAGACTCTGTTTTCAGCTTTATTAGAATGGGTTCGGCCTGCTTCATCGAGAGTGTGCCTCGGAGACCAATTTTCTTAAGCATCACCATTTTATTTTGGAGGAGTGAGGAATTTGAAAGAAATGACGACATAAACGCTGAGTCTGATTTTGAATTTAGCAATGAAAAAACAATGATGACATGTGCTTCGATTGAATATAATCAAGCCACTGAAGAAAGCCAGCCACTTCACAACTTAACTATAAAAGGATTTCGACTTCTTTGGACCTGCACCTTAGAGACAATTTTAGCTGATTTACTTATTTTTGTCCCACCAGAATTCGGAAAAGTTATGAACAAGAAGCATAATTCACCAAAAAAACAAGATGAGCCAGTTATTATAGAGGAGCCAGACTTGGAGAAAAAAGAAAACTCCCAAGATGAAGAAATAAAAATAACAAGACTTCAAAAATTGCTTTTTATTGAAATTGATAGGCCACAGTTAAATGTTTTAAATGAAGACTCATTATCGCAGATGCTTCTTATAGGAGGAAGCGGGACTATTGAAGTAAATCAAGAATTTTTGCCTCATGATGTGATGGAAATAGACGCAAAAAGATTAATTTTTGTATGCATGGAATCCATGGAAACCTTTGTGGCTCCAGGAATAGTAGATTCAGCTCGACCAGTGCTTTGGCTGGAAAGCTCTGAAGAGGTATTAAATTCTTTTAGGAATGCAGGAGATAAAGGGAATATTGAAGGCCTGCTAAGGAGAGTTTTTATTTCTAGAAACATGAAATTTGATATCACGCTCTTCAGGCTGCCTTATTGCCACTATGATTTTGTCAAAAAATGTGAAAATGAAGATAAATATTTATGGCACAACGAAAAAAGAGTAAATAAAATAAATATAAAATTCCCTGAAATGGAATCATCAATGGAAAGTGAGCATTTGTGGACAGTTATTGACGTTATACAGTCAGTGATTATGAGGGATGCACAAATTGGCAGCATTTCTGATAGCGAATTACTAATGGAGCAAGAATTCAAAAGGTATGGCAAAAAGCAAATAGAAAAAGCATTAACTGAAAAAGTGGCAAGCATGCAGTGGAATAAAAGGCCAAGGCTTACGAAAGCAATTTCAATTACCGCTGAAACTATATCATTAAAAATGACGAAAAATATGGAAACTCTTATAAGTGTGAATTTATCAATGATCAGGTGTTTTGTCAATTTTTTCAATGATAAATCGTCACAAAAAAATTTTGAGTTGCATAAAATTCAAGTTTTTCATAACGGTTTACCAATGCTATCTCCATTATTAGCTAATAAAGATGAATATATTGATTCAAATCTCATGTTTAATATTAGACTTGCAGATCGTTTTATCCAAGGAAAAGATTCAGCATCATGGCCAACAATCGATCACTTAGAAATATTTATTTTCCCATTAAGTATTGATATTTCTACAGACATTTATAACGATATCTATTATTTCGTTTTCCCTCCAGTTGATGAAGAAACAGCATTTTTAGCTTCTCAAAGGGCAAATATGGGGAAAATCAGACCACTTAATAAAAGAAGAAGACTGCCTAAATTCTATAGATATGTCAACTTAAATGAGATTAAGGTTTCATTGTCAATTAGAGGTTGGATAGGTTTGAGCAGAACGAAAATAAAACTTGCCTCCTTAGTCATCCAGTCAACATTTAAATCATTTCAAGAACTTTTTGATAAATTTATGAATCATGCCAAAAAGTGTGTTTTATCGCAAGTTCCATCAATATGTATACAAAATATGGGGATCGAAAAGAAAAACTTTTTGCCTACAACTGAAGTATCTAGGACAAGCTCATTCTTTGGGAAATTTAGGAGAAAAAAAAGTAACGATTTGTCAATGACTGAAGAGGAAAAAGAAAAAGCAGAGGAGTATAAGCAAGGATTCAAGCTTATGTTTGGCAAATAATTTTATATGTTTTTTGATAAGGTTTCAAAGATAAATTATACTTCGATTATAATCATTTTTTACTGGTTTAAAATTATTAAGCACATGAGATTTAAACTTAATTATTTAAATTAAATTAACTAATTGTACAAGTTTCTTTATTTTTCTTCAGCCAGTTTACGGAGCTGTTGTATATAATTGTTCCTAGCATTATAAGCAAAAATCCTAAGAGTTGAAGAGGCAAAAATTCTTCCCAATGTAGTATCATGCTTACAAGCCAAACTGATAAAGATCTGCTTGCATCAATTATAGCTCTCGTAAGCGCACTTGATTTTTGAGTGGTGCTGATTCCACTCCAATTGAATACTGCAACAGAAACCATTGAGCAGATTCATATAAGAGCCAAAGTGTTATTACTTAATAACCCTAAGATAGCAGTATAAGCATCTTCTACTCTTCCATTATTGCAAATCCCCTCATAATCGCAAGGAATTAAATAAAGGATTGGAAGTGCTATTATATAGACTAACTCCCCCATCCTTGATCGAATGGCTCGCATAATTCGATCAAGGATGGGGGTTAAAATAAAATTTAGGTAAAAAATTTTATATATAAAATAAATAATATATATATATAATTTTTTATTTACTTTTAAATAAGAGGGCTAAGAGTATTTAATAATTATTATTACAGCGAAAAAATGAATCAATTTCATAAGAATACCAATTTTTTATATTTTGAATTTTTGGTTACCTTTTAAACTGTATAAATTTTAATTTATTTCTTATTGAATTAAATTTTTTTTTTTTAAATTTTAAAGAACCTCGATTTTTTAGATTATTAAGTTTTTAAGCCTAGATTTATGACTAAAGCACTTCGGATGATTGATTCCATAGCTTTTTGTCGTTTTAAAGCCTCTGACAACAACTTGATTAGGCACATCTCCCAAGCTTTTGATAACTAATATATCTTTATATATATAAAAATTTGCATGATATGAAAATTGCTCGATGAAGGATGGGGCTAATTTTCCCAATTTTTAGGAATTTTTACAGTTAATCCTTCTATCAAGGATGGGGGGGAGTAAGCATCCAATCGAGCCTTCAATTCCTACCGCTAAAAGTGGGTTTACTTTGATTTTTTTAAATATCATTTCTTCAGACACCACAAAACCTCCTGAAAACAGTTCTCCTAGCATAATGAAAAATATCCCAAGCAGTGGATTTTCCGCAGATGGTGCTTTATAAGCTACGGAAACAATTCCAATAATCACAGTTCCTACAAAGTTTATAGAGATTCCCAGTACTTGATTTAAATTCAGCGAAGCTTTAAGAAATATAACAGAGTATAAAGCTACGATAACAAGCAAGAATCCTTTTAGCATCTGATAAACTGAGGGAGTTGAAAAGGAAAGCCCAATTAAAATACTGGTAGAGCCACAGATATCGAAAATCGCAGGAATTGTTAGCCAAGCTAAGGAGCCTGATCTGTTTGGTTTTTCAATTAAAGACTCAGTGAGCTGAGAGTTATTTCGAGGCCTACTCAAGAATTTAAGAGAAAAATAAACATTATTATTACATTATTATCTATCACGTTTAACGTCCACTACGGGGTAGCCGTTTCCAGAGTTTTTCACCGTATTTGTCCACGTGTCGGACCGATGGACCTCTAGATCGATCCACTTTGTTGCGCCAGGGCACGAGCAAAATGCAGCTTTCCGGCTTCGACGGGTTAATTTGCCTTGCCTTCCTTGATTCAGCTCCTGCGCGTGTTCCGCCTAAGGGTCACCTTCTCAGGCGTGCTGAGAGGTAAAACTTCGAGCCTCTTAATGTACTTGGAGCAGTACATCAGCTTATCTGCCAGAGTTAACAGCTGTCGCTGCACTGAAGTTCTCATAAGAAAACCCAACCCCATAAATAAAATTGCTTAAGGGAGAGAAAATTAGTGGAGCTAATTTCACTCGTACGGATGCCATTTTATTTATAAGAGAAAAATAAACAATAAGGCACATGAATTCACCAATGAACATGGAAAACGTTTGGAAGTAGGGATGATTAAAGCTTTTACCGTTGACTTTTAGCATATCCATAAACTTCACAGTTATTGTAACACATGTGCCTGATATAAGCATCAAAAGCATAAATACAAAAAGGCCGGTCTTGCGAGTCTCAGTTGAGTTAACCATTTATCAATTAATATCATTTTTAACCTGGTGAAAAAAAATAAGTATAGCCTGAGAGCTGGACTAATTTTAATTGGTTAGAGGATTTGATGCTTAAAATAACTTTGGCAATTTCACCTTTTCTGTCATGTTTAATTAGGGTATAGCATGCCAACGAGCTTTTGGATGAAATATCAAACAAATTTGGCATGCTAAAAATAATTAAAATCATAGAAAATTGGATAGACATTAAGAAATTAGCTCTATGGAAAGCTATAAGTATTCTAGAAGTGCTCATAAGGAATTTCTTCAAAATTGTTAGAACTATTCTGGAGCCCGATATTGATTAAAAGTGCAGAGGTTGTTAGATATAAAAATTATTAGATGCAAAAATGAGTTGGCAAACTATTTAATAAAGATAAATTTTATAAAGGAGCAATTTAGGCTAGTTGCAATAAATTTAAATGCGTATTATCCTAAAAATTAGGAATAACTTAACCAACAAATATTTATCGAAAATGGCAGAATGATTTTGCATTTTAAATTGGAAATAAAAAGAAATTTAGAATTGCTAAAAGCCATCTCGAATTGCAAAATATATCTGTATAGAAAACAAGAAATTTAATAGAAAAAAGATTCGGAAATTCTTAATATCACTCTACTCTTGTCTTGCCTACTTGAAACTTTATTCTAATTTCCAAAAGTTTTTATAATCTATTTATTATCATAAAATTTATCCTAAACATCGTTATATCCATCACTATTTCTTTCCTCTTTCTCGACTCTTTCATATTCAGGGATACATTTAAGAAGCGGCAAAGGGATAAGCATAATTAAATTTGTCAGCAAAAGCATAAGCCATAACAATTTGAAATTGGTTTCAGTTATTCCAAGGCCTATAGAGGCTGCCTTTGAGTAGCGCGCTAAGCGCCCGAGACTTCCCGACGAAGTCTGGGCGGTGGTTTGACCAGCTGATGTTGGTCAAACCAACATCCAAAATGACAAATTCTTCTCATATAGAAGATTTGTCAAATTGGATGCTGGTTTGACCAACATCAGCTGGTCAAACCACCGCCCAGACTTCGTCGGGAAGTCTCGGGCGCTTAGCGCGCTACTCAAAGGCAGCCTCTATATCATAAGAACCGCTCCTAACTGGCTTGAAACTAAATTTCCAAAATTTCATGTTGACATAAGCAGCGCATACAATGAACCTTCAATATTTTTAGGACAAATTCTGCAGCAAAGCACAAGCAAAGGCATTGCATTCAGCTCTCCAAGAGCTTGAACTAAAAAGTTGCTTGAAAGTGCAAAAACGGTATCAGGAATACCAAGAGCAACGTTAGATCTCGTGACCAATAAAATTTGAGTCAAACCCATTACGCAGCCTATAATACAGGACCAGAAGAACATTGGCTTGAATTTTACGTCTTTAAGTCATTTATTATATACAAGCATCCCTATTAAAGTTGCTAATCCCCAAGCCATTTTCATTCTTCCCATAAACTCATATTCGAACCCTAAATCGTTTGTATAATAGAAAAACATAGCATCCCCAGACGATGGTGTACACATAAATAAGAAAATAAAAGTAATCGGTCAGGCTACTTGTGGCATCTTGACAAATTGCCAAATTTCTTTTATTTGGGTATTAATAGTTGGATTTTCAGTTACCCTATGTTCCTTCATTAATAAAGCAGCTACACACAATAGTAAAGGAAAGCAGGCAGTAATTAAAAATACAGTTCTTTTGTCAATATATTCTAGTAAAATCCCTCCTGAGTATGCAGTAATTAGCATCCCAAAAGCTCTTGTCCCAAAAAATAATGTAACATATTTTGAAGCATCTTCAGGGCTGTCGCCTCCTTTTTGGCTTTCTTCTACTACAAGAGCCTCGCCAATTACATTGCAAAATGCTGTGCAAACTTGTATAATAAGCATTGTTATGACCGCTGCCACCGGAGTATTTACAGATGATGACATGTAAATCCATGAGCACATCCCAATTATGCCGAAAATTGCAAGATAAGGAGAGCGCCTTCTTCCGAAAATAGGAAAGCAATCAGAGATAAAACCCCATAATGGTTTGATAATTCAAGGAATTGAGGCAAGAGAGCTTGCAAAGGCCACTTCTGAGGGACCCATACCAAAATCATCTTTATAAAGATAGCTCATAGAGAGGTCTGATAATCCTAAAAATCCTTGAGAGATTGCAACTAGTATAATCACAAGACCTGTGATTGTAAATTTTGAGGGAGGACCTTTCAAAGGCTCTTCTTCAATTTCTGGGGAAGCCATTTTATAAACGGCTAAAGTTTTGGTCAGATGGTTTTGTGGCTTTAAGGTTCAGCTTTTTTTGAATATTTTAATATTGTTTGACTTAGCTTAGTATTAGTTTTAATCTTCGAAGCTTAACTAGCTCGCCCATCCATGATGGAACGATTCCATAGAAATATTCCTAAAATTTGGGAAAATTAGCCACATACTTGATCTAACGATTTTCATATCATTATCATTAATTATCTATATCGTTTAACGTCCACTACGGGGTCTCCCTGCTCAGGCATATCACCATATTTATCCACTGTCGGGCCGACAAACCGCTGGACCTATCCGCTTTGATCACCAAGGCACAAGACAAATACAATGTCACCGACTTCGACGGGCTTCGCTGCTGCCACGGCTTTGTTCGACTCAGCTCCTGCGCGTGCTCCTCCAAAAGGTCATCTTCCTCGGGTATGCTGAGAGGTAAAAATCTAAACCTCTTGATCGCACTCGGGAGCAGCTCCTCTGGTTATCCCCAGAGTTAAACTGCTGTTGCTGTGCAGAAGTTCTCAAGATAAAACCCAATCCTATAAATACAATTGCTTGAGGGAGAGAAAATTAGTGGTGCTAATTTCACTCGAACCGAATGCCATTTTATTTATAACGATTTTCATATCAATATATTAGTTTATTTTTAAAATTAATAGTTTGCATTGGCAAATTAAGGGTAATTTACGTGTTTCTTAATAATCTTTACGGAATTATTCGTCAAAATACTTTATCCGTTAACATAACCTCAAAAGCTTAATAATCTAAAGATTAGAATTATTATAAATCAAAAATAACTAATAACACAATTTTTCATTTTTGATAGTTTATGGGGAGATCAAGGAAATTTGTTAATTTCCATTTGAATTCGCTTATTATCAAAATGGCTTCCCATATTTTTTGAATCTTCAATTGATTCAATCTGGATGAAGATGATTGATTGGGGTTTTAAACGAAACTTGGAGAATTTAATAGAATACTATAAGACTAATTTCTTTGATTTAGTCTCATAATTAAAAGCATATGAGATATAATTTTGATCAAGCGTATTATTTGAGAATTCTTTAACTTTTAAAAAGAATAATAGCTGTTCGTTTTTTTAATGATAAGTTTGAGTCATGATATAAATAAGTTTAGGATAAGCAAAATAGCTTTCTCCTTCCTCCGAGAGTGAACAAAATCATTGGAAAAATTCCTTTTTTTGGGCCCCCGTCAGCCAATAAATTTTTTTATAAATAAAAAATTTTGTTATATTAGTTATAATTATTATAATAAAATCTCTAGCTAATTTCTGTTTAGATTTTTATAGCTTGCATTTTAAAGATAAATTTTGCTAATTAAATAATTTTTACAAATTTGAGTTTTTTTAATTTTGAAAAAAAAAATATAAAATTTTATTATAAACTTTTAAAAATAAAACCTCTGTGAGAGAGCAAATTTTTTTGTTTGATCATGGATGGGAGAGTTAATTTTTCTTATTGCAAATGGAAATACCCAAAAAAAGGAAAAGGGACAATTCAGAGAGCTCTTCACAAAAGCCAAATAGAAATTGAACCGTAAGTATTGTTGTTCCAGATTCCATTCTCTACAACTCTCAAAGCCCTGAACTCCAAACATACCTTGTTTCACAAATAGCCCGTGCAGCATCAATTTTCAATGTCGATGAAATTATCATCTTAAATGATGCCCATACAGCTCGCACATCATCTGCAAAGTTGGATGCAGCCAACTTTTTTATCAGAAATCTTGAATATATGGAAACTCCTCAGTATTTACGCAAATCTTTATTTCCTATGCATCCAGACCTGCGATTTTCAGGGTTAATGAATCCACTTGATACTCCCCATCATTTACGCATAACAGAGGATTTCCCATATCGAGAAGGCATTGTAGTGGATCGCCCTATAAAAAACAGCCAAGGCTCATGAGTAAATATTGGTTTGAAATCAGATGCTATAATTGACTATAAATTAAACCCTGGTACAAGAGTTACAATGAAACTTACAAATAAAGACCCCAGAAGTAATTTTTAATTAGAACTTGCTGGCGATGTGGTTTCCCCTAGTGAGCCTAAAATTGAATTAGGTGTCTACTGAGGCTACCAAGTAAGATTATGCAAAGATTTAGAGTCAATTTATACGAATTGCCCATATGAAGGAGGCTATGACTTAAAAATCGGCACTTCTGATAAAGGGAAATTTATTGATTCAGTGGGAAATTTTCCAAAATTCAACCATGCTCTTATCATGTTTGGTGGCTTAGCAGGCCTTGAGGACATTTTTGAAGCTGATGAAACTATTGAAGGACACGATGTAGAAGGGCATTTTGATTATTATTTAAACACATGTCCTGAGCAAGGCACTCGAACTATTCGTACAGAAGAAGCAGTGCTTATTTCTTTAACTGTATTAGTTCCGATGTTTAGGAGAGTTAATAGCTAATTATTATTAATCAATAGACCCCATCTCTTGTTGGTTCATATCCGCTAAAATGTCGCCAAATCCTAGTTTTTGTTCACTTCCGTATGAGAAGATTTCTGGGTACCTTGCTTTCAAAAATACCAAAATATCTTTGCATTCTCCAGCTGATGCACGGTTATGACCATTTTCTATGAGAACTTTTGAGAGACCCTCGCTTTGGCTCATTCTTTCCATTAAAAAGCAAATTCGTTCTACTGGAGTTGGCTCTGGTTCTTTATAGAGAACTTCAGCTGCAACTAAAGCTAAAGACTCAACAAAGAGATGCTCATCAATTACATCTTCTGAAGCATCGTTTTTCAATTCATAATAGCTTGATCGGGACACAGACATTTCTGGTTGCTCTGTTTGTGCGTGAATTCCTGCAAGTGTATGAAAAAATCTATGTAGCTTAGATTTTGCAATTAAATCTGGGAAAATTGCAAAGTCACGAGTAAATCTTAAGAAGTTTTCAAAATTCATAAGGCCTAGAGAATTAGAGTAGAATCTATAAAAGTAAATGATAGATTTATGGACCAAATTGAGAGTTTCAATTACATCTGGCTCTCTCAGCATTTCCATTAGATTTCTGATGTACCCAGAATTTACCCCTCTTTCGTCGTTCCAATCATTTTCAAGCTTCATAATGTATTCAGACACTACATGCAGGAATGCATTATCAAGATTTTCATTTGGAAACGCTCTGTGCGCTACTTGTTCAATTGCTTTTAGAAACTGTTTAAAATCAAGTCTTCCATTATTAATTCTTTTGTCAGAAACTCTTGTAAAAATAATATCAATATCCACTTTTGTTAGCAATCCATCACTTTTAATGCTCTGGCTGCTTCTAATTGACATATTTGCTATGTCTGCTTTAGTAATTTTTAAAATTCCTACGTCTCTCATTAATTTCACCAATTTTGAGCCTGACATTTTTGATGTATTCATTGGTTCTCCAAAAGAGCAATAGGCTTGGAAAATATGCTGAAGCTTGTCGAAATATTCTTCAAGCTTAGCTACAGTTTGTGAATTTACATCTAGTCCGTAAGTTTCTGCATCTGCACTTTTTTCTTCTTCCTCTTCTGTTATATGAGAAAATTCATCAATATCTTCAGTTTCTGGGTACAAAACTTGGTGAATTACTTCTTGTGATGGAAGAATTGTAATGTTTCGAACACTTCCTGAAAGCTCAACAAAACCTTTGGAGAGTTCTAAACGTTCTAATAGAACCAAGAGCTTTTCTGATGGTGGGGACTGCTCTAAGTTAGCGTCTTGCTCGTATCCTTTTTCAGCGATTAAATAAATAATAAAAATAAATTTGCTGAGCGTCAAAATTTGCCCTTGCTCTAAGTTTGGGTCAGGCAATAATTCTACAGCAGGCAAAATTTGGTCGCTGTGGACTAAAATTATATCATTTCATATTTGAAGAACTTGATTTTTGGTCAACAAAGTTGGACAAATGTCGAACTCTTTAACAAAATTATGAAATGTCCTTTGCGACCTATTCATAACCATGTCAGTCTCTAAAACTTTTCTATATACATTAAATGGCAAGCCACATTCGACTCGCTATATTTGAGGCAGTGAACTGTGTATATCAGAGAATAATTTTTAAAGCCACGGGGTGACTCAACAGCATTAGTAATCTTAAAGTGAGGGGATCATGCACAATCAGCTGTTTTGTGATCTAATCCAATGCGCAAGTACTTGTGTCTTCATTTTACTATCAAGGCCCAAATCAATACGCGCCCGAAATAGAGTAAACTTACCTCCAATTAGAAGAAGATCTGCTCATGAATATTGGCGATGTGGAGTAATTAGACTCTAAAAAGGGTTGAGTTGGAAAGGGCAATGCCTAACGAAGTTTATTAATCAAAAGGGCAATTCATTACCTAAAGTCAGGGTTTGGCCAGCTCAGAGTTACCAGAGGTGGAAGTCATCCAATTCGCTTGACTCATTATAGGGCATCTAAACGAGCCATATATAGAGCGTCGCATGGAAGTAGAAACCTCAAGAATCCTCTAACTCTAATTCTAAATCTTTTCTAAGTTCCCACGGAAAAAGAGACCCATATAATGTTCTAAATCCATTAAAAGCTGAATGAATTATATTTATGCACTCATCATCAACCTCTGGAAGCTCATTTCTATTGTCTTCATTCATTCTTTGATAAAGTGGCCAAAAATGATTTTGCAAGAGCTTTGCTAGAGCTTCTCCAGGAGAATTCTTATAAATTGTAGGGAATCTGATTATTGTTTACTTTTCTGCAATTATTCTTGGAAGGGTTTCAAGGAAGGTGTCAAAATTCATGTTGGCTCTATGCTTGTTTTCACCACAGAAAATCAATTCAATTTGTTTAACAGTCAAGTGTCGATCCTAGATGGAATTTACAATAATTCCTGAGTCTTGCATGAGATCGATGTATTTTTTGAGGCGGATATTTAAACTCTGTTTGTTAGGACTAGCGTATTGAATGATTAAATTAGATTAATTAAATTTATAGCGGGTCGTCGGGGTCTATTTCAGCCCCTGCTCCGTCCAACGGATAGCTTCGCATTGTCGCTAATCGCTATCCTCACACCACCCTTTTCACTCGTGACGTCCCCAAAAAAAGGTGACGTCAGAGATCTGTCGGGGAGGCAGTCCCTACTCCTGCTTTGGTTCTGAATCGCAGCAAAAGACTCCCTTAACCTCTGACAGGGCTCAGAGTATGGGTGGAACGCCTCTTGCCTTCTCCATGGTCTGTCTGATCCGTGCTACAGGATCGAGAATGCTCCCATGGAGTGGTACAGAACTTTGCACCGGTAGGGACCCCTGCAGGTAAGGAGAAAAAGATCTAAGATTATCCCTTAGACCAAAAACCTTCCCCGGAGAACTATCGCCATGTGGCTCGCCTTTCCTGGGCCCGGATCAACTCACGGATCGCCAGAATTCCACGTCAGATCACGCCATTTTAATAATTCTGTATTGAATGAAGATCCTTTTTAGCATGTTCTAATTCGTAATTACTTGGACTTCGTTTTGCGGCTCAATTCTTGACATCTTTTAGGTTTATATTTATGAATAAATGCAAGATTATTTTAAGATAACGTATCCTCATAATATAGTTTTGAAAATAGACAGGGAAAATGGCAAAATCTTCTTTTCATTGTTGAATTAAAATATTTAAATTATCAGCGCTAAAGTCTGCATAAATTCACTTAAATCTAATTAAATCTATGCTAAACTGTTTCTTGTATGAATGAGAACTATAAAATTATGTCGGTAACTCTTATTTTATATTTAAATCAAAACCAGGAAGAAACTTTGATTCAAACTATTAACTTAATAAGGATTTTCCTAAGCTATTCAAATGCTTAATTGTCAACGACCTAATCAATGCCTCTGGAGTGAATTCTGGCTTAATTCCTGCATTCCTCATATAAGTCTCAAACTGTTCTGGCAGCTCCTCCAGTATTTTATCTGATAATAATTGAGGAGTCGACATAAGCTGTCTATAAGGCACAAATTGAACTAGATCTCTCATAGTTGGATCTGATTGTTTATTAGCTCTTAAAAGCCCTGTATCTGAATCAAGGCTGTTCATATTAGAAAAATCAGCTTCTCCAACTCCCACAACAATCACACTGATCGGATACTTTGAAGCTTCCTGAAGCAATTCTACAGTTTGTGGCAAATCATCAATATCTCCATCAGTGACCAAAATCAAAATTGTATATAATTTACCATCAATGATAGGCTTAGCTTTATCGACTGCCTTTTGCAAAATACCATGAAAATAGGAAGGACCTGAGAGTTTGATGTTAAGCAATCCGTCTAAGTACTTTTGAACTATATCAGCGAAGCTGCTAACAGATGGGTTGTCTTCATTTTTATTCAAAGCAAAGCAGTGATTAACTTGCTTTGACTCAAGTCAATCAGGAATTCCTCCAAATCCATATGCCTCATACGTTGGACTTTCTATATTTTTTTCAAGCACTTCTTGCAGACTCTCTATAGCTCTTTGATATTCATTTTTTGTTGCTGTATTAGCATAATGGAGTGAGCTTAATAGAGTGTGATCTCCATTAGAAAACGTAAAATCAATCCCAACCATAATATTTATTTTCGTTCCCATCATCAAATACTCCTGAAATGTATAATTTTTCTCAGACAATGCTGAAATCATTTCAATTTTTCCTGAGTTTATATAATCCTCTCTCCCCTTTTTATCTGAATTTATTAATTCGAATGTGCTTCCATTTACACATAAGTCAGTTAGAGTAACAGTGGCACTTGCAATATATTCATCTTTGCCAATTCTATCCCAGTCATAGCATTCAATTTTTATTGCCCTATCAAGCTCTCCGTTGCATAAATTATGAACATTTGTTTCAATTGGCTTTCAATTCGGCTCAGTTGTTCCCATAATTTTTTCAGTCCTATAGCATTCATACCAATTCCCATCATCTAATAGACGATAAAAAATTAAATAAGGATCGCTTTTTCCAAAAATATCTTTCTTCTCAATATCATGTCCTGCTAATACTAAAGTAAGTTTTTTATCGATATCTTTGACTTCTTCTGAGTGGATTAAAATGGTTCCTGTGATTTGATTTTGGTTATTTTTTGCTAAATATGCAATAAATGGGTGTCTTGATAGCAGAGTCCTAGATGAGCATTCAACACTTCCAATAAGCTCAGTCCCAGAAAGTACTTGAATATTTCATGTGTCCAGAGTTTCTCCATCCCAGTTGATAATAAGGCTTTTCTTTCATGCTGGGTCTCGGGTTTTTGGTATTACTTCAGTTGAGTCTGCATCCATATATGGTTGATCTTCAGTTTTCCATTGGAGATGACAATAAGGAGATATAGTTGTCTTGCTTGATAGGTTCAAAGCCTTGATAAATAGTTCGTATTGTTTCATTGATTTCTTTCTACGTGAGCCTACTGAGTCCATATTATATGTTTATAAGGAGAAGCTTTTTTAATTAGCATCAAAAATACTGAGAAGGTGCAGATAGAATCCTGGATAAATATATTTTGGACTATTGCTGCTTGGTAAGGCGTTTTTTAAATTAACATTGACTGACTTTATAATGGCTAAGTCATATGCCAATAGATTTATATATATTTTACTCAAGTTAGGGTAAGTTTTTGTAACTATTTTAGACTTCTTATTTTTGAAACCTAATAAAGTTTAAATATAAAATTTATTAATGTTTAATATTAAATTTAGACAAGCAGAAAAGGTCTTTCAGAAAATTCAAGCACAAGTGAGGACAAAATCTCAAATAGATCGATTTCTAGATAAGTATACAAAAGAGCACCCTGAAGTAAGAGACTTTGGATTAACTCAGGAAGTTTGAGAAGTATTCTATGAGCTAATAAAAGATTTTCGGTACAGACCATGACTTTATACAAGGCAAATCCCAGCTTTCAATGCCGGGAATGAGGAAGACGATGAAGATGAAAAAAAGAGGCTCACAGAGCTGATGGAAGATGATTTACTAAAAATCATTCACAAGCATTATGAGCACGCGAGTCCAGAGATAGTGAGTGATTTAATGAAATGGAGAGAAAATAATTAACATAGAGATTTATTGAATTTATGCTAGTGTTTCAAATTAATCCTATTTATCTTTAACAACAGACAATTTTGAAGGTTTTAAATAGAATCTGATGCATCATTCAGAGCTCTTTTGTATTTATATCCTCACAAACCCGATCAAATTCTGTCTTATAGAACATCAGCCAGGTTTATATGATTATAATTTTACTTTTTTATATTATAAATGGTTTTCGAACTCCTGCTACTTCCTCTATTTGTTTTAGGATGCACTGAGCCGCCTTCTCATAATCTCCAATTCTCTGAACGCCGCAAACTCTTAGGCCCTCCTGTTACCGAGCCAAACTGAGAAGGAATTCGCATTAAAACTTACTTTGAAGCATCCTCATCCTCCTCTTTTTCTTCATCACTTTCAAAAGAATACATCCCAAATGCCCTTAATTACTATAATCATGCAATAAAAGTTGTAAAAGTTTCTACTCTGACCGTATCCTCTACCTCCTGCTTAAATTACACAATTCCTAGTGAATTAAATAAAGGAATTACAGATGGAGATGTCGCGATACTTTTTAAATATAATGCAACTGGGGACGACTTGGCTTGAGCTCAAATTTGTGAAGTTGACCCTGATCTAAGCATGAGACCAATTTTAGGAGTTATTTATATACAAGGGACATGGGAAAACAAAACTTGGGAACAGATTTATGCTCAAGTTGTGCATCAAATCGCACATATTTTGGTATTCAATGCAAAACTGCTGCCTTATTTTAGTGAAAAGCAAGGAGAATGGCTGGGAATTTCTAATGTATTGGGAAGCTATTATAGAAGAAGCTCAGAGGTGTCATATATAAAAACATCAAGCGTTATTAATAAGGCAGAAATTGCATTTGGGTGTAATAATTTATATGGGATGGATTTAGCAAGTATTACTTCTGACACTGCATCATCAATACACTGGTCAAAAAGACTGATGTTTAATGACTTTATGGTCCCGGATTCAGATGTTTACTATGTAGTTTATTCAGATATATCGCTAGCACTGTTTCAGGACTCTGGGTGATATCAAGCCAATTATGATTATTCTGACACCATTGTGTGGGGTTACCAGGCAGGCTGCACATTTTTTACAGATAGCTGTGTAACTGATGGTGCTCCGAATTTTTCGAATTTTTGCAATTTAACATCTGGGACTTCTTATTGTGATGCTACCCATACGTTTAAAGGAATGTGCAATTTAGGAACCTACACTGATAAGATCCCAGCTGAGTATCAATATTTTAGTAGTCCCTATATGGGTGGAGATGATAAATATTTAGATTATTGTCCAGTTGTAATGCCAAACAGCGACGGCAGCTGCAGAGACCTATTGAGCATTCCAGTCGATCTTAATTATAAGGCTTATGGAGAGCAGTCAGGTGATTCTTCTAGATGTCTAGAAGGGACTTACGTTAACAAGCTTTCTAATTTTAGTATCAATTATCATGCTGGATGCCATAAAATTACTTGCCAAGGATCAATAGCTACTGTTCATATTGGCCAGGAAGTAATTTATTGTACACCTTCTGGAGGGCTTCAAACTATAAGAGGATATAATGGAGTCATTAAATGCCCTCCATCAGACATTCTATGCAGAAACTTGCCCTGCATTAATGGATGCTCTGGAAGAGGACTTTGTGTCGATGGAAGCTGCAACTGTGATAGCGGGTATTCAGGAAATTCATGTGAAAATCGTTCCGAAACGCTTATGAATGCTTTATTTTTCCTGATGATATTTGTGATAATTTAGATATTAATAAATATTTTTGAACTTCATAGATTTGAATAAAGTGCTGTTTGTGCTAAATGTATTGAGAAATAATTTAGTCGCTATTATAGTCTTAGATAATTGCTATTGAAGCCATTACATCTAATAATTTCTATTCACTAATGTCAATTTCAGATTTTATTGCTGCTTTGCCAAAAGCTGAACTTCATGTCCACATCGAGGGCACTATGGAACCTGAACTACTTTTTACACTAGCAGCCCAAAATTCTATTTCCTTACCATACACTCTCGAAGAATCTCGAGCCAAGCGTCAACACTTCACAGACCTGCAAGATTTCTTAAATCAATACTACGATGCCTGCAAAGTTTTAATTACTGAATCAGACTTTTATGAGCTAGCTATGGCTTATTTCAGAAGAGCTATTTCAAATAGCATCAAGCACACAGAAGTATTTTTTGACCCACAAACCCATCGCTCCCGTGGCATTTCTTTTGAAACTTTTATGCTTGGCTTTCAAAGAGCAACCACAGAAGCAGAAATGTTAGGCTTAAGCGTAAGGTGGATTTTATGCATTTTGAGAGATTTGTCAGAAGAAAATGCAATTGAAATCTTCAATGAAGCTAGCCAATATAAGAATATGATAGCTGGAATTGGCTTGGACTCTGCTGAAATTGGAAACCCTCCAAGCAAATTCAAAAATGCTTTTAGAGAAGCAGCGAGATTAGGACTTTGTGGAGAAAACGGAAATAATATTGTAGCTCATGCAGGAGAAGAAGGAGATCCTAGCTATGTATTGGAAGCCTTAATATTCTTAAAAGCTAAAAGAATTGACCATGGAGTGAGATCTTTAGAAGACCCTTATTTATGCAAATTTTTAGAAAATTCAAGAATCCCTTTGACTGTATGCCCGAATTCTAATAATAGGCTGCAAGTAAATACAAGATATTTTGCAGGAAGAAACGTGGTCAAAGAATTATTAGACAGAAAGGTAGTGGCTACAATAAATAGTGATGATCCAGCATTTTTTGGAGGATATTTGAATGATAATTACAAAACTGTTGCTGATAGTTTTCAAGATTTGAGTGAAAATGAAGTAAAAGAGATTTTAGCATTACTAGCAAGAAATGGGTTTGAAGCAAGCTTTATAAGCCAAGAGCTCAAAGATAGCTATTACAATATGATTGATTTTGTAGCAAGAAATAATTAATTATTTGGCTTTCTTTAATTGCTCTAAAAACTTATTTGGCGAATAAATCTCGGTAGATCCATAGATAACAGTTTTATTAAACTCTTTGGAAAAATGATTCAAATTGCAGTATTCTGTATAACTTCCTCCACCAATCACAAATAAAATAGCTTCATTAAACTCTCGCTTGTATCCTCCTCCTTTTTCTTCCATTGAATCATAGGTTTCTAGCTCTGTGCCTGTATTTTTCATTGCCTGATATAAAAATTTTGTGATAGGAAACCACTGTTCATGCCCCATTAAGTTATCTTTAAGTTTTTTGGCTAAACCAGTGATCAGCTTCATTTTTGTGGTTTGTTTTACTTCTTCTCTAGTGCTCTCAAGGAATCTTAGGATATTTTCTTCTGAAATGTTTTCTTTCTTTCCATGCAAGAATTTTATAATTTCATATCTTAATAAATCCTGCTTAAATTCCTCAGTGTCATTTTCTGACTGATTTTTTAAGAATTCTTCGTCTGCAGGGGTTTGACCATGCATTAAATAAGCTTCATTTTGGCTGAAATTATGCAAATTCCTTGCATGGACTTCATTAACTAGCCTGCTAGCAATGCTCATATGTGTGTCTAAGATTTTTTTTTCTTCAGTAATTTCAGCTACATCTCCAATGGTTTCTTTGAAATTCTTGTCAATCGCATCATACTTTTCCTTTCAATCAGAGACTGACTGCTCAATATTTCCTAAGATATCATTAAATGGAAGGTCTCCCTGCAATTTTCAAAATTTGTCTCTTGTTTTGTCAAGCTCATAAAGCAAAGCTGGCTCTCCGGACAATAAAAGCTTATTCGACTCGTATTCAAATACGTCAGAAGCGAGGGCTTGATATGTCCATGGATGATGAAGCATGACTGAAAAATCAATTTTACGGTCCACTATTAGCAACAAAGGGCGTGATAAAGAGTGGATTTCTTCATGGTCATCTCAGCAAAGCCTTGCTAGACTTGAAGCAACTTGCTGACTCATTCCTTTAGTAGCTTTAATAATAGGTCTAATTTTGCATGTTTTTAATATAGAAAACAATCCCATTGCAATTTTCTCATATAAGCTTCAATTTTCACTTGAAAAATATAAGTCTTCAAAAGAAGGTCCATTTAAGCAAAATAATTTTTCCTCTAGTACAATATAATTGAGATGAAACACGCACATTTTAAGCAGCTTTGATCTTAGTCATCCTCCCCTTTAAATTTGACAAAAAATCCTGCTCTATTTTAAAGGGAGTTAATTGTTTTCTAAAAAATTATAATTAAAAATTAAAAAAATATAATTTCAATTTATTTTTATAATATATTATTATTAAATGAAATTACTCGACACAGTGCGAAAACTGTTTATATAGCATTCTATTTCATTTTTCCATTAAATTAGGCTATTTTATAAAATTAGTATTTTACTTACATAATTTTCCCATTAAAACAATTTGTTCCAATTTAAAGAGCATAAAGCACCCAAAAAATGGAATATTTTGTTCAATTTAAAGGGGGAGTTATTGTTGCATCGGAGAGCCCTTTTCTAAGCATTTGTATAATTTCTTGTGATGGATGATAAAGGAAATCAATTTGATAGGCATCATATAATCGATTTGTCATGTCTCTTATTAGCTGCTGAATATTGATTTCTGTGGGTTCGATTAAATAAATTGCTATTGCAGAGGCTAAAGGCTCTCTCTGTGAGTTGAGACTGAGATATAGTGTAATGTTATGTTTTCGTAGACTACTTATGTGGATCAAGGTTGTCAAACTTAAACTTGAGAGTTCATCAAGAATCAAAATTTTTCAAATAGACTGATTTTGCAGAGTTGCTGAGTTTTCATCAGAAGTTTTACTAGTAGCAAGATCAAAAACTTGACTATAACTCCCCCCCCCCCCTCCGTGAGCGAACAAAAAAATTTTGTTCGCTCACGGAGGGGGGTTAATTTTTTTTTTTAAAAAAAATTTATATATAAATTTTATAAAAAATATTTTTTTCGAAATTTAAAAAAATCCTAATTTGCAAAAATTGGGAAGCAAATATTAATTTAATTTGCAAAATTTATGTTTTAAAACGCAATTTGTTTAAAATTAAACAGAATTAGCTCTAGATTTCATTATACTAATTATCACTTATATATCCAAATTTTTTTCCATTAAAATTTTTTCTATTAAAAAAATTTTTGTTCACTCACGGAGGGTGGGTTTTTGGTCAAAAAATGGCGATTTTTCTAATGGTTTTGTTCGCTCACGGAGGGGGGGGGGGAGTAAGTTAATTTTGTGTTAGCTAATAAGTCGATTTCATTATCTTCACTTTCCATTTTATATAAATAGTTAAGTGAATTCCTAAAAATCATTTTGCGTTTAAAACTCAAGGAGATTAGAAAAATCAATTAAAAATTGGTTTTATTTTTATTAAAATAACCAAAAATCATTATATCTTTTAAATTCCTCATTATTCGTTAAACTATATCATAATAGTATCTTTAAGAAAAATAATAGATGGGGAATGCAGCTTCAAAAATGTGCTTAGCCCCACCTCCTTGAGTGAGCAAAACGTTTGGTATAAAAAAACGTTTTGGTATAAAAGTGATAATTAATATAACAAAACTCAAGCTAATTATATTGGATTTTAAACAGATTGCATTAAAAGCATAAATTTTTAATTCAAAACATATAATTTTTTAAAAAAAAATTAACCCTCCTCTGTTACCGCACAATTTCTCTTGTTCTCACACAGAGGGGAGTTAGAATGCTTCAAGCCAGCAGATGACGACCCTTTACTGCCTGAAAAAGAATTAGAAGAGTCTCATCCTCAGTTAGCTCATATTCCAGACCCAAAAGTTCAAATTAAAACAATTGATCCAATGCTCGAAATCATTGAAGAACAAAATACTGTCGAATCAATTGAACTTGATGATGTCCCATCTGGACCAATTTTTGATGTAGGACTTCTAGGAAACTTATTAGACAAAGCAACAGCTGATTTTGTAGCTCATCTTCAAGCACCTATGCAAGAAGAAGGATGCCAAGAGATGTCCAAAAAGGATGGCTTTTTGATATACGCTAAAGAAGTGCCCGAAGGTGTTATGGTCAAGGGCCAATGGTACATGCCGTATGGTGCCAGAGAATTTTTCGATTTTATGACTAAAGTAGAAGATAGATGCAGATGGGACAAAAGCTTACTCCACACCATGAACAAGCAAAAATTGGAAAAATCCCTATTTTTTCGGTACAAACTCACCTTCTGAACGAACAAAAATTTTTGTGAAAATGTATAAACTATGATTATTATAATGATAGCTTTAAATTTAAACAGCTTGTATTAAAACATAAATTGTAGAAATTAAGTTAATATTTGTTTTAATGGGAATTTTGAAAAAAAAATTAACTCCATGAGCGAACAAAAAATATTTTTGCTCGCTCATGGGGTGGGGAGTTAGAAACTGTCAACATCATAGCGAAATACCCGCCAGATGTCATTGTAACCCATTCAAAATTCAAAAAAGTTCCCATGATTTCTTCAAGAGACGTTTTACTCGTATCGAGAGTAGAAAAAGCTCATAATGGAACTTTATTGATTAATACCTCTTGTGACCATCCTGATCTTGAACCGACAGAAAATATTGTAAGAGCGACTGTGAAATTGAGCGGCTATTATGTGGAGCCAATTCAGATGGACGAAGCAGGAAATAAAAGCAAAGTTGTTTATATAAATATTGTGAACTTTGGAGGAAAAGTTCCGAAATCGATAGTGAAATCGACATCAGCCAACCATATTCCAGCATTTGTGAAGAAGTTGCATTCCGAGTTAGCTTTAATTGTGAGTAAGTAGTTTGAATTAATAAAAATCGTTTTAGTACTTAAATTCCAGTAAAATGTTGTATATGAAATCTTTTAATTAACTTCAATTATGCTTGGAATGAGGCAAGACAATACAAGAATCCATAGATATTACAATCCTAATAAGAAACCTATGTTTTATGAAATATTGAAAGAATATCAAAGAGAAAGAAAAATAAAAGAGACTGTGAAGTTATCAAGAAAATTATATTTGGAAGACGTGAATAATCTTGAAGCTTTGCCACTTATTAGTACCCAAACAAAGCAAGCCAAAATGATAAAACCTGTACTTTTCAAGGCAAATTTGCCATATAAATACTACTATGCACCTAGAAATTCAACAATGAACTCTAAAACTACAAGTAAATCTGGATATATGAGTAAATCCAGCACTAACTTCTCATTTTAAACCAGAACAAATATATGTTAATTTTTCATTCTTTGGGTAAATTAACATGCTTTAAATTGAAAATATTTTTTTATAGGTAAATAATAATTTCCATATAAATACTTTTGATACCAATTTAATGTCGCAAAAATCAAAATTTACCTATAACTAATTCTATATTAAATGGAGAGTGCAAGATAAATGCTGCTTAAACACAGCTAGTACTTTAAATCGATAAATTTTATTAAAATTTATATTTTTTTCTTTCAAAAAAAATTAATCTCACTTTAAATGGAAAAGATTTTTACACCAATTTAAAGGTAGGAGTAAGTCATATGGCAGATATACCCCATCATTTGAAGTTACTCCTAGTAGCTCATTCAAGATATGTGACAAAAAAGTGTTAAAATCAGAACTTAATCAATCTAATGATATAGATATATCATGCTGGGACTCAGTAAATTAATGGATTAATTAAGCTAAATATTAAGATCTTGCAACCTACAAAAATGTGTTTGTTTTTAACTACACTTTTTAAGATGATTGCATATCTTATTTTTGGCAGAGCCTATAAGTAATTAATTATAAAATATTTATCAATAGTAATAGATTGACCCTAATTAAGACAGCAATTTAATTTTCGGCATTTCTTTCATCAAAATTTTATTTCTCTCCTCTCGCAAAATTTGTGACCTTGTTCTACAAATTCTTTTTATAGGTGGACATTGGTCTTCTTTAATCCTCTTATATAATTTAACCATATTTGAATAGGTGTTTCCTTTTTCGTAAAAATTTCCTTGAGAAATCAGAGAAATTTGCGATAAAGATCTTTCAGTAGGATATAGTGGGCTGTATTCTCGAATTTCTCTAACTTGAAATGTAGCCAGCATTTCTGGCTCTTCTGAAGTTTCAGTATAAATAGCTTCTTGCTTTTTAATTTCTGTGTTGCTCCTTTCATGCTTTCTTAAATAGCTGAGAGCTCCGTGCTTGAATTTTTTCATAATTACTCCTTTATCTACTATTTTCCCTTTAGGCTGCTTCAAGTTGACTCCAAGAAGAGAGGCTAATTTTCCACTTGCATAATCTAAAGGAGTTGAAAAATCATCATTAAAAACAGTTAAGTCTCCTCCTCTATTTATTAACTTTCCCCACCTTCGTGAGTGAGCAACAAAATTTCCTTCAGCTTATTTTTTTATTGATTTTTTTTTCGAAATCTTGAAATTAATATTGATTTAAGTAGTCAAATTCATTCTTTAGAGTAAATTAACTAGAGATTTCATTATAATAATTGTTTATATGTTGGTATATAAACCACTCCATATATTGCGGAGGGTCTCTACTCCATAAGATGAATTATTTTCTACTTGTAGAAGCCCTCCCATAACTATTTCAAGCATAATATTTTTTGAGAAAAATTGTTTTATATTAAAAAATTTTCCTAAAAATAGGACTTTTTCCAATTGTTTTCCTCGCTCACAGAGAGGGGAGAGTAAGTAGTATACAAGATCAGCATTATCGCTCATAAATGCAGCATGCAAAGCAGTGGAATTTTTTTCACATTTTATATTAATACTTGCACCTAATGTGCACAAATATGACACCATAAGAAGAGAACCCTGCTGACAAGCATAATAAAGCGCTGTATTTCCTCTGCTATCTTTTGAATTTAAAGCATCTATGGAAAAAGTATGAGTGATTTTTTTTATTGATTTTAAATCGTTTTCTTTTATAAAAGAAATTAACTGCTCAAGCTTCGAAATTTTTTCGTCTTCAAGGGTTGAAAGCGTTTTTCTATTCGGTCTATTAACAGATTTTGAGCGGTTTTTATGTCTCAATCTGTTAAGCTTTAATGCTATGTAGTGTTTTCTAGCCAAATATCTTCTAATATGAGATTGAATTTTTATTGCAGCACAGATTCTATCTTCATATGAATATATTTTCCATTCAAATTTTTTAATATTTGGTCCACCTGTGTATAAATCAATAGTGTTTTTTTTATATGTGATTTTCCCTCTTGACAAACTTGCAGGCCGATCATTCGATTTTCTATACAGTGATGATCTATCAGTAAATGATCCATTTTCATAGCTTCTTGAGCTTTCTGTCCTCAATTTATCTGAACTTTTTTTACTTCTTTCCTGCAAGTATTTTTTTCTTAAATTTTTGACTTGAACTAAATAGTCATTATATTCTCCAATCACCTCTTCAGCTACTTCGAGCTCGATCTGTGCAAATAAATCAGGACCGATTTCTAAAATTTCTTTTTCTACTTCTTTTCTTTTCATGTAGTTAATGAAAAATGGGGACTTCTTCAACGACTCAATAACTTCTGCGAACGTTTTTGTGCCATAGTTTGTGGTGATTTTTTCTTCTCCAGACAGTAAATTATTTCTTCTCATATCATTCATCGTAAGGTCATCAAGAGAAGATATCACATTATATTTTGCTAAATCCAGTCGCTTTCTCCTTCTGATTTCTTTGAATTTGTTTTCTAAAAGATCATTTCATTCTGAAATCATTGGCTCTTGGTTGTTCCTCATTCTTCCGATGCCTTTTTCTTCTCCAAGCAGTCTGAACTGCACAATGGCTGATCTGAGTTTTTCATATAGAGAAGGATACTTTATCTTAATTTCCCCCCCCTAAATGAAACTAAATCCTGTTCCAGTTCAAATGGGATTAATTATTTTTTACATTATAAATTAAAAAACATATAAATTGAACACGATATAATGAAATTTTGTTTGTGAAGAAAATTCAAAAAATTAAAAGATTCAGTGTGAAAACTGTTTAACTAATATTCTACTTGCATTTTATCCATTAAATTAGGTCAAAACTTATTTTATAAAAATTTAGTATAGAAATTTCCTATAAAAAGATTTAATTCCAATTTAAAAGGGTTAAAATACCAAAAAATGGAAATTTACCGATTTTTTGTTCCAATCTAAAAGGGGGGAGTAAACAAAACCAGATGTTCAGATTTGTCAGGTAAAAGTCTTTGTCGCTGTTTGGGAACTTTGGGTTTTTCTTCACATTTATGACCTCTGCATCTTTTGCATGAGCTTTCTTTGCACTCGTGCTCTGCCTCTGCTGATTTAGGGAGAGAAGGTTCGGTTGACATAAATTTATATTTTTATTCTTACTTTAGATATATAGTAAATTTTAGATTGATTTAAAATATACAACAATAAGTCAATTAATGATAAATAATTGAACAAAGAGTTAAATAATTTCAAAGCAGTTATGGCAAGCAAGTACCTGCAGCAGTTTCCAATACCTCCAGAATTTCCAAACATATTGCGTGATTTAACACGAGAAATTCTCCGCTTACAACCTCAAGATATAATCAAATTTGCTGCAGAGTATTTCAAATGCAAGCAAGCTGTGACTAATATTTAGGGAAAAGAATTTATTTGGGATGAAGCAAATCCAAGAGCACCCAGGCCATGCGACTATCCTAAAATAATCAGAAAAGAGCCAGAAAAAATCAAATATTCCACTAAGCCAGGCTCTGAACCAAAAATTCCTAGCCAAGTCAATCCAAAAATTGAAAATCAAGAGCAAATAGAGCATAAAGAAAAAAATACCGCATCAAAACATCCAAAATCTCAAGAAGAAAAGAAAAATGAACTAGGGCATCATGAAAACAAATTTGATATACAAGTTAATGAGAAAAAATCTGAATTTTCCGAAACAAAAACGCATAAAGTCATAACAGAAACCCGCCATGAGGTACATATACAGCACACTGAAGTCACTCATCATGAGTCTCATCATACAGTTCACGAAACTCATAATGAAGGCCACCAGCATATCGAAATAGAAACTAAACTGCAAGAATCAGCTATACCTTCTTTAAGCTCACCAGCTGAAGTTGCTGCAAAGGAATATGTAGATGGATTAGTTGAAAGAGTCGAAAGAAAAATGTCGTCTCAGCCATAATAATTTAAAAGAATCAACCTAGAAATGTCTAAAAAGGAATTAGTTAGTCCCAGCCTTGTGCTGGTTGTTCTTCACTCCATCCTTGCCCTTCTTCCCAGTTTTCTCCTTCAGCGAGGTTCTGCTCTTCTGCTGGGTGTTCTGCAGCTTCTGCTCCTGCTTCATCCCATTGCTCTTTTTTCCTTTGTCTTGTTTCTCTTACAGCTTCTCCTTTTTCTTTAGCAGCTCTTTCTTCGGCTTCTATGTCTCTCCATATAAACAAGTCAACCATAACATCCCACTGTTGGGTTCTGCTTAAAGCTCCTCTTAAATAAAGTACTTCTCTTGCTAATAACCAGTACATCATTGCAATTGAGTTTTTGGCTTTGTTGTTACAAGAAGAAAAGAATTACGGTTACCCTACCCTACGTTACCCACCAAATCAGCACCAGCAGCGTCATTAGCACCATCAGCACATCAGCATCACGCCAAGCATCTTTCACTCAGCAGAAACCACAAACCAACTCATTTCCAGCTAAATTAAATTCTCATCACTATGTTTCCATCTTTTCTGGTGACGTCCTCAAAAATGGTGACGTCACCATCTACAGGAGAGACCCTTGTTCATTTAGCTTCCGGACCTAGCGGCCACGGGTTCCTACTCCAGAGGGGTATTGGCTCTGGAGATGATGTTCCGCGCCTTCTTCACGCCCCAAGCTCCGCACGAAGCATCCTCACTTCCTTCTCGCCGTGAAGTCCGTCCAAAATTGCTGCCGCACACCTCAAGGGCCTAGGGAAAGGCCCAATTTTGTTAGCAAAACTCACCCCCTGACACTTCCTTGCTCCATGGCCTCCAGGTGACGCCTTTTTGTTTTGGCGTCACCTGGCAAAAAAAATGTCTTTTGTTGTTACAAGGAACTGCAATGTCAACAAATTTCATTGGTGAATCGGTGTCACAGAATGCAATTGTTGGGACATTGGCATATGAGGCTTCAATTAAAGCCTGGTGGTCTGTAAGTGGGTCTGTAACAATAATAAGCCTTGGCTCCATAAATTTAGGGATTTTCTGGTTTGTGAAAGTTCCTGGAGTCCATCTGCCAGCTAGATAAGAAGTTTCAGTGTATTGTGAGAATTTCAGAACTGCACGTTGTCCATATGGTCTAGCGCTAATGACGATGACATCGGCTGGGTTTTCAACTGCTACAATAGCTCTGGCTGCGAGCATTAATTTTTCCCAAGTCTTACCTAAGTGAATGATGTTTAAGCCATCTGCACGTTTTTGGAAAACATAAGGCTTCATTTGTTCTGAGACATTTGGAGTGCCAAGGTGGGCTTTAACGGCAAGTAGAAGTTGGATATCTTCTTCTCTTTGTTGCTTGCGTTGCTGGCTCATGAGTGGCTAAAAAATATGTCAATATGATAAGAGCACACAAAAGATTTAGCTTGCTCTCAGAGATGCATATTTATGCAGGTATAAAATAAGTTTTACGATTTTTAAAATAAAGTGTCCAGATTTTATAAAAACATAGATTTTTTAATTTATTTAAAAGATTTCACATTTATTTTTGCTTTTCTTTTCAGATTTCTTCGTATCTTGTCTTTCAATTTGCTTATTCTCAGCATTGTCACTTATATTTACCACTTCCCTGCTGACATCTACATTTCTAATTTCTTTTTTCTCTTCTTCATGGTGAGCTCTGCTTCTCAATGGTCTTGCATTGGAGTAATTCAATAACGTCCAATCGTATACATAATCATAATCGTACCCTTCTCTTACAAACAAATCTTTAAAAAGCCTTCTTAGATACCCATAATCTGGCTTTTCCTCAAACTTAAGTTCTCTGCAATAATTAATATACGTCATAAATTCATTAGGGAATCCTCTGCAAAGCATTTCTACACTTGTATTGATTTTTGACTCCTTAATTTTCTGATACTTTTCCTGTTTTCCATGAGCTGAAATTCCTTGCCATGGCAAGCTTCCTCTTAAAAAGTACATCAGCACATAAGCAATTGACTCTAAATCGTCTCTTCGGGATTGCTCAATCCCGATATGTGTATTAACTGATGCATACCTTGCTGTCCCTGTGAGGTTTTTCCCCTCAATATAAGGAATATGTACATGAGTTTTAGGGTCTCTGTATTTTTTTGCGAGCCCAAAATCAATGATATACAGCAAACTGCTCCGCTTGCCAAGTCCGATTAAAAAGTTATCGGGTTTAATATCTCTATGTATAAAATTTTTTGAGTGCACGTACTCTACTCTACAAATCATTTGGTCAGCAAGCATAAGAACGGTTTTCAACGTAAATCGCCTATTACAAAAATTAAAAAGGTCTTCGAGGCTTGGACCTAATAATTCCATAACCATCGCATTGAAATTCCCTTCTATGCCATATCAGAGAATTCCGGGAAGACCTGGCCCACCTTGGAGAAGTCTTATGAGCTTACTTTCGTATATCAGCTGAGCGTGCCTTGACTCAATTTTTTCAAGTTTTATCGCGACTTCTTCATTTGTCTGGATGTCTACTCCGAGGTAAATTTCTCCAAATGAGCCGCTGCCTATTTTTTTGCCAATACGGTATCTGCCTCCAACCCGAATATCAAGCATTTTTATTATTTGGCTTCAAAATGAATGATGAAATTTTCAAACAAGATAAATTAACTCTAAGCCAAGTTCTAATCCCCCAATTCAATTTCTTAATTATTATTTCATTTTTCATAATTTAATTTAAAATGTTAAGAACTCCAATTTCTAAAAGATTTGGAAACTCTTATATAGAAGGAGGAACTGTAAAAAATAAATAGGAAGAAACCCCAATTTCAACTGATAGAGAGCTTATAGTCTCCACAACAGCCCCAGACACAAAATATTATATATATTCAGCCAAGCATTCAAAAACAAAATCATCACATATTGAAAGGACACCGCTTGATGATATTACAAATTTAACTGAAATTGAGCTTTTAAAGAGTGACTTGGAAATTGAAAAGGAAAAAAATGAAGAACTAGAAATCAAACTTGAGCAAAAAGCAAAAGCTTTAAATCAAGCATTAGAAGAAATTGCCCAGAAAAAAACTGAGTTTAGGATGATGAAGAAAAAAATCACTGAAGCGGAGGATGCGCTGAAAGAGGATGGGGAAATTTACACACATTTTACATAATTAAATTACAAATAATTTATAATAATATATCCCAGTGAAAGATGAGATTGAAAAAAAAGAAAATCAAATTGAAATTTTGAGAAACGAAAATGAAGGGCTTCGAACGGAGATTGAAAAAATAAAAGAAGAGATAGAAAATATAGAGAGCTTGCAAAGAGAAAATGAAAGACTAAAATCAAAAAATGAAAAAAATGCAGAATTATTGAAAAATCTGATGGAGGAAAAAGAAAACGCAAAATGTAAAGAGGTTGAAATGTATGTAGAGCAAGTAGAAAACTTCAAAAGTTCATTGCAAGAAATAATAGGGAGAGATATCATAGAGAGCAATAAAGATAATACTGAAATGGAACTGCAGACGCTGTTTAATGAAGCCCTTGAGATAATTAAAGGAAATGAGCAGGCTAGCACACACAAAGAAATAAATTTAAGCGAAGATATAGAATTAGAATGCTCTCCAGACGATATCAAAGCAGCTGGCAACAGAGTTAATGAGATAATCAGTGAAATGGAAGAATTTGGGTGTCCAGTAGAATTCACCTTGCAAGTCGGCTTAGCGTCAATCAGAATCAAAGTAAACTATGCAGACGAAATTGAAGCCCAAAGGCTCTCTTTGCCCATTTTTTCTGAATATCTAAATATGAAAACCCCAAATAAAACTGAAAAAATTAACTATTTATTGCAAGCCAAGCCACCTATTAGTGAGTCATTCACTGATAGAGAGTTTATTGAAAATAAAATCGAGGTAGATTATATAGCTTATTCTCATCAGTTAGAAGAAGAAATAATTAGCCTTCAATCAAAAATTTCATATGAAAACGATAGAGATGATATGAAAGATATTTTATCAAACTGCATTCATGATGCTGCCCAAGTAAGAATTTATGAGCTTGAAATGCTTATTGAGCAACTGATCTCAGAAATCGTTACAAAAAATAGTGACAAACAAGATAAAAGCTACTCCAATATTTCTCTAACCAGCTTGCTGGAAAATTCAAAAATCGATCATCCTAAAGAGCAGCATCAAAAGTTCAGTTCAAACTGTTCTGAGCAAGATTTATCGATTTGCCTTGATCAATCTATTGCAGATCCAGCCAGAATCACTTTTCAAAAGCAAGATGAAAACTCTTTTGTGATGAACGAAGACCTCTCAAAGTCATCAATTTTTATTGACTGTATTGATTTAACTCAAAATAAGTTCCAAAGAAACTCAAATAGCTCGACTGCTTTTTCTCTCGACATCACAAAAGATGATTTTCATAAATACCATAGAAACTCTAGTAAATCTACAGCCACAACTTTAGATTCTACCAAAGAAGAATTCATAAAAGAACAAGAAAAGTTTCTAGAGAAAAAAAAGCTCTTAAAAGAAAAAATAAAAGAAGTCAATGAAAGGCAAAAGAAATTGGCTGAAAGAGAAAAGCAGTGCTCAGAAAGACTGACATATATCACAGTGCAAGAAAAAAAATATGACTGTCATAGGATTGCTTTAGATGAAGAATGGACACGCATGGATGAACAGAGACAAGAAGTGCTAAAATGTAGAAAAATCATTGACGAAGAATGAAAAGTACTTAAAAAAGAAACAGAAAAGCTAGGATGGTTTAAAAGCCAGGAAAAGAAAAATTGCGAAGGAAAAGAAGACTTGGAGAGTAAAAGATTGAAACTTGAGAAAGATTTATTAGAATTTGAAAACGAAAAAATGAGAATAAAAGAGATTAGATTAGATTAAAAGTTAAAATGAGTCTTCGGAGTTTATTTCAACCCTCCCAGCATTCACTGACTTCAGACTCCTCGCTCTAGGCATTGGGTTGCACTTACGCCCTTTTCTCGAAGTCACCAAAAAATGGTGACGTCAGCATCTCTCATGAAGACGCACCCATATACATCCTTGGATAACTCCTAGCAGTTGGTACCTTCTACTCAAAGATTGGAGGTAGGAGGCAAATCTGAATCCTCCTTATCTTCTCCATTACTCTTCGCATCCAGAAGGTTGGAGTTGTCTTGCGGCCTCTAGCCTACTTGCCTATGGGTCGGGGTAAAAAAAAAACTTCATGGAGTTCCGATCAGGAAAAAAAAACATTATGGGTACAAATTTCTAGGCCCAATCCCTCTTAAACCCAAAAAACCCGAGGGTATGGAGAGGGCCGGATAAGTCACTATTTAATTTTTGATGAGAATAAAAGAAGAAAATAAAGAATTGATTACAAAAATTAAGAAATTTCAAGCTGAAAAGCGTGAACTTTGTATAGAAAAATCACTGCTTGAAAAAGAAAAGAGAGATTTGGAAGAAAACAGAAGAGAGTTAAGCTTGATGATTCCAAATATAAAAAGGCTCATAACTACTCCTAAGTAATGATTTTATACGATTAATTAGAATTTTCTATTTTTACCTCATAAATAATAATTTTCATTAATTAAGGATCCAAACTATTGCATGTGCAGCTACACCCAACAACAGGGCATTCATTGCAATCCGTAAACCAATTAAGAATATGCCCTGTATGTCCGCCATGGTGGCATTTTTCACACCAAGTGAACCACTCATCAAATTTCACAGATGGTGAAGGATTCTTCGGGTTTTGGAAAGCCCTCGCCATTTCAAAAAACGGATTTATTGAAGAAAACGGAATCAAGCAAATAGCACATCTCGGCAGCGCATTAGGGCAATTGGGACAATGACTAATATTTGGCTTTGAGCTTGAATGTGAATCTCCCCTTTTGTTGACAGTTAAAACCCCAACCATATCAGGCAAAGCTAAAGAATTCCGGGTTGTCCGATCAAAAAACTCTCTTTCCCTCCGTGAGCAAAAAAATTTTTTTTCGCTCACGGTGCTAGTAGTCATTTTGAGCTCAAAAAGAGGGAAAGAGTGCAGTGAGCATTTCCTACTTCATTTCTACCATTAATTTTATAAAGCTTATTGCATTATTTAATGTAAATTGTAAAAGGTTTTTTCCTGGAATAATGATGATAAATTTACTATTAGGTTTTATCATGGTTTATTTTTCAATTAAATTTTCATGTGTTTTTTTTCCATAAAAAAAACTGAATTTGTCGTTGCTTTGACCACTCTTATCTGCGCAAACATATTAATTTAAAATTTATTAGAGTTTTCCCTGTTATTTGGGTTTTTTCAATAGTTATTAGTATGCATTTGAGCAAACACTATGATATAATTTTACTCATTTAGCATTTGGTTATTAAACTTTAACTTTAGTAGCTCTATTATTATTTATCTAATTTCTGCAGATTTATCTTTATTTGTGATAATTAAATCTGATAAAATACTTTTAATAGTATTTTTTTTTCCTGTATAGTTTGCAAAACAACCATTTGTTTTTTTTTTCTGAAAGCAATCATTTAGGTTTTACTTGGAAAACCCAGGAATTTTAATTTACCATCATTTTGATTGGAAAAAAGGCACCAAAAATAACTGATGGTTTTTTCGGACAACCCAAGAATTCCCGCAATAATAGCACCTCATTGCTTTTCCTTTCTCTTTTGTTTTTTTGATAATTTCACTTTCATCAATTTCAAGCTTGCATCTTGCGTGTCACAATTCAAGTCTGTTTAGAATTTCTTTGTAATGGCTAGATCAACTTTGAAGATCGTCATTAGTAAACGAGCTTTGGGCAAAAATTGATAATAAAGCTGTCGTTTGGACATCACCAGTTCTGTCTAGATAATTCCTCATAATTGGCAATGAGTCTATCGTAAATCCAGAAATCATGATACCATCAAGATTTCCTTGCTCTTTAGCATTTTCTAGCTCAGTTCGTAAAAAAGCTCTTAATTGAGCATCTGATAGAAATCGGCAGCCAAAGCCAACCTTATCTGAAATTGCAAGCGTTGATAGTATTCTATTATATTCTTCTGGACCTGCTAAAAACCTCAGTATCGAGCTCGCATATATATCAGGTATCTGAGAAGCTAATCTTTGATATAAATGTTTAATTTTTGCTTGAGAATCATCAAACTGCATTGTCTGTAATATCGAAACTAATGCATAATGCTCAGACTCCACTGATTTCAAGGCTGTGCAAGCTCTTTCAAGATTAAAACTCATGGTAGCTAGCATAGCACTTTTTGTGCAATTTCCTTGGTCTTCTAAAGATTTGCAGACTGCCTCAAGGTTTCTTTTGTCTGAGAGGTCTCCTCATCCGCATAATGCAAGACATTTGCTTCTTTCTGGGCTGGAATAAACCACATTTGACCCTTGGTTATGAGTTTTGCTTGCCCCTTCGCTTGACTCAATTATTTTTAAAATGCCTTCTGCTGAAGAAATATTGGGAAATCTTGATATTCAGCTTCATATATTCCCGATTCCTTCATATTTTTTTGATAGTTCTGAGTTTCTAGTAGGATTCTAATTATTAGTTACAAGACCATAGCCTTCTTCGACTCGAGATTGAATTTGTTGGTCTAGGGATTTTCCTAATTCGAAGCCATGCAAAGCCCAAGATCTCTGTTCAGCCGACATATTTTTAAACAAAAAGTCAACGATTTATTTTAATCTGCTCGGCTATGTTTGAAATAAATGGCTTGCCTATATAAGATAAATGCATTAATTTTTCTATAAAATACTATTAAGTTTGTAATTAGTACAAGAAAACTACTCTTAGACTCAGTCTAACATTAAATATATCTAATTGCCATTAATTCAATAAAATAAACAGTTTTTAGCATATTAGTTAACACTACTGGGAAAGACTCATTATAAACGATTAAATAAAGTTAGATAGATGGCTTTTCTTTGTAAGGGGAATGTGCCCATTTATGGCCATGAATTCTTACACAGACATCGCAAAACTCCCCTCTTTCTCCAGTTAGTCTTTCTACACTTTCTTTGCTGCTTTTCCTGCTTGCCTTCTTCAAACTTGGAGTTGATGCGCTTTCATTAAGTGATGAGCCTATTTTTCTCCTGCTTGAGGGCTCAGATGGCTCAGTATGAATATTTGATGTAGAGCTTTTATTTTTAAACGCTTTATTATGACTTTTTGTGGTAGAGACCCCTACTTTACGCTTTTTGCTTTTAGGTAATGGTGAAGCTGGTTGGATTTTTTTGGAAGGATCAATTGTGGTTTCATTCTGTTCCTTGATGGAAAAATAATTTGCCGGGGCTTTATTAGAATCTTTAATCTTCTCTAAAAATTGCTGCTCAGATGAAGGAGTTCGGATATTTTGATCATCTATGCTTAAAGATTCTGAACTATATAGCTTTGAAGCTTGTTTTTTATCTTGAAAAGGATTAATCAGCTTTGGTTGACTTAACAATGGGATTCTCTCTTCTGCTTCTGGTTTAGGCTCACTTAAATTTTCTTCTACCCTTATTTCATTATTAATTCTTGGATTTCCATTCAGCTCACTGTGAGGTTTTGGCCTCTTCAGACTTGCTTCTCTGGCGTTTCTTTCATCCACTTTATCTAATTCCCCGCCTTTTCTTTTAAATTCTTCTTCAATGCGGTGGGTATAGTCTAATTGGTTTGAGTATGCTTTTTCTAAAATTTTGACTCTGTCTTCAAGATCTATATTTCTCTCTTCTAATTGGACAACATATGTGGGTAATCTTTCTGAGGTCAGAGGTTTAGTTTCTTCTAGTTTCCTTAAGGTAAATTCATGCTCATCTTGTAAAGTTTTCAATCTATTTTTTACTTCGTATAATTCTTCAGCTAAATATCTTTCTTTTTCTCCTGAACTGTGACTTTTTAGAGCTTCACAACTAGTTTCATATTTATCTCTGTATTCTTTTAATGTACGTCTAAGCGTCTCAATTTCTTCTTTAAGCTCTGCAATAATGATATCCCTTTCTTCGCACTCTCTTTTCAGTTGCTGATTAAATCTTTCTAACTCACTTGCCTTAGCATTATTTTTTTTCTTTTTTCCTGTTTTCAATTCTTTTCTTAGTTCCTCATTTTCTCTTTCAATTTCCGCAAATCTTTTCAGTCTTTTTCTCAGCTGTTCATTTTCATTTTCAATTTCCCTGATTTTTACTGCTTTATTTTTCAATTCTTCGCATTCTTTTTCCAGGTATCTCCACTTCTTCTCTTTTTCTTTCCATTCATTTTCTTTATTTCCTCTTAATTTCTTTTCGTCCTCATATAATTTTCTGTATGATTCTTGGTTTGGTTCTTCTTGATTTTGCAAAATTTGTTGTTTGATTCGATCTATGTCATTTGGTGTAGGAATGATGTCAGGCTTATCGAAAAAGTGAACAGCCCTTAATAAGTCTTCAAAGCTTTTTAAGATTTTTTCTTTGCTTTCAAATGATCTATTTAGTTTGTTGACGTGCTCTTTTAAAATTTCTCGCTGCTCTTGGTATAATTCACTTTCTGGGGTTCTTGCAATGCTAAAAATATCAGAAATTCTTATGGATTTTGGAGAGTCATATGAACTGTGCTGAGAAAACATTTTTCTAAATTATGTTAATTACTTAAATCTTGATTTTAATTTATAAATTAAGTTTTATTCTATTTTTTACAATCAAGAACTGCAAGTCAATTAATTAGTCGGAATATATTAATAATATTATTATCTCAATTAGTTTATGCTTTTACTATGCTACGATAATGAATACAATCGTTTATACTATTCTCAAAATCTTAACGCCTTTGAGACGGTTGACTTAATCAAAGAACTTCGTCTCTGCGACAATTAGATTATCACTGATAAGCAGAATGATTAATATATTGAATGCATCATAACAATTTTTTAGTTTGCTTTAATAGAGATTAATTAGAAAATCATTCTTAAAGTGCTCTTAGTCCATCAGTGAAAAAAAAGAAAGCGCAAAGCCAGGAACTCCGCAATCTCTGGAAATCTCATAAATTTCATCGCTATAGTTAATAAATTCTTCTGCCGCTTCCGATCTAAATTTATAGGCAGTCTCTATATAAGGTTTTCAATCTCCTCCAAGATGCTTCAATACATCACTTAACTCCCTCCCTCCATGAGCGAAAAAACGATTAGAAAAATCCCTATTTTTTGCCTAAAAACCCACCCTACGTGAGTGAACAAACATTTTTTAATATAAAAAATTTTGATATATAAGTGATAATTATTATAATGAAATCTCCAGCTTGCATTTTAAAACATGAATTTTGCAAATTAAACTCATTTTTACTTCTCAATATTTATAAAAAGTATTATAATTTTTTTCAGTTTTTTAAAAAAAAATTAGCCCTCTCCATGAGCGAACAAATTTATTTGTTTGTTAACAGAGGGGTGAGTAAGCAAGCCAAATTTTCTGGTTTTTTTAATTCTTCTGCTGCGAGATTTTTTGCATCCTTATCTTGATTTGTATTAGAATTCAATAAGATCTTTATTATTTTCACAAAAGCTTTGCCATAGTTCAAATTTTTAGCTTCAGATTCCAAAAGTCCTTTCAAGTCAGCTTCTATTATATCCTTATTTAAATAAAGGTTATTGAAAATGCTCTGACTCCCCCCCATCCTTGATCGAACGACTCGCCATCGTTCGATCAAGGATGGGGTTAATTTTTTTGGGAAAACAATTTTATATATAAAATAAAATATATAGATATGTTTTTTTTTTACTTTTAAATAAGAGGGTTAAGAATATTTAATAATTATTTTTACAGCAAAAATTTAATTTATTTCATAAAATACCAATTTTAAATATTTTGATTTATTAGTTACCCCTTTAAACTGTATAAATTTTAATTTGCTCCTTATTAAATTAATTTTTTTTTAAAAATTTTAAAGAATCTCTAATTTATTAGATTATTGGGTTTTTAAGCCTAGGCTGATAACTAAATCACTTCGAATGGTTGACTCCGAAGCTTTCTGTCGTCTCAAAGTTTTTGAAAACAACTTCATTAGGCACATTTCCCAAGCTTTTGATAAATAATATATTTTTTTATATATAAAAATTTGCATGATATGAAAATCGTTCGATCAAGGATGGGGGTTAATTTCCCCAATTTTTAGGAATTTTTACAGTCAATCGTTCGATCAAGGATGGGGGGAGTGAGTATTTATGTTTGAAAATAGAACTTCTATATCAGATAGTGACTCTAGATTGCAATTGGCTTGAATTTCAATAATGCTTTTTTGAATTTGGTCATAGCTAACATAAAGTTTTGCAAGAGCAAAAATATTCCCATTTATTACATCTAAGCCATCAGAAAGCAGCTGAGTAGCAGATGTAGTAATTTCGCTAACTGCATTAATGCAAGAGCCTACCGAAGTTTGGCTGACTTCGCCTAGAATTTCTTTGAGAAATTGCATTGAATCAAAATCATAAGTTTTATCTCTATTCGTCGGCTTCAAAATACTAAAAATTTGCCCAAACTTCGAGCCTGACTTATTAAATTTTTTGAATGGCACAAAACTCAAAGAATCAACTATAGCATCTTCTATCTCAAGATGATTGATTAGGCTAATATAGGGGTCTGCAAGCCGGTTCAATTTGTCTATTTCTGGTATACTTTTAGCTTCACATGATTCACAAGATTTCAAGAAGTCTGTAAAATTTCAGAAGATATAATCTATCTGCTGGTACGCTTCTTCATGCAAATATTCGAAATAGTAGTTATAAGCTGATACTAAGGCCTTATCTATAGAGGACTGCAGTTCTAGACTCACATTTCTTGGTAGCTTGATTTCTTCTTTGTCTAGCATCTTCATGAAAGCACCATTTAGGAATTCTTTAAAAGCATATTGATCATCACCAAAAATTGTAGCTGGGATAATTTTTGAGATATCTGTCGCTGCAGATGCAATTATGGTAAGTGCGAAAATAATTAAGCACTTCATAATTTTTATAATAGATTTATTATTTCACCTATTTTCAAAGCAAAAAAATTAATGATAATACAGCAACTATTACATAAAACTACAGCCTTATAAGACCATTTTCCCAATTAGTTTTTTAGAAATATGAGTTCATATATTGCAGATAACTAAAGACCTTTTCCTTGTATTTTGCTAATGCAGACACAAATCTATCGCATTGTCACATTTCTTACTCCCCCTACGAGAGCAAACAAAACCATTAGAAAAATCCCTATTTTTTGCCCAAAAACCCACCCTCCGTGACCAACAAAAAATTTTTTTATAGGAAAAAATTTTTTAATTAATAAGTGATAATATTATTATAATGAAATCTCGAGCTAATTCTGTTTAATTTTAGACAAATTGCGTTTTAAAACCTAAATTTTATAAATTAAATTTATATTTGCTTTCCAATTTTTGTGAAAATAGGATTTTTTTAAATTGGGAAAAAAATATTTTTCTATAAAATTTATATATAAATTTATTTTTTTAAAAAAATAAATTTAACCCCCCTCCGTTGGCGAACAAGATTTTTTTGTTCGCTCACGAAGGTTTGGGGGAGTTAATAAATTCCATATTGAATATGGCTTCATCTATTAAGAAACCAGGTATGTCCATTTTGTTTTCTTATAATTAATGGCAATGGAGCGTACTGAGCAAGCAGTGCGTTCAGATGAAGATAAATGGGACAGTGGTGAAGAAGAACAGCCAGAAATGCAAGTGGGTTTTGTTAATGTCGTCGAAGATGAAAACTTTCTCAGAGATGACGCTAAAAAATCCAAAAAAGAAGGGCCAGCCTGGAAAGTTTCTGAAGACACACCAACTGACCAGCCAGAACCTTCGAAAAAAGAAGAAAAAAAAGCTACATATAATCCCCTAAAGAGAACCACAAAAGCTCCACCCAAAATCGAAAGCTTTCCTACGCTTTCTCAATCTGTCGAGCAAGTTGATAAAAAAGCTGAAAAGCCATCTGCAAAGCAAGAAAAATCAGAAAAGCCTGCAGAAAGGCACGATATAAACGGCAGCTCAAATATTTTTGTTGCACTTGACGAAACTCCGAATGAGAAAGAAGAAGGAGAAGTTGAAGAACAAAAGCAGCCTTCTCCACAGAAAAAGGAAAAGAAAGGCAAGAAAAAGTGGGCTAAGCAAGATGCGAAGCTTAATATAAACTTGACAGCTGGACAGAGGGAAATCGGAGTATTTGACAAGGGACAAAAAATTGAATATAAAGAAGAGGATTTCCGAAAGAAAAAGGAAGAAACTAACACGCCAATACAAAGAAATAATGGCATGATTAATATGGATATAAAAAAAGACAGCTTTGATGGGAGAAGACAGCAAGGAGGACCTTTTTCAGGATATAAAAGAAATCCGGAGAATAGTGAGTCTATTGGACAGAGAAAAGAAGGACCTTTTGGAGGAATGAAAAGGAGAGAAGGGAATGCTGAAGGACCAGGATCAGGATTTGTAAGAAATACAGAAGGAGGCCAAGGTTTTACAAGAAACCAGGAAACAACAGCTTTTGGGCCAAGAAGAGAGAGAGACCATGGAGAGGAAGAAAAACGATTTACTAGAAATCCAGTTGAAGAAAAACCAAAAGATCCGATGTTTGCTTCAGGACAACCGCAAGGACCGAAGAGGTTCCAAAACTCTAAGAAGCAGGAGGGGCCAAAGAACGCTGATGGAGATGAGACAAAGAAAGAAGAGCCAAAGGCAGCTGAAGTTAAGCCACCTGAGAAGAAAATTGATGTTTGGGGAGATTCAGTAGTGAAACAAAAGAAAAATGCATGGAGACGTGATGATGCAGCATAGTTATTTCAATATAACATAATCAGCAAAGTTAATTAAACTTTTTCGTTGAAATTATTTTAAAAGAGCTCTCTTGCTCCTCATTTCTACTCAGATATAATTAAAATTAATCATTTTCTTAAATCCTTGAAATTTCATCAGAAAAGGTTTCAGTGATAACACATAAGGGCTTTGCATCCGTATAAATAACATAAGTTCTTGAAAATAACTCATTAGTTCTCGCATCAAGTAAATTAATAATTCTTTCGCTTTGAACTGATTTTTCTATTGAAACTATTTCTCGAAATTGCTCTATTCTTCGAGATATCAAAATTTTTCCAATTGGCATTTCAGGATTTTCTGAAAGATAATGCTGATATTTTTCTTTGTTTCAATAAGAAACAGCATGAACAAGTTTTTCTCCTCCAGAAATAAGTAATGTTTCTCTTAATACTGCTGGAGATTCAATAAAAGGAGTAGGCGAGTTTTCTATTTCAGTCTCTGAAAGAAGATCTATTTTTATGGGCCGGAGAGTTAGAGATTCTAAAGCCTTCGTCATACTTCCATCATGATTGAGGAGGATCCTCATCGTTGGGGAAGCTACTTCCATTTATCTTTTTATTTGAATTATAATATCTTAAATTTATTCCAAATTATTTTATTCTCTTAATTTTTAGTTTTGATAACCTTATATAAATGAGCTAATATAAATGTCTCATAATCATGTTAATCTAAATGCTTTTCTAGTTCATCCCAAAAGTCGCACCCAACAAGATATCAACGAAATCATGGAATCCACACAAGAAATCGAATTTTTTAAAAAAATAACAAACGAAAAAAGTTCAAATCAAATTCACATGGCTTGTTGCCAAGTCATGACTGTTGAAGAATTCTCACGCGGATCAAGGGTAATCTCATATGGTGAGATGGGCGATAAATTTTATATTGTTTTACGAGGAAGCCTCACAGTAGCTGTACCATTAAAAGTTTATAAACCGATAAGCGAAGTCATCGAAATATTAAAAAGTCCAGAATCGATCGCAGCTGCAAAAATTGATAATAAAGAGGCCACAAAGTTGCGAGAATTCCTAGGGGAGAGAGAAAAAGCACTGAGGAATGAGCCAGAGTCGAGAATTGATGAAAACGAAATGATACAAGTTGAAGAACTTAAAGAAGTAGGTGGTATAAATCCTGGCCAAGCTTTTGGAGAATTAAGCTTAATCAGTGATAAGCCAAGAGCAGCTACGATAACTGCAAAAGAACATTGCATTTTAGCTGTATTATGTAAACAAGATTTCAAGAAAGTGTTAGGGAGTATAGCAGATAGAACATTAAATGAGAGAGTGGCTTATCTGCAGTCATTACCATTATTTTCAGCATGGACGAAACAATCATTGCAAAAAATTTCTTACTATTTTATTGAGTTATCGGTAGGTAAAGCTCAATATGTCTATAAAGAAGGAAATAACGCTGATTATGTGTATTTTGTAAGATCAGGAGAATTCAAGCTAATAAAGAATCAGCAAAACGAAAGCCCAGGGTATGCTGAAAGAAAAGTAAAATCAGGATCGCAATTCCTATCAAGTACACTAGAAAGTGCAACATTAAAGCTAAGTTTGATGAAAAAAGTCCATAAAAATATAAAATTGCAAATCGCAATTAAAGGAGAAAACGAAGTGTTCTGGGTTGCAGGTCAAATGATCGTGTATTTTTAAAAGACAAAAATTTGGTCGAAAACATTTAATTTTAAATTTTTTGGCTTTTTCAGTAAATGTCTCGCTATCAAAAATGATCTAAACAATTTCCCTAAGAAATGTCGCACTATCAAAATGAAAGGCCATTTGGGATGGAGCCGTGTTCGGATACGAAGAAATAATCGAAAATGTAAATTTAAGGATGAATTCCTGCATTTGCAATTCAATTAAAGGAGAGCTTTATGCGATGTCGAGAACTGATTTTAAGCAGAGAGTTTCGAACCAAGAAACATTAAAGTATTTAAAAGAAAAATATAAATTTGACCAAAAGAGAAATAATGAAAGAATAGAACAACTAAAAAATGTTGAGGAAATTAAACAAGAACTAACCCATGGAAATTCACTAGCTATTACAGAAAGACATTTAGAAGAAAAATTGAAGAGGAAGTATTATCCAATGCTAAATAAGCTTAAAACCTTGAGGGAAAGAGTACACCTTACACCTAGTATTAACACTGAAAGATTGAGCTTTACAGTCCCTTGAACGTATCCGAAAAATCCACCACCACCAGAGACATGTCCAAGCCCTTATAGAGGGCAAAGTATGGAAATAAAATCGCCTAGAGTCACTGAAGAGTCAAAATCAATACCGAGATCAAGAAGCATCCAAAAGGAAAGAAAAGAAAAGACGAAAAATAGAGAAGCAAGATTAAAACGATATCCTCCTCCTAATTTTATGCATAGGTTCGTTGGCAACTCTAGGGTGCTGAGAAATGACTTCTTTATGGGTGGAAAAAATTCCTTTGATAACTCGATGTCTTAAATTAACATTTTTACCAAAAATCTTTGCTAAACGTTATTTAGAGTTAATATCGTAATATTTGTAAATTTTCAGAGTAAAAAGGAAGTTCTGATTTATAATCTAGATTCTGATAAGGAATTGTAAAAATGGATGAATGATGCGGATTGCTCAAATTATTATAATTTAATACCACTGAAATAAATATATATAACTCATAGTTACCAAATAATTATCATAAGATAATGCTATTTCAGTGATTTTTCTCATCGAAAATAAAAATAATTTTCCTCTTCACCTATTATTAAAAAATTGGCAAAATGAATTTCAATAAAATAATAAGTCAAACAAAATATTTTTCCAAATATAAAGTGTCATCAATATTGCTCTTCAGAATTTCTCTTAGTAAATTTTCTATTGGAATCTAAATGATAATCTTCCCTTATATCTTAATTATTCAACCATTTATGACGTGATGTTATAACCATTATTAAATGGCTGAAGGAGCTGAAGTAATCACGAACCCTATCGAAGAGTCCGAAGTAAAAGCTCAAGAAGAAATTGCCGATACCCCAAATGAAGGAGCAGAGAAGCCAAGTGAAATTCAAGATGCAACTGAAGAATCTGAGCAGAGTACACAAGAGACACCTGTATCAATCGAAGAGAAAAAAGAAGAGGAGTCGCCTTCCAGTTCAGAGCCTGCTGCTCCTGAAGTTCAAGGGTCAGATGCAACTGAAAATGTGGCAGATGCATCTGAAACTATTGCTCAAGAGGCATCAGAAGCTACAAAAGTAGAAGAGGCTGCAGAGGAAAAAGTAGAAGAGGTTAAAGCAGAGGAGCCAGTTCCTCAGCAAGAAGAACAAGCAGCGGAAGTTCAAGAACCTAGTGAACCTCAAGCAGAGACTAGCGCTACAATTGAAGAAGCTGCAGTAGTCGATACTGCTGCTGAGACTCAAGAAGCTGCACCTGCAGAAACTAGCCATGAACCTGAAGAAGTAAAAACTGAAGAAGTTCAAGAGACAAAGCCAGAAACAGTTGCTGAAACCCCCCAAGAGGAAGCTGAACAAAAAACTGAAGAAAAACCTCAAGAAGTTGAAGAAGTTAAAGCAGAACCTACTGTGGAAAGCGAACCAGTTCAGGCTGAAGAGAAACAAGCTGATGCCGAAGAAAAAACAGAGCCTGCAGCAGAGGAAAAGGCTGAAATCCCTGCAGAGGAAACTAAAAGTGAAATCGAACCTGAGCAAAAAGCAGAGCCTGCAGCAGAGGAAAAGACAGATATCGCTGCCCCTTCAGTAGAAGAAGTTAAAAGTGAAATAGAGCCTGAACAAAAACAAGAAGTGCAAACAGAAGCGCCTGTAGAAGCAAGCGAGCCTGCAAAAGAACAGCCAGTAGAGCATGATCACAAAGAAGCTCCAAAAGAAGAAGTTGTTCAGGAAAAAGCTGAAGAGGCGAAAGAAATTCATGAGGCTCCGCAAGAAGCTCATGAAAGTCATAAACTTAAAAGCCAGGTTGCCTTTAATATCCACTATGATACTTCATTTGGGGAGTCAATTGGAGTATGTGGAAGCCATGAGCTACTTGGAAATTGGGATCCAACCAAAGCTTTAAAGCTGACTTGGACTGATGGCAATATATGGAGAGGATCTGTACAACTTGAAAAAAGTTTATTTTCGCAATTAGAATATAAATATATTTGCCATAGACAGCATGAAGACAAATGGGAGAGTGGAGCTAACCATACTTTACATCATAAAGATGAAGTTCCAGATGAAGTATCGAGAACTGACAGCTGGCAAGGATAATAAACTTAAAAAAGTATAATTAAATAAAATTTGAGTTGAAAATATTGATTACTATAGCAAAATCTGTCTTTATGGGTTAAATAATATTAGCGGCATAATATTGAATAAAAAAATCATTTTTGTGTCATAAGGAAAAATGCAATTATAACTATATCTTTAAATAAAAATCTAATTAACTATTTTATATATATATATATCCGACATTGTTAATGGGTTAAGTTCGGAAATTCATAAGCGCTATGAAATCATTTATATCGATGATTCCATCTCCGTTAACATCTCCTTCCTTAAGCATGTCTTCGAAATCACTAGGATTCAAGCTCAGATCATCAGCGAAAAATTTCTTTAAATTTTCTATGCTGATCCCTCCAGTCCCATCAATATCATAAGCTTCAAATGCTTCTCTAAGTTTATCCATCGATAACTTATTTTCCCAATCCATAGTCGCAATAATGAACTCACTCCCCTCTTTAAACTGGAACAAAATATAGGTAAAATTTGCATTTTTGGGTACTTTAGCCACCATTTAAATTGAAAAATTTTTTAAAATTGGAAAATTTAAAATTGCTTTGATCTAATTTCATGGAAAAAGTTTCAAATTAATATTATTAAAACAGTTTTCACACTGAATCGATTAATTTTTTGAATTTATTCTACATAAAACAAATTAAACCTAAGAAGATTGTGTCAATTTATCATTTTTTAATATTTAAGTTTTATATAAAGAAAAATATTTTTATATTTTTTTTAAAAAAATTTACCCTCAAAATTAAAATAGATTTTTTTATCCAATTTAAAAGAGGGCTGTCAGTATAATCAATATATCCATTCCCGTCAGCATCGCACCTTTCCATTATGTCTTCAATATCAGCTGACTTATTGATTCCTAGCATTTTGCATCCACTTCTTAATTCATCTCTGCTAAGCTTGCCATCTCCATTGAGATCAAGTCTTAAAAACAGTTCTCTTATTTCTTTGATTTCTTCTGCGTTGCTCAGGTTATTCGCTATATACCTCAGCACTGAAATTTTCAGTTTGCAGCTTGAATTGAAATGTCGTAGATGATTGATAACACTTGAATTTACAGAATAGCCTTTATTGCTATTAGAGGTCCTGCTTTTAATTCATATATGCATTAAAGCTTCTTCTGCAGTGTATCGCTGGTTTGGATCTTTCTCAAGAAGCTTGGAAATCAAGTCTTTGGCGTCTTCAGAAATTCCTTCTCATTCAGCACCTGAAAATGAATAATAAGCTTGTTTTACTTTCTTAAATATTTTCCCAGTATTTAACCCATTAAACGGCGGACTTCCTGAGAGCATTATGTACAAAATCACGCCGCAGCTTCATATGTCGCATTTCTCATCATATGCGCCTTCAAGCACTTCAGGAGCAACATAGTATGGCTAATTTAAAATTACTGTTCCTATTAGCTCTGTGCACTTTATGTCTTCAGTTATTTTTCGTGAAGTCCCGAAGTCAATGATTTTTAATACGGAATTTTCATCGTTTGTTTCGAAGAGTAAATTTTCAGGTTTGATGTCTCTATGTATGATTCCAGCTTTGTGGCAGTGGCTTAAGGCTGATAATATATCATGCATATATTTAGCAGCTTGATTTTCGCTGAAAACTTCAAATTTCGAGATTTTTTCAAAAAGGTTTGGCCCTTTACATAATTCTGTAATAATTCAAAAATTTTCGGAATCCTCAAGAACTTCCATAACTCTCAAAATGTTAGGATGATCCTATATAATGTTTACAAGTTCCTGCAGATTTTCTACTTCTCTCATTAAGTTTGTAGTTTTTAACTTGTTTTTTTTTATGCATTTTAAAGCTCGATGGAAACCTGTATGTTTATCAATTCCTTGAAAAACATAGAAATAAAATGGTCAGATGAACGAAGGACTCTGTTGAGCGCTCCTATGGAGCAGAGTAGAGCCTATCCAAATGAAGATAAAAACAGTGCTTCTGTCACCTTTGAAGTAGGCCTTCGGTTTTGGGATATCTTGCCGCTATTTCTCCCCTAATTTTTTTATGTTTCTACTTTAGGCGAGGCAGGTTTTGCCTGCCACATAGCTATTGTCTATAGGGATTAAGGGGTATCTGCAAGAGGCGGCTTTAACCTAGGGAGCTAAATCTTTGGCTAGGGTCGTTACCCCAGATATTAGGATAGTGGTCAATCTGCTTATAGACTTATAAGCGCTTAATTCAACTTTGAAAAACATTTCCGTATCCTCCAGACCCAATCTTTTCTAAAACAGTGTAGTGATCCTCAATTGGGCCAACCCTATGCGTTACATGGGATGATCTTCGGTTTTTGGAGACTTCATGAATTGTGACCGATCGTGTGTGAGGTGTTTTTGCAGTAAACACTATTTTTTCTATGTTTCTGCTAGATAAGCGGAGAATTCCAGGCGAACTCGAAACTTTTATTGATTTTTTTGACGTGCAACAACCCATTAGTATTTATTTATTGAATTTTATAGTTATGGTAAGCTCTTTCATTTTTTCAACCTCATGTTAATTAATATCAGAATTCGAAGCAGATTTTGTGAATTCAAAATTGATCATTAAAAAAGCCATGCTCTAGATTAAATTAAGATAATGGCTCTCCCCATCTTTAAATTGGAACAAAATATTGGTAAAATTTGCATTTTTTGGGTATTTTAACCACCTTTAAATAAGAATAATTTTTTTTTCAATAGGAAAATTTATGATGAAAGCACTAATTTTTATAAAATTAGTTTTGACCTAAATTAATAGTGAAAATGCAAAAATTTATATTTTTAAGAGAAAAATTTAAATATAATTTTTTTTTTAAAAAATAAGCTCCCTTCAAATTGGAACAAGACCTTTTGTTCCAATTTAAAGGGAGGAGTAAGAAATGGCAAAATTTTATGGAATAGTTTCCAGTAATCGAGATTAATATATAATAAAAATTATTTAAAGTGATAAAATGAATATACGCTGGAATTATGAATAAACTGGATTTTATTAAATGATTAATTAATTCTTAAAATGAGAATTTGGTTAAATTATTTAATGTGGATCATATTGGCATTATAAAATATTATTTGTGAAAAAATTATTTTTATATGATCGCTACTATTAACTTTTGATATTAACCGAATTAAATCCATTTTTATTAATTAAAAAAATTGTTGATAGAAACCATAAGAAAGTGATCGTAAATTCGACATATAAATAATCTAATTTTATCTATTATATCTTTAAACTTAATATTATTATCATTACCATTTCAACAGATCCTATTAAAAATTAATTATAAATTCCATAATAATGGAGGGATCAGAACAGAGATCGGGAAAAAAATCAAAAAATAAAAAACAGCGAGCACGCCAGGAGCAGCATGACCAAACGATAGAAAAAGGAATCTTACTCCCCATGCTTGATCGAATGATATATTAGCAATTTCCTAAAAAATGGTACTATAACTCTCATCATATTCAAACGATTTTATTATAATTGAGCACGAAATATACTCACCTACCCCCATCTCAACTCTAAATACTATCTTTTATAGCAATAAATGTTGAAGATTACGCTGTATAATTGCTTCTAAGCAATTATAATGTGAATTTTCCTATCTTTGCTAATGTATTGCATATTATATATCTTGTGGCTAGCTCATAAAATATTTTATATGGAATATAAATATTAACATATAATTTTTAATCTCCATAGCTTTGAACATGGCATAAGTTCATTCATTAATGGGGAAATTAGAAGAAAGACAAGAAGAAATAAAAGAAATGGAAAGAATTGAAGAGCTTCAAGCACAAGAATTTTCTACTGAGACCAGAAAGCAACCGATAAATGAACCTATAAAGCAGGAAGTCAAAGAGACCATAAAAAAGCCAGAAAATGAAGCTGCAAAACAGCAGCAGAGAGTTGAATCTATAAAACAGCCAGTCAATGAGCCAGAAGTTAAAGGGAAAAACACATGTAATTTGCATTTTAATATTAATTACAGGACTTCTTTTGGAGAATCAATTTGGGTTTGTGGAAATCATGAAAAATTAGGAAATTGGGATCTCCAAAAAGCTTATAAGCTTGAATGAAGCGAAGGAGATAATTGGAAAGGAACAGTGCCAATAGAAAAAGGGAGCTGTGAAACACTGGAATATAAATATATCTGCCAAAAAGGACAAGATTTTAAATGGGAGCATGGAGCCAATCATTCTTTGAGGCAAGCAAGTTAGGTTATTAAAGTCAGGTGTTAGCCATATTGATGATGAAGTCGCCAAAGACCTCCTGCACAGGAGGCTCAACCGCTTTTCGACTCCAACCCAGATGTTCTTTCCTAAAGGTGGATGCCACTTCTGGTATTTTCTGTCTCCTCCCTGCCTTGAGGCTTTAGTCTTGAGTGGACAGCTTATGGCCCTACTACTAACAATTTGAGTAGCTTGATTCCATAGATCAACTCCTTGGAGTTTGTCTGGTGCTGAAGTGCCTTCCTTCAACATCTACAGGAAAAATACTATTGCCTGCGGTCTGAGCCGAAACCCCCAGTTTCTCGGTAGAGGAATGCCCATAAGTCCTTGGATCCCAAGGGCGCTGCTGAGCATCTCCATTTCTAACCAAAAAGCAGCTAAAACCTATCCAGATACACATCTCTTGAGCCTACACTTGATTCTCATAAGGTCTGGACTGCTGCGCCAAGAGGTCAGGCTGACATGTGTAACCATTTAAATGAATTGAGGCAGGAAGGTAGAACAGAAGATCAAGTGACTAAAGTTGATAATTGGCAGACATAATGTCTAATTTCAAACTGCTTCTTTATAAATTCTTGGCTATTTTATTTTTTAGCATAATGATAATAAAAGAAAAATGAAAATAAAATAGTTGCATATAATGATTATAAAGTCAGATAAACTTGATATTAAGTGTAAAGAGCTGATATTTAAAACCCAAGGCGCTCAGCTGCATTTTGGCATATCATTAATTATTTTATTTAATATTAATTTTATATGGGAAAAAATACGTTGACTTGAATAAGTGGGAAAATCTAAATATGCTATCTATACTTATACAATCTATATCTATACAACTATTATTTAGCTCTTTCTTTCTTCCATTCTCACAACTGGAGGCTTCATTTCAAATCCTCTCATCCTTTTTTTGCTCTTCTTATTGTCTTTTTTATTTGTAAAAGTCCTCCATTGGTTGACTCTTTTATCCCTTGACCTTTCCCATTCCTTTTCATCCTGTGTCTTCCTTTCATCTTCTTCTTTTCTTCTTTCGTCTTCCTCTCTCTGTCTTTTATGCGCCATGAAATCATATTTATCAAAATGAATTTTCCTTTCTTCAATTTCTCTGAAAATTCTATTGCACATGTCCTGCACCTCTGACTCCCCCCCCTTTAAATTGGAACAAAATATCGGTAAAATTTCCACTTTTTTGGTAATTTAACCCCCCCTTTAAATTGGAACAAAATTTAATTTTATAATAAAAAATTATATATAATTTTTATCTAAAAAGTTTTGATATAAGTTAAATGTTTATTCCTAACTAAAATTAAAAATTTAGTTATATCTTGCTCTTGTTTAAAGAAGAAAGTATAAAGAGCATCTTATTTAAATAAATTTATTACCCTTATTTGCTAAATTTTAAAAAAAAATTAATTTTTTGTTTTTTAAATTTTTTCATATTTTTTTTGATAAAAATGATATTTTTTTATTTAAATAGTTTTGATATAAATTCAATAGGAATTCTTTATAAAATTTCAAAACTTACTTATTCCTTGCTTTATTTTAAAGAATAGAGTATAAATAGTATCTTATTTAAACAAAATTAGCACTTTGATCGATAAATTTTCTAAAATTTTTTCTTTTTTTAATTTTTTTTACCAATAAAAATAATAAATTTTGTACAAATATTTTTGATGCCAATTAATAGTGGCGTATTAACTAATAATAAAAATTTTAGTTATACCTTGCTTTTTTTTAAAGGATAAAGAGTAAATAGCATTTTATTAAACAAATTTATTAATAAGTTTTTGAAAATTTTTTTTTTTTAAATTTTTATATATAAATTTGTTTTTATAAAACATTTTATATTGATATTTTTTTTTAAAACAAAAATTAACTTCCCTTTAAATTGGAACAAAATTTTTAGTTCCAATTTAAAAGGGGGGGGAGTGAGGAAAATGTATCTTCTGGTAATTTTGCTAGACCAAGCATATCTCGCCTGCAGTTTTCTTTTTTACGCTCATATTCTACTCGCTCTCGTGCTTCTCGCATGATTCTTTGAAATGTCTTTTTCTTCTCAGGGTCTTGAAGAGTTTTATAGGCAGATTCAAGAACTATTTAGCAATTACTGTGAAAGGCATGCAATGCGCGGTCGTCACGGCACTTGTCAGGGTGGACAAGAACTGAAATTTTACGGAACTTTGAACGGATTTCTTCATCAGTCGAATCTGGGCCTAAAAGTAAAACTTCATAGGGGTTTACCCATTTTTCTCTTGCGCATAGACGCTCTAATTGAGCTTCAGATGTCATAACGCCAGGGTTGCTTCTGATTTTTTCCATTCGAGAAATAATATATAATTAAAATTCCAATCTTAGCTGATGCATATTTAATTTGTATAACTCAGAGAAAAAGACAACATATAAAAAGTAAATTTTATGGATCAGGGTGCTATAAATCTTGACCAATATAATTATATGAGAAAATGCTTATTTCAAAATAATGCTGGTATCTACAATATCTTAATCAACTTAATTATGCAAAAAAAGTAATCAACCATGCAGAATCAAAATCACAAGTATTTATATTATATTTACCCCCAAACAGCTTCAGAGCTAAAATTAACATATAAAAATCCATCAGAATCTTTAAACTCATCATAAATGCTCATCATAGTCCTATCCAAAGAAGGAAAATAAAATCCAGCCACAGCCACATATAAGCTTTCTCCGCTTGACAATCCCACTCTTTTCCTTACCTGGAACAAGAATTCATGGAACGTAAACAGCTTGGGCACTAAAAATTTGTTCTGCTTAATAGTAATTGCATTCTTGGTTTTTTTCGCAGGTTCCAAAATTATTGGAATTTTATTCGGGTGATTATTTAAAATTCTTTCAAATTCATTTCTTCGCTCTTTGAAATCAGGAATTTCTTTCTTGAATTCCATTTTATCAGATTTATTATGGGAAACTGTTTAAGTTCTCATCAAAACTCAAATGAAAATCAGCAAAAACCGAATCCTTCAAAAAAGCAGAGCGAGCTACCATTACATTACATTACATTAGAATTTATATCGCTTAACGTCCACTACGGGGTTACAACTCCAGGTTTATCACTCGCCTTTCGTCGCATCGGGCCCACCAGTCTGCTGGAGACAAACTCGCTTCGATCACCAAGGTGCTTCTGGGGCAAATGTCCACGTCTTCGACGGCTCATGGATGAGCTACTTGCTTGTACATGGGTTGCTTTTCCGAAAAACCCAAAAAATGGATTTTTCTGGTCGGCTATCGGCAAAAAAGGAAAAATGCAAAGCCTGGGACGTAACGCCCAGTTTCACGCTAGGGAGTTGCCCGAATGGTCCAGAGGACTTTGCTGGGCTTCCCCTTTCCAAACCTTGCACCCTCCTTCCCCACGAGGAAAAATCCACCTCTGAGAATAGACTAGGGCTAGGCTCTGAAAGCTACCAGAATTGCTTACCTAGCATTGCTGTCCATCTCTGAAATGGTAAAACCTTGCCGGATATAATTAAAATATGAGTCGAGGCTGCATGGCCGGGAGGCCATGCCCAGACGAAGACGCCATATTTTAATTATGCAGAGCGAGCTACCAAGGTCAACATATGCAGATGAGGTAAAGTCGGAATGCGATTTAAGAGACTCCTTTAATAGAAGAAGTACCAAGAAAAAAGCGATTAAAATTACGTTTAGGGATCAGGCTGAGACGGGACAAGATGCACCAAATGCAGTTATTTCTGATCGTGTTAAGACTGAAAAAGATAATGAATGCATATTGGAAGCGCTAGGAAAACATTTTGTATTTAAAGGATTGAGAAAAGAGCTTCATCAAGCTATAGTCTCCCATATGAATTATTATGAGTTAGGACCTGCAGAGGTGATTTTTGAACAAAATCAGTCAGGAAATAACTTTTTTGTAGTTGAAAGTGGTGATTTAGAGGTCATCATCAATGGTAACAGGGTCAAAGTTCTCCATCCAGGGGACAGCTTTGGAGAATTAGCATTATTGCATGATTCTGCTCGAAGCGCAACTGTAAAATCCATCACAAAAACTGGCTTATGAGGACTAGCAAGAAGTACTTTTCGAAAAGCCCTTGAAAAAATTAATGCAACTTATTATGAAGAAAATAAAAATTTTGTTAATACTGTGCCATTATTCAATATCCTAACCCCAAAACAAAAAGAAACACTAGTTTTTGCGTTGTCAAGCTTTAAGTTTGCAGATCGAGAAAACATTGTTAATGAAGGAGATCCAGGAGATTTATTATATATAATAAAAGAAGGGTTCGTTATATGCACACAAAAAGGCGTTGAAATAAGGCGCATGAATGCAGGCGAGTATTTTGGAGATCAAGCTTTATTATATGGAAGCGCAAGAACAGCGACAATCACCGCAAATGGCAACGTCACTTGTATCGCAATTGGGAGAGAAAAATTAATTCGGGTGCTTGGGAATAACCTGCATCAAATTATTTATAAAAATTCCCAAAAAATTGCTATTGATAAAAGCAAAAGTTTAAGTCAGCTGACAACGGAGCAGACAAACTCATTGATTGCTGCAATGGAAATAAAAACTTTTGAAGCAGGCATAAGAGTAGTTAGCAGAGGCTCAGTAAAAGGCAGACAACTGGTCATTGTGCTAAAAGGAAAACTAAAATATTCAGATACCAGCATTGAAAAATTTCAGTGCTTAGGCGACGAAGAAATAACTAATGAAACGACAGAGAGCTATGAACATGATGTTTTTGCAGACGAAGACACTGATTGCGCTGTCATTTCGAAAGAAAAGTTCCAAAATTGCATTGGAGGGAGATATGCAAATGCGACAGCAAATAACGAAGCTTTGAAAGTAATGAAAAAAATCCAGTTGTTGAGAGGGTTGAGCAATGAAAGATTACAAGCTTTATGCCGCGTCTTATATGTTCAGGAGTATGAAGATGGATTTGAAATTGTCCAGCAAAATAGCCCAGGAGATTCATTTTTTATTGTGAAGTCGGGAAAAGTGGAAGTTTACAAAGATGGACAAATGATAAGGACAATTAAAAAGCTGGATTATTTTGGCGAAAGGTCATTGATGTTTGATAAATTCAGATCTGCAACTGTCAAATCTAAAGGACATTCTTCATGTTGGATATTAAGGAAATCTGATTTTTTGAGCACTATTGATGAATCAATGAGGGCAAGATTGTTAAAAAGAATATTTTTGCAAGACGATAAAATAGGAATTGATGAGCTTGTGCCTGTCAAAGTTCTTGGGCGTGGCATGTTTGGTGTAGTTTTACTAACTACTCATAGGACTAAAGGATCCTTGTATGCACTTAAAGCTGTAAAAAGAACAAAAATTGAGGAATACCAGCTCCAAGCTATGATGCTCCAAGAAAGAAATATTCTCATGGAAATTGACCATACACTCATTTTAAAGCTAGTCAGGACTTTTAAAGACTCCAAGAGGTTATACTTTTTATTTGAATACGTAAGAGGCTTAGACTTATTTGATGTTCTCAGAGAACTTGGACTTGTTAAAGAGCCAGATGCATTATTTTATACTTCTTGCCTTCTCTGCATCCTCGAGCATCTTCATGAAAGAGATATAATATATCGTGACTTGAAGCCTGAAAATGTAATGATTGATGATGAAGGGTATCCAAAATTAATTGACTTTGGGACAGCCAAAATTGTTTCAGGAAGAACGTATACCATTTTAGGGACTCCGCATTATATGGCACCTGAAATTATTATTGGAAAAGGATATGGGATTGCTGTGGACTATTGGAGCTTAGGAATAATGCTCTATGAATTTATATGTGGCTGTGTTCCTTTTGGAAATGATGAAGAAGAGCCTTATGAAATTTACGAAAAAATTCTTGAAAGAAGAATTTTATTTCCACCGTGGCTCAATAAAAATGTAGGCGTGAGGTCTGTTATTGAACAGCTTTTAAGCAAAAATCCAGCCATGAGGCATGGAGGAAGCATTGAAAACTTAAAAGCTAATGCTTGGCTTGCATCGATTGATTGGGAAAAGCTATTGGACAAACTACTACCAACTCCTTATATCCCAGAACTTCCAGATTTAGATAAAGAAATTGAAAAAGCAATTAAAAATCCGAAAACTATAGAAAATATTCTACATTCATTATTCCCTATAGAAATAAAATGGTGATGCCGACGGGGGTTGAATCCGACACGCTCCCTATGGAGCAGGCAGAATCCCTCCCAACGAAGCTGAAAATAGTGCCTCTATCTCTTTTTGAAGTAGGCCTTCGGATTTGGGGATGCTGCCTAAGAGGAAGGTTTGTTTTTCTCCCAAAAAATTTCCCTGTCCCTGCCAGATGGGCTATACAGGTTTTGTCTCCCTTATAGGGACTATCGGGGCATCTGCAAGAGGTAGCTCTGCTTAGGGGTTTAATACTAGGTAGGTGGGGTTTACTCCAGATATAGAAATTTCCCATAGATGGCGCTGTTTGCACTTGATTTGCCCATGAAAAAAATTTTTTTGGTTTGACCAAACCATATGGGACTGGTCGAACCAAAAAATTTCCCCAGTGGACAAATCAAGGGCAAACAGCGCCATCTATGGGAAATTTCTATAGGCAGACTAGGGTCTATCCGCTTATGGCTTTATAATTTTAGCTTTAACTTTAACTTTACTCCCTATAAGCAAGCAAAATTTTGCCTGCTCAAAGAGGGGTTAATTTTTTTTGGCTTATATTTTATATTAAATTTTTGTTTTCAAAATTTAATAAAATGCATAAGGGATCATTATAATGGCTATTACTCATATTTTAATTCCAAATTTCGCTTGCTTAAGAAGGGGGATTAGAGGAAGAAGAAGATGCCCATTCCTCCAGAAAGCAGAATAACAATGATCCTGAAACATGGGATGCTGCATTTTAATTATTCATATAATCTAAAAATTTTATAATAAGAAAATGGCTATAAAACGAAAGCTTTTATTGTTTACAACTGGCTTCGGTATCTCAATAATTGGAGCATTCGCACTCAGAGATGAGCTTTTTATTACTACTCAAAGGAATCTTCAAGATTTAGATGAAATTGAAAAGACCATCAAAGGAGAAGTCTATATGAGACCTGAGCAGCAACCACCTAAAGGGCTTTTGGGAATAATGATGGATTCTTATATGGGGAAATGGGTAAAAGGAATAGAGAAAACAGTTAATCCATAGTTTAATTAACTTATAGTTGATTTGGATACCAAAATATATTTAAATATTAATTTTTAGCTAAAAGCACTCTTTTTGATAAATCAAAATACGATGTTTACCTTATGAAATTAAATTTTAAAATCAAAAATGTCTCTCAAGCCTACAATTACTCCTAACTGTATTAAGCCTCGGCCTCCTTCAGCAAACTTTAACAAACCTTTATTCTTAAACAAGAAAAAGGCAGACGCCAAACTGATTCCTGAGTATTTCAGCAAAAATATTGCTATAGCAAACCGACCTAGAAGCTCATCCATAACTGAAAGAAGACCCCCAAGCATCGTGTGAAAAATGATGGTAAAGCAAAATCAAAATAAAGAAAATAATCCGCCCATCATTATGAAAGATGTCTCAAAAACACCTCCATTGCCAAAACCAGCCTGCATGACGACAGAAGTAAAAAACTCATTTTATGAGCACATGAATAAGCTTGAAGGACATTTAGACAGCGTCTTAGCCAACGTAGAAGTCCCAGAAGGATTTTTCTCACCTATTAAAAAGAAATAAAATATTCGATAATGTAAAAAGTAGTTAAAATTATTTAATGGCTAAGCTCTACATTGGCAATTGTAGACTACCTTTCGGCATCTTCTACACATATCGCATCCTTTGCAAATATAAGGCCCTTTTCTTCTGTTGATTTTGCAGCGCCTTTTGCAAAAAGGGCACTGCAATTTGCTGAAAAAATTATTATATTTGTTGCATTGGCAGTCTGATTGGACTTTTTCACATTTCCCACAAATATTTCTGTGACACTCAGGGCATTCTAAGGTGGTTTGATCCTGGATTTCAAATTGCGCAGTGCAGGAGTAATTAGGGCATTTAATTATTCTTCCGATTTCCCCGCTTTTAATCAATCTTTCAAATGCAAGATTTTCATAATACCTCATCAGATTCTTATCAATATATTGTTGGAAAAATCCTGGCTGAATTTCTACATGGCAGCTTGGGCATGAAATTTTTATTGTATTTTTTGTAATATTTTCATTTAGATATTGTGTAAGGCATTTTAAATGAAATGTATGAGTACATGATTCCAAGACAATACAGTCATCATCAAGAATTGCATATTTGCATTTGGCACAGTAAAAAGCAGTTTCAGGCTTATTTTGGACAGCAGGCTGAAGAATTTCTTGAGGAATAAATAAGCTGTTAAATAATGCGTTTTCTAATAAAGTTTTAGCATTCCCTAAATCTCCTTTATATAAAGCAATTTCTATTTTAGCTTTGGCATCTTCAGGGACTTTTCCTGTCTTAAAGTCTGAGTAAACTTTATGCAAAAATGTAAGAATTATGTTAGGGGATAATGATGTTTTTGATTTCAAGGCACCTGCAATATATAAGGCTTTTGTTGGTAGCACTTGTGAGAAATCATCCACAGTCTCTAGTTCAGTTCTGATCTCTTCTTCAGATTCCATTTTTTATCTGTTTGGAGATGATCAGTTAAATTGTTTATTTGTCTTTTTTAAATTAGTTGAAACTTATATTAAAGGAAGAGCTCATATACTCTTGAATAATAAAATCGCGTAAATAAAAATATAAAAGATAGATTCAATTAAAAGCTATTATGCTTGCATTAATTGATAGTTGTCTAATAACACTTAGATTAGAAATAATTTAATTTAAAGGAGTTCTAATCTAGCAAGGATAATAAATGTCATTAGCTGATATAAGAGAAATTTTAGCAGATCCACATATTTTTTCAGCAGCTTTAGATGCTGCATTTCATCTTGCAGACGCAGATAGTGATGGTTTTATTAATTTTGAGGAAGCCTTGATAGGAATTCAATGGTTTGTTTCAGAATGTGGGCTTAATGAATTTAAGCTTGAAGATGTAAAAATAGTCTTTGAGGGTTTCGACTCAAATTTAATTGAGAATATTTCCTTTACTCCCCCCCATCCTTGATCGAACGACTCGCCATCGTTCGATCAAGGATGGGGTTAAAAAAAAAATTTTTCGGGAAAAAAAATTTATATATAAAATAAAAAAAAATATATAGATATTTTTTTTTATATTTACTTTTAAATAAGAGGGTTAAGAATATTTAATAATTATTTTTACAGCAAAAAATTTAATTTATTTCATAAAATACCAATTTTTAATATTTTGATTTATTAGTTACCCCTTTAAACTGTATAAATTTTAATTTGCTCCTTATTAAATTAATTTTTTTTAAAACAATTTTTAAAGAATCTGTATTTTATTAGATTATTGAGTTTTTAAGCATATGTTAATGACTAAATCACTTCGGATGGTTGATTCCGCAGCTTTCTGTCGTCTCAAAGCCTCTGAAAATAACTTCATTATGCACATCTTCCCAAGCTTTTGATAAATAATATAATATATTTTTATATATATAAAAATTTGCATGATATGAAAATCGTTCGATTAAGGATGGGGGTTAATTTCCCCAATTTTTAGGGATTTTTACAGTCAATCGTTCGATCAAGGATGGGGGGGGAGTTAGTAAATTCGAAGAATTTGCTAAACTTACAACAAACTTTTTAACAATTTTTTAAACTGAAAATTCTATTATACTTAAACTTTGATTTTTAAATGAAAAAATTAAAGCAAACTGTTATTAATTTATAGAATGCCTCATTAATAATTTCTTTACCCATTATTACTGCAAACTTCGACTGATTGGTAGATACTTTTGGCAATTTTCGCATCTATCTTCACTGAACTCTCCGCAAAGTCTGCATTGAATATAGAGGGCTTTTCCTTGAATAGCCCGACAACGGGCTGGCTTCATCCCGTTATCGGGCTATTCAAGGGAAAGCCCTATAGTTTTTGATTTTTTACTCATATCAATTGCTTTAATTTCATTCATCCTTTCTATTATTACCTCACTATGTGATTGAAAAACATGATTCATAATATCAAGTTGAGTCCCTTCAAATCCACAGCCTTCAAACTTGCATCTATAAAGACTTGAAACGCAGCCAAGCATGTGTTGGTCCATCTCCTTGATTTTCACTTCTATTCCACAATTGCAGCTATAAGGCGAGTCTTCAATTAATTTTTTTATTGCAGGATTTGATTCAAAATCACACCTATTACTACAATCTCTACACCAGAAATTTTGCGCGCATACATTACAATAAATCGAGTAGCAACACTTCGTAACATATGGTTTATACGCGAATTCTTGGCAATTATTGCAAAGAAATTTTGTAAATATGTGGCTTTTTAATCGCTTTAGTTCGTTGACATTGATTTCAGGATAAAAAGAAGAATCCCGAAATTGGTACTTTAAAATTTCCAGTTCTTTACTTTGAAGACAAACAGTCAGTGATATTTTATGCCTTGGGCCTCTTAAAACTTGTTCAATGCCTTCCTTGATTGCAGGAATCCAAGTTTCACTGTTTTCAATCCTTGGAAAGGTCAAGGTAATATTTTTTATATTCTCAGGGACATTTAGGGCCTCACACACCACTTGGGACTTTTTGTTATCTTCAGCTAAAGAGAGATTGTCTAAATTAATCAAATAAAAACGATCTTTGAAGATGCTATAATCAGCGCTTGATCTTTTCATTCAAAAATTTTGCTTATGTGATAATTGCATAGCTAGATTGGATGGATTTGTAAAGCTTGTAAAAACAATAAATAAATCAGATCTCTCTAATTGTGATAGTGGGTTTATCATTTTGAGTTTTGCATTTCCTCTAACTCCTTTGTAATGAGCCATTTCTATAATAATATTTTTGTTATTCAAGCATTTTTTACGTAGCTTCTTTAAAGTTTTAATTATATTTAGATTAAAATTTTATAAAATTTCTTGCTATTGAGTAAATATTGAGACGCAGCGAATATCATAAATATTACTTAGCTATGACTTCTCCTTCCAGCAAGTCTTCTTCGTCGTTAAACTCCTCTTCCTTCACCTCTCTTGGGTTTTCAAGCTCCTGAATTAATGGTTCTTCTTCAATCTCTTCCACCTTCGGGCCTGCTTCCAGACTAGCCCTTATTGCTTCTATCTCATAAGGAGATATCCTGCCTGTCATTGCTGCTTGCATTTTTTGTTCTATTCCTTGCTGTAATGTAGACATCCTTTGTTTGAAAATGAAATCAGTCTTGCTATATACTTGGATCGCTCTCTGGATAACAAGGGTCGCTGGCTGATCTAATTCATCAAGCCCATGCTTCTCAAAAACTTTAAATGTCGCCTTTTCGATTTTTGGACTTTGCCTTTGAAACTCCATTTGGAATTGTTGGCTTTGTTCATTTATCCCTTGCGATTTTATGTCTTCTATGATATCATACATGGCTAAAAGGGTTGCATCATTCATGTCCTTGAATACTTCTAATGTCTTTTCAGAAGTCATGATTTCAGGCAATTCTCCGCTGAAACTAGGAGCAACGCCACGAAATGAATTTTCAAGAGACTTTTTCATTTCATCCATAAGTTCTTTTACTTCATCATCACTAGCATAAGTAATTGTGCAGGCTGCTTGGAACGATTCTTTTGTTATTGAATTTTTCTGATAAACTTTCTCTTCCACTTTGCTGATCTGATCGCCGATCGGAGTTTGAGTCATAATGATCTCTTTTATGTATTCGTCTGGAATTCTGCCTCCCATCTGCTCTCTGATGCTCAAGACAAAGCTAGAGATCTGGATATAGACATTCATAAGTTCACTGCGGAGATCTTGGAGGATTCTGACTACATCATCTCTGGTCAGAGTAGCTGAATCTGATAGTCCATCGTCTGAATAGCGATATAAAAGATATCCAAGCCCTAAGCATGCAGCTAGACCTCCGACAATTATTTGAGTATCCATTACCGCAGCTATTAAATTTATTAGCACAATTTTTATTGATAATTGAAGTAATAATTATGATTTATAATTTGATAAACCAGCTTTGTTGCTGCACAAATGCAAGGAAGCCAAAACATCCTTATTCGACTTCAACGAAAAGTTTTCATAATACTGAATATATATCGTTATCACATCCTAATTCGCAAAGAATTATTCAAGACACTAATAGCTATAGAAGCTCTTCACATCAAAATTCAGTTAAATGAATTGGGTATACTTCTCTATCTAAAAGTATCTTTTATGTAGCTGACTTTATGTGCTCAAATTGCAGCAGAAATGCAGAGGGCTACTGTAATGGATGCAAATGTGCTAAATTCTGTAAAAAATGCTATGAAATAAAGCATGCGTTGATGCCATTGTTTCATGGCTTTAGAAAATTTAATTAATTGCAAGAATTAATTAAACAGTGGAGAATTTCTTTGGCTGTAAGAAATAATGATAAGTCTTGCTTGCATCTGCTGTAAAAATATATATGAGCTGCATTTTAATATTTTTTAAGTATGTAATATATCTACTTAAAAAAATTTTGGTATTAGGATTTATTCCATTATATCATAGTAAAAGGTATAAGACTAGCGATTAGAAAAGTTTAGTCACTATAAATAAATATATCAGTATTTCTTTTAGAAAACGCTGCCTCATGCGGTTTTATACTTATTTGGTAAAAAGCTTCTTTTTAAAAAAATATTTGAGTCTATTTAGTAGTTAATTTCGATTAACTTAAAGGGTAATTGTCGTCCCAAGAAGTTTCAAGAATTCTGCTAGCCAAGCAGGATGTCCAGGCCAAGCCACAGCAGTAACTAAGTTACCATCAACTAGTGCTTCAGTGACACCTTTCTTAACATAATGCCCACCTGCATTAGTAACTTCAGGCTCACATGCATAGTATGCAGTCACACTTCTTCCTGACAATACATTTGCGGCTGTTAGAATTTGGATGCCATGACAGATTACCGCAATAGGTTTATTGTTGGTAGCAAAGTGGCGAACAATTTCTATTACCCTAGGGTTCAGCCTTATATATTCAGGAGCACGCCCACCTGGAACTACTAGAGCGTCATAAGAAGATTCTTGAATATCTGCAAAAGTAGCATTGAGTTCGAAATTATGGCCTGGCTTTTCAGAATAAGTTTGAGCTCCTTCAAAGTCATGAACTGCAGTTCTCACAGATTGGCCTGCAAGCTTATCTGGGCATACAGCATCAACATGATGTCCAACCATTCTTAAAGCTTGATAAGGGACCATCACTTCATAATCTTCTACATAGTCTCCTGTCAGAATAAGAATTCTCTTGGCTGGCATTAAATATTATAATTAATTATAAATTTGATAAAAATCTAAATAAAAGCTTACCTCTTTTCTACTTTTGATTTAATTTTTATGCTTGGATATAGTAGATTTTGTTAATTTCTCTATCAAGATATCAAGTAGAAAAGTTGAAAAATCAGAATTCAGCATAGTTATGACTGATATTTTATATAAAATCTTATTTATCTTAAATTTAATCATTGCAAATAAACAATAATTGCTGATTCCAGTCTAGATTTTTTAAAAGGATTAAATTATCCTGGATAGGAAATATATATAGCTCTATTTTTAATATAAATTTTTTAAATTCGATGACATTTAAGGGATTAAAAAGTGTTATTCGTGCAATCTTTATTTTTCAATTCTGAAGCTCCTTTTTAAAAAAATATTTGAGTCTATTTAGTAGTTAATTTTGATTAAGTTAAGGGGTAATAGTCGTCCCAAGAAGTTTCAGGAATTCTGCTAACCAATCAGAATTTCCAGGTCAGGCCACAGCAGTAACTAAGTTACCATCAACTAATACTTCAGTTATTCCTTTCATTACATAGTGCCCTCCTGCGTTAGTAACTTCAGGCCCACATGCATAATATGCAGTCACATTTCTTCCTGACAATACATTTGCAGCTGTTAAAATTTGGATTCCATGGCAAGTTATCGCTATGGGTTTATTATTTGTAGCAAAGTGGCGAACAATTTCTATTACCCTAGGGTTCAGCCTTATATATTCAGGAGCACGTCCGCCCGGAATTACAAGCGCATCATATGAAGATTCTTGAATATCTGCAAAAGTAGCATTAAGCTCGAAATTATGGCCTCGTTTTTCTGAGTAAGTTTGAGCTCCTTCCATTTCATTAATTATAGTTCTCACAGATTGGCCTGCTAGCTTATCTGGACATACAGCATCGACATGATGTCCAACCATCTTCAAAACTTGATAAGGGACCATGACTTCTAAATCTTCTGCACAATCTCCTGTAAGAATAAGAACTCTTTTGGCTGGCATTAAATATTATCATCGTTTTAAAGATTTAATAAAAATCTTATTATTTTTTATGATTAAAAAATCTTTTAAATATGTTGCCATAATTCGAGAAATGGTCGATCATGACAATCTTGAAGAAAGCTCTGCTATCATTGTGACAGCTATTCTATAATAATAAAATGGCATCGTTGGATTAGTTCTCTCCAGACTATTCCATCCTCATCGAATTTATTATATGGTGCTTGGCTTTCTCAGTGAATCTTTATCCAGCTAGTTCAGCGCATAGCTGAGATTCCGACCCTCGAATTTTAGTGGGGAATTAAATTTATTTCGCCTTCTACTCTCAAGGAGGGAGAACTTTAGGCCAAAGACACGCAGGAGGTAGGTAATGACAAGAGGAGCTTCTCGTGAAGATTATCTGTTAAAAACGGATTAGTATTTCGATAGAATATTTCGAATGGCGTAATGAGACGCGGAAATGGCCCGTGATTTAATCAGTTTATCATTAAAATGTTGGCATAGGCATGACTTAAACACCTTATTGTAGAAAAAAAAGCACGTAAAATCTAAGTTAACAAGTAAGAGACAGCTATTGCATTATTAATAGCATCAATCGTTGTTTTCTATCAAATTCATATTTTCAGAGTAAATCTCAAGTATAAACAAGCCCAAATTCGCTGCATAGCAATTTTTATGAGCCCTGTTGTGATTGGCTGAGCATCATGGGCTTGCTTCTTTTCAGGTGAAGAAATAAGATTTATCCAAGTATTAATTCAATTGGTCAAAGGAGCTGCGTTGTTTCTCTTTATGCAATATGTGGAGACGCTACTTGGATGGACAGATTCAGACGGAGTAAATAGTTTTTCTAGTGATATCTTAGAAAAAGTTTTAATGAACCAACATCAAGCAAAATGTTGCTTTGGCTGTATAAAACCTTATCCTTTGGCAACTCAAAACCAAGTTAAAAAGTATATGCGAAAAATGAAAATCGGAGTTTTTCAATTCATTGCAGTAATGATAGTGACAGCTTTAATAGCAATAATTATCATTGGAAGCAACTATGATGATTATATAGAAGGAGACGTTTACGATACATCTTCGTGACTGTGGATGTCCCTTTGTAGGTCAATTAGCTCAATGTTTGCCCTTATTCTCTCGCTTAAAAGGGTTTTTTTTAAAAATAATTTTATAAAATTTTTCAAAACTACAAAAAATAAAATTCAGTGTGGTAATTAAATATCGCATCTTGGCAAGGACATGGCCTCCGGCTATGAAGCCTCAAGCACATATTTAATTATACCCATCAAAGTTTTGCCAGCCCAGATATGGGTAGCAACGCTAGGTAAAGAACTCCAGTAGCGTTCGAAGCCTAGCCCAAGTCGTTTTTCAGGATCGGATTTTTTTTCTTCTTTATAAAATTTTTCTACTAATAAATATATTTTTCCAAATTTAAAATTAAATACCCAAAAAATTGAATTTTACCAATATTTTGTTTTAATTTTAAGGGCGTAAAGTTATTTATTTATTTAATTTCGCTTTCTTTGTAGAAAAGGTACCAGAAATGAGAGATTTTAAGATCAAATTAAAATTCTTTATTGTGAAATTGACATTGATAATCACGGAATTTCAACCTCTTATTGTAGGACTTTTTGCAAGATTAAACTTAATCGCTAGCACTGGGAAATACTCTGTATCCGAAATTACTGATTATACAAATGCAATGCTGATGTGCTCAGAAATGATTGTAGTAAGCTTTCTGCAACTGCTGGTATACCCATTAACAGACTATGATGGTTTGCCTTCACATAAAAGAGCTTGGAAATCTAATAGTATTCATAATGGAGACATTGAAGTTTAAGTTTAATATGAAAATATAATAAATTAGCATCTATAGCGTTATAAATTTTCATAAAATAATACTTAAAATAATTATTTTGCATTTGTAATTGCTTCTTCAATAAATCCTGAATTTTGAGGGTAAACTCCTTCTCTTACATAATCATTTAATTTGTCTTTCAACAAATCATCTAATTCTAGCTGAGTAGCTTTTTGGTTTATTTCATATCTCAAATAAACTAACTCCGGACCATCATGCATTGTTCGCTTCAGCATAAATTCTGCAAACTTTGGCTGACTGTAAAGCTGCTGCACTATATATGGGAATCTTAAAAATCCTTTCACAGCTTTTAGTATACTAACTAAAATCTCTTGGAAAGGGGCACTTAGCTCTCTCAATATAGGATCAGTCCATCAAATGCTTGAAAGAATTTTTCTGATTGATTCTTCGTCTGAATGTGACGCGATTTCTGCGAAAACAAGGTAAAATCCAGTTTTGGAATTTATATTGGCTGAGGTTTGAAGTCTCGCGAAGGCTGCAATTATTTCTGCTCGATCAGCAATTAAAGATGCACCTATAGGCCTTGAAGCAATGATAGAAATCCCTGTAAGTCCATTATTGACCATCGTATCATCAGTAGATCGCAATGCCATTTCAACTATATTTCAGAATTTTCCTTGGAAAAGCTCAGCATTTCCAGTATACAAGCTTACAATGAGGAGCCCACCTGAGAGCATTTTAGTCATGCAAATTTAATTTTGATGTGCCAAAAAATCCTCTTTAGTGAGATATTCATCGTAAACTATTATATAAGAATATATTTTGCATGCTAATAAAAGCAGCTTTGCTCTCGTATAAATATCATTATAATCATCTTCCACACTTTCACGGATCATATTCCGAACTTTTTCTTTCAATAAAACTTTGCATCCCTGCTCAGAGTTTCCTAATTCAGCTACAACTTCAATAGAAGCTAGTCTTGACAATAAATCCTCGCTCGTGAACATATCAATTGCTGCTTCATAAACCCCAATATTAGCAAGAGCAGTAAAAACTTCTGGGTCTTTATTTCCAGCTTCAATTGCAAGTTCAATGTATCTTGCTCCCCATCTGCGTATTAGCAAAATTTTCTCTTGCCCATAAAAGGGTGTATATACATATAAATTTCATATTAAAAGTTCAAAATCATTTGCGTGTTTGAAAATAAAGAATGTAATTTAATTTAGGATTCGTACCAAAGTGCTAACTATTTAAAATTTAAATAAATTAGCTCTTATTCATTATAGTAGACGTTAATTATATATAAAAATAATAAAAATAAATTTGTTTTTTTGATAAATAAGAGGATTTTTCAAATAGTTGTGCTCATTAACTAATGAATGGAGGGAATTAGCTGAATTGTAGAGTCCCCACTTTCCATCAATTTTTTTATTGATTGTAAGACTTCATCATTTAAAAATGACCTATTAAGTTTTCTCACAATGAAATTTTTAGCAGAAATTGCACAACCTAAGTCTTCTTGGGATATAAAATTAAGCATTGTTAGAATAAATTGATGAGAAAATAGTTCTTGAACATCTTGTGTAGATAAGCAATTAATTAAGGTAATACGAAGATGAGGAGATTGAAGAAGGGAAAAGATTTCTTCAATGCCGAAATCATTGATGATATCAAGTTTGTTGAATTTGCTTAACTCTTCATGCATTTGAGAATAATTTTTTGCTGGCTAATTAAGTAATAGATTATTAATTTTAAATTGCAATTTTTAATGGAAATATTTAATTATAGTTTATGTTTAAGAATGCAAGTGTCTAAAACTTAATATAGTTAGTGACACTGACTATATTATTTTTTTGAAATCTCATTAACAACAATCAACCGTTTATCCAAATAATTTATTCAAAAAAAATTTATGTAAAAAATGCTTGCTCTTTACCTTGCCCAGAAACGGCAATTCATTTAAAATTTAGGATTTTGATGGATTTGCTAACTCATGGAGAGGGGAGTAAGTTATCAAGCAGTTCAGAGCCTTTAAGCTTGCTTGATTTGCAAAATCGAGCTATATCGGGGAATGAAAGGCGGGATAATAAAGTATCTGCAAGAGCTGGGCTTGGCCTCAATAAAAATGCCTCAATAGATTCCATATTCAACCTTATTTATATCATAATATACTTAATTTACAAAAGATTAAGAAAGAATTGGTGATTTAATACAAATTAGGATTTATCAAGCCTTTCGACTGCTAGAAAAAATAATCTAAAATAGATAATATACTGAAGCCTGTCTGCAATAGTTTGAGAAATCAATGAAAAGAAGAAATTTTAAATTAATTAGAAACAAATACCTTTTATCTTGCGATAGCAGGAATATTTATCTAAAACTTCAATAATTATTCTTCAGAATATTTCTGTTTTTATCATTTATTTAGATCTCCCTTTAAATCCCTGTTTTAAAAGTTTTAAAAAATCCCCACATGATTCTTATCACAAATGCATAAATATTTATTATCTCCAATAATTGGAAGAGCCAGAATGTTCGCTCTGTATATGGTGAATAAAATATGTCTGGTTGTAAGCTGTTTTTAATCCTCAGCATAATCGCTTGCCTCTCACAAGCTAAAGTGACAGTCACCTCCATTGAAACTCTCGATTTTGTCGAAGCTGATGGAGAAAGTAATGATCTTTGCGCAGCATGCTTCCAATTTGCAGGAGCAGATATCAACGTCCTTCTCAACTACGTCCTAGACCACTACATCATTGGTAGCTGTGAAGAACTTTGTGGAATCCTCCACACTGAACTCGAAAAAGTCTTCTGCAATGTCCTTTGCGACTATGTAGGAATTAGAGCCTTCATTGAAGCTTTGGTCTCTGCAGACTTAGACCCAATTTATTACTGCCAGTTATTGGGGCAATGCCCAGCAGTTGCAGGAGGTGCCGGAAATATTACTAGTATTTCAATTCTTCCTACCAATGGTCCAGTTGGAACTACATTTACAGTTACCATGAACTTCAATATTACTCAGAGAACTGGAACTGGACAAATTGGCATGAACATCACTGCTCCTGGCGATTACGGACAAAACTGGAATGATTTCTTGAATGAAGGATTTATGCCTGGACCATATAGCGTTCAAATTTCAATTGATACAAGAGGAGACTTCGGAGAATCGAACTACTGGCCGACTGGAAATTATTTAGTCCAGCTTTATCTTTGCTCAGGAATGTGCGGATCTAACCACCCTCGTGCCTTTTTGATAGACAGTGGTAACAGCACCTTAACTTTAACATCGAATTAAGTTGGTAAAATGGGTTAAAAGAGCATTTAAATAATAAAAAATGAATTATAGAGCTTCTCATGATTCTAATTAAAGCTCTTTATTCTCAGTGACCCATTGAAGCTCATCCGCTGTTATTTTTTGCATTTCTTTTGTCATTTCTAGCTTCGCTATAATTTCAGACTCCAGCATTTCCATTTCTAGTATTTTCATTTCTACTTCTTTCTTCTTAGCAGCTTCTTTTTCAACCCTCTTCAGATAATCATCTTTTCCAACTTGGACTTTTACTGTCCCCCAAGTTTCTAATGTTTCTTGAATTTTTTTCTCATTTAGTTTTACACTTTGAGATCTTTCTTTATTTATAGCGATAATTTCTAGTTTTATTTCATTTTTTCGTTTTAGGCTCAAGTCTCTTATTTCTCTACCTTTTTTGTAAGCTTCTTTTCTAGCATCTAAAATTGCTTTTTCATTTTGTAATTTATTTTTTTCTCTCTCATTCCTAAACGATCTAATCCATTCTTTGTTTCTCATCATTTCTTGCTGCTTCCAGTTTTCTCACTGCATTTTAGTTTTTGAGAGTTGATCGTTATATCACAATTAAAATATGGCGTCTCCACCTAGCATGGCCTCCGGCCATACAGCTTCCGGCCATACAGCTTCCGAGCACATATTTTAATTATATCCGGCAAGGTTTTGCCATTCTGGAAATGAGCAACAATGCCAGGTAAGCAAATCTGCAGGGCAGAGCCTGGTTCATGTTCAACCACTGGAATGGATTTTAATTCGAAGGGAGGGAGGGTTCAAGTTTGGAAAGGGCAAGCCCAGCAAGGTCTACAGGGAGCACCTAGACCAATCGGGTAACTGCCTAGCGTGAAACTGGGAGTTACGCCCCAGGATTTGGATTTTTCCTTTTTGTCGAAAGGTCACCAGAAATTCCATTTTTTTGGGATTTTTGAGTGGTCAACTTCGTACAACTCAAGCAGCAAGCCGCAAAAGTCCATAGCCCACCCACTCAACACTCAAGCTGCAAGGAGAGGAATAGGATAAAGCTGAAGACGGCGCAAAGCAGGTGAACCCTAAATATTGGGTCCTTGGTGACTGCGTAATCAAAATGGCAGACGCCTTCTAATTCTTTAAGTAAGTAAGTAAGATCGTTATATCGCCGAGATGCAATTATTTGTTTTTGTTTAGATTTTGCTGTTTTAATTGCTCTCATGGCTTTTTGTTCCTCCTGCTGAAGTAGTTTTATTCTGCAATTAATCTTAATAGCATTTTTCTCTAAGCCTTTTCGTTGCTTTTTGACCTCTTCAAGTGAATGATAAGTGTTGTTAAGATTAATTGACATTTTGTCTATAACTAATAAATCAAATTTTATTTAGATTTCGGCTTAATAAATTTCTTGTTTGGTAATTTTATGCATTTTAAACTAATATAGCAATCAAGGATTATTTTTAGATCAATACTTGAAAAAGAATAAAGAAAATGGCTTTTTAGCAATCTCATTCAATTGAAGTTTTGTTCTTTTTTGCATCTAAAGTTTATTTTAAACATAATTAAATTTTCAAATGTGGAGTTGAAGAGTGAGGGTATAATGTTTTAATATCTTTAAGTTTAAGTTTAATAGAATTACTCTTGTATACTGTCTCCTTGCTTGAGGCCCAACTTGATTAACAGCTCTGAAAAACGATAGGTGGACCGGCCTAACTGTTGAACCGTTAATGTTATCAAGTCAGTTAAGACTTCTCTGATCAGTGCTATAATCAGCACTGACCTATCACTTCATTTCAAGACTCTCAAGAGGCAAGATCTCTTTCACTAAGCTTGAAAATAGGTCCCTTACCTGCGGAGCAGGGGTTAGGACCTATCTCTTTAATATTGTGTTTAATATCTTACAGGATTCAGATAATTATTTAGTTCTATTTAAGAGTAAAGCTAAAAATAAATAGTATAGAACTAATAAAAATATTATGGATTACCAAATATCATCAAGTACTCAAAGCAGCACTTCGCTCCAAACAAGATACCAATATACAAAAGAGATGAATAATATAATCAAGAAGACTAACTCAATTATTGCAAGACTTACAAAAGCTTCGCCTAAAACTTCAGAAACTCCAACAAATTTCACTTTCAGTTTGCCATGCTCTCTTGTTTCAAAGGAAAAAATACAAAGTCTCCAAATATTTATCGTTCAAATAGCTATATTTGAAACTCTTATCAAAATAAGAATATATTTCACCGTCAGAAATGAGCCCTTCAAATTCGCAGATCCAAACCTCAAAGAAAAAGCATTGATCATGATTTCCATTGTCAATGCAAATCTTGATATTGGATATTTCAACATCGTTGGCAAAAATCAATTCCTCCAGCTCGAGCTCTCCCTAAGATATTTCCAACTTGATTGTCCAGATATCGAGAATGTTATAATGGCTTATATCAAGAAAGCAACTCTTATATACAATGAACATGTCCATCAGTTTTATTTCTTAATTGAAAACACAAACAATGGACTTGACCCAAGCATTAAATCAAAAATTTATTCAGATGGGCAAGGAAAATATGATAATAAAAATATAGAGTCGTCTTCAAGCGATTCTGAAGAAGAAAATTCGACATATGAGCAAGATTCTTCAGTTAATTCAAATTCTATGCCATCAATTCAGGAAGCTGGAACTTCAAAATCATTAGTCCAAAATTTAATAAATAAAGATCAATTTTTAAAGCTCTACTTTGAAAATGAAAAACCAAATCCAACTGGCCCTGAATTTATTTATATGCAGCTATATAATTTTTTAGAAATAAGGGAAACACCAGAAGAATTGCTGGAAGCCATTATCTCTACAATTATCGAAATGTTTGAGCATTTATTTGAGTTTTTATCATTTCCAGCGCAAAATATTGTAATTTATGGATCAGAGAAGGACGGTTACAATTTTTGTTTTATCCCTGACAATATTAATAAAGTGGCTAAATCTCCCTTCGGTGAGTGGGCAAAAAGTCTTGCTCACCATAGGAAGAGGTTTTTTGTTTTAAAATTTAAAATCAATTTAATTTGTGAAATTTATGTTTTAAAATGCAAGGTATTTAAAATTTAAAAGAATTAGCTAGAGATTTTATTATAATAATTATCACTTATGTGTCAAGTGATTTTTCATAAAAAGAATTTATAATAAAATAATTTCTGTTTGCTCATGTACTTTGGATAATAGAGTTTTTCCAATGGCTTTGTTTGCTCATAGCGAGGAGTAGAATTCGAGATAGAGATGAAAATGACTTCATGGCCTTAAAAGATTATGAAAGGAAGTTAAGATGATGGTATTCTCTTTTAATGTCAAAAATATTAGACATTTTCTATAATCCCAGCTATGAAATTTTAGACTGTGACTTAATTCCATCTCTCGATTTTAAATACCCAAAATTAATTGACGAAGAAAGGCATATTGGACAAGGAGGATTTGGAGATGTGTACCAAAATGAGCTTCATGGAATGAATGTTGCTATAAAATTCGCAAGAGAAGTTAAAGAAGGAAATGGAAAAGCATTATCCAGACTTCAGAAAGAATTAGTAATAATGAAATGCCTTTGCCATGAAAATATAATTAAGTGTTATGGGTGTGTTAAAGTGGAGGATAAATTAGGCTTGGTGCTAGAGTTCTGCTCCAATGAAACATTAAGCTCATTTATCAAAAATCAGCCTAGAGCAGATCTTAACTCGACTCTCTCCATGAATGAGCAAAACTATGGATAATTCTCTATTTTTTGCGGAAAAATCCTCATGTTGAAAACAAAAATTGATATATAAATTATAATTACTATAATGAAATTTTAAACAATTGGGGAGTAAGATAAGACTCGAAAGACTACATGGAGTCATAAAAGGTTTAGAGTTTATGCATTATAAAAACATTTGCCATTTTGATATAAAGCCGCAAAATATATTTTTTGATGAAAATAACACTCCGAAAATAGCTGATTTTGGAATGAGTGAGTTTTTAGGTGAAGGAATGAAAATAAGCCCAGGATTTACATTGCATTATTGTTCCCCAGAGCATATTAAAGGAAACAATCCTACACAGAAAGCAGATATATGATCCTATGGAATGACGACTTATGCTGTAATTATAAGAAGATCACCATTTGATTATTTGAAAAAAAATAATCAGTTAGAACCTAAATTCCCTCATCCCGTTAGCAAGCAAGTGTTTTGCGCCCTCAGGGATTAATATTTTTTTAAAATTATAAATTATTTTTAAGATTTATAAAGTTCTGAATGAGCAAGCTTGAAAGTAAAAGCTTAATAAAATTTATTAGTTTATGTATTATAATTTAAGCTGTTTAAAATTACATAAATTTAGTTAGACATTGTAATATATATTATTACTTATAATATCAAAATATTTATATTAAATGAATTTATTTGATACTCAGATATTATTTTTTCAAAGGGTAGGCATTTCCATTTGTTCTGCTCGCTCGCGGAGGTGAAATGAGGAATTTTGTGAAAAACTAAAAGCGATGGAAAGGCCAGAAATTCCTGAAATGATTCATAATAAATTGCCACAGATAGTAAATTTAATGGAATGCACTTGGTATACAGATCCAGAAAGCAGACCTTCTGCAAAAGAAATAAGATTGACATTGGAAAAATGGATAGCATCTTTTAATATAGGCTACTACCGAAAATTTCCCCGGCAAGGGTGTAAGGATAGAGAGCTTATCTCTCCAGTTGGTCGGCCAACTCAGGTTGGTTTGCCTGACTGAAGAGTTGAAATTGAACCACAAGAGGTTCATTTGCCAACTCTTCAGCTGGCTTGACCAATCTAAATTGGTCAGACCAACTGGAGATTAGAGCTCTCCATACTTACGCCCTCGTCAGGCAATTTTAGTTAATTACCTATAATCGAAGAAACTAACTTTGCTAATAAATTATTGATAGAAGTCTCTCTTCTTGATCTCTAAATTGGCCGTTTTCTAGTAGTATAACGACATTAAGTGGAAGAAGCTAATATTTTTTATAAACATGAAAATTTAAATAATTTAATTTATTGATAAAATCTAAAATTTATTAATTTGGTTATGCTCATTACTTATATAATTCAGATGCATGCGCTACTATATAAGTATCTTTATTTTTATTTATATGATAATCAATATTTATTCCTATTCTAATGTAGCACAAAATAATAAAACAATAAATGGCTTGCACAAATAACCTCGCTTTGGGATATTTTTACATTTTTACTAGCATTAGTTGATGCAGCTTTTTTATGTGGTGAATTCTGAATACCTGAAAAATAAATTGGCAATTTACGAAGCCTTTACAAAAAGTAATAGTTTTAGTTTTGTGCTTCAAAACACTGAATGATATATTTTCATCTCCTAAGTATTTTACCTGCACAGAATCATCAACGTGAGATTATTGGGAATTAGCCTGAAGTTCAACATATACTTTATACAATACATTTATTTTTACATGCTTAATTTTGATCAGCAAAGGTTTTGGTATCACTCGTGATACACTTGAAAGAAGTGAAGTTAGTATCATTGCAATGACTATGGGAGCTGTATATTTAGGATTTAGCGCTTTCATGATAAATCCAGACAGGTTAGTTGTTTTACTTGACCTCATTCTTTCTATATTGCTTTACCTTACCCAAAAATATTGCTTACTCCTGATAAGCAAGCAAAATATTGCTATAAAGGGTTAATTTTTTTTTTTGAAAAATCAAATTTGTAGTATTAAAAATGAAAATCTAATATTATCTAATGCACATTAAGAAATATGTGCAAGTAATTATATAACTTATAATGTGTATGCTTTAGGATGCAATTTATCAACAATTTTAAAAAAATTTAATAATAATATCATTACTATATTTTTATATGCCAATAATTTATTTTGAAAAAAATATTTTATAATATTTTTAATTGTCAACTGAAGGGGGCTAATATTCCCTAAGGCTTTTCTAACAATTTTTCTTTCTAACCAATTGCGGAAGTTAGGAAATATCAATGCTTTACAGCATCGCTTAACTTCTTTGAGAAACTCTAACATCACTCAGATGATTCAGCCCACTTCAGATAAAATTTCAATGCTAAAATTCTTTTTAAAGATTTGCTATTTTTATTATATTCAACAAATTTTTACAGTGACTTTCTTGATAATAATTGCAAACTTCTTCGACCCTCCGTTTATCTATTGAGATATTATTGTGATGTCGTGCGAAATTTGCGAAATAATCAGCCTATTTTTGATAATGTATTTATTTAGATCCAAGGACAGAGGAATTTACTTCAATATTTCAGTTGTTGGAAGCTCTGCTCAGGCACAGCCTTTGCCTCCATATTTGCAAGCAAAGATACCAGAAGGGTCTGAAATGGTTGAAAGTAATAATGAAGTTTTTATTGTTCTATGCCCACAGGAGTTTGATAGTCGGCGCCCCTACGAAATGTTAATGGTAGCCAAAATTTCAAAGCCTGTTGTAGAGCGATATGGTGCTGAAATATAACTGCTAAGATGGTATTAATTCTTATTTGAATTAAACAAAATATATTTTTTACTCAGGTTTATGTCTTTTTTATGGTCGCCATCTGTCTATATTGTCTATATTGATTCAAAGATTTGGGCTTATGTAAAAGCATTTTTTGAAGTTAGAAGGATTATTTCACTTATAAAATATAAATCTTTTTCTTTTAAGCAATTATAAATTAACTATAATTTAAGTGCATTTTTAATATAATTAATATATATATATTAAGATTGCGATTTTAATTGGCTTCAGCTAATGTTTAATGATTTTCAAATAAATGATGAAGAATAAAATTGCTGAAATACTTACCACGTAAATTCGCCGTTTTGTGTCTTTTGTGGAATCTTTTAGATCTAAGGATTTATCTTGGAACTTATATTTAATTAATTCTCAGTTAGATTCTTGATAAGGCTTTATTTGTATTGTAGGAGGATAATAAAATTCATCCTCTTGAATATTCGCGAAATGCCTATAAATAATGCTGTATTCAGGAATTTCTTTCTTCTGATTGCTCGATAGCAATATGCTACTAATTCTCTGAACAAAGCTTAGTAAATTTGGAAAACTGTTTAATGATTCAGTTACGTGAGGATGATCATGCAAATATTCAAACTCTTCTAATAAATATGCATAAATAGAAATATCTGCACTTCTTGGGAATCTGGCTCTATTTCTCTCTTCAAAGAAAAACGGGGCAGTCCCCAACCACCACCATACACTTTTTAAACTGCGAATTTCATTGAAGAAATTTTGGCAAATTTTTAATAATGTTTGATCAAAACTTAACTTTTTTTATTCATATCTCACTATTAAAACATTTCTACACAATTATTTGGCATGAAACCAGAAAAACGTTTGATTTCCGAGTTTTTCACTTAAAAGCTGATGAGCTTGATGCACTTGATTAAATGAATTTTCTTCAGATGAAAATGCATACTGATACTTTAAACTCTCCTTTTCATTTGGTTTTTTCACAGCAAGTCCTAAATTTTCTAATAGCTTTATCAAAATACTTCAAAAATTATTGCTACCAGTTTCATTTTGAATTTTTCTATTTTGTTCATTTCACATCGCATACCTTGTTGCTGGATTAATTCGACTAATACATAGCTCTTCCATCAATGAGGATTCTTTTTTTTCTTCTTCAGTTAAATTGAAATTGATATCATAAGCCGATTTAAGAAACTCCAAGACATGCTCCTTTCCAAAAATACTCTTTTCATATCTCAAAACTGGGAGATTTTCTATCTTATTCCAATTATGACCGCTTTCGCATTCTTTGTAGCCTCTGATTTGATATAAAGTAACCCAGCATCTTACAATTTGAATAACAGGATCATAATTATCGCTTTTCTTATAAATGACTAAGTCTTGCTCCATTTAAGCTATTAATTTCATTTATGTAATAATTTAAAAAACATCATCCCATCCTGTCGGAGGAGGTTTACCTCTACCTCTTGGAAATTCTTTATAATAAAATGGCTTCTTCAGAATAAGTTCTCTCATAGAGAATTCGCTTTTTCTACAGGAGCATTAACAATTCTGAGGCTTATCAGAGTACTTGCAAACAATGATTTTTACAGATTGGTACACCTTATTAAAAAGGCCGCTGATGTAACCAATTAAGCATTAAATGAAGATTTGATATTACTCGCTTCTGAAGGATATCAACCCTTTAATCATTTAAATTAATTTAATTTGTTTTTCTTCTTGGAATTTCGAATACATCATGGGCTTCTTCTTTCTACATAAAAATTACCGAAATCACACCTGTTAGTGATACTTTAGATTTCATAGCTTGATTTATTTCTGCTGACTGATTAGGCAAGCGCGGAATATAAGGTGGCTTTATTTGTTTACCAAGCAAGTTATCTCAGTCGATATCCTCAAACCATTTCATAGCTTTTATTGTTTCAATTGTCCCTCTCATAACTGGGTTTTTTTCAAGGAGCTTTTCGATCACTTCTCTGCATTTTGGGTTCATTCTTGTATGGTGGGGATATCCTAATTTAGCTTTCAGTACTTGTTCATATACCGCATAAGGCTCTTCTTCTTCGTCTCCAAATGGTAATGACCCGACTACAAATTCATAAATAATGACCCCTAAGCACCAATAATCAGCTGAAAGCCCATATCCTTTCCCTAGTATCACTTCTGGAGCCATATAATGAGGAGTCCCTACTACAGTGTATGTCCTGCCTTCTACAACTTTTGCAGTCCCAAAATCAATGAGTTTTGGATACCCATCTTCATCGATCATAATATTTTCAGGCTTAAGATCACGATAAATAATTCCTCTCTCGTGCATATGCTCTAAAATCATCAAAAGGCAAGAAGAAAAAAATTTTGTGTCTGAATCACTCAATAAGTTCATTTCTCTTAGGACGTCAAATAAGTCTTTTCCTCTTACAAGCTCGGTTAAAAAATAAACGCGCTCTGTATCTTTGAAAGTTTTGACAAGCTTCATAATGAAAGGATGGTCTATTTGTAGCAAGATGTGTCTTTCTAATAATAAGTTTGTATATAAGTCATAGCTTCTGATTTTAGCTCTATTTACAGTTTTAAGGGCATATAAAGTCCCTTTGTTTTTATTGATAGCCATAAAGACGTTGCCGAACATCCCTTTGCCAAGCATTTTCACAATGCATAAATCACTTAAGGTGATGGAATCATCTTGTAATTCCATTCTTTTTAACAGTTGATATCTTATTCCTTCATCTATGAGATTCAAGAAATCTTCTCTATTCAGTACCCATACTTTTGCCCTCCCGCTTGCAGCAACTGTAGCTGTTCGTTTTTCATTATTGATGATGGACCTTTCTCCAAAGTAGCCATGCTTTGAGATGGTCCTAAGAACTGTGTTGTCTTTAATAATGTCGACTTGTCCTGATTTTACTATATAAAATGCATCTCCTGGGGCAGCTTCATGAAATATAACTTGTTTGTCTTCATATGTTTGAACATAAATCATATTAACCAAGGACTCGAGCTTATTCATAGGAAGAGCTCTTACTCTCTTATTGGATAGCTAAAATATTTTAAAAATTTATATGTTTTCTGATTTTAAAAAGCCCAAATTATAAGTTTTTGAAAGAGAAAATCTAATAAAATTTATAAAATTTATGTTATAAAAGATAAAAGCTGTGCCAAATTAAAATAATTAGCTGGAGATCTCATTCTTACAATCATTAATTATATATTGAAAAATAATTTGTAAAAAATTTGATATTAATCAAAGCGGTTTATTTTTCCAAAAATAGAAATTTTTCTAATGATTTTGCTCGTAATCATGGGGAAAGCTAGTAGCTGTACGTTTCTCATGATGTTTAATACTTCATTATGAGACTTTATATTATTGAGTTTTCCTCCTATACAATTTTCAAACTCAGTCCTTCCGATTTCTTCAATATCAACTGAGCCTTCTGCTATATAGTTTTCTTCATATTTGCTCTGGATTGGGTTTGTTAGCTCTTCATCTCCTATGCAATGCAATGATAAGATCCTTCTCCCAGTTTCTTCAGTGATTACTGCTCCTTTGACAACTAGTCATAGTTTATGCCCTTTTGGCATTCCTTTATTAATGATGATTTCTCCATTGTGATAGCTGACAACTTTCATTTTTTGAATCACAGCTTCTTCTTGGTTTTTGGTCAATTCTTTCAAATAAGGACTTGACTCAATAGCAATTCGTTGGGAGTTTTTATATATTATAAGTTGAAGCTGGTCACCAAGGACATTAATTAAATCTTCTCTACATAAAGAAAGGACGCCAACTTTTGTATTTGAAACAATTGTTGCAGTTCTCACTCCCCCCCCTTAAATTGGAACAAAATATAGGTAAAATTTCCACTTTTTTGGTAAATTAACCCCCCTTTAAATTAGAACAAAATTTAATTTTATAATAAAAAATTTTATATATATAAAATCATAATTTTTATGTAAAAAGTTTTGATATAATTTAAATGTTTCTTCTTAATTAAAATTAAAATTTAGTTATATCCTGCTCTTGTTTAAAGAATAGAGTATAAAGAGCATCTTATTTAAATAAATTTATTATCCTTAATTGTAAATTTTTAAAAAAATTTTATTTTTTTTGATAAAAATGATATTTTTTATTTAAATAGCTTTGATATAAATTCAATAGGAATTCTTTACAAAAATTCAAAATTTACTTATCTCTTGCTTTATTTTAAAGAATAGAGTATAAATAACATCTTATTTAAAACAAAATTAGCACTTTGATTAATAAATTTTTCTAAATTTTTTTTTTTTAATTTTTTTTATCAATAAAAATAATAAATTTTTGTGTAAATAGTTTTGATACCAATTAATAGTGGCGTATTAATTAATAATAAAATTTTAGTTATATCTTGCTTTTTTTTAAAGGATAAAGAGTAAATAGCATTTTATTAAACAAATTTATTAATCTAATTCGATAAATTTTTGAAATTTTTTTTTTTTTAAATTTTTATATAAATTTTTTTTTTTATAAAAAATTTTATAATGATTTTTTTTTTTAAAAAAATTTTCTTAACCCCCCTTTAAATTGGAACAAAATTTTTAGTTCCATTTTAAAGGGGGGGGAGTCAGTGAATTATAAAGCAAAGCCTGCTCGCCAAAAAAGTCGCCTTTCGCCAATTGTCTCACAATTTTTCCTTGAACATAGCAGCTTACTGTGCCTTCTTTAATTATATAAAACAGATCTCCTGGCTCTCCTTCAGTCACAATTTTCTGGCCTGGGTTATAAGTTTGGCTCTTCAGAACAGCTAAAAGTGCTTCTTTCTGGGCATTCGTCAAAATTTGCAGCAATGGGACAGAATCAATGAATTTTCTGTTTTCTTCGAATCTTTGTGAATTATAGGACGCCACAGCGTTTCTAAACTCATATCGGTCAATTCCCCATAGCATAGTTCTTTCCATTGTGTATACAGAATTTGTACGTTTCGAGTCATGCATTAATGCAAGTTCGCCAAAACTCATCCCTTTCGTGATCACTCCTTTAGGCTCGTTTTTCACTCTAATTTCCAGCTTTCCTTTGGTTACTACAAAAAAATGAGTCCCCATCTGATCCTGGCCGTATACTAGCTGATTGGGCTCCAAAACAAATAATTTCATCATCCCTAAGATTGTATCTATAACTTCATCAGGCAGATTATTGAATATGAAGTGGTGGCTTAAAGCCTCTCGTATTTCAAGCGTTTCCTCAAGTGTTTTGTCACGGGTGCTTATTGCTGCGGTGGTGGCTTCTGTGATCATGCTTGCTTTCCTTTGAAGATTTCCTACATGTGCTCCTTTTTTATGAGCTTTTCTATTTGCAGAGCCTGGGCGTGAATTGGCTTTAAGCTCTTCAGTGTTAATTCTGTTCGAAACTGTGGCTGAGGCAAGGTTAATGTCTGTTATTCGAACTGAGCTTTGTTTCCGGGCGTGATTTATGTCACTCGTTTTCGATTTGTTGTTGCTGAAACAACCTCCCATTATCGCGATTTATAATAGCGCTAAGTTTTTATTATAATGTTTTAAGCTTAAAATACATGAAAGAATTTGAATCAGGAAAAGGAGACTTAATTGTGTTTATGATCTTTATTATATGGAAAATCATCTGGTTTCATTTTTAAATATAGCATGAACTTTTATAGTGAAATTCGCATAATATACATTAAAATTGATTAAAGAGACTTGAAAAGCTTTTATTACAACAAAGAGCTTTAAAAATCTAAGGATAACACTATAAAATAAAAATTTAATAGGCTGGCTGTTACTGATAATTTCAGAACCTTCTTAGACTTAATTATTATAAGCATCTTGCCTTACTTTTTCTCATAAAGGTCTTAATTGATTTCGTAGCCTTTTCAATATCAATTGAAAGCCATTTCAGCATTTCTGGGTTCTTTAATATCATTTTCTTATAGCTATTAGCATCAATATAGATCCCATGGCTGTCTTCTTCGCATTCCAAATCGCTAAAAGTTCGGTCAACTATAGCTTCAATCATACCATTGTCCAAATTTATTGAATGATTGTCGGTTATCGCCGAAGTCATCATTTTCTTAACGTCTTTAAGGTAAATTTTATTTCTCATTCCGCTGAACATTCTGTAAGACACCTCAATTTGCTCTTTTAGTCTGGTTGCCGGGATACGAATATATAAATCTTCTTTTGGGATCATGAAAGTGCTGATTCCAATTAAAAATTCTCTGAAGTTTATGGTTCCGTCATTGTTGGCATCAAATAGATGAAAAACCCCTTCACATAGGACTGATTCAGGAGGGTTATGGAGATTTAAGCAAAACTCTGAAAAATCAATCACGCCATCATCAGTTTCTAAAGAAGAAATTTTGTAAAAATGTGTGTACAATTTTTCAATTTGCTCGTGGGTGAAGAGTGTTTGCTTACCCCCCCTCCGTAAGCGAACAAAACCATTAGAAAAATCCGTATTTTTTGCCCAAAAACCCACCCTCCGTGTGAGCAAACAAAATTTTTTTATGAGAAAAAATTGATATATAAATGATAATTATTATAACGAAATCTCTAGCTAATTCTGATTAATTTTAAACAAGTTGCATTTTAAAATATAAATTTCGCAAATTAAATTATTTTTTGCATCTCAATTTTTACAAATTGGATTTTTTTAAATTTCGAAAAATCTAAATTTTTTAAATAAAAAATAATTAACCCATGAGCGAACAAAATTTTTTTGTTAGGGGGAGTTAGAAAATTCTTCAATTTCTGCACTTTTTAATTTTGGTATCTCTTGAAGCTTACTAGTTTTATTGCCCATTATTATTTGAATAACATTAAGCAACATATTTTAAAATTTTTGATTAGGAAAGGAGCCGTTTTGCTATCCCAATCCGGCTTTATCTTAAATATGATATGCGAGGATAATAAATATTTAAACAGCTGACTCATAATTATTTTTGCATGCAAAGTAAATTTTAGATTGCAGTTCATAATAATGCAATATTTTGCAGCTTAAATGATCAATATCATATAACTCTAAGATGTCTATCATTGATAAGATGGAAGACGAATTTACAGAATTTAAGTCTAGCACGACTGTATTTGACGTCGATTTATTGGAATTTCGTGAAAATTCTCCAGGTATTAAGCCACAAAAAAGATTCCCATTTTCAGAACAGCTTGATGCGCCAGCCCCAGTTCCAGCTCAATCTAATGACGAAAACTTCCCTCAGCCACCTTCCATAAAGAAAAAACAATTCATTTTTCCAAGCGATTTCAATTTAGATATCGCTCCAATCTCTGGGGAAAGTATTTTAGACCTACATTTACCAATTCAGCCAGTAGAAGTCGAAAAACTAAATCCCTGGACTTTGCTTGATGACTCAGAAGGATTAAAAAAGCTATCTGTTAGTTTATTATCACAAGGAAGGCTAGATGAAGCATTAAAATGCAGAAAACACTCAGAAACTCTCAAAGAAATTGAGCGCATAAAAGAGATAAAATCCATGGCCGCCGAAAGGGAAGATTATGACACAGCGATACAGTACCGAAATATTTTAATTCAGCTAGAAAAAGAATTATCATCCCCAGATGAAATTGAAAATTGAATAAAAGACAAAAAAGAGCTAACTTTAAAAGAACTGGAAGAAAAAGTAACAGTATCATATGGAAGCGAAGCAGGAAGAGAGTTCGCAGAGAAATTTGTGTACCCAGAAGTGAAAACTTCTCTGGATATCGAAAATATCAAAGAAATATTTTTAAAAGCCCAGTTTTATTGTGAAATCAAAAAAATTTTATCAAATCAGTCGGCTGCTTTCTTAAGCCAATCTCAGCTTGTTCTTCAAAAAATCTCTGAAGAGCTAAAAAGAGCTGTTATAATTTTAAACAAATTGAAGCCAAGTATCACAACTTTAGACAAAGACGAGGATCTTAAAACTTATTTAAAAGGTCTTTCCGAGGTGTATCAGATATATGAAAGACTGCATTTCGCAGTAGAAATTGTTGGCACACTCAAGTCTTTGGAATTTTATAGTAAAGATATACCATTATCATGAAGTGAGTGCGGGAATTTATTTAACTACGATATTCCGAAACTAAGGCTTTCAAAATTATCTGATAAATTTTGTACGGTTTGTTTATTCCCAATTTCACAAAGTGTTATGCTCAGTGGGTCAAACTATCATAGTGCGTGTGCTAATTTTTGGGTAAATAGAATTTCAACTGATCCTCCAAGATTTAGGACTTTTCTTTAAATGTAAACAATATTTTGGTTCCTTTAAATTAATTTAATTGAGATTTATTGATGCTTTAGCATGAAAATTACTTATTAAGAGGCATTCTTATGGCACTTTCTGCACTCCAAGCGTTCATGACTGATTGCTCTGCTTTTGAAGGGCTAAATACGGATTTCAAAAAGTTGTAATAAGATTTGACCAATATATCTTTTTCTTTTCCATAGCAATAAACATTAAAGACAATCATTATCATGAAGAGATACATTTCAATGTTGTTGACATTGGTATTTGGAAGATACTTCTTAGCTCCTTTTCTTACTCTCTAATTATAAAACATACTTTTCTTAGTTGAGAATATGAAGAAACTGAGAGTCAAACGATACAGGAAGCAAAAAAATTATTCGAAGGCATTGCAATTATAATTTTTCGTTTTAAAAAAAATTTAAATTTTAAAAATCAAATAAAGCAAATCCAGAAAAATTTTAAAGAAAATGCAATTTGGTTCCTCATTATTATTGCTGAGAGATAGCGAAACATCAATGAACCTTGCGAAAAAGTAGAGTGCCCATGTTTCTCTTCTTTCTTGGTCTTCAAAAGCAATTGATAACCCACCTACAGCTCCAGCAACAATATGGTTAAGTCCATCTTCTTTTTTGCGGTAATTTCTCATGGCACATAAGGTTGCTTTATATAAGAAGTTCATCAGCGATGCGAAGCCAACAAACTTAAGTGTGTCGAGTGATATGAGCTTTAATAAGCATTGGACTGGGTTTTTATATCCACGCTTCAATAGAAACTGGAAAACGATGTGAAAAGCTGATTTAGCGGCCAAGCTTTGAAGAAATGAGACAACCAAACCTTTGCATGCATTTTTCACACATGATTCTTTGTGCTTGCAAAGTTTTTCGTCTGCCATTATTTAATAGGATGACGCAAATAATTTCTCAACCAATTTCAGCTGCCGTAACCTCAAATTAAAATAATTCATTTTTATAAATTTGCTAATTTAATATAATCAATTGGGAATTCATTACAAATAAAATGCAATTGGATAAAAAGCTTTAATTTATTTGCATATTAATTAAAAACTAAAGGAATTATATTTCAAATATAAGACGCTCCTTTTATATCTTAAACTGTAATGATATCTTATTAATGCTAGACGGGTAATAGAAATCTATTAATTAATGAATTTTTAATACAAAATTTTGCAATTCAGTTGATTATTATCAAAAGACCAATAATTCAATGCAATTACTGTGTGCAAATATGAGCAATTTCTGAATAGATAAAAGAATTATACTTGCTACAGCAATGATAAAAAAATCAATAAGAATTTAGCTTTGTATAAAATCAACTTTGAAATGCTTCCGTGGGGATGGATTTTGTAGCAGTTTCCTGATCTACAACATTTCATATAGCAATACTCTTCCATACAGCCAATGGGCTTGGGGTCCTCATTAAGACTCATGAAATCCTCATTGCTATTCAATGACTAAAATAAGCAACTTTAATCCTAAGTCCTAATGCAGCAATAGAGATTATCAGTAATAACAGCGTTTAAAATGGAACATATCCATCAAAATAAAAACATGCACTTTTTAAAAGTTTTTTATTCAGTATCCATTAATCCTATTTATTTTAATTGCTTACATAATAAAACAATGGGAAGTGTTTGCGGAGCTAGTAAAGGACGCTCACAAAGTGTAAAGCCAAGCCCAAAAGTGCCAGACTCTCATGAAAGAATAACATTTATATCTGCTAACAATACCGAATTATCAGACCTTCAATCCTACTTTATAGCCCAGCAAGGAATGAACCGAAAAATTAAAACTTTATATGAGGCAGTTTTCGCACACGAAGATCAACAAATTTTTACTATTGATTTAAAATTTATTGACCTGTGTGCCAATCATTCGCATTTAGCTAATATTTTGCCTTCTTTTGTAAACCTTAACAGCCTTAATTTGTGGAAGGCGAGATTGGGGGTTGAAGGAATTAAAGATCTTGCAAAGCCAATTCAAACTTTAAGTATTCTGCTTTATTTAAAATAGGAATAACGCTGAGAAAGTGATATCTTAGCTGGCAAGGTTAATAAAATATTTTTTTTATATTATTCTATTAAATGCAGAATAAACTGAGGTATTTATCTTTAGCCGATAACAACCTAGGCCCTGAAGGAATTCAATACCTATGCACAGCTTTTGCCAAGCTTGAATCTTTGCAAACGTTAGAACTTCACATCAACGGACTCGGACCTCGAGGGGCAGAAATTTTAGGAAAAGATCTTCCAAAACTGCTGAAGCTCAATACAATCAGTCTTACTGAAAATGAGATTGGGCCAGATGGGATCAAATTCTTGATAGCTGCATTTGTAACTATGCCAAATTTGCAGACAATATTTTTGTCACAGAATGCTATTGGAGATGCAGGAGGAAAGTGCTTTTTAGATAGCATTCAGAAGCTGCAACATATTAAGACGTTAAGTTTGGAAGGGAATGATATTTCTGGGGACATGATTGAAGATCTTGTGGAGGAGTCCCCAAGTATAAACTTTAAATTTTAGATGCATATACTAATGCTTTGTAATTAAGTTTTTCTTTATCGATAAATTTTAACTTGAATTAAATGTAGTTATTTTATAAAATGATGCTCATAAACTAAATTTAATACTACTTATATAGCTTGAGTACTCTTTTGGCTCGGGCTTCCCGATCTTTCCTGACGGTAATAGGGGAGTTGGCAAAACTAACTAATATTGGTTTGGCCAACTCCCAAATAAAGGGCCACTTGCTACGAATTTTCTACCATTTAGGGAGTTGGCAAATCCAGCATTAGTTGGTAAAGCCAGCTCCCTCTTCCCCCATCGGAAAAGATCGGGAAGCCCCGAGCAAAAAGTGTGCTCGGACTATATTTTTGTTTAATTGCAATTTGCAACATTAAAAAATAAGCTTCAAGACACGCAATCTGAATAGTTATGAATTCGTATTATAGAGTGAAAAGCAAGACAAAGCAAAGAAAAAATAGCTTAAGCTTAAGTTAAGTCTGGAAATCAGAGAGCAAATATTTCTTCGAGCATCTATATTATTATAATAAAAAATGTACATTTATATCGTTTTTGATATCTTTTATAGAGACTCCAATCTTATTACCCATTTGTAAAATCTACTCAGAAAGCTCAATTTAATTGAGCTGCTCAACTATATGCACCTTAAAGGTTTAACCAGCATATCTTATTCTACCTGATCTTAATTATTTATATGCGTTGGACGTCCTATGCTAGGCAACTTACCACAGCTACCTGATTTGAAGTTAGAAGTTTCTTAGAAGTTTATTAAACATTTTGGTTTCAAAGAGGGTAATCGCGAAATTAAGATACTAATAATAATGCTTCACTTGGTTAAACAAGACTTTATAATCAAAATATGCAAGTTTTGTATTTTTCTTTGAGAGAACAGAAATTTTGAGCGTCGCCATATTTTAATTATTCTAGCCAGCTTATCTGTTTATGCGATTCATTCTGATTGCTATAAAGTAATCATAACATAGTGTATCTTTGTTGCAAAAGATCGCCCGCCACTCCCCTCAGTTTACATTCCTCTTATCAATGACTACAAACTATGAGAAGAGCCTATGATTGATGACATTTCAACTCTGAGTGCTGTCAGAGTGTGCATAAAACACTTAATGATGGCTGAGCAGGATTGTTTAATATTTTGTATTTGCAACTCCCTAGAGAAATGGCTCAATTACCAGCTTGAGTCTAGAGTAAAGCTCTTTAAAATTGGTGAAGATAAAGTGGATGGTTTCAATTGTATTATGAATTCTCCAATTGAAATTAAGAATTTATTCAGAAATATTCTCAATACTTTTGCTCTAACAATTTACCGAGGAAATTTTGTTCTATCACAAGAAGGAGATCAAGAAAATTATGAAATCCCAATTCAGTTATCACCTCAGCATATTTTAACGAATAAAGCTATTGAAGTGCAAAATATCGAATTTTTCGCGGAAAATATTGTTTATGCTGAAACAATAAGCTTGGCGTACATATACGGATCTTCATGAATTATCTCTTCTGTTTCTGGAGAGCTAGCAGGGTTGTGTGAATATTTAAGAAACGAAGATTTAGCTTTTATTTGCAGCTCGATTTTTGATATTGATACACAATGTATGTCATTTTTACCTTGCTATTATGCATTGTTCCCTGGACATGATACACCCTCTTCATTTTTGGTAAAAAAAGTAATAACACAAGAGCAAGTTTCCCCAATAATTTTTCCAAATATAAATATTATTGAGCATCAGTCAAGCTTAGTTGGATTCGTCAAGTCAAAATTTTTAAGTAGCCTATACACTCCTTATATGATTGATGGAGGACTGCACCAATACTTAACTTCAAAAGCACTGCAAGGCAAAGAAGGTCCACTTCCTATTCCTCAAATACCAAACTCCACTCCAAAGTTTGGAGCTGCAATTCTTCAAGGTGGAGAAAAATCAAAAAGGACAACCAAGAGAGCTCTTGAAGGAATTGCAAATTCACTAAATCCACCTCCGTGAGCAAATAAAATGATTGAAACCATATTTTTTGGGTAAAAAAGACTTCTCGAGCGAACAAAAAAATTTTTTACGAAAAAAATATTTAACATATATTAGTGATAATTATGTAATAAAATCTCTAGTTAAATCTGATGAATTTTAAACAATTTAGATTTTAGAGCATAAATTTAGGCAAATTACATTAATTTCCGCTTTCAAATTTTTGTAAATCAGGATTTTTTTTAAAAAAATTTTGAATAAAATATATGTGCTATTTAACCCCCCTTTAACGATCAATTTTTTTTTGTTCGCCATAGAGGGGAATAGTAAGAAAAAAAAAGAAATGCTAATTGATATCTGTAAGATTTTAAAATTTTTTGCTTTTTATTTTTGTAAATTATTTTAAAATAAGTTTTTTTTTACTTGATTAATTTGCTGTTATTTCTAATCAGTTTTTAATAAAATGCTAAATAAGCAAAATGCCTACTCCATTCTTGAGCAAAGAAAACTTTTGGAAAAATCCCTTCTTTTGCCCAAAACTTACCCTTCGTTAGCTAACAAAAATTTTTTTATATAAAAAGTTTTTGAAAAGCTTTTTGATATACAAATGATAATTTGCATAATTAAATCTCTCTTCCTAATTCTGTTTAATTTTAAACAGCTTGCATTTTAAAACATATTTTTTACAATTAAATTAATATTTGCTTTAAAATTATTTGGAATAGGGATTTTTTAAAAAAAAATCTGTCAGAGAACAATATTTTTTGTTCTATCACCTAGGGGAATTAATTAATTTCTCTATTTTCTAAATATTCTAGAAGTTTAGAAGAGTTGAAAATGATAAATAAAATAATTCATTAAATTTATTAAAGTTAATAATAATCTTAAAGATGAAAGACCAAGAAGAAGGCGAAAACGAAGAAGAGGTCAATAAGATTAAAGAAGTAGGCTACAAAATAGTAGAGGACTCTCCTAAAGGCCGATTTTCAAGAGTAACCCTTAAGTAGTTCAATGAAGAAATTGGCAGTGGTGCATACAAAACTGTTTATCGAGCCATTGATAATGACACAGGCTGCGAAGTTGCATGAAACGTGGTTAAAACAGGAGGCATGAGCAAAATCGAAAAAGAAAAAGTCCGCGACGAAATAATGATGATTCAAAAATTGATGCATCCAAACATCATCCATTTCATTAAGGCATGACACAATAAAGAAAGAGAAGAAGTCATATTTATTACTGAAATCATGACAGGAGGCTCTTTGAAGCAATACTTGAAAAAAATCAGGTCACCGCATTTAAGAGTTATTAAGCAGTGATGCAGAGACATTTTAAACGGTTTACATTATTTGCATACTCAAAAACCATACCCAGTCATACATAGAGATCTAAAATGTGATAATATTTTTGTGAGCTCTAGTACTGGGGATATCAGAATTGGAGATTTGGGGTTGTCGACATTTATGAGGACTTCTCATAATAAGACTGTCTTAGGGACTCCTCAATATATGGCCCCTGAGTTGTTTGAAGAAAGATATGGGCCAACGGTGGATATTTATTCATTTGGTCTATGTTTATTAGAAATGTGCACGCACTCAATACCTTATTCTGAATGCAAAACCCCAGTAGAAGTTTATAGAAAAGTCACTAACGGGATTAAGCCATTGGTACTTGAAAGAATCATGGATAAAGAAGTCAAGGAATTCATTGAATTATGCTTAGCTCCTGTTGATCAACGACCGTACGCAGAGGAGTTATTAGCACATCCATTTATTGTGATTGATGAAAATGATGATAGAGTTCATCAGCCTATACAGCTTAGACCTGAAGAACTTTCTACTCAGAAAAGTATAGAAATAGACACACCAATTATTCATGATAAAGAAAGCGAAGAAATAAAAGCAGAGTCTCCTCCATCTCAGCCTAGTCAAAAGCCTATAATAAACAATGAAAAAGAAGAAGTTAAAAACCCTCCTCCACGTGCAGTCGAACAGAGGGCTACTGAACCTCCTTCTGCTCTAAAAGAAGCACCAGCAACCTTAAGCAAAGCAGGCAGCAAAGAGCCTATAAAAGAAACACCGACCTTGAGCCGAGCAGGCAGCAAAGAGCCTATAAAAGAAAGAGATCCGCCACCTGCTAATTTAAGCAGAGCTAATAGCAGAGAACCAACAAAAGAAAAAGAGACACCAGCCGCTTTAAGTAGGGCGAGCAGCAGAGATGATAGGAGAAGCATACCTCCAACAGACTTCATCAACTTATCAAAAATTGAAAATCTCCCTCAAGACCCCCAAGAAACAGAAATGACCTTATCAATTAACATCGGAAGCAAAGACGCAGTTACTGGAAAAATCAACCGCATTAGGCTGGATTTCGTATTCAACCTTAACACAGACACCCCAGAAGGCGTAGCAGAAGAAATGGCTTCTACCTTTAACCTTCGTCCTTCCTTTATACCTAAGATTGCTCAAGTTATCCGCGAAAAGATTGATCACTGCAACGAGGACTCGACAGTTTACACTCCTATAAGTTCTGGAATGGGCTCTCGTAACAGCAGCTTTGAAAATATCGTCAGAGACTTCAAATCATATGGAATCCCAAGTCCTTCATTTTCTAGCGGCAACACATCCCCTATCGAAATCCAAGCCAAAGATTCACAACACAGAGAACATATGAAAAGCTTGATGAACGAAATGAATGAAAGGCAGCTTATACAAATCCCACCCTTCAAAAATAATATTTCAAGGGCAAAACAAGATAACGACCCTGAAGACATAAAACTTGTACAAATGGCTTTAAACAGCTCACTAGGGACTAGACATAAGGCAGACGGGATTTTTGGCAAGAAGACAGAAGCACTGGTGAAGAGGTTCCAAGAAGAAGCAGGGATGCTGGTAAATGGGGTTGTAAATAAAACAGTGTGGGACCAGCTTATGATGAACTATGAAAGGAAAAAGAGATGGGAAAAAGAGCAAGCGAGGGAAAGCAGCGAAAGAAGAAAAGCCAACTCCATTTCTTTTAGACAAAACTCTCAAAATGGAGGAGACATCGCTCATCAAATAGCTGATCCGTGAATGCTAGATACAATGCTATCTTAATTAAATGGTATTAAAAATAGTCCATGTCTTTTCTCGGTTTTTTATTAAAAACTGTTAAAATATTGAAAAAATATTTCAATAATGGTGAATTTCAAATTGTTCCTCTCTGTATTTTCTAGACAGTGCTGCTGCCAGTATCCTGACGAAAACCAGCAAGAACCTTTACCTCCTGAGTCCCATCAAACAAAGCCTTCTTCAAATTTTATCGCCTTACCACTTGAAAATTCAGGGCAGCGGCAAGAGCAAAGTTTGCTGTCTTCAGGGTCACTTATCTCTGAAAACGAAATTCTGACTGGGCCGAAAATGAAGTTTATAATCGTTGAAGGAAACTCTCTCCCAAAGAACACAGAGTATAGGATTAATCCAGGTGGTTACGAAGGATCCACAAGAACACCTAAGGATGGCCTGGTCTATTTTGGGAATTCCTCTGAAAAAAGCGATATAGTCATTCACGACTCCGAAGCTTCAGAAAACAATCATATGGTGGTCAGATATGATGTCCAGAAAAAAAAGTATTTTTTAAAAGACCTGGGAGAGGATTAGGTTAGGTTAATTAAAGTCTAGCGTTAGCCATATTGGTGACACAGCTGCCGAAGACCTCTCATACGGAAGGTTCAACCGCTTTTCAACTCCAGCCCAAAGGGTCTATACCCCAATAATGGTACCACTTCTGTCACCTTATGTCTCCGCTTTGACTTGAGGCTTCAGTCTTGAATGGGCGGCTTATAGATTTCTGCGGTCCTGCTACAGGCGATTGGATTAGCTTGATTCCAAGGATCAACTCCTTGGAGTGTGTAAGGTGTCGAAGTGCCTTCCTTCGACAGCTCAGGAAAAAAGATTGCTTCCAGCGGCCTTGGCCAGTTCGCTGTAGCCATAAGATCTGGCTGTTGGGTCAGAGCAGGTTGGCACTTGTCGCAATTTAATGTATGTGGCCTGGGAGAAGGAACTGGGACATTTGTAAAAATAACGAAGCCTTTTTCGCTTAAAAATGGAAACGTTGTGTCGTTTGGGGAATCACATATGCTTGTGCAGTTGAATTCTGCTAATTCTGATATTTCTTTGAAATTTTTAGAGGGGCCGAAAGCTGATGAAGTTTTGTCGTTTACCCCGGATGACTCGGATATTCAAATTGGCCGAATTCAAGACTGCAAAGTAGTGTTCAATGACTCAAGTCTGTCGAGATACCAGCTTATTTTGAAGTTTCAAGATCAGGTTGGGTGGATACTTGAAGATGGAAATGGGGTTAAAGGATCGACCAACGGAACCTGGCTTTTTGCTGAAGATTTCTTTGAGATTCATGATGGATTATTATTTAAGGTTGGACAGACCTTGTTTTTGGCTAAAACAGTGGAAGCCAGCATGAGTTAAATATTTTTAAAAATTCTTGTGAGTAATAACTATGTGCTAGCTAGTTAATTTTATTTAATTGTTGGTAATCTCTATTCATACATAGAAGCAACCTATTATACTTAAAGGCTAAATTAGCCATTTTACAAAGCATGCAAAAATTAAAATTAACCTCCAAAATAGTTAGAATTAATGCATCAATTGAAATATTACCTAATATAAAATGGCTGAAGAAATTGAGAAAGAGTTAGCTGACCTAAGAAAGATTCAGAAAGAAGTTGGCAAGCTTGAATCCATGAGACAAGATTATATCTTAAAGAAGCACGAAAATGATATGGTCAAAGAAGTATGTTTCACTTACTTCCCCCTATGCGAGAGAACAAAAAAAGCTTCTTCGCCAGAGTGGGATTATTTTTTTTCCCCCAAAATTTAAAAAATTGCAAAATTGGATACCCAAAATGAGATTTCATTTATACTAATTATCACTTATATGACAAAAATTTTTTCATAAAAAATTTGTTGTTGAAGGGTGGGTTTTTACTCAAAAAATAGGAATTTTTCCAATGGTTTGCTCGCTAAAGGAGGGGGTAGAGTTAGGAATTTGATCAATTGCAAGATGAAGAGTCAAAAGTTTACAAACTGATTGGTCCAGCACTTATTTCTCAATCACTTTCTGAAGCTAAAAACACCGTTGACAAAAGGCTTGAATTTATCACAAAAGAAATGTAAATTCCACTTAGAACGAGATTGGAAAAACTTAACTCCCCTCTCAATTGGAACAAAACATTATATAATTAATTCATTTTTGGGTAATTAATCGTTTAGTTGAAATTTATTTTTAATTTAGAAATACTAATTTGTATACAAAGAGCTTTGGCCTAATTTATTGAGAGAGTGAAAGTAGATTGATACTTTAAACATTGCCACGCTGAATTCATCAATTTTTTGGATTAATTCCTTATAAAAAATAAATCAAATACAAGACATCGCATTCAATTTACATTTTTTTATTCGGATTTTAAATAGAATTTTGTTCAAATTAAAGGGTTAGAGTAAGGAAGATTTCTTGAAGAAAGCCGAAGAAAAGCAGACAAAAATCATGCAGTTGCAAAAATCAATAGCAGCAAGAGGCAAGTAACTAAATAACTTTTCTTAGTTCTAAAAATAAATTATTGATAAGTATAAATATCTTAATTAATATTCCTATCTATTCATTTGATATTGATTAATTATGCGTTGAATAGTATGAATACCATTTGATATACCTTATATTTTCCCAACCATCATCTGCAAAAACTCAGCATAATCTATAAACCCGTCACCATTTCTGTCTACTTCTTTAATCATTTCCTCCACTTCATCGTCTTTAAGGTTTAATGAAACTTCTTTATCTCTCAGGACACTTCTTAGCTCAGCATAAGTAATGAGCCCGTTTCCATCCTAAATAACTTTTACCATATCGAAGTACTCAAAAGCGGTTTTAAGTATTCCTACATTCATATACTGCTGATTATGCAAGCAAGCAGCTAAAAATTCGGTATAGTCTATCAATTCGTTTTTATTGGAATCCATGATTTGCCACATCATATCTAGAGCTGATCTATCAATATTTATCCCACTCTGGTGAAGTCCCATTTCATACTCATCTCTGGAAAGTAACCCATCTCCATCTTTGTCGAGTGCAATAAAAACTTCTTTAAGTTGGTTGATATCTCTTTCTGAAAGCCTTGAGGCAACAAACATTAATGTAGCTTTTTTTAAAGATTCTGACTCAACAAATTGGCTTATGTCATTGAAAACGTTCACACTTACTCTCCAGATAGAACTGTTTTAAAATAAAAAAATAAATGATTTTTAATTTAACTTATTTTTTTAATAAAAATATGAATTTAAAGACTCCTTTATTTAGGCATGATCTTTATCAAAAATGGAATTTAGCGGAATCTCTGGTAATGGGGCAAGTCCTCTAATCCACGGATGGTTAAATGCATCTCTGGCTGTGTATCTTAGCTCTGGGTCTTTGACGAGCAGCCTTGATATCAAATCTTTAGCCATTTCAGAAACCATTTGAAAAGCCCTTGGTCGAAATGAATAAGATCCATTATAGACTTTCATGAGGATTTCCTCATTGTTTTTGCCATTAAATGGTGGAGTTCCAGATAGCATGACATACATGATGACTCCCAGTGACCAGCAGTCTATTTCATGCGAATAGCTCCCAGATAGAACTTCAGGCGCTATATAATAAGGCGTCCCATTAAGACTGTGCATTACTGAATGCTCAGTGATGTCTTTTGCAAGCCCAAAGTCTATCAGTTTTATATCACTATCAGGTGATTTCGTGACAAACATGAGATTTTCTGGCTTGAGATCTCTGTGACAGATTCCTTGATCATGGCAATATGACAGCGCACTAAATAATTTTCTCATCACAAACGCTGCGTTAGCTTCTGAAAGTTTTTTTTCTTGGATAATCCTATCGAAAAGCTCGCCTCCTTCGCATAATTCCATGACTAACTCCCCCCTCTCCATGAGCGAAAAAAAAAACATCGGAAAAAGTACCTATTTTCTCTATGAGTGAAAAAATTTTTTAGGAAAAAAAGTTTGATCTATAAACGATAATTAGTAAATGAAATTTCTAGCTAATTCTGTTTTAATTTAAAACAGCTTGTGTTTAAAACATCAATTTAACAAAAAATTAATATTTGGTTTTCAATTTTTGCTAAATGGATTTTTTAAATTTATAAAAAAGTATTATATATATAAATTTTTTAAGATTTTTTGTTTGCTCACGGAGAGGGGAGTAAGTAGCAGATTCTTTCAGTTTCATATGTTTCAAGTACTTTAACGATGTTCGGGTGGTCCTGTATAAAGAATACCATGATACTTAATATTGAGAGCTCTTTATTGAAGGTTTTGTAATCTTTTACTCTTATCTTTTGAATCATTTTGATAGCAACAGTTTGGTTACTGTTCAAATTTACTGCTTTCATGACTTTTCCATAGGCTCCGCTGCCCAGCTCTGCCTCAAATCGGTAGGAGTTCTCGATATTTGATGATTTTGAACCTACAAACCACTGTTTTTTAAGAGTGACACTTCCTCGTCTTGTGTGATGAATCATTATTTGATATGAGTTTCAATAATAAAAATGATTATTGGTTTAATGTAACTGTTTAAAATGCATTAAATTTATTACGCTTTCTTCTTATAAGCTATGGATTGGAATATTATAATGATTTATACTTTCCTTATCATGATAATCACTGGAAAAACCCATTTTTTAAAACGAACGACCTTTTAATTGTAAATTCTAAAATTTTGCAAAGCGAAAAATTTTAGTATTTATTAGAGATTAATATTTCATTAAAAACAAACCAAAAAGAGCGTTCTCAAAGCAAAAATTTTATATTTCATATGAAAAGCATAACTGCTAGTGAGCTCTTTATTAACTGCGCAAAGCTTACTAGCCTAATTTGAATTAAATGAAAAATAAAGGATAAGATATTAATTTAAGAACTGCCAAGGATGCCATTTCTATTATAACTATTTTAAATCATGTCAAGTACAATGAATCATTTAGTACCCGAAATTTATCTCGCAGCGTTCAAGGACAGCAAAAAATTTGAAAGGAAAGGCAAGCTTCAAGACTCTCTCACTGCAATTGAAAGAATTTCCACTGAAGCTGCCAATTTATCATTTCCGATTTCCATCGACATCACAAAGCAGATAGCTTCTCTTTGCAATAAACTTTCACTCCATTATTCTTCTCCAGTTTCCTACTTAAGAAGAGCTGAACAAGTGCTAATGAATTGGCTTAATAATTGTGATAAAGAAAATCAAACTCTTGACGAAAAAATTTTCAGATTAATTCTGCTGACATTTAATAACTGGGCTTCTTTTCATCAAGAAAGCAAAAACTATCACATGGCTTTGAGCTATTTAATGAGAGCTCTCAAAATCATTGATAAGTATCCAGCTAGGTTGCCAGACTCTCTACAATTAATTGCAAAATCTCGCTTAAGTGTGAGTACATTGTATTTTGAATTGAGAAGATATAAGGAAGCTATTAAACATGCTGAGGAAGCATTGGCGACTTTGCAAATTGAAATGAAACAGAGGTTGGACGGGAAATCGGTTGCAAATTTGAATAAAAAAGACATGAAAAAGGTGAAAACGCTTGTGACTACTTATGTAATAGCATTTTATACAATAGGACTTTCTGAAGAGGCTTTGGGAAGGAGAAGCGCAATGCTGGATGCTTATAATAATGCAGTAAAAATAGCAGACCAGTTTTTGTCTGGAGAAAGCGAAATGTTGCAAACGATAAAGCAAACGCTTGCTGATGTGAATCTTATAGCTCCGGAAACAATAGAAAAAAGAATTCACAAGCCAATGAAAAGGAGAGACCTGAAGCTAAGCTTGGATAATCAAATAAAAAAAGAAAACGAGCCGTTTGAATTCAAAACTGCATGCAGCTTCCCTGTAAGCAAAGAGCCAGCGGAAACTGACCATTTAAATTCCCAAGCTTCATTGCCAAGCTTAAATTTCCCATCAACTGTACAAACAAGACTCCCTGGGCGCTATTACTCTGAAGAACAGCTGAAAAAGCTCCAGAAAAAGATGACAGTGGACTCACAGCACCGCTTTGTCAGTGTAGATGAATACTTTTATACAAAAATAAGCAAAACTTTAAATGTGAAATCAGATATCAAACATCTTCGTCCTTTAACAGCAAAAGGAGCAATCACCAAATGGGAGCAAGAAATTGATGACAAGCGAAAAATTTCTGACTTAAGACTAAGAAAACATCACAGGCAGCTTATCACAGACAGAAATCCTTATGATCACGTTGGAAACCGTATTGACAAGCTAAAAGAAGAAGATAAAGATAACCTAAAAAGACAAGAAATCGCTATGAAATCAAAAATGAAAACAAAGGTCTACAAAAATCTGATGAGAGCTTTAAGCGGAAAAGGATACAACTCTTTGCCTCCACAGAGACTATATTTTAAACCTCCATTGATACAAAACGCTGAGTTGACCCATGAATCAACAAAATCAGAGCTTTTAGGGAAAAATACTATTGGAGAAAACCATAACTTTAAATCTGCTAATGATGAAATCGAGACAATTATGGATAGAATTAATCTAGAAATGAAAGAAATCGACTTTGAGATGGGAATTGCTCGAGAAAAGACTCTTGAAGCCCCGAACCCAGAGCCACTTGATTCAAATCTCGCGAAATCTACCTTAAAGACATCAGACAGTTTTCACGAGGAGCAGCCAAAGAAAAAAGAAAAAATCAGGGCTTCTTTGAAGCGGTCAACAACAGGCCCCCGAATTCAATCTGCATATAGCGCTTATAAATTTTAGAATTCTTAATGCCATAATTCTATTAATTATTATTTCACACAATGGACTCAACCCCAGAGAATATTGAAACCCAAGAGAAAATTGAAGAAGAAAAGAAGGAAGAAAACAAAGAAGAAGCCAAAGAAAAAGAAAATAATGCAGAGGAAATTGAAAACGATGAAGACAGCAATGAAGAAGGCAATGAAGAGTTGGAAGAAAGATATAAGATGGTTATTATTGTACGTACAGATCTAGGCATGAGCATTGGAAAAGTTGCAGCGCAGGTTGGCCATGCAGTAATTGGAGCTTATGAAGAGTCAGAAGAAGAAACTCTGGATAAATGGGATGATTGCGGAAGTCCAAAAGTTGTATTGAAAGTGCCAAATTTGCCGAAAATGCTTGAGATAGAAGAAAAAGCAAAAGCGAGTGGACTAGTAACTTATCTTGTAGAAGATGCAGGAAGGACTGAAGTAGAGCCTGGCACAACAACTGTACTAGCAATAGGGCCAGATGCTGAATCTAAAATAAATGCAATTACTGGAAAACTTAGTTTACTAAAATAAAATGATTCAGCAAATTAAAAAGAAAAAATGCAAGTTTTGTCTATCATATTTTCTTTAATGATATATTTTTGTACTGTAAAGTATCCTAAACCTAAACTTAAATAAATTAATAAAAGCCGACCATTTCAGGTTGAATTATTTTCATGATTTCTTCCAAAACCTGCTTCACTGGCGAGTCAGGCTGCAGCCTCAGCGCACGTCTTGCAAACTATATAAAACTTACCCCTAAAAAGAGCTTCAACTCATGGACAAAGAAAAACACTCCTTCAACAACATTAACAATATCATCAGTCCTCTTCACATCAAAAAGTCTGCAGAAATGAGCCAACCCTCTTGCTTTCTCAATAATTTCCCTCTCATCAATATTCCCATAAGCTTCACTTAATTTTGCCTTATAATCCAAAACTTCATTTAAAGAGTTTTTCAGTCGTTGGATTTCAGGAACTACATTATCTAGTTTATTCGGACTCAAAGCTGCTTCACCACTGAAAAGCTCAGCACAAACGCTCGTAACAAATTTATCAACATTTGGTAGAGCAAGGAGGACTTGCTGCATTTTAAAAATTGCTGGCAAAATTTCTTCATAAGATCTTAAAGATAGAGCTTGGGTGATAGAATTTATTATTTTAAGCTTTTCTGTATTTTCAGATGTAGTATGCTGCTCCAGGTATTTTATTCTGTTTTTCAAGGTCTGATTTTCAATTTTGCTGTCTTCAAGGTCTTGATTGATTTTGGTGTAATTCATTTCTAAGTCTTTGAAATATTTTTTGGAAATGTCCATGTCTTTTTTAATTGAAGATAGCTCTTTTATTTGTCGGTATTTTTGATCTTCATACATCATAATAATGCTCATTATTTTTGAGTCGGTTTCTCTACTTGCGTTGTATTCCCGCTCCATGAAATTAAAAAATAAAGAAGCTGCTCTGCTATCAGGAGAAGCTTGGTATCCTGAATGACTGTTGAGATCCATTTGGCCTTTTATTTTCATAATCAAAGCTTCTTTTTCTTTACATATTTCACTGCATTTAGCAAGCTTTTCTTGCAGATCTCTATTGTATTGGCTTAGCTCTTTCACCTTATTGTCATCAGCTTTTCTTTTTTCTTCCATGTTCTTCATTTTCCATAAATCTTCTTTAAGCTTATCGTTAATCATTCTTAAATCTTTGATTTCCTGCTGTAGTCGAACAATATTGCCCTCGCTTTCCTCAAGAGCTCTGCCTTGGTTAGTAATTTCTGTTAAAACTTCAACTAAGGTATCAGTGATTTCATTAATATTCGGAATTAGAAGATTTCCATCTACATAAAGAGGCAAAGTATTAAATCCATGCTTTTCTAACTCCTTCCTTGTATATATTTTTTTTAAAAAAAAAAAAAATTTTGCTTTATTTTTTTTTTAATTTTAATTTTTAGATTGTGAGGGATAAGAGCCCATTGATTTCAGTTCATGAGATTTCTTCTAAATAGTTTACTCCACCAGTATCGCTATGTTGCGACACATTCTCTTGGTTTTGTTCTCGCCATTCTTGCTCTTCTCCAGGATAGCTATACGAAGAAGGGTAAAATTCTCTTTTTGGTGAAATTTGCTGGCACATTTCTGTGAGCTGCCTTATTTCTTCTTGAATTTCGTTTGACTGCTTAAAGAACTCCTGTACTGACTTATTCAACCCTGGAGGTCTAAGACTTGGAGACGTTGAGTCATAAGGCTCTTTGAATTCCTCAGACATTTCACTGCTTTGCGTGTCTTTTAAAAGTTCAAGTCTACTCGGTGTTTCTGTAGTTTCGAGATGTCTAGAAATACGACTTGGATTCTCTTCTATATCGTCTAGAGACAAATCTCCCTGAACTTCAAGTTTGTTTTCTTCCATAAGTATTGACTTTCACCATATAATAAAACTCTGTTTTAAATTTAAATTCAAAATTATTAATCATCTACGCTACGACTAGCTGTCTTTTCTCTGAGCATTCTGATCCTTTCAGATCTTCGCTTTTCGAGTTTTTGTTTTTTTGGTCGTCCCACTGCAATCATTTCTTTTCATTGCTCTTTTTGCAGCTTTTTCGGGAGTCTTTGTAAGCACTCGTCGCAGTACCAAGTTTCTACGTTGGGGACTTCTAACATGGACAGACAATTTAGATGATATGAATCTCCGCAATCTTGGCAGATGAGGAGGTGCTCACTGCTGACGTAGTTCTCACAGACTTTGCAGACTTCTTCATCCTCAGAGTCTGAGTAGTCAAAGTCTTCTTCTTGGTCTCGATGCTCAACATCGAATGGCGTTGTGTTCGGAACCAGCTGGCCATTTGGCAAGCAAGGAGTGACGCTGAAAAACCTAGCCACGCAGATTGGACACTTGTTAGCTACTTCAGCTCAGCCTAAAATACATTGGAGACAAAAATTGCTATGGTTGCATGGGAGGAGTCCATGGATGGTCTCAGAATTGAAAGTGTCTAAACAAATGGTGCAGTGATCTTGCTTAAGCTCTGGTATTACTGGCCTTCTAAGTAAGCCCCTTCTTGTAAGCATTTAAATATGAAGTTTGAAAGTACCTTCATCTATCATTTTTTTGGCCCTTATTTTTTTAAAATTAATTATTTTTAGTATTAATTTATAAAAAAATAAAAAAATCAAATTTGATAAAAGTTTTGTGAATAAAGTGAGAGTGTATTAGTTCGAATAAGTGCGAAGTTTCTTTTCCCTCAGTTGGTGCTTTCTTCTTAAGCTAGATTTGGGCTTGGTCCAAAATAATAGGGGCGAAATGCTTAAACAGAAAAATGATTGAATTGAGCTCAATTCTGGCTAAAAAATAATAACTCAAGCTGAGTGGCTGGAATTTTCGTAATCAATTTTTCTAATTGGACTATGAGTGAGATGCCAAGCTCAATTTGGGGCTAGAAAAATAAATAAAATAAAAATTTGCTGGAAAAAAATTGTTTTTCAAACTTTTTGATTGACTTGCCGGCAATAAGAACTCCATATTGAAGCACCATTTTCTGGTCTTTTTCGCTGTGTTTGTCTTGTATATGAAAGTTTCCATATTGAAATTTTCATATAGAAAATTATGAGAAAATTTAATTTTATTAGAGTTATTTGATTATTTCTGTTTAATTCTTGCTTAAAGGACTTATGCTCTTATAATTCTAGAGTTCTTTTAGAAAATTATGTGATGAATCCATTTTTATTATTCAAAATCTATTTTAATATGCTTATTTATCTGAATATGAAAGCTTTCAAAGTCATTAATATTAAGATATATATCTGAATATGGTATCATAATATGAATAATATTGCATAAAATAATTTCATTATAAGTTACTATGTTTCGTTGATTTATAAGCCAATTAACTGAAATTTGCATTTTCATGGATGATTTAATAGCACTGTAAGTATTTTTTGTGCGATTAATACCTAAAATAAGATTAAATTATCCTGCATGCTATAAAAATGCGCATTTCATTTTTATTTGCTCATTTTTGATATTAATAGCAAAAGGCATATATTTATTGATTACTCTTCATCCGGGTTCTGGATCACAATTAGCATATATTCATGATCTGGAGCCACCATAATTTCATGTTTTTTGCTCCTTATCCTCAAAAACACCAAATCATTCTGTGAATCGAGATCTTTAACTGTCGATCTCGCTGTCAATGTTAAACTTGAAATCAAACTTGCATATTTATGAGTATCTGCTTGGCTCATTGAACTTTTCACTGACTCACCCCCCCCCCTTTAAATTTAAACAAAATATAGGTAAAATTCCTACTTTTTTGGGAAATTACCCCCCCTTTAAATTGAAACAAAATTTTATTATAAATAGAAAATTTTATAGGTAAAAATCATTATTTTTATATGTAAATACGTTAATACCCTATTTAATATGCTTCAAACATATAAGATTTAGAAATTAAACTCTATTTTGTCCAATTGTTATGGGGAGAGTTAGAAGAATACCATTTCAGCAAGTTTACACTTTGAGATTGAGAAATTTATGAATTAATTTTTCATGAAATTCTTTAAATTTATATAATTTATTTTCTATAAAATTTTATCTCTGAAAAAGTTTTTATATATAAATTTTTTTATAAAAAAATTTTCTTAACCCCCCTTTAAATTGAAATAAAATTTTTTGTTTCAATTTAAAGGGGGGGGGGAGTGAGATTCCAGCATAATTTGCAATAATAATCCCTTTGACTCCTTTATGGGTTTTGATTCTCATAAAAGCTTCTTCGATTTCGCTCTAAATATACTTTACCATTTCTAATTATAAATTATTTCTAAATTAAGCTAATAATTTTACCATTCTCTTATCTGCTCAATTATAAAAAGATCATTCTGGCGAAGCTTTCTTTTATTTTATAGCTCAGTGCTATTTAATTTAGCTATTCCTTATAAGTTGATATTCTTCTATTAACCCTCTTCATTTATAATTTTATTTAGGCTATTAATTGATAATTTTACTATTTTTATAATCCTAAATCCCCCCCTCCTTGAGTGAACAAAAAAATTTGGTTCACTCACGGAGGGGGGTTAATTTTTTTTTTGGAGAAAAAAATTTTATATATAAATTTTATAAAAAATTTTTGTTTTCGAAATTTAAAAAAATCCTAATTCGCAAAAATTTGAAAGCAAATATTAATTTAATTATAAAATTTATGTTTTCAAACGCAATTTGTTTGAAATTAAACAGAATTAGCACTAGATTTATTATACTAATTATCACTTATATATCAAATTTTTTTCCATAAAAAATTTTTCTATTAAAATAATTTTTGTTCACTCACGAAGGGTGGGGCTTTTGGGCAAAAAATAGCGATTTTTCTAATGGTTTTGTTCACTCACGAGGGGGGGGAGTAAGAGGAATAATATTGCCACAACGCATTTGCTTGACATTTTCGGGATATGGTGTGCTAACAAAAGGCAGATTTGAAATGAATTATTAAGATTAAGCTAATAAACCTTTGAAACCAGAATAGAGTTGCACTAACTCCCTCTAAAGTTGATAAGATAGTAGAGGCTTTTAAAACTCAATTATATTATAGAGCCATCTTTGATTGTTTGAGAAATTGATTTTGAGAAGGTCTGAGTTTGGATGTGATCTCATTAATAACTCGAGGATTGAATAAAAATTCTTTCATCAAAAATTAGCTAGCCATGCATTAAGAGATCTGAGAGGTTTTATTTTCTTTTATTGAAGTGCCTAGCTTAGAAGATCCTTCTTCAAGCTCTCTAATCCATATTTATTTAGAATAAAACTACTTGGATCTTGTCAAGTTATAGACAAATTATTAAGGATTTCATTAAAATATAAATCTTGTTTGCCATATTTTTTAATTATTTAAAAATAACAGATAAAAAATAGAGACCAATATTAGTAGCTGAAAAATTAATTTTGTATTTTAATGGTTATCTTTATTTATGACAATAATTTAGAATAAATTAAAATCAACTCAGATTGTTAAAGTTTTTAATAAGTAGAAAATTTTTTTAAAATTATTAATAATACTATATGTGTTCTACGCATTATGACTAAACTCTCAGTTGCGTTTCAATTGATTCAATTCAGATATTTTTAGATAATGCTCATATTAAATAAATTGAGAAAAAATCTGATGAAAATAATTTTATTGATTCTGAAGATGGAGCTTAAATGCCGATAAATAATAAATAATGATACGGCGAGTGCTGAGGAGCTTTACTAATATTCAAAAAGGAGATGATGGCCAAGAATACTCATATACACAAGTGCCCATGGATCAGCATCATCCTCATTATACACCTCATCAAGATTATTATTGGTCAACCAAAGATGAACTTTCTCCGCACCCTTTAGAAATCCGAACTGATGTAGACTGGGAGTCTACCTTAAATCATTGACATCGAAAATTTTGGGCTGCTGATATATAAATTGTTTGATTAATTTGGCAAATTACTGGAAGATAGCACAAATTATTTCAAAATATGAAAACTATTGAGATAATTTTAATCAATTGAATATACTTAAAATGGTGTGAATGATGGGGATGCATTCATTTGAAACAGAAGTAACAATAAATTACCCTGCAGAAAAAGGTCCGCTCAGTCCTCTATTTAGAGGTGAGCATGGCTTAAGAAGATACCCAACAGGCGAAGAACGATGCATCGCTTGCAAACTATGTGAAGCTGCATGTCCCCCCAGAGCTATTAAAATTGAAGCTGAGCCAAGACCAGATAATGCTAGAAAAACTATAAGATACGACATTGATATGACGAAGTGCATTTATTGTGGATATTGCCAAGAAGCATGCCCAGTAGATGCAATTGTTTTATCTTCAAATTTTGAGTTCTCCACTCTAGCTCATTCTGACATGCTCTACACTAAAACTAAGCTTATAGATAATGGAGACCGATGGGAAGCACAGCTTGCGAGAAATTTAGAATGGATTACTAAGAGGCAATAATTTATCCATCCATAAATATTATATAATCCCTTGTATAAATTTCATTTTGCTTATTTATGGTAAATTGATTTTAAAATGTCAAAAAATTTTAACATACCATAGACTCAGTTTTATATATTATGGCATGTCAAATTTTTTTTGACATTTTAAAATCAATTTGCATAAATAAGCAAAATAAAATATTACCAATACATTATATAACTTTAATATCTTTATGGGAATGAAAATTCTTATTTGCGCATTAGGAATAGCAGCTTTGTCCTTAGCTGGAGGAATAGCTTGATATAGGCTAAGGTCTTCAATGAAATTCGCCACAATCAAGCTCCTTGACAAGCCTTCCTTTATAAAAGTCCTCGCACAAATCCGAGAAGCTTTTTCAGAGAATTTTGCGACTTTGCTTAAATTGAACCGCAAAAAACGTAGAAATTTGTATAGAGGTGGAAAAGAATACAGGATCTGTATAAGAGACTTAAAAGATCACGCAAGAAGAGCTCTTGACAAAGCAACTGCTGATGTCCTCGGACGATTACGGTTAACAGAGGAAATTTTTCAAGAATCTTATAACCGTATGGAGCACGACCCAGAGGTGGCTCTAGCGTTCAGTAAAGTATGTTCAATACCAGTTAAAAATGTATCTTCCTTGCTTAATCAGTCAAGATTAAACGAAATTTTCAAGTTCACCACATCCCGCACAAGCAAAATCAATGAAGAGGACCCAAATGAGCTGAATATCAAGATGAAAATGATAGAAGACGAAATCTATGAGCAGTTCGGGTTTGAGACAGAAGAAATCGAGGCAGCTGTTGCCAAATACCAAAGCGAGATGGGATCTTGGATCCAACAAAACAGAGAAATCAATAATAATTTGTTAGAGAATACTAATGAAGATCTTTTTTAATGAGATAATGATTTCGTATTAAAAGGGTTTTATTATCTTGTGTTTGGATATTAAAGATAAGGATTAAGATTAAAATTAAACTAGCCAATGGTAATTAGTTAAATGGCACTTGGATCTAACATAGGCATCATGGAAGGCGCTTTCTTCGTCGGAAAGACTGAGCTTCTTAACTGGGTCAATGATTTATTGCAGCTAAACATCACGAGGGTTGAACAAATGGCGACCGGGGCAGCATATTGCCAAATTATTGATGCGGTATTCCCAGGAAGTATCAAGCTTAGCAAAGTAAACTGGCAAGCCAAGTATGATCACGAATATGCACAAAATTTTAAGCTGCTGCAGCAGGCTTTTGAAAAGAATAGAGTTGATAAATATATTGAAGTAGAAAAATTGATCAAAGCTAGATCACTTGACAATTTAGAGTTTTTACAGTGGTTTAAGCGCTTTGTAGACTTGAATTTTAGAGGTGGAGATTATCCAGCTGTAGAAAGGAGACATGGAGCAAAAACTCCTTGGGATATTGAAGGAAGCGCTCCTCATGGAGAAGTAAAAAGGGCTCATGCATCTCCGCCTGCAAGAGCTGCTGTGTCACCACCAACAAGAACTCCAAAAAATAATGAAAACGCACTTAAAAAAGTGGTTCCCAAAAAGCAGTCTAAAGAGGGACACGAAAATGAGGCAAAGCAAATCGAAGAGCTAAAGTCACAAAATGAATCTATGGAGAAAGAAAGAGACTTCTATTATGGGAAATTGAGAGCGGTAGAACTGCTATGTGATCATTATGATGGACAAGAGAACCCGACTATCCATGAAGTTCAGAAAATTTTGTTTGCAACTGATGAAGAAACTGTAGCAGTTAATGATGATGGGACAGTGAGCGTGACTCCAATTCGTCACGATTAATAATAATAAATAGCTTTCATTTTTAAATATTTAAAAATGAATAGGTTAATATATATTTAAATTATATACCCTAGCATTGCTAAATTACACTCAATTAAAATTGAAAAGCAAATATTGTGAGACTTATTTGCTCGGATATTCAAATGCAAATCTAATCGGAGTAGATTGGAGGTAAAAATAAGCTTAGTATTTTAAATCAAAGTTTTTTTCCAAAAAGAATATTAAGCTAATATACTTCAGCTTGTTTCTTATGTGCTAAATTCCGAATCCAAACTGAATTGATTTTTAATCTTCAATCTTTTTTATAAATTTTGAATATCATATATGCAATAAAATTTACTCTGAAAATAAATGGGAGCAAAACACAGCAAAAGCGACCCTTTACCAGAACAGATTAAGAATGAAGAGCCGAAAGCTGTAGAAAAAGTTGAAGAGCAGCAATCTAAAGTTGTTACTAGAGATATTCGAAGTCAATACCTTACAAGAATTGGTTTAGGCCAAGCAGGTGAAGTTCTTCGAAAATATCAAGGAATGACTGCTCGAGATTTTAAAGTCCCTCAATCACTAGGGAATCAAATTCCTCCTGACAAAGAAGATGAGAAATCCTCAATGCCCTCTAATGAACTTTCTGAAAAAATCGCATCTAATGACTACTATAATTTGAGCTTTATTCAAGTTAAAACTGCTGATGATATTCGCAGACAATTTCTGCAAAGAATGAGTAAGGAAGGGGTATGGCTTCCTCCAAGCCAAAGGCCTCCTAAATCTCAATCCATAATTATATTTGACTGAGACGATACCTTACTTTGCACAACCTATCTTAATTCTAGGGAAGATGCTATGAATATAACTTCTAAAGTAGTCAAATCACAATTAAAAACTTTGGAAGACTCTATTATAAGGCTGCTAACCCTTGCGCTAAGCTTAGGGAACACGTATATTATTACAAATGCAATGAAAGGATGGGTTGAGTATTCTTCAGGTCTGTGAATCCCTGGCGTACTTACTATGCTAGAACAAATCACCGTTATTTCAGCAAGAAGCGAATATGAACATAAATATCCAGACAATTACCATCAGTGGAAAATTGAAGCATTCATGGAAATGACAAAACTGTTTGATACTGGAACAATTACAAATTTAATTTGCTTACTCCCCTCTTTGTGAGAGAGCAAAACAATTGGAAAATCCCTATTTTCCGTTAGCGAAAAAAAAATTTGATATATAAGTGATAATTATTATAACGAAATCTGTAGTTAATTCTGCTTAATTTTTAATCAGCTTGCTTTTTAAAACATAAATTTTACAAAAATAAATAAAATATTTACTTTCCAATTTTTGCGAATTGGAATTTTTTTTAAAATTTCGAAGAAAAACAATTGAATATAAAATTTATATATTATTATTATTAATCTATCTATCGCTGCATGAGCAGCATTTCTCTCTTTTTCTCATAATCGAATAAATAAATCTTTTTATTTCCATATCAACATCTTCAAATTTCTCCTTATATTTTTTATTCATCAGCTCTACAAATCTATTTGAATAAAGTGCAATTTCATGCACTTTCAATCTCTCCTCAATTATTCCTTCAATTACTCCAATATTATCTAATTTCATAAAAAATTCCACCCTGTATGATTCATATAGATAACAATCATCCATAAGATGAATTTCATCTTCCTCAATCCATCCACATATCCTACATTTTCTATCATGATCTAAGTGCCTTATGTTTCGAGAGCTTGCAGTTTCATTAAATCCTGCCCTGAGTCTAAAGATCTGAGCTATTTCAAATCCTCTATGAGAGTTCATGTAGATATATGGGCTCCTTTCAATTTTATCTTTTCCATCATTCAGCTTCACAAAGAGCCTTGTAGTCTTCTGCACCTCCTTCTCAATTCTCCCCGCATAATGATTTCATGCAAACTTCCTCATCTCTTCCTTTATTACTTTCTTTGCTTCCTTTGGGCTTCCAATTCTATTCTGGACTAATTGTATTGCTTCTGCCTCATCTAGTTCATGATTTGCTCCAAGTCAAGTTCATACGCTTATTAAGTAAGTATGCTTCACCCAACATTGTTCCTTTATTTTTGCTTCCCTCTCCAGCTTAACTCCATATCTGAGTATTTTTATTGCCAACTGCATCTCTATGCTTAAAATACCTGTCTCCATGTAAAGGGTCTCATTTGCCACACCCTGTGGAGCTGAAAGCACCATTCTGATTCATCTCCTCTGCATAACTTCCAGCTGATTCATCAACTTTTCCGAGCCCTCCTTCATCCCTGTTGCCTCTAGCCCATATAGCCCTACAGTGTTGACGCATGCCCTCAGTATTGTTAGTTTCTTCCTTATTTGTATGCCTTTTAAAGCTTGAACCCTGCCACGAGTCGCACACATTGCAGTTCTCATTTCCCTAACCCTTTCCTCAAGATGCTTGGAGTTTCTAGCCCTTTTTCCATTATTATAAATCCAAGATATCTATAGCTTTGTGTTTCCTGCATAGTCACTCCTTCAATCTTTGCATCCATTTCACTTTCGATTTACCAAATACAACTATTTCCGATTTATCCTGGTTTATTTTAATGCAATATTTCTTGGCTCAGTTATCTGCAATATCAATTAGTTTCCTCAACATGCCTGCATTCTCAGCAATTAGAACTATATCATCAGCATAAAGTAAAATTCCAACTCTTCTTCCCTCTCCAATTTGCACACCTAATCCAATATCATCAATTTCATTAGGAAAGAAATTGAAACATACTGGAGATGAGCAGCCGCCTTGCCTCACACCTCTCTTGATTTTCATTGGCCCATAGAGCTCACCATTCATGACCACCATACTCTCTTCTTCATCCATCATCGCTGCAGCTATCGCAATCAATTTTCTATCTACCCCTCTGCTTACCATAGTCTCAATCAAAATATTCCTATCAATAGAATCAAAAGCTTTTCTCAAGTCCAAAAACGCACAATAAGTATCTTTTGCCTCTTTCCTTCTGCTTTCAATTATAGTCTCCAAAATAAAAATTTGATCAATACAGCACCTGTCCCTGGTAAACCCTCCTTGAGATTGGTGCATGATATTTTTATTTAGTATGTCTTGTGTTAGCCTGCTGGTAAAGACTTTATCAAAGAGCTTAAAAACTGAATTCACAACAGTTATCGGCCGTAAATTTTGGGGTCTAACATCTCCTTCGCACTTAGGTATCAGAAAAACTTTCGCTTGTTTCATATATGCAGGTATCTCTTCTTCTTTTCACATTTTCATAATGAGCTCAATAATCCTCTCCTTCACCATATGCCCACCATATTTGAGCAATTCCCCTGCAATCTCGTCTGGACCAACAGCTTTCCCATTCTTTATTCACCTTAACTCCTTTTCTACTTCACCTTCAATTACTTCATGGTAGGATACTCCACTTAACTTGGGCTTTCTGAGCATAGAGCCATCATACATACAACTCCATCATGCTAAGACATCCTCAATTTCTTTCTGCTGAAAATAAGTGGCCCTGCTGTTATTTCTAGCTTTGAGCCTTTTCATAAGTTTTCAAGTATCATTTATGCTCAATATTGATCTTTCTGCAATCTCCCCTAGTCAGGTCTGCTTTCTCTCCCTGTCCAGTAATTCCACAAAATTTATTATGGGCAATTTTGTGATTTCGATAATATTCCAAATACCCATCCATATCTCCTCTTCTAATGCAAGCTCTTGCAGCTCCCATCAACGACTTCGATTCCTTCAATCAGCTCCTTGTGTTATCACTCATCTTCCTGCTCTTGTTCTCATTTTGCACTCTTCCCCCACCAATCGCGCTTATTGCTGAGCTCCGTATCGCCATCACCAACTTAGCATGCAGATCCTGTACTCCTTTTTCTCCCATATCTTTTCTCAAGTATTCAATCTGAAAATAGTTTTCATATCTCCCTCTAGTCCTCTCATCAGTCATTATCTTATGCACGTTAATTCTACTATTCCCATCGTTTTGCTGCCTATTCTCAACTGCTTGAATTGACATCACAATCCTAATCGCATTATGATCTGTACTCAGAGGATATTCTGCCGCCTCCGCCATCGAAACCATCTCCTTAATCCTTTTGCTTACAATAGCATAGTCTATACATGTCGGCCGACCATTCCTCCCCTTAAACGTAGGTTCTATTATAGGCAATATTTCAAGGTGCATCTCTTCCACACAATGCTTAGGATCCTCTCTCCATTTTTATTGGTTTTAGTAGATGAAAAAACCTTCAATGTGTGCATTCCAATCTCCCACGATTATAAGACTTCTATCCATAACACTGATTGCAGCAATTTCTTCCGCCATATCATCGAAAAAGCTATCTCTCTTCGGAGCGCTCGCACATTCCACCGGGGCGTAAGCTTCCATGATCAGTTTACCCTCAATTTCTATCAAAATGCATCTACCCTCATCTTTCACATGCTTATTTTTTATGATCTTACATTTCATTCCTCTTTTCACCAGAAACCCCACACCGCATTGACTCTCTGAGCATCCATTTCCAAATCATTGATACCCTGCAACTACAACTCTACTATTGCCTATTGAATCTAGATGAGTTTCGCATACTCCTAAGATATCAGCATCTTCCTCTCTTAGCATGTGCTCGATCTCGTTCTGCTTGCCCTTTAATCCACATATATTCACATGTCATATTTTGAGATATTTCTGTTCCTTGACCACAGCTCCTCATTCTTTCAAGCAAAAAGCATCTATATTCAGCTGCGCATAATTCTTACACATCTTTACCCTCTTTTTAACTGGCTCATTCCACTCAAGCTTCCTTTTCAAAAGACTGATTCCCTAGCCCACTAGTTGTCAGCATTCTTCTGCCATTATCACATTCTTCGGCCAGATCCATAACCAAAATTCTCTTCCTCTGCTCTATCCCCATGTATTTTTCCTCATTGTCTATGCATAATGCGAAGCTATATTTTCCAATTTCATCATAAGATTCCTTAAGGCCCTTTTTACACTCTTCCCTATCATCTGTTCTTCAAAGTGCTCTGGATTTCCATATATCCCTTTACTCATCTTGACTCTCAGGATATCACCAGTAATATCCATGCCTGTAACGATATTCTCCATTCCCGTTTCTACCCTACAAAAATACAGCTGAGTTGTTCTGAACCTTTCTTGGACTAACTTTGCCTTCTCCACCTATATTATCTCCAACCTCTTAATTGCTTCCCTTACTTCATTGCAGTTCTCTTCACGATGCCCTGGATTGCCACAAAGATTACACTTAAATAAGAATGCATGAGTCACGCAGCATTTATATCCAAGAATGTTCACATGATTCCCAATTCTTCACATCTCTTCTTCATCTTTTAGCCATACATAAGCAATCACATCTCCATTCGGCAAACCTGCTTCAATTTCCAGCTTCACCTCCCATGTCCACCACATCTTCTCTATTTGAGATATTGCTAGCTCAAGGGTAAATTGTAGTCTACTTTGATCCTGAGTCTGTAATGTCTATAATCCTGCACCCCATTAACATAATAGGTCGATATTTGAAATAGGCTTCATCATTCCATAGCCATCTTCCTTTTTCTGCAAGAATTTGTTGCTCATCTTCTTTCGCTACCAGCATGATCAAATTTTCTCCTCTATCCCTTCATTCCAGAACTTTCCCCTTGTATAGAAATCCTAAATCCTCCTTTAAGCATAACTTCATATCCTTAACCAGCTCTTTATCATTTCTAAACTCCGACTTCAATGTAGCCAAAAACTCTGTCACGGCTATTTCAATACTTCCCATCTCTATATATCCATGTCATTCAAGATTTCAAAAATAGACCTTTTAGATGAGCCCAGCAAGCTCCTAGACACCTCATTTCTTAAATTTACTGTTGCTATATTCTCTGTTTCTGCAAGCTGACCCACCTCCATCCTCCTAAATTTGCCGCCAACTTCACCTGCCCTTCTTCCATTTTGCTTCAAAACCTCCTGCCCATCACGTTGCCGAGGGGTCTCAAAAGGATTCTTGAATCTCTCTTCTCCATTAGGTGGTATTGAGTGAATCTGAGATGAATTCACCTGTCTTTTCGCCGCATAACTGAAAGCCATTTTTTAAGAAATATAATTTTTTAAATAAAATTTATATATAAATTCTTTTAAAAAAACAATCTCTCCTTGAGCGAACAAAATTTTTTTGTTTGCTCATGGAGAGGGAGAGTTAGGAGACTCAAATATTGAGATGGACGCTGCCCATCATTTGGTACAGTAATATTAAAGCAGGTGCTATCAAAATGCGTGCATAAAAACAATCAAGTTTAGGGATGGCCCGAATCCGGAAGAGCTTGTAAAGCAGTTAGAGCTTGTTACAGATAAGTTTGAAAAAATCTGCACGAGTGGGAAGAACTTGACGATTAGGCTTGAGCGGTAAAAAATATATAGAAAGCCCTCACCAAGATAAACAAGACATTTTTAATTATTTAATAATTAATATCTTTCTTGAATTTCAAAAGTTTTAAATCTAAATAGACTCTTAATTAATCTTGGCCAAAGTATTTATGTATCCGTATCTTGAGAATAAAACAAAGAGCTTTCTAAACCACACGAACTGCGAGTGATGAGTTGCCATAGCTTTCCAAGTAGTAAACAGATTGACGTTTAAAAATACATAATCATTTCTGAAAGAGAGAATAGCATCAAGAACACCTATGTATTTTCTAATGATTCCAGTAGTTTCTAATTCAAAAAATTTCAATTCTTTATCAATGCTTTCTTCTTTATTGGCGATTTTTTGCATAGCCTGACTTATTGCGCAATGATTAGGATGGCTCGATATCCCTTTTATATCAAAACTCACTATTATGTTTGCATCTCTCTCCCTGATTTCTTTTAGTACAATTTGTTCAATTAGTTGTGTGTTTCATCTATTATTCATTCCATCTTTTAAGCTTTCATTATCAATAATTGTGTGTCCCTTGACTCCCAAAAAAGTGCATGCCTTGGCTAGCTCAACCTCCCTTGTCGATCCAAGATCATCAGCATCTCCATTTGACAAGCAAAGTAAATAAATATCATTTGTCCTTCGAAAATTCACAATAAAAGGAATGAAAAACATGCTTTCATCATCTGGATGTGCAGTGACAAGTAAAATTTTTTTAGTTCCGAATTCGCTTCGCACTGAATCAAGATTTACAAGAATAAAAGTTATTGCTAGAATAAGGAGCTGAAAAGATAAAAAAATTCACTTCAAATAGTAGAGGAGGTCCAACAAATCGACTATATCCATTTTTATTAATAATTAGTGCGATTATAAGGCGAGCCTGGATTCCCTTGATAGTTATATTGGCTTTGGCTTTGCCTAGGAGAAGATCTATTAAACCCACTTGCATAATTTTGATCATATCTTTCTGGGGGATACTGTTCTTGTCTTTCTGGATATCTCCCATACCCTCCTTCATATCTTGGCTCATAATATTCAGGCGGATACTGGCTTTGTCGATCTGGGTATCTATTGTAGTCTTCTTCATATCCTTGACCATATCCTTGATCGTATCTATCTGGATATCTTGAATCATAGGGCCCTGGATACCTTGGCTCTTGATATACTTCAGTGAGTGAATAAGCACAATCAAATATATTATTATTTAAAATGCATATATAAAGAATTAGCTATATCTAGGATCATTTGCTCCTGAGTATCTTGGATCATACCCTCTGCTATCATAATATGATTGATTGGCAGGTGTTTGTGGATATGTATTCTCTTGTGCCCAATATGGAGCCCTGCTTCCTGGAAAATAAGGCTGATTTCCAGGATAGGGTGGCTGATTGACCTTTATATCAGGATTTTGATTTTGCTGCTCTTTTGGCGGATTTCGCACCACTTCAATAGAGTGCACATACCAATTCACTCCAATGAAAAAGATAATTGATATCGCCATGAAGATATACCATACCACAAGTAATGCAATCGTAAAAGTAGCACCTTGACTATACTCACTAGAGCAGTCACTGCTCTCAAAATACCACACACTTCCAATAATATACCAAATAAATTCAAAAATCGAAAAAGTTAAATAAATAGGAATATAGCAGAGATCGACACCTTTTACAATTCCTTCAATTGTAGGCTTGTAAAGCCCTGTCATGACATACGCCTTGCATCACCTGGAAAACCCCACACCAAAATTTATAATAAGGCCTGCTAAATAAAGCCCAAATAGTCCCACCAAAAATACTTGGATTGGAGATGAGCATTCTTTAGGATTTGAAACAACAGATGCTCCTAAAGCAATAACGATTACACCTTGGTAAATCACTTGTATACCTTCAGAACGGCTATGGCTCTGCCTGAAACTCCGTCTTCCCTCCCCCTCATCCCTTGACGGTTTCAGTTTGAACGAAATTGTTAATTCAAAATTACAAGTCCCTCACCAAGGATTTGACAAGTCAAATTCAATTTTGTAGATTTCAATAAAACTGAAACAGTCAAGGGATGAGAGGAGGGGAGGGGCTCTCAGTTCGATTCTAAAACCGTGCTCATGGTATAACACCTTGAAGTTATAACACTTCCGAAACCATTCGGAGTTTTCGTAGTATATCTCTAATTTTTCAATATGCCGGCGCATTTTTAGGATTATTATTTTAATAATAATGCCAAAAGCTAAATAGTAATAAATTCATCTATTATATATAGCTCAGCACTGCTAAAAATTCGCAATTGTTTTCCTCTGTTAAATGTATTTAGAAGAAAATTCCAAGTTTGAATAATTTTGAAAATGGATAATTTAAAACATCATGTCAAGTACATCAATCATTCCTGCTGAAAACAGAGTATTCAAAAAGCATCAATTATTGGACTCTTGGAATGACAATAATGCAGCCCTTAAAGAAAGGATTGAAAAAGAAAGGAAAGACAGGGCTATATTTGAAATGAAACTTGACTTGCAAAGACAACAAGAAATTGCTCTCCGTGAAAAAGAAAGGAAAAGAGAAGAAATGTGAAGAGAGCAAGAAATTTCGAAACAGCTTAAAATGCAGCTTGATGAAGAAGACGAGTTGGAAAAGCTGAAAAAGAAAAGAGAGCAAGAAGCTTTGAGGAGAATCTATGATACTCAAATACAGGAAAAATTGATTGCTGATAATAAAAATCAGTTGGTTCAAAGACAGGAAAGGCCAGATGCTTTTCTGTATCAGAGCAACAGTGCTCAATATGAGCCGAGCATTGAGAATCCTAGAAGGCTTAGCAGCCAAAGATCTGTGCTACCTGAAAATAATCCAAACTCTCAGCCATCTGCGAAAGGAAAAGCAAGAGGCCAATTTTCCCCTCTTATTAAGGCTGGAACATCGATATTCAGATAATAACTTTTGATTAGAATATTAATACTCGAGATTCTGCACATCTTGCTCGCATTAAAGTTGAGCTCTTCCTTCGCAAAAAGCTTTATGCTATCCATTATCTGAAGAAAATTTGAAAGCATATTGAGAATTTTCAAGACCTCGTGGGGAAGGAATGGCATGACAGTTGGAAAGGGGAAGCCCAGTAGAGTCCTAAGGACCAATCGGGCAACTCCCTAGCGTGAAACTGGGCGTTACGTCCCAGGCTGCATGTTTTTCCTTTTTGCCGAGAGCCGACCAGCAAATCCATTTTTTGGATTTTCGGAAAGGCAACCCATGTTTCAGGCAAGTAGCTCATTCATGAGCCGTCGAAGCCGGTGACGTTTGCCCTAGGCGCACCATGGTGATCGAAACGGGCTGGCCCAGCAGCCCGTGGGCTCGATGCGGCGAAAGACAAGTGGCAAGGCCTGGGATAGTCTACCCCGTAGTGGACATTATGCGTCATAAGTAATTAAGTAAGTAAGTGAGGATTTTCAAGAAGTATAATTTTCTTTTATGATCTTGGACAAGTTTTGATAAGTTTTGCTATTATTTCATATGTTTGATATATTAGATTATTTTCAGCAATTGATTTTATATATGCTTACATTTAAAAAATAATCAAGAATATCTTAATTTGTATTTATTTTTAATAAATTTCACTTATTACACTACTTAAATGTTATGAATAAGAATTTTTTTCCCGAATCATCTTGCTATATTACCTTTTATTAAAAAAATAATTACTTAATCATGAATTGCATTAAAACAGAATAAATATAAATGGTTTAGAAAAAAATATATCTTTTAAAAAATAAGAGATAGGAATGCAAAGACATTTTCCATACCCCAGCAGAGAATAATATACAGGGGGTGACAAATCGAAGGAAGGAGGCTGGATCTCAGTAGATCGTAAGACAAGCTTACTCTCGTACGTACAATCCCTCGTTCCATGTAAGTGGTCTGCAAAAGATTTGTCCCAGTCACTATTTGGTACATTGAGAAGCCGTCTTCAGCATTTCGCCTGGACAAGGATCTCAGTTGGGAGTGGGATTATGGTTTCCATAGGTGACTGGCGGACGTCGCGTTCCAGCATTGATTCTGACTTAGAGGCGTTCAGCCATAATCAAACAGATGGTAGCATCGCGACACTTCCTTGTCAGGAAATCGCATGAACCAGTGATCTGACCCAACGGTTCCTCTCGTACTGAGTTGGATTACTGTAGCGACATCAGTTCATCAGTAGGGTAAAACTAACCTGTCTCACGACGGTCTAAACCCAGCTCACGTTCCCTATTAGCGGGTGAACAATCCGACACTTGGTGAATTCTGCTTCACAATGATAGGAAGAGCCGACATCGAAGAATCAAAAAGCAACGTCGCTATGAACGCTTGGCTATAAATTATTTATTATTTTTTATAAATAATTTCCTATAAGAATTTTCTATAAATATTAGGAGCCACCTTGGCTGCCACAAGCCAGTTATCCCTGTGGTAATTTTTCTGACACCTCTGGTTTAAGGGTCTTGGTTTTATAGTAAAGATAAATTCTTTATGGCCTATATAAGAAAAATAACAATTTTTTCCACTAAAAATAAATAAGCCTGGTTTAAGACTTTTAAAAAGCAAAGGATCGATAGGCCACGCTTTCGCGGTTTGTATTCGTACTGAGAATCAAAATCAAGCAAGCTTTTCCCCTTTTGGTCTACAAGAGATTTCTGTTCTCTTTGAGCTTGCCATAGGACACCTGTGTTACTGTTTAACAGATGTGCCGCCCCAGCCGAACTCCCTACCTGGCTCTGTCTCTCGCTTAGCAAGCAAAGCTAGAACCACGAATGGTCGCTACCTCACGAGGTAAGTAAAATGACATCAAGAGTAGTGGTTTTTCAAGGTCGCAGGGCTCCCACTTGTCTACACCTCCTACGCCATTTCACAAAGCCAGACTAGAGTCAAACTCAACAGGGTCTTCTTTCCCCGCTGATTCTGCCAAGCCCGTTCCCTTGGCTGTGGGTTCGCTAGATAGTAGATAGGGACAGTAGGAATCTCGTTAATCCATTCATGCACGTCACTAATTAGATGACGAGGCATTTGGCTACCTTAAGAGAGGAGAAAAATCAATATTTTATAGTAAATTTACTAGGAAATATTTATGGAAAAATTTTGGGTCCCAAAGAGAGTCATAGTTACTCCCGCCGTTTACCCGCGCTTGATTGAATTTCTTCACGTTGACATTCAGAGCACTGGGCAGAAATCACATTGTGTCAACACCTTTTGAGGCCTTCACAATGCTTTGTTTTAATTAAACAGTCGGATTCCCCTCGCTGCTCCAGTTCTGAGTTAGCCATTCGCTGTCCTGGGTTACTCCTGGCTCAACAGTCGCTAACGCTGGTCAGGTCGCCCCTTCCTGCGAAGCTATGAAGAGGTCAGAAGGCCCAAGACCTGGCCCTCAGAGCCAATCTTTTTCCCAAAGTTACAGATCTAATTTGCCGAATTCCCTTATCTACATTGTTCTACGTACTAGAGGCTGCTAACCTTGGAGACCTGATGCGGTTATGGGTACGGCCAGGCGAGCGATAAGATTTCCCTCAAATTTTCAAGGGCCGAAGGAGGTGCACCGGACAGCACAAAGGGTGTGCTGCTCTTCCAAACCGATAGCCCTCTCTCGTCGCAAAGACCTCCAGGGCAGCGATTTGTTAAGAAGAAAAGAGAACTCTCCCCAGGACCTCGCCCCGACGTCTTTGAGTTCAGTTGTGTTGCCACTCAATACCCACCGCCTGCTTGTAGAATTTTAACTACATTCCCTTTCGGCCTGGACGATGTCGTCGCGGGATTACCCCTGGCCTCAGGACCGAGTCACTCATGACCAATTGCTGTTCTCATGAAACCCTTCTCCACTTCAGTCTTCAAAGTTCTCATTTGAATAGTTGCTACTACCACCAAGATCTGCACTAGAGGTAGCTCCAACCCTGTCCACACAGAGCCTTCTGCGCTGCCTCCACGCCCTCCTACCTGTCCAACTGTCATCAAGCTGGACAGCAGGGTATCGGCTGGCTGCTTAGCGACATCCATTTTCAGGGCTAGTTCATTCGGTAGGTGAGTTGTTACACACTCCTTAGCGGGTTCCGACTTCCATGGCCACCGTCCTACTGTCTAAATGAACTAACACCTTTTCATCTCATTAGCTGCCAATTGGTCGCCTCAACCCTGCCTTAGGTTGAACCCTCGTCGCCAGTTCTGCTTACCAAAAATGGCCCACATGGAACACGCATTCGGCACAGAGTTCAATGAAGCAACTCTGCGTTCTTACCAATTTAAAGTTTGAGAATAGGTGAAAGTTGTTATTGGGAATTATAATAAATATAAGGGAATTTATCATAATTATATAAATTTTTCTTATATTTATTGTTTATCCAATACAACTCCCGAACCTCTAATCATTCGCTTTACCCGATAAAACTGCACTGTTCCAGCTATCCTGA